GTCCCCCTTCAGTCTATATTACTAACCTCTTTTATAGCTACTATAATAAATATTACTATTAAAATAATAAAAACCTACTGTAATAAAAACCTTAACCTATTATATAAAAAAATTAATAATATATTAAAAAACTACTATAGTATAAAATATAAATAACTTAAATATAAAGTTAAAAACCTTGAAATTAATATAAAATAGGAAATAAAAGGCTTTTTACTACCTCTTTATAGTAAATAAAATAATCTTTACTTAATTATATTAATTACCTTTAGCTATAAGCTTTTAATATTATTTTCTATATAAAAACAAAACTAAATTTACAGTATATAAAAAAATAACTTAAAAGCCTAAAAAGCCTAGAAAATAGGCTTATAGAAAGGCTAGTCTTAAAAACTAATACCTCCTTTATTAAGGTATTTAAGTTAAAGCCTTACTATATAATTTAATATAATAGCTTAAAGAAGTAAGTTAATAAAGTAATTATAATCTTTAGGAATAAGCTGTAAAGCTAGAATATCCTAGTCTTAGCCTAAGACTAAAAGTATATAACTATTAAGGACAGTAATAGAAGTTATATATAAGGCGCTAAGGGGGGGTAGAAAGGTAAAAGGTTAATATATTAAAGGAATATATATTCTATTAGTTAGAGTTAAAGTTAAAGTTAAGGCAGCCTTTAGGCTGAGAAATTAAATTAGATTATATTTTCTTTTTTTTTTATAATTCTTTTTCAACCTTTAACTTTATTAAGCCTAGGCTTTCTAAAACTCTTAATAATATTAATAATAAAAATAACCTCTTTTAAGGTTAAAACTTAATAATTAAGATAATAGATATTATATATAATAACTAAACTTTAATTAAATAAATACTTATATTATATAGCTATATATATAAAAACTAGCTTCCCCCCTATACCCCTTAAATTAATTTATATTATAAATATACTAGTTAATCGACCTTTATAGCTATAGTTAGTTAATTAACCCCTAGTCCCCTTTCGGTCTATATTACTAACCTCTTTCATAGCTATTATAATAAATATTACTATTTAAATAATAAATACTTACTATAATATAAGTCTTAGCCTAACCTATAATAAGATCTATAAGGCAATTAATAACTATAGTAAAGAAAAGTATAAATAACTTATCTATATAGCTAGAGACCTTAAGATTAAAATAAGGTAGGATTTCTAAGGCTAGTTAATACCTCTTTATAGTAAATAAAATAATTATAACTTAGTTAAGTTAATTACCTTTAACTATAAGCTTTTAATACTTTTTTATATATAGTTAAGTTAGAAATCTTATTAAATAAAAATATTAAGTTTAAGGTATATAAAAAATTAGCTTAAAAACCTAAAAAGCCTAGAAAAAAAGCTTTTAAAAGGGTTAGTCTTTAAGACTAAAACGTTTTTTATTAAGGTATTTAAGTTAAAGCTTAACTATATAATTTAATATAACCGCTTAAAAAAGCAGGTTAAATAGGTAATTAAGGCCAGCGGAGGAATAAAATAAAGAGAAGTTATATATAAGGCGCTAAGGGGGGGTAGAAAGGTAAAAGGTTAATATATCAGAGGAATATATATTTAGAGTTAAAGTTAAAGTTAAGGCAGCCTAAAGTTAAAGGTAGCTTTAGGCTAAGGAATTAAATTAGATTATATAACCCTTATTAAAATCCTACTATACTTACTTTTATAATATAATATATAATATTATTAATAATATTATTAACTAGGGAAATTAAATTATATAACCCTTATTAAAATCCTATTATACCGTAATATAATATATAATATTATTAATAATATTATTAACTAAGGATAAAAAAAAGTATATTTATTAAAAAATAAAAAATAAAATATTATATAATAATAATTAAAATATTTTTTAAAAAAGATTTTAAAGAATAATACTTTAAATAATAATTAAACCTAAGATTATTATATAAATAAGATTCTTTTTACTTTATTAAATAAAATTTAAGTTAATTAATTATATATTAAAAAGGAAAAGTTTAATTATTTTATTATTATTTATAGATATAATTTTAAAGTAAATAAATATATATAAAACTTAATATTAAGTTTATATATTAATATTATAAACTTTATATAGAACTTTTATATTTTTTTTTTTTTTTTTAACCTTTAACTTTATTAAGCCTAGGCTTTTTAAATCTCTTAATAATATTAATAATAAAAATAACCTCTTTTAAGGTTAAAAACTTAATATAATTAGTATAATAAAAGTTATATATAGTAACTAAACTCTAATTAAATAAATATATATATAACTTATATAGCTATATATATAAAAGCTAGCTTCCCCTATATCCTTAACTTAATCTACACTATAAGCATACTAGTTAATTAACCCTTATAGCTACCTAATAGAGGTCAGAATTAAGAAATAAAGCTTAAGCTAAGTAATATACAGTTAGTTAATTAACCCCTAGTCCCTTACCTTTCGGTCTATATTACTAACCTCTTTTATAGTTACTATTATAATAAGTATTTAAGTAATAAATATCTACTATAATATAAGCCTTACCTTAACCTATAAAATTATTTAAAAAGCTATTAATAATTACTATAATAAATAAAAGCTTAGCTTACTTAAAGATAAGGCTAAAGATCTTTAACTTAATTTAAAGTAAGATTTTAATAGCTATTTTATATTACCTTTCTATAATATATAAAATAATTATAGCTTAGTTAAATTAATTACCTTTAGCTATAAACTTTTAATACTTTATAGTTTAAGGCTTAGTAAGGGAAACTATACCTAAAAATATATATTAAGTTAAATATAAAAGGTAAAAAAGTAACTTAAATACCTAAAAAGCCTAAAAAATAGGCTTATAAAAAGGCTAGTCTTTAAGACTAATAGTTATTTTATTAAGGCATTTAAGTTAAAGCCTTACTATTTAACTTAACGTAATAGCTTAAAGAGGTAGGTTATAAAGGTACTTAAGGTCTTTAAGAATAATCCGTAAAGCTAGAGAGAAGTTATATATAAGGCGCTAAGGGGGGGTAGAAATAAAGATTAAAGGTTAAAATATATTAAAGGAATATATATTTAGAGTTAAAGTTAAAATTAAAATAGTTTAAAGTTAAAGGTAACTTTAGGCCGAGAAATTAAATTAGATTATATAACCCTTATTAAAATCTTACTATACCTACCTCCGTAATATAATACGTAATATTATTAATAATATTATTAACTAGGGAGAACTTTTATATATATATTATTATTATAATATTTTAATTTAATACTTAAGAGATTTTAAAATAATTAAATTATATTTTAAAATATATTTAACTTAATTAATTAAAAGTATTTATATTTTAAATATATTTCTTTATACTTTTACTTTAAAAAGCTTATAACTTTTTATATACTATAAATATAAACTTTAAAACTTTAATATATTTATATTCTATATAAATATATATATAAAAAATATTATCTTTTTTTATATACTTATAGGTTAATTAGTTTTCAATATTCTTTTTATTATAGACTTATTTAAGTAACTATGGCGGTATGGCGGGGTGGGCGGAGTGGTGGTGAGATACGTTAGTTCCGCTCTGCTCGGCGCTGATTTCCCATCTCAAGCGCAAGCGCGAGTCTTGGCTTGTTTTTCCTTCTCGATGCATTCTAGCCTGTTGTTGTTTTCGACCTAGCATTCCTCTCTGTCTTGTTTTTTTTTGGTCTTGGTCTTGGTCTTGGCCTTGGCCTCCCTTGAGTCACTATTGACCTTTCGGTTGGCTTACCGTTTAGCTACTTAGTACAGAGTACCTACCTATCTATAGCACTTAAGTTCTAGACTTGGGTAAAATATCCCGGTGCTAACAATAGCATCTCTCGACGTCATTCCTCCCCCAAAGATGAGAGTACATATCCATGTATCCAATGCTTGACAATTACTACCTATACTAGGTACTCCGTACTCTCTCTAGCCTTGTCGTCATTCTCAGTCTGGCTACCTAGCCTTACAGGTTCAAAGCAGCGAGCCATCAAGGACGGCTGACCGACCAGCCATCCAGCTCTCTGACATCAGCCACGTTGCCCTGGCGAGGGCGTCCCCGCTGAGTTGGTTTCCACTGTCATCAATTAGAGGATGGTGCTTGTCAGCCCTGGTCGGTTTTGCCCCGTTACTATACCATACCTGTTGGGGTTCCTACACTCATGAACCACTCACTACGTAGACTGTTCATTACCAGGTACGATGTGTCCTTGCTGGGGCTAAAATCCGGCGTACTAACAATCAAAAGATAGAACAATCGAAAATAGAACAAATGAAGTTCACAGGGAGTATCGTATGTAGCCAAAAGCGCCAAGCTCAACATATCCCCCTCCCCTCAGCCCTAAACTTAAAGATGCCATAAGCACCCCTAATTCACTGCAGCCTTTCATTCTAGCTGCGTGCTCACCACACCACTAGACTACTACGTAGACACATGCATCCATATCCCTAGCGGTAAAGCGAACCTCATCTCGCATGATATCCGAGTCTGACTGGCTCGCGAGCTGACGGGCAGGCGGACCTGATACATCTCACTTGAAAAGGAATCAGCCTTGTGAGCTCACAACAGGTGGGGAGTTCAATGGGAGGTTTTATGGCATCTTCAGTAACCCACCAATTGCATGCATAAGCCAATGTGTGCCACAACCGTCGTGACTACTGTACTTAGGACCGAGAGTTTGGCGGCTTACGTTTAGCATATGAATCTCACGCTCGTCAACACTGTATCGCGTAGGATCAGCTCCTTCGCTGGACCTGCCAGGCGGCTTTCCTTTCATTTCCTGGACGCCATGTACATTCCTGCTTCTAGGGCTCGGCATCTAAAGCTGCTCTCCCTGACTATATTGTACAGTCTTACAGATTACCCAGTGACGCTGTGCCCATCAACATCCATCATCCGTGGAGTTCCCGTACGCCTATCTGTCCTAGCATCTATCCGTATTGATCTGACATGTCATGCCTACCCCCGTTTACAGCTTCTGGTATTCGAGCTTACCCTCCAGCTTCTTTGATTCGGCCACCTTACGAACAGCCTTATTGAAGTCGTCCTGGTTGATCGATTCCCGGTAGTCCTTGATGGCAAACAAGCCGCTATGTGCATGTCAGACATTCCGTTTCGCTCATGTTTGGTTGCTATTGTACCAGGGGTGTAGAAAAACTTACGCTTCAGTGACCACGTTTCGCAAATCAGCGCCGTTCAGTCCATCACTCATCTTTACTACGCTCTCAAAATCCAGGTCGCCGTCAATTACCACACTATGCGAATGGATTTTGAGAATTTCAAGACGCCCGACCTCATTGGGTAGCGGAATCTCAATCTTTCGATCCAATCGACCGGCACGGAGCAGCGCAGGATCCAGTGTGTCGGGTCGGTTGGTGGCCATAATGATCTTGGTCTTGCCTAGGTAGTCGAAACCGTCCAGCTGGTTGAGCAACTCCATAAGTGTTCGTTGAATTTCACGATCAGCACTGGTACCCTCTGAGAATCGACGTCCACCGATGGCATCGATTTCGTCCATAAAGATGATACAAGGTTCGTGCTCCTTGGCATAACCGAACATTTCGCGAATGAGTCTTGCCGATTCACCGATGTACTTGTCGACGATGGCGGACGAAACAACTGACCTGGCATTAGCATTTTTATCCAACGGTCGAGAATGATGTGTATACTATACCTTTCAAGAAGTTCGTCTCTAGACTGCTAGCGACAGCTCGTGCCAATAGAGTTTTGCCAGTTCCGGGAGGACCATACAACAAGACACCCTTGGGGGGCTTGATGCCGACTCTCAGGAATAGTTCGGGGTTCTTGAGGGGGAGCTCAATAACCTCTCGCAACTCTCGAATCTGATCGTTCAATCCACCGATACCAGCAAAGCTTACTTGACCCGGGTCCTCGAGGGACATGTTGTACACCAAAGGATCGACTTCGCGAGGTAGCATTCGCATAATAGTAAGTGTCGTCATATCGAGAGCTACACGTGTGCCTTGCTTGAGCTTGATCTTGTCTACCTTTGATCTGCATCCGACAACATATCGTGGACCGGAGGAAGCCTTGACGATAACTGCGAGTATAATCGTTAGTATGTGTCCATCTTGTACGAGTCCAGATGGTGTTCGCCTCACATCGTTCGTCATCGAGCTGTTTCAGCACCTCGCCGATGATTTGTCCCACACTCTGCAGCGCCTTGATGTTGTCTTCGGTCTTATCAAACTCTCTCTGCATGTCCTTAATTTCAAGACGCAGATTCTTGAGCTTGGCCTCCCATTCTCGCGACTCGATGAGCTTGCCGCGGTAGGAATCAAGGGCGGCCTGGCGCTCTTGTTCGGCAGACATTGTGATAAATGTTAATTCGTCCCCTTTTTTTGTGTAAATGAATGATTCTCTATATCGATCTGGGGGTTTGGCGGTCGCGGGTTAGGTATCGGAAGCTTGGTTGTGTAGGGGAAGAGATGTTTAGATCCAATGGTGATGGTGGTTGCTCATGCAAATGGAGAGCTTACCTCACCGGCTGGAGCCTTCCGCTAGCGGCTTGAGCTGCACCGGCAGAACCTCGGTCAATCAGCTTCCCTGTCCGATAGTTAGAATAATACAGAATATCAGAGCTGGATCAATTACTTGCGCTCTGATATAATTTCACAACACATTTGCATGTTTTCTCTATTATAACCCCACATAATTGAACAGTATCTGTAGCCAATGTTTCTCTGATTCTTTTACTTGGCAGCACTGTTCCTTCTGACCAGAAAGTACAGATATCAACCGTGAGGCCCTCGTTTAGCTACCCTGCATTGATAGCATCAACGTTTGTTGTATGAATCAATAGGTCGCATTGAGATCGAATACACTTCAGAACAACTGCATCAGCTTCTTTCGGTGGTCAATGTACTCGGACAATGGGGTTTCTATTTTATTTTAGCTAGTCTTCTTTTTTTTTGCTCGTACCTGGTTGATATAGCATCGGAGTAGCCACAATGACAGTGACGAAGCAAAAAAGACAATTGTCCAGCGAATGCGAATCATAATCACGACAAAATGAACAATTCCGACCAGTCTAGATCAATACAAAGACCATATCGTTAAACATGAACCCGCAGCTATTATTAAATACTTGCTGTTAACAGAGATCTGTAGAAACATTTCCTCAGTTTTAAACCTGGAGCATACAACGTATTGTGCCGGTTATTAGATCACTAAACCATCCACAAGTGTCCTGTCTTCTGGGGAGTCGAGGGGTTCGACCGAATGCAAAATAAGGGGTCATACTATCACCCTTGTGTGACGACTAAGGCCAGAGTCGACTGGCCAGCCCAGTGGAGTAGTCAGGAGCTGGATTGTCCCGGGCGCGGGGTTGTGTTTAGAGAGGAAGTAGCGGACATCTCTTCTTCACCCAGCGAGTATTCGTGAACAGGTCATATATACCGGACCATCATGTGTAACAGTAAAGCTGAGGGTGAAGGCTCAGGTTCGCCTGTGGTCATGCTACACGTAGTCGGGATGTATGTTTAAGCCGAATAAAGTCGAATAAGCAGCTTCAATCCTTATTCTCGCTGTCGTCCTCAGTAGGCGCCGTTTTGGGTTCCCCTTCAGCGTCGAAACCAAGCGCGTCCAATTCTCGAATCAGTTCGTTAATCTTGATGACCTTGGCGATTTGCTCTGGTAGTAGTGCTTCTCCACCCTCCTTCTTGTCCTTGAGATCCTTGGCCTGCTTTAGCTTCTTCTTAAGATTGCGGGCCTTCTTCTCGCGCTCAACCTCGGGGTCGACCTCTTCGGCCTTAGCCTCCTGTGAAGCCGGGGCATCACCATCAGTGGCCTTTGCCTTCTTTCGAGCCTCGCGGCGTTTTGCGTTCTTATTGCTGGCGGCCGAGCTTTGCTCGGAGCTCTCCTCCTTCATACCCGTGGCACCTGGAATGCCAATTCTCTTGCCTCGATCACGAAAAGCTTCGGCGGTACGGTTCTTGTAAACTTCGACATCCTCAGGAGGGCGGTATCCTGGGCGAATCTTGATGGCTCGGCGGGTGGTGCCATCTGCACGGACAGACTGTGGGATCTCACGGCTGCCGCTGTTTTCGTCAGTGACGATACCCGCGTTTGAGGGTTGTGAAGGCATCGTCCAAGGATCCCTTTTTGAAAAAATTAACGTGGGATAAGGAATAGAAGAAAAGCCCAAGTCCGACGCTGGACGTTGTCACAGGCGAACAGGGATTGGAATATGTTCGGCAGCTACCGAAAGCAGGATGAGAGCTGGCGAGTCGAAAGATTGGCGGGGTTAGATTGGCGGGGCTGTATTATGTGGCTGAACGAGAGCAGCGCCACAACTGGTCTGTTGAATTGAATGTGGTTGCAGGTGGAGGACTGCCCATAGAAACATAGAGCCTATAAGTGCCTAGGTACAGTAACTTAGTGGGTATTTATGCGCCATAAATTGTATTTCATAGTAGGTTAGTACCTAAGGTGCACACTCCTGCTCACCTTTCCTGAGTTGTACACACTCTAGGGGACACTTATCGAAATGCAGCAATGTTTCTATTCGTAAACCACTGTTTTACTTCCGTGGCAAGCCTAAATAACAAGGGAGCCTCCCTGCGAAAGAGCTTATTCGGATTTGAGTAGAGAAATGGAGGTGTCTTATTGGTGGGTTTGTTTTAGCTTCCCGCGCCAGCAGGGCGCCTTGTCTCAACTTAGTACCTATTCTCACATAAAGCAACGTCCACGTAGCAACCCTCGTTGGAGAGTTCGAGAGTTCGAGCATTCGAGCATCGATATTGTAAGCACTGTTTTTCTCTATCAACAAGACTCTCGATTACCTTCCGGATGCATCGATATATCAGAATTAATGAAGAAGAAGACGAAGCTATAGTAACCTAAACATATCCCTACTTGAAGTCTAACGGTACTCCGTGCATGTCTCTGAACAAGTCACTCTGTGCAATGGGAATTGTGGATGGTATGATCGGCTATCACAACGTAGGGTTATGTAGCTTTCTGTTATTTTACGGGTACTGGCCAAGGCATCTTACATAAGAGTATAACTCTTACATCTTGCTACCCATTTACACCGTTGCAATCCGTCACTGGGTGTCTTATGCATGGGTCGTGGTAAGCTAAGTGCCTGTATAATTTTGCCTAATATCAAGCTTACATGTACAAAACGGCAGTGTCTGTGATAGGAAATGCAGAGTGTTTAATCCGACATAACTATATACTCCAACGATTTCAGAGTTGTTAATTACGCCAACATACGAATAGTAAATGAGGTAGCAGGCTTTGTGTTGATCTCTTACCTGTGTAGGACATTCTTTGTATCACTCATTTGCTTGAAGTTTCAAATTGAAGAGTTTCAGCCTCAGTTGTCCATCTGCATTTGTATGTCTTGGCCTTCAATATGTCAAGTCAAGTAAGGTATGTTCCCACATCCTAATGATACCCAAGAGTGAAGTGGTTCATCATCAACCTATTATCACATCTCAAACATCACAGAGAAATCTCGAGACTGGTGGTTATCTACATACTTCATCGGGTATTGAGGACCGATTCATTTGATTTCATCTTTCACAGTCACTTGTGTAGATGAAGGTTTTGCGCCATTGCGTACTTGAGTCCCCTCGCCTTGTTTATGGTAAGCCCAACGTCTCTACTTTAGATGCGATAATGATGGATTGGGTACTAGGTATCATTGCACTTGGTACCTGCTGTTCGTGCACATGGATATAAGGGAGTTTTAGCCATACATTTTCAATCTGCCTTAGGTATTAGAACACAAACTACAGACAGTGTCACTGCCACTGCTACTGCTGTTTCCTTTCTCTGTCCCTCTAGCTTCCACAACTTGTACCTTCCAATATTCGAACCGACCTGAAGAGGCTCCTGAAGGCAGGCTTTCTGATTTCCTAATTTGAAACGTTATTCACAGGCTTCCGTGACTATTTGAAGCATTGTTCCGTACACGACTTTTATTTACGAAAAACTCCACGTCTATCTTACACTCACCATCGCCAAGATGACTGCTCCCGAGCCGGAGGAGGCCAAGATAATGAAAAACCAGGGTCAAGGCTGAGAAGCCCTAAATACCACCCTATTGGACACGTCGGATGCCTTGACACCAGATCCAGACACTGAGGATATGTTCAAAACGGATCAAAACAAGTTCGCTTTCAGTCCAGGTCAGCTCTCGATGTTACTCAACCCCCAAAGTCTCAACATCTTTTATGCTCTCAGAGGACTCAATGGCATAGAAAAAGGGTTGCGGACTGATCGAAGTGCTGGCCTTAGTACGGACGAGTCGACATTGGATGGAGAGGTTGACTTTCACGATGTTGCACCGAAAGGAACATCAAAACATGGCACTGCTGGAGATGCTATACCGGAAAGCAATGCAGAAGCGGCAGTTCATATTCCCCCTCCCGATGAGCCTCATCCGACAGGGCCATTCTGCGACCGAAGGAAAATATTCAGAGACAATCGCCTCCCCGAGAAGAAGTCCAAATCTTTACTGGAGATTGCCTGGACCACCTACAACTATAAGGTCCTGATCCTTTTAACCATTGCTGCAATGGTATCACTGGTTCTGTGACTGTATCAGACTTTTGGTGGCGAACATGAAAATGGCGAGCCCAGAGTTGAATGGGTCGAGGGTGTGGCGATCATAGTTGCCATTGTGTAAGTCGATATTCCGAATTGACAATAGTCGAAGGGTGCTAGGCTAATACGCGCAGTATCGTTGTGCTTGTCGGTACGATTAACGACTGGCATATGCAGAGGTAGTGCACTCGACTTACCAAGAAAACTAGCGATCGCATGGTCAATGTTATTCGATCTGGAAGGTCACAAGAAATATCCATCAGTGATGTCATGGTAGGCGATGTTATGCATCTGGCCACGGGAGACATCGTACCTGTACATGGAATTTTTATCCAAGGAAGCGCCGTTAAATGTGACGAATCGTCGGCTACTGGGGAGTCAGACCTCCTTCGAAAGCCACCAGCAGCATATGTTTTCGATGCGATGCAGAAACTCGACGTAAAGGGTCGTGCTGTTAATGATTCAGTCAAAAAAGGACAAGGCGAATGAGGGAACAAAGGATAAGAATAGAAAGCCGGAAGCTGTACAAGGTCGTGCTGCTGGCAAGGGCCACTCTTAGGCTGACTACATGTCGAAGGGAGAGTGAAAGAGCCTTAGTTTCGAAAGCAATCGGATTAGAGATTCGTGGTGATAGCCCCATATGATGATGAAATCCTGTGGAACATGGAGGCGTGTTGGTTGTAGGTGACTAATGAGAGCCGTCCTAGGGACGATGCAATAGATCGTCTGAAAGTCATACATTTCGATGTCACCATTTACAATATCTTAAATACCGAATAAGGACTAAGCATCTTATTTGAAACGGAATTTCTAGGAAGTTGTTTTCTAGCGAAATATTTACTGATGGGTGAACGAGACAAGACGGCTGAGAGCAAGTTCAACTGCTGCTTATACGGAAAAGTGGGACTCGGGATAACTGGCTCGACCAGCCAATCAGAAGCGAGGTAAAACTGTCCCCGGAACTTCGCGAATTTCCTGGCCTGACAATCTCTAGATCCTCTCCATCCTTCAACCGAAGCCTCACAATCGCCCCGTCGCAGACGTCCAACACCGACCTCACGTAGTACTATTACCGCTCAATTGCGCTCATCTATCAAAATGGTAAGGCCACGATAAACTCTTGACTTCCCATGCCGAATGCAATGGCTAATCGCGCACCCTTACAGGCCCTCGCCAACACCCTCTACAGGCAAGTTACGCCGACACCGACGAGACGAATATCGCAGCGAACCCCGAGACTAACACGAACTTCCTTTACAGGAGCCTTTTCTCCACCAACTACCTGATGCTCGCCACCGTTTTCTCTGCTGGCTTCGCTTGGGAGATGTAAGAGGCGCTCATCACTTCGGACCAACGGGGACAAGATGCTTATCATGATATAGTGGTTTCAACAACGTCATGGACAAGGTCTGGGACAACAACAACCGAGGCGTACGTTTGACGGTACCGTGGTGATTGATATGGATGAATACTAACGGGTTTGCAGCGACAATGGAAGGATATCCGACACAAGTTCCTCGAGGGCGGCGATGAGGATGAGGAATAAAGATACCGATCGACATGGAACGTGATTATCGAGCAACGGGCGAGGCGAGGGATTGATTCTGTGCCACTAGCCGTGTACAAATTAGAAGAGAATTAGAGGCAGGATTTCACACACATCGTTTCCCTATGTCATCCTGGTCGTCAACTGTTGGAGCCGGCAATAGCCAATACCTGCGGTTCATTCGCATTATGCAATTTGTAAGAACACTGGCCGTGAACCGTTTGTCTGACTCAGTCGCCTCCATCGTCCAGTGCTCCCAGGTGGCAATCGTCACCGAATTTACTTGTTCTGCGTGTTAATCAAATGCTCCGATTTGATGAGAGCCACCAATATTCGGCCATTCACTGGTGCAGTCACCGAGGGGCAGCACCTGCCAGTCCACATCACCTCCAGTCAGATTCACAGCCTCAGGATACAAGAAGGCGGATAGCTTCCTTTATCCCAAATCGAACTCTAGTCCACTCAAACAAGGACTTGACAGTCACATAATCTGACTCTACCAACCGCAATTTCCAAAATTCATTCTTGAAAAATTTCTCCTCTATAAACTAATTCGGCAACCGTAGGCATCTGGATAAGCCATTTTCTTGTGCATGCTCAGTCGCTGACGTTGTTCCACCAGCCTTTCTCCAATATTTGCGGACCCCCACCTTGGTATTGCCTACCTATCAACCTGACGACATCGCCGACACCGCAAACAAATTGCTTTGCATTTCTTTTCCTTTTACACAAAAAAATCCATGCGACGATGAGGCTGGCTTGACCATGTCCCCTTCCATGTCTACACAGGAGCAGCAGCTCTGCCAGTTCTTGGCGGAGCTGCCCGCACGCTTCAACTACCGCTTCACCGAAGAAGCTTCGCGCGAACTACTTACCAGCCTCTTCTGGTCTCTTGCTGGCGGCAACAATGAATACATGCGATTACTGTTCCCCGATGGTAAACCCGGAGAAAGCCTCAAGTTAAGCGACTCACAAGGTGCAGTCGAAGGGGCCGAGTACACCGAGGCAGCGCGGGGGAAGCGATGTGGGCATATCTTCAAACCTGGTGAAGCATCATATATGTGTCGTACCTGCGGCACCGACGAAACTTGTTGCCTATGTGCCCGGTGTTTCGACTCAACCGACCATACGGGACACATGGTTCGAATCCACATATCTGTAGGAAATAGCGGTTGCTGCGACTGTGGAGACGACGAAGCATGGCGAACACCTCTGTTCTGTACAATCCATTCCAACGTGCAGGGAGGTGCCGATAAGGGCAAAGGAAAGGAGGCAGCCGGTCTGCCTGAGGATCTTGTGACGAACCTACAGATGACTATTGGCCGTGTTTTCGACTATATCTGCGACGTGATCTCATGCTCCCCAGAGCAGCTTCGACAAACCAAGACGGAAGATTCGATTCTCGAAGATGAAAAGTCTTCACGCCTATCCTCGAAATATTACGGCCCTGAAGCTGAACAATGCAACGAATTCGCTCTTATCCTGTGGAATGACGAGAAGCATACCGTTCAGGAGGTACAAGACCAGGTCGCTCGTGCTTGTAGGAAGAGCCGGAAGCTAGCAGTCGAGAATGCCTGGGAGACGGATGCTATTGGACGTAGTATTCTTACATATCTGCCCGATGTTCCTCGACTCTTGGAAATGGCTGGTGTGATGGAAGCCATCAGAGTTACGGTCACCATCCGGTCTGCAAGAGATACATTCCGCGAGCAAATGTGCGGTGCCCTTGTGGAGTGGTTGAGTGATATTTCCGGTTGTTCCGTTGGCCATGACAACAATATTCTTCGGCGTATCGTTTGCGAGGAGGTCATGAACCCTTGGCGGCAGGGTAGCCAGGCAACTCATACACTAGGCTTGATCGACGACGAGGAGGAGGACGACCAGATCGTCGACAGCAGACGTCGCTTCGACGGCATGAATGCCAGGTTCATCCTAGCTTTGCAAGCTGCTGCAGGAGCCGGCGCTGGTGTTCAGATAGAAATTGACGACGACGATGACGACGATGACGATGAAGATGATGTCGATGCCGACATGGACGACCAAGGCCAACACTCTCCTTCTAGCTCGGTGGCAGGAGGAGACGAAGGCGAGGACGACGATGTGATGATGGTAGATGCCCGCGGAGACGTTGGGGATGTTGGAGATGTTGGTGACCTTGGGATGAACTGGAGAGACAACGATCAAGCTTTGGAAGAAGACGAGGCAACAATGGCCGGGTATCCACCTCCACCACCGCCCCCTCCTGCTCAAGCTCAATCTCAAGGTCAAGCCCAACCTGAAGCCCCAGCTAGAGCCAGGGACAGAGAAGCAACACCTTCAGACTCGGACACGGCAGAACCCCTGATCGCGCCATCGATCTATGCCAAGGCAAATGCAGATATCCCCAAAACCCCCGGCAAGACTGAGAAACTGGTTCCTAGACCTGGGCGTTATTGGATCGAGACGCCTGCTGTCTACACACAACGGGAGAATGTACCACCGGCCGAGGATGTCTTCCGCCGTGTCCGCCTGGACTGGCTTTTGCTATTCGATCTCCGTATGTGGAAGAAGGTCAGAAATGACCTTCGTGCACTGTATATTTCCACAGTCGTGACGATTCCAGAGTTCAAGCGTGTACTTGCTCTTCGGTTTGCTAGTCTCTACACCATTCTAGCCCAGCTCTACTTGGTAGGAGACCGAGAGCCAGATCACTCCATCATCAACCTTTCCCTCCAGATGCTCACCACTCCGTCAATTACTGCAGAAGTTGTCGAACGTGGCAATTTTATGACCAGCTTATTGGCTATTCTTTACACCTTCTTGACAACCCGCCAGGTTGGTCACCCTTGGGACGTTTCCCCCGATGCAGTTCTCGGCTTTGAGAGCGGATCAGTCACCAACAGGCGCATGTACCACTTCTACCAAGACCTCAAGTATCTATTTGGTGCTCCCCATGTTCAGGAGCGTGTTAGATGTGAACCTCGCTACCTCATGCAGTTCCTCGACCTTGTCAAGCTTCATCAATGTATAGGACCCAACGTGAGAGCCGTGGTCGAGCACGTGGAATACGAAGCCGATTCCTGGATTACTGCATCTCTGGTAACCAGGCAGATCAACCTTCAAGCCCGAAACCTTGCCGAGGCGTTCCGCAACTGCCCGCCCGATGAGTTCCATTACCTTCAAAATGCGATTCGCTTCACGGCTAAAACGGTCATCTTGAACTCAATCGGTGCCGAACGCCATCGATTTAAGCAAAGTGAAATCAAAGACGAGGTTCAGTTCAAGACTTTGACCGACTTTGAATTCGATGGTGAATCCTCGTCTTATGATGTGGTCAAGTTCGTTGTTGAGAAAGACGCTATCAGCTTCCACCATGCGTTACACTATACCTTGTCATGGCTCATCGAATGTGGACGGTCGCTCCCTGTGTCCACCATGCGAAACTTGCTTAGCTTTACTCAGCAAGAGCTCAAGTCGAAGCCGAGACTAATGGGTAGGCCTCAAGTGCCACGTAAAAACTATACCGCAGAGGACTACCTCATTGCGTCACTTGACTTCCCTCTCCGTGTTTGCGCCTGGCTTGCCCAGATCAAAGCCAACATGTGGGTTCGCAACGGAATTAGCCTGCGACATCAAGCCAGTACCTACCGGGGTGTTGGGCAGCGGGATGTGTCTCATCACCGTGATATCTTTCTTCTCCAAACCGCTTTGGTGGTCTGCAACCCTAGCCGAGTGTTGGCTTCGATCGTTGACCGCTTCGGAATGGAGAGCTGGGTCAAAGGCTTGTTTGAACTCAAGTCAGAAGCCCAAGATGATGCTCAACACCTTGATGTTGTTGAAGACATGATTCATCTCCTCATCGTTCTACTCAGCGATCGTACCTCGTTGATCTCCTCGGAAGATGAGGCAATGTCCAGGCTGTTGGCCATGCGTCGTGATATCACCCACGTGCTGTGTTTCAAGCCCCTATCTTTCAACGAGATCTGCAACAAATTACCTGAGAAATACCAAGAGCAAGAAGACTTCCACCGGGTGTTGGATGACATGGCGACTTTCAAACCACCTGAGGGTGTTTCTGACGTTGGTACTTTTGAACTTCGACCAGAGTTCATTGAGGATATTGACCCTTACATTGCACACTATAACAAAAACCAACGTGAGGAATCCGAGCTGGCATACAGGAAGAAGATGGCGAAGCGAACAGGAAAGACCGTGGAGGAAATTGTGTACGAGCCCAAGGCTCGACAAGTTCCCTCGGGCATGTTCGAAGAACTAGGTGCTTTCACTAGTACCGGCATGTTTTCTCAGGTTATCTACTACTCACTCCTTTATCCTTTAGTGGCGGGCAAGTTTACTCCCTCGGTTCCATTCACACGACTGGAGACATTCCTTCAAGTTGTGCTCCATCTCATGCTCATCGCTATCCTCGAGGATAAATCGAGTGACGACGATATGAGCGAAGAGTCCACAAAGTCGTTTGTGTACATTGCACTTACAAAATTCGGCCGCAGTAACTTCATGCCCGAAGCTCACAGTTCAAGGACAATTGTGTCCTTGTTGAACATGATGTCGACTAAGGACGAGTTCAAGGCAGTTCATCCTAAGATTGCGCTTGTTCTCAAGCGTTTGCGCCAGAAACGCCCGCGTACCTTTGAGACCGCGTACGTGAACTTGGGAGCTTCTGTAGACCGCATCAACACCGCTTCACCGGCGAATACATCAGTCGAGGAAGAACGCGAGAGAAGAAAGAAGGCGGCTCTGAGCCGTCAAGCCAGGGTTATGGCACAATTCCAGCAACAGCAAAAGAGCTTCATGGAAAACCAGGCTTCTTTCGACTGGGGTAGTGATGTCGATGAAGATGTCGACGAGGAAGGCGACGAAGAGCAAACGGAGGATAAGAAACACAACTGGAAGTATCCTGTGGGAACATGTATCCTTTGCCAGGAAGAGCCGGATGATCGACACCTCTACGGGACGTTCGCCCATTTTAACGAAAGCCGGATCCTCCGACAGACGGATTTCCAAGATCCCGACTTCGTTCGCGAAGCATCGCAAACCCCTTGCAGTCTTGATCGATCGGCTGAGGATGTTCGACCCTTCGGTATTGCTCATGAAAACCGTAAGATGGTGGAGAAGATCAACGCTCAGGGCGAGACCTTCCTCGCGGAGAGACAGACCATAGGAAAAGGATTCCCTTCCAATGTATGTCGGTCGGGTCCTGTAGCAAGCGGTTGCGGGCACATGATGCATTACCGCTGCTTCGAGGTTTATTACGACGCGACTGTACGCCGCCATACACACCAGATTGCCAGGCACCATCCTGAGGATACTCGACGCAACGAGTTCGTCTGTCCTCTGTGCAAGGCTCTAGGTAACGCATTTGTTCCTATCGTCTGGAAGGGGATAGATGAGTCATATCCAGGCTACCTGCAGTCTCAGGGTACCTTTGATGATTTTGTCGAGAAACAGATGGGCTCTGCTTACTGGATAGGTGGAAGTAAGGCACGCGAGGATGAACCTGCTGTGCCTGACATGTTCACCCCAAGCCTCCCAGGAAGTCTCGTTGAGTCTCTTCTTCCAGCGCAAACTTCCAGCGACAGTACGTGGGGAAGAGAAGACGCCGAGTCGCACTCGTCAGCCGTTGGTACACCCGTGAGTTACGCATTCTCTGACTCGGTTACCCCTGAGCCGGTTCAGCCACCACCAGCCACCACAAACACAGACAGTAGCCAGTTGATGAAAGAGCTATTAGCAGCCTACCGCCGATTGCGCAACACACTTCGGGTTAATGGCCTACGTACCAGTCACCTCATTGACGCTAAGGGTGACAACGTTGGTGATCTATGCGCCAGTGACACGCTGGTCAAGTCGGTGGGCTTTACTATCTCTTCCGTAGAAGTCCAGCAGAGAGGTATTGAAGCTCAGCCAGGCATGACGCTTCTGGAGAAGATTCCCGAGCATATCCTGACGCATCTCCGAGTCTTGTCGGAAACTGTTTCGTCGTATATTACTGTTGGGGCGCAATCCGGTGGTGCCGAGAACAAGATCGAAGCCGAGTTCAAGAAGGATAGCGAGAGGCAACACTGTCAGCTATTTATGTCTCGATACTTTGGCACTGGAACCCCTTATGCTCGCCGGCCGTTGGACGTCTACCCTCCACTGCTGAGCATGGACTCGTTCCTGTTCCTGGTAGAATGCTCATACGGGTTGGTTCCACTTCAGAAAGCCGAGATTTCTCACGTGCTCCGATTGTGTTACCTGGCAGAGCTTGTCAAGCTGGTGTATCACATGGGTCGCAATATTCCTGTTGCTAGTTGGGTCGGCAATCTTACCAACCGACAAACGCAAGATCCAGCCATCAACAACTTTGCGGACTTTGCTCTCGGCGTTACCAAGACAGGTCTCGAGTACCATGCTGCCCAATTTCCTGAGGGTGTTGAGTTTGGCGAGAACTGTGGCTTTCAGCAGCCTGGGGTGGACACTCTGGAGAGCTGGTACACGTTCTCCAAGAAATACGCTCTCACTTTCCTACGGAAATGTGTTATCTTTCTTTATGTCAAGTACGGGGTAGACTTCAACAGTCATGTTTCGCCAACGCCAGATGCTGATGAGCTGGAGCGTCTTACCGAAGCACTGCGGCTACCAACGTTTGATGAAATGTGTGCTGCCATTACTGATAATGCGTCTGCATGTGGCTGGCCTCAGACGACTGCCTCACTGGTCTCCGGCTGGGTCAAGCATCAGGTGATGTGGCCGGGCGATTACAGCGATATCCCTCTCTCGGCCATGATGAGCCACCCAGGAATCTTTGAGCTGATAGGGCTACCCAAGAACTACGATGCCCTCATAGAGGAAGCCACCAGGCGGAAATGTCCGACCACTGGCAAAGAGCTTACAGATCCTGTCATTTGCCTCTTCTGCGGAGAGCTGTCATGCAGCCAGGGTACATGCTGCCAGAAGACAGACAACTCTTCGGATCGTACAGAGTACACCAAGATAGGTGGTGCACAGCAACACATGCGCAAGTAAGTAACATTGATAAGAAGCTGGGATGTCAGGGATGCTAATAGGACGTAGGTGCCAACGTAATATTGGAGTTTTCCTCAACGTGCGCAAGTGTTCAGTCGTGTACCTCTTCCGACTTTCAGGATCTTTCACACCTGCACCATACATCGATAAATACGGCGAGACTGATCCTCAGCTGCGTCACGGGCGACAGCTCTTCCTGAACCAGAAACGATATGATTCTATGATACGAAGCACAGTGCTCAACCACGGGGTTCCAAGCTTGATTAGCCGCAAGCTGGAGGCGGAGATTAACAATGGTGGGTGGGATACTTTGTAGTAAACGCAAGGGGTTATTGGCATAAAGAAAGTTGATGTTATATTATGAATTAGGACTAGTGACGGTGTAGAGAGAGGTTCATAGATTAACGTTTAAGAGGTGGTGTACGAGGAAGTCAGTTTTGTTTTTGTCCTGGGCTCCTCAGGTAGTTTTAGCATCAAAGACAGGAAGGAATGCTTTCAGCATATACAGAGCTTGTGAGTGAGTGTTACTTGGTGATGTAGAATGAGTACAAAAGCTAGTCATTCCTGAAGCCAATCTACTAACTGATACTCCATTGATTGTTGTTTGCGTGCTTAGCATCACTTAATCGAACCTTTATATATGATACTAGAAAGCAACCTTGTTCAATTAGAAATCAGAAAGAATATCATACCTAGTGACCTGCTTTCTTTATTACACTGGTTACCTTGTCCGTTGCACGAGATAGCCTCACAGTAGACCCGTACAGTGTTTGCATAAACTCCCACTGTAACAAGGCTGGGGCTTCGGCCAATCACATCATTCATTCACATGCTTGTGATAGCGCGTCTGAGCCCGTGGTAGACCGTGGCTCAACTGCACGCAAGCCTCTTTTGGAGTCAATAAGGCTGAACTGAGCTTGAGCTGAGCAACTGACTGACTGACAAGGAGAACAGCAGCGCAGTAGCAACGGTCTTTCCTTTTTATTCCTCTTCTTCTTCTGTAAAACCCCCTCCTCTTGTCTCGTCTATCACGTTTCCCCCCTCCTCATCCACCCCCTTTTTTTGTTTTGTTGTTGTTGCTATTATCTATTCTAATTCCTTTTATTTTTGCTCTGTGACACTTGGTAACTGAAACTACCTCTCTCGCTCGCAATTTCCATCGGGTGGACGCCTCCACTTGCTCTGGCAAGAGAAACAGAGCAAGCACCACCCTCATTAAAAAATGGCAGGTAGACGTTCAGGTCGCGCTGCCGCCAAGCGGGCTGCGGCTGCTCTAGGTGAGTGAGTTCGAACTCTCGTCACGTCACATCCAATCTTTCAACAACCACCCAAAATTCACAACACATCTTTTTCACAACCAGCACCGGAACCACTTCCAGACTTGTCGTTTTGTTCATTTATTTATTTATTTATTTATTTGTTTCCTTTCTTTTCCTTTTCTACTGGCGCATTGCATGGTTTCATTCCATCTTTTGCACCCTTCACTTTTCTGCGTCGTGCTGCGCAATCGCGCATAAACAAAATCGCAAACCCTTCCCTCACCATGGCGCCCCGAGGAAAGATCCGCCTGAGGCTGACGCGAAGTGCCAAATCAGAAAGCACACCAAAATCCTTTGCCGACCTCGAAGACGAGCACATGCCTGATGCCGAATCCAGTGCGCAAGATTCGAAGCGACAACAGGTCCCAGACCCCGACGATGAGAAGGACGAGGATCATCAGCCAAAAGAGGAGTCAGGCGACGAAGACGATGCTGCCGACGCTATTGACAAGGACGATGAGTCTGTTAAAGAACCGACGCCACCTCCCCAGCCCATGGTTCGCAGAAAGAGACTTGGTCGGCCACCCAAGAACCGACCTCCGGACTGGGACAACATGATTTCAGTTCCTGCCGATGAGGCCAACACACCGCGACGCCGTGGCAGAGGCGGCTGGCGAGGGAGAGGCGGGCGCAAGGGCGGTCCTGCTGCGCCAAAGGCTGAACAGATCATCGACACTGAGGGAACCGTTGCCGAAATCGTGGACGACGAGTGTGTGCTGCCCGAAGATCCAGAGGGCGAGACAAAGGTCGACAAGCTGGGTAACCTTCAGGGCGGACGCGATTATAGATGTCGAACATTCACTGTCACGGGTCGCGGTGACAGACTCTACATGCTTTCGACGGAGCCAGCACGATGTGTCGGTTTCAGAGACAGTTACCTTTTCTTCACCAAGCACCGCAAACTCTACAAGATTATTGTGGATGATGACGAGAAGCGGGACATGATCGAGCGGGAAATCATCCCTCACTCATACAAGGGACGCTCGATTGGAATCGTAACCGCGCGATCAGTCTTTCGCGAATTCGGTGCGCGCATCGTTGTCGGTGGAAAGTGCATCATAGACGACTACAACGTTGCCCAGGCTCGTGCCGACGGTGTCGTCGAGGGTCAACTTGCGGACCCAAACGATCACTTTATTGCGGGCGAGCCGTACAACAAGAACCAGTACGTTGCATGGCACGGAGCCAGTGCCGTGTACCACACCAACGTACCATCAGTGCCGATTCCTAACGGCAAGATCGAGTCCAAGAAACGCAAAGTCAATGTCAACGACATGAACTGGATGCTGGAGCACGCTCGTGAGGCTAGGTATGTGCATTTCCTCGGAGTCCTTTTACAAACATCAGAACATATCACGATACTAACTGCAGACCCCACAGCACGTTCAATGCCAGCATCAATGCCATCAGAAAGATCAACAATGCCGGCGTGTACGACATTCACACCAACGTGAAGCAGTATCCAGCGACAATGCAGCCGACGCGAGCACGCATTGAGCAGATCGCCCCAGAGGACGAAGAAGCCACCGGAGACAGCACCGTGTCCCTCCCCGTCCCAGCTAAGATGGCGCGCAACTTCTTTGTTACCGACACATACTTTGAAACATCATCGGCGGGTATCATCTCGGCATCCGCAGTGGACGATACGGCTGGCTCAGCAGATTTTCTTGCCTCCTTTCAAGGGTTAAGTACTGTGTCTGATGATATCAAGGACCTTCTGCCCCCAGAGTGTCGTGAGGCGTTTGACAACGCTGTTGTAAAGGAAACATCGTATCGATCCCAATGGGGTCCTGAAAGTGAAAAGATGTCCCGCCGGCAGCCTGTTATCGATAAGGCGATTGTGCCTTACAGTATGACAGGGTGAGGATATGAACAGATAACGACAATTCTGTCGTCTCCGCGTTTATACACCAGTCGTGTGGTCATCAGTACGATGCTATAGGAGTCGACCAGGGCATTCTTTTACGTGTTGAAGGAGAGGGAAGGGGTTTGATGCGTGCTATAGCGAGCACCGGGCAAACTTGAAGAGGGGAAAGAAATATGGGCGTTGGGTGTCAGGGACAAACACTCGGTATGTTTTGGGGGCTGCATAATCATGGATCAGTCTAGCCTTGAGAGTTAATGTGAGATGTTAAAGGGAAAGCTTCCTCAAATGGCACGATAGGGCCGAACTCATTTGTAGGGACACCATCGTAGCTTATCTTAACTTGACTTTAACTAACTTGACTAACGACTTGGACGGTCAAACATCTCTGTGATATTGTGAAGTGGAACCCTTTTGTTGTCGTTCGGAATTAGTTACTTGTGACACGGCGCTGTATGGTGTCGCTAATACGATGACAAAATACTTCACTCTTACGACCCTCAACCTAGAAAGTCCCCTCTTGTTCGAGCACAATGGCCAAACTGCCGGTCTCGGCCTCTTTTTCCTGCAGGTCATGCTTCTTGGCACCCGAGCAGCGGGGTCTAATGAGCAAGAGGCTTTTTTTCTTCCCCGTCGTCTTCTTCAACTTTTTTTCTTTGCTTTTTTCCCCCTCGTTTTCCTTCAAACCCCTGTTTTGCATATTCAAGCCTAGCCTCTTCCTTTTTTCTCTTCTGCTTTGCATAGCTCGTGATAGGGTGCGATCTTTTGATTCACCAACTTAGCTAGGAAGTGGATATCCATCACATCACTGAGCATGTCGTCGTTGTCCTGTAAAGAGGACCCTACACACGGGTCAATGGACAGACAATTGCATGCTAGGGTTGATGGAACAGAGTCTTGGTCAGTGAGTGGCGAACTAAACAAGCAGAAGCAGAGACAGGCTATGACAGATTCAAAATCAAGCGAAAATAAAAGATCAGGGTCTCGATCGCCGCTAACTAACTTGAGTTGGCGAGCACTTGTGACGCAGGTTCTGTCTTGAGCCGTGTTGACGGCTAAACAATTGATTCCATCCGTGCCGATCAAGACACATTCTCAGCCATGCCAGAATGTTGGTGTCAGCATTAGAATCAAATCAATGGAGGAACCAGCCCACTTATGACGACAGTTTGAGATAGAGTGCAGTTGCAACACTCTTGACATCCTTTGCTTGTCTGTATTGTCATGATGCACCCGTCTGGTGACTGACGTAGGTATTCAAGCCTTATTGTTGCCCACCATCCCTATGTGGTGCCATCATAGTACCATTTATCCTGTCTGCAATACTTGCTGTCTATAAAATGCTGTAGGGCAAAGGCAACGACGAGTATCTCTTGCAGGGGAAGAGAAGGTAGTGACATCTACAGTCGCATTCTCGAAATAGTCACGGCGTACAGGACGACGATCATAACGGATTCCGACTCCGGGGAATGGGACTGGCCATGCCGGTTCAAAGCGGTGGTGTCGAGATTTTCAATGTACTATGTACTGCGTAGTGAACATCAATCTCGCGTTGTACCTAGGCCGATGAAGTCAAACGAGGCATCTTCCAGTTGTAAGTGTCAGTTTGAGTATAGGGTAGCCCCTGTGACAAATGTGACGAGCCGCGCTGTTGGTATCGGGCTAGTCAACAGCCAGGCACATTAATAACTTAACTTCAAAGCACCTGACCTTCAAGAGATGTTTCATTAACATGCAGTTAGTTCACACCGCTCTACCGAGAGCAATGAAAAGGATATAGCGGTTGTCAGATCACTGCGTTGACAGCCTCGTCGATGCAGTTCTTGCTTGATGATCAGAACTGAGGCCAGCAGATATCGACGTACACGGCCCCCCTACATACCAAATGGCAGTCTCTGTATATGTACTCCGTACTCCATATCAGTTGGAAAATATCAAAGTGGCCCAGGAGTTAACACTTATGCATGTCCAGACAATATCCACTTAGTCGCTTATTCAAATTGGACGCCAAATTCAAGATGCACCTGAATACATGATCCATGCTCTTAATCCGAGAGAACTGCACGCTGCACAACACTGCCCAATGCTCAAAGAGCAGAGCGCTTAGAGAATGAGGGGTCGACCCCATCATGACCGACCCATCAGACAAGTCATGTTTAGGGCATATCGAGTCGTGCATGCGGCAAAGGAACAGCAGCAACCGTCACGCGAGTGAGAAGGCGTTTATTGCGGCGGTCAAACTGATCAAGCCCATCAAGGCGCCAAATGGCCACCCAACCCACTGTCAGCGACAGGTCCATGCCCTAGAGGCAAGAGACTAGCAATGTAAAGAGAGTAAGCCGCCAACGTTGAAACGAATCGGAAAGCCAGTGATCGATATTGCCCGTCGGGGTTGGTAGCATCGTGCTGCAACTTTGAGGTGCAGCATCACTCTGCTTGAATGTTTCTGCAACATGCTGTTCAAGTAGCTATTCCTCGCAGTCGTCCCGTGGCACTGTGTAAAATCGCACACGTTTGCTATTGAACCGTCCGTACCACGCGGATATACGCAGTGAACTTGATGGGCTTTCAACTGATAGTACAAGGACCCTGAGAAACCTAGATTGTCCGAACCATCAGAAATGTCATACCACATTAGTACTAGGGCACTGGTCGTTTTTAGGTGGGCTTGCAGGGGCCGTCCCCATCACGATTAGCTTCATGCTCGAGGTGGCTAGGCACGTTGATCAACGCGGCTGTAGTGGTTGGTCCTTGCTCACCATGTCTCGTTCCACGCAACCGACTGTATGATTCGAGGTTGAACTTCCATACTCCGTACAGATGTCGAGGTTGGTAATTGATGCAGCGAGGAAGAGCCGGAAGGCCCTTAAATGCTATCGATGCTAGACAAAGACTTCGGATATCTTGTTGGTGCTTGACTTTCAAAGTCTCACGATAATCTCAAGGGCAAAAACACAGTCGGGAAAGACCGTACATAAGATGAAGGGTCGCCAAATTTAGTGGTTAATTATTAGTGACTGGGTCATAGCAGCCGACTAAGTGACGCTCGGTTATTGGGCAAGACCCTAGACGACCCGTCGACCTCGTCCCGCGCTTGTCGATACAGCATGGCATGTCTGGACGAGAATCTGGACTCTCCTTAGACATGGAGTTCAGTTCAAGATGGGCCATAATAACTGACCGGCCTCATTCAGATAAGAAACTGTTAATTAGATACGGTCGTGCCAAGAGCAGATGTGTCCAAGTGAAGGGCATATGTTCCGTTCCAAAATAGAAGTCTGTTGCGAGAGGAAAGGTACTAGACAGGCACAATAATACAGTACAGTTGCAGGCCGTGACGGAGATACGACTCCAATAGGCCAAGCGCAATGATCTATCGACCCATATTCACGATGGAGGTTTGCTTGCTATGAAACCAGAAATGCAGAAAATTGCATTTCAGAAAGCCAGGAAGAGACCGTCCATGTTGGCTGCATGTTTCGTCTCATCAACCCAAGGTTCAAGCCACTGCGGTGCTCACATGGCAACCTTGGCCTACCTGGTCAGCACGGTTGGAAATGACTGACCAGCTACAGTAATTTCCTGGGGGAACAGCGCTACGAACTGGCTCGCCTGCGTTGCAGCGTTCCTGCCCTGGCTGGTGGATCCAAATCTCCCAGAACAGGGCTTGGGGTGCTTAACTCGTGGCATTGGTTGAAGACAACAGCGGTGAACAGCTTGGTGGTGTTACGTATGTCTCTATCACCGATGCACCCACTCTAGTGCAGACGTCGAACAAATCGATGAGGTGCTGCTGTGTTGGAGGGGTTTATGAGACTGGCCTAGATGCCTGCACCACACTCGATTTACACAGCATCGATGGTGGACCTGAGGCATTTCTCTCCGCATTCCTGGGTCAAGAAACCCATTTGGTCCAAAGCTCGATGGTCGTGCATATTCTGGTGAGCTATCATGGAGACGTGAAGAGCGGCTGGTAAGTGCAGGTCAAAAGAGATTATATACCAAGAGGCAAATTTGTAGCTGAACCTGCCGTTCTACCACATTCCGTCAAGTACTTCTTTGCCTCCTGGAGCAAATTGCTCATTGACAATTGCGATGCTCTCAGATGCGTCCATATATCAAACGCTGTTAGAGCAGAAAAGAAGCAAAATTGAACCAAGGCTCAAGTTCTCTTTGAGCACGGCCAATGTTGCATGCTGCACTATCAAGAAGCCTTTCCGTAACGGCTTAGGCCTTTTACTCGAAAGGCTGATGGGCAACAGATCGAGGAACGCTGGCCCACTTTGCAGAGCAGGCGTGACTTGGGACTGGTGCCAGCTAACTTAGTGTCTTGCATGTTTGGTAGTCGCCTCGAGAACGGACGGTGAGTTCTTCTGATCGACAACGAAGAGAATCCCTGCAAGTCGCGGTATTTTCGTACCTGGAGCTCCAAGAGAATTGAAGGGTTTCTGGAAGCACACCTCAACGGGAAGAGTGGACCACCATCGACTTGCTGTGTTGTGTTCCTTGGGCTGGAAGACCTGATGAGGTGACCAACCAAATGATGCCAAAGGATTACGACAAGGAGTGGCCGAGGCACCGAGACCTGCCTGACGTTTCATGCTCTGAGGTTTTGTTTTGATGTTATTGTTGTTAACGCTGAAGGATGGATATGCTGTAGAATTACACACATGATCTCACTTCTTGTCGTTTGATTTGAGTAAAAAGACACGGCCCGTAAGGGTCTCGCAGTGAGCTACTGATGTGTGAAATGCGACCATTACTGCATGTATCGCCTGAGTACGTGCAAAGACAGAGAACTCTAAATGGGGTGTTGATCGGCGCCAGAGAAAATAGATGAAGCTGGCGATGACGACGGAGACTTTCTCGCGCAAACAAAACACAGCAAAGAAAAAACACGTCGTGTCAAAAAACTCTGGATCTGGACGAATGAGGGAAGGCATATGCATGATCAGTCAGTGGCCACGCAGAAATTTTCTGGCGCTTCTTTCTCTCAAGCGCTCCTAAGCCCTTGGCTCCTTCCTCCCCTGCACCGACGGTTTAAGCCACGAGCATGAGCGAGTAGGAACAAGTTACTCTCTCTGTGCAAGAGTACAGCACATGAGAGTGAAAAAGGACAAGGCTGGTTATAGCGGCTTCCTAGGCTAGTGACGTCTCCAACCACCCCAAGCGTGGGAAATGCGAACTATGGAACCTAATACCTACTGTACTTCACTTGCTACCCCTAACTTCTATCCTTACTGAGTAAGTTGGTGTGTAATAATGTGTTGCAAAATGCGGCATCCACGATTGGCTCGGCATAGTTGTTCAGCAGTTTCGATGCACAAACGTGCATAAAACGGCCCGTCAAGATCCCGTTGTCTTTGGCGAAATAACCAGAGAATCAGGAGGCTAGGAAGAACTCTCCTGGGCTGGGATTGTTGTTGACGAATGGATGATGTGGAAAACAGCTGGCAAGATTTAAACCGAGAAAATAAACGGGTCAGTTTGCGGGCATCCCAACAGCTATCATTAGATCTTGCTGGACTTTTCGTGTTCACGAGTTTCTATGCTGGCTGGCTGGCTGATGTCAAGGTCCAAGAAGAAAGACCCCGTCGCCGTTGAGCCGTCGCAGCGATTGTGGAGGACTTCGCCTCTCTCCGAGAACTGGCCCCCGATGGCTCGGATCAGGTGAGGGTTTGCTTACAGTGTGCGAGCCGCCATGGCCAGAAATAGCGTCCACTGCCGCCTCGGGGTCAACGCCAGGCTCGTCAGGGATAGGCCCGTAGTAGGCAGTGTGTGTGAGTGTGAGTGTGAGTCCTTGGATCCTATGACTTTCCGGCATGTACTGTACCTGAGCCGTACCTACCGGTATGCATTAATTATGATACTCGGAAGAGTGAGAGGAAGCTCCTGGTTAGGATCAGGTAATTACTCTCTGTCTCGCCATCATGCAGCGACTATACCATCCCCATTAGGACACCCAGATCCTTAAGTTGGTCTTCACATTCTCTCCATCGAGCCCTCGTCGATGATACCCTGGATCAGCCACCGAGCTGACATTGGTTGGCAAGGCTCTGTGGGGATCGTTGGACTGAAGCAGCGCTAGGCCAGCGAAGTTCAAGGAAGCGTGGAGCCACTGAGACGGATGGCTAAGATGGGTACGTACTTGTTATGAGTGTCAGACTGTCAGTGAACCCTTCTTGCACCGAAGACTCCGTCCGAGCTGTGGGCTCAATAAAGAATAAGGACGTTGCATTCTTCTTTTGATTGTCGTGCCTGATGACTTTGGGTGCCTTGAGTGCTAGAAAGCATAAAGTGCTATCACTTTGTTGCGTTGTAGTTAGACCGCATAAACGCTTCTGGCTGGCACAGAGTAACTCCCAAAGACAGACAAATTTTGGATGACTTGGAGACTGGATGACTCAATCACTGGTGAGTGAATGAATATGACTGTCTCGATGAAGGCGGGTAAGACGATGCCCAGGCCAAGTACTCCGTACTCTCCGTCCACAGAAAGAAAGACGCAGCACTCCAATCTCCATCCAGCACGCGGCTACGTTTAGCAGGCAAGGCAAAGCAGGTTGACGCACGACCACGGTGGAAGTGGTGGTGATGACCTAGGGCTACCTGGAAGGATGCGAGTTTGCTTGGTCAGATTTCTGATTGAAGTTCCACTGATGGTTCTGCTGGGTTTCTTAGGCATCCCGCCCACGTCCATGTCCTTGTCCCGCTCATCCCTGCCATCTCAGAAGAGCGCCACCTTGGTCTCCTTTGACTGGGCTCCCTTGAACATCCAACCGTCATTCGCTCCGGCTGTCAACCCAAAGGAAGTTGAGACTTTTGCCGACATGTACTCTTTAGCGTTTATCCGCTGAGAGGTACTTGGACGAGTCGTGGTCTGCAGTCCACTAACACTTTGAAGCGAGTTGGCTCGCCCTGGCTAGGGTTTCTCGGTCTTCCCCATGGATTGGCCATTCAAGATTCGACTTGACAAGTTCTCACTCGTCAGCGAGTCGTTTTAAGTCCACTTTTACTTTCTCAATGCTCCACGTCCGCCGCCATCACTCGTGGGCTCCGTGCGTGGTGAGGTGCATCGCCCGAGGCTTGCTAGGGGGTGGAGGTGCTAAACAGCCCAGGGCCCATGCACCCACCAATTTTAGAGCCCACACAGTCGTCTCTCGTTGGCCTGTCTTTTTTTTGCCTGTCTGCCTGTCTGTCTCTTCACCAAGGAAAAAAAAACTGGCTGGGTTGGTACTGGGGGACCTGGGCAACCTGGAACTGTCGGGCATTGCTACACTGTACGTTTACGCAGGGCTTGGCTACTACGTACCGCAGCCGTTACTGCTACGACATTTTCTGGTGCCAGGCCAAAGAAAATTGGCGTACTCGTACTCTTGAGTCTGAAGCTTGCACTAAAACTCACACTCACAAATCTCTCACTGCAACGCAACAGTGGAGGAACACCCGACCTGAAGCCGCCACGCCCTCCACACCTACTAACTTCACACTGCCTGCACACTGCACGCTCACACTCACACTCACACTCTCTGCACGCACGCACGCACGCACTCCCATCAGTGGCCTGCGCTGTTAGAACTGCACCCGCACTGCATCATCCCCCATCCCCATTTCCATCCCCATCTCCCCATCCAACCCAATTGGATCAACCCACCTCGTTCATTCTTCTCCTGTCCCTGTCCGGGCTTCTCTCTTCTTTCATCCTCTTCCACCTCCCTCACCATCTTTCTTTTTCCCTTTCCTCATCCTCATCTCATCTCTTCCTCTCTCTCCCTCCACGATAGAAACCGAATCCTCCGATTTCCTTGACAATCATCAGTCAGCACGCCTTCATTTGGTTTGTCGACGTTAGGGTTCCGGCCTTTTTCTCTCGCGCGAGTCTCTCATTGCCCTGCCCGTGTCTCCTCGGCCCACCGTTGTAGACTAAGCTGCATATTTCCGACCGGTTTTGAACCTCTACCTCGAGTGTTTTTCCATCATCAACTTTCGGATCTGCAGTCTTCAGGCTTCCTCTCTCCCACCGAAAACGTTTCATTGCTCTTCAAACGACTGATTTTTCTCATTTTGGTGAGTGTCTCTTTATTACTATCACATCTGTACATCGACAGATAGTGGTTGTGTTGCCCTGTTCAATCGAAAGACATTATCAAGCCGAAACCTTTTACCTTTCTTCAACATTACGACGTTTCGATCACTTTCTCATTGAATGTCGACTTGAACATACTCGCGAAACGCCGACTATCTCAACAACAATCCCAGTTTTGCGACAGACGATTCTTTCACTTCTTCGATGACTTGCACGGATACGCGAAAGACCGTTCACTAACCTCCTGATTCAGATCGATTGAACCACCGAAACTCCTTGGGTTCCCGACATACCATCCACTTTGTTTTATTATTCCTGTTTACGACAAAAGCAATTCTACGGTCCGGATCGTTGATCACCACCACAACTTGACACGATTCTAATTGATTCGTCTCACCATACGTTTTATCCGTGCTCCATCGCTACCACTCGCGAAAGAAAGTATATCAGTAAATGGCCCAAATCGCCTACTGATTTCTTGTCGATCTATCATCGACCGAGCCTCATTTCACACACGCGATCAATTCCTCGGGACCGTCTTAACTGTAGTATAAACCTACAGTTTCGTTTTACGGCCCTTCAAATCGTTCAATTTCCGACAAAGGTCGCGTTTCGATCTTCGTCGGTCACTCCCCCCAATCTTTCATCATGCCCGGAGGTGTGTGTGCCGTCCTCGACTATGAGGTCGACATGATGTCCGAGTATGTTGCCGAGATGGCCACTCGCGTTGTTACACCTGAGGCTGCTGTAACATCATCCTTCCGCAAGTTTGTGTCTCAGATCCTTACTTCGACACGACTGCCCAGCACCACCATCCTCCTCGGAATGAACTACCTCGCCAAGAGAATCAACACCTTGAAGGGACAGGGTCCCTACAAGGCCTCCGAGGGTCAGGTCTGGCGTTACTTGACCGTCTCTCTGCTTCTGGGAAGCAAGTTTCTCGATGACAACACCTTCCAGAACCGGTCTTGGTCAGAGGTGAGTGGCATTGCTGTCTCTGAGCTCAACTCTCTTGAGTTCGAGTGGGTCGAGTCCATGGGCTGGCGCCTGTATGTCAACCTTGACATGAGCAAGGATTACCAGGCTTGGCTGGAGAACTGGCGCGACTGGCAGGACATGAAGAAGCGACAGGTCGCCCAGGCCAGCCGCGAGAGGCTAGCATCTATTGTTCCCGCCATCGACACCGATATCGCGCGATACTCTGGCCAACGCCAGTCTCCTCACTCGCGCTACCTTCAGGAACAGGTGGCCGAGTACGAGCGTTACCAGACTATGAAGGCCCAGCAGCAGACCTACCGCAACCGCGAATCAGGCTGGGGCCACACTTCCTGGGGTGCTCCTCTTACACCTCCCGATTCTGGATATGGTACTCCAGACTACACCATGTCTGCTACATCAAGCAACGACCGCTACAACGAATGGTTTTCCCAGGCTGCTACTCAGTACAGCACTCGATACCCTCAGCCTCCTGCTCATAGCACCTTCTATCCCAACTCACGCCACAACTCGTACAGCGGACATTACTCCTATCCGCAGAACATGTGGGAGCACAATGTCGCTGAGTGCAGCTGTACCGGCTGTGTGGATCCCATGAAGCAGCAGGTTCCTTATTTCATGCCTCACGGCTACAGCCAACCCGTAATGGGTTAAGACGTTTTCAAAAGTTAAAAAATAATGGCTCTCCAATCGAGAGCGGTTCGGTCTCGGAAAGAAGAAAAAAGTTTTTACAGGGTTTCATTTTATACGGCCACGAAATTTCCTTGCACCCCGAGAACGATAAATTCGCATTCAGATACCCAGGCACGACAAAATTGTTCATCAAATGACGTTTCGGCGGATCATTCTCAGGATTTTCTTACACAGTCACGACTGGATTTCATGACCTGGTTAGCCTTCTCACACTCGCGATGAGACAGCAAGGCGAAAACTTCGAAGTCATGCCCCAATAACGTGGCATTTTCCTTATTGTTTTATTGGTTATAGGCTCTGTAATGGTCATACTTGGCGTTTGGCTTTCTCATTTACACTACACGGATCAGGTTCGATAGACTTGCGATTTTTATGGTTTCCAACAGCTCCTGCGCTTCGGTCCCCATCGGTTCGTCACTTTCACCATCGCCAGCAATACATTTCGAGCATGCACTTGCTTGGACAGGAGCTCGATGCCGACTGGACGCACGATCAAAGATTTCAGTGCAGTACATCCTACTATAGATGGCGCCTCGGCGATGGCATTTTACTGGCACTGCTTTTACAAAACATTCTGTGGTAAACACAGGATGGTACACATTTGGTCACTTCACTTGGACCATCTTCTTCATCCTCTTGATCTTTCGTTAAGGCGCAGATCGACAACGAAATTTGATTCGACAAAAGTACGACGAGTCAGACACTCCTCAGCTATGCGTCATGAATCTTGAGGGCGGTATATATTTCACCTTTTCTTTTCTTTGTCTTGTGATTATAAGTGGCAGATACGGATTTCGACCACAGGAAACGGGTTTATATGATGGGGGTTATGCATTGCTTTCAGCGGGTAAAACACAAGGGATTTGGATTTGATCATTTGATCAATCATAGGGTTTGATATCTTATTCTTGTTTTGTATTCCTCAGTGAGTAGGTTTTGCAACATGACTTTTAGGTCGATGATTGCCTTGCCGTCACTGGGGAAGTCGAGTATTGTACTCTTGACTATTGCCTTTCACAGGTTTCGGTGTTGGACACTTTAGTCATTTGTCAACAACAGGATGTTGTGGCATTTGCCTTCACGTCACGTCGGCTTAATGGATTCATACCGCTGAATTTGTTTTTGCTATTGCATCTTTTTTTCTTCTTCACGAATTAGGACGATTCTCACGGAATATTCGAATAACATTCGAGGGTATGGGCATGATGCAGCCTGCAATCAGAAGCTGCTTTGAATCTTGATAATGTGATTCAATGGCCCCGCTATACCATTCAGTACCTGGAACTGTTTATAGGTAGTTACTTTTTGTGTACCAAGTGCGCAAATAAAGTGTTGGAAGCATCCTTCTCTTGCCATCAGTGGATTGATTCATCTGACTGGGATGAATGTGGTGCCCCCCTCTCAAGGGCTCATGGTCATATGAGCCTAGTCTTATGGATCCTTAAGACATTTTGCTACAGATGAACACACAGCTCTGGGATTTATACTCCCTACAACGCTCTTCCATGTCCGCAATCGATGCTTACGGATGTGGTCTTGCTCTAAAAATACAATAAATTGTTCATCAAATCTTGACACTGAATATATACTTTCTTTGACATTGTGAATTGTGACCTTGAACTCCGTCCATGAGTTTGTGCTGGGTTTCGGCAGATCGTCGGGTTGTCAGAATGGCTACCACGGAGATGCTCAACCTTGAGAAAGACCAACTTTCCTCTCACTACCTATTTGAGCAATTTATGAATCCCGAAATAGCTTGTTGCTTACCTGTCGTTCTCGAACGTTTGAATCTTTCTGCCGTCAAAAACGCATGATCCTAACCATCAAGACGAACCATGTCTGACCGCTTTGTGTCGGCAGGCAAGATTGGCTCATCTGGAGAAATATCTAAGGATCTCAACAGTACAGAGCCAAGCGCTGGCCAGCCCCTGCACAGTTCTTCGAAATCAAAGGAATGGGAGGCTGTTCAGCAGCAGCTAGAAGCAGAGAGGAAGAGACGGGAAGAACAGCGCGTCAAGGCCGCGACAGGAGAAGGCGAAAGGACACTTTATGACGTTCTGCAAGCAAACAAAGGTGAGGGTCCCCTCAGAATTTGATGCGATGGCGCTAATTAAGACGTGGCAGCGGCGAAGCAAGCTGAATTTGAAGAACAGAGCAAGATACGCAATCAGTTCCGCGCATTAGACGATGATGAGATAGAGTTCCTGGATGAGATACGCGCCAACAAGCGCGCAGAAGAGGAACGCGTAAAACGTGAGACAGAGGAAGGTCTTAAAGCGTTTCGAGAGCGACAAAGGGGCGATACTGTTCAAGACGAAGCGACTGATGCCCAAGAAGGAGGCGAGTCGTGGGAAATTGGCCGTAAGAGGAAGCGCAACAAAGAAAAAGATGGCAAAGGCTTCAGACGCAAAGTGGGCAGCGTGGAGGAGACTGACAAAAAGGATGGAAAGCCAGTTGAGGATATAAGTCAAAAAGTAGAAGAGGATAAGCCTCAGGTCGCAACTCAACCAGCTGCTAAACCACCTGAGAAGAAGGGGTTGGCGTTGGTTGGCTATGGAAGCGACTCGGACGACGACGATTGAGGGGATCAGGGGATAATATTAAACGTCAAGATCATGTAATGAAGGGGAGTAAATGCCTGAGATCATATAGTACAGTAAATCATACCGCAAATGCCATCCCTCATTCTATCATATATACAAAACAGGCACCAGCCCATCGCCCTGGTATAATATAGACACAGAAAGTTGGACCCTTCATCATGACATGCTCCTCCAAATTGTCATTGTAATAGTACACGAATCTACACAGCAGTGATCCTCGACACCACGCTTCTTTTTATCTTCACAAATACAACGCCTCGTTTTATTCGTCGCTATCCACATTGCCAACATTAGGCCGCATGGGCTTGGCAGTAACCGACTCAACGGTGTAGTTCCACAAGCTGCGAAGGCTTCCCTTGATCCAACCCTCGACCTCAGCCTCAGAGACCTTGATCTGCGCGGCGCGAGCCTCGTCTTCAGCAGTAATCTCGAAGCGTCGCATGCGCTGCGCCAACCGAGGGTCAACAACAATAGGCGCGGGCCAGATCTTCTCCTTGGGAGGTTCAGCAGGGATAACCGCTGAGCTGTCGTCGTCTGTCTTGGCAGGCTCCTCGGTCTTCCACACGGACTTGACCCAGTCCTTCTCCTCATGCTTGAGGACAAGCTGCTGCTCATATTGACCATCTGCCTCGCGCCACTCACGGGAGGCGGCGGCGAAACATACAGCGGCGACCTCACGGCCGACCTCGTCTGCGAGCTTACGACGGTTGAAGAAACGGTTCAAACGGATGAGGGTGTGGCGGAAGCCGAGACGGTGGGGAAGTGGGATGGGGTTTGCGGGAGAGAACTCGGAGGGGATTTGGGTGGGGAGGCTAGCGAAGGAGTAGTCGGCGGTGGTGTTGTAGGGGAGTGGTTGAGGTGGTCGTTCAGGCTTCTTCTCTTCATCTTTCTTCTCCTCATCCTTCTTCTCTTCGGCCTGGTCGCCCCCAACCCTGGGAACCTCAGAAGCTAGCTCGATAACAGCAGGTTTTGATTCTGTCTCAGGCTTCACAGGAGGGTCAAGAGGACCGAGCCAGCCCTCATGTAGTCCTCTCATGTACTCCTTCCATGTGTGTAAGCCAAAGACAATATCACCCTTAACACCTTCATACTCTGGCACGTTGTTCTTTTTCCGTAAGGCGTCTGTTATGGCCTCGTCCGTCTGTAAATCCTCCTCACCTGGTCGCTCATTCTTCCTCCTCTCCCGTCGGATCTTCTCTGCCACAGCAGCTCTCACATCTCCCTGTTGTCTTCCCTGGACGAACTCCCAGTCAAGACCAGAGGCGGCGAGGACGGGCTTCGCATACTCGATAAAATGATCCTGTGCAATTCGAAGACCGTCACCGGGGGGGGCCTCAAGGTAGACGGTCAGTTTGCGTGGGAGTTGACTGGCTGAGGGGATTATGTCGGTTGCTAGAGGAGCGACGACGTGCTTCCACTTGGCGGTGGCCCTCTTCTTCTCGCGCTTGTCGTAGATAATGGCCGCTGAGATAGAACCTGTGATAGCCCAGAAGATGAGCCAGTTGCGTGACGGGAGTTTTCGAGGGAGATTCGGCAGGCCCATCATTTTCAGAGCTGGATTCTGTTTCGGCTTAGGACTGGGCGCCTTGTATGTTGCGCCAGTGCCGGCCACGGGTTGCTGCGGTGGGGGATTGGACTCGGCCATTATGAAAAGAAACTGTGGCGGCGTCGATTATGAGGATCGCGAGCTCGAGTCGTTTGATCACCGAGTTGTTCGAGCCGTATAAACCACGGGATAGTGAGGGTCTTGATATCGGCCTTGCCGTGATGTCGGGCCGCTGGAAGAAAAAAAAACGGCGATAAGAAGCTCCGATAAGGCCCGGAGGTCGGCAAGGAAATACCCTCGCTCCGGCGTTTATATTCGATGGGGTTGATAGAGGTATTTCAATAAATCGGCGGGTATATATGGTTAGTTGAACCAACTGTTTGAAAGCTGAGGTTTATCTTCTTCTCCTCTTCATTTATTGCTGGATCTTCTGCGTTTTTATTTGCTGTGGCTTGGCTTGTCAATACAGAGCAAACTACAGTATCTACAGGGTCATGCCTAGTCTTCCATGGAGGTTCTAGAAAACGGTCGATTCTCTGTAGGGCATACATGTCATTCAATATCTCGGCCTTATCCAAGACACTATATACGCATTCCAATACAGCTCTAAATAGCTTCAGTAGCGAAGCAGATTGTGGATTAATGGCTTCTAGATAGAAATAGACTTTAGTATCTCAATCTATCCCTACGAATTGCCATGTGGGAAGCACGGGCAAGCTAACGAATAAATGAAAAAGCGGACATGATGGTGAGGAATAATAGACAATGGTAGTCGTCACATCTTCTATGTTAATATCTCGATGGCCAGTCTAGACACTTAAGAGGATAATGGGACCCTGCTCATGCAGGTGACAGGTTCACCTGAGGCTCAGAATTACATGGACAGCAACATCTGGGGAAACACAACACACACAGGGGCACGAACAGGGGCTTGCCCCTGAAGGATAGGGACGGTCAGCAAGGATGAACCTGGTGTCGGGATCAAATTTGCAGTCCAATGGATATTATGAGAGAAGATGCTCACAAGTTAGCACTTGAGGGTGACAAGCCCAACGGCGGTCAGTTCGCGATTGATTCACCAGCAGCACCGCTTGGTGGTGCTGAATTAGCTTGAGATGGATATGGGGATATAGGAGTTGGCAATTTCCCTTTGTTTGAGGTCCGATACTGAGGAGCTATGCCATATGTCATGATGGAGAGACATGATAACTTTCACTGGTAATGAACATGGTTCACAAACGTCTTGCAAAAAAGACCTAGAAGGGCTTCTGCTTCGTAGATCAGGTAGTCTCTACAGCTTCCTCACATGCAATAATAAACCGACTGAGGATGCAATGGGTTTGGATCCAGTCCAACATATGGGAATGGATCCATTCCATGACTTCCACTCTGAGTTAGTTGATGTTTTATAGCAGCCACAGCACTCGTCGTCTGTTTCATGGCCACTAAAGACCACTAAATGGAAACTACCTAACCCAGGCCACCCGCCGCCCTTCAGTTGCTAGACCCCTCAGCCTAACGTTTACCCTTGACCCCTCGGAACTCTTCCCCCAATTCTCTTTTGCGGCCCATGTTGTGCCAAGTTCCAACAGCCAACCCAACTGTTGGTTGGTTGGGCCTTGCTTTGCCTGAAAGCCAAAAAGCCCAAAGACTGACGACCGATCCCTGTGCGTTTCGACTCTGTTGTTGTGTCTGTGCTGTATGTATGGACGTTACTTACAGTGCAATTGTGTGCGGTGTAGTGCAGCAGCATCTGTCATATTGGGCAGTGGCCGCAGGACGCTAGAGGTACCTAGTAGGTACTACCTACTACCTCAATACCGTAGGTACACACATACATGGAGCCCAGCTCACCTCAAGTACCTCACTCGCTCAACACCTGCACCTTTGGTCGATTTCAAGGCCTAGAGGATTATCTTCCTCTATTCGCAAATACTTTCCCTCTTACCCATCTTTCTAATCCTCTCATCTAATCCGGGACTATCGGCAACCGTGCGCTGGTCCATCCCTCCTGGTACTCCGCCAGAGGTGGCTCTGGTACCACGATACCTGCATCGCACTCACTGCCCGTACTCCATATTTGACTGCCAGCGGAAAGGTACCTTTAGCTCTCTACCTAGTCCCGCGCGCCACCCCTCGCGCTCTCTCCCCTCCACAGCCCCTGGACTTGACCCTCCCCTGAAACTTGTCCGCCATCTCGACTCCCACCTCAGTCTTGGTTCTTTTCATCTCCTGTTGTTACCTGCTTGTCGAGACGGCACAGAACGAAAGGAGGCGATCGAGACGCCTCAACCAGACAATATGGATCCTAACAACAATAACCGCCTCTACCTAAACTTTGGGAATGGCAACGACCGTTTGACCGCCTCGGATAGGGCCGCATATCCCACTACGCCTTCGACATTTCCTCAGCCAGTGTTCCCTTCAGCATCTGGCCAACAGTCTTCTGGCGGATTACAGCCTCAGCCTCAACAGCAGCAGCAGCAGCAGCAGTACGCCGGTGGTTATGCGCCACAGGGTTACTTTAACCAGAACCAATATGCTCAGCAGCAGTATGGCGGGCAACAACAGCAGCAACAGTCGAGCGACTATTCTCAGGGCGCTGGGTATCAACCACGATCTAATACTCCTGGCACCAACGACCCCAACACCGGTCTCGCCCATCAGTTCTCTCACCAGAACCTAGGAGGTGCCGCTCGAGGACAGGGCTATGCTCGAGCACCCTCGCAAGGCCAGCGTCCTAGAACCGCTGGCTCTTCAGGACAGCAGCCTGGTTACAACAACTATATGAACGCCCCTCCCATGCCCACTCAAGGATCCGCCCCAGTGGACGAGTTCCAACGAGCACCTGAGCGAAACCCTGACCGATATGGTACCAATGCCAATAGCAACCAGAAGAAGTGCTCTCAGCTCGCAGCCGACTTTTTTAAGGACAGTGTCAAGCGAGCACGCGAGCGCAACCAAAGGTATGTAACAACATCTGAGACCTACCTCTTGAGGACGAAGTAGCTGACCCATGACTACCCAACAGACAAAGCGAACTGGAGCAAAAGCTTCAGGACCCTTCTCAGGGCTCCGCTAGACGCGAGCAGCTCTGGTCAACCGCTGGCAGAAAGGAAGGCCAATACTTACGCTTCCTTCGCACCAAGGACAAGCCCGAGAACTACAACACCGTCAAGATTATTGGAAAGGGCGCTTTTGGAGAGGTCAAGCTTGTGCAGAAGAAGGGAGATGGCAAGGTCTATGCCATGAAGTCTCTGATCAAGACAGAAATGTTCAAGAAGGATCAGCTCGCACACGTTCGATCAGAACGAGACATTCTCGCCGAGTCGGACAGTCCTTGGGTCGTCAAGCTCTACACCACCTTCCAGGACTCATACTTCCTTTACATGCTAATGGAGTTCTTGCCTGGTGGAGATCTTATGACCATGCTTATCAAGTACGAGATCTTTTCGGAAGATATAACACGTTTTTACATTGCAGAGATCGTTCTTGCTATCGAAGCTGTCCACAAGCTGGGCTTTATCCATCGGTATGTACCACGCAATGCCTGCTTTTGTCCCATTTGAAACCGTCTGACTTTGAAATAGTGATATCAAGCCCGACAACATTCTTCTTGATCGAGGTGGACACGTCAAGCTCACCGATTTCGGTCTGTCAACAGGCTTTCACAGACTGCATGACAACAACTACTATCAACAGCTCCTCCAAGGGCGATCCAACAAACCGCGTGACCGTAACTCGGTTGCCATTGATCAGATTAATCTGACTGTCAGCAACAGGTCCCAGATTAATGATTGGCGACGATCCCGAAGACTGATGGCGTATTCTACTGTTGGAACCCCTGACTACATTGCCCCTGAAATTTTCACTGGCCATGGTTACACCTTTGACTGCGATTGGTGGTCGCTAGGTACCATTATGTTTGAGTGTCTAGTCGGCTGGCCTCCCTTCTGCGCTGAAGACAGCCACGACACGTACCGCAAGATCGTGAACTGGAGACAGACTCTATACTTTCCGGACGACATAACACTTGGTACGGACGCAGAGCATCTGATCCGAAGGTAGGACACCTATTGTGAGGTTATCAAGTATGAAAAGTTAACAAGAATATAGCATGGTCTGCAACACGGAGAACCGTCTGGGCCGCAGTGGTGCCCACGAGATCAAGAGTCATGCTTTCTTCCGCGGTGTCGAGTTCGACAGTCTCCGCCGTATCCGCGCGCCTTTTGAGCCTCGCTTGACCTCCAACATTGACACCACCTACTTCCCTACCGATGAGATTGACCAGACTGATAATGCCAGCGTCCTCAAGGCACAGGCCCTCCAGTCAGGCCGAACAATCGAGGAGTCTCCAGAGATGAGCTTGCCTTTCATTGGTTACACATTCAAACGGTTTGATAACAACTTCCGATAAAAGGATTGAGGTGTTTGGCTGGCGAAACGGGTTCATCATGAAGATATCCCAGTTCTGTGAACGGGTTTCTCTTGACTATGACTGGGGAAAGGGACAGCAACCTGGACGAGCACTATTGCAGCGGGTTTCAAGCAGTTGTTGGTGACACAATTGAGAAAGCGATTCTTGTATGCCTCTCCGGCCTGCCCTATGTCGTTGATTCTTTCTTTGCTATTCGATACATGTTTTGATACTGTGATTGCAAGGTCAATCTAGATGGAAAGGCATACAAGCTGGGGAGTTGAGATGTTTGCTGTCTGCGATTTGCATTATGCGGGGGCATGTAACAAAATATGAGATCTCCAGCCATTGCCGTACAAGTCAATAATAATCAACTAAACCAAATGCGAGGAAGATATCTGTGCTTTTAATATGAAATACATAGCAGCCACGATAGTTCTTTAACTTGACATGAAGGAACCTCAAACGTTGTGACATGCTGTTCGAGAACAAGTCTATCTTTGAAGGCCTGACAAGTAAGTAAGTGTCTCATTGTTTAACCACACTATTTATTTGTTCTACATTACACCGTACCAAAGGAGTTGTCTGCCTTCAGACCTATTTGGCTTAAAAACCGTAACGCCGCCGTCCCATGACCCAGATATCCTTTTCTTTACTCCCAACATGCAAAATGGCCACTTGAGGTGAGGGTATATAAATATGTATCATCATCTCCGTCCTGTCAAACCAGGAGCCATGTTGAACCGCTCCTCTCGCTCCGTCATGAACATAACCTGGATCCAGTACTCTTTGGCATCAGGATCCCAGAAAGCGAACTGCTTGTCCTCGCGCTTGTCGAGCTCACGCGCGGGGATCTTGAAACCGACAGTCTCGTAGGGTTCGGCTGCGACAAGCAGGTACTGGAAGTTCTTGTCGGGCTCCTCGATATGCTGCGTGAATGCGTTCATGACTTGCCACTTGGGCGATGTTTCGGGGGTTGCGTCGGGGTATTGAAGCTGGAAGAGCAGACCCTGCTGGCGAGACATGGGGTCGCGAATCTTTGTGATCTTGTATCCCGGACGACCGATCTTGACAACATTGCGTCGCTGCGCAAAACCAGCACCTGTGACACCGATAGGGAGACCAGTAGCTGGGTCAACGGCGCCCTGACGGCCTTCCTTCTGCTCGCGAGCAGCGCGACGGGCGAGGTTGGTCTGATGCTTCTTGCCCTGAGTATGAGCAAGGTAGGAACCGTCGTTCTGGTGAACAGTCAAGCACAGGCGACACTCGAAAGAGCCGACGTGGTTCTTGAAGAAGTAGGGGTCCTTGTCGAGATCGATCGTCTCGAGGGCGAGTTTGCGAAGACGTTCGCGACGGTCGGCGTTTGTGGCGGATTGGGAGGCGACGCCGCCGCCGCCGAATTTTGAGCCGGCGCGGTTTTGGAAATCCATCGGATTGAGGTTTTGCGCTTAGGTGAGAATAAAGGGAAATGCGTTGAGATGTGGGTGGGGGGTTAAATGTTGTTTGGCGCGAGGTTGAGGTTGAGGATGGAAAAGTGAAAGCGCGATTGAATGTGCATGTATGTTGTAGATAACTTTGGTTAGAGTACCTAGGTCAGTACAGAGGTACCTATTGAGTCGCACTAGGGACAATGAAGTAAAGAATTATGTGGAGAATATGCTGGGGTGGACCACCAATCAAAGTTTCAATAGTATTGACATCACTTACACAGCGGCTCTCGGGCTGTTGTATCCTCAATAAAACACTAAGGTATCTAATCATTACTTGTTTATCGAATGTACACAGGACCACAGATATAAGCTAAGTATAAATATACCATACCGCTCAAAACTATAGCTTTACAAGATCTGCACGTTTGGAGACCCATGTCTCAACACAAGCAACGAACCTATCAAACTCAGCAGCTGGGGTTCCAAGCACCAAAGCAATGAATCCTCTACGGACGACCCAGAAACCTTCTTCCATCATATCAAGCCAGAAAAGATCCCTCAAAGTATCAATCTCTTCGACCTCGCCAGATCTTTCAATTACACGGGTGCCATCCTTGGGGAAGTGGACTCCCATGATTGTACCGACGCCAGTGAAGACAACTCTTGTACCCTCTGTTGCTGCATTGAGCCGCTCTCTGAGATCATCACCAGATTTTGTGAACTGGGCTGCAACCTCGGGCGTGTAAATCTTGCTAAGACCGGCGTGTCCAGCATGTGTCACCAATGTGTTGTTGTTGAATGTGCCCGAATGTGAGAGGGCGCCTGGGACTCGTGGATCGAATGCAGACATGATATCCGCTCTACCACCGAAAGCTCCAAAAGCAAGACCTCCACCTAGGTATTTGCCAAAGGTCTTGAGGTCTGGTTCGAGACCTCGCAATTCGGAGATGCCTCCCCCAGAGAGACGTGAAGTCATAACTTCGTCAATGATGAACAAGACGCCAGCCTGCGGTCTGTTAGTTAATATGTGGCAGTATAATGATAAGACTAGTCAACTGACCTTTGATGCAGCATCTTGAATGCCCTGGAGGAACTCTGGATGTCCGGGAAGACCACCCCCAGAGCCCTGCATTCCTTCTACCAACACTGCGGCAACGCCCTCGCTTTCAATGGCAGTACGAGCACTATCGAGATCGTTATATCTGGCCACTACCCAGTCATCAAGATCCACGTTGTTCGCCTCTGGCTTTCCTCCCTTGAAACCTATCACGGCGCCGTGGTATCCCCCGGTGAATGTGACAACCTTTCTCTTCTTGGTAAATGCCCTCGCAGCTGCTAGGGCGTGGATGTTGGCTTCAGTACCCGAGTTGCAGAAGCGGACATACTCAAGGTTGAAGCGGCTGCAGAGTTCGCGGGCGAAGACTTGCTCTTGGGCTGTGTTGCCCCCGACATTCATGCCCACGTTGTCCAACACATCTCGAATGGCGGAGAGAATTACTGGGTTTGAATGCCCATAGAGGGCTGCTGTGAACTCGCCAGTGAGGTCTGTATAGCTGCATGAAGTATGAGAACCTGGTGTTTCTTTGTATGCCGTGATAACTTACGTGTGACCATCTTCAGATGTTAGTTGATGTCCTTTACCAGACTTGATCACAACTGGGAATGGACTGGCATGAAGAACGGTTCTGGTGTTCCCACCCGGCATTGACTTGATGGCTTCATCATGAAGAGCTTTAGAACGTGAGCTACGGGTGATGTATCGAGCTGTAGCTGCGTCAAGCTCAGTCTGAATTCTTTGGGCGAGTTCTGAAGACATGGTTGTGAACTTGTGGTATTTATTCCATGATTGAGGATATGAGAATGGTATAATCTAGAATAACAAGAGAATAGTGAATTTGTATATGTTAGCTGAGGTATTATAGTTTATCAACGTTCTAAATGTAGCAGCTTTCGCATTTCGGGATCAAGTTATAGTGATGGCGATGTTTGAAGGTGCCTTTGTTGGAGAAGCTTCGGGTTTATGTTATCGGGTCTCGGGTTTGGCTCACGTGTAAGTCGGCTCGAGCAGCAATAGCTCAATAGAGCCACCATTGTATTAATGCACTATTAAACATGCAAGGATATTAAATCCTTTTGTTATTTTCTTCAACTGCCAAAAGGTAAAAAGAATAGGAAGTTAGTACTCACCTACCTCAGTCCTGTTCATCCTATTCAGGTGAGAGAATTATAGACTTGTTGATCTTCCCTCTGCCATAAATCTTCTATAAGACGGGAAGTACTCCTGAGTAAATTTACAAACAGACAACATCCAATTTAATTGAATATTTGAAATAAATCATCTCTTGCATGCCTACTAATGTTGCGGCACAATATTCATGGTATAAGTAGAGGCACGTACCTTGCCGAGGTGGGGCCTTGGGGGACACAAAAGCGGTCAGAAAAATAAAGCGGCAGAATTGACAATCCCACTTAATTTTTCAAACTTTGGTCCAAGCCGTTTGTAGTGGAAGAGAAAAAAGTCAAGACAAGACAATCAGTCAAGTCCAAAACATCACAATGGCTGGAATCAACAAACCCGGCAGTAGGTCGCTTCGCAACAACTACTATACATAGATCACCAGTGCTAACTCCACTTCCAGAGCCCAAGTCCAAGCGAACTCCCGTTCGTCTTCGCCACAAGATCGAAAAGGCCTCTCTCGCAAAGCAAAAGAAGGAGCGCAAGCTCGCAAAGAAGAACCCAGAATGGCGATCAAAGCTAAAGAAGGATCCTGGTATCCCCAACCTGTTCCCTTACAAGGAGAGAATTCTTCAAGAGATTGAGGAGAACCGTCTAAAGAAGGCTGAGCTGGCGCAAAGAAGAAAAGAGATGGCCAAGGCTGCTAAGACGGGCAGCCAGGATGGGCCCGGCATGACTGGTGTTCAGGTCGCAGCTGGAGATGAGATGGACGACGATGACGACATGGACGAGGATATCGACGAGTCAAACCCTATGGCTGCGCTGATCGCAAGTGCTCGCGCTGCCGCTGCCACCTACGACAAACAGCTCGGTGAAGACGACGATGATATGGACGACGACAGCGACGACTCCGACAACGACCATGGCCCTGAGATGTCCATTGGCCAAGCTTCCTCGAGAAAGACCTACGACAGAGTCTTCAAGCAGGTCGTCGAGGATGCTGATGTTGTTCTCTACGTTCTTGACGCTCGCGACCCTGAGGGTACTCGTTCCCGAGAGGTCGAGCGCCAGGTCATGGCCGCTGCTTCTGGTGGCAAGCGACTTATCCTGGTCATCAACAAGGTCGATCTGATCCCTCCCAAGGTTCTGCGAGACTGGCTTGTCTACCTCCGACGCTACTTCCCTACTCTCCCCCTCCGAGCCTCCGGCGCTGCTCCCAACGCCCACACCTTCAACCACCGCGATTTGACTGTCCAGAGCACTTCTGCCACGCTCTTCAAGGCCCTCAAGAGCTTTGCTGCCAGCCGACAGCTCAAGCGCGCCGTCTCGGTCGGTGTTATCGGCTACCCCAACGTCGGTAAGAGCTCCGTTATCAACGCTCTCCTCTCGAGGATGAGCGGCAAGGGCGGCAGCTCTTCAAGGGCTTGTCCTGCTGGCGCTGAGGCTGGCGTCACCACGAGCATCCGCTCTGTCAAGATCGACAGCAAGCTTACTCTTCTCGACTCTCCTGGTGTTGTCTTCCCTTCGTCATCCTCAACACAGTCCGCTGGCCTTGTGTCCCTCAAGAACGCCACCGAGGCCCACGCTCATCTTGTTCTCCTCAACGCTGTTCCCCCCAAGCAGATTGACGACCCCATCCCTGCCGTCACTCTTCTTCTTAGACGTTTGTCAGCTTCTCCCGAGCTTATGGAGAAGCTTACAAATGTCTATGACATTCCCGCTCTTCTCCCCAGCCGCGCTGATGGTGACTTCACCACTGACTTCCTTGTCCAAGTTGCTCGCAAGCGAGGCCGTCTTGGACGTGGTGGTATTCCTAACCTTTCTGCTGCTGCCATGGCCGTCATCACTGATTGGCGAGATGGCCGCATCCAGGGCTGGGTTGAGCCTCCTGTTCTCGCCGTCGAGTCCACACCCTCCGCCAACAAGTCAGCTATCAAGAACGCTGGCGAGGATGATGTCGCTGCCGACCAGAAGCAAATCGTTACTGAGTGGGCTGCCGAGTTCAAGCTCGAGGGCCTCTGGGGCGAGGACGATGGCAGCTCTGAGACTCTTGATGCTATGGAGCAGTAGAGAGAAAGAAAAAGGCTTCTAGTGGTTTGGTCAGCAAAATGACGGACGGTTTACATGAGTTCTTCACTGGAAAGTTTGGCGTTTCAAGGATGGCTGGTAGAACGAACGGTTTAGACCCGTGCATATACATTCATAAAACAATATGTCTTCCTAAAACTCCTACATGGTTCAACAAGTGACTCGTAGATTATGCATTATGCCTTGTACCTTGGAATCCAAATTCCTTTTTTTTGTCGTATCTATGCCTCGATCAACTCCATCTTGACACCTCGCTTGCCTGTCATCTCGTCCTTCTCGTCACGGACTCTAACCCTGACCTTCTGGAACAGCTCCACCTTGATCTCTCCGCTTCCCTTGGTAGTAAGCGTGTATGTATCGGCATCATACTCCGCCTCGGGCTCAGGTTCCGCAAGATCCCTGAGTCGGATCAAACCCTCTGTGCCAAAGCGTGGGACAAGGACGACAAAGCCGTTGCTGAAGATCTTCATGACAAACGCGTCTTCCTCAGCAACCTTGCCCCTGAGAGCCTGGCCGACATAATAGGCGATACTGGCACGACCGGCCATCTGGGCGTTGCGGTGTCGTACGTTGATGTTCTTGCACACAGCCTCGAGACGTCCTCGGCTGCGAACATTGGGGTGGATAGCTTCGTAATCAATAGCGGCAGCCAGCTGACGATGGGCAAGAAGATCGGCGTAACGACGAATGGGAGAGGTGAAATGGGTATAGATCTCGGAAGCGAGACCGTAATGGCGGAATTCGGGATAAGCTTGTGTTCCTGAGCAGAAGTACTCTGCGCTCATCATGCAGCGAGTAGCCATGATACGCACAAGAGTGTTGAAGAAGGGTTCCTTGGGGTCGGTGCATTCATCCAGAGAGTCGGCAAGAGCCTTGCTGGAGTCGGTGCGCAGCTCCATGCCGCGCTTGGTGCGGAGCTGATTCGATAGCTCGTCAAAGTTGGTCTTTGGAGGAGCGCCGTGGCGACGAAGAATGGCAGTCTGAGGGAACGCTTCATAGATCTTGGCCGCGACACTGATGTTGGCGAACAACATGAACTCTTCAACAAGGGAGTTGGTGTCCAGAAGTTGCTTCGTCTTGACATCAATAGGATCAGACGTCTCCGATTCGGTCTGCACCTTGACTTCCGGCGAAGAAAGACTCAGGGCACCGGCATCCATTCGCTTCTTCTTGAGCTTTTTGGAAAGCATGAGAAGCATGCGCATTCCCTTGGTAAGATCGTCTTGCTGAGAATCATCATCGATTCGCAGCTGGGCCTGTTCGTAGCTGAAAGCTTCTCGGGACTTGATGACAGACTTTGTAAAGCGGGCGCTGACAATGTCGGCGTTGTCATTCAGCTCCCAAATAACAGAGAAGGCAAATCGCTCTACATATGGCTTGAGCGAGCAAAGATCGGTACCAAGAAGAGGGGGAAGCATGTCGATACGCTTATCAACTAGATAGACAGTGGTACCTCGGATGCTAGCTTCAGTGTCCATGGCGTTGGCAGGCTTGACAAAGTTGGAGACGTCAGCAATGTGGACGCCGACTTCGTAATTTCCGTTGGAAAGTTGTTTCGCGTGGAGAGCATCATCAATATCCTGGCATCCGACGGGATCGATACTGCAGATGAGAAGTCCTCGGAGATCTTCTCTTTGTCTCCAGCCAGGATCCTCCATGCTCGTAGGTACTCTCCAGTCATGTCCCTCCTTGGGAAGACAGTCGAGCACTGTCTTTGGGAATGGCCGATATTGGACGTCCCATTCCAGAAGTAGAGCTTCCGTCTCAGCCGACTTCGTCTCCAGCTCACCCAAAGATCGCACGAAATGTCCGACAGGATGCCTTGAGTCACGCTCCCAGCCATCGATGGTTACCAACAGGCGCTTGCCAAGAAGGTCAGCCACCTGCCGTGTGCGAAGACGGATCTTGGGGATCTTCTTATCCATAGGGATAAGGAAAACACTATCCTGTTTGCGCCCTTGGTTGGAGGCCTTGCTCGCTGACGAAGGATCGATGTGGCCGACATATTGTCGCCAGTTGCGTTTGATGACACCCACTACCTTGGCTGTGGGCTGGGGTTTGCTCTCCGAAGCGCTCTTCTGCGTCTTCTTGACCTGCTCTTGCAGAGCCTTTCGCTCCTTTTCGGAAACGAAATCCTGGCTCTCCTCCGCATCTGCGTTCTCGTTCTTGGTGATGGTGTCCTCCTCAATAATCTTTGTAGAAGGCTCCTTCCATTGGTCCTGGGGAAGAACTTCAACGACTACCACATCGCCATCAACGGCTCGGTTGATGTTCTCGCGACCTAAAATGAGGAGGGGCTTTGGAAACGCTGGAACCTTGATTGACCCCTCAAGGTAGTTGTACGGGGATACGTTAAAGACGCCTTGATGCATCAAACCAGCCTTGACTCCGGTCATCATCTTTGATAGGGTAAAATATTCAGAGTAGAGCATCTGGCCCAGCTTTTTAAATGACCCTATGCTCTGAGCGTCTGCAACCATGTCGAGTAATCTCTCGCCATCTTCGAGGCTCCCCACATAGTCTCTAAGAGAAGACGCATGGAGTCCATCTTCCTTGGCCTTGCGAAGGTTCTCTCGGTCATCACTAAGCATCACCACAGCAGGAAGGTTCTTCGCCTTTGTCCTAGCAAGATGCTCGCCGTACCACTTGACAGCCAAACGCACAGCCCTGTCGTTTCGATCATTGACAGTCTCGTTCGCCTCCCGGTGGACAAAGGTCTCGAGCCTGAAGTCGTTGAAAAAGACGTAAAATCTCTTATCCTCGCTTTTTGTAAGCCCCACTAAGCGGTTGTAGAGTGGTAATGATCGGTTTCGTAGCTCCTCCAGCACTGTTTGCAAGATGACAACGTCATAAAATGCTGAGCTTTGCTCAAAAAGGTCCATTGCGTTGAGCAACGCGTTAGTATCAGGGACTAAGTAATGGCCTTGAGGAAAGGCTTTAGTGCCTGCTGGCTTATCCGAGAGGATGAATGGCTGTACTGGAATCCTTGTTAACAAACTGTAGAAACAGGCCGCGAAGACTAGTCTCACCTTGCTGGGCGGCATTTTTAGGAGCGTCCTGGAGACACGCCTTGCAGAGCTTCGAAGAGCAGGGAATGTCAGTACGTAAGTAGACTTCTCTCACGATTTTCTGCACTTTGCCGCTTCGAGTCGAGCGCACGTAGACCTTGCTCGAAATATTGGATGCCAAAGGGTCGGCATCAGTAGATCTTTTTAAGCTCGCCATCTTTGCTAGACTCTGGTTCCAGCAATGTAGTAAGTTTTATGAGTAGGTATGATGAAAAGACTCTTGATGGCAAAGCGTTCAAGTAGGCGATAGTGGGGCCCTTATCGATAAGCCACGGCGCTTGCTTTGCTCCATGCAATATGTAGACAAGATTTCAAATCTTGGCCTGGAACAGTTGCAAATTCGAATTCGAATTGATTCTAGGCTTATATTGAATGTGAGGAAATCTTGCTTTTAATGATCCCAGCCATTGATAGCATGGAGAATCACAAGCAAGGTCGAATGCAGCACCAAACTGTGTCATCGTCACATGACTGTCATATCACGTGCTCCTTCCGAACAACTTCACTTCTCCTTCCTTTGTGTCTCCCTTCTGTAAATGGTATCACTCCTTGAAAAGTCAATAATTGCACATGGAAACAATCATTCCGATCCCCAATATCTTTGAAATATTTTAATTGTAAAAACTCTGCCCAACTCTGAGAGTTCATTATTGTCCATAACTTGCTTCGCTTGTCAAGATACGACTTACACGCTCTCAACCCGACACAACACGATTTGATGCCCGCGGCAGTTTGTTCCCACCATGGCTATTGTGATCGCTCGATGTACGCCAGAAAGTCTAGCTCGGAGAATATGTGAGTCTGTTTGCGTGCTTTTGATAATAAAGAAGTACAGAAATGCTTGATCGAGTACCACAGTCCAATGATGAGGCGGCAAAACTGCTGCAGTTTAGCTTCAAGTTTTGTAGGATTCATTCATGCCATTAGCTCTTGATGTGATCCGAGAGCAGCTATAGTGCGAGATGACCATCGCATATTCCAGCCCACAAATACGTCAGTGATGTGTACTTCCCGCGGGCTCTTTCGAGACTTTCGAAACCATGGCCTAAGCACGCAGGTCCCGTTCGCTCCCATTCAGTTCACGCTCTGGGCCAGCCCTACACGGCTTTACCGTTTGAGTGCGTCTAATACGTGTAAGAGGATACAGCTCCTCTGCAGTGCGGCGAGTAACAACGTAAGGCCATAGCGAGCTGCGTTCAAGATGCCCACAAAGGGGCTACAAAATGTGTAACAACTCTCCAGGACCGGCCTATACGGGATGGTGGCAAGACAAGCACCCACCGCATTATTTACGAGCACCGGAGCCCGAGATGTATCCGCAGGTGCTATGCCAATAATGGCAAGAGACAGTACGTATTTGTGCACACTGAGAACAGTGCAATCAGCTCTCGGTGACGATATTGTTACCTTTGCACTTTATCGAACGCGATGACCAGAATTTGGACGTGGTTTTAAGCTGCCAGAAGGCTGTCTTCCTGCATTCCTTAGAGGCGAAGACCATGCCAGATGACATAGCCAATCTCATTCCGATTGTTAAAGTCCTTGAACAAGGGAAACGTTCCGGCCAAACCTCCTCCTGCATATCCTGCAGACTTTGGGTTTACACCTCGCAGTCGGATACTGAAGCAATCTCCAATGACAAATCATCGGCTTGTTCGGAGAGCGGCAAACGATACGTCTACCTGGTGTGACTGGGAAATGAACGTTGCAACGCGAACCAAGCTCTACGGCCAGCTTGCGTATGCGTGCAACACCCTGCACCAATAGCCGTTCAGCCATCGTTGTTATGTTACTTATGTACAAGAGAATCGTTCATCTGGAAAGAGAACAACGTCCTCGTTTCTTCAGGCCAAAGACTCGCAAGCATACCATAGGATAAGAAAAACCGTTAGCAGAATCCCCTGGTCAGTATCCTTGTTTTGGGACATCGCGCTTGCCACAACATTTGCAAGCATGGAAGCGATATGATTGTATCGGTCCGTTCGCAATCCGGTATATGGACCGTCAACAGCATACCAGTGCTGTAGGCATTTCTTTGCTGCCGATTGACTGGTACTGATACCAAGAAGAATACACCCCGCCATGAGATCGCTACTACATAACCTCACTTGCTGATAAATCTGAAATGGAAGGAGTCTGTATCCTAATGCCACAAACTCTAGGCAAAGGATTGGGGCGATACTACAGTGGTGGCGAAGCCTAGTGTTGCTAACGTGAAGAAAAGAAGCGAACCAGAAAAACAACGAACACTGGCAGCTTACCGCAGTTCCGACATGGCTGTCATCAAGATCCCTGCAGCCTATTTTCATGAGCTGAATCCATCATCTTCGACACTTCACCCCCAACATCGGAGAAATACTGACATACAAGCAGCTTGGCGTGAAATTGGCTTGCATAGTATTCAAGGCTGTGATGGCATAGAAGACAACCGATTGGTACATCCTCCGTTCATCTTCAGGCTGCTAGACAGGAACCCATAGAAATAGGCTTGGGACCCTGGATCGGTGCATTTTAAAATGTCTTGTCATACCTGGGCAGCCTGACAGATGTTGCGCGAGACTGTTCCGAGTTATTCAACCATCAGTCAACTTCTTTACAACAGCTTCTGTTTTAGCAATGTCAGCACCGGTAATATCGCTCGCAGGCGTGGCTGCGGCCGGTGAGCAGAACCCTTGGAAGAGCGTGTTAATCCATGTGATGATGAAGGGGTAGAAGCAGGCTGCTGTATTAGGAAATGCATGACGCCGGGCACTACTAGGCCTGGCAGTTTGCTCGAGTCTGAGAATGCGGCGCGTCAGGACGAGCTCACGAGGACGCGTTTAGCGTGCAGCAAGGGCTGGTAAAACAGGAAAAGTACGAACTTCCTGAAAATATGTCTATTCATATGGAAGGAGAAATGGTCTAAGTATTGCCAGAAGTACAAGACCAGATGCGCAAAGGCGGCTCAGCCAAGCGCGTCACTCTAATACAGCATCACATACCATATCAGGCCAGCGTTCGTGGCAGAAAAATGACAAGCTCGTGGCAGGAAAATCGTTGGTCCCCGTCATATCAGTGAAAGAGCCTTGGTAGAAGAACTGCTCCTGTGCCACTGAATGGACTCGGGCATCAGTTGCAACGGATCGAAACAGATTCGAAATCAAAGCCATCGGCAGAGTACGGATAAGCAACAAGCATATCATGAAAGAAACAGGGGTATGGGTGTGAGACTATTGGAACGAGGGTCGAGACAAACGCCTCTTGTTGGTACTATTATAGCCAAGAATCGACTTCACAAATCGACGTGATTGGTTTCGTACTCGCAAGTCCACCAAAAGACGAAGTATCCAGCGTCACAAGACTGCGAGCCGAGGACAAGTTAGCAAGGATAAGTGCATCAGCATGATGCAATGTGGACCCGGATTTATGGAGAAGACATTCGACTCAGATATTGTCAGCGGGCGAAAGAGACAATGGCGACTCAGTTATTAAAATAAGTGAGGAGTTGAGGTGAAAGAAGCGCAACCATACAGAATGCGTGGTTAAACTATACCTTGGGATGTGAAACAAGGATGCTGGCGAGAGGAACTATGTATGATAATATGTACAGGCTCCAGCCATCTAACATTAGCTGATGGTGGTTTCCCGAAGAGATTAAGCCGAGGCGAAAGGACTAGGGATCCGGTGCTGGCAAGGTTTCACGTGCGAACCGGCTGGTAAACCAACCTCATACGACAACGTCCTTGTGGTGATCTACAAGCGAGATATTTACGTTACGGTTTAAGGCAGGTACTGGGCCAAGGGCTCTTGTTAGGGCGCGCCCAGGATCTGATCTCGTTTGGCCAACTGTCGAGGGATGGACGAACGATAACAATCAGGAAAAGACCAATGAGCTTGCGCAAGAAAGCCGTGCCACGGACGTGGGAATATGGCAAGCAGGCGGAGGCTCAACAAGATGACAACGGTTCCAAAAACGGCGAGTGTGAAATAAAAGCCGCGGCGGGCCAAATCAAAGAACGGCGGGGAGTGGATCGGTCTACGATCGTTAAGTCGCTCATGAATGGAGAGTCTGTGGCTTGTTAATAAGCTTGGACAGTTTGTGGAAACTGTCCGTGACTCGCTGGATTAGAGCCAGAAGAGGATAGAAGCTGGGCATCACGAGGGAGCGCGCGGGGCAGAGATGTCTCTCCCAATGTGCCCAGTCCCAGTCCGGCCCCAGGAGGTGACGGGCCATGCTTCTCGCGTATCTCGTTTGGTACCCTTAGTCAAGCCGCGGCGGAGTCAGTAAACTCTGGGGTGAAGATTGGGATCATGGTGCATGGCCTGTGTGTGCATGGATAATGGGGGCACGAAGATCCTGGGCCCAAAGCAACTTTAGAGCACTCGCAGGGTCGGCATAGCGGGTCGCTATTTGGCATGCAGAGATGCAGAGATGCAGCCGCAGCCTCTCGCCGGGTCACGTCGATTCTCCATGATCGTACCTAAGGAGTCCATAAATGGAGGAGAGCCACAGCGGGATGTGCGTGTGTGTGTGTGTGTGTGTGTGTGCGTGCTTGTGCGGGGACGGATGGATGGTGCGCGAGGATCGTGGACTGGGCTGGGACATGAATTGGTGTGGTCTGGGGTTTTGGGGCGATCGCTCCCGCACCTCCCCCCTCCTTGCCATGGTTGTTTTGAACGACCTACCTTTGACTGCCAAATGCCTACTGTTCCGCTTACTACGTAGCCATTAGATGGCTAATGGATATCTTGAACTTAAAATGTCTATACGGATTACATTGCAGGGCGCCCCAATGTCCGTCAAGGCAGGTTACATCGACCAGACCGACAGGGACCAGGGGTTTAAGTGGACGACAGTGGAACGAATCCTGCCCGTGCTGATCCTAGGTCACGGTTGATCGACTCGGTTGCGTTCTCTAAACCACTGGAGTACTGATGGAGATTTGCGACGTTGATTACAGTTCAAGTGGGCCTGTAAGTGGATTAATGCTTGTTTCCAACTTCATTCATTGACTGATTGGATAATGAACCCTTTTCAGCTTTATCTTCCAACTCCATTCTTTGTTCTCATACCTGAAGTTGCAAGCCAGAAGAACCAAACCACGGCGCACGAGTTCTATCTCAATCATCAGGCAGTCTTTGTCACTTAATCGTCAGACTTGATCTGATATATCCGGCACTAACAGATCAAAGAGCAATATCGGTGAGGTTTCTCAAATGCGACTTTTCGTCGTGGGCCCAGTGATGAGTGAGAGATGCGACAAGAGTGTGGCTCGATGACGTCCTTGCATTTCGCATAAGGGCTGGAGGATATCAGAGAAGTCAACTGCTGGTCTAATATATTTCCTCAGATGCTACGAAAGTGAGACTACCTCACGGGCGACAAGCGATGTGGGTCAGACAACTGATAAACGCACAATATGAGACAAAGTATCACGGGCCAAAGAAGGTGAGACATGAGTCGCAACACAACATTCAAAGGGTTTCTTGTACTTTACCAGCACAGACACCTCGGTGTATATGGGCTAAGTCTAGCCTCGCAGAACGAGGTGAATCAATGGTGATGATATGGTTCATGAATTCTTTGATATCAGCAACATTTGAGGGTTGAGCAATAGTCTAGACTCTAGACTCTAGCGCGCCGACTCGCAGCAGATATGTACCATGAGAAAGCGAGCGCTTTATTGATGAAGCTCTGCGGCACAGCAACGCAACAACGTTTCATGTCGTTGAAGAAAAGCTGCTAACAATGCAATGGCATCTGCATGCAGTTAGCATCGCGACGCACGTACAGGAGAGGAGACAGACAGCCCAGAGCGACAAAGGGCGCTTGCGTGCATCAAGCGACACTCCCACACACCCGTCACACACATCACGGTGCGACAAGCAGACCCGGTATAGCGGATCAGAGGCGACGAGGCTCTGAGCATCTCTTTCAGACGTCGATATCATCGAGACCTCAGACTGGCAAGACTGGTTCTTGGTGAACCATCCGCGCGTTGTCTTAGTGGAGGAGGGAAAGGTTATCAACTTGAATGTTAGCACCGGAACAGGCCCGATCAAAGGTAGTACCTAGCACGGGCATGTTGATATTGATTAGACCTGATTTATTCGAGGTCCGGATCCATCTCTACTAGGTACACTGTACTATACCTAGTGGATTGACATGGTTGATTAGGTATCAAAGACGAATATGCTGAAAGGACCGCAACTTAAAGGTCGCTTACTGGTTTTGATATACTCACAGTAAGTTGATTCATACTCGTGAGTGTAAGCAGCGGTATCTAACAGAGACCGCAGGTACTCAAAGCGAGTCGAGACAATCATGACCTTAAAACACCATCAATATCAAGCAGCAATTACTGCGACTGACACATTGTCATGTTACGAGTTGCTGACATTGATGACACCCAAGCCACTGACTTTAGCCTACCATGTCCTGGGCCAGTAGGCTTCAGCCGTTATGCTAATTCCTGGTTTGGGTTTTGCTTTCTTCTGGGGCACGCTACAATAAGCTTGCACGATGACATTTCGCTGCTTCAGAGACTGGCCAGAAAGGAGCTGAGATATAGCCGAAGCTGAACTAAGAGGACCTAATGATGCTGATGATGCGGACGCGGGTGCGGAGTAGCTCGGAGGCATGCGTCTGTTCGCTTGTTGCTCCTCATGTTGGGGAATTCTTGATCAACAGCTTCTCATCTTGATGACCATCGCTTTTCAAAATTCTTCTCCCGCTGGTGCCGCCTTCACCGCATTCTCTGTATCGTCCCTCAGCGGCAATATCACCATCATCGTTCTCAAGAGAGGTCAACTCAGCTCCTACTTCGTCTTTTCCTCTTGCTCACTCTGTCTTACTCGGATATACGCACGCCTATGCCTTTGATAGCCAACCAGGGTTCTCGTTCCCCTGCTCTCTTACCCTTGTTCTTGTCCATGCCTTGGCTTGGCTCCCCACTCACATCACCTCCTCCCCCAGGCTTGCGCCATCTCAACCAACCGTTCCTCGTCATCCGTCTCCCTCAATCGCGCCGTCTTTCCAACGGTAAACCCTTCTCCCCTCCACTCCATCTTCTTTGATATCCCAGCAGCCCTCTAAATCTTCGTCCCACTCCCACTCCCTCCTCATCCTCCTCCTCCTCCACCATCATCATCATCATCATCATCATCCTACCAAGGCAAGGCAAGGACGAATACCAGCCGCACCTACAATAAACCAGGCCAAACCATCCACCTATCTATCTATCTATCTATCTATCTATCTATCTATCTATCTATCTATCTATCTATCAAACAACCACCTTGTCCCTAACTGGCAGTACGGGCATTAAACATCCTCAGCACCATCATTATCTTTTGTCGCTACACGACCAACTGCCTGGTTTTACTCTGCCGTATACGGCATCTCCTCATATCAAGCATCACCACTTTAGGGCGGCAACCATAAACACCAACAGAGCAGTCTCCTCTTTGCGTTACAGTGGTCCATCCTTGACTTGACCTTGAACCACAAAGAATATAGCCCACGCGCATCTTGTGCAGTATCAACTTTATATTACCAAAGCTCCCATTACAGTACCTCGGTCACACGATATGCCATATCCCTGAACGTGGAATCATTACGGCCTTATTATCACATTTCCAACAGTTTACGGCACGCAACGTTCTGTTACAAAGCGCACGCATCACATTACAGTGCAACACAGCGCAAATCGCATCGCATCGCGTCGCATCACATTGAACCACCCAAGGGGCTTCGCTTGATAATTACAACAGCGGCCGAACGGTACATCCCAGGCCTACTTGGCGCTAGAAGACCTCCGCTTTGGACGCCTTCAACCTCGTTTATTCCCCACATCCACGCGCGCCTCTTTCTGTCGCATCATCTCATACCTAACTACCAGGTTGGGGTACCTTTTGGCTTACGCGCAAGTGCAAGCTTGCATCACTCGCGCGCAATCATCCGTATTCTGCTGGAGACGAGACCTTCACTAATAAGAGTCACTCACCGTCGCTGGCACCCCCAATCCCAGCCCTCAGCGCGCCTTCATCTCCACCTCTTCCCGGCCTCTACTCTGTTAGTTAGGCTTTGATCCTGATTCTCAACTCTTTGGTCTTACCCAGGTTCTTGAGATCCCTGGTATTTCTTTGTGGAGTCCTTCGGTTCATTCGCATTTCAGGGCTAGTTGATTGGATCTTTCCTCCCCCCGGCATGCTCCTGCACCCCCCCTCAAGAGTCGTTTTTTCTTGCCCTAGGCCCCTAGCCTAGCTCCTTGCTCCTAGCTCCTTGCTCTTTAGCTCGAGGCTTCAACTTCCTGGTCTCAAATCCAAATCGCCACTGCAAGTGCGACTGATTCCCAGATTTCCCAGTAATTAGCTGCGTGCACTGCGGCACTACACTACTGCACCTTCCCTCCCCCACCACATTTTATACACTCAAGAGCGCGCAGTCCCGTCCCCTCCACCTGCCGCTACCACGGCCACTACTTTGTCCCCTCCCATCGCCCATCATTAACCATCCATCCACCATCAGCTTTCCATTCCACCATCACACACACGCACACACCCGCTCCATCGCATCGTCTAACCATCCTATTATTCATCTGTCAGTTCACTCGAACGCGTATTCTCGAGTCTTCAAAGAGGTCGGTTTGTTTCCGTTACGCGGCTGCTCTTCGTCTCACTTGCGCGCCCAACGTTGATCGCTGAGATCCATTTCCTGGGCTTCGTTGACGTCGTTGTCGCAGCCGTTGCACAACGCGATCCGCGTCTACATCTGATCTCTTATCACCCCCATCACCGGACAAAGGTAAATTCAGCAACTCATCTCGTTCCTTCCATTTTTCTTGCGCTTGCTTTTTCTTGCGCCTCATTCTTCGTGTCGTGTCTTGTCTTTCGCCTGTTTCATATTTCGCTCTTCTTTACACGCCTGTCCCGCCGCTGCCGCGACCATCGTTTGGATTCCTACGATCTTGTCTTGGTTTGGATCAACTCCCGGCTGAGTCTATGCCCCGGCCTGCGCTTGAGTCGCCATCCCCGAGCCAAGGCCTGGCTGGCCGCATCTCACATCACAAGGCCAGGCAGGTTTCCCACTTTAGCTCGCCATATAATCTGCAATTCGCCATTCACGCTCAGAGACGCGCCTCCTTCTGGCCACCAACCACGTGCGACTGACGCTGCCCTCCTTCTGCATTTTCTCCAACCCTTCAACTCGCCAATCCAAACATCTCAGGACACGTCGCTGTCGCCTTTCCGTGGTCGCAACTTTTCCCGTCCCCTGCTGGCTCGGCAGCTTTGCCATGTACTCCGCTCAGCAAACCCGCGCTGATGATGCGACAATCAATCCAGCCGCGCTCAGCTCACCTGGTAAGTTGAACAACTCTGTTATATTCTTTCTGTGATCGCATTGCTTCCACAGACTTTCCCTCGTCATTTCTTCATATCACCTACACCCGTCGATGTGAATATCGCTTGGACAAAAACTCCATGATGAGTTCACTTGCCCCGCACTCCGCCGTTCCGGCACCTCATACCGGATATAGAGTTGCGGAATAGTTGCGCCACCCGTGATCACCGTCGGATCTTAATCTAACTTGAAATTCAATTTGCTGACCAGCCTTGACTAGTTATAAGTATATCACAACAGCCGCAGCGTACACTGAAGCGCAGCCATTCTCCAGGACTTTACGATACGCCGCAGCCTGGCAACGATGGTATGTCGGCGAACAAGTAGTTCGCCGCTACTTTACTTGTTTGTTGCGCTCCGCGCTACTTTGCGCCAGGCAGCGCAATTATATGCGATCATTTGCGATTTCTCGCGGGTTGAATCCCCATTTGCCCGACTTGCGTCTTCTTTCGTCACAGCTTTTACCCACAAGATGATGTCACGAACGACAGAAGGTACTGATCAGTGTGATTGCAGGTGATACGAAACCATTTCGAAAACGAGCCAGACCGATGAATAAACGATCTTCAGGGAGCATTTCCGAGGCTCCCGGGCAGGCTGTGGCCTCGACCCATCCTCAAGCGATTCATCCACCGCAGACTCCTCAGTCTCAAGGTTCAGCGTTGCCCCAAGTCAGTCCTGCCTACACACCAGCACAGACGCAGATGCCGCCAAAGACCACACCAACAAAGTCAACTCTCAAAGCCCTGCCGACCGTTCGCGATCACACAACCGACCAGCTCAACGCAAGTGGAGACGAATACTTACCTCGCGAGATCGACGAGTTTGGAGAGAAGAAAGTCCAGCCCAACGGTACGCTGAATGGAGGACGTGAATACAAGTGCCGGACCTTCCTGGTCCCCAATAGAGGGGACAAACTTTTCATGCTTGCTACTGAGTGCGCCAGGGTTCTGGGCTACCGAGACTCATACCTCCTTTTCAATAAGAATAGGTCTCTTTTCAAGATTATCGCCAGCCAGGCCGAAAAGGATGATTTGGTCCAGCAAGAGATCCTCCCGTTCTCATATCGCTCCCGACAGATTGCCATCGTTACTGCTAGGTCTATGTTCCGACAGTTTGGAAGTCGTGTGATTGTCAACGGTCGAAGAGTCCGCGATGACTATTGGGAAACCAAGGCCCGGAAACAAGGATTCACGGAGGCTGACCTTGCCGGTGAGAAACGCCCAGGTGCCACAAAGGCAAGAGAGGCGGCCGAGGCTCAGCAGAACAACGTCTTGTTGGCTGGTCCCCACCCGGAGATTGTGTACAGCAACAACCCAGGACCGTTCCCCGGCCCCCCGCAGCCGCATCTTGTTCAACCAGGTATGATCGGACCACCACCCGGAACTACGACAAGAATGCCCGGATTGACACTAGGATCAGACCTTAACGACTCCCGACCACGTGATTATTCGGGAATCCTCAAAGGCGGACCTCGCCAGGAGATCACCGGCCCTGCTTACCAAGACCAGACTCGCCCCTCGCCCCTCGGGGAGCTGAATGCCCAAGCCCACCACGCCGCCGATTTCAACAGATCTGTTAACCAGCAGCGGGATATGCGGAACGATTATCTTCAAGGACTTTGGCGCCGCCCACACGAGCAGCCCCCTTCCAATCTTACCCAGCAGCCTGTGGCACCTGCCGATAATTCCAATGCTGCGACCAGTAGGCCTTCGCACTCGCCTCACACGACGGCCACGGCTATGTCTCAACAACCTGGATTGGTATCCACCCAGAGCCCTCAGATGATGATGACCACAGCGCCGTACTCCCAGTCCATCAGTGCCCAGAGCAGCCTCAGTCAGGCACCCATGAGAGGTATGGCTCACTCACCAACACAGTCGAACATCAGGCCAACGCTTCCAGGCTCAGCAGGCTCCTTGTCGCAGGGAACACCTGGCTACAACTATCAATCTGGACAGATGTGGCCACAGACTCCTCAGGCACCCCAGCATAGCTACGGCAGCTACACTGCTCAATCCCAAGCACCTCACCCGTCGCAGTCACCTTCCTCGCATCTCCGCCAGCCCAGCTCGGGCCAGATGCAGAGTATGCAATTCCCCGGCATGGCAGGTATGCAGTATGGCGCAAGCCAGAGCATGTATCCTGCAGATCAAACACCTCGACAGTATATGCCTCAGCAGGGTGGTGCTGGAGGGCCGTCGGTCTCCCAAGGTTGGTCTGGTCAGCATTCGCCAGCCCAGCAATGGTGGACTCCTGGGCAACAGCCTCAGTAGTGGATGTGAGAACTGATGGGTGATGCGAAATGACGGAATGATCTGACCTACGATGACTCTTGTTTTGATTCTGAGACTCGAATTGGTCGTGTGGCTTTTTGCTTTCTTTTTTCTCTCATTCTCAGCTACTTTCTTCAGCTGTCTTGTCTTTTATACATCTTCAGCCGGAAGTCTGCTATCTTCAGCCTTGGCTCCTCTAGATATCCGAGCATACCATTGTTGGAGGGTCTATGCGCATTTTAAGGGGCCTTTTTGGCTTGAAGATCTGCTTATAGTATTTGGGCGGGCTTGGATAGAGGAGTCGGACAGGGCAGGAACACGGATTTGTTTACTTCTGTAGCCCGGTTTCGTTTTTATTTGTGGGTTTGCTTTTTAACTTTGTTCTAGGAGGAACTGTTTGGGAACATACATGGATTTTTTAACGTACCATGTTACTTTCTGTTATTCGGCTGGGATTTTCTTTTTCAGAGGCAAAGTACTGTTCATTTCTGTGCTCTCACGGATGAGGTTTCAATGGGCGACTATGCTTGGTGCGTCGCAGGGTTGTCGTTTATGCTGGCGAGGCATATATCTATTAGGCTTTCATTTTGATACCACGTCACTCTTCCATTCGTCTTGTTTAACATTTCATTTATATTGCAAACTATCCCTACTCCGTTGGTGCAAAATGCGACTGTCGCCGACTCGGGAACAGTTACGTGCGAATGAGGAAATGCATCTACCAAGCATTATTCCCCGACTTAATCAATGACATAATCCCTTGTGTTTATAGCCCAACTCGGCTGCAATCATGCACGCACTCATTACTGCTGGATGTTGAGAGTAAACTTGCTACGGGGAGTAATTATCACAAGACCACACTCTTGGGTACCAAAGATGGATTTTGGTTTTTGAGAGTTACCATATCAAGTCTCCTAGCCTATGAGCATGATTCGCAGGTTGAACTGCTTGCTGCGGTGCAAAGAACTTGACGTGTTGTCTTGTCTTGTCCGTGCTTGTGTCGTACAGGCGTGCCACAGCAGCATGTTTTGACCCAACCCAGCAAATCGGGCCCCGTAGGGCATTGTCATCCAGTGTTGAGGTTTCACGTACAGGGTTCCCAGTGACAGCGCGGTTACGCCCGTCGGGATGTTGTTGTCCGGACAGGTGTTCACGGCTGGGTCTGTCTTGTGAGAGGGCATTTGAGAACGCGTAGCGTAGTACGACAGCTGTGCTTTAGGGTTGGGCTCAGTTGGGTGTAGATCGGTAGTTATGGAGTGGAGCTGCAAAGACCGCGTAGAGTTGCAGCTAAGCATCGAGTTTATATGCCAAGGGACGGGGGCTGTTGGTGAGAAGAATAGTACTATGCGATGGCATGTAAACAACACTGATCCAGTGGCGTTATTGACGTTTTAAATCATCCAACTACTCCAATGACATCGAATGTGGTGCGCTGCGCTGTGCTGCGTTGCGCTGTGTGTGTGTGTGTGTCCCCTAATCACTCTCATCTCCATCCAAGGCCTCATCCCTCTCGTCTTTCCCTTCCTTAAGCTCGAGGGCATCCTGTGTGTCGTCGCCACTGGCTTCTCCCTCGCCCTCGCCCTCATCTTCCTCCTCGTCTGCTTCGACATCGACATCAGAATCTTCAGGGATTTCTACCTCATCCTCCGTCACGGCATCCTCTTCGACCTCGGCGTTTCCAGACTCGACACGGGGACGCTTGGCGAGGGGGCCTGTCGAGGCGATGGTCGTATCCCCGTCTGCATCAGTCTCGACGTGGGAAGTGTCTGGCATATCGGTGTCCGGACCGTCCGACTTCTTGGCGCGGACCTTTTGACGGTATGATGTGCGTTTCTCGGTCTGGATGGCGTTGAACTCTTGGTGTGGTGTTAGTAGTCTTGTTACGTGTGGTATCCCTTAACCGTCCAGGAAAGAAATGTAGGTAAAGAGATAGACGTACTGGCAAATTCGGCTTCGAGAGGCTCTTTGAGGAAAGCAAACTCGGTCTCCTCAAGGGCTTTGAAAACATCTGCGGGGGAGATTGTCTTCTTGCCGGCATTCACGGTGTTCTCATTGGCACTGGGTTGGAGGTCAACAATGGTGTCTCAAGTGATAGAGCTTCTCCCGGGAAAGACGTACTGTGAGGCTAGGTAGTTGATAAACACTGTGGTGCTCTGGCTCAGGGCCATAATAGCGTTGGCCTGGATTTGTGTGTTTGGGGGTAGAACGCCCTTGGACAGCCGTGTTATTATGGATTTGGGAAGGGTCAGATCCTGTGGCCTATATTAGCAGGCACTTCTTAAGTTTGAGCTTCCCCCGTTTGAGGATATCAGATATCAACATCTCAGAAATGCTTTCTTATTCCCCTGCTTACTTCAATAGTGGTGTGCTCTTTAGGCTCCTTAGACTCCTTGTCCTTGTCCTTATCCTTATCCTTCTTGTCAGATGTCTGCACCGGAGAAGATCTCTCTGCAGCTTCAGCCTCGGTGCCGGCATTCTCAACAACTGTGGACGCAGGTACTGAAGCTGATTCGGGTGCCGATGCGGATGCAGGTACTTGCGTGGTTACAGAGGCATCAGCTGGTGTAGGTGCGGGTGCGGGTGCTGGACTTTGTCCGAGGGGGGAGGCATCGTCCATTGGTACAAAGCGTGCGGTAGAGGTATCGCTCTTACGCGAGTTGGATTTGCGGGGCGGCATTATGTGATGATGGTGATGGTGTTTTGTTATGTATGAGAGATCTGATGGTGTTGACCGCCCAGGTACTTGGTTGGCCTGCTGTGCTGTATCAAATAGTCCAACTGATGAGGTTTATATTTTATATCCCGTTCAGAATAATAGACAGGGCAAAAAAGGCGTCTCGGATCTAGCAACCACTTGGTTACCCTTCTTTTACCCCTTTCGACCAGAAAGCTCTCGGCCACCTATTTAGTGAATGATCCGGCAAGGTCGGAGAATATTGTGATACCGTCTGACTGATATCACTGTTTCCGGTTGGTCTTTCAAGTCTGCAAGTGCTGTAGTTACAGGCGATGATTGGCTGTTTATTGGAGATTGACTGAGCGAGCAAAGTGAGGTTCAAGGCACATTAGTTGAGTGCAAGTTTAGTGAAGGCGCGAAGATGGATATGGGCTTGACGCGATGCCCCGCTGTGAGTGGCTAGAAACGCGTTAAGTGGTTTTTTGCTGTTGCTGTGGGACAAGCTTCTGGAAAAAGAGAAGAGAAGCAAGAATGAGTGAAACATCAATTAAGTTTGAACTGGAAGAAATTGACAACTTGAACTTTACTCCTATGCATAGGGAGATATCACAGTTCACAGATTAAGGCAAAAATGATTGTCAATTTTGTTCAGTTGAGCATTGTATGTATCTATCTCTATATATCTAGCAATATACAGCTAGGTTGTGGGTTCCATCTCAGTGTGCCATGGACATTCAACAACTGTCCTATCCTTGTCTCCAACAAGATGCCTCGCGAATCGCCAGGCTCTGGTGGCCGTCAACAGCATTTCGCATTTGCATGTGCATGTGCATCAAAGGTCATGCGTCGCATAAACGGACCGTGTTATTATCCATTCATACCGCTCGCTCGCTGCGTCATGATAAAAATGAGGATGTAAAAAAGAAAATAAAGGAAAGTCTGGGGTATATCCATCATCAAATCAAAATGCACAAATTCCTCCGTGTTCCGGCCGGCCAGCGCAAAGTGCCAGCACATAAAATCAATATCAACCTCCCTCGAAAACACAAACGTTAACACAAGGTCAAGGGAGTTAAGATGAGGCGGAGTCAACCAAGCTCATTACTGCCTCTACCAGAGGAGTGAGAAGAGAAGAATAAGAAGAAAATAAGAAAGAGATAAACAGTGGGTTCATCGGTGTCCGTAGAATGAATGTGGGTGAAAAGATTGCGATAAGGTTGCGTCGGACGTCATAACACTGACTCTCTTTGTCATTAACGAAATGAAGTAATATCTTCATGTCAATGCCGAGACTTCATCACCGACAGTCTGTTCGCCTTGCAATGGCGATTGTTTCTTTGGACCGGATATAGTCGTTCCAGAAATGGGTCACGATATTCTCGGCCCCACCGTTTGTTGGCATAACTGGGGTCTTGATGGGGTTCGACGGGGGTTGAAACGAGCTATCACGGAAACCGTTTCTCGATGCGGTTCGGGATGGTAATCAACGATGCCAGGGTAGGCTTGCTTGTTCAACTCCGTTGAGAAACTGAATCGTCAGGTTTTTCTCCCCTTCTCTGATCGTTTAACCAGGCTTCTCAGCTGGGGGGTTCAACCGATAGCCCTGCCAATCTCTGATTGTCGGAGGAAGGGCCGCGGTGAAAGGCCTCCCATGAAGACCTCATCATCAATTGATAGCCGGTTCATGGTTGCCATTGGATGCATTCGCTGATGTCGAATATCTAGAGATCGATTCTCCCGGGGCAGATATTCACTGGAACTGCGAGTGCCGAAGAAGGCATCGGGATAGTGACCATGCCAAGGATCCCGGGGTGACACTGCACTCATAGTACTGCTGCGACTGCTGCGGGTTCGGCTATGGCGAGCAGAAGGGGGTAGCTTGGCTAATCTTGATGGTTGACGCTTCAAGGGTGAGATGAAGGCATCTTCGCCCTGAACAGCCTCATCGGTGAGACCTGGGCGTGAGTTGGGAGCGCGGGCAATGACTGGACTTGATGGGACATCGATGCTGCGCTTGTGGTGAATTGAGCGAGGTGAAAGCTCTTCAGAGACTCGAGGATGAGGGCGATCGTAGACGATGACACTCGGGGGTTTGCGGATAGAGCTGAAAGATGTGCTCTTCTGTCTTTGGTGATGTTCAAGTTGTGCCTCAAGGTCATCAGCGTGCTGTCTGTTTGCGGCCTCGATGATCTGCATCTTCTCGCGGGTCCTGTCCTTCTTCCACGACTCGATCTCCTCATCGTTGATAGGTGTGACGCCTCTCTTGAAGGAGAAACGCCGTTGGCGGCTGCGACGGTAGAACAGGCATCCGACTGCGGTGATGGCGGTCAAAGGAACTACAGTCGCGAGGACAATGATGAGAACTTGGAGTTGTGAGTAGTTCATGGTGATATCTCCATTCTGTGGTTGTGAGTGGAGGTGCGAGAGCGAGTAAAACAATGTTGCTCCGGGAATATCTCCACTTTTGCTGAAAAGTGCAAATTGAGAAGAGAAGATGAAGGAATGCTGGTTGAGCTTGAAGGGATTATTGACTTCTCCAGGTTGCAGGACTGTTGAAATGGTCAGTAGTTGAACCAAGCGGGTAATGGGTACAGCAGATTGATGTGCCGACCACTATATATCATTCAAGTAGAGTAGAGGATATGTACATGTATATGTACAAGTACATTTAAAATAAGGCAAACTAACAGTCAAGCTACTGCTCGGGATTGAGCTTCGATGCTATTCGGAGCGGATTGAATGGGAATGACCGACTCAGTTCGCTTCGTCGGTGTAAGTCGACTGTCGACCTAGAAAGAGGATGATATAGACTATCGTCGATACCTTGGCCAGACAGAGGTTGAGATGAGGCGATGGATGTAGCGACCAGGAACTCGAAAGCCCTGTATGTGGCACAGGCAGGACAAAGATCGAGAGGTAGAGATGAAGATGGGGGGGAGGATGAAGCTATATAGAGACTGGGGGTTTCAAAGAGTGGGAATGGGTGTGCAGTGTTAGACCATCGCCAACACTAACACTACCATGTACTCCGTAGATGCAGATGCAAAGGTACGGATACGGAGTACTACGGGACGGTAGCGTCATGAGTGAGAACGGGAACGATGGGTCTAAAGTGTACTTGGATCGTCATGGTCAGCGTGCAACATCAGATGCTATGGTGAGAGACAGGAGACAGAAGAGACGGGAGAGAGGAGGTGTGGAGTTGAGTGAGTTTGGGGGTGGGTGTGTTAGAAGGGGGGTATCTGGGGGTCTAGTTAGGGTGTGTGGGCTCTGTAGATACGGTATTAGTGAACTAAAGTAAAGTGAAGGTGAGCTGCTGATACATGAAACCCTGGTTAACAAACCCACCAAGAAGAACTGAACTGACATTGCGACCAAGAACTGGGTCTCCTGTTTTTCCACAAGATATTATTAGTGTACGCGTTCCTCGTTCTGCTCAGGTACAGGGTCTAAGAATGCCCTGCATTGCATTGCATACTCATCGTCAAAAGAATCCTGGAAGCCTGCAAAGACAACACAGAGCAGACATGTGCCAGCTAGCACTAAAGCAGGGAGGAGAAACAGAGAAACAGAGAAACAAAACAAAAAAACAGCCAATGCCAATCGATATTGACCTCGTGCCTGAAGCTGTTGAAACTTGGAGGTTTAAATTCCCGCACAGCCAATCCAACTCGACTCGTGCCTTGTGTTGTGTTGCACTTTTTTTTCTTCTTACCATCCCATTGTGAGAGAAACCATCAATTCATTCGCTCTCGCTACAGTGGAGATGGAGTGGAGAGTGGAGAATGGCCACCCTGGTGAGACCCGACGGCGCTGAGCACGGTTCAAGACGTTTTAGAGCCACCATCTCTTTAGAAGTGGAGAAAGGCATGGGCGCTGAAGGCCAGTGGAGGTTGTGTTAGAACGGGGGAACAGGGGCTTTCAGAGTTAGACCTTCATCACCACGTACCTATTCCGTACAGTACTACAGTAGAGGTAATCTAGCGAAGTCTACTAATACGTAGTGACGTTAGTATGAACGTGGCACCCACAGGGACGTGGAAGAAGGAAGACATGAATGTTAATTAATTAATAATTGCTCAGACTGCGTCGTCTGATAGACAGCTTTACTTTTAAAACCGATTAGGGCATTGTCATCTTAAGATTCCTTTACTGTATTCACATGTTGCTCAAGTCGGGTTGAAACGCGGATATAAACATAGAATACCTAATACTAGGTACCATAGGTAGGTACCTCTAAATTCTATACTTACCTATCCTTATTTCTCAGATGTAATGCGGCAGGACTTATCGTAACATACATTCCTAAGTGGCAGTTTGTACCTTGCATTAGATAGACAGGTAGGAACTACCAGACTCACTCCTGTAAATGCTTCCTTCCTATCATGATATTCCGACTTGCCAGTGACCCAAGCATCAGACAAACCAGGCAAGAGGCACCTCCAATCCCAATGCCCATCACCAATGCTTTCTGTCTCATCCCTTTATCTTTACCAAAACACCTTCACACTCAGCCAAATACCATCAACATCAACTCTTCTGCAAATCGAGATCCAAAGCCAGGATCCCCCAGATTTACATTACAGCCTCACCTCCTCTTGATTAAGCCCTCTCACATTGTCATCACTTGCGCCTCCTTCCTCGTTTAAAAGCACGGAATAATCTGGCCTTACTAAGGGTCTAAGACAGGCATGCTGCAGAATGCAGACATGGCCATGCGTCAACTTGGCAAGGGAGAAGCATTAGTCTAAGTTGGCTATCACTTTAACAAACCGGTCACTCCGTACGGACACTCCAGAGCTCTCTCCATTCTGCATCTGAACGTATTGCAAACGCATACCATCAAAGCGCAGAAAAAGCAAAGACATTGCACGGCTCGGGCCCCTCGGCTAATTCTTAGTCTATGTTCCCAAATATGGATGGCCACGACACCAAATAAACGAAGGATGTCACTCACCCACAAGTGATAATCAGTGTGGTCAGCAGTCGCGATCAAATGCAAGGGGGCCAGAGATGCGACTTGCAAGGCTGGCCTCGAAAACACCGCCAGACCTGGAATGCTCAGAGATGAGATATTCCTGGCCCTTTGTCTTCACTCTCCCATCGTGAAGCTTGTGTCTCAGTCCGTCACGTCTCATTTTGTCTATTCACAATGTGACGATAGGATGTAGAATGAGACACGCGGCAATCACGTTATCCACGCTCAATTGCTCTCCACTTTCTCCCTCTATGGACAGCTCCACGATCAATACGGGAGCTGGGAAATTGCCCCTCAGCAGAATAACTTCACGAATACGCATGGCCTTATTTCCAATCTAGCCATGATAGAGGACGAGTGCCATCAACTATCGTAACATGGGAACCATCAACATCATACTATACCATCCCCTCTGTGGCACGTAGTTTTGACATATCACCCTCTGGTAAACTGAGACCTTTGGACCGGCTCGGCTATCTGCCACCGTGCCTGGCAAAAAGCCCGAGTCGCGCGGCATATCAGGTGTCTTTGCAACAACTCCCCCAAGCCAAAGACCAAGGCTGGTTCAAAGGACAGTTGATATCGTCTTGGCTATGCGTGGTGAGCTCCTCTACAAGGCCATGGGTCTCTTGTCTATCTCTGTGCATTTATTTCCTCGTTCTGCGACTCTATGATGCATTTACTCTTGTTCTCGATGTGCAGACAAATCATTGCTTGAAAATGTATCATACTTCGACTCTGACCATTTCACAATCGCGAACAACGTTCAGCCACACTGTGATACGAGGCCGCCTTGCTCTCTCTCTCTGTGTGTGTGCTGTTGCTCCTGCTCCCAACCTCTCGATCAATAAGTTTACATGAAGTACGCCAAATGGAGATGCATGACAACGCTCTGTTAGGCATGCTTGACCTAGAACTTCACCCATTGCTACTATCTTGCACGGATATCAGCCTTTCCGACCTGAGCTTGCCTAATTGGGCAGAAAGGCTGCCAGACATCAAATAAACAGGACCTATCATCCTGGCTGTTTCAGTGCCAACGTGGGAAATTTTCAGCTTTCAGGCCAAGTCGAACCCCTCAGCCGCGACACCCTGGCAGCTGGCCTGCATGTTCAACTTTCCGGCTTGAAGGCGTCCCCTAATCACATATCGGGCTGGAGAGGGGCTTAATGTATGAACTAAGTGTCTACTGTTTAAACAGTTAAATTAATCAACGCCCTATTCAAACTAATGGAACTATTTGAGACTTTGAGTCTCAGACTCTTTACTTGAACGTTCCAGCCGTCACCGCCTTCAAAACCAAGCTCGTGCTGTTCCATGTTATGGGTCACCTTCAGGTCTTGGAACAAAAATTAAGATGGCACTCGGCTTGTACCATACTAGTCTGGTCGTTTGTCTTGTTACGCCGATGAGAAAATGACACAAACAGAGCCTGTCCATGTGGGTGAATGCTGTTTGGAACAAGTCAACGGTGTCTATGTGTTTATGCGTCAAGAGGCTCTTACAGATTCTGCCAGTTCCCAAATATGTTCCTGTGCCTGTCTTTGCTTGTTCCTGGTTCCTGGCCGAATCACGCCACCGGTGCAGCTGAACAGCACCCACGACCTCTCCACCTTGAGCCTGGTCTCTCGTGGATGCACACTAACTCATGAGGATTCTCTCTGTTACAGACCGCCATATCGTTTCGGACAGCAATAACCTTAGCGGGTCAATACTAAGAACTAGTTCCTCTCGATCGAAAGGATACCCCATGATATGATTCAAGGCCCCTGCACTTGATTCAACTCCTTATTGAATTCCACGATAATGTCAATCTGTCTCAGTTGAGCCATATAACGATCGCAATGTGATGCTCATCAAGAGAACAGACAGGAAGAGACAGAGTTAAGCGTCAAGCCCAAGCGTAAACTTGACCCAAGTAGGTCATCGTCTCCGAAGGCTAAGCGAAACCATGCTGTGTTTAATGGACGGGAAGAGCCTATCAGCGGGACGGCACACAGTCCGATCTTGTTTGTTAGTCTCCCTCTCCCCCGGTCTTTGAGCGATTCTCTCTCAACGAGACTAGACCACTTCTGTCTGGTGCCGGTCTTAAAGGTGATTCCTTCATTCTAGCGTAGCAGCTGTTCTTCGCGAGCCTGGCTATCACCAGCCTGGCCACTGACTTAACCAGGTCGTTGTTCATTAATCGGTTTCGTTTTTTCCCGCAACTCAATTTGGAGAACTTGCTTGTCCAGTTTTCTCCCCACTCTTTGCCGAGGAATGTTGACGTCGCATGAATGTCTCATATCATCAATATCAAATATGCTCTCCTGTTTGGAGCCCATTGCCTCATGGCCTAAAAGGCTGAAGAGGCTGAGCGCAACCTCTGCCCAGTAGCCAATATTCAAACCAGATGCCTGGAGGGGTTGCGATGAACTACCACGATCTTTAGATCCTTGCTCACTCGTCCTTGCCTGTTGTGGAGAAGGAAAATCAGGGGTCAGCGATCAGAGTTGAAGGATGTTAGTGAACCTTTCATCTTTCTTAGGCTCACACACCATACACCGCTTCTTCAAGAAAGAGATGCCATGAAATGAGACGAGTCTCTTTCAACTTCAACTTTAACACGACTTTTTGTAACAATCAGCGGCCAAATAACCATTCGGAATGGGAATATGCATCATGACCTGACCGAAGTTTGCCAAGATCACCATGACCGTCGCCAGCGTTGATGGACTTCACAGCTGTTGCCAAGCCTCCACGTCGTGAAAGATGAAAGCCACCGCTACTACGTAGTTGGTAGGTATTGATGGAGTTCCTGCTGCTCCCTCACTCTCCAAACTGCAGCAGTGGGTTTACAGAACCGGCTGAAAAGGTGGTGGGACGCTGAAACCATGACCTTGGGTTGGCTAGAAGGGCACACCACGACTGAAATGGGCTCAAGTGTCAGCCACGCGTAGCCGTTTCTTAGAGTACTACTCCGTAGAGCACATGTGCTGCGTAGTACCTATCTGATCGCGCTCCTCCTGCAAGGCACGCGTCCTCCTGATCATGGCGAAATCTGTGAGGGGTAGGATGGCCATGGGCATGGAGATGAAGTTTAGTCCAGGGTCGGCCGCTGGTTGGTCCAATTCGGCATCTCGACTTACCTCTACTTCCCGTTGCGACTTAGATCAGGGTCTGAAGACTTTCTCCAGATCAATCTCCGTAGCATTTGCGCCTCTTCATTCGTCAAGGCTTTTCCCCCCTCGCGTCTGACATCGTGACAGCACCATCAGCAAATGATTTGCAGCCTTAGCTCGATGCCGTCGGGGCATCGTCCCTCCGATATCTCATCGTCTGCTAACGTTAGCATGCGACACAAGGCTGAGCTCGTGACAGGGTCGAGCAAGTGAGTTTAATTGCGCTCGGCCTGAGCAGACGAGAAAAGCAAGTCGGCCACCGTCTGTCTGGCATATGCAGCCGGTTGCCAATGGCAGTAGTGAGGAAAGTAGCCGTGATCGATCATGAGCAAGATCTGTGAGTCTAGTCATGGTCGATGGGCAGAACCAATATCAAAAGCAGGATCTTGAGACATTGGATGGAACGGCAGGCGGGATATCTCGGCAACATCTCTACCCGTCCACCCCATGATACCGGTTGAGATAATGATATTGACCTTTATCCAGTCTACAAGCTCCATACAGGCTGCGTCGCCATGCAACAAACTCATATCTCTCTTTTGGACAGCGGGTTGGTTCAATCTTCAAAGCATGACAGCGTCATTGCGAATCCACACTCTATGTGTGTTTCTCCTCCCCCGCCGTTTCAAACGTCAAGCATCTCCACCTTGGCATTGTATCACAGATGGGGCGCGATAAGGAATTGCTTTTGGCTGACATTCACTAATGTGCAGTGATCCTTCGAGGGTCTTCGATTTCCACTCTGGCACAGGCTAACAGGTTGGCATTTTACCCTCCTCCAATGGTGATGATAGCTTGGCTCGCAATGCATTGGTGGCCTACAGTCGCATACAATCAGACAGACCATGCGGCTTGCCGTTTGTCGACAAAGGGCCTAGGACAATATCATTCAACAGAGAAGCCACGAATTATCGCGGCACAACGTTCCCTTCCGACAACCCTGCCATTGGTTCTCACGGAAGTATCGGATTTGTCAAGCAACAGACGGTGTCAAATAAACGAGACAAAGAACTGAGTTATGTCTTACTCGCATTAGACCCATCATTCTCCAACATTTCTTGGTCTGTAGTGAGAAGCATGACTCGTGCGTCTAACATTTAACTAAATAGAAGAGCCGCAGATGCCGTTTGCTCAGGGCAGTAAAAGATCAATTCGATGCTGTGGCTGGACTTGGCATCTTAGGTCGTTTCTGAGGTTGCGGCAAGCTAAACTAATATGACAGGGTCCTACACAAGCATTATCCCTGTCTGGCTTTGATCGATCGTTAGCCGACGACTGAAAGAATGTGTTTTGGATTTTCCAAGGTCTACCCAGGCTTGATGCTTCAGAGATTTTGCGGTGAACGATGAAGCAAAGGAAATTTCACAAGAGCTTAGGATTTCCAAGATTTACGCATCATGAACTGGGTCAGCTAGACAATATCAGCGTGAAATTTTACAGAACAACTCCACCAATATTTTGTTCACGGTGGCCAAATCGGGACTTGAACCAAGACTGCGTTCAAAGAGGCAGCGGAAGTACACCAAGAATAGAGCGTTCAAAGGATCATCTCCCCCACAATCCTGAGAGCAAGCATTTCTACTATAGGTAAGGACAGACCCGGTTCTTCTTACCGCTAGAAGAGCTTTGGGGGGGCGAGTTTGGAGTTTGGACTCCATCTCTATCCGTACGCGATGGCTAATGCACTCGAATCTGACTCGCATTTAGGTGTTGGTTATGAAATGGCCCGGTCCAATCCAGCAGAGACACAAAACACGATATCCACCGTGAACTTGACAGTTGTGGATTTACGACTTCGGGGCCAAGGCCAAGGCCATTACTATTGCAGCCCAACTTAACCGAGCCTCTGCAAACCGTATCCTAGTTAATCAATCATACTCCTCTCTTGGGGAGGGTGGATAATGGACTATGGGTTATAGACATGCGGCTCTTGAACAGCATGAGGCAAGGAAATAACCCGAGGGTTGCTGTGATAGTGCAGGGATCTGTCAGCAAATCGCAGTTGCAGGAACCATTTACAAGCGGCGTGCGGTGCCAACGGATTGCTTCACTGCAGACCGTCCTATTATTTCTCATCCCAGGGCCACGGTCGAGGTTTCGTCTCTTCTCTGTGCAACGAACATGTTGTCGTCTAGGGCTGAGGCTAGCAGAGTGAGTAGAGGGCCTCAAAAGCTGGTCACATCTTGATCAAAGGGAATCTGTTGGCTCGTCGGCTCACATACCCATATCTGAGCCTGTTCCTGTTTCTGTTCCTGTTCCTCAACCACACTACAGGTTACAAGCTACGGATGCAACACAACCTAGGGTTGCAAAAGATGGTCGCATGAAACGTGGCATGTGAGTTGCTGCTTCTCGCCACCAAATCATGTTTCTGTTCCTGTTTCTATCGAGAAATGCCGCTTTTTCGCCTCATCTACGTTAGGGCTATTTGCCATTAATAACCGAATTATAGGATGCTATGTCATACCGTTATTATTGCTAACGGCCTGCTCAGGATCCAATGATGCTTCCTACATCAACAGCCACCCGTCTTGTTAGTTCTCACTCGTGCCGAGCCAGTTGTTTCACGACCTTTTTTTTTTTCACTTTGTCGGTTTCCGGTTAGATCCGCATATCACTTTGAATCGGTTGCTAGTCAGATAAAATCTGACATGGTGAACGTTGCCCAGGATCTTTATTGGATATTCGGCTTGATACATCCATCCCGATCACTTCTTGTGAGTAGCTTCATTACCGTCTAGGGTTGCAATTCTGGCCAAGTGTGCATATAGCATTGCAATTTATACTGGTGACTTTTCACGGATGTTACAGTGGCTAATTTCTTGACCCTGGTGTGAGGCTTCGTGACTGACTCGTCAAGCCACTATAACGGTTGAAGCTTCTCTGTCCGTGTTATTACCGCGTATAGTTTCAAGCCACGAAACTGCAGTGACCTACGCATGTCGTCAAACTTTGTACTTGTGTTTCGGGCGGTTGATACTCCGTCAGGGGGTAAGAAGCGGTGAGTTTGCGATTCGAAATTCATGTTCTTAATGATACAGGGTAGGTGGTCGAGAGTTGTAGCAAATTAGCTTAGTACTTCATGGTGATCGTATAGTAGCCAACTACAATTGTACAGGCTTGTATATTGTAATTATACTCTGGGGGCAGTATACTTATCTTGACGCTTTTTGGTAAGAATTTAAAGGGTTATAAGACATATGGACTTCGTACAGTTTGGTGGAGAAAAATGAGTTGATAGTGAAAGTTTAATGACGCTATTTTATCTCATGTTGGTTCTCAATCGATGAACAAGATATATCAATGCACCAGCAAAGAGAAATTTATTCAGGGGAGTATAGAAAGAGAACATAAAAAGACCACAGAAAGTATAACCAACCAACTAGCTATAGTTCAAGAGACTAATACACAATACCCCCCAACCAGGGAACCACTTTGTATCCCACCTATATCCATCTACGCCCTAACACCTTGCTTGACAACTCTCAGAACGACTCTGATCGCTCGATTCCCGCCTACAGACGTATAATCACCAACCCTGAGGACTAGTGACACCAGTTTCTGCCATGAGATGACCCCAATCCTCAGGAGCTGCAGGTTCCTCGACCCTCCACTCGTCGTTACCTTCCTGCGGAAAAAAGATGATATCCTCGTTGGAGGGATTCTGATGAGACACCAAGACGAAACCGTCACATCCCCTGCATCCCCAAGGCTCCTTTTTCATCATCATACACTCAAACCACGCCTCCTCACCCCTACGCAGGCGCTCCCGGCAGTACTTGAGTTCTGTGTACATGCCGAGGTCCCTCAGGAAGTCTAGGGCATCGTATGTGCACTCCTGGGAATGGTCGTCGCGAAATAACTTACCAATAACCCGCATCAAATGCGAAGGGTCAGCGTCTCGTGCCCACTCGAGCAGACGACACTGAATCTTGATCCAGATGACGATCCATTCGGCATCAAGACTACCACCCCCGAGACGGGCCTCGACAGTGGGGTTGGTAGAGGCGGCCGCGTTCTGGGGATCACGTAGCAGGGTATCTCCGAGCTGTCCTTTCCAGTTGCTGCTGTACCCTTTATGACCGCCAGCTTCAGTCATCAAGTGCGCAATCTGATGGACTCCAAAGTCGCAGGCCATGATCTCAGCAACCCCTTTCCAGGCCAGTTTCGTGTTGGGATTGGGTCTTTGCTCGTGGGAGAGTTCAGTTATGTTGTATCTCTCTGATGGGATAGCTCTTACTTCTTCAAGAGACACGGCTTTCTTCTTCGTGCGTCCTTCGTCCAACAAAGGTGCTGAACTAGATGATGGGCTATAACCCTCCAACTGGTGCACTCGAAAGCCAACCCGAGGAGGCAGTTCGCAACGGATAGACTCGCTATCCAGGCGAGCATCGTTGACTTCCGAGCCCATTTCCTGCTCATATGGAATAATTCTTACTCGACGCTGCACATCTTTGGCCTTTCTTGGACGCTCAAATGGTTCGCTACTATGGCCCTCAAAATCCGAGTCGTCACTTTCGCATATCGGGTCCAGGTATATATGGTCGCCATGGTTCCTTTCTATAACTTTCCGTATACGTTGGCGCAGCTGCGCCCTGGAAGCAACAGGGCTTTCACCCAGATACCTCGCTCGTGCAAGATGGCGAGCAACGAATCCTGATTCTGCGACTATACTGCGAGCCATATCCGCGGTCGTGCCCTCAGTCAAGCGAATGCCATCCCAGCGTCGAATAGACCTAGACCAGCCTGCGAAACTTCGTGTAGGGCACTGCAAAGTCGACAACACCGGCTCAGAAGCCCACAGAAGAGCCGCGTAGTTCCTCGCCGCACGTATGTCGAGCGGATGGGGCCCATTGCCAACATGAACATGGAGGCCGCAAGATGTGTTGACCCGGACACGAAGTTTGGTGGTCAGTAGTCGAACAACCGCCGACACAAGCCTGTATGCCTCATCGCAAGCATACATGGGCGGACTCGCAATCTCCACAGATTCCCAAGAGTACATGGGAGGCTCAGTCCTTCCTCCATCCTCATCGACCGAACCATCCGTCTTGACGATCCATGGATGCCCTGGTACTGAGTGGTCGTGACGCCCTTCTGCGTAGATGCCATGGTCCCGCAACAGGTCGATAACGACTTCATAAGCGCACATCTCATACGTAATTGGAGCGATGCCGGGAATCTTGTCGTCCGATTCCACATCCTTTGGCGAGGCCGGCATGAGGAATTCCAACTCGACGCCGAAACTGATGCGCGGAGGCCGCGTATACTTGTCATCCTGCTTTGTGTTGTTAGCTTCAGCCTCACTGTGCCCCTTCGCATGTATCTTGCCCTTTTCCTCTGTAGTCGGTTGACTCTTGTTATCCATCTCCATCTGTGGGGAAGAATTGATATCCACTGTAGAGTAGAAATGATGTTTTCTGGTGGTGATCTTCAACAAACGAGGGCCTGCTCCGCTGCTTGATAAGAAAGAAATATCGATGTATGAAGATGATTCAGGATAGACGCTCGAAGCTGCTGTTGAGGAGCTTCAGACCACGAGGCAACATCATCTCTATATATGTATGGCTTGACATTTCGACATCTGTTCAGCAACGTTAGCTTGTTCACATATCAACATAACGATCACCCCCTAATTTCTGACCCGATCATCGGCCGTGTTCAGCAATACCATCAGCGAACACAGCGACAAGATAACATCCCAACAGCCTTTTGTACAATCAAACAACTCAATGCACTACAAGTTGGTCCAAAATGAGAAATGCCCTGAAGCCAAAGCGATTCTTTGTTGTCTGTTCATAATCAAGTTCCCCTACTCCCTTTCGCCTCTTGCTATGATTGAATTGAACTGAATAGTAACGCATAAACAAATATTCACCTCCTTCGAGTGCGCCTTTCTCTCCTCCCTCTTTGAAAGGCCACACAGAATTGTCACCCACTCGCAGGTTATGTCTCCCCTTCACCAAACCGCCTCCCGGTTACGCCGAAGCGTGTCATTACCTCGTCCAAAGCTTCAACAAAGCTTCCATCGTTGTTCTTTACTCATCAAAAAGGTATCGCGTTGCATATCGGAAAGTTGTATTGTGTAAGAAAAATGTGCAGTAGAGTCAAAAACAGGCTTGCGCATAACTCCAACCTGGCGCCAAGGTACGGCACATGGCAGGCTGCCAGGATTTTTTTCGTGGTACTGCTGTTGGCAACACCCCGCGCCTTTCCCCCTGACACTCAGATAAGGTAAGCCAGCATGCCGAGAGCAACGGCAGCGGCAGCTCCCCGGCCGGCTGGCGCCATGGTAGGGGCAGCAAAAGCGTCAGAGGTTGTCGTAGACACAGACTCGGCAGTGCCAGTAGCATCAGACGAAGACTTGGTAGCTGATGAGGTGGCGGAGTTACTAGCAGTGGTGGTGCTATCATCGTCGTCGTCGTTGCTAGCAACATCCTTAGGAGGGTTTTGCTTCGCACACTTGGCTTCGATCTTGGATTTGCAGTCCCTCTGGCCCTGTTGACTCGAGGTGTTCTCGGTGATGCACTGGCTGAAGAGCTGCTGGCAGATAAAGGTAGGCATGGTTTGGGTGTAGTACTGAATGCCGGGGACCGAGCTGTTGGAGGAGCAGGTGCATTCCCACTTGAGATCAGTCTGGACGAAAGCGTTAGCATCCCTGCAAATACAAAGCGGTTGAACCGGGGAAATGTTCTACATACCTCACTGCAATCGTTGCTGTTGGTGTCATCTTTGCAAAGGGTGTCGCAGGTGTTAATCTGGGCTCCACACCAATCAGCTGTAAATCGTTAGCACAGCGAACAGTTTCGTAGCTTTCCAGTTCTTAGCACGTACACCTGGTGGCAATGTCAACAGCGTTGGGGTCGATGGTCATGTCGAGGGAGCTCTTGTAGGTCTTAACAGACTGGGCCGAAACAGCCGAGATGGCCATGGCGAGGAGGGCAAAAGAAGAACGCATCTTGAACGATGTTTGAATTGTATGTAGTTCGATGAGATTCTCGGGATTCAGACGGTGTGTTAAGTGGAAAAATGATGAATGGATGTTCTACGTGTTGTTGTTGTTATTGTTTGCGTAAGGTGATTGAGGTGGATACCCTTTTTATGTTGTAGATCCTGAGGATTGATGCAAACCGAACACGGAAGGAAGAGAGGAAGAGAATCGCAAGAGCGCAGTTTCTAGGGCAGGTGTGTTGGATTTTAAATGGCGGAAGAGGAGGAGCGGGAGGGAGAGTAGGTAGTTTTCTGGGAGGGAAGGTAACGATCGGATTTGGCCTGGCTTGATGGCTCTGTCGGGGTCTTGGCAGTGAGTGGGCAGGTGTAGTCACTGGCCTCGGTTTGATTACCTTACCTTGCCTCTTGGCTCTTGGCTCTAGCTACCTACCTGTTCAGACAAGACTGTCTAATCATGCTTCAAGACTCTATGAAATCAGACTCGGCCCCGGCACGCCTGAGGTGCCCACAATCCGTAACCCATGAAGGTCTCCATCTCTGGTAACTCAATGGCTGTTCGACCAATGAAATATCCTCCTGACCGCATCTGCCATTGGCCTCTCTCCATCAATCGCTGCAAACTCTCCCGTTCAGGCCGTCTCAACAAGGGAAAGGACTCACAGGCACAAGTCAGCTAGAGGTCGCATCGTGCCCACACCTTCCTTGTCCTGGCCACTCATGTCACACACCATCTCAACCTTGTTTAGCTTGTCGCGCTTGGCCAACGCCATTTCCGTCTTAGTCGTCATGACTACCTACCATCTCAACCACCACATTTCTCAAGCGCATGCGCAGGAGCTAGGCATGATGATCGTGAAGGCCAGGCCCTACGTAGGCACTGCCTGCGCCACGGCTTCCACAACGACAAACAGGATGTTCTTATCACGGGACCCTGCCTCTCTATTGTTGAGGAAAGCCGCAAGGCCCAGGTAAGCGGCTGGGGCCGAACAAGCGGGACAGTTGAATCAATTGTCGCTCAAAGTTAGTAGGTACTCCGTAATTTGACCAGGATTGGGGTAGGCATGGATGTCAACGGGCACCACGTTGAGCTGGGCAGCAAATTCTCGATATTGCGCTAGATTCCAGTGATGCTCCAAATTGCCCAAACACAAGGGCGGCCCGGGGGCCCCAGCGCAGAATTTACAGTGTATGAACGCCCACGAGCTCAGTCCTGTCGAGCAAGCGAACGCTCCGTCCGGCATCTAACCAGGCCCATATCCGAGACGAGCTAATCATCTCAATTGTCTTGCATCACCATTGTCTCTGATATCTGACACGGATTATCTTGGCGGCCTACCATACCGCCGCCATTATTCCATTGCCCGTAATGATGAGAAACAGAACAGAAACAGAAACGGAAGCAGAGGCTGAACTGGTCTCTGGATAATTACTATCCAGGAGATTTCTGCTACGAATAATGTCTCTTGGCAATATAACGCTCATGAGGAGGTTGGCCGAGTAATTAATGTTTAACACAATTGCTTGGCGCAAGGTTGGTCTCGTAGCGCGACTGGAGACTGGATCTGCCCAGGCGCCGCTCCGGAACTGACGGAATTATGGAAGTAGAAGTGGAAATGGTAATGGTAATGGTAATTTCCTTTTCCATTCTCATTGCTCATGGAGAACAGGCCTGCCAAGATGTTAATCTTTCTTTCTTTCTTTCTTTTCTTCTAACGGGACCACGGCACCTCAGCACCGATGCATCAGGCGCCCGGACCTTTTGTCCATGTCGGGTAGTGGAGGTTATCTCCTCCGACGTGTGTTTTGTTATTGTTTACGGATACTCCGTACAGTCCTTGCTTTTGAGACTGTCGCAACCAACGTAAATAAACCATGATACTTGAGAGTTTCATCTCCTCCAAGGGGCAGCATGCGAGTATCTAGAAGTCTGCTGACTCTTCTGCGACTTGACAACTCCTGGGCAGTTTTGGTTATGGCTCGATACTTTAATCGGTTTCCTTCGCTCTTCACCGAGATTGTGCATTGTCCTGACAGAACCCAGTTCATAAACACGATAACTGGACGATATAAAGACTTGGCTAGCGCAACGCACTTCGCCCTTGTACCATGTTCCCTTGTCTCGTCGCATCTAAAGTGCGTCACTCGATCACCCTCGTCGCGAACTAATGTGCCCATTTCCCGCCCCCTGTTTGGCTGAATGTTGAATACCAATTTTGGACCACTCCTCAATAGTTGTCCTCGTTGCAGTCACTGGCAGCTCGTGTGTGGCTGATGGTGCTATCTAGATTACGTAGCTTGCGTGGTCTAGTCTACAAATCATCTCCCACCATTCATTTGATACTCGAATTATCATGATGAAACCAAGGCCATCGTTCAGACCTGGTTTCGAGTAAAAGTGTTGGCAAGCTTGTGCCAGCGTTCACCAATGAGCAGGATCAATTTACACCTGGGTGTAAGTCGGCGTCAGACTCACTGCTCAATTCCGTAACGCTTTGGTCTTAACCCTCGGCGCTACGAAGATCTGTTGATCTAGGTAGAATACGTAGTATGGCCTAGGGATATCACTTTGGCATTTTGGGCATGTTTTGCCAATCCTGATCCTATCTTTTGTTCCTGGTTTCCAACCACCTTTTGTTTATAAGAGACGGGAAAAGGTTTGGTGACCTGGCAACTGCGGAAGTCCTATCCGTATCTTCGACTATCAATGCCAGTGTTGTGACTATAATGTGGGTTTCCTTTTCCAGACAAACTCCCTTACCGCCAGATTTGCGATTGACCATATGCCCTGCCCTGCCTCTTTTAAAGAGTATACTTTGGGTTACTCTTATCGACGTATTTGGTGGACTTGCGGAGGCTTGGTCAGATTTGCAAAGTTCTAGGCCTTGTTAGTCTCCCTGCAGCCACATCGCCGACAGGCTAACGTTGGCTGGCCTGCTTTTTATCCTTTTTTCATGTGAGCTGATGGGTGTCGAGCCACGCACGTCTAGTGACAAACATAAAAACATTTAGTTAAACTTTGAGCACAGAGTATTTTCGCGATTGATACCATAAACCTCATGTTAATATAATATGTACTGTACTTGTATCTTGACGGAGCATCGGCACTGACATCCAAGGCCCTGCTGCCGTTTATTCCGTGTACCTACTCTATACTCCGTAATAATGGATGGATTGTAGTCTTTGATGCTAATCTTGCGTGCATTCCCTAGTGGCTCGGCACGATCTTCCGAGTGCATGCATGTGTTTTCCCTCGTATCAAGACAAGCATGTTCGTCATGGTGAAATAAATATGGTAATATCATAACATAGCTGACAACTTGTCTCTGGCCTCTGATGTGTTGAATTTTAATTGTGCTTGTTTCTCTTCCCTTCCTGTGGCTTTGCTGTTGATTACGTTGCCTTTTACGTTCATGATCATGTCCATGGAAGCTTTCAGACAACTAGCCATCTAATTTAGGCTATTGTTCGGCTGTTGTCTACATCAAGATCCATGCCTAGGTATATATCGGTTGGTGATGGCGTTGATGGATCGCTACGGTCACAGCATCCACGACTGTTGAAGGTTGAACTGAGGAAACAATATGAATGGCTACAGGGTAATCTGGTTTCGCTTGTTGAACGCTGTGTTCATTCACTGCTATTGGACCGGAACAAGTGGGGGTGGAGAGCTTAGAGAACAGTCAGTGATGATTTAGCGGTCCCTGCATGACGATCAACAGCTCCCAACACTTATTGGTTGATATGATAGCTCCTGAGCAAACGACTTCAACTGTAAAGAAAAGGTATTCGCCAATCCGCGACAGCCTCTATACCTAGCATCTTATTGTCGACTATAACCACATATTCCGCGACAACCACGGCTTTATATTCACATACAGCCATTGTAGCAAAACCAAAGCTACCACAAACGCTCGATGCCCTCCGACTGTCACTGACCCCTCCAATCCCTCCCCTTTCCACCTTCAGAATCGCCCCATGCCCGCGTCTCTACCATGGATCGTCTGCCTCGTGAACTCATCGACGCGATACTTCAGCAATGTATAATATATGGCCCTAAGAATGCGGTTCTCAAACTTCGACTTGTATGCCGTGTTTTTGACCAGATCCTCAAGCCATTCGTATGTCGCACTCTGGACCTTGAGTTTTCGCGACTGAGTAAAACGAGCGGCGAGACACCTCCCCAAATGGATGCGCTACAAACCATCGGATATCACTGCAAGAGTCTCTATATCGACCTGATGGTTCTACGGGATGACAGTGAGTAGAGAAGCGACGTCGCTTGAGGTGGGGCAACTGATAAGAATAAATACGCAGTGGAAGTTGAGTTTCTCGATACCGTTTTCGCACGAGTTCCATCCATGACAGACTTTTGTCAAACGCTACACAAAAAGTACTGCATGAATGAGACATCCTTTACCGAGACAGATTACTACCGGACCGTCGAGGAAATGCTGTTCTACTGCCGGGATGTTGACCGTCTGCGACTCAACCTCCCCTTCCAGCTTGTCGGCCGTCATTGTACCGCCGCCACCATGATCCTGGCCAACACGCTGAAGGCGTTTGCGCGGCGACCCGAAGAGGACTCAGCAAAGCTCAATACTCTCGTGATAGAGAACGTAACCGACGTTGCGATACGCCACCTGTGGATGAACCCGATCGATGTGATGAATATCATGAAAGTCTTGGAGGTGCTGGAACACCTCGTTTTGACATTACGACGACACGAAAACGAACCTATTACTGTAGGCTTATTTGGATCTTGCCTATGGAACCTTGTTGAGAACGCGGGGGATTTGAAGAGCCTTTGCTTGATTGGCATGGACCACGATGATCGTCCCCCTCGAGGGCTGAAGCAGACAAAATTCTGGCAGATGCCGGCTGACGAGTGGCGCGCCAAATCATTACCTGCGCCAAATGTCATACACTCCAACCTGACATGTTTGGAACTCAAGCGAATTGAGTTGTGCCCTGAGGTGTTTGTCCGCACGGCAGAGAACTTTGGGCCCACGCTGGAAGAGCTTTACTTGAATGAAGTCTACCTCAAGGTTGAGCAGTCTCGAGATTGGAACGAGGACTCTAAGAAGATTCTCTGGGTCGGACTGCCCAACCAGCGCCCAGGAGAGGATTGCCATTGGATTGCCATGGCGCTAAGATGCGCTACACCTCACTTGAGAATTTGTCGAGCATCCTTTTTGGCATATGATCACTACATGCTCGAAGATATGCCCAGTCAGCCAGAATTTGATCTGGCAGACCCTTGTGGCCTTGGCCGAAGTATCTCTCAGCGTTTTGTTGAAGTCGTCATGGGTATCCGCCAACCCACAGCGCTTACCAAAGATGCTGTCGAGTATTTACCTGCAGACACCCACTTCGACAGTCTCGTGAACAACTTGCGGCCACGGGACCGTGCTCTGGGCGTAGTAGAATACGACACCAGCGCATACCAGACAGCTGTCAACAACTCAACATCAGAATGGCAACGTAGCATCGACGGCGTTTTCCCTAATTGCAATTCTAATACTCTCGACGAGCTACACTACATCGCCGAGACAGCATGCCAGGGCATGAATGAGATACATCGGAGACGCAACGAGTGGACAGCTGAAAATAGTATGGCGACCGAATACTCAGAGAATCTATTTAGTATCCCAGCCTCTGACGACGAACACGCTTGATGACGACACAGAGCTACTTCTTTGACACAACGAAATATCACGAGCGATTAATTTTAGACAAGTTCGAGAAATCGAATAATATTTTCTAGGTAGCTTGCCATTATCAAGCTCCAATACCAAAGAGATGCGATTTGCACCATTTTTGACCCAAGCCGCTGTATAAATGCCCACCCAGGGGGGGTTTCAAATGAACCACACCCTCTCTTTTTGTTTTGCTTTCAAGCATCTTCAAACAAAGGAAAACAATTCTCATAACGTGTCATCGTGGGTAATATTCTAAAACATGGAAAATCAAGATCGTGACATCAAGGATATGCGTCTAGTGTCCGTTGGAACCGTTGGTGCCATTGGTGCCATTGGCACCGTTAGCCTTGGCGGGGGAGGTGGCATGCTCGAGGGCCTGGAGGACATCATTGGTAAGATCCTGAGCATCCTCGACACCGCAGCTGATGCGGACAAGGTCGTCGAAGATACCAACAGCCTCACGCTGATCCCGAGGAATACCGGCGTGAGTCATGCTGCTGGGAACCTCGACCAAACTCTCAACTCCACCGAGACTCTCGGCGAGTGTGAAGATCTTGGTCACCTGGCAGAAGCGCTCAGCAGCGGCGTGGCCGCCCTGGATGCGGAAAGAGAGCATACCGCCGCCGAGGCCGTTACGGTGCTGCTTCTTGGCGATGTGTCGGTGAGGGTGGGAGTCAAGGCCGGGGTAGTTGACAGCAATAACCAGAGGAGAGGCCTCGAGAGCTCGAGCCACGGCATCGGCGTTGCGGCTGGCCTCACGAGCTCGCAGGTGCAGAGTCTTGAGACCACGGTGAGCAAGCCAAGAGTCAAAGGCAGAAGGAACAGCGCCAATGGCGTTCTGGAGGAAGCTGAGACGGGCCTTGAGCTCGTCGCTGTTGAAGGCAGCAACGCCCATGACTACATCACTGTGACCGTTGATGTACTTGGTGACACTGTGAACGACGATATCGGCGCCGAAGTCGAGGGGGTTCTGGACGTAGGGAGAGAGGAAAGTGTTGTCAACAACGACAAGAACACCATGCTTGTGGGCCTCAGAAACGACAGCTCGGATATCGACGAGGCGTAGTGTAGGGTTGCTGGGACTCTCGATCCAGATCAGGCGGGTCTCGCTGGTAATGTGCTCGGCGATATCGACCTCGATCTCTGGTGTGAAGGTGACTTTGACACCGTGGGCCTTTGCGACCTGGGTGAAGTAACGGTGAGTACCGCCGTAGACGTCGGATACGGAGATGACATGGCTGCCGGCAGCAAGACTCTGGAGGATGGTGGCGGTGGTGGCGGAACCGGAGGAAAAGGCGAGAGCGTACTTGGCGTGCTCAAGAGCAGCGACGGCGGTCTCGAAGTTGGTACGGTTAGGGTTGGAAGATCGCGAATACTCGTACTCGCCAATTGGCTTGCCAACGGCGGACTGAGCAAAGGTGGTGGACAAAGAGATAGACTCGATCACGGCGCCGGTGGCGGGGTCATGTGGGGAGCCGGCGTGGACGGCGAGAGTACCGAAGCTGTGGACGGGGGACGGAGGACGAGGTGGGGTTGACACGGGGTCGGCGTTGAGGGGAGCAGCAGACATTGTTACTGAGGATTAAGAGAGGATGATAAGGAGGAGGAGGATGGTATATTCGACCGAGAGACGATCAGAAGATGTAGAAGGTTTGAAGAGAGATGAAGGGAGGAAAAGGGTTGGAATGGATGTGGTCAAAGACCTGTTGATATAAATATAAAGTCGGTGCTCTAGTGACAAGCAAGTGGAGGTCGAGGCGGGGCTAGAAAAAAAAGAGAGGGAAAAAAGCCTTCTATTTTCTTGTGGTACCCTGGTCTGTTGTGTAATGCAGTCGGTATGGAGATGGAGGATTGGGATTCAGAGAGAGAGGGACCCTTTATATATCGAAGCTAAAGCGATTGTTATGCAATCTTGCGCTGCGCCAAGTCACGGAGCTTCTCCCTCAAAGAGTGAGCCTCGGTTTGACGCGATCAAGGGCTGAGATGATGCACAAAGGGCAGAGGAATTATGGTTTTAGTCTCGTTTTCCGCTTAGACCTGAAGTAGACGTGTCGTCGATTAAGAGAGGGAAAAAAGAGGTGGCTTCTGAAACCTTGACGATCACGTCACAGCAGCCTTGACAGCAAGGGATGAGGACTTTAGAGTCAGAGGCAATCGAGAACGCAACTTCTCGGTAAATTGACTCAACAGATTAATAATAGTCCAAAGAGAGAAAATAAACGTAAAAATAACTGATTGGTGTCGACTCGTGGAGTGAGGAAGAAAAAAAATGCTACTCCAGCTGGGTTCCGTGTGGTCGGTTATCGGCTCTCGGTGTAGAGAGTACAATGGATCTTGTAAGTTATCAGGTATCGTCGGATTTGGATGCGGATCTGGGGTGAGTTGGTGAAGATAGTGGATTTAATGGAAGGGTCCAGGGAAGGAAAAAATGGACTTCTTATTTATACAATTTGTTTCTAGCGCTTTTCTCAGCAGAATTAATTAGGATTGAGTTATTCCATGGCTTGTTCCATTCCATCCAGTTGTATTCGTAAGTCGAAGGCAATAGACAAGCCCCAAAAGATAGAAGAAGGATAGGTAGGTATGATTACACAAGATAGAGAGAGCGAGTACCCTTGCAACTTTGTATACTTTACCCCTCAGCGAACTTGACGCCAAAGCAGGTGAACATCTGATGTACTCAATTGTACTTCGTGCCTGGGGGCGACCGCCCGGATGGCACCGTTTTTCGGGCCTTGTACCTTTCGTCATCTATCAGAAAAAGAAGACGGTCGAAATACACAGCAAAAGATGCTTACTACATGGAATTATCATGTCCGTGTTCACGTTCACAGTACAGCAAGTAGAGAGGTAAAATGCCTTGTTGCGCCGTTGCGGTGTGTCCGAACTGACTCAACCAAAGCGTGGCCTCCATGACAAATATGATTGCTTACCGAAGCATTTTGTGCTACCTTAGCACCTACCTACTCTACTAGGACTGGTCTTTTCTACCTCTGCATACAGGATATTTCCTGCGCCGCTGCAGCAGTAAACAAAGGTTCCTCTTCCTATGTCCGACCCTAGTATGGCTTACATAGCCCAATGCCTCCAACGATGTCTTCTCTTGCGCAATGCGCGCGAGATACACCATGCACCACTCGATCTCTTCCAATGTACGTACTCGGGCTTGCGACGGGCAGATGCGGTGCTCTTCGGCGATACAAGTGGAGGGGGGCGTGTCTCTATGTCTCATGGCCTACGACTTGCAAGAATCAATTCGAGAGGAAACGGAGAGGAAACCCTCAAACGTATTAGTCAGTCAAGTCAACCAACAATTACTCTGATCGGTGAGGCTCTGTCGCACCATGTGCCCGATGTCGTGATAGAAGAGAGGAGTTAGCGGTGTCCACTGTATTCTGTATTGCATTGTCTAAGCTATTTCTGTTGGTTTATATATATCCAAAACCGTTATAGCCGCAATCTCTTCCACTGACAGAATGAAACTGGCTTTGGAATCAGAACAGTCAATGCATGCAGAGCTGGAATTCCTCAAATAGCATCCATAACCGACGTCCCGTGTAAGGATGAACTTGGTGGTGTGAACAACCTCGGAGCACGGCTGATGGCACCCAGAAGCACATTTGTGATTGTTCAGTTTCCCCCGCAAAATCTCACGCACCTAAACTCCTGGAGAGAGGTGCCAAAAAAGATAAGCGGTTCCTTGCAGGTCGGGATGATGTCGTGATTGTTCGTGTCGTCATGCCCGCCCAGTAAGGGTAGGTCAGCAGCTCTGATGTTGGTTGGTCGAGGTGTGCAAGACCAAACAATTCTATGATACAATTCTAACTCTGCCCTTTTTTTTTGCCATTTTGTCTTTACAGAGTCCTTAGGTCATTGCGCTAATGCAAACTTTGTGCTATTGGGCCAACTATCAAGTTTATTTGGGTTGGCTTATAAACACCATATAAATGCGTTGAGTACCGACAGATGTACTCCGGAGATATGGGGTTAATTTCATGATATGAATACCTTACCCTCGCGCTTTCTGCCTTAGCCGAGATGCGCATACAGTAGTTGTGGAAAAAAACATGGTATTTCGCCCCCAGATGGTCTATCTACCTAGGAAGGTATTTAACTTGCAGCATATCTTATCTTAGGTCGGTAGCTATCTCAGGTTAGATCAGAGGACTAGAAGCTACTAATCGTGAGTCCGCGTCCACGACTCTTGATGTTCATTCAAATTTACAACCCTCAATCAAATGTTGACCCTCATTATACCGCGGATTTGCGGACACCAAGAATACGCATTCTAAAAGCTTTTCCGGAATAACCACAGTCCCGACGGCTCAACGTTTTCTCAGTCTGACATGGTGTCGCAGTCTCATTGGACGCCATCGTCTTGTTTCCTCAAAATATGGTAGATCTCATGATACGATCAGGCCACTCAATATCCGACAGATCCCCCCTCGGGAGGAAATAAAACAGCAGACGTGAGATTTCCTATATAGTAGACTTTTTAGTTAGAATATTTAGAATAATTTTATACGCAAAATATAAAAATAATAGGCTTTAAGAAGAAGCTTTAGTAATAATTATAATATATTATTTTTAACAAAAATATTTTAATTTTATTATTATACTCAATTAAACACTACCGGCGTTTTGTTTCTCCCCCATAGGTAGCCCCCCAAAGTGGAATACAATGTCACCGGGCAGGAATGGGCGAAATTTACGTCTACTCTAGGTATCTAGCCGTCACGAGGGCCATTCACATCCTCCAATTGACATAGCCTCAGTCCGAACTGCGTATACAGCTGGGTCTGAATTGGAGTAGCTTTGAAGCTGTCATGCGCTTGAATACGCCATCAAAGTTTCCTTACATCACCAACATACTACGTAGTAGGGATACATAGGGTGTGTCTGAGATGTGTGTGTCTCTCTCGATTTTAGAGTATGGTATTCTGTCCTCTTTTGTCTCTGTCTTTCGAGCTCATTGTCGATTGTCGCATTGAACGTAACAACCAAAGAAGAATAAATAATATCTTCTTCTACCCGGGCCGGTATCGTACTTTTTATATTGTCCTCAGTCCACCTGTGTACGTGGTCCCCTAGGCGAAGGACAAAATCGAACAAAGCGTCAATCTCGGGCTCCACTCACGTTGAAGCTTCCGGCGCCGAAACTAATGACACCGACCGACTTTGCCTTGCCTTGCCCGGCCCGCGTTGAGACTCCATCTCCATTGAGACAGGCACAACAACAGCGGACAGCAATGGAGCACACGACAGGGCGGCGGGCGGGGAGCGGGCACTTGCACATAATCCCTGTTTGATGCTGTGGCAGTGCAGTCTTCCATTATTCCACACGTTCGATTCGCTAAAACCCGTTCAAGCGAGCCCCAGGCGTCCATGGCAGGCTAGTTACCTGGACAGGCCTGGGGTCCCCTGGAGCTTTACTGTCATTAGCACTCTATCCACTGGCCGGACTGGCCAGAACTAGGTACTAGGTACCTTACCTAGGTGCCCTCCAGCTGGGCTGTCAGGTACCTTAGTAGGTAGGAGGTAGGCTGTCCTGCCGACGGGGCCGCCCCTCCACCTCATGCTGCTCTGCCTGCATCTCTCCTGCCCTCATTTGCATCTCATCACATCACAATAGCACCCGATTCCTCCTCACCGCACTTGCTTGGAACCGAAGCAACCACCTCACCAGGCTCACCTCCTACCTCCTGCCCGGACTACAACCTTAAACTCTTGCAGAAATACCGTGCTCAACCACGATTCTCGCCTCTCCAATCTTCAACACGCGTCATGGAATTCTCATCTTCTTAATTCTCCTAACTCCCCACAATTGCTTCTCCTTTAACTCAAAGCCAACCGGACTGAGACTGAGGCCCCTTTGCCTCTGCGGCCATGCTGCGATCTTGCTCACGATTCAGGGTCCTCTCCATATATTTCCCGGGAGCTTGTTGACAGCCGACACGTGAAAAACAAAACCATATTTTCCTTCTTCTCCGTCTTCTTCTCTTCTGTTTCATATTCGACTCATCATGCCTCCTCGCCGCTCTCATAAAAAGTCTCGCGCAGGTTGCCGGAGGTGCAAGAATAGGAAGATAAAAGTAGGTTTTGCCAGTCCTCTGCGTATGCTTCAACGCATCGCATCATGTCGCGCGCCTGTCGTCTAGTCACTTCGTTCTTCGCAAATGCCGTGGCTCGCCCCAGACTGTTTTGTCGATGTCTCAACTGACTTGGTATTCTCCTTTGCTTGCAGTGCGACGAAGTCCATCCACGATGCGGCAACTGTGCCAAACATGGTGTCCCGTGCGATTTCAGCAACCCTGATGTTCTTGAAGAACTTGCCGTGACAACAAATACCAGCACCGAAAGCATTGGCGCACCTACTCCCTCACCAGCACCGACGGTCAACTTCAATTCCGGCCCAAGGACTCCGTTAACACGCCCACGTGCTCCTTCAAGTCCAGCAAGACCAGCAAGACCAAATCCCTCCCCACCGACTTCCGTGTACTCTCAACATTCGATTACTTCATCCACCCACACTATAGACCATGGCGCAGACCATGGTGAACGGATGCTCGAGTTGCGCTTGATGCATCATTACACCAATGTCACGTCAAAGACTCTTTTAACCAACTCGCCGGCCGCCGAGGATATTTGGCAGCGCGCCGTCCCGCAGATGGCCTTCTCTGGCAATGGCAAGACATATCTCGCCGACGCCATATTGTCTGTCGCAGCGCTCCATTTGCGCTCCATGTCCCCGAATGATAAAGCATTGGTGCGCGCGTCACACGCTTACTCAGCTTCCTCTCTCTCTGCTTTTGGTGCATCGCTTGGCTCAGGTATCACACCTGACAACGCAGAAGCTCTCTTCCTTACAGCGACGTTGATTGCTTTTCAAGCAAGCGCCTCTCGTATCTTCGTCAAAGATGACGGGGATGCTGCGCCTGGCGATTCAACAAGTCGATATGTTCCCCCGCTCTCTTGGTTCCACGCCTTTCAAGGCGTCAAGACCGTGGTTGCGAATTCGTGGCAGTGGATTCACCACAGCGACATCGTTAAAGTTGTTATTGATTCCCAACCCGGCTTCCAGTTGAATCTTAACCCACGCTCGCCTGACTCGTTTTTTGGTCATATGCTTGAAGGGCTAAGGGACGAGTTAATGAATGAAGACCCCCGCTTGGTTCCTTCAACCACGCAGGCATACTCACATGCTGTCAGCGTTCTCAACTGGGCGCATAAGAACTACCACGCTGCTGCTGCGCTCACATTTCCTGCCACTGTCTCCAAGCGGTATGTTGATCTTGTTGATGCGAGACGTCCCCGAGCTCTTGCCATTCTCGCTTGTTTCTTTGCTCTACTGAAGCGAATGGACAATGTCTGGTGGCTGCAAGATGTTGCTCGCCGAGAGGTTATGGGCTTGGTCAGCTTATTCGAGCCTGGATCCAAGTGGTGGCGACATCTCGAGTGGCCAATAAGGATTGCTCTGTTAGACGGCAGTTCTATACCGCAAGACATCTGGGGTACTGAGCTTGAAGAGCAAGCGCCAGAGCAGCAGAACACTGTTGGCTCCATGACTCAGCATATCGAGATATTTGCCGAAATGCTGCACCAGCACACACAACCTCCCATTCCTATTGCTGACGAGGATCTCATTGTCCCCGACTCACCGGATTAAGGAGCTTTGGCAACTCAACTTTGACGATAGGGCCCCGGGCTTAGAGCTGGTCTCAAGGCCCTCTCATAACCTCGTTGGTCAATAGCTTCAACATGCCGTCAGTCAGTATGGATATATATTCATTCAACTCTCGACGAAGGAGTATTGCCGACCGTATTCTTCTAGTCGATGGTGTATCGCCATTCCGTTATTATATAGACTTACCCTTGATCCATATCAAGTTCTACTGGGTACAATGTTCTTGGTTAGAACCCGTGTAACAAGCTAAACGACATATCCCACCCTTGGCTGCTTGAATGGCGCAAAGAAATACGGGTCAAACACGAGCTGATGTCGGGTGTTCTTGATCACACTGGCGAGACTTGGTTATTACACTCCGTTTCTCTTTCCACACTGTCAACGACTGATCATGATTCTTATGAGTTGAAATGTTGAACTGGGCATAGGCACGGGAAACAGAACAATTAGACAGAGCAAGCTCAGGCGTTTCCTACTCCAGCTTATTGGAAGATTTATTAGGCTATTTTGGGTAATCATAAGCAGCCAATCTGCCGTTGGAAGATGGGACGTCTACTTTGGCGTCAATCAGTACATAATCCTTTTATTTTAGCATTAGACAATGCAGTTTAGGGCCCAAATGAACCTATCTTTGGGCCCTCGAACGACATTGAACGGGCGTATCTGTATCCTTGGATCCAAAAGTGCCGAGTCTCAGTTACCTTGTTGTTGTGACTGGGCCAGTCTGCCCGATTCGTATAAAATAAACAGCAGTCACAATGAGAATCAGCATCGAACAGTTTCAATAGCGTCACCGGTATGGATTAGATGCAAGACAGTGCCTGCAATATCTAGGGAATCAACCCAGTAAATCAATTATTGACATGGCCTCCCTAAAAGACATTTTCCAAGACGCCCAACTCCGAGCCTGCAATGCTATACATCTTCTATTGCTTTATCCTCTTGGTCTCCTCCTTCTCTTCAATAACATCGACCGTCTCGTCGGCATCCTTTCGACTGCGCTTCAAGCCCTTCATCTTGCGGAGTTGCAACTCGCTAAGATCCTGCCTGCCCAAGTGCACGCGACCAATCTTGTCACCCATAGAGTCGGTTGTGATGTTCTTCTTGGGACGCTCCTCGAGGCCGCGAGGCTTCTTCATGGCTTCCTTGAGCATCGACTCATCGGGTTCTCTGACACGCCCAACCCGGAAGTCCATGCGAGGACCAATCTCTTCAACCTCGACTCGGGGAAGACGCTGGCCGGACTTCTTAGTGCTGATGGTGTAGACTCGCAGGTGAATGGCGGGCTTGACATCGCCATCTCCGGTGCTGTCCTCGGCGCTGATGGAGATGATGTACTGAAGGCCCTCAACGTCAATCTTGTCACTGGGCTCGCCCTTGAAGAAGTCCATGAGCATGCTCTTGGCAAGAGTGAACTCGTTGCTAACGGGGCTCTCGAAAGCAGTACCAGCAAACAGAAGCATGGGTCGCAGACCGATAGCGAACTTCTTGGTCTTGAACTGGGCGATGGTGCGGAAGCTCTCAGGGTCGAGGTAGAGCTCGAGCATGTCGAGGACCTTGTATCCAAAGGTACGGACAAAGGTCAGGGTGTGGGGGCGCTTCTTCTGGCTGCTGCCAAAGACGAGCAGACTGGCGTCGTTCTTTTCGGAGAAAAATTCGAGCGAAGTGGCATCGTCAAAGGGGTGGATGGGGTTCTTCTTGGTGAACTTCTTGGCAAGAGGCTGGCGCATCTGGTGAAGGTCGTTAAGAGCATCCTGAATGATTTGAGAACATGTTGTTCCGCGGAGAAAAAGGCATGTCTTGGGGTTCTCGGTGGCCTTTGGCTCGCGCTTCTCGAGCGCTCGCTTTGCACGCGCATTGCGAGGTTTACTATCGATGTTAGCTTTTCAGAGTACCACTGCGTTAGAGGAAAAGTAAGACATACACTTGTCGAAGCATCTTGAAGTTTGGTGATGATATATGTCTTGTGTAATATTGGTGATAAGACTTCTAGGAACGAGGTTGGTTGAGCGAACAGGCGCAAGAAAAAAATATTCTTATCGATAAAGCATGCGCCGTTCACCGACTCACCGAGAAGGTGGGCCCCTTTCACCTCCTAAACTCGGTGAGATCCCTGTCCTTTGATTTCCAACCACCCCGCAGTCACGTGTGTTACTGTCACCTTTGCAATCGGCAAGTGCTACCGATAATGGCGAAGACTACAGCGGAGCCTCGGTATTTTCCCCGCCAAAAGTAGGCGTCTTGTCGGGGTTCGCTAGGTCATGGTAGGAATTCGACCATCTTCTCTCCTCCATCTGTAAACTACAAACTACACCTCTGCATGACCATTATTCCCAATCAATAAATCGAAGTTACCATCGTCAATCTAAAGCCCTCATTATCCCTCCTCCTCGTCTGATACCTCCGATTACACAAGAGACTCGGTATACCGCTAATCATCATGTCGTTTATGGGAGGCGCCGAATGCTCGACATCTGGGAACCCCCTCAGCCAGCTCCACAAACATACACAGAATGACAGAACCCTTCAGCAAGACCGCCTTGTAGGACGAGGGCCTGGCGGACAGCTTAACGGATTTCGAAGTCAGAGCGCCAATGCGCCTCAAGATGAGGTATGTCTTTGAACAGGCCCTACCAACATATTACTAATACATACATATTGACGATGCAGATGATGAATGGTTTCCTGAATCAGGGCCCGAGCCTTCAGCAAGACTTCCCCATGCAGCCGGGTCAAATGGGCCCTCTCAACCCTGCCCAGTCCCATATGCGAGCCAGCTCGGCATCGCCAACATGGGCGCACGACTTTAACGGCCAGCCAGCGATGGAATCAGCTTTCCAGCCACCATCAGCTGCGCAGGCGCATTTTAATGCTGACGAGTTTGCCCGTTTCCAGCAGCTAAACACACAAGGTTCTTCCGCGAGAGCGAGTCCGATGCAGAGCAACGTCCCTAACCAGATGAACCAACAACGACCTATGATGGGTGGCATGGGTGGTATGATGAACCGACCGATGGGCTACTCCCCCATGTTCCAGCCGATGTACCAGAGTCAGCAGCCTATGCAGCAAAACCAACCACAACAGCAGGATGCTAAGGGCAAGGGTCGCCTTGTCGAGCTCGACGATCACAAGTGGGAGGAGCAGTTCGCCTCCATGGAACTTCAAGATGGTGACAAGGCTAAGGAACAAGAAGAGGCAAACGCCGCAGAGCGTGAGCTTAATGAAATGGACAAGGGCTTAACGTCCGAAACTAATGAGTTGGGTGATTTCGAATCTATTTGGAAAGGAATTGAAGCTGAGACGGCCGCTGCTAGACAAGATTTTGACCAATTCGATACCGAATGGAGCAACAATATGATGCCCGACTTCGAGGGTATGGGCGACTGGGGTCGTCTCGGTGACCCGGCCGTCGAAACCTATCTCTTCGAACAAGACAACTTTTTCCGCGACGAGAAGAACGCTTTCGAGGAGGGTGTACGCATCATGAAGGAAGGCGGTAACCTTTCCTTAGCCGCCCTGGCTTTCGAATCGGCTGTTCAGCAGAACCCTGATCATACTGAGGCGTGGGTTTACCTAGGAACAGCTCAGGCGCAGAACGAAAAGGAGACGGCAGCAATTCGTGCTCTTGAGCAAGCGCTCAAGCAGGACCCTAACAACCTGACGGCCTTGATGGGTCTGGCGGTATCATACACCAACGAAGGCTACGACAGCACGGCATATCGAACCCTTGAACGTTGGCTGTCAGTTAAGTACCCCAATATCCTTGATCCCAAGGACTTGCACCCTCCTGCAGAGATGGGCTTCACAGACCGCCAGCAGCTCCACGACAAGGTGACAAATCTATTCATCAGGGCAGCACAGCTGAGTCCTGATGGTGAGCATATGGACCCTGATGTGCAAGTGGGTCTTGGAGTCCTCTTCTACGGCGCGGAGGATTATGATAAGGCAGTTGATTGCTTCCAGTCAGCCCTCCACTCGTCAGAAGTCGGTAGTTCCAACCAGCAAGAGCAGCTCCATCTTCTATGGAACCGTCTCGGCGCAACCCTCGCAAACAGCGGGCGCTCTGAGGAAGCCATCGCGGCCTACCAAGAGGCCCTCGCTATGGCGCCTAACTTTGTGCGAGCCCGTTACAACTTGGGCGTCAGCTGCATCAACATCCACTGCCACCACGAGGCTGCCTGCCACTTCCTGGCCGCCTTGGAGATGCACAAGGCTATTGAAAAGTCCGGCCGGAGCAAAGCTTACGAGATCCTGGGCGACAACGCCGCTGGTGTCGATGAGACGCTTGACCGTATGTCGGCGCAGAACCGCAGCAGTACCCTATACGACACCCTTCGTCGCGTCTTTACCCAGATGGGTCGGCGGGATCTAGCGGAGAAGACCATTGCGGGCGTAGATCCGGATGTGTTCAGACCAGAGTTTGAGTTCTAGAGATACAAGTCTTTCTATTTCTATTTTTGAATGACATAATTCATATAGTAGCGATCTGCATCGTGTGAACTTGGGATAGTGTTCATAAATAGCATATTTGCTATGGGAATTTGAATATCATCTGGTTTAGATGTTACATATAAGAAACATGCATGGTCCTGAGAGAATATCACGCATTATTGGTCCAGTATCTGAAGCAACAGCATCCTGTTTCGCACACTTGCTTCTACTTGAAGTTCCTACAAGTGAATGTACAAAGTCAACTGGCCGCAGTCATTTACATCCTGATATCCATTGACATCAGGGATCCATACACCTCAGCATGACCAAACATCGGCTACTATAGCTGCGCTCAGGCACAAAGGGAACATCAATTCCAGGATGTGTTTAGGCGAGTCGTTGCCCAAACACTTAAAATTGATGAAGTTAACTAGGTGGGGAACGACTCATTCCGAGTGGACAGTGGTGTCTTGGTCTCCATCTTAATCTTATACGAGAACTAAATAAGATATACATCTTGAACTTGGGCCATGTTTGGATCAACTGAAGGCAAGGGACCAGACCCTTGAAATTTAACTTTATAGTCCCGACCAACATTAGCATATGTCTAGTCTTGAAGTAGTGACCAACAAGTGTTAGAGAAAAGAAAACCTTTCCAGATCTTCAGCTCAACAAACCCACTGACGATTCAACCAGCCTGGTTAGTGAAGTATTCTATGACTCGCACATTGAGGAGGCTTGAGTGGCTAGGTCCTCAAATACCATGTCTTCCAGGATAATGTTTTCCAGGAGCTATCCGCTTTCTCCAGACTTCAGACTCCAAATCCCAGGCAAGAACCCAAGAAAATGTGACAAATTTGCTCCAAACACACACATGTTGTGTCAGTCTTTTGAGGGATTTGTGTGTTAGACGTGGTGATCTATCCCATGGTCAGGTTGACCGGCACAGCAGTGACATTTCTCTGCATCAGTTCCTCCCTACTTCGAGTAAACCTTCGTTTCCACGCGTCTTGGCCTCATTGCCACAAGCCGAGCTGCCGAGGCAGGATGAGATTGAGTATCTTTCCACCAGAACGATCACCCGAGTGCCTTCGGGATATTGGTAACGAACCTAACGTACATTAGCTATAGGCCGTTTTCTTTTAGCTAGCCCCGCTAGCCTAGGCGTGCCGTCATGAAAGCTGATGCATGTCTCGCCAGAAAGAGACTCAACCCGTGCAGCTGTTATGGAAGCTGAGGTAAATGGAGCGACAACATGAGGCTAAGTATCGACCACCACTCTCCGAGGTGGAGAATATACTGCCAGGAGATGCAAGGGAAAGGCAACTTAGAATGATAGGAGGAGCAGTAGCTGGATGCTGGGATGCTGGCAAAAGCAAAGAGAGTGAGACAGTGAGTTGGTGGCAGTCTCGTCTCAGGCACTCTGCCTACTTGATTGGACCCAGCAAGGGGCAATGTAATGGTTGATGGGAGATGCAGTACCAGTTCGTGTCCGAAAGCATATTATTGTGGTGATAAGAGCTTTCTAGCGACCTGTCAAAACATCCATGCTCCATACCATATCGTGATACCAGACCTTCTGTTAGAGGGTGTCATAGTAATAGTCAGATCCTGCAGAGAATCTTGATCGGTTGATTCTCCCTACCTTTGTCTTAGCTACTCAGCCTCGTCTCCCCACAAACAAGAAGGTTAAGTGTGGTATGTACTGCGTGGATAGGATAGTAGTGGAAGCAACTGTTAAGACGAAATTGCTTAATATTGGCCCAAACAAGCAAATATTTGGTTGACGTTCTAGTGTCCGGGTGTTGTATCCGGGCTTGTCGAGGCTCCGCAGCCGCCATAAGGTCCCAACCGGCAGAGCAATTATTATTGATGGTACATCGCGGCTGGTGCAAACTGCAAAGCATGTTGCACCCGAGGTATACCAGTGGAGATTGGGCGTTGAGCTAGTGGCTTTGGGGCCCGAGTGTTTCGATCCAAGTGCGTACGTGCTTGATCGAGATACAGAAGTGACGATGCTAGTCTGGTGGATAAACTGGTGTGGTGCGTAGTTCGGGGCACGGCTGTATACTGTGCTGTGTCTCATCACATGCATATCCCGACCACGGCGTAATTGACCCGAATGAAAGGTTCTGCAGAGTCAGTGTGCTTCTTGATCGTTTGAAGGAGATATCCAACCTGGCATTGTCCCACCGGTGTCATCTTGTAGGCGTGCAACGAGCAATCAAAGAAGGGCTGCTGGCGGAGGCGATTTATTCGACGAGGGACACAATGTCAAATTCCTTTCATTTCACTCATACTCAGAATCGAAAGTTGTATGAGCCCATCAGGTCGCAGCTGACCGCTTATCCATCATGTCTCGGGGCCTTGTTTTAATTAAACATAGTCAACCGGCAGACAATATATTGACATAAGACGGTGATTCAGTGAGATCTATAGCAACGGTACACCGTACCACCCTTGTTCTGCGACATCGATTTTTGTGAACTTTGCTAGTTGAGAAATGTTATTTTCCCAATCGATGGTCAATTTGCCGTGGTCGTTATTCGGGCAGGCAGGGTAGTGCTGGTTGTTGACTCTCAATGACCTCGCCGGTGAGTATTGATAAATAGATCCCGTTCTTAATCAGACCTCGATCCAAATCTCACAATGACGGCCAAGACCAACAGGTGATACTTTTCATGCATACTGCATTGCATAGTACGGTACTGCAAGCCATCCATTAGTCTCAACTCTGTTGACCAGCCGTACTTTCATTCGGGGGGGCTTAATCACTAGCCTTTACCAAATGGTTGGATCCAAAAGACCACACAAAATAGTCCTATCGACAACTGTCAGCCCAAAAGCGAGTAATAGGAGGAGAACGAAAACCGACAGGGGTATCGCGTCAACAAAAGAAAGTTGAGGTCGTCCAAGGCCGACTCCCCGCTGTGAATGAGGATGCAGATGTACAATAGATTCTAGTGCGAAGAGATATCAGTGAAACGATAGTAACTACCCTAAGGTATGTAGATGTTCAGAGCCAGCCATACTCAGCTATCTAGAAAGAATTTTCCCAGCCTGAGCATGCCAAGGCTTTGATTCCCCTGACATGAACTATCAGGATAATGCACAGGGTTGTGACCTTGGGGACATGCCGAGTACGGTCGTAGATGGGGTTGTAGTATCACCTTCCCGGGTGATCAGACGCAGTGTGTCACTGGAAACAAGCGAATTGGATGACTATACCACGGCTGCCACCAGCCACCAGCCACCACAATTCTCGTGTTGTCACTTCTCGTGTTATGCTAACACATGTTGCTTACCGTATACATCTGTAGGGAGGAGCCGGTGGCACGGTAGTGCCGCCATCACGATAATGTTGGGTTGGTGGTGACGTTTTTTTTGGTCTGAACAGGCGTCTGTTTAGACGTGGTGAATTTAAGAGGCGACCTTTATCACCAAGCCGGGCATGCCAACAAACGCGCTGAGACATCCACGTGGCCAGAATATTATCATAAGCCAGTTACTTGCATAACAGAAGCTCGAAGAGTTTCACCATAGCCGTCACATTGACAAGTATTGGACATAGCATCGGACATGATATCATCCATATGTACCAGATCGAACGTGGCATGCTGTGCAAAGGGAGTCGCTCAATATTGAGAGTATCAAGCAGCATCAGCCGTAGCAATGCCGATCAGAAATGTCCTAGATGAGACAAAGTACTTGAGTATGCTAGGCAAGGGCATTGAAGAACCAACGTACATGGTGAGATGTCAGATAACACAACTCGGAGAGTCGTGTAAGGCTCGGGTAGTTCCCAACTGCAAGGTACCGTATGCAGGAGGACCTGAACTGACATTGAGTATATGAAAGTCAATGGACACGGCATGGAAGTCATCATGTCTAGCGATATTTCGGTAGAGATAGACTTATTGGTGACAGAAGTTGAGACTTGGTTTAGAATGTTTCTTGATTGGTATGTCATTAGTATGATACAGGGCGAAATTGTAGAAAGCAGTGAGAGACCGGCTTGTCCACCGAACGATCCGTAGTATTAAGCACCAAGGAAAGGCTAGGTTATAGATATAAAGGGGACTCACAAGTAGCATAACCAATTCAGCGAGCGACTCGAAGTCTCGGTGGGACTGTACAGCAACACATATTCAGCTGCAACCTGACAGCCATAAGTTCTGTTGGCCTGGTTGGCTCAAACACGGAACAGCGATCGGCGTTTTTGGTCGTCTAGAGCCTAGTTAAATAAAGGGAAGATAATAAGAATCCCCATGAGAAAACCCCCGAAAGGATAAGCCAGCTAAGCATGGGTATTATAAAGTCCGGCCTGGCATAGGAACTTGAAGCCTACGCGTTTCCTCACACCGCACGTGTTCCTCTGTGTTTCACCAAGACGTGCCTGGGTTTGATACACATAAACAAGCACATCTGGGACACCAGCATGACAAGAACCCAGAGTTACTAGAATGGTCTGTCGCACAATCTGGAGAATCCCATATATGGCAAATATGGCTGTTTAACAAGGGAAGCTGGGGCTGAAATATGTGCTGCTGGTCCACTGGTTAGATGGCGTGGCAGATGAAGTGACTCGTAGATTGTATAGAACATACAATTTGCGTGATCGTGATTGCGACTGTGACTGTGATTGATGAACTCGGGAAGATCAGGCTGAAGCGGCAAGGTGCATGAGCTGAAAGATCCGTGCAAGGAAGTGGAGTCCAAAGGAAGGCAATGGATGTGCACAATTTATCGTACCTTCCTAGGTAGTCTTCCAGCCTTCCAATGCTTATTAACATCATTGCTCGGAGCAAAGATTGGAAGTTTACTGGTCAATACAAACACAAGCTGCAAGTGCCATCCATGCCTTCCACTTCATCCCATGTGCAAGGTCGGACCTTCTGAACCTCCTTACCTCGACTTGCACTTATTAGGCAGGCGAGGCAGTTGTATCCTTGTAAGGTGCCTTCAGTAGCTGGAGGCTGGAGTGACAATCAGGTACGGATACTACAGTATTAGAACTTTACTAGGCTCCAAGAAATTTCATGCATGGACTAACTACTCCATACATGATCCCTCTTCTCTCAATCGCACCATGGGATATGTATCTTGTTTTATTTTCATTTTTGCTTCACTGTATCATGCTCACAGTGAATTCACGGATACCGTTATTGATTGGTCGGTTGGCCCGTCAAGATCAACGCCCCTAAATCGTACATGTATGTACTGGTCACCAGAGCGGCTAGATCTCCAGCTCTTTGGACGCCCCCCCCCCCCCACCCCCCTTAGCCACACTCCACGCACGCACGTGTCGCCCAACAGCGGATACTCTGCAAACGTTTGCTAGACACAAATAGCAAAGATTGACGAGATTTCGAGCTCGCACAATTCTGCCAGACTGTTTCAAGCTGGTAACATTGGGAGGATCCAAGCGTGATAGTGCACTGTGCCAGTATGCGTACTGAACGTTCCTTGGACCTTGAGGCTTGACTTTCATTCTAGCCCAGAAAAGGTAAGTAACCACGACACAATGAACCATCTCGGCCAGATCTACAGGCTAACGAGGTACGATGCGCACTCTCAGGGACTTTCGACTGCCACATGGCATTACGTAGAATTTGAGGTACTTCCATATGCCCATCAAGATGGGTGTCAAACCCACATTCCGAAGACGGATTGTCGAAAACACACTGTAGTCATGTTCTCCTCACGATAAGGACCAAGGTCCCATTCGTGGACCAATCCGTCAGCAGCATAGTCGATTCTCACAGATGTCGCTCACGTGGCTACGGAAGATCGCGCATGTGGTACTGGGATCCTTAGTCGCTCCACTCCCTGTTCATCAAACAACGGGGAGATCAAGCTTTGGGGGGCGAGGCGACCTGGGAAAAGAGGGGGCATCCATGGGGGTAAAGCCAGTCTTGTTCAAGCTAGGCGACATGGGCCCTGAAGACACCCTGGGCACCACGCAGCCACGGCATGGGCCTCGAGAACCATGCCTTCTGATGGGGTGATAGGCGCACTAGTGGACGGCGCACGAGGTGCCCCGGCCTGGAGCAAGCCACATATTACAAGATTCCCAGTCCCGCCCATCTCTCAGACTGGCGAATCCTCTACTCCTCGCCTAGAACTTGTTTTAATCATTGATTTTCGCCCGGGTTCGAGTGCAAATTGAGTGACGGATGAAAAGTTTCTAGTTGGGTCCGAGTTTCCGAGTATCTGGCATTAACGAGCAACAGTTGGCATGTGAGTGATCACATCCCACGTCGTAATCGGTAAATACATACGGAGTACTACGTAGGGTGCCAATACATGTTGTTCGAGCCAAGCTTACACTGTAAATAGGTACAAATTCCAGGCCACAGATTCAACATTGGTTTGAACTGGCAGAAAGGTCGAAGCATGTAAGAGTATTGATACCCAACGCGCCATATCTCATCTTCGACAAGATCTTGGCCAGGAGCTAAACACAGGCACAAGTTGATGTGTCACCATGATGGTACTGATAATAATTTATATGTCGTTACAGCGTTTAATGGACTAGTATCTCACAAACGCTGCGAGCACAATGATGCTCAGACCTCGGCGATCTGGTAAGAATCAGACTGGGTGGCCCGCGGCCACATGGCGCCAAATTCCAGCTACGCCTTTATGGTTCCCAAAAGCACCAAGCTCTTTGAGCCTCTGCGAGTTTCGGACAACGTCAAAAAACAAAGTTTTTCGGGGGGTCCAGAAGGGAATGAAAGAAAAGAAAGAAAGGACAGAAGGGAGTGAAGAGTGGCTTTCTGGCGCTATCGCTTTAGGTAGCCTTGTGGGGTGCACCCCTACCAAGCTTCCATTCGCAACACTCCTCCTATGTACTCTACTTGAGCACATGGGCCGATGGGGTGGTGGGGCTACAAGCGTCGTAAGTAGACGATACTTTGTGTTGCGGCTTAAAGGCGGTAGCGAAGTGCTCTGCTTTATTGCTGTGTTGCAAGATGCTCGAAACTTACTTGAACACGGTTGAAGTAGCTAAGGAGAGGACAACTGGGTGCTGACAATATGTATCCATGTTACCCAATTGCTTAGGTATAGCAAGGTCACCAGCTACATCATGATGAGCCATGTTCTTGTTAAACCGGGTTGAGTCAAGTCGAATTCAATTGGATCAGACCGAATCGTCGCCAATCAGGCTGTCTTGAACAACTCAAAGGGATGGCCATTCCGGCACACAGCACGGGTTTGAGGTACTGCAGAGACGAGTACTCCAGGAACCGCGGGTCGATACCAGGATATCAAGTGTACATGTGCATGTACGCAGTGGCATCCCGCCGAGTGGGTGTTGAAATGCCGACTGGACTCGCTGGAGGGCTGAAGTCCATAGAACGGAATAGCCGCTGAGTAGCCCTGTAGTGGTATCTGTAGATCCCTCCATTGCTGGCCAGACCTGCCCGGGCTCACCTCAGCTGCGACCGCTGGCCGTCCAGCTGTGAGTCGGCCTGGGGGACCCTTGGTGCCGCGGAGACTGGCGTTTTAAAATGGCCGAGTGCCTACATGGTGCCTAATAATGTCCAGTTAGTGCAAACATGTGCTGTGGATCATTTCAGTGCACCCGACAATTGATACTTTTTTAGATGTTTCGAGATATGACATGGAGGCTACCATTCGTGCTAGTGCAAACGAGGCTTGCACGCAAGTCATTTCATTGTTCCTGGCGTCGGATTGATTCATCTCTCTCTCTCTCTGCTGCTCGAGTCCAATACTGTTCTTGTCTGCTCTCACTTTTCTACGTCTCATTTTGATCTTTCGTTCATTATAGAGATCCCTCGTTTTTCTCACCCCCAATCTCTCACTTTCATCCCCTCTTCTCGTTCCCCAGCTTAACCTCCCATCCCGTCTCCTTCCGTTCTGCCATCGCTACCTTACCGTATTGCACCTTGTGCAGGTACGGTATACACGGGGTAAAGGTACTAACGTAGAGTACCTCACCCGCTACTAAAGTACCTAACTACAACTTTACGCTGGCTTGGCTTTACGGATACTGTTCCTCCCCCCCTTCCCTGCAGCGCCTGTAGTCCGTCACCTTCTCACCGGGGGTCAACCTCGTGTGCACTTTTCCCTCTTCAATTCCACTTCTCTCTCTCTTGCAAATTTATTACGACTTGTTTTCTACCCGCACAACGCAACGTAACCCATCGCATCGCATCCTGTCGACGGTCCCTTTCCTCAACACTCTCTCAGGGCTCATGCACTGACACGCCCGCCCTTTCTCGAACTCGCCTTCGCATTGTCGCGTCTGTGTCTGATAGTGACAGTTAGTGACAGTCCACTTCAGTTCTGTCCTGGCTTGACGACCGAAGTTGTAATTCCAACATTGTCTGGCCTTGTTGTGCCGACATCTCAGCCGTCGCCTGCTTTTCTGCCCCCCATCACCTTGACCTCGTCCTAAGCGCAAACAATCGAATAGAATCCCTTTGTCATCATACTGGGCCGAACCTGCATCTAGAAGATTTAATTGAGGCTTATTGCGACCGAACCGACCCAATCGTGTGTATGCGACATCCTCAATTCGTACTCGACCATTGAACAGCTATGGATAGCCATAACCAGCAACGCCTACCCGCTCCTAAGCTGGCGGGACTGAACAACATCCTCAACAGCGACCACGCACCAGCCCCAATCCCTAACGGCCCGCCTCACATGCGAGATTCGGGCTTCTACTCCAACGCAGACGCCTCCAGTAAGCGTACGCTGCTCATTATCGCTTCTGTCAATGCCTTGGCCCGTGACTGACCTAAACATATTAGATACATCTGCTGCCTCCTTCAACGTAAACGGTCTCAGCCCAAGCCCCTCTGGCTATCAATCTTCCTCGCAAGACAAGACTCCGTCCCCAATCGCTGCCAACATGGTACCCCACGGTCTTGTGTCGCCATCAACGACCAACATGAGCGTCGCTGCAATGGTATCCCCTAGTACACCCGGCAGCCTCGATCCACGCCGCGATCGACCTACGTCGATTGAGTCCAACGGACCCGTACCTGGACCCGTACCTACAATGGGCGACACGTTGGCACCTGGTATGGCGGGATTGAGGCGGGAAAGTGTTGACAGTCGCATGAACCAGGTCTTCAGCGATATGCGCCTTGGTAACTCTCCCTACACGTCCAACAATCCCTCGACTACTTCGATACAAAACACCCTCCATAGCCAACGAAACCCTCACCATCTCTCGGTCCATCGAATCTCAAATAGCTACCAGCCAAGTGCTGAACGAAATCCCGAGACCAAGACGGTCAAGACCGCACCCGCTATCACTGGGCCTGCCACTGGGCACATTGCCCGGGCAGCGGAACCTACCAAGGGTCAGGCTTGGGCTTTCCCCGAGGAGGAGATCCAACGAGTCGGCACCGAGCTTGCGTACACCGATTCACGACGCAGTAGTATCACCGAGTCGGTTGCGAGTAGCCAGTTCACGACCGAGTCGCGTCTGCCGCCGGGTCAGATGAGGTTAAACGATAGCGACTACTCCCGCATGTCCAATGCCTCAGAGTTCCTACCTGTTCACCATCATTCCATGCAGCACAAGCAATTGAGCGATCTCCAGGCCGAGGAAGGAAATGGAGCCACAGGCAACCAGCCGTATAGCAGAACCCCTGAACTAAGGGTCAGCCATAAACTTGCTGAGCGCAAAAGGAGAACGGAGATGAAGGAACTGTTCGATCAGCTTCGAGACCTTATGCCTCAAGAACGAGGCTCTAAGGCTTCTAAGTGGGAGATCCTGACTAAGGGTAAGTGTGACATGGAAGCGACCAGGACAGAATTGCTATGCTAACATAAAGGACAGCTATTGCCGAGCATCAGAAACAGCACGAGCACATCAGGCTGCTCCAATCCCACTACAACACTGCCGCAGCAGAAAACGAAATGCTTCGCCGCGAGATCCAAGGGCTGCGGATGGAAGGCGCACAGATGCGGGGAGGCTCCTCTTCATCGCACCCTGCTCCTCCATCTTCAGCTGCCACGCCAGCACCTCAGGCTGGGAGCTATCAACAGGATCATTATGCCAACTCGAACAGACCAGAGCTGCCGCCTATCCGATCACTCAGCAACGGTATCTCGAACGGACCAGATTCAATGACCGGGGTCCAGTACGATAGCCCTCGCACCAATGGTTACCATCCGGAGCGATACTGAAATCGATGACTCGGTATCTCTTTGTATCTGGGGTCCGCATCATTTTTCTATTTCAATGGAACTCGGTTTACGAATGAATGACGGCGAAAAGTTACGACACTTGAGCACGAAACGCTTGAGATTACAACAAGAAAAAAGTGCTACCACTCATTACTATTATACCAACGATACCCGGAGCTACGAGCTCGTCGAGGCATTATACTTGCTTACTTCTGTTTTCTTTGTTTCTTTCGGCAAGGCTGCTGCTTAGCGTAGCAGTGCGGTACACGAACCGTACACTGTCACTTTTTCTCTTTGTCATTTTCTCCTGCTCGATCTTTGGTCCTAGTTTTATATACACCTCCTCATCTAGAGGCGGTTGTCCGGAGTTATTTCATATTGGTTTTGGTTGGGATATATAGGCCACTTAATGGTACAGGCATGGTATGGTAAGGGTACGGCTAGTGTAAGGGGCAAGGCAAGGCAAGGCAAGGTTAGGTTAGGTATGGGTGCAATAGGGTCGATTACTCGGGATCCTTTCGGATTTTGAGCCTGGAAGGACCACGGAAAATACGAGGATGGCGCGAGGGTGTTGCAAGGCGTATATACCCATTTAACAGAAGAGAAAGCGGACTTGATGGAGTTGTACTGCAAAACAGCTTGGAGAGATGCCTTACCTTGTAGGGCTGTTCATTTTTGGCTGTGTAAGCGTCTCGATATTTTGGGGGAACGGCGGATGAATAAATACGACAACGCGGACATGTTGACGTGTGTCCCTGCGCTCGATTGTACTGTACTATATGTTGATAATTGTACCCAAATGGACAGCCTTTTCTGTCAGTTTCGTGCCGCATTTCCCACGTTGCCATGCATGACTTGCGCGGTAGGTTCTGATTAGATAGAGAATGACGACACAACAACAGGCGTTGTAACGGTCCACATTCTGTAAATAGTACCACTCATTAATTATATTATACGATATGCATGTCCCCTCCCCCAGAATTTCCAGTCGGGGCCGGGACGGACACTGCAGTCCGGGCGGAATTGCGGAGTTGCGGAGTTGCGGAGTTTGCCAGCGACCCGCTCTGAGAAAGTCCCCAATTCGGCTTGCGAGACGAACGACGTCCATACAAGAAGTGCTTACTGCTTATACTAAGCGAAACAAAGTCCGCCCAGTAGATGAAGACACCATTTATTTCACTTCAAGTTGGTCTGCATAATCGAGATCTTTGAATTTGGGAGCTTACATTTACACTCTTTCTCCGACGTTGTCCAGCCTGGCGGAATTCCTGGAAGCCAGTCTGCGGCTTTCCTGATCCTCACATCTTCACCCACTCATCTTCACACATACACATATATATCATGGACTCGTTCAGCTCTTTGACTGCGCGCAAAATGGACCGCGCAGCTGCTACCAGACAGAAGAGCTGCAACGCCTGCGTGAGAGGGAAGCGCAAGTGCGACAAGAAGACACCGCGGTGCACTCGCTGTGCAGCAAAGGGCCTCGACTGCGTCTACCAGAGGCTGCCGCCAGGAGCAGGCTTCCACGACGACGATATAGTGACCGGGCTTGGTTCCTCCAATACCGATTCCTTGGACGACGTTCCCGACTTTGATATGGGCTTTGATATCAACAACCTGGGAGCAACAGATTCTAGCGCCAGTGCTAGTGTCAGTAACAACACGCCCGAGAGTCTTGACAGGGCCAACCCGTCGTCGATAGAGCTTGATTCTCCCCTCGACTTCTCCATCATCGATCACCTCATGGCTAACAATACTTCTGTTGGTTCCGAGCTCTGGAGCCTGAGCGACTATGGCAGTAATAGCAAACTGAGCATACCGCCCGTGCCGTCCATGCCAGTCGGACCCCTAGTCATCCGCGATATATCCTGCTTGGAAATAATAGAGCCCTGCATGGGCGACTTCAACCCCTTGGACGTGTACGATACTCGCACCCGCGTGGGATACACAGTGGACGTCATCACCAACCTCTACCGCGACTTTGCACGAACCCGTCGCCTCCCCTTCATCCACCCTCGTCTCTACGGCTCCAACCTGCCCAAGACGATGCTGGCCGCCTTCTCGGCGGCATCTGCATACTCGGCCCGCACGCAAGAGAACAGAAGTTGGGTGTACAAGCTCATCGGCGACATGGCGCGCGATATCCATCGCGAAGGCGAGCGCGCATCGACGCCGGCGGAGAAGCTCGCGCGGGTGCAGGCCATGGTGGTGCTGGATACGATCCGCATGTTCGACGGCGACGTGACGATGAGAGCGACGAGTGAGCGCGAGCTGCCGCAGTTTCTGGCGTGGATGTTTGCGCTCAAGGAGCTTCAGGACGAGCTTGCGGTGGACGATGATCCGGCTGCTACTACAATGAAGGGGCCGCCACCACGGAGTTGGGAGGTAAGTTAATCGAGAGACGAAATTAATGTGGGAGATTTACTAATTCTGGAACAGAGTTGGTTGCTTTCTGAGAGTATACGCCGAACCATCGTCATGGCGTTTGCCTACGTGTGCATGGCAAGCATCCTCAAGTCCTTAGAGCGTATGTTGCCCCCTACCCCCTTTACATGGCTATCCACAGCTATGTACAGTTCCCAATATCTAATTTATCTATAGCACCCTGCGAAATCATGGATGCTTCCAGCTTCCATTTCACAGCGTCGAGATATCTGTGGGAAGCAGACTCCTCGATGGCCTTCTTCAGAGCGTGGCAAACCAAGCCGCAGTACCCTGTACGGAACCTCGACTTTAAGGGTGTCTGGTTGCATGCGCAGCCGGAGGATGTCGATGAGTTTACAAAGCTAATGCTGACTGCGTGAGTAACATTATCTTGTTTCTTGACCTGCATGTTTTAGTGTCTAACCGTAGAGTAGGCAAATGGGCCCCGAAGCCATCGACCAGTTCATGCTTGGCAAGGTGTTCTAAAATCGAGAGAACGAGAGAGAGTCTTTTGTCTTTATTTAATAATGATCAGCGTTAGGGAAGTTTGGAATATCTACATTGGAGAAACAGAACCCTTTGTGATAGATATCATGGGTATGGGTTGACTCAAGGCACAAATTGCGTCCAGAGTTGCTGGCTGACTATGCGGGAACAATCTTATGGAGTAATGAAAGGGTACCGCTTTAAGATTATGAAATACATATTTTATGGCTTCAATCCTCATACCTCCTCATCCGCAATTCTCCAGACAAGTCTCTCGCCACTGACCTCCTTATTCCTCAGAATGTCCACTGCTTTTTGGGCTCTCTCAACAGCAGTTGAGCCCTCCACGACGCGGTACCTGTTAGGAGTGATAATACCGTCTTTGAGCAATGCTGGTATAATCTCTGGCTGCGCCTTTTCCTTGAGGAACTCGTTCTGGGCAATGTTAGACTTGTAGGTTTGTAACGTGGGTGGATGGGGATAACTTACAGAGAGGTAGAAATGCGTGCGCACACCTCGAACGTCGACACCATCGGCCCATTGTCCAACCAAGACCTTGGAGGTGTCCATTTCATACTCAGGCTCCTCCTCTGCAGTGGCATCCTTGATGATCAAGGGGAGCATAACGGCCACAGTACTTCCGCGCTGAGCAAGCTTGGACAGGGGCTTTAGAGTACCCTCGAGAGAGCCGATGCAGTCGATGATGTAGGGCAACTTGGGCTCTGGTTTGTTGTTGACGAATTCGAGGATCTGGTCCACCACGTCGTCCTTGTGATAGTCGAAGGTCTGCGTTGCACCAATACTGCGGAGATACTCGTGCTGCTTCTCACTGGCCACGGCGACGATATTCTTGAAGCCCCAGTGTCTAAAGACTTGGATTGCGTACATGCCCACACTACTCGAGGCGCCCCAGATGAGGATAGGCTCGTCAGCCTGCTTAGGTGTGTAGTCCTTTGGCACAGGCCACGGGAGCTCCAGCTCCAGATCAGCTGCTGCAGTGTGGAACACGGTGACCAAGTTCACTGGTACTGTTGCCGCCTCTTGATAAGAGATGTTATCGGGGATCTTGGAGGCAAGATATGCAGGGATGGTGATGTATTCCTGGTGGTTTGACTCTTTCCCACCACGGAACGCAAAAGTAGCAACCCTATCTCCAACACTTAGGCCCTTGAGGTCACCGCCATCACCAACAGCTACGACCTTCCCAGAAGCACCTCCACCGCCCATCAGAGATGGATACTCAGGGATGAGAAGACCGCCATCAGCGCGGTGGAGGTCGAGCGGAGTGGAGGCGGTCCAAGCAACGCGGACGAGGGCCTCTCCTGGAGTGGGAGGATATACAGGGACTGTTTTAGATGTGAAGGGCTTGCGTGTTCCGGGGAGGACGATGGCTTGTTGAGTTGACGGGATAGAAGACATGATAGGTTGTTGATTCAGATGTAAGTGATGGGGTTGTTAGTGTCTGCTTAGTCTACTGATTGATGGGGTTCACTAGCGATTGATCACAGCTATATATACACGCAGTCTTTATTATTCTCTGGTGTCAATCCCATGGCTATAGCCTATGCGCAATAGCAAAACACTATCCGTGTTGTTGCAAATCAAGAAATTGGTAAGCCCGGACTCCGTGGAAACATTTGATCGCCATCTGTCTCCACTCCATTAGCAAAATAGCTTCCAATCATGGAAACTCTCACAGACATGACAAAACAAGACGTTGGTCCTTGGACACGCAAAACAGGCAATAAATCAAGTTTAAGGCCTCATGAGCGCAAGCTGGAACATGATTGCGTATGAACATGCTTGTGATTAGGCTGATGTGAGCTGGAGATAGACTATGCGATGTACGAAATCAAGGCGGCGTCGATGGAATTGGCAAATATGGTGGCATGATTTGATCACACGGGAGTTCAGAAGGTTATTCCGTTCGTGCATAGTAAAATTCGGTTAGTTCTTGCTTAATGTCCATTCCAATTCCATTCCGTTCGATTCCATTCTCGACGCCGTGACCCACGGAATATTGAAGGTATCTCGACTCGTCTCGTTTCAGTTCATTTCATTTCAGATCATATCAGTTCGTTACTCTCCGTCCCCTTTGAAAGTCATCAACGCTCTCAATATCCAAGCCCTCGCCCTCAGACAGTCGCAGAACCCATCAAAACCGTTCCAGGCGCAGGCCCAACGTCAATACGGCTCTGCGTCGCCATTCCACTCTCCTCATCGTCCCTCGCAGTCGGCGGACGTCCGAGATCGGCGACGACGTTGCGAACGCGCTGTCGCATGCTCTTGCGCTGCTTTACAGCATCGATTGCGTCGGTCTTTGGCGGTGATAGCTGGGTTGGGGTTTCTTTGGAGAAGACGGTTGAGCCTGAGAGGATGGAGGCGGCGTCGGAGCTTGTAGAGGGACGATGGTGATTGTCCATGTTTTAGTGTTGTTGTGTTTATGTTATTAAGCCAGAGACGCAGCAATTTGTGTACTATCTTTGAATACAATAGGCTCAGCTTGAAGAGGGGGGGGAGGCTTCTTATCTCCTCCCTCTCCCTCTCTGCCTCAGCCTCAGCTTCTTTCTGTCTTTAGCTCCTGCTCTACCTCTCAGAGGGTCTAGATCTTTGGTGTTAGTGACTTTAGTGCCTTTAGTGCCACTAGTGACCCTTCCCCGCGCTACTGTAGGTGCGCCCACTCTCATTAACCTTAATCTGTTCCACTAATCTTGACACCAACAGCACTACGAAATACGATATCATCAACAATAAGGCACAGAGTACATGAAATATCGTTATCATTATTATTAACCAGAGCCTTATATACTATAGCCCCTCGCGCTTGATCAGTTTCGGTATCTATACTCATCCGCCAAACTATCAACTATCAACATAGTACACACCAAAGTCTGTCCTCGACAAAGACAACCTAATGCAACCCTCCCCATCTTACTCAGACCTGATACTCTCGAGGCCATTTACCATACCCATAGCCCTCCACATCAACAGCTGAAATATCCTCCTCATTATGCCACCAAATCGACGTCAACACATCCAGCCCCAGCGGCTCAAACTCCGCCAGCTCAGCCTCTACCAGGTTCTCTACCTTGTCACCGCAGCAATTACCACACCTAAACGCCTCCCGCACGCTGCTTATATCCCACGGTCCGCAGTCCCAGTCCCCCGCGTCTTTGCTGTAGAACTCAACCACCACGCTCGTCTTGCGCAGCAACTGCTCGCACTCATCCCGGCACCGCTCCGTCTGGTGAGACCCGCGCGGCTTGTCCCAGCTGATCCGGTACCAGGTGGCGTAGTTCTCCGACTGGCATGTCGTGCTGTGCACCATGTCGTATAACTGGCCCATGCTGACACCTCGTGAAGGAGAGCGTGGCTCGATAATAGTAGTGTGTACTTCGTGAAACCAGATATCCACAGTGTCGAGCTTCAAGTATCCCAACGACGGTGGCGGCGGTTGAGAAACAAGCATCCGCCGCCAACTAGAGCTGCTCGAGGTGAAGTTCTCAAGACGCGGTGTCTTTTCCAAAACAGACAGGCTCCTCGCTGGACCTTGTTCTGCAGTCGCACCCTCGGGGGCCCAAGGTAACCGAAAGAAGGAATCTGCTCTTCGTAGATACGTATACTTGCGATCGATATCAAAGAAGCACCTCCCAAACTTCTCTACCAGCAATGGGTTGAGCGTAAAAGCCTCGGGCCTTTCCGCTGCTGTTGAAGGCACAGGTTGAAAGAACAGCGCTTGCTGGATTCTGGGCGATTCCGCCATCGTCGCGGCCCAGTGATGGCATACGCGAGATGCAGAGACTAATAGAGTTTTCGAGTCGAGATGCAAGAGGATCAGCTCCAATAACTCTGGGACGAAGAGGATTTGTTCCATGGTGTTTGCGCTCTCCATTGTGTGGTTTGGGATAGATACTGTTCTGTTATCTCAATTGACTCGAATGCGCGACACGGTGAAGACTGACTAAACAAATACCCGAACGATCAATGCATTACTCTATTACAACGTGTGGGTTAGGTATTCGACTTACAGCATCAATGATGATGTATTGTCAAAATAACGAGGGGTCAGCTTGAGGACGAGTTACGTATCACACGAGTCATGATATTGCGTACTGTATGTACAATTTTAGTGCATGCGACTAAAAGGGAAATCCCCATGTTGAACAGTTATAGTAAACAGTCCTCGGGGGAAATAAATCACCAGATATTAGATTTCCTATATATTAGACTCTCTGGCTAAAATATTTATAAGAATATTATATAAAGAATATAAAAGTAGTAAAAGTTTATAAGAAGGTTTAATAATACTTATAATATATTTTATTAAAAAAAATATGTTATTTAATATTATTATAGTTAACTAAAGATATCTTATGGCAGAGTCACCGCCGGTGTTTTACTTCTCCCCCTAGACAGTCAAACCAACAAAGTCAAGAATCCCGCCTCGGCTGAGAATGAGTGTTACATCTGTAAGCCCCATTAAGTTTTTACCTGCCTACTTGGGTTATGGGTGTCGATCTTGGTAGTATCAGCATTCAGCATCATAGCATTGGATATTAGTTGGCTTACTGTAATAGAGAGTAAAGTCATACGCCTTCAAAAACGACATGAATTTATCTTTCTATTCACTATAGGAAATGGAGTACCATGCCCACTAATTACCCCCCAATCTCAAATGCCGAATGCCGAATGCGGAGGTATATATATCTCATATTCATTAATCGAGCTGTAGTGTACATCACCATCTTTGTCGACTCTTTTTGCCATATCGACTGGAGCATGAAGAGCAGCAATGCTCCCCTTATAACATAACACCCGTAACAAAATGAATTCCCAGATGCCAAGACTCCAAATCATGCTGCTGTCACAGGCCAGAACGACAGCCCATTCTTACCCAAACCTCAACCTGTAGTTGAATCCTCCGTCGTACAAATCCCCCCATAAAATTAAAGAGGTCATAAAGGAAAAGTAGTGATGCGATATAATACGGCATGTGCGCCAGATTACTTGGTTCGTTCCAACATCTCGACACGCTTGTTTCCGAGGTCAACGATCTTCCCAACAAGCTTGCCTGCCGCGTCCATCTCGGTTATATCGTCGGCGCCTCCCAGGCTCACCCCGTTGACCATAATATTGGGCACGGTCCTTCGGCCGGTCGTCTCAAGCAGCTGGTCTTGCAAAGCCTGCCCTTGGAGATGGGTGTCAAGTTCAACCACGTAGGGTTCGGGTGTAATATTGTACTTTTCAATCAATATGCTCTTGGCACGCTTCGAGAAGGGACAGTAGGTCTTTGAGAAAATGATGACTGTGAAATATTTAGCAAGACCGCCCTCTTGGCAATTACATAGGTTGACTTACCAGGAGACTTCTTAAGGATGGAGTCGAGCTCTGCGCGAGCCTCAATGGCCTCCTTGCTCCTTGTCTCGGTCTCGGGCTTCTTTTCAGCAGCAGCAGCAGCACCCTGTTCCCCAGCGGCCGGCTTGACGATCTTGTCCTTGTTCTGACCTTCCGCAGAGCTTCCCACTCCCACGACCTTCTTGGGAGGGTCGGGCCGTAGACCTCCCTTCTCGTTCGCCTTGCCCTTTGCCTCGGCCTCAGCAGCCTTGAGGCGCTCCTGCATCTGAGAAGCTAGCTCCTTGTCATCTTCGTCGATATCTCCGTCTCCATCCTTGTCGTGGTGAGGTTGTCCGGCCTTTTCTCCTGTTGCAAAGTCGACGACAGGCGCAGGCGCTTCGTTCGCGCTCATGGCATTTTGGGTCTTCTTGATAAACTCCTGGCCGGTGTATGTCTCGGCATCGTGATGCGCGTCGAAGCCCGAGGTGTAGAAGAGTATAAAGATAAAAGTTCCGATAGTCGCCAGGATCAATAGGCGTACCCGGCGTGGAGAAGGCATCTTGGTGGGATGGGTGATCTCAAGACCAGGGTGGATGCGCTAAAAGAGCTGTGGTCCAGAGCTCCCGAACGTTGCGCGGCGAGGAATTCGAGTCGGACGGAGCAGCAATAGATAGAGACGACACAGATTCTGCGATAATTAAGGAGCGTCGAAGAGACGGGAATGACAGTGCAAGCACAGATCGGTCGGCTATGGTTGGAAATGGGAGATGGCGAGGAGTGTGGAGGAACGGGATACGAGAGTCCCAGGGACAAATGGGACAGATTGGGATTGGAAATTGAAATTGAAATGGAAATCCAGTATCTCTAGGGAGTCTAGGGAGTCTAGGGAGCACTCCGTAAGGGAGAGGGAGCTGCCCAATTCCAGAGGAGGGTCGGGGCTACTGGAGCCAATCAGAACATCGCTGTGGAAATAAAGACGGTGCGGATGCCATCATAGACTGTGCAACTTGAAGATGTTGTTATTAGTTGTTAATTGAAGTTGTCAACTTCTATAGATTGCATTTAAATATAAAGGAAATCTAGTACTAGCAGAAGGATAAACAGTCGGTTGACATTAATGGATAATCGGAAGCCACAAATAGTGATTAAGGTATCTGACTAACGCCCATATGTCTACAGGTAAGTAACTCTGTACAAAAGAAAACAACACAACCCAAATCTAAATAAGCCAGCTCTCTAGTCTCTCCTCTAAACCTTCCGTACTACACGAAAGCTTCTTCTTTACACTTATAGTCAGTGAGAATGCACGATACTATGGTACCAGAGTCGTATAACATACTGTACAGCCTCTATACTGTCAACCTCTCAATGGAATGGTCTTGCGTCTCTTGGTCGGGTGCAACCTGCACCCACGCACTTCCACTAGGCTCCTGAGCCTTTTCAACCGAAACTTGAGGGGCACCATGAGAATGAGATCTTGTGCGGTGAAGAAGTGCTGCTCTTGATGCGTGGAGGTCTCGAAGATGATGATTGCCATGACGGTGATGGTGCATGGCCGGTGCAGCCTCAAGGGTAATGGCCCAGAAGAAGAAGGCAACAAAGAAAGAAAAGTTCAAGGAAAGCATTCTTCTTGGGTTCCTGAAGGGTACAAGCTTGAGTGACTTGATCTGCTGGATGCTTGTCGGTATCATGAAAACTCAACTGGGCTGTCCACACTCATATATACATACCTCTAGGGCCAGCCGCTCCCTTTCACTTCCAAGACCTTATGACGAGGGGTCCACTTACACTTACACTTGTACTTACGCTGAGGCTATTTCTATACTTTAATTGCCGCATTCGGTCTGATATATCGTGCCTTGGGACCACTTGCCAGGGATTTAAAGGGACATGGGCCGTAGTGAGACAATCTTGTGCTAAAGCTGCTTGCGACAAGGAACTATTTCTGGCGGGCACCGCCCCTTCAACTTATGCTCCCTCCGTCACATGAACCCTTTGATAGAAAAACAAGGTTTGTCTAGTCATGTTTCGATTCCTCATGTCGTTAATCTCCTTGGCTGTTAAAAACATCGTCAACGTTGATTGACGGTTTGACCCTCGTGGAAAGGGAAGGCTGGTTTTTGTAAGACATTTTCAATAAGTGAGCTCCATGTGACTTTATGCAGGTAGTGTTGCGCGATTACATGGCTATCATCGACATCACAGTCGAATATTCGCCTTAAATTGTAGTTGACGTGTTTTAATCTATCTCATGAGGTTGACTTACATGACGGACACCGATGTGATCCTGACTAAGCCAAAGCTATGTGTGTAAGCCAATCAAAATATGCCAAAAGTCTTTTCTACAGGGAGCTTGGGAGCATCCACGGTGGCACGGGCGCTGAATGGATCTTGACAACTTGCCATTTCTAGTGACTTCGATTTATGATTAAAGAAGTGTCCTTTTACTCGACTGACTCATATTTTGATGGTTTATACAACTCATGACATATAAACTCGGAGTTATTTGCTTTCACGTTTCTCAAACCTTACTCTTGATCATTACAAAATAAAGCAAAAGTCTATCCTTACTTTACATACCTCTCAACCCTTGATACCCACTTCCATGTTGCCTATCCTTTACCTTTCTTCCTCTACACATTAAACCACCGCCCTTTCAATATTCCGATTCAAAAACAAGAGAGAATTCACCACTAGAAACATCTGTCTCTCCCTAGTTTCACCCTCCTTCACTACCACCGCCGCTTTCCCTAGAGACTTCGCTTCTTGATAGCTCTCATCCATCATGGCTCCCTCAAGGGCAAAGTCCTTTTCCTACCTTTTTGTGCTGGTGGTGGGCATCGTCCTTTGCGTCTTCGCGTCACCTGTATTCTCCAAATCTCTGGCCTCGCAACCTTCTCCCAATGCAGATGTTGAACTCATCTGCCACACAGACAACGCCAAGGATTGTTACCCGAAAGTATTCCAGCCGACTGATGAATTCCAGATCGTCCATGATGATCAAGAACTGCCTCATGGACTCCACGTTCGTCTGAATATGTCGAATGGCAAGAAAGAGGCCAAGATCAACGTCCCTGACGAGGGAAACCCTGCACTTGAAGGCCTCCCAGTTGATCAAGCAATCGTTGTCGTGGACCAGGGACATACAGAAGATCCTCAAATTCCCAAAGGTGCACCGGCCTACGAACCCATCGGTAAAATCAAGGAGCCTCAGGGTGAGGAGTTTGTCGGTAAACCATTCTTCACAGCCATCAAAATGTTGAAGGCTGGGGAGACCGACGGTGGCAAGGAATTTGACGATGCCCTCGAAGGAATGGAGGAACTATCACACGACATCTACTATGGTCTCAAGGTCACAGAAGACCCGGCCGTCTTGAAGGCTTTATTCTGCATGATGGCTGATTCAGATGTTGCCTACCCTGCGGACATCACTCCTCGAGACCATCAAGCAGCTGCCATCCTTGGAGCCTCCTTGCAGAACAACGCAGCGGCATTGAAGGAGGTTACGAAACAGTGGACAGGCCTGATGGAGGCGCAGTGCCCAAGAACTGGCAAGTCCCTCAAGGACTCTTTCTACTCGCCCCTCGTACCCGCTCATGTTCCAACCTCCATCAACACAAAGACCCTAGCCTCCAAAGCGAAAGCAAAGGTTGGAGCCATCAACGGTCTCATGAAGAGCGATATCATCCGAGCAGAATTTCTAAAGAATGACGGCATGAAGCTGCTGCTTGAGGTACTCGTTCCTCAGGGCAAAGAGTGGGAGACCACACAGCGCAAGGTCGGACAGCTGGTTCTTGACACTTTCTTGGACGAAGACATGGGTGCCAAGCCTGGCCAATGGCCTCGTACAGAGCGAACCAGCGATGCCAAGTGCCGAGTGTATGAGACGAGCGCCGATGAGGGCTGCTGGGACTACCACGTTGCGAGGATATTGAAGGAGAACAAGCGGGATAGTGGCCATTGGAGCCGGGATCTTCATGATCGGCTTGCGGTATTGAGGAAGAACGGCAAGTATCCTCTTCGTGTTGAGCTGTAGAGTATCTGCGAAACTAGTCATTGGAGAATATATAAAAAAAATCATCTACTTGGATTCTAAAACTTCATGACTCTTTATATTTTAAACGTGATCTCGTTATGGTCGAAGGTGGTGGTGGGTGATAAAAATTGATGTGGTTCGCTGATTGAGCGAGCAATGGAGTAAATAATTTCATACGCCAGTGTTGAATATGGTCGCTAACACCAAACCGCACTCATACCACACATCGACCACATTTTAATATACAGAGGTCTTGTCTTCACGGCCAGTTCAACTCTCAACCGCACTCAAAATGGATCAATCACTGCCCTTCCAGACAAAGCGCCATCATAAAGGCCGTGGCATGTTCTCCACCAAAACAATTGCTCCAGGTGATATCATCCTCCCATTCACACCCACGATTATCATACCCTCGCTCTCTCACATAAACGCCATTTGCAGTCATTGCTTCAAGCCAGCAGAAGTACGCGCCTGCTCCCGTTGCCACGCTGTATCCTACTGCGATGCTGCATGCCAATCCGCAAACTGGACCGCTGTCCACTCCAAGGAATGCAAGGTCCTACGCAAGGTCACGGAACAGGGGCGCCCAGGACTGCCAACGCCCGTACGCGCAGTGATCCAGGCACTTGTGAAGCCTGAGATTGGTGCCGCATTAGAGGACCTGGAGGGAAACGTTGTGTCTTGGAGGAATAGTGAGAAATGGGCGGATATGGAGATGATGGCTATGGGTGCGAGTTCATTTGCAGGACTGGGGACGGGTCAAGCGGAGATTCAGAAGGCGCTGACTCTGCTATGCAAAGTATGCGGTAAACAAACTGAGTATCTTGAAACAGCAAGCTAACTTTATTGTATAGATTCAGACAAATGCTTTTCATAGATATGATGCCGATTTGGGCCAGGTTGGCATCTTTCTTGGGCCAAAGCTCGCCATGGCCAACCATTCCTGCATCCCCAATGCCATGGTACAGTTTGTTGGCAGAAAGGCTATACTGAGAGCAGAGAAGCCGATCAAAGTTGACCAAGAGATCGAAATCTCTTACACAGGTATAACTTTCTAGCATTTACATGGCGACGTTTGTTAACATAATGCCAGATTACACATTCCCTCTGTCAAAGCGAACACAAGCACTTGCACCGTATTTCTTTGATTGCCTGTGTTTGAGGTGCGAGAAAGACCTCAATGTCTATCAAGTATGCGCTGTATCCCCAGTTATCGACATGAACCGCCACAGTCTTGTCGTTGATGTTGGTAAGCTCGGTCGACACGCAGCGGCAAAAGATTCGAGCAAGGCCTCGGCGGCGGCGAGGAGGTACAGCGAGGAACTGTCTGACCTCTTAGATGAGAAAGACTTATCTCCATCACTAGAGACCCGGCGAGCAGCTCTATGGGCACGTTACCAACAGTGCAAGGGACTGGTGGCCGAAAAGCTGTGGGCGGTATCGCCACTCCCACAACTGCTGTCAGAGATATCGATTCTCTACGCCGAAGAAGAGAACTTCGTGTATGCTTTGGTCACGTCTTGTTTTATCGCAACATCCTGCGATCCCTACCGACACGTCCTGCCGTACCATCCAATTCGCATCAAAGGTCTTTTGCTTGTTGCCAAACTCCTGGCCAATACTGCAGCGGACACGGCTTCCCTCGGCAATTCACAAGCCGTGGCATCCAAAGGAGACTTCAACCAAAAAGCTCTAAAAACACTACAAGACATTGATCAAGTGTCACTGTGCCAAATGCTGCTCATCATGATTTTGAAGTCTGTTCCCAGGGGCTATGCCCAAGAGTGGGGGGTTTCGATTACTGCCAAGCAGATGCTGGACGAGATAAATCAACTGCCGGGAAGAGACCAAGAGCTGTCCCTGATTAATTCTTGGACAGGGAACCCTGAGGCCGATCAGGCAAGGGCTTTCTTTGAGTATGCGGTTGTGCAGCAAGTTGATGCTCTGGCGGATTTGGGAATGGAGATATTTGGGATGGACTTTGGTCAGTGAGGGGATTAGATATTCTTGTTAATTACAATAACAAAAGATTTAATGACGCAGAACCCTAGTTAAAGTTTAAAAAAGAAAAAAAGTATGTACAGAAGTTATTCAAACAATATTCAATGTCATTATCAGTGAATCTATGTTGACGTCGCGTTTAGACGCGTAAAGTGGCATAAGTTCTAACCCTTCTACTGGTCAATTTTACTGTACCTAAGCTTCTGCGCCCCACCTTCTAAAGTCCCTTAAAAATGCCTGGAGACCAGGGCAGGTACGTACTTTTCCGCAAAGCAAGAGCATTCTGCATCTGCATTCTACCTAGATTCCAAAACTTTTGTTTCTCCAACATCCACCTTCACTCCAACTCTTCATTTATAGCGGCGCATTGTTTGCGCTCGCATCACGATATCATGGGTAAGAAAGCAAAGAGAAAAGCTGCCCATATCGTCAACAAAACCCTTACCGTCCTAGGAGCCGACCCAATTCTCGATCCCATCGACAAATCTTCTTCCAGCGGACCCCAGGATGCAGTTCAACAGCTAGAGAAGTTTGACGAGGGTGTCGCTGTGACGACGGCGATTGCGATGCCTGAGAGAGATACCCCCACGCAAAGCGACAGCAGTCTCAAGCGCGCTGCGCCCCACGATGCCGGTGATGATGATGGAGGAGAGTGGCAGGTTGTTTCTCGAGCTACCAAGAAGCTCAAGAAAATCCCCAAGCCAGGCAAGAATTATCCTACGATTGCCTTTTCGCCCAATGCGCGACTTCAGTCCAAGATCAATATCTCACAATTACGAGACTTGGTGACGTATATCTTCGCTGACGGCCCTGGTCCTCAATGGGTCGGCATTACCCATCGCCCTGCTTTCCGAAAGATTGTGGCTATCATGATACCCGGCATTGAGGAGGCCATGTTCAAACATACAGTCGATTTCGATACATACAACGATGCCGCACAGGAGACAAACACTGTTGTTACATCACCGGACGACTATTATCCCCGGGTACTGGCAAAAGAGCGCCTACCTGAGGCCCTGCAGCCTTTTGCGGACATGTTCACGCATCTATGGCCCGTCAAGACTCCAGGAGACGACCGTCACGGGAAGATGCATTCGCCGTTGGCTGCTTTCCTCACAGCTCCCACCCCTAAAGAAAAGACAGGAACTAAAAAGGGCGTCAAGCCAGCATCCGAGCCCCAGGGCTGGAAGAACGAGAGGACCTCCATTACAGAGTTTCTTTGCTCTGTCGAAGATTTGAGCGACAATGGCTATCTGGTTCACCCAGCAATGCTAGAAGGAGTCGCCAAAGATCAGTTTGTGGTCCCTCCAGGATGGGTCATCACGAACGTGGACAAACTTGAAGACGGAGAAGCCCCTGAAGAAAAGGTTCAAAAAGGTAGCATTACCGCCGGGCGAGAGATTCTTGCTCTGGACTGTGAGATGTGCATGACTGGAGAGAATGAATTCTCTTTAACGCGAATTAGTATAATCGACTGGTTTGGCAACGTGGTACTCGATGAGCTTGTCAAGCCTGACAAACCTATCATCGACTACGTCACCCAATTTTCTGGCATCACGGAGGAGATGCTTGCACCCGTTACAACTACATTACACGATATTCAGCAGAAACTCCTTGAGCTACTGACCCCTCGCACAATCATGATAGGACACTCTCTGGAATCAGACACCAAGGCTCTTCGCATCTCGCACCCTTTCATCATCGACACATCTATCATCTACCCTCACCCTCGCGGACCCCCTCTCAAATCATCCCTAAAATACCTCGCCCAGAAGTATCTATCAAAAGAGATCCAAAAAGGCGGCGCGAATGGCCACGACAGCATCGAAGACGCTAAGACCTGTCTCGATCTTGTCAAGCAAAAGTGTGAAAAGGGCAAGTCATGGGGTACTTCTGATTCCCATGGCGAGAATCTGTTCCGTCGGTTGGCTCGGGCTGGAACTGCATACAAGGCTCAAGGGGGCGAAGCGGGTGGCCTCGAGGTTGGCAAGACAAGTGCTGCTATCGACTGGGGCGACCCTTCAAAGGGTGCGGGGGCCGGCGCAACGCACCAGCTCGGCTGTAAGAACGACGAGGATGTAACCAACAACATAATTCGTGCTGTACAAGGAGACGCAGATGGCCTCGAGATCCGTGGCGGCGGCGTTGACTTTGTATGGGCGAGAATGCGAGAGCTCGAAGCCCTTCAAGGCTGGTGGAACCGCAACCGTGTTGAAAACACAAACAGCGACGGCGGTCCCCCTCAAGACTCCGAGGCCATCCCCTCCGACAAGTCAGAACTCGAGCAGGCCCTTGCCCGCCTTTCTGAGCGTCTCACACGCATCTACGCCTCCCTGCCGCCCTGCACCGCCTTCATGTTGTACAGCGGCTCGGGCGACCCGCGCGATATGTCACGTCTGCAGAAAATGCAGTCTCAGTGGCGCAAGGAGTACAACACACCCGGCAAGAACTGGAACGAGCTCAGTGTCAAGTGGACCGATGTTGAGGAGCAAGCGCTCAAAGAGGCGGCACGTAAGGCTCGCTCGGGCATTGGATTTATTGGCGTCAAATAAATGGCATGGGGGAGTATGGCTATTATTAGACAAGAAATGTCTTTTTCGTAAACTATATAACAATGCGGAGGGACAGGCAGTGGATGTATGTGCCAGGTGAGGCTTCCCTCTCCAGTGGCCAATGCATATCCAATAGGCATAAGAAATCACAAAATCTGCAGTGTAGATAGAGTATAGTGATCATTACAACTTCGCATTAGAGTTCTGCCAGATGGAAATCCTGGTCCTTTATCCCATCCCAGGATGGACATATCCAGATTCTTGACAGGAGGGATCCTCCAAAATTATATATGTCAACTACTCGTATCCCACGAAACTTACAAAAAAAGAAAATAGCAGATGTGCTTCGTTCCCACCACGCTTTGTGTAAATTCCCTCCCCATCGCAGCTTTTTTGTTACGCCGACGCTAGTATGGACATTCTCAAAGAACAAATCCCTGAAACATAAAGAAAATACAAAGACAGATCAAGTAAAAGTGAAAATGTCAAAAAAGTTCATGTATAACGCCTGCTCGTTCGCTGTACTTCCGCAGCTCGAGTCCCCCAAGTATCTGCGGTTGTGACCGAATGTGTTGATTGATGACTAGAAATGAGAGGTGAGCATGTGTGCTCATGTGCAAGGACCCATTGGACCTTGATCTATTGATCGTGTACATAGCGTTTGACCCTTGAGGTGTAAGAACAAAAAGAAAAGAATATTAGATTATGACCCGAGAGGGGTAGAGATGTTCATGTTGAGAAAGGGAGTGTGTCATGTCATGATGGTCGTCAAACCAGGGGGTCAGCAGCCCATTGTCTTGGTTATGACAACAGAAATAGGACAAAATCAAGTGCGGGGTCTAGCAGGGAGATCCTCAACAAGCTCAGCGGAGCTGCCGAGCAGATTCACATCACGATGTAACGGGTCAACTCGGCTGACACCATGTTGTGATACCATGCCAAAGCTTGCAGGTCGGTCGTCGATTGCTGGGCTGAAGTCGATATGGGAGAATTCGCCGGGGAACTCCATGGAAGAGTTGGAAGACAGCCGCTTTTGGGAGTTGGTTCGCTCGAATGGTAGTCGCGAAGAAGCTGATAGTGTAGCTCGATGGTGACTCGAAGTACGACTTACAGCATCTGAGTCCCGTAACTGCGACCCGAAGGATATTGTTGAGCCAGGCATGTTCATCAGACTGAGTGACGGCGCTCGACTGTGGTCGCTGTTGCCTCCAAAATTGCCAGACGCACGCTTGGAGCTCTTGCGAGGAATTTCCGGGGCGTCATCATCCTCGGCTTCGCGCAGTGCGATGTGCGGCGCTTTGGATAGAGACTTGCTTGGTGGCCTTGGGAATCCCTCACTACCGGCGCTAAAGGTGCGTCGTGGTCGCTCTAACACGGGGCTCTCGGGCTCAGAGTCTTGAGGGTCCCCATTGTCATCTAGAAGAGCACTCTGCTGCTGGCGACCGGGTGATCGCCTTGGTAGAGGTTCGTCTTCGTCGTCCGAATCAATAGGCCCATTTCGGAGTACACCCATGGCCACCGGAATGCCCTCAGGGGGTGATTCTCCACCGTTCCTAGCCATCATGGCCGGTGGCATTCGCGAGCTTCTCACGACTTCAAACCCCTTGCCTTTCTCCTTCGTCTTACCACCAAACATATTTCGAAACCATCCTGATGCGGTAGCCACAGGGCCTGTTGGATCAGCAGGTCCTGTTCCAAGCTTGCGACCAGGACCATCCGAGTTCAGGGCTGGTCCACGAACACCATAGTAAAAGTCTACTTCACGAGTGGCGTAATCGGGTCGGTTCGGAGGGATGCTGACTTGAGAATACCCAGCTGGAGGAGGAGGGGCTGGAGTTGGTCCGCGGGAGATATCCGCACCCATGTCCGCAGGATCCCCTAAGCCTCCAGGTTGATTAGCTCCCTTAGCATCTGCTACGTTAGAACCACCAGGTCCTTCAGAGTGGATTGATTCATTCATCGTTTGTCGTCGTCGGGGAGGTCGATAATAGGGGTCGGCGGCGTCCATCGACTGTGTAGGATGATGGCGTCCTGCAGCATTAGGGGAGGGCAGGAAAGAAAATGTGCTCCTCTCTCCGGGCGTGTTCGGCATATAGGAACTGCCGCTGTCAACCGGCATGCCGGAGTAGACGTCGATACTATCAAGCGCCGAGCTGCTTCTGTGCCGAGGGTTCATGAGTCCACCGAGACTAGCACCGGACTCGCTTCGAACCCTTCCGCTTGGCATAGCGTATCCTGACTTGCCACCATCGTCCATGTCCAACATTGCTGCCGTCGACAATTGGCTTGCTCGGGATGGACCAGTGTTACGCGGTTGTGTGTTGCGACGAGACAGCTGTCGCATACCAAAGATCTTTGTAAGTCCTCCACGGGTCAGACCTCGAGCGTCGTCTCCACCAGCACCAAGCATGCGAGCTGCAACCTCGATGATGGTCTGTAGAGCATTGAGGAAGAAGCCAAATATCAAAGCGGCACCGTGGATGCCTAGAATGATATAGCCAATCCAGCCCTTGTCCCCCTCTGACACATCAAGTGAAGGCAGAAATGCCACCATCAGTAAGAGTGAAATGAGACGTAGCGACCCGAACAGAGTGTGGTACGCGTTCATCGCGGTTGAACGCTGAAACGGTCGGAAAGCGTGAAGCGTGAGGATGTGGATAACTTCACATATGGCAAGCAGTACCACTTGAGCGATACCGCTCGGTTGAACTGCACCCACAGTGATACCCCGGAGGAATGTCAGGAAGACAGGGATGAGGGCGTACGCAGCCGCTTCGTCAGAATAGGTGTTATAAAGAGGGCCGTACAAGAGTACAGTCGGTAGATCATCGTAGAGGACAGACTTGGGCCTCGTCTTGATGATAAGATAGAAAAGGTATGATGCAAATATGACGAGGGAAATCAGAGTGACAACTGCGAGAGCAATTGTATAAGTGGGCGCGTCGCCTGCAGTGACGAGCTGGAAGCATGACAAGGCGACGATAGGGAACAAGAAATAGTTGAAGACGATGCGGACGGCGTTGCCGACAGAGAAGGGAAAGTTCTTTGAGCGCAAATCTTCCTCGGGAGTGTTGTTGATCTTTCGAAATAACCACTGAACTGCGAATCCACCCTGGACCAGGACTGTGACTGAGGCAATGCAGACGCATAACCAAACCATCATGCCAGCCCAGATGTCCCTAGTCTCCGCCATGCCAACCAATTGCCCCAGCTCTTGGAGTCCGTAGGTGCCATTGGTAACATAAATGCCATCTACAACGCTCTGCCATGAGGGGGCATCTGCGACGAAACTTTCGTTAAACATTAGAGTTGACCATGCCATCTGACTGACAATAGGCTGATAGAATCCGGGGTAGTCGAGAGTAAGGCCGCCGGTCAGTGCAATGAACTGGATGTACTGGAGACAGTCACCAAATCCAGGGGTAACGAGGCGGAGCAAGTCAACGTCACGGCCGTAGTTGGAGGTCCAGTGAAAGATATCGGAGGAGCCCCAAGGGCTAAAGATGGCCGAGGAAGCGACTGCAAACCCCACAAAAAGCAGCACAATCATGGGCAGAAACTTGAGGAGCCAAGAAAGACCTCCGAGGTCTGGAGTTACGGTCATGGAAACGCAGCCAATCTGAGGCGCCTCGTGAGTTCCATCTATGATGGACATGCTGGGTATCAGGGAAGAAAAGGCATATGATGCATATGCATCCCATGTGACGTTGAGAGAAGGCAAGTTGTATGGATCGCTATGAGTTTTCCAGTCAGTGTACAATCTTCAACAGACCCAGGAGTGAACATACTTGGGATTGACTTGTCCAAAATAAGGGCCAACAGGGCACGAGTCATTGACCACCGACTGTGTACAGAAATCAAATGGATGGTTATATGGAAGATATGTCAAGAAGTTAACTCTGGAGAAGTAGGTTGTGGCAGTCTCGTTGGTCTCGGGCAATCGTGCGATTTTGCCATTGATTTTATCATTGTCTTTCCACGAAGGATCGTCCGGAGGTGGCAGTTTGGCAGTATTTCGGGCACCCGTAACATTTCCCCATACAATTACACGAAGGTTGTGTTTCTCGTTCTCGGTGTCGAATACAGCATCGGCGAATAAAGGAACCCATTGCAATCTCGTCGGTTCGTTCAGGCGGTAGGAATCGCTGAGACAGTTCGTAAAAGGAATCCTGACGGCATGGGCAGGTGACACGGCGTGCAAGGCGATGAGAAAGGCGACTAATACACTTCTCGAGAATCGCGATATCGTTCCATGTTGAGCGACCCACGTCCTTCGTCGGGGAGCGGCTTGTGACATGATATGGGAATGACGCTGAGATTGTGAGTGATTAGATGAATCTATAGCAGCGACGGCAGCGGGCGCAGTGCCAGAGAATAGACGTTTCGATGACCGTGCGACATGTCGCCTCCTGGGCTGATCCTGAGAAGGGCCGCGATGGTGTGTGCAAGGGCGACAATCCTGCGAGTAGTCGATGAGTTGTTGGCCAGCCAGACCAAGCTGCATAGCTTCAAAGTTATCCAGGAAGCTGAGATAATCAAGACTGAGTTGCCGATGAGGACTAGAAGCCCAGGGCGGGGGGCAAGGGTTCGTGAAGTTAAGCAGGCGAGTAATCGAATCGGGTTTGTTGGTGGTGGTTCAGCCGGAGATCATCTTGGGTGTCGAGAAAGGGTAAGCCGACGGAAGGTTTCAGACCAACCAGCGTACAAGCGAGCGAGTGAGCGAACGAACGTGATTCTCGAGATGCCAGCTGAACGGGAGGCCTAGATACGATCGATGGCCACGGATCAAGTGGTGAAAGCTACAAAAGGTTACCTAGAGTAAAGGGTAAGGTCAAAGTAGGTAGGCTGATGGAAACTACAGAATAGGGAAACGAAGCGAAACGAATCGAGCGAAGGAACGAACGAGTGAGGAAGGAAGGGAAAGGTAAAACGAAAGGAAGAGAAAAAAGAAAGAAAGGAAGAGAGACAAAAAGCGTGTGCAGTGCCTGTATGGTGTGGTATGAGCGCGCAAAGGTCAGGTCGTGTGCAAGTTCAGCGTGTGTGCCTTGATCCTGAACTGTGATGGGGTTTGATCGAACCTGACTGAAAGTGGACGGATGGATTCTTTTTTTGGGGGGAAATAAAAGAGGCGTCCATGATTCGAGTAGGAAAAAAATAACGGGGGTTCCCCCATGAAGGGATAAGCATGTTTGGGTGCAGGTACTAGATACATTGAATGGATGAGATAGCTGTCCCGTCAGCAAACATGGCCCTGACCCGTAGAATGTCGAACTTAGAAGGGGCCGGGTGCCCTGTAAGACGCCGCCCTAGGCTCTAACGGTAGTGCCTGGTACCTGTGGAAACCTTCACGATCCATGATGGATGGATCCAATACCTAGGTAGGTACTAACGGATAGGTCTAGCTGCAATGGCCGCGCCCGGCCAACTGTCAGTCTGGGCACTCCCCGCCGTGAACTGTTGGCGATCCCCCTGTGAGGATCTACAGCATACCTATTGTGGCATGGAGGTAAGCGGATGTCTTATGAATCCGTACCTATCTACTCCGTACTACAAGATCTATACTTTTATACTTGGAGTTCTTTTGTCTCTTTGTGGTACTCATATTTATTCTCTTTCATCTAAAATAAAATTCAGCCCTGGCATGGAGGATCTCAAAACCTAGCCTCAAGTGAGATTTTGTGGAATGAAGGATTAGTCAATGATAGATTTGGAGCTTGTGCTCGTTGGGCTGGGCGTTGTGGCTGGGTCGACGCTAAAGGTCTATCTTTATCTCAGGCCACGGACCCGAGATATCTCAGACTCAGGGTTTAAGATTTAAGAGCTCAATTTATGGATGCTTATCAAGAAAATAGGGATGATCTACGGATATCTCGGTGCGACTATACTCGGACTAGACGATGCTAGTAATATAAAGATGATTAAAGTTTTTCGCATTTGGTCGCTCTTTTTATCGGACGATATCTAGTGTTCATCCTGACTGATGGTGAAATGATGATATAGGTACTCGGTACTTGTCTCCTGCAGCTCTCGTAAAACAAATCCCCCCTCCAAGCCCCATTCCGAGTTAGCCTGTGACGTTTGGCGCAAAACGTCATGGCGTGCGGCTTAGATTGAGCCCATCCGAGATGGAGCTGTCGATTTAGTACCCAAAACGTGCAACAGCTGCGAGTAAAAAGATCCCTTTTATTGGACAGTTTTTTATTCATGAATATCGACATCATGATTTTGTGATAGAGAAACAGATGAAACGGCGGTATCAAACCTCCCGTGTCTCCTGTCTCCCGCCTGCAACATTTGAATTTTACACTCTAGCCATGTTCTGGATTAAAATTGAATCATTGAGCAAAAAAATAACAGCAAATGAAATCCCTAATTTTGAACCAGACCGGCCATGCAAGGAGGCGACTTCTGCCAGTCACCTCCACCATGGAACGGAACGGAACGCAATATTCTAATAATCACATAGTTAGGTACCTTACTGTACACTTTCTGTCAGTAGGTAACGGTCCTGCCGCTGATATACAACGTTTCATGCAATGCACTTATGAGATGCTTTATTGGACGCCAGATCATGTCTGCTTACTTGCATTGGAAACCGATCTTTGAAAGTCTCGAGATTTGAGTGCCGATTCCGTGTTAAGCATATGACATGGAACCACACGTTACAGAAGAGACATATGATCACTAATTATACAGTTATACTCCGTGTGCCCTCCAAATAATGTTTTGATGCCCTATTCGCCCTGTAGGCCTGTAGCTCCAATGCCCCTATGCAGCACAGCGCAGATACGAGAGAGTCAACAGTTGTTCAGTTCCATTCCCCATCGACCCTTTTTTTTTGTTCATGCCCCTCCACTGGTCTCAGGTCTCAGGCCGCCCTATTCGCCGACTGTATTCCACGAGCCCCAGTGGAGTAAGTCCCAGCTTGGCCGGGGTGAAGAGCTAAGGATAACCCTGTTACATCCATTAGTGTCAAAAAAGGTCTCCAAAAACCAGGCTACCTTCCATGGCACCTATTTTCAGCAACATCCATCGACTTACTTTCTCAGCTCATGTCCATTCTCCATCCGACAATTGTTCATTAAAAATTCACCTTCTATACGGAACACAGCATGCACCTAACATGTCAGCTCGTAGATCGTCTCCCCGTATCCCGCGTATCAACCATTGGTTCTCAATCGCTTGCCAACTCATTCACTCGCCCTCGGCTATTACCTAGAAATCTGGTTTTTACCATACCCATCCACCTCCACTTCGTTTTCAAGGTCGACGTCTTCTAACAAATTCCAAGCCTATCAAGCCTCATTTCCATGTCAATAACACCCGTGTTAACACGTGTGCCGTTGGATAACCCTACAAGCCCCCATCTCGATGCTCGGCCTGGTCATCACTCCGTCATCATAGGGTTCCATCAATGATCTAGACCCCTGGAACTAGACCCTCATTATCAACAACACCCTCTCGGCTCTAGCACAGTCTCAGTCTCCCACCCAAAAGTTGCCAGCCACCGCCTCAAGCATGATATCTAGGAGACACAACAGGAAAACACGGAATCTTCAACTATAATGAAGATCAATCTTCACCTAAACTAATAAATTCAGATCATCAAAAGTATGGCATATCATAAAGATCTATCTTAGAGATATCACGAAACAAGTAATCAATAGCTATATTCTAGATTTTCCTTGACCTTGAACGAAACGTCCCTTCATATCGTGCTCATACTGCTGTCTTTCACTGCTGATCTGTGATGATGTGCCTTTGGATACTCAACCTTCCAAGAGGCCACGCGGCTGGCGCACAGAGATCGACATAGGCTATATTCAAACTTTTGACGACTTCACCAGACATGCAATTCTGAATACTTGTCCTACCGTAGCTTCGCAGGCCACGGACAAGTCAACAAAAGTGAAAGCTGCACTTCAATCGCCCTTCCCGCCCTGCTGGTCCTGGTTCCCTCTAAGCTATCGCTCAGCATGTGTAAGCTAAGCACCTCACCACTCAAGTCAAGACTCAAGTCAAGGCTCAAGGCCGCTTATGCTTTGCATTCACGTTTCAGACTTAATCACGGTCCCCGGCAGATGCCACTAACTACATCGGGCATTGTCTTGGATGCAAACACCATCAGCTCAGCCTAACTTATTAGTTCCGTTTAACTACGGGAATCTAGTCTATTACAGTACCTCTGATTAACGTTAGTCGTTCAGTTGTACAAGCAATCTCCGCAGCCAGATGCTCCTTTCCTCTCTGCTCCATGTTTTCTCTATAATTTTCAGCGACAAAATTATCAGCAATATTACCTTCCCCGTACCTTTTCTTTGCCCGATATAATACGTTACGCCTTTGCTTTGCCCTTGGCTTCAGATCGTAATGTGTACTCCACCTCGATCGATGGGTTTTCCTTCAACCACGACTCAACAGCAAGCTTCAACAGTTTGTCCACTTTGTCCACTTCTTCCATATTCTCGAACCGTATGGGCAAATGTTGTTCTGTAGCTCGGCTCGAGGCCATAAACTCCACTGCCACAGTATTGAGCTCGTCCATTTGTACCCTAGCTTTGATCGATAGTTTCATTGTAAAATCATCTTGCGGTATCGTTTCAAATGGAAGTTTCTTCGACGCAATGCGCCTCAACCGCCCTCCGTCCGTGAAGATGCGCTGCCGATTCATGAGGAGGCATCTAGGATCTGGCTCTTCGCCTTGCGAGGTCCCAATACTTGAGCAGCGTCGCTGCCGTTTTGTTGGTCTCGAGTCGGAAGCTTGGCTGCCATCGTCGGGGATCTGATCCAGCGCTTGACAATGCTCCCCTAGGGTTTGTTCGTCCAACCTCGTCGCCTGTAGAGGCGGTGTCCGCATCAGTAGTGTTTGTAGAGAGTGTAACCACTGGGTGCTATCTTGGCTCTGCGCGAATCCAGGCCCTCCCACAACTCCACGTTGGGGTCCTGTACTTGCTGACCCTTGAAAGGAGAACTCAGGCTGCACATAGTCCTGAGATGAGATGCTCTCGTTCCTAAAAGGCTGCTAGCCTTCCTGGTCCTCGGAATATACGTGACTGCTGTGCAACATGTCCTTAAGATGTGTGCTTGTGTCCTCGCGGCTAGGTGTCAAGGTACTTCTGCGGCTGGCCAACCCGTTTCCATGCCGGGCTTGCTCTGAAAGACGTCTGTTTTGAGATACAGTTGGACCGCTCCCTAGGAGCAGCCGACTTTGCCTCAGCCCATGATCGCCTAGTCTGTTGACTGACGGCATCGCACTGCCTCGGGACGACCTCTGACCTCTGGTTGAGCTATTAGTGGTAGAATGTCGTCGAGAATCTCGAGTCGTCAGATTGTCAGGCCGTGTGGGGTCTGACGATGGAGGAGTCCGTAAATTCGCGAGTTGTAAATCTGGATTGGGCACCTGTCTCGGTCTTGTAAGTGGCCTGAAGGGGATGTTTGGCGCAAGAGAGCCGATCATGCGACGTGGAGATGTGCGAGGAGATGGTGCAACGTTCGGCTCAACGAAAGAAAGCTCAATCACAGACTCTTGATCAGTTTCCTCGTCCTCTTCTTCCTCTCGAAACGTATTGAGATCCGACTCTGTCAGCTCTTTTAGCGGTAGCCGATGAGCTCCATCATGACTTAGAAAGCCATTGTCCGGCTCTGTGTTTTCGGGAGTAGCCGTCTCATCTGTAGCAATTTCGACCGGTTCGTCCCGTATTGGAAGAAAATAGTCACCAATATCTTCCAAACGACGACTTGAGGTCAACGTTCGGCCTCGAGAGTGGGATTGAGATGGCGTCTTAGCTGGCGAGATGGCTTTTCGAGGCGCAATTTGCACCAAAATCAACCCTTCTGTATCATCCAGATCCGTTGAGTCACTCTCTTTACGCGAAAGATTGACCTTCAGCCTAGTTCTCATCAACGACTCAATCGTTTGTCTTTCCTTGACGCTATTCGTCTGATCCCAGTGTTCGGCTCGCGCATTGTTCTTTGGTGGAGTAAGGAGGGAGAAAGCGCTGGGAGAGCTGCGCTCGCCGCTGCTGAAAGCGCCGGTATTTCCACCAAGCAACCTTTCCAAACCATCACTAAGGGAATCAAGTAGTTCTTGGTCGGCCGTTAAGCACTCGCTTTCGGCCTCGTTCAAATATAACCCATCTATCAGCGTTGGATCTGTAACACCTGAACCTCCCATGCCGGGAGACTCTGAGCGTTCTACCGACACTAGCTGGTTTTGAGATTTCCTGCCAGTCAAAGCTTCCTTGTTGTAAACGGCATCACAGAGATTCTGGAAGCAACTAAGAATGGCTGGCTCGTTCAGGAACAGGACCTCGTCCTTCAGGGGCGATACATTGGGGTCGTATGAACCTGGCGAGCATTGTATGCTGAGCTGCATGAAGGGACTTGAGGGTGCTCGTGAACTGTCGGACGAACTCGAGACTTTTGAGAGGCTTGATTTGAATATGGAAAACAACTTTTTGCCGGTGCCCCTCAAATGAGAAAGAGGTCGTGAGTCAACGGAAATGAAAGCTCCCCTGCCCTTGATAGCCTTCGCATCACCCCCGGGCCGCGGGAGAATCGTCGTCATCCTCACGTTCTGCAAGCGTGCTTCAGCTGGATTTTCTCCGCTCGAACCGGACGATGAAACGACAAGCTGGGCAGTAAGGGCATGGCCGAATACTTGTGTAATTGCATCCCGCGTGTTTGATGACGAGCATGGGGAGTAAAGCCAAGTTTGACTTGGGCTACCGGGCACTTTGAGAGAGAGTTTGATATGGGGGAGTGCTATCACATAGCTTTCTAGGAGTCGTCTGATGTCCGCCAATGTCTTTCGGCTCACTCTAATAGCATTCTGTCTCCGAACTGGAATGTTCTCAAACAAATTCACAGCTTGGACGGTTGTCCCAACAGTGGCGGATATGGGTTTCTGCGTACTGATACCGCCCGATCCTCTCTTGAGTTGTAAAAGTGATGCAACGGGATCTTGAGCTGTCCGAGTGGTAATTTTGATTGTAGCTAGACAGTTGGCACTAGCAAGAGCCTCACCGCGAAAGCCTAGCGTTTTACCGCCTTTGAGATGAAGTTCATCGAAGTTTCGTAGCTTGCTTGCATGAGACCGACGCCCAAGAGAGCCATAGTCCTCAAGCTGTATCCCACAGCCATTATCTCGGACTTGGATTCTGTCAACAGTGTTGGAGGCAATCGTGATTTCGATAGATATGGCACCTGAGTCAATACTGTTGTCGACGAGTTCCTTAACAAGGGAAAGGGGATCTACAATTGTAGATGAAGATCTCAAGAGGTGCGCTGTAGATGGTGGTAACGCGAATATTGACATGATGGCGGTGAGATGAATTGAAGATTGAATCGTGATATAAGACCTGGTGATTTATGCTGCATTGAGACACAGCATCTGGTTGCCTGAGAGACTACACGGATCATGTGGATATCATGCTGGTGGAGTTGGAGGGATAAGAGGAGGGATAAAAGCAAGGGTGTAAGAAATAGGAAGATGAAAAGAGAAGAGGAAACCAAGAGGCAGTGATTCATCTCGTACGCTTAATAATGAGTTGAGTGCAGATAACACAAGTAAAGAAGGAGACAATTTTAACAAGCTTCTAGTCCTTCCTTCCTACTTACACCACTGAACGACACCAGCTATTGCCAAGAACCTAAGTACTAGGTAGGAAGGTCCGATCAGGTACGTACCACATCAGTCCCTGCATTCCTCTTCTTCCCCTGTGACGTGACTTGCTAACCCCGCTACCTAAGTATGAGCCCCGCGTCCTCAGAGGAAGCTCCCACTCACAACCTAAACCATATGTCTACCCTCTCTACCATCGACTAGCCAGATCGCGACAGCTTCATCTCAATTGCCAACCGTACATACAGCACATAACACACCATCTTAACCGCAGCTAGCCTCACTCGTCACCATGTCTCTCAAGGGCCCTTCTCCTCAACACCACGACGGCTCCGGTCTGCGCATCGGTATTGTCCACGCCCGATGGAACTCTACCATTATCGAGCCTCTCGTAACTGGCGCCAAGGAAAAGCTTCTTGCGGCCGGTGTTAAGGATTCAAACATTGTTGTTCAATCCTGTCCAGGCTCTTGGGAGCTCCCCATTGCTGTCCAGCGGTATGCCTTGCCCATTATCCGTACATCCGTCTTCCTTCCCAAGCTTGCTGACATATCGCCATTTTCCTAGCCTCTTCTCCGCTTCTCAGATCCAGGGCACATCTACCGGCGGTCCTTCGGCCACCGACCTCCTGGCTTCGTCGACTACTGATCTCTCCTCGATGCCTGCTGCTACTGCCGGTGCTTTCGACGCCATCATCGCGGTCGGCGTTCTGATCAAGGGCGAGACAATGCACTTCGAATACATTGCCGAGTCAACTTGCCAGGGTCTGATGCGCGTGCAGCTTGACACTGGCGTCCCCGTCATCCTTGGTGTCTTGACCGTCCTTACTGATGACCAAGCAAAGGCTCGTGCTGGCATTGATGGTAAGGGTCACAACCACGGCGAGGACTGGGGTCTGGCAGCCGTTGAGATGGGAGTCAAGAGGAAGGAGTGGGCCAACGGAACTATTGATGGTTAAGAAGTGTGTACATATAACAAGCGACAGATTATACAATTTCGGGGCATGACGTAGGCAAATGCATACGAAAATGCGCATGAGAAGAGGTTAGAAACCACGCGACCTCGCAAGTTCATTACATCAGGATAGACACCAGACCAAGGATGACCTCCCAATTAGTCAATTACCAGCATAAAGGGTTATCTATCATGCGTTAGACTCAAACCTAATGAGTCGGTGCCAATAATCGTATCTTTCCCCACGACGCCCAAGTAAAAAGCACATTCTAAAATATACAGTTGTATGTGGCTTCCCGATCAAAAGTTGAACTATTTCAGCCTGTGGATATCCAGATGCAAAAGTAGAGCATATAAACCAATCTTCCCCCCATCTCTTTTATAACAGTTTCTCACAGTATGTCCTTTCAATTATATCATGGTTCCGAAATCACTTCCCGTTCCCTTCTTGCTCTTCCACATGCTGCGCTTCTTATCACGCTTCGCCTTCATCGCCTCCCACCCTTCCTCATCGTCTTCATCTGACCCATCACCAGAAGCACTAACCACATTGATAGTTGACTTGCCTTTGGGCTCATCCCAACGACCTAGCGCCCCAGACATGGTGTTGGTTCGTCGATGAGGGTCGGGAACTGCGGGGCCAGGCATCTGTGAAACTGGCCGGTATCGACCGGGTAGACCAATGTTGCTTCGCTCAGAAGGCGCAATCGACGGGGTATAGCCGCCCATGGGCATGCCGTGAACTGAACCAGCATAACCGCCGGGTAGCGGCAGAAACGAGCTGCCTGGCCGGGGCTGGATCATGCTCATAGTACGCATTCCGGCGTCCATACGCTGAGGGGGCTCCAGAGTCGGCTCCAGCATCATCGAGTGCCGTCCTGAGAGGTCGTTCATAGACTGTGTTGCGGACATGCCTCCGTAAGGCATTTCCATCGGTGGCATCATTCCTCCTGGTTGCTGCTGGTTGTTGGATGCCATCATCTGCATAAATTGCATCTGCATTTGCATGAACTGGGACATCTGCTGGGTCATTTGAAGTTGTGCCTGGTCTCCCACTGTAAGCTGCGGTGGAGCCATCTGTTGTTGGGACATGCCCATGCCTGGCATATTGTACATGCCTGCCATAGCGTTCATCATTCCCTGAGGCGTGTTGTCAAAGGGAGGACCCTGCGGCGCATTCATGCCAGGAATAAACTTCTGGCCGTTAGCACTGGGGCCACCTCGTCGCATAGCCCTCGAGCGCTCCTCGTTAGCAATCACGCCAACCAAGCCACCAGGCGGTAGAGACTGTTGGGATTCCGAGGCAGGAAGGCCACCGCTGAAAGTCAACGATTCACGCATGGCCGGCTTCGAGATACTGGCACCAACGAAAGGATCCTGAGGAAGGCCGCGAGCAAAGGCAGGGAGCATCGAGTGACGTTGGTTTTGGCTGCTCTCGCCCATAGCCGAGCCAGGCCTTGGCGGTGCCAACTGGGTAGATGCTCGCAGGTTCGGGTTGGATCCCATGGTGCTCAGTCTAGCTGGTGGGCGGGTTTTGTTGGGGAAACCGTGAGCCTGGAGAATAGCCAAAGGAACCTCTTCATCGTCATCCTCATCAGAACCACCAGGAGGAAGTCCCGGAGATGGGGTCTTTGTGAGGTGAAGCTGAGGTGCGCTCATCGAACTAGCTAGGCCAGGGCGCTCGTGCGATTGCATATCAGGCTGTTCACCAGTAACCTTCATCATCTGCTGTCGGTAAACCGCCATATGAGCCTCTTGCTTTCTTCGCTGCTTTGCTTGCTGCTTGGACTTTTCAATCTCGTCCTCATCATCATCATAATTGATCTCGTCGTCGTCATCGTTGGCGGTCGATTGCTGAACTCCGTCACTCAAACTATGGCGCTCCTTGTCTTTTCGGTACTTTTCAAATTGAGCTGGTGTCATGACCTTGTTATTGCGTTGTGGGCTAGGAGCTCGCGAGTTATAGCGGTTGTTGACACGCGAGGATTGCGCCGTAGTTCCTTCGAACAGGTTATCGTCTCCTCTGTTGAAGCTCGTATTGAGAGGCTTTCTCTCGAACGAAGAGTAAGAATCCTCGTTTCGTCGGTAGCGGCCGGCAGGAGGGTTGGAGCTAGATTCGGAGAGTAAGCGTCCTACTGTGATAGAATCCTGCAGGAGCTTGGCATCCTCATCCTCAATAATGTCGGATGGCCGGCTAGTGGTCTTGAAGGAGCTTTGGTGTCGCGGAACAGGCGGTGGCACATCGTCGAGTTCAGGTGAGCCGGGCTGGGATCCAAGTAGGTTATCGTCCTCGTTTCGGCTGTGCCATGACTCGGGGCCTTGCTCGACCTTTGTGGATTTGTTGATGCTCAAAGGAGGAGGCTGAATAGGCCTGTTGCTAGTCAGAGAGCGAGGAGCGATGGATCCATCGGGTCTCATGGTAGCAACACTCGCCCTCTTGTCGAATGACGTGAACATGGAGCCGAAATCTCCGCCCATATCCATATCGCTTCCGTTTTCCATCTCCAACTTGGGCGGTGTAGCAGTGCTAGTTGTGGATTCGGTCAGACCTCTAGCTCTTCCACCATAAGCATCCTGTTGAATAGTTGGAACGGGAGGGATGTCGTTGTTGTCGATCTTTGGAGAAGAAGCGCTGTGTTTTTTCTGGACACCGAAAGAAAAAGTTCGACCCGCTCTGTTCAGAAATCCGGACCCGCTCGACTTGACTCCTGATCGAGGAGCGATATCGTGCAGGTTTTTCTTTGAAGAATGCTTTGGTTCTTCCTGTCCCTCGAGATTCGTAGATGAAGGGGCAGTCGAGGCATTGCTGTGCCTTGATGAGGTATCAGTTGATGTGGCTTTGGTCGTATTAGATGCCCCACTTCCCCTGAGATGGAGTCAGCGCCTGTGCATGACTTATTTTTATCTTTCCAGGACCAACGACAAGTCGTGCAGCATTCCTTGGCGAGTCACACAGGAGAAGACGGGGAATCAAGGGGAAAAAACAACTCACCTGTTGCCGCTCTTGAGATCAGCGAACATGTTATCTTCAGTGTCGAGTTCCAGATGACTATGCTTAGGAATGTGGCCGCCGGACGCCCTGGCCAATCTGGCACCCCCGTCAAATGATTTGCCAAGCGCAGGGTCGGTTCGTTCAATAACTCGGAATGATGATGGCTCTGGTGTCACTGAGCCATTCTGGAAATCCTCCGAGGTTGCGGTTGACTTCCGCCTGTTGAACGCAACACCGAATCTAGGCATGTAGAAGGTATAATAATAGAATTTCGGTATGGATTAGATACGACCCATAAAAAGGAGTCGGAGTGATCCGAGATGAGCAGAAGTTATTGATATATGTTTTCGATGATCGATATACGACGGCGAGGTGCTTGTGGTAGTATGTAATCGAAGAAACTATAGAACAGATGTTCCAGGCTGAGGTTCGATGCGATGCGTGTCGTAGCGAGGGTATTCAACTCGAACCGTATCAAACAAGCTAGATGTGTAAGGCAGATGCGTGTAACTGCATGATGGGGAATCGCAAGTCAGCGGAGTTTAGGCAACGGAGAATGTACCGAGGGTTGTCGCAGTCGTTGGGAACGGTGTTGAATTAGATAGTAGGAGTAAGAAAGTGAGACCAGCGCTTGTGTAGGATTTGGGGCCCGAGGCTTTATCGGAATGGACAAAGTCGAGGCCAGTTCCAAAGGCAGAGAGACATGTAAACCGGGTGGTTGGAGGCGGAGGCATGTCATGTCATTGAAGGCAAAGATCGTTGAGACTCACCTTATGGATAATGTCCAGAAACGAAAGACGGTTTGTATTAGTAGAGCAAAAAGGTGGCTGGTTTAAAGCCGGAACAAGACAAAGGCTATCGAGCGAAGGCGTGAGCGGGAGCAAAAAGTGAAAGTATGAATCCCAATTTATGTATAGGTAGTCAGAAAGAAGTAAGACGGAGAAAGAGGCTCACGTCCAGTTCGTGTCGTGTCTTGTCTCGTCTCAACTTTCTTTCAGTGGGCGTAGACAGGACCAGCGTCCAGAAACGCAACAGCAACAAAGGTGGGAAGCGGATATTGATTAAGAGGGGGAAAGAAGCGAGAAGCGAGAGGCCAGAATCCAGAAGCGAGTGGTGGTGAGGTTTGAACGAGAGGAAAAGAAGAGAAGAGAAGCGAGTCTGGCTCACTTCAGTTCAGTTCAGTTCAGTCCAGTTCAATTCAGTTCAGTGGCCCAACAGGTCATGGCTCCAACCTACCTGACATGGATGGATGGGCGGGCCAAGCGCAGACAAGACCTACGCTCCGTACTCACGCACTCGCGCACTCGCGCACTCACGTACTGACCGGGGGTGTCAGGCGTTACACAGTGTACATATACAGTATAGTCGAATGACCTCTAAGGCTATAGCCCCCGTGGCTCCTACGCACGGCCTCCGTCTCGGTAGAGTCGTTTTGTGGAGGAAAGGTAACGATGCGACTTGAATTCTGTAAATATCAATCATTCTTGTAAGTTGAGTATTGATGATGGAAGTTGACGGGATGAAAAAAGCTCGACGGGGATTGACCAACCCTCGGTATCGGGTAAATACCTACTAGGTAGGTACCTCCTACCTAGCAGCGATGGAGGCTCTTTCAACAGAAAAAAGACTTTGGCAACCCACCAAGCTTCAATTATCAACTCAATTTGCGACCATCAACTGTTTATCGTCAACTCAATGCCCAACAGTCCCGCTGTATCAACTTGACTACAGAATCCGATCTCCATCATAGATAAAGGAATCAAAAGGCCAGAAGGGCCTCTCTTGGCTTTTCGCTTATGGCAACGTTAATGGTTAATGGCCGTCCCCATAGACCCATCGTCAGAGCCCGTCTAGCCCGTATCTTCTCCCGACTACCACATCGCTAGCGTCGTTACTACTTGAGAACCGGTAACCCTTGTCTTAGAACCACGGCTACCGCTGAGCCAGCACCGCGGCCGTGGACACACTTTTGAGTACCAATGGCATATTCTGAGCATGTGCTTTATGATACAATGCTCAGCTAGCCTATCCGTACACGTACATGCAACTGCAACTGTAACTGCAACTGCAACTCACTATCATCGGCCAACAGCACCAATGGTAAACGACAGTCTCTAAACATCCGAAACAATATTTCAAAGCCTTTTTCCCCAAAGGAGGATCAAGAGCTGATGTTAAGGCTGCCTCATCTTAAAGAGGCGCGGGCCAATCCAGGACGGGCAAAGCCGCGATGGCTCAATACCTAGTTTCGATAGTCAGCTATGAACCACGGTACTTACCCAAAGCTGCCAGGTGTGTTCCTCTACTCACTACGGAGTAGATTGAACGAACATAAAGGGAAACTGGTGCGCCAAGGGGGAAATTGCGTGGCATTTGGACGGCTAAAAAGTCTGGTGCATAGTATTTTATAGATAGCCTTGTTACGCGCAGCGAACACGTCCGTTTCTTGAACTTCACTTTTAGTTATGGAGTAATTACGTTGGGTCCTTAGAATCCTTCAGCCCTGGAGAACGTTGCGGCAGATAATGAAGCCCTTCCTTGTGAGACAGTCTAAGCTTAGGTGAACCAGGCCTATCCTGAATCAATTTGTTCCGGTACCGTACTTTGACGTTTCACACATGATATTGCAGACACAAGGTCTACTACAATTTCCTCCGCGTCATGTCTTGAAGGGTCCCGTTGTTAGGATTCTGGTTGTTGACTTCTGTTTTGTCTTCTTGAATGAGATATCGAGAAAAAGAAAAGCAAAAAAAACAAGGCAACATCCTGGGCCATAGGCAACCAAGGATGGTGTTAATGTCAATATCTGCATGCATCAATACCGATGATCATTAATATTCCTGGTCAAGACGTGGTTATTTTTATCATTGATATAAACGGTGGAAGTTAATGTGGAGGGTTTTACTTTCCACGACTCAATATTGGCTTACATGAATAGGTACATACGTAGTTGTGATAATCCATTGATCCGTGCCATTGGCCCCCTTGTTTCTCAAAAGTTCAAGGCATTACTACCATGTTCACTACGACACACGCACAGTATATCCATTGTAGAGACTAGATAGAGACAATGGAGCTCTTGTGGAGATAAGGGTTCAATGATGTTAGATTCTGCTTGGCATTGATTGACTCACCACTTGAATGCTCGGAACGAGCCATTGAGTCTTGGCCTCCTTCACTTCCAATATAATGCAACGCAATACAACTACTGCCCGGGGCCTTCGGATATTGGATCTGAAAGAGAGTTGAATCGACAACGAAGGAACTTATTGGTTGCAATAGGATAGTACCTAGGATACTCGGAATGGATGGGATCGGTTGCGCCGTTCCCGCCGTGAGGTGACCCTTCAAAGTTCTCCCTTTCCCTTAGGCTCTCTTAACCCCTGGACTTGCCAGTTCCAGACGGGCTGGGGGTTGCGGGCACAGGGGACCGCCTCCACTATGATCCACGACAGCCGAACAATCTCCACTAAGGTGAACACCAAAGACAGACAACAATGGTGGAAGAAAGAAAAATAAAGAAAAAAGAACGAGCAAGAACGAGCATTCACAGCTTTGGTTTCCACATAACATGAGCCAACCACGCCATCCTTCCCAGGGTATCCCATCCTACCTTATTGATGGATCTTTTTGCTCCCCCATTGCCCTGTTGCCCTTTTTCTCTCTCTCATAATTTCCATCTTGAAAATCATCTGGGCTTATCGTGTTTTCGTCATGCACTGACGTCTTCGGCGAGTGTGATCTACAGGAGAGGAGTCGACGATCTTATTAGCATAGCAAAAAACTCAAGCTTCACAACATTTGTTCTCTTGCAGGACCGAGCTCGGGCCTGGGTCTAGGCCGCAAAACTTGGACAAGAACCCGAAATCCAGGTTAATCAGGAGGAGATCTTTCAGCAGTTAATGATGCGAATGCTACCGCACTGTGCTTGTATGCAACCTAATCGGATGCTAGCAAACTTATCGTCACAGAAACTCAAGCCTGATCGGGTCAAGTTCAGGTACGCGGCTCATCAGTCGAAAATCATCAAGCTTTGATTGAGGTCCTTGGACAAAAATGAGAGGGGTGGGAGTGCCCTCCTTTTTCCCTCTCGTCCCTCTCTCAGCCCCTGTCCCCAGCTTGGTCTTTTTTAGATCAAAGCTTGGCCAATGCTTCTTATTAGGGGCCCAACCGTGGAGAAAGGCATGTGAGGTTCGTATCAACTACAGCTGACTGTAGCAAGGAGGAGATTAATGGACACTTGGAGATGTTTTGGAGTGCCCGCTGACAATTCGATGCGGCCCATCCGTGGAGAAAGGCATGTGAGGTTCGTATCAACTACAGCTGACTGTAGCAAGGAGGAGATTAATGGACACTTGGAGATGTTTTGGAGTGCCCGCTGACAATTCGATGCGGCCCATCCGTGATCTTGGGGCTCAATGAACGGCTTCAGCAAATTCTTCACCCGGCATACGATACGGAGCATGGAGGACATAAACTCGTTTACTGTACTCTGTATGAGCGAGCAATCTGCTGTGTGCCGCGCCACAACATCTCAGTTATCCCGCTGCTACACGGAGTTCGGACTAGGCTGAGCCGGGTTCCACTTACGGAAATAAGGTTAAAGGAGAGTGAGGACACCTTTAATGATGGACTACCTATGGCTGAGCGTCACCAGGTCATGATGCATGCTGACAATTGCTTTCCCACACAGTTTGGACAGGTTGGGTTACAGTTGCTATTATTGCAGACACACAAATCGAGAGTTGTCACCCGATTCCAACATCAGCTCAAAGCTTGTTCTTGTCCAGCCTGGATACAGCCCCGGAGCCCCCTCTCGTCTCTTTCTTGGAATTCCTTGCAAATATCACGGATATTTTGCACGCTGTGGAGTGGACGTTAAATTCTCCACAGAGCTAGGGGGCCAGGAGTGAGATTTAAGATGCCTAGGTTGCAAATCGTCGTTGTTGTGATGCGTTGTTGTGCTGCTGTCAACAAGCGCGTCCAAGCGGGTTCAGGCTGTAATTAACTAGCCATCAGCAAACAACCGTCAACGTCTAACCGTGCGGCCCTTGTCTCTGTCTTTTCTTTTTTCCGTCTGTCTTTACCGATTTATGATTTGATCCAGGTGCCAGGGAATTTAAAAATGGAGTCTCTCCATCTTTCGAACATTCCGTCATAAGCGCCTATCTTCATCATTCCTGATATTAGCCAGCACGATCGAAAACTCAAGGAAGATCATGATGGACTAAAAGACAAAACAAGGCGAAGGACAAAATGCGGCTCCACCGGTGACACTCTGTTGAGAAGGTTGCTCGAATGCGTGCGTGCTTTTTCTGGCTTTTCACTTAAGCTTTGCTCTTTGTGGTGTTCAAAGACAGAGTCTTCCGGTTGGCTCCCCTGGTGACGGATTCGTGCAACACGGCAGCTTAGACAATGCTGATGCACGTCAAGACACATGAATTGCGTGGCCTCGGTGGATCAACACGATCACTCCCCGATACGCTAAGTTTAAGACAAATGAAGATACCATGCTTGCCGCACGGTGTGGGTGAGACATTTGGAGCGTTGGCTGTTGGCAGAGATGTTAACAAGCCGTATTGCATGGTGGTTGAGGTTTGGAAATCCTCCGATTGATCTCAGTTGACTCGTCGGAGTATTTTGAGCATTTTCGACCTCACTGCATTGTAAGGTGCATGTCTCTCAAAATAGGACCGGGACAATAGATCCACGGCGAAAGCCTTGATCAGATTTCAATACAGAACTGGCATGCTTGCTGAATCGCATATATGTATCGAATACATTTGCTACAGTATTGCGATGGCGAGTAATGGTGAGTGACTGGTAGTGGCATGTGAAAGTGAGAGCAATTCAAGTCGTTAATTGCCTAGACCAACCACCGACAGTTATGTGATTGATCAGTTGTTGTATTAATGACTACAAGGACAATTAGAAAGCAACTCTGCCTGCATCTAGGGTTATGGCGATTTGTTTCATAGGCAGTCCTGTGCATTGGGCCCCACGAAGCATACAACTCTGTACGAGTTTGACGATGAAGTCCAGATGGATAGTCTATGTTATAACTAGGTAGTTCTTGAAAGAGGAAGTTGTCTGCCCAATGAACCTACGAAGGTCATGTTGAACTTGTGCATAATAACTGCGACTCAGTCAATAATGTTCGCAACCTTGAATGTTCTAAATTCATTACCTCTGAAGTGAGGACCTGCCCTGTTTGGATGAATTGGCGAGGTTGGGAATCGGATATATAGGACTGGAACGACTGGAATGTATGTATGCAACTATACTCCGCAGAGTCAAGGTTGAATTGGATATGTGGTGGAGTGGAAACGAGTAAGCTGCAAGAGCACGGGTATTGACCTGATACGCATACAAATGCTAAGGTTGTATTGAACAATGTCTATCCAAAGTCAATGTTGGCTCTAACTCTTGAGGTTCTGTAACCTAGACCTCCATCTTTCTCCGCAACCAGGGATGCATATACATAGTCTCAAACCTCGGCGCGGCAAGGAAAACGATCACCCACAGCAGCCAAGAGCGAGCCCTGAAGCTTATCACGGCCCTGAACGTTTGAATTGGTGCTTCAGAGTTCAGACAGTGGATGGCCCACAGCGGAAGGAGCTGATCCCAGCACTCAGGTCGCCTTGTTTTGCCTCGGCTTCGGCTGTGGTAACTACTCCAAAACATAGTATCGCGAAAATAGTCTCAAGATACCTTATAAGAAAAACTTTCATTATACATACCTGACTCAGTGCCACGGAACTCCCACCTGCACTCGAGTAGCATCAATGGCTTGCCCCTCTATTTCATGGGTCCTCCTCAACATCAACACACCAGATACCTATCTAGGTAGGTAGCTGTGCATGCTGTGCCTGGTCTGGAGTAAGGGACCCGTTCGCGAGAGGGGCGAAACGCCCAGGGTATTTATGCTTGGCGGAGCATCAAGACAAGCATATCGGCGAATAGCCTCGATACACTGGATCTAATCAATCTCTTCTCTAATCATCCAAAATTGTCTCTTTTTTGAAAATTTATTTACCTCACCAAACGCAGCTGTACACCTTAAAACCCCTACTATTGTTTTTAGGTTGTAGTGAAAACGGACATTATTTATCTATCATATTTGACTGCCGGGGCGGAGACGTGGGAAAACACCCTTAACGGATAGGCGCTTTTGTTTCCATTTCTAACTTTGTTTGATACCTCAAACCCCCCCCCCCCCCCCCCAGCATCAAACCTGACTCGTTTCGCGTTTTACCTTATTTTTCTTCTCTTCGCGAGATATATATATATGTATTTCATCTCCTCAACCATTAAGCTCCTCAATTCCCTCCTTCGCCAGTCGCTGCGAATAAAGCGACACACATCGCGACAATGAGCTCTCCAAACACCCCTTCAAAGCACGGCAGTCATGGTCAGCTGCGGCGCCCTTCTTTCCTCTCCAACGATGATAGCCACAATCCATTGGGCACTCGCAGTGGCCATCTCCAGTCCCTGATCCGCAACCGCTCTGCTCAGAGCGTGCATAGCTTGAGCAGCTCCCTTCCTACACACTCTGGCCCCTTCTGGATGGGCCCTGATGACGAGGAAACTGCATTGATCCGTCACGACAATGACGAGCTTGGCAGGCTGCTCGCCGACGAGCGCCGCCTTACCCAGCTGCTCCATGGTCCGCAGAACCGCAGCGCAGGGCTAATTGGCAGGAGCAACCCTCGATACCGCTGGGAGCAGTACTGGAAACCCGAAGAGGAGCTCTCTGCCATGCCTAAACCTCTGTAGGTCCACGCTGCCATTGGAATGCGCCTTTGCCTTGCGCATCTGCTAATCAAGCTCAACAGGCGCGAGTACTATGAGAGAACAAACGATCTGATCCAACAATACCTCTACATCGATGCTCTCCTCGACTCGGCCATCCCCCACGATCTACTCAACGAGTACCAGGCAGAGCTCGATTCCTCTGCTTTCCGATCAGTTGACGTGCCAGATACCATCACGGAGGAGACCACCACCAACACCACTGAAACATCTCCCCTCAATGGCTCGACTCCTGCATCTTTCACCCCTGGATCATATGGCGCCGTGAGCGTCAAGCCCAACAACTCGTCTACCAAGCTCCCTGCCACCCGCACGCCTCAGGATATCTTCCGATCTTCTGAGAACCTTCCTCTTCTCCAACGGCCGGATCACAGCGAGGATGAGAACGAGGAGCCGCCTTCAGTGCCCGCTAGTCAAGGCGATGACAACGGTCCCAAGCCTTTGCTGCCCTGGCTTGAGGATGCTGAGATCGACAGTGACGACCCTATCGTAACATTGGCTATTTGGGTCAACTTTATTGCCAACGGTATTCTCCTCGCTGGAAAGCTCGCTGTCATCGTATCTGTCCCTTCCATGTCGGTTCTTGCTAGTTTGGTCGATGCTGTGCTGGACTTTCTCAGTACTATTATCGTATGGATAACCACACGTCTCATCTCCTCCAGTCATCATGACCAGTACAGCTATCCTGTTGGTCGTCGCAAGTAAGTTCTAATATTTCTGTCGCATAGTTGACATCATCGCATATGTCAGGAAGCTAACGTTTTTGCCAGACTTGAACCTCTTGGTGTACTCGTCTTTTCGATTATTATGATCACGTCCTTTGTTCAGGTCGGACTCGAATGTATTCAGCGCCTAATGGACCCCGAACACCCAATTCTCGAGCTTGGTATTCCAGCCATTGCAATCATGGTTTCAACCATTGTTATCAAGGGTGCCTGTTGGATCTGGTGCCGGGTCGTCAAGAATTCGAGCGTCAGGGCATTGTAAGTTCAGCTTCATCCATTCTCATAGGCCATGTCTAATTAAGTCACAGGGCTGAAGATGCAAAGACGGATGTTATCTTTAACACGGGCTCTATCTTGTTCCCTATTAGTAAGTTGCTCTGACATGCGATGTGAGGTTGAACCCATGCTGACCGTTTCTTCAGTCGGCTTCTACGCACGAGTTTGGTGGTTGGATGCCTTTGGTGGTTTGTTCCTCTCCATGGTTGTCATCTTCAACTGGAGCCAGACCTCAGCGCATCACGTCCGCAACCTCTCAGGCTTCTCAGCTCAGCCCGACGAGCGTAACCTGTTGTTGTACCTGACGATGCGCTTCGCCACAGCCATCCGCCAGATCCAGAATTTGCGCGCATATCACGCCGGTGACAAGCTCTTTGTCGAGGTCGATATTGTGCTCTCTGCCGCGACGCCCCTCAAGGACAGTCACGATCTTAGCGAGGTGCTCACATACTTCCTCGAGTCTGTGCCAATCGTTGACAGAGCCTTTGTTCACGTTGACTATACAAGCTACAACGCTCCGACACATATGCTCAAAGGATCTGCCGCGAAACCCAAATGAGGTTAATTCCGGGGGTTCGGAGTTAATAAAAAATCGCCGGGGATTACCTCCCCTACCTTGAAGTGGTGAGAGAATAGGGCCTCAGTTTCCAGAGCCGGTTCAGCTCATATCTACAAATGAGCTGCGCATTTTTCATGCTCTGGGGTATCAAGCAAGTGCGCGAAGGCTTTGTAGATTATGCAGTGGATACTGAAAGAACTGGTTGTTGCACTGTACGATAGATTTATATATTATCAAAAGCGAGCTGAGCTAAACTTATTATTACCAAAGAATAAGGAAGGATAGCCGCGTATCCTACCATCTCTCCTACGAAGACTTGGAAAAGAATTAGAGAAATCAATATAATCAAGCTACCAGGCCCATCTCCTGTTGATCCTCCTCTTTATGCTCTTCCTTAATAGGGAATACCGTTGGTCAAAAGCTGGAAGTGGTCATATACACTAGTACTGTAGCTCGAGTAGCTGGTCTTGATGAGATGTTTCATAAAGTTGGCCGCTTCGCGCTCGCTCTTGTCCAGGACAAAACGCTCACGGAAGTGCTTGACACTCTCAGGCTTAAAACAGTCGAGGCCGCTGTCCATCATGAGCAGGACGATCTGGCTCAGCTTCTCGCAGTACTGGCGACTGGCAAGAAATGCCTTGATGCAAAGCTCTTCAAATGCTTTGAAGCTTTGGTGCTCCATCGAGCCGCCCATGACAGCCACCATCTCAGTTGTGAGCTTGAAAGGGGCGCGCTCAAACTTGACACCTCCAGGGGCGATGTCGAAGCAGAAACCGAAATCAATGTGCAGGATGTGGCCGGCGTCGTCGATCATGATGTTACCGTTGTGTCGATCCTTGAACTGCAGCAGGTAAGAAATGACCGAGTAAGCAGCCATTGACTTGACAAAGTTGCTGCGGGCGCGCTGGAATCGGAGCGAGTTCTCGTTGCCGTACTTGGAGATGAAGTAGTCGTAAAGGCCGTTGACAGCCTCACGACCAAGCATATCTCGTGAGATCGAGTTGGGAAGCACATCAATGACACCGCACCCGGGAGCTGTGGCTGTGACTCGGTAAGGGAAGACATAGACGTCTAGGCCAACATCGTGGAAGATGCCTCGGAACGCCGCAATCATCTGCAACGCCAGGACATCCTGTCGACAATCGTCGCCGACCTTGAAAATAGCTGACTGCCAGACCTCAACAGTCCTCTCAGGGGTTCCGTGGCCCTCTCCGTCATTCTCCTCCATCATCTCATCAACTTCAGAGACTCCGCCCTTGTTCTTTTGGATACGGAACGTGGCCATGTATGGCGCTTTAGCGTGACTCTGCAGAGCCTTACCGGACTTGCGATCAATACCAATGACAACACCATCGGGGTTACTAGGCAGGTAGACGCCGACCTCAACCTTGATCTTGCGCAACTCTTCCTCGATCTTCTGCGTCTTCTCCGGCTTTGACAACTTGATGTATGGTTTAAGCTTGCCAGAGATGTCAGTCACCTCATCGAAGAAGGCAAATTCTCTCTCGAAGAAGACACGATCCTCAGTCGCAAACTCGTCAATCATCTGAGCCATAACGGTATCAAGGGTTGGCTTAATTTCATCAGGAACTTGAGCATCATCGTCCTTGTACGAGTTGGCCTTCATGTTCCAGATAATCTGATGAGCAAACAGCTGAGAGAACTGAGCAGTTTCCAGGATATACCGCTTCACATATCCAAGGCTATCGTAGCGGAGGGACTGGACGATTTGGGGAACATAGAAAAAGGTCACATCGACGGAGTGACTCTCCAGCGCACGCATGGCGTACTGGATTACGAAGGGATGATCCTGGTATGCTGGAAGGAACATGGTAACCGCTGTCACGGGGTTCACAGGCTCCCAGTATAGCAAATACTGTCGAACATTAGCACTGTACGCGTTTGGTCAGTACTTCAGACATACCTTGAGCTGTTGTGCGCCAACATCATCGGGAAGAGACCCTCCAAAGATCATGTGCAGAGCTTCAGGCTCGAAAATGGCCTTTTCAGGCATGGTAAGGAGCAGGAACCTGATATCGCGCTGCAGACGAGGAAAGGGGAATCGTGTTGCTAGCTCAATCGCAATAGCAGGATCCTGCCACCAAGCTGTGCGTATAAGCGGTAGAAGGGCAGCTTCAGTTGGTGCTTTACCAACCAACTGAGCCAGAGCTTGGTTGTTGGCGTTATTGAGTGGGTTGACCCAGACAACCAGACGGCATTGCTCGTGTCTAAGTAGAAGGTCAAGCAGCTGCTCCTTTGACTGCAGGGACTTTACGTTGCCAACAGTCTGGGCGCCGATGAAAGAGACCTGCTGCAGGGCTGCCAGAACGTCAGAGATGAGACGAATCTCGGTCTTCATCTGTAAAAGATTGCTTCCGAATGACCATTTGGGGCATGACTTGAACCAAGACAGGCCGGCTGCAAGAATTCTCTCCTTGAGCCTCCACTGTGCTGCAGGTTTCAAGGTGGTACTGGAACGCAAGACACGGAGACCGAACATAATAATCTGGAATCGGATCTCTCTAGCCATAGGGTGAGTTGCACATTGCTTCATCGCCTCGAGGGTAAGGTCGAGCATGCGGAGGAACACCTTCTGGATATCAGGGCTGCCGAGTCTGGTAGCGTTATAGTGACTGGCAAAGAACTGGAGCAGCCGGGTATGGGGAGCAAGAATGTCATGCACCAGTTGCTTTTTCTTAGCCAAAGCTTCCAGCTCGCTGGGTGCGAACTCCTCCTTCAAGAAGAATGGGTCAATATGATTCAAGGTTGGGCTGAAAAGGCCAACTTTTCGGGTAAGAGTAAACTCCCATTGCTGAGCAATTTCGTTCAACAGCCTCGACTCCTGCCTTGGGTTCTCATTTATCACACCAAGCCACAGAGAAACACCAAGATTGATTGACTGCTTAGTAAAAAGAGCGAACGGGATGCTCACGAGATGATGGGCAACAGCAGCTTCATCTTTGTTTGTGCGACAAAGAAGGGCAGCTGCCCTGCGTAGAATGTCTCGAACCTCAGTGATGGAGGTGCTCTTCTTGCTGAGAATTCGAGCCTCAATATGAGCTAGTGCAGTAGTGGCGTTGGCGCTCTCTTTTATGGAGGACTGCACGAATGACATACGTCGGTTATGGTTCATAAAACTCATAATTTCTGTGCCACGGTCCGGGAGCGTCTCGCCATAGCGATACTCTTGGCGAGTTGTGTACTGCGCGACAAAAGCAGATGCCGTGTTGACGCTCGAGTTACCAATCTTGTCCATGGATTGAAGGCGGTTATCTGTTGAGGGAATAATCGATCCCATCTCGAGAGCGAACGATCTTCCCAGAGAAACATGGCCATAGGCTCCCTCATCACTAAACTCAGAAAGATAAGTCTGCAAGATACCCTTCACGTCCAGAGGGGAGACATTGATGGCAGCGTTGACCCATACTCTGGCCTTGCGGTTGAGGATATCCATGGTCCATCGTCGGAAGTCGTAGTCGTCTGAAAGTTGCACAGTCACTCCGCCAAGTTCGGATGTGAAAGTAGACCGAGGAGCGTAGACATCTGTCTCTGCTTCCAAGCAGCTGGACCACATCAAAGAGAGCAGCTCTATCAACGCAAAGAGCGATGATCGGTAAGAGATGACCGAGGGGATCTCGCGAAGCATGCGGTCTGCGCAAACGAATGCAGCCTGCTGGACTCGCTCGATACGATGACAGCAACCGCAGAAGATAGTAGCGAGCTGTTCAGCGGCGTAATGGGCTGAAAAGGTTGGCTCTGTGCCACTTTGCGTCTTGTGAATATACTTGTCCATAACGGCAGCGGCAACACCCTCCATGGCGCTGCTGACCTCACTCTTAGACATGCTTGGCTCCAAGAAGTAGGATAAGACCTTGGTGCAATCACCTGAGTCGGCTCGAAGGATTTCCATAAGGTAAGCAGATTGGAGGAAGATTACCTTGCGGTAGCTAAGGCTCCTAATGTCATTTGCCTTTGTCGGCACAAGATCACTCAGGAGCTTCTTCTGCAAAGATTCTCTGTCGCCGCTCATACCTCGTTGCAGAACGGTATTGAGTTCAATGTCACTCTCAATCTGCTCTCCTCGCTGCTCAGCCACCAGGGGTGGAGAGTGTATAGCAATCATGCGCAACTCTCTCATATACTGCTTGCCACGATCCGTGTTGGTGGTGAAGCCATGCACCACGATATTGAACCAAGCATCCCTGAGAAGAGAATATGTCTCGTCGTCGGTAATGGGCTCAGAAGCAAAATCGTTGCTGGACATGAAGACCGCCAATGGATGCAGAAGCTCGGCAATCTCATTGGCAGCCATTTGCACATCTGATTCCTTGGTATGACCAGAAGAGTGAACATCACCAAGCCCAATGATGTTGTCAAGCAGGTGCTCAAAGTAGATATCGAACAACTGCGAGTCACGTCGAAGGTTGGCAGATATGAAGGTACGGGCGTTTCTCACCTAGTCAAGTAAGCAATTGTTAAGATAGATAAAGGACAGTGAAATGACTTACGGCGTCAAGCAAAAATAGCTGGTTCTCAATGACTCCAGTGTGGCACAGTTTGCTAAATAACTTGAGTAAAGAGCGGAACTCCAGCTGACCGCCCTCAAGAGCCAGAGCTGCCGCTCCGCTGATGATTCGAGCATCTACCCCCGTGTTAACCTTTTCAAGCTTCTGTTGGAGCATGGACTGGGCCAGTGCAGTGATCTTCTCATCCTTGAAAACGGCAGCAATTCCACAAATTGTTTGCACAACATTGCCAGAGACGATGGCGGTCTCTTCCTCTCCATACATCTGGAGAGATATGGAGCTCCCTATAGACCGACGGTTGGGATAGATTGGATTGAGTGCTGTATCGCTTACTGACCCATCAATCTGACCATTTCCAAACGCCTGATCCGATCCAGGGCTAAGAACGTTACCCAGGGTGTAGAGTGTGCCGATGACGGCATCCTTAGAGAGCATCTTGAGGGCATAAGCCAGACTGTTGGAGGCGATGGTGACGATATCTTTCTGGGGGGCATCTTGCACGATGAATCGAGGCAGAATACGGCTGACATTGGAAGAGAAAGAGGGCGAGATCTGGCAGATGAGAGCCAAGCATTTCAACGTAACCGAAGCAAGGGTTGGGTCGGCCATCTGAGCAGAGTCATCCAGGGTTTCCTGAAGCCAGTTCATGAGAACTTCCGCATCAGCAGCATCTTCGTTGAGCAAGGCACAGTTCAAGTAGGAGATAAGAGCCGCGGCCTTTACAGCATATGCGAGACTCTGCTGGTCAGGCGATCCCATGCGAATGAAGTCGGCGCCACCTTCAATATACTGGATCTCTTCAATAGCCAATGTTGCGTAGTCCTCGACGGTCTTAAAATCACCCTCGTGCGCAGAGGAAGCGATGTTGCGCAAATCCTCGCCTTGGGCGATATAGATATCCAGCACATGCGACTGTCTCAGAGAGCGAGGGTCCTTCACCATCAACGAAGTGCTGGCCACGATGAGACAGGCAAAGCTTCGGTGCAGAAGCATAGCTCCAAGAGGTCGTCCAGACGAAGCATAGTGGCGCAAATATCTCTTCCACTCTTTAATCTCGCGGTCCTGGCTATGACAGTTGCGGATAGTGGATAGTGCTGTTTCAACCGCGATGAGAAACGGCTCGGAAAGTAGCTCCCTGATCTTCTTGATCAGAGCCAATCGACCACCGGCTCTCCAGAAATCGGCCTGAGCAGCGGCAGCATCGAGGAATCCAAGAAGGGCCACGGCAATTGTCACAGTTCGAACCGCGTCCTCCAAGTGCGGATTCTCGGGGTCTCCCGCCTGAGGAGAGACGATACTCTCGGTAGCTCTTCTACAAGAGTTCACAAAGGCCCAGATCTTATCAGTAACATTCTCCTGAAGCTCGTCGTAGTTGATGCCAAGAGACAGCAGAGCCCCTGTCACATGAAAGGCCAAGGATTCGGAAGGAGACGGATCGATCTTGCGGAAGAAGGGCGACGGAACAAAGATTTGTATATGTGCTTCGAGAATATACGGGAAAAGCTGGTACGAAAGCCTCTGGGCGCTCTGGTTTGACTTTATTTTTGGGGCCGTTTTACACAATGCTATCAAGACCTCGAATTCGCGAATGGACTGCCATTGTCAATTTCTGCTACAATATCCTCAGAATCCCTTGGCAACCTACCATAGGCACTCGGCCCAAAGAGTTCTTGTTCTGATAGCCATTGACGTAGTCCTTGCTCTTCGCGCCGGCGTGGCACGCCCTGCACAGTCGGTCGAGGTCGGATCGGTCGAATGATGTCGTGGAGCTACTTGCGGATAGCGAAGCTATCTTCTGCAGCGCTTTAGAGCGAATGTCGCCTGTCATGATTAATGCGCAGGCGATACAGCCGCTTTGAAGCACGACAGACTAAATAACAAAACTCCGAAAGAGTAGGTATTGTCAACAAATTTGTGTCTTGGAGCCGACCTTCGAATTGCGATGGGTTGTTAGGTGAACTTAGGAGGTGAACCCCTGTCGAGCTTTGGCTTAGTCATCGAAGCTACCCCAGCTCTGCAGTTCAAGTGGGCTGGTGGGCAAGGCTGCAAGCTTGACGCGTGCGTCTTAACCTCAGCTCTATCGTCAGTGACAAGGCAATATCAAGGTCAACACCATCAACCAGGAATCCGATCACCATCGCCTCCGCATATCACCAAAACTTCCTTCACTTAGAGCGATACATATTCACATCATATAACCTGCAATCATGGGCAGTGCCATGTTCAGCCAGAACCCTTTGATGAACGGGCCCAACTACTCGTTCTCTGATGCTCCCAAGACTAACCATGGAGAGTTTCGAGAACACCGATTTAACCCGTGAGCCACCTCTTTCGGCCATTCCCAGAGCTCATGGCTAACAAAATCCAGCTACACCGACAATGGTGGCTCAACTCTTGCCATCGCCGGCGCCGACTTCACTATTATGGCCGGTGACACCCGCCACACCAGCGGATACAGCATCAACTCTCGCATGTCCCCCAAGGTTTTCCGAATCGGAGGAACCACTGCCTCCCAGGAGGATGCCACACTAGTTCTATCCGTCGTTGGCTTCGCTGCCGATGGCGAGGCCCTCCGCGATCACCTCGACACCATCTGCAAGATCTACCGTTACCGCCACGGCAAGCCTATGTCCGTCAACGCCTGCGCCAAGCGTCTCTCCACAGTCCTCTACGGGAAGCGATTCTTCCCTTACTACTCGCATGCGATGCTCGGCGGTCTGGATGAGGAGGGCAAGGGTGCCGTGTACTCTTACGACCCCGTGGGAAGTTACGAGCGGGAGCAGTGCCGAGCAGGTGGTGCTGCGGGCAGTTTGATCATGCCCTTCCTCGATAACCAGGTCAACTTCAAGAACCAGTACATTCCCGGAAGTGGGGAGGGCCACGAGCTCAAGGAGCGTGAGCGACGTCCTTTGACACGAACTGAGGTCGAGACCGTCGTCAAGGATGCCTTCGATGGTGCGGTTGAGCGTCACATTGAGGTTGGTGATAACCTTCAAATGCTCATCATTACTGCGGATGGTATTGAAGAATCATTCTTGTCCCTGAAGAAGGATTAAACGGTGTTGTTAAAGGGGAATGTACAACAGGGTTTACTTAGACGCCACGAAATCAATGAGCCTTCCTTACAGTTACCTATAGGATTCTGTTGAAGTTACGGCAAAACACGAGCATGACGAGATGTCAGGTAGCCTTTGACGATGAGAAACCAACACCGTGTCTCCAGTTGCGTAGACAGGTAGTTGAATTAGGAAGTGCCAGGGGTAGAAGCATCCCTGACTATGACAATATGAGAGCAATCACGTTTCCATGCCAAGGCCGGACACCTATGTGACATATTTCCACCAGTGGCTATCAGCAAGGCTCTATAGCTGATGCACCGTCGAAAGGTATCGTGATTGATCGAATACCGGTGAGGATTGAGAATATTTTAGTCGCATATGTAGCTGAGTTTCGTGATTACAATGTCGACCGCCAAGGTCTGCCGTCTGAGGAGTTGGCATTCTAATATCCAGTCTGATAACGGCCGAACATCAAGAACCATAATTCCAGGTGAGACCATAAACTCATCTTGACTGCATTGGTAGCGCACACAATCGGCTGGACTACCACGAGAAGTCGACTTTCACTAGCAGCCCACTTCAACAGTTGGTTATTCCACACTTGAATCGCTGTGGAACCTAACTTGGCTAGCTGGTCAAACGATGGTCGAGTGTCTCAACCACGTACCCTGAACAAGTCAATATGTTAATGACAGGCAGAACACCGTTGGTCCAAAGCCCAGGCAAGATCCATGTCGAGCTGAACTCAGCCTTATCAAACAAAAGAGACCTTTGAACTTTGAAGATTAGGCCACGGATAGAAGCACATCCGATTGAGTGAAACAACACCTAACTTCCAAGAGCGCGTCTAGACTCTTCTGGGGCGCCTCCATGACACCACAAGCGCGGCAAATGGCAACACCGTTGGCCCGTTAAGGTTGAGCGCTTGTTATTTATCGAATTGTTAGTCTTTGGATCATTACTTCATCATCTTGCATATGATAAACATGGAATCATGGACTAATGTCCGCAATTTGCGCCAGAATCGTGTTAGGTGCACCACGAGACTCACTCGCTCCTAGGTTACTAGTGTGCAAACCAGCCCATATCGTTGGAGGCAAGTTATGGGAAGTTCCGGTGATTCAGTATTATTGATTCTCCCTGCTTAGGAACCGCAAACTTCCTAGTCCTGACACGCCCACAACGGCTGCCTGCTTTGTCCCCAGTCTTCATCTTAACATGCATATATGAACTAAGCTACAATTTGCCCATAGCTCCGGTATGGGAGCAAGGCATGATTAGCATACCGATCCTAGGCTCTTCCTGGTCCAGTGGCTGATCAAACGGCTTCATGGCGATCCGGACTGGGACTCGACTGTTCCACCAAGCGGCTATACCGAGATCCATCGAAATGTACCGGCTAGGCGTTGCTCCGATGCAGGCAATGGGGTAATGCAGACGGGAAATATCCCCCTTGCAACTCCCGAAATACTCGTTATCAACATCGTCTGGCTACTTCGTATTCTCGCTAACACATTGGCGCCATGGCGCTTAGCATAGCACAGAATGCGAGCCGAACTTGAAGTGAAGATGGACACACACTGCCGTTAGCTAGTCACCATAATCACTCCCACCCCACGACTCAGAAATCCTTGAGCTTGTACGTCTTTCAATGTGCTGTTCTGTATTCTGAGAGGTCGCCCTTTCAGCTGTTCAGGGGTCCAAATCCTTGCTTCAGACTGGTATTGGTGCCCAAAAATGAGCTTAAGATATGATGGCCCATGTATCATGCAGCAACTACCACACTCACTTGGGTTAAGATGTGCCAGTGTGCATGTTGACAACCACATAACGATCTGTATGTGGGCAGTGATGCCCTAAATGCTTGCTTCGCTCGTCTCCTCTTGAACTGAAGCAGGCCCTCACATCTAACTAGATGAGCTAAGGCCACGGGCTTCCCGACTGTAACATACTCTACAGCACTGATTATGGGTGGGTTCTTGATGGAAACAAGTCATGGCAGCCAACAAACAGCCATTCGCCTGGCGGTTACTCATACAGCTCCTGTCCTCATCGGATGAATAAATACCATTCAACAGCCATTGCCCTAATTCAGTCAAGATCATATCAAGAATCAGCAAGCCTAGCCATGAGTCCACTTGGGATAGCGACGGACTAATGCCCGCAAGATATTTCTTTGCCACTGAGAGTGCATGTAGCGTTGGCTGTAATAAAGCATGACTGCACATGTCTCAGCAATGGTATTTCTGAAAAGGATGCAGATGATCCAACAGCAAGGCCTGACCGGCATGCCATGCATGTCGTTGGCTAGACGCTATAAATGAGCGAATGCAGTGTGGCTGCACGGGTATGTACTATGTAAGCCCTGAGCTTTATTGTTTAAAGAACGTTGTCCATGGCTGGCTAGCTGGCATAGCCACTCATGCACTCTTGTATTATTCCCGTGCCCAGCCCGAGATTGTTTAAGTTTTTCTTGGTTTAGCCATTATCATGACATGGCTTTCCCCTACTTTTCGAATTCTTCAGAACTAGGATGTCGGAACTTGCCGGTTTTCAGATGACGAGAATGGCTCATGGTCAATCGGCACAAGGAACTCTTCCAGACTCTGCACTAGAGTACTTAGAAATGATCGTTGAACTGAGATCATCAGTATTTGCAGGGACATTTCGGCATTCGTGTTCTCAGTTTTGGTGTCGGCAGATGTTTTTCAGTTACGTTTGATGGAGTTACCGTGCTCTAACCAAAATGGAACCGGAGCGACTCCAATGCTAACGACTCGTACAACCGTTACCAGTCAATCGACGTTTGCCACCGTCAATTGATGGCACAGCAATGAGGCATGTGATGAAAGGTGAAAACCCAACCGTTCTTGAACAGGGCTGAAAACGGAGAGGCATACCCAAGTGTCCATTCTAAATTCAGACGCAAGCAGCACAATATCTTTCGCCACATGAAAGGAGCTGCCGCGCTGCTTGACAATTGTTGGCTGGAATAACTGAAGCTCGAAATTATGACGGGGCCCGCTGTCATGATTGAGGACTAGTACATGAACTGTTCTGACAAGTTCGTCAAGGCAGGGGTCTCGGACCCTCAAGCCTCAAGCCTCAAACTAAGAGTAACTGCGGCTTACGTATCGACACAGAATTTGAAGAACGGCGATCATTGTTGATAGTCGTTTCACAAACCACAATAACCCTTGCTACGGAGCTTCCGGTTCAGGTCAGGACGTCAGGGTAGCCAATTGCTGACTTTGGTTATGCCATCGGCGAAGAATGCTTGTAATGTGCTATAAGTAGTTGTAGGGCGGGAAAACGCAGCGTTGTCGTCATAGCGCCATTGCTCTTTGTGCAACTGGTATGGTGATGTCTGAAACGGTGAAGATCGGCCAAAAAGGTTCTGGACCCTTGTTGACAGGCGGGTGGCGAAATAGGTAGGGAAACAAAGGGCAATGGTCGCACTCTACCTGAAGGTCCAGTGACTTAGATTCGGGGCCATGATTGTGCCACAATCTTTCGACCTCCCACATTTATTTCTGGTGCCAGTCTCCGCCGTGGTCTTGTCGTTATAGCTGACCAACTTTTGGCTCATCATAGACGATAGCTAATACTCCAGAAAGTTGCACAAATCCATACCCGAGTATTCTTGTTAAGAACTGATCGGAGCTTCCTATCCGTTAACTCTGTTCAGATTGGCTCTACGTTGGGCCGGTGGCGTCCAAGGACCCTTTCCAGGGCCTAATGGACAGGCTGACAGCTGGTATCAGGGCGCGCACATGTCGTTAGTCCAAATAGGCCATCATACGACCGGGAATCCGGATCAGTGGCCGAAGAACGGCATAGTTGGACGAACCAGGAATTAGTCTTTTGACTGCCAGTATTGGTTTGGTTGCAAACCGAGGTTACATAGGCAGAGACTCACTGATAAGTTTCTTCTTAAGCCCTGTGTTGTGAAAGGCTAGCAGTCATCAGGTTGGCTGTCCTCGAGTCAGTCGGGATGTGAGTGAAGCTTATTATGGCAGGATCGCGAATGTACGTGGTAGAGAAATCCCCATGGTCGATCATCCAGCCAGGGGTTGCCTCAATTGCCTGAATGGTCGACAGACAATCCCAACAAAAGCCACAGAATTGCCCAAGTCGTCAGGAGAATACCGTCACCTCCAATAAAACGCTAGTGTCACGGGAGGCTTATGGCCCCGGCGCACTAACTATGAAAGGTTCGTTCGTGGGTGATGGAGAAATGAAAAACAGTATAGATCGACATTGTGGAAAGACTGACGATACATGTGCTGATGCTGTTTGCCAATTCATTCGAGAGCTCATGGTGACAGGGATCGTGCCCAAAAAGGCGGCTAGTCGCGACTGTACTTAGAATAGCGGGACAGTGACGTCGCGAGACTGATGATAAGTGTTTCTTGACCTTGATGATGCCGCATTTATTGAACCACAGCAGACATATGGTAGCAGCTACCCACAGCATTCATTGACTCCTGGTGTTCAGGACCTTCATTCCAAATGTGAGCAACGGATACCGGAGCCTGACAATTCGACACGGGGATTGATAAGCCGTTACTTAATGAATGCGGGCTTGGAACCTACCCTTAGTCCCGGGAGCATGGACCGGGCTGGACCCTCTAGAGTGGTTTAAAACTCCGGAAGATGGTCCAAACCTCGGACTGTGAGATTGAAAGCAGGCCAGTAAAAGAGCGCCGGAGCTCGCCCGACAGGAGCGCCACATGAACATGGGGTTGTTAAATATCCGCCGTGTCGCATGGTGGTGGAAACAATGGTTAAACCGGACGTCAAAATGCGTATGCCGGCTTTGTTACTAATCGAGTCGAACTTGCCGTGAATTGACTTTGATAGGGAGACGTAGCTACTAAGTCTGGTCACTGCTGGCAAGGCCACTGGCGGGTCTGTCGCGCGTATGTCGATCAGATCTCAGGGACCTCCACTACCGCCTCGGCTGTTCCCTGTCTTATTGATCCCTGTTTGGTGCAGGCTCGCAAATGTGTAGAGTTGTTGTCTGAGAGATTGGGTGGCAATAGCTTCGTACGTGTCGCTGAATCGTGGGCGGCTGTTGCTTCTTTTGCAGGTATTTGGCGCAGCTGCAGCCGGTTGGTTCTATATCAGTTGGACGGCACTTGGCAATGCTATATGTTCATATGTTGAGGTATGGATGTAGTGTGATGTTCGTGTCATGTACGAGGGGTCCCTCTTCTCGTGAAGTCTTGATAGATAGGTGAGTAACCTCAGAATTCTGATGCATGGAGAGTTTTCCTTCTCTTGCGTATGCCGAATTGATCGTGGCAGCAATTAGCTGCTCCTACCTTTACCGTAAACTGCGTAACACCTTAATTTACTAGACGGAGTTAAAAATCTGGGGCAGGAACGGCCATGAGCTCGAAAACAGACGAATCATGGAACGGTGGCGAAACGGTTCCTTCCTCTGCGGGACGGGGAGTTTTACGTTCCCATCCTGCCAATTCTAGACGGTCAGACGGTCCAGCACTTCTCTTGCCAACGTCAGGCCCGTTTTATGTTTCATTACGTTTCAAGCCACCAGCATCATTGACAATGAGACAACCCATCCCACATCCCTCAGCATGCACATGCTTTTAGTGCCGCCGTGTCTTGGAACCCAATTGTACATGGTAATTTGTGCATCACTGATTGATTACCTGGTGTAAGTCCAGTCTGGTCCAGTCCAGCTCACGCACGAACTGACTGCAGTAGCAGCATGAACCTGTGCCACACACGCGCACACTCTCTTCACGAGACCCTCAACCATCAGACTTTCTGACTCCGGAGATTGTGTTGTCCAGTGGAACCCACTAACATCCATATCCAGGTACCATTGCCTTGATGGATGAGATGCCGGGTTCGACTCGCAAAATTCGACTTCAGGCAAGCTGTTCTCCACATGAACAACAAATTTAGAAGTCCACCATGCCATGCGCCGCATATCACATCAGGTCTCCACGGTTGCAGTAACCCACTACGTTGAGGGTTTCCACCTTTCGCTATCGAAACGCCCCATCCCCTGTCAGCCAAGCCAGGTTAGGTTCTTCTGTGGCTGTTGCTCTTGGACCCTGTTTCCCTGCTGCCGGCGCCGTTTCTCGGCTCGCGGTCCTGCCTCCAATCACATTTCTCCGTGTCCCCTTGACTACGTTCTCATTGCGAATCTGTGGCACTCGGTACCTGAATGCCCATCAAGATGGTGGACAGATGAATGGTGGCGGCAATGGGCAACTCTCTATTGAAACCTCAGCCACCACCATATGACGGCTGTCTTGCACAACTTACACACAACTCTGGAGCATATGTAGCCGACCAGGGGACTCTTCCAATTCATCCCAGGATTTATGAATAGAATGATCTATCTCAAGCTCTTTCAGCACTGGTCTCGCTTAATCCCAAGTTCACCTATTGCCAGCAGTTGCTTCACGACAAGACAAGACCCATTGCTTGAGCATCTTGTGGCTTGATGGTATTATTGCCGTACCTGTCTACCATTGACTCTCTCGGTCCTTTGCCATTCTATCACTTCTGCCTTTACCTTTTCTTGTCTAAGCTCTCCCTCCCTCTCCACCAATTCCTCCACTCACTCCTCCACCTGCACGGCCCTAGCAGATTCCCATTTCTAAACTCTACCAACTTTGGAGATCGCCCATCATATTTCCCATCTGTCATACGAATCTGTGGCTCACGCCCCCCATGAATCTATCATACTAGCACCCTTCATCTGGCCTCTTTTTGCCCATCTGTTCCTCCTATCCCTGCATATTTCCCTACCTTTACCTTCCAAGCCTTTCAATGAGCCCTAGCTTCGGAAGCTTGGACTGTTGGCCACTCGCTATCTCCGCTGTTAAAGCCTCTGTTGCTTAATCGTGCGCTTGAGTTTCGCCCCTCGCCCCCCCCAAAAGCTTCTGAGGCCTCGAAATCCTCCAGAGACCGTTTCTCTTTTGAATGAACGTGAGGGTTGGTGAACTGTCTATGTCAGTTTGCACTTCTGAGCATCTTCAATTTCTACAGTCACTAGCATATGCTTCTGCGGGAAGCTGGTGTAGTCTAAGGCAATTCGGGTTTCCTCATACACGCCTCGACCAATTCCTTGTATTCATCTTTGTACCTCTCGATATCTCTACATCTGTGGGATTTTGTTCACTCTTCCCGGTATAAGTGCCTGTCCATCAAGCCTTACTTCGTGGCTGACCGCCGACTTGGAAAGCGGATTTGCTGTACCTCAACACTTCCCCTTCCTCGCTCTGGCCACTGGTCCCTGAACTAAGACCTTATCCCTGTTACGCCAAAAGAAAACATATCCAAGCCCCATTTTCGATAATTTTTATCGTTTTGACCCTTTCTCCTTCCGAACACTTGGCATTAGGCTCAAGAGTGTTCAGCGACTTCGCTAGTTTCCCCGTGGGGGCAACAAGATACACGCCTTTCTTCGAACGTCTTCAGGAACTGTCGTCAATACTAACACCGCTTTGTTTCCTCTAGTATAGAAACAGGCCCTTTACACAAAAGGCGAGCTCCCGATTCAAACTCACTCTCTTGAACAAGAGTCTTGGGCCCCCATCCCATATCCCCCACCCCATTGAGCTGCATTGTCGGCTCTGGCACACATTCTTGGCCACAAAATTGCTCGATATCTCCCCTCTCTATTCGGTCTTTCACATCAACCAGTCACAGGCGCCAAAAGAGGGCTAGGCAGTTGCTTGTCTGAAAACAAAGCCCTGCTCACTAGTGGCTTCGGCACCGTTAGGAAGTCTACAGGCATTCGTCTTAAGCATTTCAACGGCCACAGCAGGTTTACGCTTGTTCCTTCGCTCGTTTTGGGCTCTATTATCAAGGTATTTCACTATCCTTCTGGTGGAGTTGAGTGTTTGGATTGCTGTTTCTTAAATGTTTGAGTTGCTAACCAGACTCGAATCAACTGCAGCCCACATTGTTATCGCGGCTAGGACAATACTTACGAGGCAAACCAAATGGGAGATATTGCCAGCAACCCAGTTTCGGCCGTGGGAACACTTGGTCAGGATACTGCAAAGGCAATCAGTATAGTGACGTCTGGCGGCCCTGTGCAATCTCAGCACGAGCCTAGGACTACTCCCGATTCCGAGTTGTCTACTCATTCCCAGCAGCATCCAGCTGTCTCCCAGTACGCCTTCGCAACACAGTTCGATATGTCTCAACAGCCTTCAGGCCCACGACCGGGTCCTTACAACATGACACCCATGACCAACGCTCTCCCGCCAATGGGCTTTCGGCCCGGACAATATCACCAATCGACTCAGCAGCGTATGAACCCTGCAGGCTCGCCGCCAATGATGCAGCATATGTCACAGTTTGCTGGTCATCCAGGAGTTCCGGTGGCGGGTCAAGGTTACTACTTACCACCACAGGTGGCACCATACTACGGGAATCAAATACCCCAAGCTCAAACAGCAACAGTGATGGCCCAAAGACAGAACATGGCATATTATCCCAACCAGATGATGATGGGCACTCATCAGTCGGCTTACTATTATTCTCCTGGCCCTCAGTATCAACCTTCGCCGCATCCAGTACCAAATGGCATGGTGAACGGACACTATCCTAGTGCACCTCCTACAACACACGATCCCAGAACTATGCCACAGCCGGCAGAATTTGTTGGAGTACATCAGCAGCCGTTCAAACAGGGCCAAGGTAGGAACGGGAAGCAACCCCCCAACAAAAGTGAGCTAAAGAAAAAATCAGATGGGTCAGAGAGGCGACAAAGTGCAGTTCGAGGCCCGCCTAGGAAGCCGCGACAGAGTGGTAAGATGATTTACCTCGATGACTGTCAGCAATGGCTAAACATACTCTTCAGGACACGCAATCTGGATTGGTAATCTGCCTCCGCAAACCGACCTTATGAATCTTGTTCATCATGTGTGCAAGGAAACTCTGGGTCTGGAATCACTCTTCCTTATCTCCAAGAGCAACTGTGCATTTGCCAACTTCAAGGACGAAGAAACCTGCGGTGCAGCGCAGCAGAAGCTACACGATTCGAAGTTTCAATCAGTTCGCCTTGTGAGCCGGCTACGCAAAAGCACAGTTGAGGGTGCTGCTGGTGCAACAGCTCCAACGGGTCCCTCAGTGTCTACAGCATCGGCGAAGTCGGAACAAGTGCTAGATACAACGCCTGTACAGAGCGGGGTTACTAGCCCAACGACCGAACCGGCGGGGGTTCTCAAGCCTGGTGTTGCCGACGAGATGCCACCACAGAAAGACAAATTCTTTATTCTTAAGAGTCTCACGGTTGAAGACCTGGAACTGAGTGTGAGCACGGGCATCTGGGCGACTCAATCCCATAACGAGGATGCTTTGAACAATGCGTTTAAGGTGTGTAGCCTCTCAACACTTAAGCCCTTGTATTGACTAACACACCCACACAGGTTGCTGACAGTGTCTACCTTGTCTTTTCAGCCAATAAATCAGGCGAATACTACGGCTATGCTAGAATGGTGTCGCAGATCAACGAAGACCCCTCGGCGGCCATCGAATTTGCGCCAACAGCTCAAGCAACAAATGACCTCGATCTCCCGAAAGCCATACCGACCGAAGCGACCGAACAAGCACCCAAGGGACGTATCATTGACGATTCCGCAAGGGGTACAATTTTCTGGGAGGCTGATCGAGGGGATTTGGAGGTGTTGTCGGATGCAGAGAGCGACGTGTCGAGCGTCAAGAGTAATGCAGGGGAAGAGGGGGAGCCTACTAAGACGTGGGGGAAGCCTTTCAAGCTGGAGTGGCTGTCGACAAGCCGGCTGCCGTTCTATCGCACAAGAGGGTTGCGCAACCCATGGAACTCGAACCGCGAGGTAAAAATCGCACGAGACGGCACGGAGCTTGAACCTTCAGTTGGTCGAAGACTTATTGGACTCTTCAACCGTGTGCAGAGTCCAGATGTGGTTCATCCTGGTGTGCGGGTCCCCCCCATGGTCATGATGCAAGGCTTCGCACCGATGCGGCCATACGGGCAATGAGAGGCGAAGGGGATTTGAGACGGGTTCTCGAAACGGTACTCCTGGTATTGAAGTATTGCAGTGCCCTCGAAGGTGCACTTATCGAATCGATAATTCAAAAGATACGAGAACACGGTTTGGGATCTATGCTGGACATAGTTGGCATATTCAGCACGAGTATGGGTCATGGAGGATGGTTGCAAATGTAACTATACTTCAGTTTTACGTCCATGGGAATAATTGATCAAATCTCCAACAGTTTTGCAGTGTCGAAGGTGATATGGTTTGTTATTGATATTTTGGTATCACAGCTACGGGATTCAGGTGAGTCGGCAAACTAGCTGCAGATGCCAGAACAGTGGTTACTTGCCTCGGATCATCAGGTACCAAGTGGCAATGAAAAGTCAGAATAGCCAGCGTTATCGCCAACTCCCGCCAACGGGCCGCAATGCCACGCCCGAATTTCCTCGGCCATGTGTTTCTCGTGGACTGCATGAGAGGTACATAACAAAGCTAATGGCGGATATTAATGAACTGAGGTTGGAAGCATTGTGGCGACGCTGTGGCTGAACTACCAAGCTCCATCACCTCCATGGGGGTCAATCTAAAGAGCAGGTACAGCGGGGGTGGGGGAGTAGGGAGCTAAGTCATTACAGAGTGCAGACCCTTAATGACCACTAGCGCCAACATGCATGGATGAAGAGACTTGACAGGTCGATTACAGCCACTGACTTTTCGTCTTTGGGCTGAAGCTTCGGAGACTTGGCTGCCCTGAACGAAGATCCATGGCGTAATGCCTAAAATCTTAGGTACGTACTTGCGCGGTCTTGATTTGGCGGGGTGAGGTGGTCTGACTTGCACTAGGCCCCGGTCATCATTTTTTGCGGGTGCCCGGGCGTGCGACATCGTCATGGACTACGTCATGGTCTAGACCCTGCTGATCCGACGGGCGAGACCCTGGATCCTCGACTCTCGAGTTCTCAATTCTCAATTCTCCATTCTCCATTCTCCATTCTCCATTTTCTAGGCATTATATACGTATCTCCATTCAATGTGGGGGCTCGGCATTCGATATGCGACGCAACATGTGCAGTATGTAGTGCGGTGGTGATGGTGATAGCATGCATTGGTTCCCAACGATACCTTGCACTGGAGTCATTAACGAATTAACAGAGCAAATCAAGAGTGATTGACAGCCACGATGAATCATTATTTCGGCATGAAAAACATATGATCAATCGATGCCATCCTTCTCCTCTTTCCTATTTTATGTGTCTGTGCTTCTACGTCATGATTATCTGCAGGATCATTAGGCCAACTTATCATCCATGTCAGCCTTCATGTTGCCTAGATATCCAAGAAAACGTGACTCTTTCATGTCAATGACTTCTTCTTCATGCATTCAATGTTGAACATGCCTCGACTTGGAACTGTATAGTATTGTTATCGCTGCTTGGCGTGGTTGATACCGATTCGACCACCGACATGTGAGCCTTTGTCTCAGAGATCTTGCCCGAAAGTAATGAACTTGCAGTTTATCCACCCTTAGTATTGTTTCTCCGTCCTTTCGTTTCTATATTTAACTAACTCGTCAAAAAATAGAAATTAATTAAGTGTGCAATCCCGCGAAGCCGTCACAGTCGAGTCTCACCCCATATCCGAGTACACGCCCTCCCCCACCGGCCGATTCCTATCGATGTAGTATACTTCCATACCGGCTCAATTCTATCATATATACCATTTGAAGTTGTATGAGGCAGAGGCACTACATTTAGTGTCCTTGTGTGTAGCCTGTCTGCACGTTCAGAGCAACTGGACAATGGCAAATGTGATCTCTTTCAAGAGGGCCTACTGGTTGTAGTCATAACTGAAAGGTTTCAAATCCACTGCTGGCTCTGAGCAAACACTCTTTACTGTCATAGATCAGCTTCCACAACATCATCTTCGATGTTCAAGATGGAGCGATTGAGATGTTGCTTGTGGTTGGTAAAGTGTGAAAGTTGTTACCTCCGCTGCGAACTTCTGGTTTGAATTCTAATGCTTTCCCTCCTTTCATACTCCTATGGTACGGAAGAATGGGGAACAATATATGATACCTTCAGTTGCTCGGGACGATTCGGAGGTCTGGTTGATGACAGGCGATGAACGTTATTCCTCCTTGAGGGAGCCTGATCACTTCCCCAGCACCCATGGGGACATCAAGACTACCTCATGGTCTGCAAGATTATGTGCAGTTGGCAACGGGCAACCTCTCACAAAATCCCGCAAAGGTTTTGACTCGCCTGGTAAGTATTATTTTACAGTTGACTGTTCCTCTAGCCCTTGAGATGCTACCACTTCGTAGCAGTATAGTGGTTTGACGTCCAACTTTATCCTCCTTTGTTTCGCCAAGCTGTTTCGTTTTCCCTTTCTGAAAATACCCTAATTTCTTCTCTACTAATAAATTTTCGATATAAATGGTGTAATATGTCTGCCTCCTTGGCCTATAATTGTTCGGTATTGGTTTTACGTTATTCATAAGCCATCCACAGACTGCTGTCTCATAAACCGGATCTAAACAATCCATCTCTCCTGGGGTACTTACCTCTATGGGCTTTATCGTCATTCAATCTTTATTCATGCCTTGTGCAGCGGATGCTGGTTGGCCGAGGCTTGCAGTAACTTGAAATATTCTCGTCCCATACTGATCATATAGCCAAGTAAGAGCATGTGGTATCTATATGCACTCTATGGTTACATATGTATATAAATAATGAATTATTTTATGTTATTTTTAATTTTAATAGTTTGAATAATTACGTGATGGATGATGAAATATCGCGGCCGCTCTTCCGCACTGCAAGTTGTTGTGGAGTATGGCTTGGTGATCATCAAAATCATACCCAATCCAAACAGAACCAGGTGTTGCTGATGCGATATTACACTACCGACCCAACATGGTTCAATATTCAATATACAACAACAGTAACATAATTAGTAAAGTAAACTACCGTCAATTTAGAGTGAAATTGAGTTTTTCATGTTCCTCGGTCACAATTCTTAACGGGATGGAGGTAGTGTATAGGGTACGCAGGTACTGAGTTAATGTGTATTAAGTCAGCACCCGTAACGCTTGGGCCACCCCATGATCCATAGTTAGAATTCTCATCCGATTCTCAATCATCACCAAAGCACGCCCAACGAGCTGAATTATCGATTGCTGTCACAATTTTCTGTGGCATTGCAGAATAATCATGATTGAAAACGTGCTTACCAGAAATTTCAACTGTAATCAGACGTCCTGGTCCAGTGTTGTACCTGCTATATCGCGGCAGGGCCGGAATTCGCTGGAATCTTCTACAGCTGTCCAGCAGGTTCATGCAACCACGAGCTACCAACAGGCTCGAAATACCTGAACATTTCGTATGATTTATGCTAGAATCACGTCGTATGCTTCGCTTAGTGAGCTGTAGAGGCTTCCATGATCCTCTTCTGTAGTCGTGGAATTTCTAGAACCTCCAAGTGGTGGTCTTTGTCGAGCTTTCGCGAAAGGTAAGGAAGCTCCCATCTCGATCATATCCTCCCCATCATCAAGTATAAAGCAAGGCTTCTCGTCCTCCAAAGTTGGCCTTCATTCTTCATCAGAACACACACAAGCAAGCAACACAAGCACAACAAACCACAACTTCTTCCAAACTCTTTGCACTCTCGCAAACCAACGTTTCATCGCAACACACTATCATCTTGAAGCAAGTCGCATTCAACCCAATCATCAACCAAACAAACACAATGGCTTTCTTCCCTCGCAACCTTTACAACTCCGATGCTTCCTTTACCCCTCTCTTCCGTCTCCTTGACGACTTCGATAGCTACTCTCGCCAGGGCGAGGGACAGAACGGTACCCGACGCTCCGGCCTCAGCCAGTGGCAGCCCAAGTTCGACGTCCGCGAGACTGGAGATGCCTACGAGCTCCATGGCGAGCTCCCCGGCATGAGCAAGGAGAATGTTCACATCGAATTCACCGAGCCTCAGACAATGCTCATCCGCGGCAAGACTGAGCGCACCTACACTGCCGGCACCCCACCCGCCGCCTTTGTCGAGGGTACCAAGGACCAAGGCGCCATCACTGAGGGCACTGAGGAACATGAGGAACACAAGAACTCCCACCACGCTACCGTCGAGGATGAGCAGGAAGCCGCCTCTCACGAAAGTGGCAATCAGGTCACCAAGCACGTAAACTCCGAGCAGGGTGAGAAGAAGCCCGCTGATCAGTCCAAGTACTGGCTTACCGAGCGCACATTCGGCGAGTTCTCTCGCAGCTTCAACTTCCCCACTCGCGTCGACCAGGACAACGTCTCTGCTAGATTCAAGGACGGCATTCTGAGCATTGTTGTCCCCAAGGCCAAGAAGCACGAGTCTCGACGCATCACTGTTGAGTGAAGAGCGACAACAACCAACAACACAACACAGCGGACTGATAATGTCGATGAGATGATCTCGGATCGCAGACCCTGCCATCAGATCAAGATCCATGACGACTAATATTTACGCTTTACTTGCATGCATTGGTGTTTCGGAAGTTTCTTAGCATAGTTCAGCATTGCAGACCTCAATTGGTCATTCGCTCTTTGTACGATAGGAAGTAAAAATTTAACGAAATTAACAACCGTTCTTTCCAAAACCTTGTGAATAGTGATTTACTATGTATGCATGTCGTGGAAATATTCGAAACATAATGATGATTTGTCAGTGTAATTGAAGGCGACTGACTAACTAATAACGCCAGTTCTCTGATGCCGATTAAAGTGGACCATCAGGTTGTTTCTCACACGTGACTTGGCGTAACCAGGTGGCGCTGTTGCCTCCCACTAGACGCGTTCCGCCGCGATTTCCTTTAACTCCTCCCCCCTTCATTTGCCTCTTCACACTCTTTTCTTTCCTGTTCTCTGTAGTTTTCAGTTCCTTTGTGATTCTTTTCTCTGTCTTCAACACTTAAAAGAGTACCGCAACGATCACAATGAGTCAAGAGTATGATGAGGCCCAGATGGGCGAGGAAAGCAGCATGCCCAACCCCGGTGCTCCTACGCCACTATCGGCTCTTGAGGTAAATTTAATGCGAACCGCAATTGTGACACCAGCTGACATTCTTTTGCATAGGGAATTGCCGGCTTGACGAAGAGAGACATTCAACTTGTTGTCGATGGAGGTTACAATACGGTTGAGTCAGTGGCATACACGCCGCGACGAGTATTGGAACAGATTAAGGGTATCTCGGAGCAAAAGGCGACCAAGATCCTAGGCGAGGGTAAGCAAAACGACTGGCATAGCGGTAGAGTGTCGCTAACGGAATAACAGCTTCTAAGCTCGTCCCCATGGGTTTCACTACCGCCACCGAGATGCATCAACGCCGCAGCGAACTCATCTCCATTACCACAGGATCCAAGAACCTCGATACTCTGCTCGCAGGTGGTATCGAGACCGGCTCCGTAACTGAACTTTTCGGCGAATTCCGAACCGGAAAGAGTCAGATCTGTCATACCCTTGCCGTTACCTGTCAGTTACCCTTCGACATGGGCGGTGGCGAGGGAAAGTGCATGTATATCGATACAGAAGGAACGTTTCGACCTGTTCGATTGCTAGGCGTGGCCAACCGGTTTGGTCTCTCAGGGGAAGAAGTTCTTGACAACGTTGCCTACGCCCGTGCATACAACTCTGACCATCAGCTTCAATTGCTCAGTCAAGCTGCTGCGATGATGTGCGAGACTCGATTTTCTCTTCTGATTGTTGACAGTGCCACAGCACTCTACCGAACAGATTTCTGCGGACGTGGTGAGCTTTCAAACAGACAGACTCATTTAGCAAAGTTCATGAGAACACTACAGCGACTTGCCGATGAATTCGGTATTGCAGTGGTTATTACAAATCAAGTCGTGGCCCAGGTCGATGGTGGCCCAAGTGCCATGTTTAACCCTGACCCGAAGAAGCCCATTGGTGGTAACATTATTGCTCACGCCAGTACAACAAGAATCAGTCTGAAGAAGGGTCGCGCTGAGACCCGTATTGCCAAGATTTACGACAGCCCTTGTCTGCCAGAGAGTGACACCTTGTTTGCCATTGGCGAGGAGGGCATTGGCGACCCGGCGCCCAAGGACATGGAGAAGGACTAAATCGTGCTCGGTGAACTGTGTTTTGTACGAGCGCTGGAGTATATGGTGATAATTATTTGCATGATTGCTGGCGCATATTTCAATGGTCGTTTAATGGGGGGCCTTTTGCAATGATATGGGACTGTTCAGGCGTGGGTAGTACGGACTAGGAATGATGACGGAGTAGAAATTCTTTAACGGAGATGGGTTGTTCCTAGCTAGTCTGGACTAGAATGATAAATGAAAACGAAATACAAAATAAAGCCAATTAATTGAATAGTGCTGTCGTTATTCCGTTATGAACTGTGATCGAGTGAACTAGAGCTGATTGCCCTATTGGGTTAGCGTGATCGCGACTACCAGTTCCACCTCAGAAATTCTGCCAGGCAACGCGACCGCACTTCGCAGGAGACTACCACTTTGCGATCATCACATTAACGACAACGCCCCAACTTACGATACCATCACATCACAATCGAGTCGGTTTATGGGGTCGAAATGGACTCAGGCGATACCCAATATCTCTTTAAAGAGACACGAGTCAACCTCGATCCCCCAACAGCGTCTTCCATTGTCACCATCCGAGTGCCGTCCAATTCAATACACAGTCGAAACCATCGCAAACCGGCGCAAGAAAACCTAGCAGAAGATGAAACAACATTCCGATTGAAGAATCTGGCGACTTCTTCCTCCATTTACCACCGAATTTGGCACGACACACCGCGTAGCTTCCTTTGGCGAATCTTGGAGGATGGAACGCTGCTCAGCATCCGGGCTGTCGATGTCTGCAAGAAAACCCAAGCCGCTGAATACCCGATTGTCTTGAACTTCCATTTCTCGGTGCCTATCCAGCCAGGATGTGTTGCTTTCTCGGACCCCGAAGAGCATGATTCGCTCTGTGTTTTTGTTCTCGACCAAGCATACCAGTTGTACAGCTTCACTCTACGGCCGGATCTGTTTAAGAAGAGGTCGGCAGTCGACGCTGGACTTTCCGATCTCGGCAAGGTTCAGGCGCCAGCAGGATTGGGCTTCAAGCATCCTCATCGCATGATGGCTGTGAACGCGGAGACACTGTTAGTAACGGTCAATGATGGTGGAATGATCAGATTGGATAAAAACAAGGCGCATGAACGTGAGTCACTTCTGAACTTGGACAATGAGTTTATGCTAACTCCTACAGCAACATCAACGCTTGTCTGGAGGGAATCTTTCTTCAACGTACAAGGATGGGCGCAGAACCTTCGAAGCCTTCTTCCTTTCCAAGGAAAACACACCATCAAGCATGGCAAGATCAATATGGAATACAGCTCAGCCACATCGATTCAAGTCACAAGTTTCGGAATCGAGGATTGCCTCTTTGCGATCACGGTCTGTCTCGATCACAGAATGCGAATTTGGAACATTAACGATGGCCAAATCCTTTACACAAGCGATATCCTAAACGCCGAAAGAAACCCTCAAGAGATTGGAAAGTGGGCTATCGACCCATCACAGAATAACTTGGTTCAGGTCATTGGACGAAATCGTGGCAGTAGGATTTGCGCCACGTTCTCTCCTATCGGCGCTGGAGAGTTCAAGTTTTGGAAGATCATCGCAAAGGATGCGCACAACGTCGTTGTCGAAGACATCTTCCCCAAGAACGCTTTGGTCCCAGTGACACCATCATCTTCCGATGTATGGACTCTGGCAGATTTCGTTCTGTCTTGTCCTGCCGAGAGTGCTATCCAACTCTGGACTCTATGGAAGAACAATATGACATACAGGGTGCAAAGGCTCGAGGTGGATCGTAAGAATATCACACAGAGCTGGGAAGAAAACTGGGATGGAGTCTACGCGGATAACCTGATACAGGCTGCGGAAGGCTCTGGCCCTTCTGACCCGACTGATGTTACCGAGAAGTGGCTTCAACTCATCTTGAAGCCCGGCCAATTTACAAAACCGACTCTCGAAGCAGCTCTGTCGATCTACGAACGAGGTTTTGGCAAGTCAAAGGAGACCGCCAAGGGACGGGGTCTGGCTGAGTCGATTTGCTCCATATTAGGATCAACCGCAACACTGGATCGCGGCTCATCGGGCGCTATGGAATATGAAACATTCCGCTCTTCGAGTGAGACACAATGGTTGAGATTCTACCGTCTTTTGCTTGAGCTGGACAAGCAGCGAGGAGAAGCTATTGGGCTGACCCTCGACCCCCACACGGGCCTGACTTGGGTTGTCTGCGCCGACTTCCTTTCAGCTATCCGAGAATGCAGTAGCTTGGAGCGTCTGTACTATAACCTTTCTTCACCTGAGGAGGACCATGTAGCTCAAGCGGCACTGGTTGGCACGGCTCTGACTTTTGTTGATGGGTTCCCTGAATACTTGGTACAGCTTTGTCAAGCCACGCTACGGCCAGAGTTATTTGAGGACTCCTCCAAGACAGATCTTGAGCGAATTCAGTACTTCTCCGACAAGTCTGGATTCTGGCGAGGAATCACCGATGATGACTGCAACCAAGTTGTTGATGTCCTTGGCCAAAACTTTAGCACGGTGACAGACGAGCTCTACTCTGATGTAATGGGTCTCATTTCTGCTCCAGAAGAGGCCAAGACACGAAACCTACGCCATCCACTCACCGATTTCGGAAAAAGGCTGATTGTCAAGGCTGTACAGGACAGTATCGAGTTGCAGTGGCGGGTATACTTCAGCCAATTGACTCTCCTTGTTCATATGGAGTTCGAGTTCGACACCGACGCCGACATTCTTCACAGTAGAGTTGACGTTGGTAACGTTTTTAGACAGCTTGTCGCGGCTTTGCGGCGCCTGGAGCTGCTGAAGTGGCTCGCACAAACAGAATTATCAGTATCCACTACTCGAGACAAGAGTGATATTGGTTCTACCTCAAGAAAGGGTGTCGAGGATGTCCAACTTGTAACAGCACTGGAGGCTAATGTTGGCCACCTACTTGGGTTCGCTAACAAGGGCGAGCCCCTCGCCACCAGTATTACTGATCTGGTCACAAACCTCTGTGCTCCCGATAGCGATATTGAAGTGTCGCCATCATTGATCCAGTGCTCGCTCCTAAAGCGGGAGAGGGCTGATCTGGCTTCAGATCTTGCGCCTTTCTGCGACCAAAACCCCTTCTCTACCTATGTTCAAGGCCGCCTGCAGCTGGCCTTGAAGGATTTTAACACCGCTGCTATCTACTTCAGAAAGGCAGCTATTGGAATGAGTAAGACACCTCTTGTTGCATTACTGACGCCAACTAACAACCGAGTAGGCACTGAAAACATTGAGAGTGACCGTCATAGCAGCGGTCTGCTTGATGATACAGAGTGGAATCTTCTGAACCATGGCCTTGCTAAGTACTACTCGCACATTGTTGCCTTGTTCGAGAAGCAAAAGGCCTACTCTTATGTGGTTGAGTTTGCTCGCCTCGCCATGCAGTTTCTTGGAAACAAGCAGGATGCCATGTTTACCAAGACCGATATGCAAAGCCGCTTGTTCAACGCTGCAGTGGCAACATCGCAGTTTGAACTTGCTCACACAACGCTGGTGTCTATTAAAGATCAGGCTATGAAGAACTCGAACTTGCGAAAGTTGATCGACAGAATGTGCGCAACCTATCACAACATCGAGCTCGTAGCCCTGCCCTTCCCTGGTTTGCAACAAGAGGTCGATGACATCCTAGAGCAGAAGTCGAAAGCATCATTGGATATCATAGAGGGATTTCCTTACCACCAGGTTCTCTACTCATGGCGGATGAAGCACAACAACTACCGTGGCGCTGCTTCCGTGGTGCTAGACCGAATCCACAAGCTACAAAACGCTGGAGAAGGTGACGAGGCCACGGGAGAGGATATTCTTGACACCCCTATGACCAGACAATACCTCCTGCTCATCAACGCTCTTAGCTGTGTCGGGCCCAAGCAGGCTTGGATCTACGACGAGGTTTCGACCGGCTTTGGGCATAAGGATGCAGGAAAACGCAAGGTGGTGTCATTGGCGGACATCCGAAAACAGTACCAAGACGAGCTGGACCGTATCGCAGCGATCCACAACAACCAATTTGGCTTTGAGGCGGGTGACGTTATGGAACTATAATGAGCGGAGAACTGGGATAGGCCACTTCATGTAGACTACAGGTGTATTCTTTGAAAACTCGGAGGGCCGAGATATCTAGGGCATAGTATTGGGACCATTCATGGTGGATTGATGATTAATTTGTTTTGCGGACGGTTTAGTTTTTAAACGAAAAAAAGAGCTACAAATCTTCCATCACCTTACTCTTCCCATCTTGATACCCGAAACGCCAGGACCGATGCTTTAAAGGACGCGCATGAAGCTGACAATGAATGTACATCAGACCAACAGCCAGGTTCTGTCTATCCTTGTGCCTGGGCGGCAGCAGCAGCCAGCTGCTTATTCTCTGGGTGTGAGGGTAGTGATGAAGTGCCAGCGTTTAGAGCAGGGGCAGCGTCAGGGGCTTGGCGGTAAAGAATAATCTCTGACTGTTTGAAGTATCGTCGAGCATCTGCGGTGTGGTCAGTAAGAGGTCTTGAGATAAAATGGGGTAGCAATCGACTGACCTTCGTCAATGAGAACTAAGCTAAGGTAATAACGAGTAGAGAACTTCTTGTTGACGTCGCGGAACGTGGGTGTTAGATCAAAACCACCGAGGAATAGTCGAATGGGAATTGTCTCTCCTCGCGAGGGCGAACCGTCCATGATCTCGAAACGGACCAATGTTTCGCTCTCGTTATACTGGTTAGGCGCGGCACCCGTCGTCTCTCTTCTGATGATGGAAAGCTCCATGTGCTTGATCTTTAGACGGACAAGCAGGAAGTAGATACGTCCAACAATGACATCCTTGAGATGGTATTTGCTCTTGCTGTACTCAAACTCAATATGTAGACAGTCTTCGATACCAACATCCATCTTGATGCTGCTGTTCATCTCTGGGGGGATGCGATAGCTGTAGACCCAGATATCCTTCTCGCGGATGACATCTGCCATACGACGTGAGACTGTGACGCGCACAAAGTAGCGCAGCTTAACGTTGATGCCATTGTATGATTCGTACTGCTTCTCGACGTTCTTGAAGTTGAAGTCGAAAGTCTGAGGATGCTGAAGCTCGCCAGGCGCAGCAAGTTCTTGGTTAAGGGAGAGAAATTCGTAATGGTTGCCGCGATCGAAGAACATTTCTATGCGACAGGGTCAGTATTTGGAGACGAGGCGCATGAGGTGTATAGGGGGCGCGTACCTATCGTGCCGATAAACTGGACCTTGATACCGGTATGCTCAAGCCTCTTGCCATCTTTGGGACGGACAGTGACAGCGCCTTTGACAGACTCGCCATCCATAAAGAGGGGCGCCTTCTCGCGACGGTTCTTGTCGAGCTTGACATCGACCATGGAACGATCATCGGTATCGTCAAGGACAACGTCGATGTCGACGGGGGTCGCAAAGAAGTAGGACATGACTGGCGAGCTGTGGTTGTGCCTCTCTACGTCTTGCCTCTGCTGTTGAGTTGAATTGGAACCGTGGGACGAGGCTGGCGCGAGCTTCGTGATAGTGGGATGGCTGGGCTGGGCTGAGCTGGTGGTGAGGTCGGAGGTCGGCGGCGCTGACGTATCGGCCGGGGGAGACAGGGGACCGATCAGAGACCCACCCGAGCTTGCCGTGAGATGTGAGCCCAAGATGGGGAGAGAGATAATTAGACGAATATGGAGTTTTGGAGTGGAATGCAGGATGAGTTCACCTGTAATAAGTAATGAGACACTGCCGGTATCTTATCTAGGAGGATATCGATTCATTTAGATGTCTAATGTGTCATGATTATTGTCATTCTGAGCATATATCTGCTTCTCATCATCGAGTCGTAAAGCCAATGATATCTGATTGGTTAAAACCTATCGCTAAGTCATCACTCCGCAGGCAGCTGGTCACGTGCACGGTCACGCGTTTTGGTGGGCTGCGCTAATAGCTAAGCGTGCGTCGGTTGTTCTTTCCCCACCAGAATTGCCCTCACGTGGAAAGAGCGAGCCCTACCTCTGGCACTTACCTTGGAACTTTTCCTTGCCCACAGAACCCCAAAAATTCGCGGACGACTCTAGATACCCTCAACCCCCGACATTAACACCTCACAGCCGGCAGGATGAAGTACATTCATTCCCAGGAGCTCCTTGAGATCCCCGAGGGGGGTACGTTACGCCCTGTTTCATTTTGATCTGATTTTCTAGTCGTCGCTCGGATATTTTGGATCGATTCCCACGAAGCAAGGTTGCCGGGAGCTGCCCGCGATTGAGAGCTGCGCACAAAACGCCCAAGATGAACTGCGTTTGCAACGGGAGCCCTGAGCTTCACTTCTGGGAGGGAATCGTCCACGGGCGTCGAAAAGGAAATTTTCATTAACTCAGAAGATCGGAAATGCTGACTCGTCTTGTGTCTATAGTCAAGGTCAGCATTAAGTCGCGAATTGTCACCGTTGAGGGTCCCCGCGGCAAGCTGGTCAAGGATCTCAGCCACCTGGCCGTCAACTTCACCGTCCCCAAGAAGAACCAGATCTCCATCGAGATTCACCACGGTGTCCGCAAGAATGTCGCTACCCTCCGAACTGTCCGAACCCTCATCAACAACCTGATCATCGGTGTTACCAAGGGCTTCAAGTACAAGATGCGATACGTCTATGCCCATTTCCCCATCAACGTCAACGTCTCCAAGAGCGACGAGACCGACTTGTACGAGGTCGAGATCCGAAACTTCATCGGCGAGAAGCTCGTCCGACGAATTGTCATGCACCCCGGTGTTGAGGTCGAGGCTTCCACCACCCAGAAGGATGAGCTTGTCCTCTCTGGTAACTCCCTGGAGAACGTGTCGCAAAGTGCCGCCGATATCCAGCAGATCTGCCGAGTGCGAAACAAGGATATCCGAAAGGTAGGATTTGGTCTTTGCTTCTTGTGGTTGCAGCATGCTAACTCTACGTCTTCTAGTTCTTGGACGGTCTGTACGTTTCCGAGAAGGGCAACGTTGTCCAGGACGAATAAACGCGGACACGGACACGGATCTTGTTTCTTTTGCGTTTCTGGGTCTCAGGAGTGGCGAAGGTTCATCGTTGCATGTCATGTAGCAAAAAAAGGGCTACAAAACAAATTTCAAAAAGCAAAGAGATGATGACTGGTGCCGACCAAACACTTGAATCTCGCCAAACGAATCGTGTATGTGACCATTTAGGAGCGAAAAAGGCCGGCTTTAGACGAGGGTTCTGGTGTTTTGCGATAAAAGAAAAAGGCGTTTAATCATTCCAATGCGCACGCAGGACCATCATGTCATGTCATGCCTGGGAACCACGACAATGCTGGTTTTATCGTGAAGTCCGACAAGATCAATCCGATCAATGATAAAAAATGAGACAATGCAACATGAGTTAAGACACATTAAAATCACGCATAGGATGATTGATCGTCTTTCACAAAATGGGGTGATGATGATCAGAAATTGCATGTGAAAAAAGTGAGGCTCGTATTTCCATGAAGACGTGCCTCTCGTAAGTATATTCATATTTGTTTCAAATTCGTGTGACTTTTGCTCTTGACTTTCATAGTGAGTCATCTCTAACTTTCCTTTCGTAACGTGATCTCTTCAGTAATCTTCAGCGTAACAAAAACAACATTAACCGTCCATGAATGCGTGTGGAAAATAAATATCGGCGACGAAAATGAGGTCGCAGATATGGGGATGAGCGGAAATGACAACGAGAAGCGGGAACGTAAAATAAAAAAAATGTCCAGCAGAAAAACATTATAAGTGAGCAACCAGTAACGCCAGCAGCCTTTTGAATGAAGCGACAAAGTCGAGCGGTGACATATGAGCTCGAATCCTCTCATGTCAGATGTAGAGGCATGTATAGGACGGGGTGTATATGTGAGACGAATGGGATGAGAAGGACGAGAAGCGGAGATTTAATTGCTTCATCGCCGGCTGTCGCGAGAGTAGTACGACCTCGCCCGGCTGTCCCTTGTACGACGAGTACGGTTTGTTCGTCCGCCTGAGCTTGAGCTGCCTGCTTGTGACAGTTAGTACGACTGAGGGGTGATGAGTTGTCAGATGGAGGACTTACTGGGACTGGTGTAGTCGCTGTATGAGTAGTATGAGTCGCTGTATCGTGAACGTGATGATCCACGGGATGAGCGCGCGGGCTTGGTGCTCGCAGGTCGCTTGTCCTTCTTGAGATTGAGGAGGGCCAGGAGCGTGGCCGCGAGACCAGCAATGCCGAGCCACTTCTTGCCGTCCGACTTCTTCTCACGACGATCGCCGGCCGAAGAGGGAGAACCACCCTTGCCTTTACCGCCGAAGCCGAACCAGCCCTTGTGTCGAGGTCGTCGAGAGTGAGCAGAGGCCGAAGCAGGTGGGCGGCTTCCGTGGCGGGAGTATCGCTCTTCGTAGACGTCGACTGTCTCGCTCTTCTCCTTGTCCTTCTTGCCGAAGAGGGCGACCCAGAGACCGCGGGCGATACAGCAGAAGCAGAGAAGCATGAGGAGGGCAATGCCGGCAATGACACCGATGACGATACCAGCAATGGCACCGGCACTCAGGCCTCCACCGCCAGTACCGCTCTCGCCAGCTGCAGCGCCTTCGCTGGTCTCGGTGGCTGTGGCAGATGCATCGGTCTCAGTCTCAGTCGCGGACTCGGACTCGGTGGGTGCGCCGCTGTTGGTGATGGTGGTAGTACCGGTGACTCGGTAAGGAGCCGAGTATCGGGTGGTGACTTTTCCGTCGGTAGTGATGACAACAGCGGTGGGCTCGTCGTAACCAGGCTTTGCCGAACACTGGCCCTTGAAGGCACAAGTCTGCCAGCCAGCGCAGCAGATCTCACCGCACTGCTCCTGCTCGTCGTTCTTGGGCACACAGTTGATGCCCTTTGTAGGCTCGGGGGCAGGCTCCCAACGAGTCATGATTGTGCTGGTATAGGTTCTGGTCTCAGTCCAGGTGGTGGTATAGTCGCCGACCCAGCCTCCCTTGGCGACGACACAGTTTGCGACTCCATCAGCTGTTTGGCAGGTCTCGCCAGAGTCGCAGCAGTATTGATTGTCGGAGCCACAGGGTGAGTCGCATGCTCGGTGCTTCAAGTATGAGTAGCCACGATCATGGAGATCATCTCTGGGTAGCGGGCTTGCAGAGCATAGCGCTGCAGCTGCAACGAGGAGCAACAGCGGCCTTGTTACGGAGCGCATTGTAGCGATTTTTGTGTGTTGGATGCTGGCGCAGTGCCGAGGCCGGAGTGGGTTATTTGAGACCAATTCCAACCAGAGGTTGAAGTGGTTTCAAATTGAGGTGAGTAGACAAGTTGAGTAGGAACCGAGAGTGAGGCAGATGCGAGATTTATCTGGGTCTTTTTCCTTTTGTGAGACAGAGACAGACCAGGAATGCGGGAGAAGCGGTTTGTCGCGGGGTGAGAGAATGCGGGAGAAGTGGAATGAAACGGATGCGTTGTTAAATGCTTAATGCCCGAAACGTTGGTCTAGCTCCGGTGACCGAACTGTAGGTGAAGGTTGCTGTGAGACGGGATACGGTGAGAGGGAGGATGGATGAGAAGGTTGTGGATTGAGTTTCTTGCGAGTTGAGAGCGAGTGGAAAAAAGAAACTTTGGAGCACCCAAAGAGTCAGTCAATTACAAAGAGGGAGAAAATAAAAGACAGGAAAAACGGTTGCGTTGGGTTTCTGGGCGCTGCACCAAGAGTTTTAAGCGGCTGGTGGTGGGCTGCGACGAAGGCTTCGAATGAGTCCCAACCTCCCACTTACAGCAGATTTGGACTATACCAACCTCTTTTATTTCTGCTCGACACACGCAGACACGAACGCACGCGCGAATAAGGGGACCTGATCCACACGCCAACAAATCAGTTTTAAAACACGATGCAAGTTTTTTAGGGGGGAACACTCAGTCCTTTTTTTGGCAGTCAATTTAGTATCTTTTTGTCTTGTTCGCTGGGTGAAGATAACGGTTGGTGTTGGACAATACAATACAATGCATTACACATTAAACTCAGCTTTCAATGGCGGGGTGCCAGCTCATAATACCTCTTACCACTACGCCTGTGCTCGCTCACTAGACAACCATCTCAGAGCGTCTGGGCAGTGTTGCGCTGTTGCGCTCATGCACTGTTGCTGCCCTGAGGCCCATGTCGGCGGCCCTGGAGCTAGGCCAGCTACAGCGAACGGATGAATGTCATCACCACTTACACGCGCCCGGGGCACCCCGGACTCCAAGACTAGGCACGGAACAAGACTTGAATTGCTACGATCGCGTCCCAAACGTGACCAAACCAGGGCAGCCGAGCGTTTTGTTGCTCTAGCTGCTGCATGATGCAGATTTTAATTAAACTTGTCAGGGGCCGACAACTCTATTGACCTCGTCCCATTGGGCGGTTGTTGAGATGGGTTGTCTCTAAAGAGACAGGGCAACGAAACTTGGAGGTTGGGAGAGCCATTTCAGGGATTAATTCCAGGTCGGTCTGGACTCTGCACTTTGGTGTCATCAGCTTGGCTAGCCAGACTACCTACCTAGACTAGGCACTCAAACAGCCACAGATCAAGCCACATGCTAGATACGCCACGATACCGAAACATGTAGCTCCAAATTGTGGCGTTCTTTCAAGTGTGGCTGTCCGACAAGCTCCAAGGTTCAGGTAGTCTTGGAAGCTTGTTTGCCCTGTGACGCTCTGCGCGGTTCAAGTTGGTTGCATCACCAACGACTTCATCTCATCAGCTTCTCCATCCGCCTCCATCTCCACTCCTTCTTCCTCCTTCCGACCTCGCCCCGACTCCTAAAATACCTCTCTGGCTCCATATTCCGAGAATTCGCTCGCTGCTCGCAGCCGCGACGCTGTAATCATGACTCTCGACCCGCCGACGTACCTGGCTTCCATCCAGAGCAACATCCGTCAGCGACCTATTCCCTGGGACGGTGCTGTCAGGGCCGGCACCCTCACAGAGGAACAATATGCGAAGATCCGAGCTGTAGACAAGGCCAAGAAGCCTGAGCAAAGAAAGGAGATTGTGTCAGGAGATATTGATGGATACCGCGTCTTGTTTGTCGGCGATGAGGGAAAGACGAGCGTTCTCGAGACGTCAGGAAAGCACGCCAACGTAATCCAGTACATCCTCGTGTTGCTTGGCGATCTTCTTGAGGGTAAGAGCTTCCCTCCCCGTCTGTGCGACACATCTGGAAGTGGTGCTGCAATATTGTCCACCTCTACAGCGACTTCCATCATAATCAATTCGCCCATGCTAACATAACATCTTCTCTCAGCTGTTCCATCTCTAGCCAAGGCCCTTTTCAAGACAAAGGAGCCTTTCCGACATTTTCTGCCTCTACTCAACTCGACCAATGCCGAGGACCCTACCCCATTGCTTACTGCGCATGCACTTACCACCCTCATGGCTCTTGCTCGAGATGACTCCCGATCGACCCTCCAGGCTCTGCCTGTGATCTTCACCTACCTTTCCGGCTTGGCCAAGAGCAACGATGCTGGTCTACAAGATATCGCTGTGCAGGAGTACTCTTCTCTGCTCTTTGGGCATGTCGCAAGAGAGCAGTTCTGGAACCAGCGAAGCGAGACAATTGCGCCTCTTGTCAAGATCCTGCAGACTGCAGCCGGTATTGGAAACGGAGGAAGCTCATCTGCTAGTCTCTGGAGCGGTAACACCGGTACTGGATCTACTGGGTTTGCAGGATCTCTTGGTGGAGGAGTTGGTCTCCAGCTACTCTACCACGCCCTGCTTGTGATCTGGCAGATCAGTTTCGAGGGTGAGGAGATTGGCGATGACCTCAATGAGTAAGTCTTCTTCGCAAGCAGAAAGGGACATAGACTAACGTTACTCTTAGCGAGTACGATATTGTTATTCTTTATACTCACCTTCTACGACTATCCCCCAAGGAAAAGACAACTCGATTGATTCTTTCAACACTTTACAACCTCCTTGAGAAGAACCAGAAATCACTTCTACCTACCGCGGTTCTTGCTCGCCTCCCTGCCCTTCTTGAGAACATCAGCGGTCGCCACCTCGCCGACCCCGATCTGTTGGATGACCTTTCCAAGCTCAAGGAAATGCTCGAGGAGTATACCAAGACCAAGACCACATTCGATGAGTATGTAGCCGAGTTGCAGTCTGGCCACCTTCGATGGTCGCCCCCTCACCGAAACGCCGTCTTTTGGGCAGAGAACGCCCGCAAAATCCTCGAGTTCGAGAATGGAGAGATTCCCCGGAAGCTGGCTGAAATCATGCGACAGCCTTGGGATAATGACAAGCAAGTGCTCGCCATTGCCTGTAACGATGTCGGATGTCTAGTTAAGGAGGTCCCAGAGAAAAGATACCAGCTGGAGAAGGTGGGGCTCAAGAGAAGGATCATGGAGCTCATGCAGTCAGACGATGAGAACGTGCGATGGGAGAGTCTCCGAGCGCTGGGAGGCTGGTTGAAGTACAGTTTTGAGCAACAGTAAACTGGCAGATGGTCGGTCAGGGAGCGTCTATCTGCTGCAGTGTCTTGTTTATTATTGAGGCGTCTTGACGTCGTCTGGTCAAGTTAGGTACAGGTCCCAGTTCGCGAGCTTAGAGGATCACGGTAGACGAGCTGCGGGGAGAAGCATCAGCTTGTAATGGCATACTTTTTTTAGTTATTGGTAGTTGGAGCACCTCGACTACTACATTGTGCGTAAGAATGAAGCTTATAAAACACTCAAATACTGTTCTGTAAATCATGTTTCAACTCGTACCTTGCGCTTATCAGCGATTGTGAAGTTGCCTTTGGCTTAATTGCCGCGGTGCGCTTCCACTCTCCAGGGAACGAATGAACCCCTCCTTCTCCTTCCTGGGGTCGAGCCTCGGAGGGCGCTCCGGGAGTCCGGGGTCGGTTTTCGGAGGCAGAGGCCGTGGTGACTCGGTGACACTTGATACCCCACCAGAGTCAATTGGCTTGCATGATAAGTTACTCAGTGACAGGACTGTCATGGCACAAGCCCTTTAAGCGCCCCCTTCGGCTGTTTGCTGTTTGTCTTCTTGTTTTCTTTCATTTGTTCCTGATCAATTGATTCTCCCCGTATCACCTCCTAATATCGCCAATTGAAGCCATCATGGAGAGTCTCAGCATGGCCGCGAGGGCTGGTCCCCGTATCCTATCATCTGCCGCCGCACGACCCACGTCATTCGCGGCTCTCAAGCTGTCGCAACAGAGCGTGCGATGCGCTTCTGGGGGCTCCGGCTCATCTGACCTCAAGAAGACTCCCCTGTACGACTTCCACGTCGCCAACGGTGGAAAGCTGGTTCCCTTTGCTGGATACTCGCTTCCAGTGCAGTACTCAAACCTCTCACTTGCTCAGTCTCACCACTTCACCCGCGAACACGCCTCGCTCTTTGACGTGAGCCACATGGTGCAGCACATCTTCAAGGGCAAGGATGCAGCTGCGTTCCTCGAGAAGCTGACTCCCTCGGATTGGACCAACCAGGGTGTCATGCAGAGCAAGCTAACCACTTTCCTCTGGCCTGGCACTGGAGGCATCGTGGATGACTCGGTTGTTACCAGAATCGGCGAGGATACTTACTATGTTGTCACCAACGGAGCCTGTCTCGACAAGGACACCGAGTATCTCGACGAGCAGCTTGGCAAGTTCGGTGGTGACGTTCAGTGGTCTCGCCTGGACAACTCCGGCCTTGTTGCCCTGCAGGGGCCTCAGAGCGCTGAGATTCTCAACGAAGTCCTCGCCAGCGACGTTGATCTTACAAAAATCCACTTTGGCAACGCCGTCTGGGCTGAACTGAAGCTCGCTGATGGTAGCAAAACTCACCCCGTCCTCATCAGCCGAGGTGGTTACACCGGAGAGGACGGTTTTGAGATCTCCTTCAACGGTAAGGACTATCCCGCCTTTGAGACAACAACTCCCGCCATCCAGGCTCTCATGAGCAAGGCTGGCCCAGAGCGTCTACAGCTTGCCGGTCTAGGCGCCCGCGACTCCCTCCGTCTCGAAGCGGGCATGTGCCTCTACGGCCACGACCTCGACGACACCACAACACCCGTCGAGGCCGGTCTAAGCTGGATCATCCCACCTGCGCGCCGCGAGGCCGGCGGCTTCCACGGTGCCGAGGTCATCATCCCCCAGCTCACGCCCAAGAGCAAGGGCGGCTCGGGCGTCGAGCGACGACGCATCGGACTCTACGTCAACGGAGCCCCCGCTCGCGAGGGCGCCGAGATCCACAAGGACGGCGAGAAAATCGGCGTCATCACGAGCGGCGTGCCGAGCCCCACGCTGGGCAAGAACATCGCCATGGGATACATCAAGAGCGGCAACCAAAAAGCCGGCACCGAGGTGGATGTTGTTGTGCGCGGCAAGGCACGCAAGGGCACGGTGACCAAGATGCCTTTCATCCAGACCAAGTACTGGAAAGGTACTGCGCCAGCTTAAAAGGGGGGAGTCTTGGAGGGAAGGGAATGAATTATGTATCAAGCGAGTTAACGTTATTAAACATGTGGTATCTGGGGAAACAATTCAACTTGGGACACTTTTTTGGAGTCATTGATTATGGATATTACAATATTACTACATCTGGAATAGAGTCCAAGGAAAATACAATACTTTTTGAATATGTCCAAGTTGTAATAATGCTAGTGTCGGGATTTGGTATTGACTCCGGAATTTGAGGTTCCTCGGGATCCGGTGATAGAGTGCCGTCTTCGGGATCTGCAACGGTATGTGCAGTTGCCAGTAGCTTTGGTTCGGTGAGTCTGCCGAGTTTGGTAATATGTTCTCTGGCTATAAGATGTGATAGTAGTGATATGTTGAAAGTCTAACGAGTTTCTTTGTTTTATGGTAGATAGTCTCGCAGAGGACACATGATCAAGTCTCGAAAGTCGATTTATTTATTATGCTCTCGGTTATGGAAGTAGCACAATGCGGATGTTTATATCAGTCGATCCATAACTCATAAACACACCATCGGTGGTTAAGCAGCTGTATGGGCTGGACGACAGACTGTCCCAGAGCAAGTCGCAAGACATCATTCATGATGTCCTGCAGAAATGCTGGTCACTGTTGAGAAAACCACTCAACGAGACGGCATTGGCATAGCCCTGGGTGGTTCCTCTCGAGTAGCAGAGCCACACCTAGACAGACATGACCTTCTTTGAGCCATTATACACAACTACGACAAAACATCACGATAATATTGGGACAAAGATATGTAGCCACAGATAAACCATGGGAAACCACCACACAAAAGCGTATGGCCTCCCTCAAACAAGCGGCGAAATGGTCTAGCAACTGCCTCCCCTTCTAATGGTGACCATTTGTGGGAGAAGACTGGAATGGTCGAGACACCAGTTTTGGATGTTACCGGCGCCGTCGAGGAGACGATGTTGCGTGAAGAAGAAGAGAAAGAAAAGAAAAGAAGCAGCAGAATTTTTGCATATGTACTAAGGTTAGCGGCTGTTTGCTAAGCGAGACCCGTGCAGCGGTGATAGTGGGGCTACCTACCCTGGAGAGGAGTGTGAGTTTGTGTGCCCGTTTTGCCAGGAAATCGAGTATCTGTTTTATCTTGACTGGACCCTTGGGTATGTATACATTACGAGGGGTTGTTCTATAATGCTCACGCGAGCTGGTCTCGTAGTGCCATGTGTGCTATGTTTCTCTATTCTCTACTGCATAAGCTACTTATACTCAAGTAAATAATCTTTCAGCCAATGAACAAGGCGTGTTGATATCACAAGGACACTCATCGGATAATATGGATATAAATCCTCATACCAAACCAAGCATAGCTGATACGTGAATGTAACAAGTTGTTCTAGGCATTTAGTCTTACTTGTGTATGCAACTCTATAAAAACGGTCGTGATAAATCGTTCACGCGGTACAAAAAAAGGCCCTTCATGGCAGGATCCACAAAAGATGACTCGAGGCACAGTCAAGCCGAGTCTTATGGGGGATTTGCAGAGGAAAGAGAACCCTGATGGCAGATTCCCACCTGCCTGCATTGTCGGGTGCGTACCTACGTAGTATGGACGAAGATCATGGAAGGCTGCATGCGTGCCGTTGCCCGGACCCTGAATTGGGTATCACTATGGCTCGCAAGTTATGACCTAACAAAATGTTGGTAAGGAGATGCAAATACAAATATTTATTTACCTATAAAGTAAAAGACAAGATATACCCGACGTGAGGGTCAATAACTTGTGATGTATAATTAGGTATAATTAGCTACCTCTCCGTAGGTACTGAAACTCATCGCGTGCCTCAATGGGCCGCTCCTTCCTGGAACACTCAGCATCATCCGCCATTTGCTCCATTTGCTCTAGCACACGTGTAGCCCGCGCCTCCCAAGATTGGCCGAGTTGACTGTCTCTCTAAACATCACCAGGCGTCTCAGCGTGAGCACACACGACAACGTGGTGAATACAGAGAGTTATTGCTCCTTTTTATTGTTGTCGTAGGTCATTTACCGATAGTTCATCACTGAACAAAAAGTATTTTAAACTCTTTGACTCCCCTCACCCCTTATTCTTCTTCTTATTCGCCATGTCCAGCCAGTCTTGGCATTTCTCAATACCGAGTAGTGGATCCTCATCTACGGATACTCTAAATATTAATCATAGCTCAGGTAGGCTGGTTCTTCGCTGAAATTAGTTCAAGTTATCAACGTCCCATTCTTTTTTCATCATCATCATCATCACTCTTTGTATAGAATATCCAAAGACCAAAGACTCTGTTATCCTTTGTTCGTTTATTAACGCGTCCATAAGCAGGAACACGACGTGTCTTGGCCGCCTCAACAACAGGGTTTCCCCCTTGAAAGTTTCCTCCAAGGTTGACAGAACTGTGTCAGGAATGACCTCACACCTCCTGCTGTTTTGAACATTTCAGCCTTACTTTGGTTTGTTTGATTTTTACATCAAACTTCGACTTCAACAAAACCACATACAGAAAGCGGTATACATCGAATAGAGTGCAACTCAACGTCCAAAATGCCACTCACAGGCGCCCGACTGCTCGTGGCAGCCGCTCTACTCTTCCCCAGCGTCTCACCCTCACCAATTTTTGACGCCGGTCAAAAAGTTCTCGATGCGCTCACAGGGACGCGCGACTCTACAGCAACACCACATATCCAACAACCAGGTCGCAAGCTAAATGGGAAATTTCTGCACATAACAGGTACGCAATACTACTTGAAACAAGTCCTTGCTTGCTGTTGCTGCATGCATATACATCGGACGAACTGGCGGTAAACCAGGGTCGCATCCAATGCAACTTACTAACAACTTGACCCCTAGATTTCCACCCCGATGAATATTACAAAGCGCATTCGTCTACAGCCGAAGGCATCGCCTGCCACCGTGGAAAAGGCCCAGCTGGATTATATGGCGCCGAGACTACTGATTGCGACTCGCCCATGGAGCTTATCGACGCGACATTGGACTGGGTACGAAAGCATGTAAAAGACGACATCGATTTTGTTGTATGGACAGGCGATACAGCGCGACACGACAGCGATGAGAAATTACCACGAAGTGCCACCCATGTTTTGGACATGAACAGGAAAGTCGCCAAAAAGGTCGTCAAAGCATTTTCAGATGATGGAGCTCTGACCATCCCCGTCATACCGACCTTTGGCAACAATGACTTCACACCACACAACATCTTCTATCCTGGGCCGAATAAGTGGCTGCAGGCCTATAGCAACATATGGCGTCGGTTTATACCCGAAGAGCAGCGCCACTCTTTCGCCTTTGGCGGATGGTTTGAGATTGAGGTTATTCCCAACCAGTTGTCCGTCATCAGCCTCAACACCATGTACTTCTTTGATAGAAATGCTGGTGTTGATGGATGTGCCATTCCCTCGGAGCCTGGTTTCAAGCACATGGAGTGGCTGAGCGTTCAGCTGCAACGGTTGCGCGAACGTGGGATGAAGGCCATTTTGATTGGCCACGTTCCTCCTGCTCGAACTCAGAATAAGCAGAATTGGGACGAGACTTGCTGGCAGAAGTACACACTGTGGCTGAAGCAATTTCGCGATGTTGTCACTGGTTCAGTTTATGGACACATGAACATTGACCACTTTCTGTTTCAAGATACCAAGGAAATCGACCTGAGTCTCTATGACCAGTCTGGCGCGTCCCGACAAACCATGGATGACGACTTCTCTGTCGAATCAAAGAGTGATTACCTGATCGAGCTCAGAAAGTCCTGGTCTAGCCTACCTGGCGCAGCCGCAAAGACACTGGAAGAGGATCTTAATGATAACGAAGATGAAGATGAAGACGACGACGACGACAACGACGCTAACGCGCAAGACGACGATGTGGACGACTTGAGAAATAGAAAGAAGAAGGGAAGAAAGGGTAGAAAGAAGAAAGGACACAACAAGATCGGAGGCAAATTTGGCGAACGATACCAAGTCTCTCTTGTCAGCCCCAGTGTTGTCCCCAACTATCTGCCGACAATCCGCGTTGTCGAGTATAACATCAGCGGCCTGGAAGATGCTCCAGTGTGGACCGATTCATTCGACATCAATCCAGAAGCATCAGAAGAACTCCCTGCCATGTTTGTAGGACAAGACGAAGAAACCCACCAAGACCTCAAACGAGATGTTGAAGCTGAGCGAAGAAGGAGAAAGCACAACACCAAGAACAGAAAGGGCAAGAAAGGTAGGAAGGGGAGGAAGGGCAAAAAGAAGCCTAAGAACCCCGAGCTCGTGGTACCCGAGGATCCTCCCAAGGGATCTCTTCCTGGACCAGCGTACTCTCCCCAGACCTTCACCTTTATGGGATATACACAATACATTGCCAACCTCACCTACATCAACAACGATATCAGAGATTTGGAAGGGACAAAAAAGTGGCGAGATGGTGACTTTAGTGATGAAGTACCGAGCCACGACAAGCCAAGGCCCAAGAAGTTCCACTATGATGTTGAATACAGCACGTTTACCGACAAGATTTTCAACCTGCCTGACTTGACAGTCCGAAGCTATTTGAAGCTGGCGACTAGGATCGCCAAGAGAAAGGCTAAGAAGGGCAAGGGCAAGTCAGTTGAAGAGTACAACGAGGACTTTGAGGATGATTCGGACGACGATGAAGAAGATGATCTTGATACCGAGTTTCCAGAGTATGATGACGAAGACGCCGAGTCCGATCTTAGAAGCGCTAGAAAGGGCAAGAAGGGAAAGCACAAACGGAAGAAGACCAACAAGGTCTGGAAGCACTTCCTTCAAGAGGCTTTTGTCAACACAGTTCCTGAGAAACAGCTCAAGAAGTGGTCACGGAGATGATTGGATTGAAACAATGCGAAGTAGCAACTCAGGTTGATTTCTTTTTATGATTGGCATATTTAGCGAAGAGACGGACGGAAATGGGCATATGAGGTGTTTATGGCGCATCTAAGATTGTAATCATTGCTAGAGCATATTCCTGGATTTTAGTTGAAGACATAGAGTCGTCAAGATTCTGGTTAAGCATATGGATCGAAGTACACGACATCACGAAGAAACAATTGCTTTGGAACGTCATTTTTTAGTTGCTTCGTAAGTATTCATATCGTCCAGAATTTGTACAAAATAGTCCCCTTATCAGGACAGTAAGAAACAAGGGGTATCAGCGAATGCAGCTGTGCCAAGGAACAGGCCACCAGCGACTCATATATCGTTCGTTTGTTCATACATCATAACCAGCTACTCCAACCCGATTTCATAAACCAGAAAAAGCAAAACAGAAACATATTATTTCCATTCTCCAACGCCTCTGCATTATGGCTGCAACTTCTACTCTGCGTTATTGACGACACGCAGTGCCCGACGTGGGCCCATAACGACGCTGAAGAAACTCGGCTCTTCACCTTCGAGTAGTCCTTCGGTCGAGCCTCTGCTGTTGCTCGTCCCAGGTCTGGTGTCCTCGCTGTGCTTGGGGCCTCCTGACCCGCTGCTGGAGCCAGTAGCGCCTGGGGTCGTATCGTCCTCGTCTTCAGGGCGCCATTTGTGCTCTGTGGTGTAAGTCTGCTCACGGTTGGAACCGACCCAGCCAAAGAGGCTGCGCTGGGAATAGCCACGGCCGGGACGAGCAGCGCCCGAGGGGTTAAGCATAGAGGCAGAGCCAACAGGGTAGCGGTTTTGTACTGCAAGATGGTGCTTGTAGGCATTGACTTGACGGCGATACAACCAGGCGCAGAAACCAAGGTAGAGAGCGAGTGCGCCAAAGATGCCAGCAATTACACCCGCGGCTACAAGCCCTCCGTTGACATTACCGGCTGCTTCTTCTTCATCGGGAGACGAAGCTGCAGTACCCGTCTGGCCAACTCGCACTGTCGCTGTCGGACCGGAAGTGACGGTGAACACGGGAGCCTTGCCCGTCAAGAACGGACCTCCGGTTGCCGGCCCCACAGCGGGGGTCGTGACCGTTGCGCTGCCGGCCATGTCTCCACCCACGACCTTGCGTACGGCGTCGGGGACCTTGTAACCGTGAGATCCGGCAAGGACAAAGTTGTCAGGGTGATGGTCCGAATCATGATCGCCAGCGGTGAATTTATCCTTCCACTCAAGCGAGGTAGCGTCGAACACGTACATGCCGGGATCACAACCAATATCCTCACCTACACCGCCAACGACAACCATCTGACCGTCGTACATAGTGCAAGTGTGTCCGGCTCGCGCAGCTGGTCGGTTCTCGTCGTTTTGGTCGACCTTGATCCATGTGAAGGAGGGAATAGTGAGGATGTACATATCGTCGTATTGTGTCTGGTTTCCCTATATAATTGTAAGTATAAGAGTTCATTGATGATCATTTTACGACTTACAAAAGGTAGATCTTGTCCACCGAACATGTAAATCTGGAAACTCGATGCATCCGGTGCACTGGCAATGACAGCGCAAGGATTAACACGGACACCAGGTGTATCTCCTGATGTCTTTTGATGGAACCATTCCGAGTTGGCAATGTCGTAGACATTCAGGACACTGAGATCCTCTGTAAATGTCTCATTCGTGCCTCCAGCAAGACCAATCAACACACCCTGCTCTCCCCAGCCAGGAACGAAGACGAGAACACCGTCAGCTCTTTCAGTAAAGTTGCCGTTCTGAATGCCGGCCTTTGTGATGTTGCGATAAGCTCCACTTTCACCGGCACCCGTGCCGTCAGAAAGACTGTCGACGCCTGTGTTGACGTAGCCTGGATGCGTGAATTCGAGAAGACTCTTGAGATATACGCGTTCAACGCTATGTGACCAGCCCGGTGTGGTAGCCCAATCAAGGTGACCACCAAAGTACCAACTCAAACCGAGCTCTGGTACAGAGAGGCCTGCTCCCTCGGCCGCACGATGGACTGGTCTGTTTCCAGGCTCTGACTCATTACCAGCTGAGGTTTCGGGATTCTTGAACTCGGACCATTTCGCATCGTTGATGGAATATTGCCAGAGAGACTCGGGCCCGGGTTCAGCGACAGGAGCGTCGGAAACCTCGCCTCCGTAGAGATAAAGGTTGTTGTAGTCGTGCCAGAGATAACCCATAGACACCTCAGGAGGGCCATCAGGCTTCTCAAGTCCCTTAAGGGCAGGAGAGTCAATATTCCAATCTTTGGTGAGGTCGAGTGTCAGAAAGTCGTTGTTCCAGGTGTCTTCAGTCTGATCAGCTTTTGACCTAGAGCGACCGCCGTACATGTAGAGGGTGCCGTTCAGCTGGGCAGCTTGGAGGGCCCATCGTGCGCAGACTTTGGTAGAGCTAGTCTCGCGTTTCTTTATGACACCAGCGCTGGCGCCATTGATATCAGAAAACGACTGGCCATTCCTCCAGCTAAAGGCTGGAAGTACGATGGCGATGAGGACGGCCAGCATGGTGAAGCGCTGTAAACCTGAGATAGTCGGAGATACACCCGAAGTGCTTCTGATTCTTGGGCGGCCTTTGGGGTTTGATAGTTTGGCGTACCAAGTCTTGGGTGACGATAATGACGATTGCCGTAGACGGCTTCTTTCGTTACTGTCTTGGTCCTGATCTTGATCCTGATTGTCGTCTTGTTCAATGTTTTGCTTGTTAGATACAGGCGACTGTAGGATATCAGAAGTATCGCTCAAGTGCTTATCGTTAACGTGGGCGTCAGGCAGCTCGCTCGCCAATAGTGAAGATACGGATGCAGAGGTGGGAGAATCCAAATCGTGTTCCAGACCAACTTCTTTGAAGACGGATCTTCTGCCCTTTCTAATAGCGCCTCCCATTTTAAACGGTGGTGTTACAAAAGTCTGAGCCTCACGCAGGCGATCGGAAGTACGTTGGGAGTTGAAACGAGGCCGGGCTGGAGCTAGAAATCCCAAATTGGACGGGGGAGGGGATTTAACCATTGACATCGTGTGCCTATGCTCGTGCTTGTGCTTATACGGATTGGATGATGGCTTGTGGCGACAATCGCAAGCAAGCGAATTGGATGTCTTGTCTCTGGTGGCTCAGATCGGCGAGTACTATGATGTAGCCACCTTAAAGCAATACCACTCTGTAGGGATCATAGTCTGCAAATGGCTTGATATGACAGCGAAGTGAGGGAGGGTTGGTTAGCTAGGGAATATTCAATTGGCAACCTTAGTAATTGAGGAATGGGCTCTGGTTGATTTTGAAAGAGAAACAATAGACGGGAAACACAGGAGAGTTCCAAGTGGGAGTTAAACAGGGCTTTTGAGGGAGCCCAAGCCTCTAATTAACGTATTTAACAGTGATCGACGTTTGGAGCTGAGCAACAAGAAGCTCGGACTCTCCACTTGGATTGATTTGGGGCCAGATGAAAGGCCGTTGTGTAAATCATCTCGATAAGTCGTCAGACAGCAAGGCGCGCCGTTGTTTCTCAATCCCTGACCCACTACATCATCGATTTCCGCTTGGGTTTAGTTGTCGATATGCAGTAGTAGTAAGAGCAATTCGAAACACAGCTGGCAGTTCTCTTGCAAGGCGGCGCGCGTGGAGAGGGCAGCCGGAGACAAAATCAAAATCTACATGCCAGCCAGTTAACCAGGTCCTTGCTGATAGCGATAGTTTACCTGCCTAGGTAGAACAGAGCATGTGTATCCGTACCTGGTACCCGGCCTAGGAAACAGGTGCACAGGGCACTTAAAACAGGATCGTCACCATATCCTCATGGTGGACGCATCCAATCCGATATAGTGAAAGCTCCCTCGGTAACGAAACGAACCAAGAAAAAGCCTGTGAGCGGACATTCATCACACACACATGCCAGTATCGATTACCAATTGTACCTAGAGACAGTAGGTGATACCACCTATATCGCAGCCAGTACGGAGTAGACCCTGGCAAGAAACCGGGCCTTTGTTTCTTTGTGGTTGTTATTCCCCTTAACCGAGCTGACTGACATTCGGTTGCGGGTGTCGTTCTTTGCCGAATCCATCACGGGTCTTGGCATTGACGGTGTAATGATTGGGCCACGGAGACGTGGCGATGACTTCACATGCTCCCGGGGGTGTGGCCTTGGTTTTTTCTGGTTCTGGTTTCGGAATGTGTGATCAGCCGACCGCTTGTTGTTGTTTTGTTTTAACCTTGTATCCGATTGATTTGGTATGATGCATTGAGCTTGTTCATGCCGTGAGATCTATTGCTTATTTCTTTCCGTTTGTCCCATCATCCAACCCTTCTTTATCGTAGTAACGAAACGCAACCCAACGTAACGTAACGGTTGTGGAATCTGGGGTAAGACTTGGGCGAAAAAGAAGGAACGCGATTAGCAGGTTCAAAACAAACTAAAGAAGCATGATGCAGGGATTGTGGGACGTTGGCTCTGCAGCCTCTGCAGTCTCTTGTGTACGATCACGATCTGGATCATTGATTGATGAAGGATGATGGTTGGTTCGGATGTCACTCGATCCGTTATCTCCTTCGGGGGAGGTTATGCACACTGTGTAAGTCGCTCTGAGCATCATACATATACAGTGCGGATCAGTAGCTGATTGTGGCTACTCGCACCACCACCTAAAATCCTCCCAAGCCGTAAACCATAGCAAGCATCAACTCAGAATCTGCAGTGTTTCCATTTTGAGAACCGTGTTTCCCCTAAACACGAGCCAAACACGAGCTGGAGCCGCGATTTAACAGCTGTGGTGCTAACTAACAGTCAAAGCATGCACCTAAAACCATCCACTCAGCCACTGCCGCCGCCCACCAGACTCGTGCTCTCCGTGTCGATCACGTTCCCATCCTCGTACAAAGGTTATCTTTAGATCCCAACTGCTTCGTGATTGTTCATTTTAGCTTCCATGATTATGATTGGCATCCCCTAACGTAGCAATGGTCTTTGGAAAGTCCCGTCCCTCCTTTTCGGTCTGGAGTTTCCAAAACAGGATCCTCTTCGTCCTTCATCTTTGCTGCAGTGACATATCGCACCGCCACACCCACAGCTCGCTTAGCCGGGATTCTCAGCTCCCGCCACAAACGTGCGCCTCAGTTCTGACAGACGATCGCATTCGTGTTGATCAAGAACGGTAGACAATTGGCTCAGTGGATATTGTTCAAAATGAGCTGCTGAACTGACACGCTCTAAGCGAGAGCGTATTCTTGCCCCTGAAACTCTCAATCTCATCTCGTCACGAAATATCCGAGTCTTGCGAGCTCAAAGCACACCGAGCTTTTTGGGTCTCATGGAGCGGGTCTCGGATTTTTCACTGGGTCCGCCCCGTCTATTCGTGAACCGGAGCGGAGCTGGGACCTAAAGCCGTCTGTGGCTCTGTGGGACCGTCTTGGTGGGACTCGCCGGAGGTGCTCCGAACATAGAGCCCCTGAAATTAGTAGTAAAGTGAGGCATCCGATTGAGTATTCAAGGCAGTGTAGTTGCGCTTTGTGAATATAGCATAGATAGCCTCAATGATGATACTCCCATACTAGAGCATTGCCGTACCCTACATTATTCCTCTGCTTTTTGGTAATGGATCGAAATTCTCATCCTCGGCCAGCTTTGAAGGTGCATCCGCCTCTGGTGGCAGCATCGACTCTCCTCGGTTCACCCTAAGACCTTGCCTAACTCCAAGTTCACGCCCAATGAACTGTAGTGACACTCCGGCGGCTTCGCTATCCTCATGAAGAGTTGATGGCACAAGATAAACCGCTGTCAGGGGCCAGATGATTTTCAAAGCGTCAAACACCGTCCTCGGGGACGGGTTGTTGCGAAACGATGCTGGGTCAAGATTCCGTTCCACCGAGGCCATGATTTCTTTCGAGTCGGTTCGAACCCGCTTTATGCAATGTGCGCGCAGTACCTTGAGTTCGTGGATAGGAATAGGAGTGGCCCAGTGGTGGCTCAAGAAGTTTGCGAATGTCAAAACGACATGATAACCCTTGACTCGCGTCGAATTGAGCATATTACGCAGGTAGGGATTGAAAACCTCGTCGTAGTAAGAGTAGCTTGCGTCAAAAGTGGTGAACTGTTCTTCGGCTTTGAATACAATGTCCATCAACTCATAGTACTGGGCGGCGGCAGCTTCAAAGTCTCGGACCCGAAGAATATTGAGAATGCGTACTTGTACATGTGCAATTTTGCAAACGTATTCGCCAACCTCGACAGCCAATCCTTCTCCAGGGTGAAGTGTTTCCCTGATAGCATCAAACCATTCTTGTGACTCGGGAGGACACTCAAGAGATGTTAGTAGACACCGTACTTGCTGCCGGATCGTTAGTTAAGGGCAGAACTTGGATCCAAAATCAACATACCACCATGTTATATGCAGGCCAGAAACCCATTCTATTAGTCTGTTTCCTCAAAGAAGCCGCCCCTCTTTGTTTTAGAATGCTGTATAGCCCATTCGTATGAAGGTGCCATGGGTTCATAGGCGATACACGGTTGATGGAGCCCATGAGAAGCTAAGCGACCGTAAGCATAAGTGTTTTCTGGAAACCAGGCATTATACTTACCTCATAATTCGTTAGAATCCATACTGTTGCCAGCACATCATCTCTCATGGCGCCACCTGGCGTCTTCAGTGCTTCGCCAACAGAGCTCAAAGTTTTGCCAAGATAAGTACCGAGTTCTTTGTCGGCTTGATCGACTGATCCGTTATCAATGGCAGTCGGATATCGCAGGTTCGTGATATAGGTACGGGCAAAGAGGTGAGTGGCCCAAACAAGAGGCCCTTGGGGGCCAGTCTTCCTGTAAGCTTCATGAAGAAAATCCAAAGTATAATAAACATTAAGAAGAATCGGGATGGAGTGAGAGGTCCAATGTTCGCTGAGGGACTGAGGGAGAATAAGAGTATTTCCAGAGTTGGTGTAATTGACAAGGTCAACAATCTCTGGTGAGCCAGGGCTTAATTCGCGGTCATCTTCTGTGAAAGTCGATGGTGTAACAGCATCATCATTTGAAGAAGAAGACGATGAAGGTGTGTCGAATGAGACGACTGACTCGATCCGAGTCTTTTGTTGTGTCCTCTTCTTTCGCTTCTTGACCGTGGTTGGATTCGCATTGCGAAAGACGAGCTCCTGCTCATCACGATATCCTGGGCATTCGGCTCCATATTTGATACATCTTTGGCAAGCTGGACGGGCAAGATCACACTGTCGATGTTGTCAGCATTTAAGATCCGATCCATTGATTGCTCGCTCGTCTCTCCAAGAGACAATGATAACAGCCGCGCGTAAGCACAGAGTAAGCGGACCAAAAGAGCTCAGGCAGTTGGACTGACCTTGACGCGTCGGGATCGACAGAGGTGACAGTCTTTGCTTGGCTTTCCCGTGTTGGGCATTATGAGAAAGAGGTCAAGACATGCGCATATGATAAGAATGTATAGACCCTGTTTACTGATGGATTGTTAAGAGTTGAAATAGGTAATCCATTCGAAGCTCTCGTCGTCAAAAAGGGATTAGCGGATCCTGCAGGGCTGAGGGGGTTGGATGCACAGCAGCGGGAATGCGACATCACGTGTGGGGGACTAAACAGAATAGCAACACGTTGAGAAACACCTTAGCTAAAAGGCTTTCATAGATTGTTAAACGGCGATTATCTCAGATGGCTTAGACACAAGACATGTAAAAGTCGAGGTCGAGTTTGTGTAGATCTTCGAGGATAAGAGCCATCACAACATCCGCACCTTTGCGGCTTGGCCCCTCATGTAGGTTTCATCCTCCGTTGTTAGTACTTCACACTCGAATTTCTGTAGATCTCCCATAAGTTTCCACATAAAGCTACATCCACACTTAGCCTGAGTTGTTTTCTCGACCTCTGCGAGTTTCAGACACAAGCTGGATAGACTCATGGTCACATCGGGCTCTGCAGCAAGTGGTAGAAAAAAGCCCATAATATTCAGCCTGTGAGCTTGGTTGAGCATTATCCCAATTGAAGCGGGAGTATCCTGGCTCCACCGACAACTGCAGCTACTGGAACCGATGGGCGTAGCCCAGAATGGGCTACCGTCAAGGGCCCTGGTGGTAAAATCACGACAACTCGTTTTATAATGAGCCAAGAATTTCCGGCGCGACTCTTCAGCATGCTCTTTGAGAAGTTAGCTGGGGAATTAACATCGGTTGTCCATGAAGCCATCGTCCGGCACCTACCCAGTATGTTGCTCATGTGGGGCGTGGCAAAGTTTTTGTAATGCATCAACGGTACATCGTTCTTGTCAATGAAATTTCCGTTCATGTCGGTGGGACACTTTTGCATCAAATTAAGTATCCAGCCCTTTAAAGTGACAGAGTACCCCAGTTCAAAAGCGATGAACATCATCTTTCGATGAAGTCTATTGTGAAGTGCGAATGAACTGATGCTGGCTTCAATCTTCTTGAACCACCGGCCTTGCATTGGGCGTAAGACGGAGACCATGTCATACTTGTCAGTGAGAACACACAGTCCGTATAGCCTGTCGACTGTTGTTTCTTCTTGGGCAAGGCAAAATAAACCATGAGCCATGTCCATGAGTACTGCAAATGATCCACTGTCGTCCTCAGGAAGCTTGATATTCCAATTTCCTTGTCCAGGCTTCCTTTCTGCGAATGGACCACGAAGCATCTTGCGAAAAACAGGAGATGTGCGGCAAAGTACGTGAGAGTCCGCGAGCATCTCCTGCGAGGGATTGGTACCGACCATCAGTCTAAGATCCCCATCTTCGTCAAACGTGAGTAGGTCTCCTTGCTGAACAGGGCCAGGTTCGATTTCGATCGGGGCATCGGAAGTACCCGGCATAAGTGCGATTGTTGGGCAGTTGATTTGGCCTTCGTAATGTAGAGCTACGAGTTCCGGGTTTTGTGACTGCACTGATTAGGACTCTGCTGGCAAACATGGAGAGGGAGTTTGGCGTGAACCCACCGCGCGTCCTTGATCGCAAAGAAGTGCATCAAGCCTTGACTAAGAGTTATAGACTTCTCGTAGGCTAGCTAGGGAGGAAGATCCTCAAATCCAGAGTGGGAAACAACGATGTAAGAAGAACAGTCACTTGAGGTTGTTGCTAGAAGTGTAACAACCGAGGCAATGTGGTAGAGATGTGCGGGTGTTGCTCCAAAGCGGAGAGGATGCTGATGAGAGAGTTGAAGTCAGGTGACAGGAATGGTTGAGGTGAATGATTGTTCCTTCTCCTTCTATCCTAAGCTACTAGGTAGTGATTGCGTGTGATTCACTGCACCGCTCTTAAGGAAGCAAGCGGCTGCCAAGTTGCTGTGTTGGATTCTAGAAACTGTGGCATAATTCAGCCAAACTACCTAGGTACGAAAAGAATATTAGATCATGTGCAGTTTGATATTTGAGAGGTAGGTAGAAACTTGGTGGACTTTTTATTACGGAATCTTTAAACAGGTGGTATATTTAGGAAGGTGCGTGGGTATATAATGAACACCGCACGCACAGGGAGTAGCTTATTGATGATAAAACGTCTCGATTATAATAGCATTACTTCTCTCAACAATAAAAGACTTTACTCTTTGCAACGCACTGGCCATTTAAGCTATTAGGTGAATGCTGCCACAGCACTGCACGCCCGGTGCCATCAGGAGCCTGTATTGTTTACATGAAGCCTTTCGCCCACCTTCCATTATTCTCCCCCGTTCATCTCAACCTTGCACCATCATCAACAAAAACAACATCTCTTCCTTATTCTATTTCTCTTTCACAACAACAAAACACAAATCAAACTGCAACTTCTATTATTTCCATCTCCTGATCATAACACATCACTTCTACACTACAAATATCATCCTTCTAGCCATCATGAATCTCGAATTACTCGAGCGATTCCGAGGGTCTTATCCTTCTAGACAATCGTTCATGGGCTTCATCAACCACGGCAGGCTTGAGCCTGCAACTAGCAAGCCTTCAACCCCAGAGCCTGAAGTTTCACGACATACTACTGCCGACGCTGAGGTCTTTGACACTCCTACCTCTGCGGTCGAGAAAACTTCAACCTGCGAGATCCTTGATGCTACCACCAGCGAGGTTACTAATGATACTACCTACGAGGTTGAGAACACTCCCTCTTACGATGTTGAGAACACTCCAACTTGCGAGATTGAGAACACCCTGACCTGCGAGGTCCTTGACACTACTGCCAGCGAGGTTCCTGACGCTACCACCTGCGAGGTTCTTGTCATGCCTAATGACGAGGCCGAAAACACTTCGACCTACCAGGTTGAGAACATTCCTACTTGCGATGTCGAAAATACCCCCACCTGCGAGGTTCAATACACTACTACCTGCAAGGCTTCGACCATCCCTACCTACAAGACCGTGAGCACTGAACACTCGCTCGAAGTCAGCGAACAGATCACGGATGAAAACCACATAACCCAGCAAGAAGACGTCGTTCTGCCTATCCCCACCTACACCAACTACCTCACATATCCCAATCATTACGAGACTTCCATCTATGACTCGATTAGCACCGAACGTTTGCCTCCCATCATGGAGGATATCGTCTATGAGCCTCGCCCTGTCTATCACAAGACTACTACGCATCTACCTATCGAGCCTTTTATTACTCCTCGGCAAAAAAGCTCAGAGATCTCTCTAGATAGTGCACCTGGGACTAGTGAGCCGGAAATTACGGAGTGCACAACTCCCGATAGCCTCGAATTCGAGCTTGAACCCGCTACACAACCCAAGGCCAACGAGCCCATAGACACCGGGCTTAGGAAACCAACCCTCTGCTTTGATCCCAACGGCGATCTTATGCTCACCATCGGACGTGGTCCAGGCCGCGATATGCTGGTCGATTCTCGAGCACTTAGCCGCGCATCTCATAAGCTTCATACTATTCTTTCTCATGACAGCAGAAAGAATGGCAACAGCTGGACTCTCGAACTACCAAAAGACGACCCCCTTCCTTTTACTATCCTCCTTGACCTAATCCACACTCGTTTTGAAAGAATCCCAGCACGTGTCACACTTAAGCAGCTGTACGGCATCTGCATCCTTACCCAAAAGTACAACATGACCGAAGTTTTACGACCCGTTGCCGAGCGTTGGTACAAGGATATTGGACGGCTATCCGAGGGGGAGTATGGACTCTTCTTCAAAAAGGCATTTGTGGCTTGGGAACTGGGCTTTGCGGAAGACCTGAGTGAGATGGCTGGGCACCTTGTGCTCAACTGTTATTTGGACGAAGACGACCAACTCGTTATTGGAAAGGAGAAGGAGAAGGAGAAGCTCTCCGACTTCAGCGACTTTCAGCGCATTCCCTTACTGAGTCAGTCTCACCGTTTCTTATTCGCGCCGACTTTTACTAACTTGTCTTAGAATGTATCGAAGAACACCGTGAGCTCGCTATGGAGACATGCTGGGAAGAATGCCAGAAACTGAGTGACCAAATCCTCAAAGGGTCGATCAAGGGGTCGATGTGCCATGGTTCACATTCTCGAGAGGATGTTTGTCTCATGCTGGGCAAGATGCTGAGCAAAGCAGGAGAGGAGAATATTTTGGATTTCTTCATGACGGGCAGTATTTATCAGTACTGTCCAAGCTTACGTCTTGACTTGGCTACACTTGATCACAAGATTGTTCTGGTGGCGGATTACATCGACATGTGTGGATGGTGCGAAGGAGTGTTTGATACAATGAACGAGATCCGATGCCAGCTTCTTAGGGCTACTGATCCGCTGTACAGGAGTCACTTACAGGCCATGGAAGTGCAGGCGTCAAAGATCCGAATGCGGCCCTGGGTAACCGATTACGACCAGGAGGAATGAACTAACGACGAACGAACGAGAAGCTTGTACAAGACTTGAGCTCAAGGTTGACATCACGGGTCAATCGTCACTGGCAGATATTTCATGCGACCCTTTTTTGTATGAAAGGCGAAGGCACTTTAGCAGCTGCTATGTATTTTTGGGCTGAGAGATTTCGTCGATCTTGTTTTACCAAACAGATCAAGCCATAGATTGGCCATAGTATCAGGAATTGAAGGAGCGGAAACTATAGGTAGTTTGTCCGTACTATCTAATATCTCCATGAGAAATGCACCCACAATTGTTTATATTTGTGAATGTTTTCCAGCAAATAGCATTCCCACGTAAGTCGTAAGTTTGTGGTAATATAGGTATTTCACAGCGAACTCAAACAATTGCGTCTTGCCAGATCCTGGCAGTGCAATCGCGCTGCTACTTCATCCCAATGAATCACTTGCTCTGCGTACCGCTTCATTAACCTCTCAAGAAATCTCTTCCAACTTTTATATCTTCCATCCCCCCATCCGCCATCATCCTTTCATTATACCCCTAGTCGACGTCTATCTCGACATGCGAACTCCATCATGAGACAATCCCACGACCCACTAGACCTCCTTCGGCAGCCTGAGTTCATCACTATCGACGAAGCGGGAGACCTTTGGCTCATTGTCGGAACTGGGTGGGACTCTATCACTCTTCTCGTGGACTCTCGAACACTCTGCCGGGCTTCAAAAGTCTTTCGCTCCATGTTGCGCGCCGGCTTCATGGAGTCCAAGCCTCAAGACCAAGGCCACTGGGAAGTTAAGCTGCCTGATGATAAGTCGCTGCCCTTTATCATCCTCATGGATATCATCCACTGCGAATTTGAGCGTACTCCTGTCCATATCTCGTTGTATAATCTCCACGACGTATGTATTCTGGCGAACAAATACGACATGACAAAAGTGCTGCGGCCAATGGCGGCGACGTGGTATCGCGATTTAGAGATTCCACGTAAAGATAGCCTCCAAGTCTCAGAGCTCTGCAGCAGACTCTTCGTGTTCTGGGAGCTTGGATGCTGGAAATCGGTGCAGGAAATGTTGCCTGCATTTGCTCAAGAATCTCACATTAACCCAGATGGCGAGCTGGTCTACATGGGTTCTTCAATCTTGGATAATCTCCAGACGTTCAGGATGCTACCTTTGATTGGTAAGTAACCAGGAACTTTCTTCTAAACATTGAGACAGTATCTTACCGCAAATCTAGCAGATGTCATCAAAGAACATCGCTCTCATATACTGGGTTTATACCAGAAGAGGTGCAGGGCGATAGCACACAACATCTTAACGCGCCGTCCGCTATGCCTTCACAAAGATTGCCTCAACCGCGCACTACCTGACGATATAATCGACAAGTTTGTACAGGCGACACACCACCTCGGCATAGCATCCTTCTTCCTAGGGGTCTCCAACGCCGAAGAGACGGAGTATCGCGGCAACGTAACCCGGCTGAACCTCACGTTCTCTCTACTCCAATCAAGTGTCTTTGGGAAAGGACGGCGCCTCCCCCAATGCCCTCTCTGCGGCAGCTCGGATCCTCTGAAGGGTCTCATGTGGTTACATCGCGACCTCGTGCAGCCTTTGCCCCAGCGTCACATGGAGATATTGAGGGAGCAGGCCGCCAAGACGGGAATGGCAAATCACGTAGGCTCTGCCATGACTGGATTTTTGAATATCCTGGAGAAGAGGGTTGTGCTGGAGAAGGATGATCGAGACCCGTTTGTTCTGGAGTAATGGGTTACTCTTGATCGTCATGAAGCGGGGAGAGACCAAGTTATGTGCTGCACTCTCATGGAAAACAGCAGGGTAGATGTATTGTGAATAAACCTACATCCTAGCACCAACTAGATCTCAGCTTAACGTATGTCTTTTAAACTAGCCAATCCGTGAAAGAGGGAAGATAATTCAACCGCCAAACATTAAGACTCTGTATCGTGGCGCCCCGTTGAGGCCTTAACAGAATTTCCTAATTAGGCCATCTCGCCTATTCTCACTGGCCAGCTTTCATCACCCCGCTTTCGGTCGACATGGTCTAAGTCGTGAAAGAGTGAATTAAAACAAGGACAAGCACGCAAAAAATTGTGTCCTTTCCCTGCTATTCTATAATTGGTCGTTATACTAAGTCCTTGCCATGTTTGTCAGCCTGTTTCGTCGGTTTAAAAGCCGCTCCCCCGTCTCCTGACCACTTACTCCCCTTCCTTACTCTGTACTCCTTACTCTTTGCCTTCACTGCTTACTCCCCTCACTTCTTCAACACCATCACCATGGCCCACTACTCCCAGCGTCAAGACATTCTTCCCCTCACCGGTGGTTGTGCCTGCGGTCTCATCCGCTACCAGCTCTCACTGCATCCTCTTCTCGTCCACTGCTGCTACTGCACCGCCTGCCAGCGCCAGACCGGTTCTATCCTCGCCATTAACGCCATCGTCGAGTCCACGGCCCTTACTCTGCTCCCCTCAGCACCACCCACCTTCGCCGGCACGCCTTCCAACCCGGATCCCACCCCTGGCGGTGTCCAACCTGCCTTTGCACGCATCACATCAGCCAAATCTGCTGTCCGCGAGCCTCGGCCCGAAGCAAGGACCTTATCCGTGTGCCTCCCAACTGAATCAGGCGTGGGACAGACAGTAGTTAGCTGCCCAGCATGCCACACAGGTTTGTGGAACAAGTATGTGGACGGCGGGCCGCATCTATCATCCATACGTGTTGGGACACTTGATAAGCCCTGGGAAATCCAACCCGATGTGCATCTTTTTACGCGCAGTCGACAGAGCTGGGTGGCCATCAACGACGACAAGCCATCCTTTGACGAATACTATCCTAAACGGGAGGATCTGCTCCGGAAGGACGCTCGCAAGAGATATGAGGCTCTCCAGCTAAAGATCGCTGAGATGCGGGCTGAGTTGAGAGCCGGCTGGGAATGAAGAGGTCGTTTACAGCACGATGTGACAAGATAGGAGCATAGCACAAGCAAGCATTTTTCGTAGTCCAACATGATTCAAAGCTGCACTCAGAAGAACACGCAAGGTGTCATTATAGCCATTATCATTATGATGCTCCAAAAGCAGAAGATAAATCTTCTGTATTCATCCTCACCCTTGTACCCAACCAATTTGATATATACATGCGAGATCACACCTTATAGCCCATCGCTCTTGTATCTGTAGCCGCAATGACTATGGACTCTTGAATTGTATGCAGTCCTACTCCATCCATGTTCACCTATCCCCTTAGCCCAACGTGTGCCGCCTGTGACGGGCTGATATATGACATACATGTAAGAAAATCAAGCAAAACTGTCCAGTTATTGCTCGGAAACGCCTCAACATCCAATCCCAAATTAAGCAAACATCCCAGAAAACATCGAACAAATGGGTAAAAACACTCAAAGCTGCCTGAAGACATGCCATATCCTTTGTCCAAGCCATTTTCAGCTGTGTGTAAGAAAAAGAACCCGTCAGATCGCCCACTAATGGTATTTTGATGCTTGTGCAAGAAGAGCAAATGTGTCCATCCCCACTATCAATGCATGTAAAGACATAGAAGATTCGTGAATGCAAAAGAACGTATGGCATAATGTGCCAAATGCTTGGTAGTTAGGGTATATTAGATTGACAGCCTCTAGCCGGCAACCTTGCGGAACCCCTCGACTCCAAGAATAGGGATTTCCACATCCCGAAGGTTACTCATTCCCTCGTCGCGGCGACGCTCCACAAAATTGTTGCACTCAAAAACAACCTGAGCCCACTCTGCAAGTGCTCGTCCAGTATAAACGGAGTTCTTGACGTAAAGACCAGTTGGCTTTATAGGTTCGACAACACTGTCGGTAAACGAGCCCATGTTCGGTTTGGGCGAGGGGTACGGCGAGGGAGAGGGAGAGCCTCTGGCACTGGATGCCTTAGGAGACCCGTCACTTGATCCCGAGATCGTAACCTCAAGCTTCCAGCTCGGAGCCTCATTCTTCTCTTGAGGGGAATTAGGCAAGCTCGCGTTCTTGGCATTGTCAATAAGACCTTGCTGAGGACTGCCAGAGAACTTGCGTGTGGGCGCCGAGTACCCCGCAGGCACGGTAAATCCATTAACTCGCAACGGGCCGCTGATACGAGTCTGCGCTGGGCCAGGAAGTCGAGGGCGAGTCAGGAAGCGATCTCGGAGAAGTGCTGCCTGTTGTTGCCAAGCAAGGATGAACTTGAAGACGAACTTTGGCTCCTCATATGTTGGTTGAGAGTAAAGGGAGTCATCTTCAGATGGGCGGTTCTTGTTGTTGTTGTTGTTTTGCGTACTCAAAGATCGAGACTCTGCTGTTTCACGACGAACGGTTTGAAAATCTTCATCCCAAGCCCCGCCTGCACCGGTATTACCTCCAAGAGAGAGGACTTTGCCCAGCAGCGACCATCGTTTCCTTCCGTCGTGCTTGGAAGAGTCAGGAGGTAGTCCGTTGAGGACACTAGTCTCACTGTTTGGAAGCTTGGCGAATGAATCAAAACTTCCCATGTATAATCCGGGCTGAGGAACATTGATTTCCTGGCGGATAATCATGAAGCGTTTTCCAGGAGCAGGGTTCACTGGGCAGGTCGAGGGCGCGATTCGCTCTTCTTCTTCTGCAGTATGTTTGATGTACAGATAGTGAGCCCATGTCGTTTGAAGTCGCTCAGCTACAAGAACAAAGATCTGACTGTCGGGGAGTTAGCAAATAGCAAAGGCATCAAAGATAGAGATATTCTTACCCATCAACTTCATCCAGCGTTCCTGCGTCTCGGCACATTCGCCAACACAGTAAACGCTGGTAGTAAGCCCGAACCATTGGGCACCAGTGGTTAAAAAACTCATTGAAGGTATTTTCGGTAAGCAGCCAATCCTTACAGACGGTGAGCTTGCGCACGGGATCTTTTGATATGGCATCCCAAATGGAATATATCAGTGCTAACAATCGAATCTCAGACATAGTGTTGAAGGAGCACATGATCCTCTGGCAAACATCAAACCAGAACGCCCAGTCAACGTAGCTGTCTGAACTATCCGGCTCTTCGAATTCAGTGTAGAGTACAAGGACTTCTTCTAGGAAGTCGCACAAAGTGAAGCAAGCAGGGTGATTGTATGTCGAAACCTTCCGTGTTGCTGCCTTCATCATTGTAGCGAAGCTTTCCGCAAATGTATGTCTAGCCCCAGCAACGTCGGGTGAGTCGTCTGATAGAAAGTCTTTCAATAACATGATGCTTCGGTTTTCGGACATGCCTCGCATGATGTTACTGACAGAGAGTGGCAACGTCATTGCAGCGTCTGCGCCAGCCATAGAGTCCACTGCAGCAGGGTTAAATCCACCGTCCATAGGGGACTGGCGGTGGATGGTTGTGTCCAGAACGTAGAGAACTTGGGCCTGTACAAGAGCGAAAGCCGGAGATCTTGCCTTTTCTAGCAGAGGCAGACCAGTAGGCATAAACTGCTCGGACAGAATGTGAAAGTATTTGCAGAAGATGAAGAAAACATCGGTATCCCGGCCTTTCCATCGAGCGGCCCAGGGGCCTGTCCAAGCGATTCTAGACACCAGCATAGGCAATTTGGGCACTTTCTTAAGGCTGTCCCACATGCCTTTTGGTGTTGTCCAGCTGAAGACACCGATGGTTGGAGGGAACAAAGCCGCAATGTCGTCGCTCTCGCCTCTGTTCTTCCGTGGCAGACCGAGCTCATCAGCTACTCGTCGGATGAGTTCAGGAGAAAGGCCCCAAAGTCTAATTAGGATATCCGCAATACCGGGCGCAAAAAAGAAGGCGTAAGCGCAAGCTTTTCCAGCAAAGTTCACCAGGCTGACCGGTACGTGGCGAAGCGAAAGCTTGTCAACCACAAAAGCCATCTGTTTGACCAGGTTGGAGACGAACATAGTTCGAACGTTGTGTTCGGCTGATTCTTCCAAGAACGCTGCTTGGCTCGACGTAACGGACGAGCTGGATGAGCCAGTCATGGATCGAGCGCGGACTCGCTCGGCCGGTGATCGGTTGACCAGTGGTAGGAAGTATGATGTAGCTTGTCGCCATTCCAGTCTCATCATGATAAGTGTAACAACATCGAATAAAACCGGGCGGTCGACACCAGGGACGGGCTGTGGCGCATTTCCGTCCAGCATCTCCAGGATAGCGACCCACCATTTGTTCAAGATTGTTGCTCTCCGATCGACATCTTCGGGATAAAGTTTCTTGGTTGATTCGTGATTCATCGTATTCCGCAGGAAAGGGAGGAGCACTGTTTGAACCTGCGACATTCGCTGGGATGTGCTCTTGGCAAGGAACCCCTTAAAATCTTCATCAAGCGACTTGAAAGACGACCACAACACATCTCTTTGCTGGGGCGGCATCTCGACGGAAGATTCATCAGTGACTGTTGTGGCGGAGGTAGTGTCGTAGGTAGAAGACTGTGGCGTGCGGTCCTCTGCGATGATTGAAGCAGGTGCTGCAAGACTTGTGGCCGAAGAAGCGCAGCTATTGTCAGAATCGGTATTGGTATTTAATTTCGACAAGCCCGCCTGTTTCTGCTTAATCTTGGAGAAGTAGCTGCTCGCTCGTGAAAAGGCTTTGGGGGCTGCGGACTTTAGTGAATCAGTTGACTTGTTCTTGTCTACCTGATCAACGGTCAAGCCAGGGCGTTTGCGGGTCTTTGTAAGCTTGAGTGATGTTGTGCTCTCAGATCGGTTGCGCCCGGACAAATCCTCACTATCCTTGGCAGCGTCGGCATTCTTCATGGGCGACGGTGAGCGGGAGGGTCTCCACGAGCGTTTGGCGAAATTCGCGAAAGAACCTGACTTTGTCATAGTTCTTTGCAGGGGTTTCAGGTCGCCGATTGATCCATCGCCAAAACTCTTATCACCCGCAGATGTAGTCGGCCGAGGAGGCTCACTGAGAAGGTCCGACGTGCTTTTGGAGCTTGAAAGCCAACCTCGAGTGTCTATGAGCGAGCTTGTCCTTTTCCGAGCGTGTCTCATGCGCGAGGTCTCTTCGGGCACCTCTTTCGCTTCAATGATTGTAGGTGGTGAGGCAGGTGCCGCCTTGGGAGTCCGTTCCTCTGGGAGGAAGACAGAGGTATCGAGACTGAAATCGACATTAAAGGTGGGAAGATCAAAGTTCGGTATCGTTTGAAGATCGGGGTCGTTCGGGCGTTGCGGTGACGGATTCGAGGAATGGTTTTCGAGTGAGGGTAGCGAGAGGAGCCCCAAGTCTGGACTAGAGTGAGACCTGGGGAACGAAGACGAGTTTTCCACGGCCGGAGCCATGATCATGGTAGAACCGCTCATCTCATGACAAAAAACAATAGGGGAGTGGGCAGCCTTCAACAAGAGAAGCGTCCGTAGGCTGGTGCTCCTCTTGTTAGAAAGCCGACTATATTAATAAGAATCGATAAATCAGATAGGTGTTGTCTCAAACGATCATAATTCGACGTTTCTCTGGCCGGCAGAGGAATAGGGATTATAGTAATAGATGTCGGGTGGTACAATGGTGAAGATTCGAGGTGGTTTGAAAGAAAGTGAGAAAGACAAGGCTTTCTCAGGGTTTCCATAGACGACAAACTAAAGTGCAAAGTGCACTGCAGCCTCTACCTAGGTAGGCTTTAGGTAGTCCAGGTAGCCTAGCTCGGACTGTACCGTAGAGTACCTGGACGTGTCTGCTAGTGCGTGCGCCCAACCTGCAACCTGCAACCTCCACACCACGCTCAGGATCGCCACGGACTAGCCGGGGGGGCGGCAAGACGGAGGTGGTGACTGACAGGGAACCCTTTAGGGAGTTAGGGAGTCCCGAAGTCTCCGTACGGCTGCCCTGACCTTGTCGGCTTGTACTGGGTTGTACCTTGAGAAATGAGGCTACGCCCAGAAGGGGCTCGCTGTTGTCAGAATGGGGCGACGCACGGAATAGGTACGTTATTAGCTTTCTTTATCGTGGAATAGGTTTTTTTCTTCTTTTTTTTTTCTAAGCAGACCAAGCAGGTAGACAAGAAGTACAAGACAAACAGAATGATCCAATAAGGTAATTGAGATACATCGCTTTTCCATGGTGGAGGACAAAAGGCTTTCCATTTGAGTTCATATAATAAAGCCAAGGTGGACCTGATACCACAGTCAACACCACTGTGTACCTACTCGCTGCAGCTATGGCAGATGAACCGCTACAACGAAGAACTAATTAACGACCTACTAATAAACAAATCTAGATTCATCCAATTTTGATCAACGCCAGTGAAATGAACCAACGTCATTGCCGGGTATTAAGCGAGTCAAAGCACTTCCTTTCTTTCTTTCTTCCTTTTGTTTTTCGTGTAGTTCTTTCGGGAAATCGCCTAGAACATTGAATCACACAAGAGGAGCAAGCCCGGGTCGGTGAAACGTGCAACAGTGCGCCCGCTACTCCGTACCTACCTACTAGGTAGGTACTCTACCTTAATCTTGGGGTTTTCCAGGTTGGTCAATAAGCGATGGAATTTAGTATCACTGTTGAAAAAGAGAACCTCGCGATGGAATCAAGGCACGCGGCAGAGCTAGCACACCATCTTCATGTCCAAGACATGCGATTCGCCCGCACCTGCGGCACTCTTCCTCTCTACCAAGGCCAGGGGTCGAGAGCCTGGCGGTAACCAGAGCTGAAGAGGCACAGATTGGAGATGTGATGACACTATTGCGCTATTGCGCGCTACCAGCTGTAGATACTGACAACGAAGCAGCGAGGGTGAGACGCATTGAGACGCGCCATGTAACTTGCATCTCATATCTCGATGAGTGCTAGGGTAGCAGAAAGCACGAAACAAGTCGCCATCGATCTGAAGCCAAGTTCCTTCTGATATGTACCGTGTTTTACTGTCTGACACGCAAAGCTTGATATTGAAAAACCAAGCTATAACGCCATCTTACCGTAGTAATATATCCCCAGAAGGAAACTCCCGATGGCTGCGGAGGAGGCGTAGAATTAATTAAATTGCCTTGGATGTGGCTGGTGACTCATTACATTGATGACATGTTCGACCATCGGTGAATATTCCCCAGACATTCGAGCGCGTGTAACTGTAAGCTTGGGAACAAGAAGCACCAGAAACCTGCGTCTCCATTCCCGGCTTACTGAAACATATGTTTTGAGTACTACTCTCTTTATCCAAGTTTTGTTGGTGACATGCTCATAAGATCCAAGTTTTGACCTACTGGACGATAGTGCCTATGATCGATTAATCAATTGTGATATGACCCCTGACTAACTCCTGCATCGAAGCGATGCCGCCAACTAACAGCGAAGCTTGGCCTTGCTAGGTGAAGATCATGAATTTGATCAACCGCCTGTCGGGCTGAGATTTAACCTGTCTGTACCTTAGTACCTAGGTACCTAGTTAGTGGTGGGTATGAAATGAATCAGTCCCTAATTACCAACCTACTAGGTAGTGGAGCGGTACCGTTGAGGGCAGTATCCGTACATGGGCACAACAACGGGCTAACAGCTCTATGGTTGAAGATCTGCAGCTTACATGCGTGATAGGTATGGATGGTGTTAACACAATCTAAATATTGACAATCATATCACCAAGGGACAACAGACGATGTCTCACACGGCCTATGCTCACAAATTCTGCAGAGTACTCACAACCGATGCATTATACTCCGTACGAATAATCAAATTGAATCTATTCAAAAGTGGGATTTCTGGATCTGTCCGAAATTGCAGACGAGAAAGTCATCGCTCGAAGGGTAATGACCGCGACACGGAGCAAAACCCCCTATACTAGCCGTTGATAAGGAGAGAAACCCATTCATTGACGGGCGGGTCATGGAAATGTCGAACCGTGCAAAAATTGTTTACGGAGCTCTCGCTAATCAATGAGGGAAAAGACGAAAAGACTACGGATATCCGTAAATTCCAGTACTTACAGCCGCTGTTGAAAATGGTTAAAAGGCCAGTCGCGTGGTCATCGTCATGCTGTACCCGCCGGCCATATTCTTGACCGACCTAGAAAGCGACTTTCCTTCCTGTCGTGGTGTATCCAATATGCATAAGGTTAAGGATTGATGCATTTCCGTGTTGTTTACGCCCTCCTTTGGGTACAATTTACTGCATCCAGAAGCATCAGTAACTGAACCATTGGCTGGCGCATCACCAAGCATACTGCAGGCAGGCCCCGGAAGGCTCAAACTCCGAGAAAGGGGTCCATCTGTAGACCATGGATGTTTTCTTTACTAACTCGACCACAGCTCATTTCTCGGCGGCCCCCACCCAAAGTACCGCTATGTACTGAGCATCTGCTGCCAGTAACGTGCTGATGACGTTCCTTCACGTTACTCAAGTGCGTTTGCCCGATACAGTTTAGAGTCTGGATGCTAAACATTTCCATCACCACGCCAAATACTCATTTAGCGCATGGTAATTTCTGAGCTGAGCAGAAGCGCGTTTTAGGGGTCTTGAACTCACATGTCAATCGGTGAACGTTTGTCTCATTGTCTGTGGGTAATGTTTCCTGATTATATATTCGGTCTCAACAGAGTATCGGAATTTGGTATCGAACTTGTCCCCACGAAGTAAGGTTTACTTCACGTCTGTTGATGTGGTGATGATGATGATGATTTATGCGCCTTGGTCGTATTGCACGTGTTGAGCCTATTGGTTAATTATTCCATGGAAAACTTCCAAGTCCTCTCAACATAATCATGGCGGTGACGAGGATATTCCCCATGTTATCTTGCGCTACTCTGCTGCTGCACTTCAAGCTTATCTAGTACCTAGCCAATGCAAAGAGCTGCGCAGTATAAATATTGCTTGGCGTCACAACATCGCATCAACCCTCAACTCAGTTTCCCTTGCATGCATGATGCTGTTCAACATCGGAATACGGCTGAGGCCCCTCTTGCCCCATTTTCTCAGCTATATCCTGGCTTGGTAATTGATCCGGCAAGATGAACAAACTTAGGCACGTTGGCTGCGGGCCAATGCACATAATACAGATAAGTTCCGATTTCGAATCCCTGCCCGGCTGAATCTGAGAAGCAGAGCAAGTCCACCAGAGCCCCCTAACGCGGCGTTGTTTTGCCCACCGCATATTATGTTTCATGCGTATGGTGATGTGGGCTTTTGGTAGATGTCATGACAATAACGAGCACCTAACAAGGCTTGTGTTGCTTGACCTTATGGACTCCGTCAACACAATCGCCACGAGGCTTCACTTGCGGTGGCTGTTTGTCCTGGCGGCAACAGACAGCTTGGTACGTTTGGTGTTCACAGCTTACGAGTTCGAGAAGAGCATAGGTCACCAACTGGGCCATAGCAGAAGCCATGTCTGACAGCACTGCTATTCTTGCAGCAGTCTACATTCAGCTGTGATTCACCATGAGAAACTTCATTTATGAACGATAACACTTTTGAAGTGAAGTGGGCATGTTCCCCTATCTTCATGCACCATTGTCTGTAGGGTAACAAGAACAGAGGTGTTTGGTAATAGTAGGGGAGTATCAATCTTGGCACGATGAAAATTTCCTTCAGCAATGCGAGCATAGAAGAGCCCATTTGCTGTACACACTAATGCCGTTTGCAGTTTGACTGCGCTTCACTGTTTCACTTGCGTATGCATACTTACTTTGTAATCGCCTTGAATCACTCGTATCTGAGATCGTGTGCCATCAAGCCGTCGCGTCGAGTTGAACCACGTACGAGTCAAAGCCCGTAATCCTCGTGTTCAAACTGTTCGCCGAAGTTGACGTTGTGATCTTGAGATGGTTCAGGCTTGATCGTTGATGATCTTGTGTTGCAGTTTGATGGTATCCGGCCATTCGGTGCGACTAAAAAATTGTTGCTCTGCATGTTTGAAAGGATGGAAAATTTGCGCACGAATTTGAGGTTGATAAATGTCTGGCTGCTTATGTAATTATATGGGGCTGATCATAGTGCGTAAGGTACCTAGCCCGGGCACCGGACTTTGAAGTAACCTGGATAACTTCAGAGATCGATGTTATCAGCTCTGTACGATATCTCTTGCATACGATAAATTTCTATTCGGGCTTTTCTAGTCACTAGCTACTACTACCGAGTTTATTGGAAGTGATTGACTAGATTCGGCGTCCAAGCCCTTGTAATACTGCCGGTCGAAGGGAATACTCATTTGAGCCATACTTGTAGCAGTAGCCGACAGTACCTCGTGATCTTGAACCTGTGTATTTACTCGTGGTTGAGCTGAGTCAAATGGTATTGAGATGTTGGGTATGGTGGTAGTAAGCATGGTTATCGCAGCAATACGTCGACCAAACACTGGGCTACGACGGTTAGACTGATATTCATAGTTTCGAGGTAAAGAAAAGAGCTAACCATCTTCGACACAAATATCCCTGACGTCATTGTATATTTCATGCTTAATTAGTAGTTTAATAAATGGAAATCTTAATAGGACTTTCTGAAACCAACTACACATGAAATGCAGTCGAGTACTTCTGCTCAAACTATCCAATACGCTTTCAAATTGGTTATTGATACCGGGTAGGTTAGTCTCCCATGGGCATGAGACCAAAAAGTAATCCATGACCCTCATAAACCGTTCCGAAGATCTTGGCGGATTTAAAATGAGACGGCGTTGAGGGTGGGCTGGTGTGGTTTCAAGTGCCCCTCCTGGATGCGGGTTGTCTGCGAATTTACATATCATTTATTCTTGCATTCATGTTATGTGATGGGAATTCAAAGATCAATGGCCACTCAGGCTTCTATGATGCATGAATAATTGCATACTATTTGCTACTCCGTATAGTCAATGACCCTGATTGCCCTGTCAACCATTTGACTGTAAGAGCTTGGATCAAAGTCAAATGATGAAGCTTGATAACGAGGTGGTGTCTTGGTTTTCCCTTGGACGATCTCAAGGATCGCTTCCACTAGAGCCGATAGACCAATGAGAGGCTTGATAGTCCTGCTTGGTGCCATCTCATCCCATTCAATTCCCTGATCTCAGCTTCGGTATAATTTAGCTTGTGCATCCATTGATGGAGCCTCCTAGAGAAGGCGGGCAGGCTGGCAAGCAGGCAGGCAAGCAGGGCAGGGCAGGGCAACCACGACTGGTAATCTAACATTCCTTGGTACATCCCCCCTAACTCTTAGTAGGCAAGTACTGCCGTGTTGATAGCGTTTTCCGTACAAAATCTCAGTTATCGTCAATGCCCATCCATGGCCCCTGCACCAACCAGGTGTGTCTGGTTGCACCTGCGTCATTACCCAGTTGTGCTGTGGTTGTTTTGTCTTGGTCTCGGTGTCTTGTCTTACTCTTAGCTTGGTTCCCTCTCTCGTCAGTCTAATCATAATCGAGTTTTTGTCCCAGACATCGTCAGATTTCTTCCTCCAGCATCTCATTGCAGGGTCGCTTTGAATTTCAAAATTAATGCTCGCCCAATAGTGAAGCAAGTCTCGCGCAAACAATTGGACCATCGTCTGTTATCGCGTTCGGCTGCAACCCGCGTCGTCAATTTATTTCATCTGGCATCAATCGAATAAAGCTTGCGACGACGTATCCTGTGCCACCGCCAAAAACCGGGAGGCCTCCATATCTACATACATTCATCTGGAATCGAAGACCGGTGCCAAAGCACAATCAACTACAAGAACACACAAAAGATGGCGGAAACTGCAGAAAGGCCAGTGACCACTGAGTCGCAACGAAATCCTTATGGGTCATCCAGTCGCTGGCGACATCAGGAATCGTCTGCTTATGCTGCACACGCCGCGCAGCTGACTGGCGAAGGACCGCCGCGAGATCCTCACCAAGAAACGGGCAACGCGAGCGAGCTTGCAAGCTTTCTCAACCAGTCCCGCATTGAACCAGAAGACGAAAATCGCGAAACCGAAAAGTACAGACCCATTACCGCCGCTGCTGGTGATATAAATGGGAGCATCGTTAATGGTGACGTGGGTCAAAGCCATGCTGGCCAAGGCCCGCAAGGCGAGAACGCTCCTGACGTAAAGAAGATTGTTTGCGGACCTCTACTGAACTATCGCCACATGCGAGAGGGACGCTGGTATGGTAGCGTATTGATTGTCGTGGAAGGCGGCGGCAAGATCCCTCTGCACCAGCCTTATTTGACATTGAAGCAAGCCATTCAGACTCAAGAGGGTGGCTTTGCAGACCAGGCATCGCCGACCAGCGGGGCGCAAGAGGAAGCTCGTGTTGACGCGCATTGTCTTTACTCCGACCCGCGCAATACCTTCTGGGCTTTCGATATCAGTGTCCCAGTTCAAGATATCGAGGCTTGCTACGAATATGCTGTACCCGAACTGCGCTTCTCAACTGAACACAAGCCCCGTGTGAACAGATTCTTCGTACCTGCTGCAACCGAGTCCATGCGCATCATGTTTCACTCGTGCAACGGTTTCAGTGTTGGAACTGACGAGAAGGCCTGGAGTGGTCCGGCGCTGTGGAATGATGTGACACGAAAGCATCGCGAGCTTCCTTTCCACGTCATGCTAGGCGGCGGCGATCAGATTTACAACGATGGTATCCGAGTTGACGGTCCTCTGCGCCCATGGACTGACATTGGCAACCCCAAGAAGCGTAAAGAGTATCCCTTCCCGGAGAAGCTACGCGCGGAATGTGATGACTATTATCTCAAGAACTATATCCGCTGGTACAACACTGAGCCCTTCTCTGGGGTCAACGGGCAGATTCCCCAGGTCAACATCTGGGATGACCATGACGTACGTTAAAGAAATGAACGTGACCATGCACTACTAAATATGCATAGATTATCGATGGATTCGGATCCTATACTGATAGCTTCATGCAATGCGATGTCTTTCGCGGCATTGGTGGCACTGCGCATAAATACTATATGCTTTTTCAGCATCATATGCCACCACCTCCTTCAACGTATACGTCTGGTATGAATATTTTACGTATTTTGCGATAACTCATGTTGACCGTTGTCAGATCATGCGGCTCTGGAGAAAAGTACCCAGGGGGCCGATCCTAACCAGCTGATTGATACCTATGTGGCACCGATGATTGAGTCACCCGAGTATATTGTTGGCGACCATCCTGGTCCATATGTCGCTGAGCGCTCTTTCAACATTTATACCCGCCTTGGTGCGCGCATGGCCCTCCTTGGTATCGACGCGCGAGTGGAGGTCAGTAGAATGAATGCATTTCCCCTATATCCAGTAACTAATCAGATACACAGCGCACACGCCACCAGGTCAACTACCCTGAGACGTACAAAAAGATCTTCCAGAGACTCCGTTCAGAGCTTGAAGCCGCGTCAGCAACAGGAGAGCCCATCAAGCATTTGATTTTGTTGCTTGGCATCCCCATCGCGTATCCTGTATGTATCTGCAGAAGGAACATATTGAAATATGTGGACTAACCCCTCACAGCGCTTGACATGGCTCGAAAACATTTTCCGAAGTCCTGTTATGGGCCCTCTCAAGATCCTTAACAAACGGTTCGGAATTGGCGGGAGTCTGTTCAACCAGTTCGACGGTAATATCGATTTGCTGGATGATCTGGACGACCACTACACTGCAAGAACGCACAAGAAGGAGAGGCGTGAACTAATGGTCGAACTTCAGAAGATCGCTGCTGAGTTCCATACTCGGGTGACTATTCTCGGAGGCGATGTGCATCTGGCTGCACTAGGACGATTTTACTCCAACCCCAAGCTTGAAATCCCTGCGGAGGAGGATCATCGCTACATGGTCAACGTCGTTTCTTCAGCCATCGTCAACAAGCCACCGCCTACGGCTGTAGCAAATCTCCTGGCCAGGAGGAACAAGATCCATCACCTGAACGCTAAGACCGACGAGACTTTGTTGGATTTGTTCGACAAGGATCCTGGCGATTCCAACAAGACGGCCAGTCATAACAAGTGCACAATGCCGAGCCGCAACTTTGCAACAATTACTGAGAACTCACCCAACAACCCCGAAGCCCCCAACAGCAGCGTGGAGGAGAACGGAGTTGAAGAGCAGAACTTCCTGGGCAATGATGGACACAAGGTTCTTCACAAGGGAGAAGTTCAGGCTGGAACGAAGCACAGGGCGGCATCGCGACAGCGCCATGGCCGGTCCAACGATGGAACACTTGACGTGTGTATCAATGTGGAAATCGACCAGCACGACAAGGAGGGTCGAACAGAGATGTATGGGTTGACAGTGCCGCTACTCAACTACCAGCCGAGAGACGAACCCCCCACACCCAGAGAATCGGTGACATCGGGGAGCCAACATTAGGAGGATTTGAAGGCCGATGTTGATGAGTGGGAAAAGGACCGTCGAACAAGACGCTATAACGTTGATGATGGGGCCGGTGTGGCCGGCTGGAGAGCGATCACGGTGTGGGCCCGACGTGTATGGGGCCGGGCCGGCGGACGACGGCTTGCGAAGGGCGAAGTTGCAGTTGGAGCAAAGTAGGAGAGGAGGGTGGGTGCTTGGGTAAGGATGAGATACCTGACCCATGGCTGTGTGTGGACCAGTGAGAGATGAGCTATTCCCATGGGGTAGCTTGTGTTTGTTTATACCCGTTCGAGGCAACTGCCTGACATTGAATGCATAGGAAGTGAAGTGGTTTGAAGACAGGAGAAGTTTGTGCAGATTTGGGAAAGACGGAGATGGATGGATGTCTTTTGCTGAGCTGAGCAGTCTAGTAATAGTTTTCTTCTTTTTACTTCCATCATATATCTAATTCATGCTTTTTCATATTGATCATCATATCGTGCCGAGCTGCCTGTCACGCAATTGCATGCAATTCCTGCATACGTAGTACAACAACGCAACGCAGATAAGGAAATTTTTCTTTCCCCAGGGTCACCAAGTCGAAATAGGTAAAGTCGTCGATACTAGTTAGACAGCCGCTATCCGTATCTTTACCAAAGCTGAGATAGCACATGACCATCAAAGTCCCCCACGTTCGGAAAAGCGCGGCCATAGTTTTACCAGACATAACAACAAGTGGGTTTTTGTAGGAGCTATCATCCTTGCCTTCATAAGAAGATGATATGGCTGGATCAGAGCATGTAAGATATTGAATCGTGAAAACTCAGATTACATACTATAGAATATCCCCATATGAGAATATTATGTCACCAATACTTACCCTCTCACCCTATAAAAGTCTTCCAGAAGAAGAAGAAAACGTCTGTATAAAGTGGCGCGGTATGTGCGGCTCTTCGCGGGCAACCAAGAGATAACGCACCATGCCCCATCTGCCGAGATCGGCCCCCAGCATCGTCAAGCCATTGACCAATCAGACTCCATCACTGGGCTGACCGTAGCTGGGGAAAGACGGGGCGACGTCATGTGCCATGTCCCATGCAGAAGCTTTTTAGCTTTTTAGGCCGTGATAAGCCGCGAGCACCAGCACGAAAGACTAGCGCTGTAGCTTGATTTAGCTTGGTCAAGGAACCTCAGAATGGAGAAAGCAGTCAAGCAGCCCTCTTGGCTCGCGTGGCGACGGCACGATACTGCAAGTCTAGTACTGTACAGTAGTAATTAGGTGCTATCTAGGTATCTTCAGAGAGGGGAGGCTTTGCTTCGCGAGGTCTGGTATGAATCGTGATGTACTGTACCCAGCTTGGAATTTCTGTTAGTCAGGACTTTTGTTGCCTTGCCAGGAACTCGGAATTCTTCTAATACTTCTTCTCCCCATCTTCTGCTTCTTCTCCTCCTTCCCCTCCTCTTTCCTTCCTTCCTTTCTCTTCATCTTCCATCTTCGATCGTCGTCGAACAAGAGTCTTTTTGTACCTGTGATTTTGCCTTTGTGATACCCCCCTCCCTCCCACTTCGACGACTCCCCCGATAACGAAGAGCAATCGCATCACACCACATCACATCGGAATGTCTTCAATGATGTTCCTCAACCGGGCTGGTGCCAAGGGTCTTCGTACCGCTGCGCGAGCCCAGCAGCTGCGAACTGCTGCGACCCTGGCTACCTTCAAGACCCCCACGGTCTTCAATGAGCCCAACCAGCACTACGCCAAGGGCAGCCAGCAGCGTGAGGGTCTGACTGCTGCTATCGAGAAGCTCCAGAAGAAGCTACCCATCGAAGTCCCCGTCGTCGTTGGCGGCAAGCAGGTAAGCTTTTCTACACACGATATTTCCCTTGCTATCCCAGGAGTTATGTCTAACACAGAACCTCACAGATCAAGGCTTCCGCCCTCTCCAAGCAGCAGAACCCTGCCGACCATGCCACCACTGTCGCCTCCTACCACACTGCCACCCCAGCTGATGTCTCTGCTGCCATCGACGCTGCTCTGGCTGCCAAGCCCGCCTGGGAGGCTCTCCCCTTCAACGACCGAGCTGCCGTCTTCCTCAAGGCCGCCGACCTCATCTCCACCAAGTACCGATACGACATCATGGCCGCTACCATGCTTGGCCAAGGCAAGAACGCTTGGCAGGCCGAGATCGACGCCGCTGCCGAGCTGGCTGACTTCCTCCGCTTCAACGTTCACTACGCTGAGCAGCTCTACAACACCCAGCCCGTGCACAACTCTCCTGGTGTCTGGAACCGTGTCGAGTACCGTGCCCTTGAGGGTTTCGTCTATGCTGTCAGCCCCTTCAACTTTACTGCCATCGCCGGTAACTTGCCTGGTGCCCCTGCTCTTCTCGGTAACGTCGTTGTCTGGAAGCCCAGTGACTTCGCCATTGCTTCCAACTGGCTCGTCTACCAGATCTTGATTGAGGCTGGTCTCCCCAAGGATGTTATCCAGTTTGTCCCCGGCAACCCTGTCGACATCACCAAGGTCGTCCTCGAGCACAAGGAGTTTGCTGCTCTCCACTACACTGGAAGCACCGCCGTCTTCCGTCAGCTCTACGGCACCATCGGCCAGGGTATTGCTGAGGGCCGATACCGAGGCTACCCCCGTGTCGTTGGTGAGACTGGTGGAAAGAACTTCCACTTGATCGACCCCACGGCCGAGATTGACAACGCTGTCAAGCAGACTGTCCGTGGTGCCTTCGAGTTCCAGGGTCAGAAGTGCAGTGCCACTTCGCGAATCTACGTCCCCAAGTCCATGTGGCCCGAGTTCAAGGAGAAGCTTGTCGCCGAGGTTGAGGCTATCAAGATCGGTAACCCTACTGACCACTCTAACTTCATGGGTCCCGTCATCCACGAGTCTTCTTTCAAGAAGCTCTCTGGTGCCATCGATGAGGCCAAGACTGACAAAGACCTTGAGCTCGTTGTTGGTGGCAAGTACGACTCTTCCAAGGGCTACTACATCCACCCTACCATCTACGCCACGACCAACCCCAACCACAAGTTCTTCTCAACTGAGTTCTTCGGTCCTATCCTTACCACATACATCTACGACGATGCTGCTCCCAACGCCGTCGCTGATGTCTGCAAGCTCATCGAGACCACCTCCGACTACGGTCTGACTGGTGCCGTTTTCGCTGCTGACCGTGAGGCTTCCCGCTTCGCCGAGGAGCAGCTCCGCAACGCTGCCGGTAACTTCTACGTCAACTGCAAGAGCACTGGTGCTGTTGTCGGCCAGCAGCCCTTCGGTGGTTCTCGTGCCTCTGGTACCAACGACAAGGCCGGTAGCCAGAACCTCCTGACTCGCTTCGTCAACGTTCGGGCCATCAAGGAGGAGTTCACTCCCACCACCAAGATCACCTACCCTAGCAACGAGGTTTAAGTACCAAAACATAACCAATCGTTAGGGTGAAGTGGAGCTCGGATGATGATACGACATGAATGACTTAGATGGAATACTCCCATAGGGCTGGCTGTCGCCCATAACATAATTGGAAGACGAGAATGCCCGATGACATGACTGGCTGTCACGGATTGCAGCAAGTTTGTTGTTGATCAAGTACGACTTTGTTGAAGAGCTTGAGGAGCAAATCCAAGGGTCTTGAATCGCCGCTGTTCAACAGTTCAGTCAAGCCTTGGTTGTGGGCCTGCGACGTGCCAGGGGTAGGCTCTTGGTATTAAAGAGCCGCCCCAGGGTCTCTCCCCACGTTGGCTCACGCGAGATGGTGATGGGTGGGATTCACCTGGAGTAGAATTGGGGAAAATAACAGGGTGTGTTGTATGATAGAAGAGCCGTCGACGTCTAGAGAACGCGCACGTGCTCAATTCAGTCCAAGGACGAATAATTAAGCCGATTTTTAGTTGCAACCCTTTCTTCTTCATCAAGTCAATTGAATGTCGCAAGGAACCCTGGTCTTGGCTCCATTGAGCTCGGAACGTTTGTAAGTCTGTAAGCTCCTGGGGTCCAGACAGAACACGTGCCTGCCTACACTGGCTGTTTATCTTTGCCTATTTCGAAACCGAGTGAAGCATGCTGCATGAGGCACCTCCAACATTTCGGCGCTTTCTCAGATGGCGGAGGTGGAGGTGGAGACCAAAGATTGGGGAGTTTGGAGACCCCTAGTTCTCTCCATCTTCCTCATGGGATCGCATTCTGCACCCGACCTTTGTCTGAATACCTCAGCATTGGGGCAATTGGTCTGCGCAAACATTTATCCTGGCTCCTTATTGCTTCCTGCTTCAATCTTGATGTGGTCTTGGATTGAAAGTGCGTATGTTTGCGGCAAATGAGCCGACTTACTTAGAGGCACGACTTACACCATCATCATGGCCATCATGGTACCTTTAGCCGCTCGATGCAAGTCAATATGTGCTTTCCTTTCAATTGAAGGACGCCAATCTAAGCCTCCTTCTTGTGCCTTTGAGACCGGACCCCTGCCCACCAGAAAGCTTACGCCGACCACGTTGATCAATCCCCCACGCTGATTCGCTCACCACCAAAGAGAGCACGCGACCATTTCCTCGATGATGCTTGGTCCATGAACTCGCATGCTCTCAACCCGGTCGTTCTAGCTTAAAGTCGGATGAAGCCTGCGATAGTCTGCGTCGCATGGTGCTGGATTGGAGGAAGAAGCGGGTTCAAACGTGAAACTCTTTCGCCTTTGGGACTGGGGAGGCGTGGTTGTGTTGCGGTGCGTGTCCGTATCTGCATGTGCCATTTCCGTTTGTCGATATCACTGGAGCATGTCTGATACTCACTCTAATGATTCCCTGTGTCCAATTTAATGTCCTCAGTCCCATGCCCGTATATTGACGATCACGCTTGGCTGGAACTTGATTGTCTTTGATTGAAGGCGAGAGTCACCCCAATACACCTTATCCTCTTACCATCCCGTGCCCTTCTCTGCTCTGTTTTGCTTCCCATCAACGACGGTGTCATCTTTCCAGTACAATTCCCCTGTCCCGAGCGAGCAGCTTAGCCCTATCTGTGACCTAGTCTCAGAAGCAGTGATTCTTCGAATTGTTGATCTTACTCTTTGTTCGTAGGTTATCTCAAGGGAGCCAAGTCGTAATCCTTTCTCTCATCGACCACCTCTGCCCATTGTCTTTTTGACTCTTTCTGTCGTCTTCGATTGACAACATACCTGAAGAGCGTTCTGTTGGACATAGCTGTCTTCTGACACAACACCTTTACTCGACACTTTCACGATGCCTCGACCGGGCCTCCCACCCACGCCGGGCTCTTCATCCGATATCAAGGGTGTAGACGGTACTCAGCAGCTGTCCTCTTTTCAACTCTCTTTCGAGCTGCCTCCTCCAGCAATTCATGATGCTTCCCGCGTGTCCCCCACGATGTCTTCCCAGGTTTCACCAACCAATACCAAGTCGCACCCGCTTGTCACTACTTCTCCGGGAGCAACATACCCCATGCAGCCAGCCGAGACAGTGAAGGCGCGCCGTCGTTCCTCTGCTGCAAAAGATTCAAAGGATAACTCGTTTGCTCTTCCACCTCCGCCGACCCGATCTCGCAAGATCATTCAGATGAAACCTCGACAGGAGGATGGTGGTGACAACAACACCAGTAAAGATAAAGGGAAGACAAATAGCAAGAGCTCTGCAGCGGGGAAGGCGGCTGCGGCGTCGACCAGCTCTAAAACGACAGCAGCGACAGGAGATACGGCCGTTGACGATAAGACGAAGAAGAAGCAACCCAGTGCCACAAGTGCAGCCGGACGAAAGATTGCGAGGAAAACCGCACACAGTCTGATCGAGCGTCGGAGGCGGAGTAAGATGAACGAAGAGTTTGCTGTGCTAAAGGGCATGATACCAGCTTGCACAGGAGATATGCATAAGTTGTCTATCCTCCAGGTATGATTTGTCTCTTTGACCTGGGAGGTGAAGGAAAGCTGACCAATGTTTGTTCACAGGCCTCGATTGAGTATATTCGGTACTTGGAAGACTGCGTGTCCAAATTGAAAGCACAACAAGAGGAAGATAATGGCCAAACTGAGTCTGGCCGCCAAACCCCCACAGGTCGCGACCGACTGCCATCTATACGTGAATTCCACCCAACTTTCCAAGGCGATCCAGCCGATGACGACGATGTTGAGATGGAGGATTCCGATGTCACTTCACCCGCCATGACTGCGATGCAAGACCATAACGCTCGCCATCCATCTGCATCTCCTGCCCTTCTTCCTCAAGACTCTCGGGATCGGGCACAGTCTTATTCATCAATCTCAACAGAAAATCGACGTTACAGCTATAGTGTTTCTGCTGGAACTTCCCCGGCATTTGGCCCGCAGATATACGGCGCACCCCATTATGCTCGTAGCGATGCCTCAGCACCAGGTTCGGCTTTAACAAGTCCGGCTCTCAATCCCCAGAGCGAGCTTGATCAGGAGGCCATGGCTGCATTGTTGATGCTGAACAACGATCGTCGTGACTCCAAGGGTCGAGGCCTTTCGGTTCGTGATCTACTCAGTACATGAGCGATACTATGCAGACAGTCGTTGGGCAATCGGTTTCTAATAAACACTTGTGAGATGTCAATGAAGCTCTATTGTGGTGCGAATGAGAAAGGACGGGACAGAGGCTTGGAGCCAATTTCATCTTTCAACTTTTGAAACGTCAAGGTATATAAAATATGGGTTATTATAAGATTCGGCCGCCCACGTTAAACGGATTATTTGGTTGGGTAAAGGGTAAGGAAAACGAAGAGATGTATATAATGGGTTTACTTTTAATGATGGGTATTGGGAAAGTGAAATTCTAGACGATGATTGGGTCGATCTTGATCAGTTTATTACGTGGTGTTGGAAAGACGGGTGGGTTCGTCGGAGGTTGGTTCCTTCCACTTGGACCATCTCCGACACTGGTAATCATCACGGAAAGATAAAGAAGTAAGAGTTTATGAGATGAACAAAATTATAATACTGGGTTAAGGATTACCTATTCATACAATTACTAAGAAGTTACCAGAGATGTTGTCCAGTCCCGAATTGGTCAAGACATCTAAAGTGGATGAGCAAACAGGTGTCAGTCCTCACTCATGTATTATCACACAGCGGCAGTTGTAGATAAGGGGTGGAATGTCAAAAACAATTGGTATAATACTTTAAGTCTATAGAAAATATATCTTGATATTAATTTTTTGTCCTATCATATTAAACCTTGAGTCTTTGGCTTCCAGCCATGTCGTCTCGAGCATCTTTAACCAAGAAACTGACCATTGTTAGTAATGCAACCAGAGAAACCAAACGGTTATAACTTACTTGTACCATAAAACAGTTGGTCCGATTGTCATAAGATGCCATAAGCTGTGGGCGTCAATGCAACCCAGCCAAGGCGGGAAATCGAAAAGTTCCATACTCATAGCGAAGATGAGCCATGCTACCACAAAACCAGGCCAAGCCGCCCACATACGTCTTGACTCTCTATATCTGTTAAAACTGAACCACGACCAAAGGAAGTTTTGTACAGTGCCCGCCGCTACATTCGCGGCCATGTTGTATGTGTAATCCCAACGAATAAACTTGAGGTATAAGACATGGCAAAGATAGAGGGAAACACAGAGAAGAGTCCAGACTCGAAGGGTCGTTTGCCTTCTAGGAGTACGCTTATCCAGTCTGAAAACTCGTATGACCGTATAATACAAGCCGTAGAGCACGTTGGCTCCAGCGGCAAAATAGTCGAGCTCCTCTGTGAACCGGAAATCGCGGGTATGGAAGATGGAGCTGAAGACCCAAGACGACATGCCAACATAAGCCAGCCTGTCGTAGAATTTCCGCATAGTATATGATTTTGGAATCTTGGCTTGGACCTTCTTAAGGCCATCCCAGTGCGCCCAGAAATTGCCCAGAGAAAAGAGGACACTAAAGGGTTCCTGCATGCCGAGAAAGCGATAGAACGGCCATTTCCCGTAGAATTGCACGACCGAAAGACCCTTGGCCATGCGTTGACCCGTTATTATATGTTGACATGCATAATTGCATTCGCTGGCGCAATTCCATAATAAAAGACGATGAAAAACAGCTATTAACGGAAGCACACATTAGCTAGGTCTGCTCAAGTCGCGACATGGAGGATACGTACGAGTTGAAGTCTGAGGCTTGTCAGGGGCGCAGTTTTCGGATTTGCAGATCTATCGCAGCACTGTTAGTATCTGTAATCGTTTTGCGCTGGCGTGCCGTTTTACCTTTAAACAATCCTTAAATTCTGGCAACTTGTCGCCTTTCGATGCTTCGACAATAGTCGCGAAAGCAAGAACAAGGACGGTCAAGGATACAATCTGCGCCCATGGCCGCCCCCTTTGAGTCGACATTGCGAGCGCATCGACCTGTTTAACGTGCGAGAAGGGAAAGTTGAGTGCAATGCATGAGAGAGGGGGAGAGATTATACCTTGCGCCGGTTGACGATGTGGCTCAATGGGCAATTCGACGTAACGTTAATGTTTCAGGCTCATGATTGGTCAAATATCTGCAAGTCATGGGCCGCTCTGCAGGTTAGCGTTTTGTGGAGAAGGTCTTGGTTGTTTGCGAACTGGGGATAGAGTCAAGTGACAAACATATCCAAGCAGTCCATGGTATAATATGTTTTTTATTAGCTAGGGCAAAGGTTCAATAGGCAGCTTGACTTGCATATGTTCGGGTTGAATCTCCGGCATCATCCACAAATAGTACCTATGTATACTACTGCAGCTCATGATTAAGCTTAGGGGACATGTCAACTACTCGACTTATAAGCTTTGACACCTCGGCACGTTGTGTTCAGCATATTCTCTACCCGGCCGTTACAAAAGTCAACATAGATTTAATCCCAACTTCCTCACTCAATAATTGACATTGGGCACTGACTACTCCATACCTAACTACCATGCAGGTAATATTTTGTTTGTCCACTAAGATATCTTGCATGAAACTGCAACCCTATACCCGGCCGCTAGGCTAGGGCGACAGACTGTTGCCAGGCAACCGGCATCTCCCTGATTGGACCATATTTTCTCGTGGGACAACACGCTTGCTTTCTACATCTCTCTTCCCTGACCCAGACGCGATAGTCTCAAGTTTTGGACTTGTCTTGCATTTCAAGCAATGGAAATAATAATCGGCGCGTAGCAAATAATTTACCTTCACACAAACTCGATCATCAACGACCCTTCGTACCTCCGTTCATTACACGCCTGAACGCGCCCAACCTCCTCCAGCACAACATCGATATGGCGACAGCGTCGCCCACACCAATCGGCAATGGCCTCGTCCGAAGGACTTCTTCGAGGCAAGCCATTAGGAGACTTCCCTCGAGACCGACCGTAAACCACACCGACAGTTTCCAGGCGCCTGCAAATCAGTCACTATCAAAGGGCTACAATCTGAAGCCCCAGCAATTTCACGACGACAGCTCTGAGGATGAGATCCCAGTACCTATGAAGCTCAGTGCTCTCACCAAGGCGCTCCTCAACGATGGCGCTTCCGCATCCACCGAGAGACCTGCCTCACCTCCCCGAACGCGACGACGCACAAGTGCTCTGAACGCGTCAACTTCTTCAAACAGTGAGACACGCCGACACCTAAGATCCGGAAGCGCTCAGGCCCACGACGTAAGATCTTCAAGACAAACTAGCCCAACGCCCGCAACAAGTCGAGAAATAAGTCCTGTGAGAAGAAGAGTTGTTCGACTTAGCAACACACCTCAGAGCCTCAGCCAGATGAAGCCTACTAAGCGACGTTCAACCTCATTATCTCGCTCAACCCAAAGGTCACGCCCTCAAAGCCGCCCTGGAAGCCGCGATATGTCTTCAGACGAGCGACAAGATTCTAAGCACGACTCCAAGGATTCCAAGCATGATTCTCAGTTGGACGTGAACACCCCAGCACAGGGCGGACGCGTTGTACGAATCAATGCCGGCTCTCCCAGCAACAGGAGCCGCCTTGGCTCCACCGGACCTTCGTCAGGAAGATCTATGGAGCGCTCCCTGCTGGATAGGTCTACTATCGAGGACAACGATCAGCCAGAAGAGCCCGCCACAATTGCTCGCAACCCCCCTCCGTTCCACCACGGCAGTGTTTCGCGATACCCATCGACGAGCACAAGGACTAGACCCGAGGACAATGCAAACCTGCAAAGTTCCATGCGCGTCAAGCGCGTCGGCAAGGTTGCTGGTAGCTTTTTGAGTGGACCTGCCCGACGCGGTCGCCGGAGGCAGAGTGAAGAGGATGCCGAAGCAAACGCAGATGGAGATATCATGTCTAGCCAAGAAGCGGAGAGCCAGCCAGCTGAAGATCACCACGGTGCTTCATATTATGGAGACAACATTAGAGACTTCAACTCAGGCAGTCCAGTGAGTGGACAAGCTGCTGCCAGGGCAATTCATCGACGGAACGCTTCCCAAATGGATTTGAGACTAGGCTCTGCGCGACCATCTCCCCGGGAAGCATCACCTCGTGAGCCTACACCCGAAGTACAGGTTCCTGAGCCAGAACGCAAGTCTGAAAGGGACGAAGAGATCCACTATAGACTCCCATCCGCTCGTCCAGAGTTGCCCTCGGGTCGTGATCAAGAGAATGATGCTCAAGCGAGCCTCAAGAGGACAAAACCATCTGTTGATGTACTACTAGAGAAGATGCCCAAGCGACCTATGAGCGCCGACCCTGCGCCTGTAAGAACAGTGTCACCAGAAAGAAAGCCACTCGCCTCTATGGCCCGCAACACTCCTCTCCGTCAAGCCCCCCCACCTCCTCCAAAGATGTCTGTCCTTGAGGCGGCGACCGCTACTGCAGGTGCTGCTACAACTACACAAGCAAAACAGCGAAGAAACATCCTACGAGTGAATGGTGTAGCATACACCCGGCTTGATTGTCTTGGCCGAGGTGGCAGTGGAAAGGTGTACCGAGTTGCTGCCGAAAACGGCAAAATGTTTGCTCTCAAGCGTGTTTCTCTTGAGAATGCGGATGACACTACCATCCGAGGTTATCTTGGCGAAATCGACCTGTTGAAGAAGCTTGGCGAAGTAGAGCGGGTTATTAAGTTGTTTGATTGTGAGATGAACACTGAGAAGCAGGTTCTTACCTTGGTATGTTTGTATTCACACATACTACGAATTACTTACTGACCGGTCACAGCTTATGGAGATTGGTGAGCTGGACTTTAATACCTTTTTGAGAAAGCGGTATAACCCCGAAGCCGCAAAGTTCGATCCTGTTTTTGTTCGATTCTACTGGAAGGAGATGCTTGAGTGTCTGCAGGCAGTTCATCAGTGTGACATTGTCCACTCTGATCTTAAGCCTGCCAACTTTGTGCTTGTCAAGGGTCAACTCAAGCTTATCGACTTCGGCATTGCCAATGCCATTCAAACGGATGAGACTGTCAACGTCCACCGCGAGAATCAAGTCGGAACACCCAACTACATGTCTCCCGAGTCGCTTATGGACTCTAACAACCCTCGAGGAGGTCGTGCCCCCGGACGACCCAAGTTGATGAAGTTGGGCAAGCCCAGCGATATATGGTCTCTGGCCTGCATCCTGTACCAAATGGTTTACGGCCTACCCCCCTTTGGTCACATCGCCAACCAGATGTCAAGGTGCCAGGCCATTATTAACTGGGAGCACGATATCGAGTTCCCTTCACGCGGTATGGGAGGCATGTCCGTTCCTCCTTCGCTCATTCGAACTATGAGACGCTGTCTGAACCGCGACCACCACATGCGCCCGACGTGTGAGGAGCTATTGCACGAGACCGACCCCTTCCTGTACCCTGCCGAGCTCACCGACAAGGCCCTCCCCATCGACGAGGAGCTGCTTGGTAGAATCATTCAGAGCGTGGTGACAAGGTGCCGCGACCGGATGCCAACAGAGGCCGAGAGTTTGAGCGTCTGGCCACAGGCTTATTGGGCCAGTGTTAAGAAAGCTATGGCCGGCAGAATGTGACAGAAGGATGAATCATGCATAATGTTGGAGTTGTCGAGGCGCTATTGCTCGCTGGATAAATGAGTTTATGACCAATTTGAACGGATTAGAGAAAGAGCATTTCTAGCTCGGTGTTGGGGAGTATCGTTCTTGTCTTTAGCTGCACAGCTTCATACCTACTTTTGTACCCCAAGCGCGGGGATTCTTATCATAATAAGGAAAGGCTCTTAGTAGTCAATGGCGTCTGGATCGAACCGCGCATTTCGGCGGGTGCTGAATATAATCGTTTTGGCGACATCAAAAACTTGAATTCTTTTTTGGACTTTGTAAATGTGCTGTATTATTGTACAGCCAGCTTCATGCTGGTAATGGTACATCGTTTCGAAGCACTTTCCTATTTTGTACATATGTATCAACATTTTTCAGTCGAAATCCTCATCCATCATACGTTCATCCCGCATCTCATTCGATATCCTCCACATTGTTGATGTTGAGCTCTGCAATCCGTAAAATTGTGTACCGATGCTTGCTCTTGGCCTGCCTCATTCTTCGCTGCCTCCGCTTCTTCTTGATCTTAATTCGTAGGGGCTCAGATTCCGTTCCAACTACAATGGCCCTGCACTCAAAAACCCGCTCGTCGATATGCGGAGCGCCCTTCATGGTAAAGTCTCTGCTACCGAGGATGCTTGCACGGTTGAGTCTTAGCACATCACCGGGCTGAACGCCAGGCATGCGGAAAGGCAGGCGGACCTGATCGCCCTCGCGGACAAGGTAAGGGAAACCATGGACGTGAACGGTGATATAGTGGTCCGGTTGAGCCGCAAGGAATGGCAGAAGGTTCTTGACGGACTCGTCCATGGGCTTTGGAGGTGGGGTAGGATGGCTGACTTTGAAGGCGAGAGGCCGAGGCTCATGGACCGTAGGATTGGCGGCATTATTGGGGTGACGCTCAGGGAACGGCTCGACGATGGGAGTTGTGGTGTTGAAGGCTCGTGCTCGAATTGGCAATAGAGATGAGGGGGCTGAGAGTCGGGCGCTGGGAGCTCGAAGCTCTAGCATGGAGCGGAAAAGTGCCCTGCTCATTCTGGACCGTAGTGCCGTTCGGGCGTAGGCACTATTGCTGGTCAATTGGACGTTATATTGGGCTTCCGGCCTTCAAGTCGTTGGATACTATCTCAAAAAAGTTCAAGGCGCAGGTTCATGGGTCGTGCCGGAAGAGAGTAGTGCCGAACGCCGAAAGGTCCCTGTGTTGGTACCAGCGCCGCCTCCCGATAAACCGCGGCTTTTTTTTTATCGCAAGGGAAATTTCAGCATCAACTCCCCGCCAGAATAATCAAGTCCCTACCTGGGCGATACCGACAACATGGTACGCATTGAACTTATTTGATGGAGCAATCAATCGCTAACTCCCTTACAGCCTCAGAACGAGTATATGGAAAGATGGCGTAAGCTGCACGGCCGCCGTCTCGATCATGAAGAGCGAGTTCGCAAGCGTACCGCCCGTGAGGGCCACAAGGCCTCGCAGGATGCTCAGAACCTGCGCGGTCTCCGGGCTAAGCTGTACCAGCAGAAGCGACACAAGGAGAAGATCCAGATGAAGAAGACCATTAAGGCGCACGAGGAGCGCAACGTCAAGACCGCGGACGAGAAGGATCCCACGACGCCCATGCCCTCTTACCTTCTGGACCGTACAAACCCCTCGACTGCCAAGGCTCTCAGCAGCGCCATCAAGAACAAGCGAGCCGAGAAGGCGGCCAAGTTCGCCGTCCCTCTGCCCAAGGTCCGTGGTATCAGCGAGGAGGAGATGTTCTCCGTCGTCAAGACCGGAAAGAAGGTCCAGAAGAAGGCCTGGAAGCGCATGGTCACTAAGCCCACCTTTGTCGGACCCGACTTTACTCGACGCAACCCCAAGCACGAGCGCTTCATCCGACCCATGGGTCTCCGTTACAAGAAGGCCAACGTCACACACCCCGAGCTTGGCGTTACCGTTCAGCTGCCCATCATCAGTGTCAAGAAGAACCCCCAGAACCCTCTCTACACCCAGCTGGGTGTTTTGACCAAGGGTACCGTCATCGAGGTCAACGTCAGCGAACTCGGTCTCGTCACCGCTGGTGGAAAGGTTGTCTGGGGTCGCTACGCCCAGGTGACCAACAACCCGGAGAATGAGGGCTGCATCAACAGTGTCCTCCTGGTGTAATGTGCTCAACAGCATCCAAGCATATCGTTGAGAGGAAGGGTTGGTTTGTCAAAGTTGGAATGCATGTATTGGCGCCAGGGCGTTTTTTGGGTTACCACGCGAAAAAGAAAAGCCATGATGGTAGATGGTTGGTAAAACGGGTTGATTGTCGACTGAAGATTCCCAGTTGTGATGAAGAAGACTCACTCGAGTTATGGGCCGCGCTCTGTTATTATCAGAACTTGACATTGGCCGTAGATAGACATGAATACAAGAACCAACGATTGCTTCTGGTATGAATTCTTGCATAGACAAGTACTTGTCATGACATACGTTTCGTTTATGCTGAACATAAAGATAATAGTTCGTTCTTCAATATTGATTGCAATATTCGAGTTGGTTCATATATATCTTGGACAAGTGAGATATGGTCGTACCTATCCAACCATCAGTTTTCTTTAGACAAAATCACTCTTGTCTCTTGTACCCTTTACTCTCTCGGCACTTATCTCTATCCCCTGTGTACTATCTCATGGTGAGAGCAGCCGTGAAGTGGGCATCAAATATTAGGTGCAAATTGGACATGGACAAGAATTAAGCCCATTGGAGTTTTCTCACTTTACATGTCTTAATCGGAAGAATGGCACTACAATACAATTGCCGGGCTGTATATCCATGGTTACTTAACTCTCCAGCAGGACTTTACTGGCCATTCCAACCACAATATTGACCTTGTTTCAAACATCGCTATATTTTCCAGCCTCTGAATATTTTGACCAATGTTTCTCATGGCGCGGCGTTGTAGTATTCGGGTGTCTCCAATGGGCTTGGTGCCATACCATGACAACCGCCGAGCTCCGAAGTGCCGAAATGACATATTGTTGATGCATGAACCGGTTCTCGTCCTCTAGAACTTCACTCAAGGTAAATTCTTTCCCACCTCTTCTCTAAATATTAAAATATTCTAAATAGTTCTTTTAAGGGTTGAAGATACTAAAATCCCCAACCTATTGAGTCGCGTATGTAGTATTATCAGCCATGTATGTAATATGTAAACAAAATATGTCCCAAGATAAGCTTAAGTTTTCAACGGTACTCCATTCACAACTCTTGGCGCCACATCATATTGTGATGTTCTGGGTGCAGATGATCTCTTGGACTATCTACATTCTTCGCCAGTACCGTCGCTCGCAGAGTTGTGTCAGTGTCTTGCCTACATTTCTAGACCAGAGTCTCTTGTAACCCGAACCTTTAACTTTGCGTCAAGAAGAGGCGAGTATTTACCTGTTGTGAGCAAGTCTGTATATAAGCAAGGTAGCCGGCATGTATGTATTACTGGAAGGAAAGAGGCAAGGCAAGACAGGAAATGGGCATGCTGTAAGGAATGGTACAGACAGTATGAAGAAGGAGTTGGAGAAAAATGCGTTAGGCGCATGGCCTATTGGCAGATAGATACCTCAATAAGCAAAAAAAGTGTATTGAGGAATTGCCACATTTGACTATTCCCGCCATGACTTATACAGGCTGTGCGCACACCCTACAAACAGTGTCATAACCAGCAGCCAGTGACATAGCGTGACGGACAAAGCATTTACAAGATGGAAAGATGTATCAATCGTCGTCACGACCAGCAAGAAATAAGGGAATTACCAACGACGGGGTTCGAACCCGCGCACATTACTGTAGCAGAATCCTAGTAAAGATACTTAAGTCTGCCGCCTTAACCACTCGGCCACGTTGGTTGAGATGTGAACGTTAAGCTGGCCAGAAACACGTAGTTATACACAGCGCCGCACCGTTCATGGTCTGTACTACCCACTTTCAGCTACATCTTTTCTCTTCTTCTAGGTAGGCTAAACCAGAAGCTCTCTTTGGTGCTAGGGAAAAAAAAAGAAAGGGTCCTCTTGTCCGCCTTATTCAGAGAAAAAAAGTTTTGGCGGTGACGCCGCTTAAATTATTTTCTGCCCGAGCTAGCAAAATCGCAGCCGTCTGTGGCTCCCCGTCCCCAGTCTCGCCCGCCGAATCTGTAGTCTATGCTCCGTTTTGCGACGCTTTCTTTTTTCCTCTTTGCTACCTACTACTACTGCTACTACCTCTCTTCTTTTTTTCTTCTTCCTCTAACATCTAGCAATACGCTTCATTCCCTCCTATCAAAAACCCCAGATACCCTCCATAATCTTTTCAAGATGAGCGGCGACAAGATGGACGTCGAGATTGCGGAGCAGAAGATGAACTCCATGGAGCACAGCGAGCAGCATTACTTCAAGAGGTCAGTTTCAACGACTGCAGACAAGACAAGTTATTGTATACTAATGCGCTTTTCAATACAGCTACGATCACCATGGTACGAATAAAACACGTCTACTTCTTCGTTGAAGCTATACCGCATATTTAAGAACCTGTCACTAACGTATTATTTCCTTCTCTGTGATAGGTATCCACGAAGAGATGTTGGTATGAGCTCCCCTCCCCCACCAGCCCTTGCGCTTCAGTATTGAGCACTTGCTGACCAGGTTATTGCCATGACTGCAGAAAGATGAGGTTCGCACACGATCATACATGAACGCTATCATGCAGAACAAGCACATTTTCAAGGACAAGGTCGTTCTCGATGTCGGCTGTGGTACCGCCATTCTCTCCATGTACGTACGAAACGAGACCCTCCCCAAAAAAATGCCCCTCGTTTTGCCCCGCGGTTGCAAGGGGACTTTCCACAGCGCAATGCGCGCCATTCTCATTTACCTTAGAGGGCCGAGAAAGATTCCATTGAACATCAATTAATAAATCTTGAAACAGGTTCGCCGCCAAGGCCGGTGCTAAGCATGTTATCGGTGTGGACATGTCCACCATCATCTTCAAGGCTCGTGAGATCGTCAAGGTCAACGGTCTCTCCGACAAGATCACCCTTCTCCAGGGCAAGATGGAGGAGGTCGAGCTTCCCTTCCCCAAGGTTGATATTATCATCTCCGAATGGATGGGATACTTCCTTCTCTACGAGTCCATGCTCGACACCGTTCTCTACGCCCGTGACACCTACCTTAACAAGGACGGTCTCATCTTCCCCGACAAGGCCACCATTTTCTTTGCCGGTATCGAGGATGGCGACTACAAGGAGGACAAGATTGAGTGTGAGTAATTTCTGCACCATGACCTAACCCGCCTAACTGACACATTTTCCAGTCTGGAACGATGTTTACGGCTTTGACTACACCCCTCTTAAGGCCACCGCTCTCTCTGAGCCCCTCGTCGACACCGTCGAGGTCAAGGCTGCTGTCACCGAGCCCACCGCCGTTCTGACTCTCGATCTCTACACCTGCACCACAGCCGACCTGGCCTTCCAGTCAAAGTTCAAGCTTAACGCTACACGCGACGACTTCATCCACGCTCTCGTCTCATGGTTCGACATTGACTTCACCGCCTGCCACAAGCCCATCCGCTTCTCAACTGGACCCCACACCAAGTACACCCACTGGAAGCAGACCGTCTTCTACCTCGAGGATGTCCTCACCGTCCAGCAGGGCGAGTCAGTCGAGCTTGACCTCGACGTCCGCCCCAACAACAAGAACCGACGTGATCTTGATATCAAGATCTCTTACGAGCTGGAGACCCCGGATGCTAACCGCTCTGCCAAGGGTGCTCTTGAATACCGCATGTGCTAGAGGCCTTCTTTAAGTTCATGCCTACTTGTTGCTAATGACGACACGAATACAAAAAAACAACCCCGCTTCAAGGATTTAAGAAAACCTTGAGGGGGTAAGGGGAGTAGATACTTGTGGAAACTTGGGAAATGTGTACAAGGCGGACGGCGTCTCTTGCATCTTACACGGGATAAGCATTGTTAGATATAAACAAAGAGAAAGAAAAACAACATGACCGCGAGGGATGATGTGGTTGATTGACGACCCGTTATGAGTGATACCACAAAGAACAGCACTCCGGAGCTACCTAGTCAATAGATCTTTTGCTTCAATTATGGCGTATTTCATCAACTATTTTTTCGACTGTGATTTTTTGTTATTTGTTCACCTGGTAAGGGAAAGACATGTCGCAAGATAAAGTCATTCATTGATTAATCAAAGTAAGAGAGAAACTTTCATTCATCGTTAAATCGGGTTGAGTATATCGCTTCCTATCCCGAGGCTAAATCCTGAGCTGGGTTGATAACCTATTTTCTTTTGGAAACCTATTTTCTTTTGGAAACCTATTTTCTTTTGGAAACCTATTTTCTTTTGGAAACCTATTTTCTTTTGGAAACCTATTTTCTTTTGGAAACCTCTTCTCGTTTCCTTTTCCCCTCCTTCTCAGACACGCACTTCCCCACAAGTCCTGTGCTGGGCATGTCTCATCCTGTTTTGATTTTAGATTTATTTTATATAAAGGTAGTTCGTTCAATCAGTTTAGGCCGATAGTCGGGGTATTTCTAAGAACCGAACTGCTTCACGATCTGGGCAACCTTGTTGGCGAGCTCATCAGCCTCAGAGCGAGTGGCAGCCTCGGCATAGACACGGCAAGCGTTCTCAGTACCACTGGCACGAGCAAAGGAGCGGGCGCTGGTGTACTTCTTGACACACTGGTCGATCTCGTCCTGAGCACCCACGGGGTGGCTGAGGCGACGCTCGGCATCGGTGGTCTTGAAGAGATCCTTGTCACCGACCTCGACACGGACGAGACGGTTGGGGAGGTCATTGTAGGTCATGGCCCAATCCTTAAGAGTCCATCCCTTGTGGGCGAGAATGACTTCCACCATGAGCATGTCCGAGATGGCGTCACCAACGGTCTGGTTGATGAGATCGCTGACAGCAGCGAGGGTCTCAAGGGCATCCTTCTGAGCGGGGGATTGAGGTTCGGTCTCACGGAAAGCACGGATAGCCTCCTGTGAAAAGACAACGGTACCGTGGCCGTTGGCCTCGAAGTAAACACCAACGTCGAACTGGCAAGCAGCGTGGTGCAAGTGCTTCACGCCGGTGGGAGTGAAGACAACGGGGAGCTGGAGGTGCTTCTCGATGTAGTTGGTGCTGGCACCGTTGGCATAAGCAGTCTGAACAACGCCGATGCGGAGGTCATCGGCAAGGCCAGCAGAGCGAACAAGGTCGCCAATGAAAGAGGCATTGAGCGAAGAAATGCGGTCGCCATCGAGCATGAAGAAACCGGTATCGGGGTCGATCCAGTAGTAGATCAGACGGTCAGCATCACCATCGAGAGAGCAGCATCGAGCGCCAGGAACAGGCTTGGGGCTAGGGGGAGCTCGCTGCTTGGTCTTGACAAAGTCGGCTCCAGACTGAGGGGAATATGGTCAGTTCGTGTGATTGGGTCAGGGGAGTTTGGGATAGACTTACATCCAGGTTGAGAACCTCGGGGCGGAGGACATCGTCATTGACAACCTTGACGTCAATGTTTCCTTGAGGTAAGACCTTGAGGAACTCTGACAGCTTAGGGCCTCCAACACCGTTGGCGCAATCCACGATGAGCTGTCCCTGGGGCTTGCGGCCGCGAAGAGCACGAGTAAAAGCCTCAGACATCTTCTCGTAGTAACCCTGCTCGCTGACCTTGCCGTAAGCCTTGGGAGTGCCCTCGGTGTTAACACAACGGACTAGGTAGTGAAGCTGGGGTGTGGTAAGGATCTTGTAGTCGGTGTACTCGGTGTTTGTGGCCTCGAAAGCATCGGCGAGAGCAGCAACGAGGGAGTGGCCGGAGGGACGGGTGTCACGACCGTAGACGACGCGGGCGGGAGCAGAGAGGTCAATCTTGAGCTTAGAAGCCAGAGCCTTGTAGTTGTCGAGAAGCTCCTGGTCAGAAGGAGAGTTGACGAGCTTGGTAGCATGGGCCTCCCACTCTTGCTCAAGCATCTCACCCATGGGGTCAACGATCTTGACACCATTGTCGATGGCGGGGTTGTGACTGGCAGTGATCATGACACCAATAGCCTGGCCATTGAGCTTGCGGCTTCGCAGACCGGACAGGAGACCAACACGGAACGAGACACCATCGAGAAGGTCGGCCTTCATACGGAAACCAGCAGTGCCGTAGTTGTAGACATGGTTAGGCACGATAGGGTGCTTTGCCGAAGCGGCGAGGATCTGTTCGTCGGACATTCTACGTATTCTTCTTTGCGGGAGAAATCAACGAAGTAATAGCAGTGAATGAGATGAAGAAAGAAGAGACAAGACACGGACGCTGGGAAAGATGGAGCTCCGGATTCCTTTTGAAACAAATGGAATCGAGGCCTCCGCAGTGACGAGGCGGGGGACTTTCCTCAGGGCACCTCAGCGATGGATACGAGGGGCAGCTGGTCCCCGACCTTCAGGTCACCAACAGCCCACCTACATGAAGAAACAGTGCTTACTACAAGGGTCTACAGTGATTTCTACTCACCAACAGCCTCAATGCAAACCAGCCACTGCACGTTTACTTGAGATTAGCTGAGCCGAGTTTGACTCAAAGCAGGGTGCTTAGCCTTTTGACGAGGCTATGAGAATGTCTCTAGCGGTCAAAATACTTTTTATACCGCCTCAATCGAGTGGATTCTTTACGGCCTGGTATAAACAGAAGCACACCTAGCGACCAACATCATGGATGCCCCGCTTCATAGAGCTAAGACGTTGTAGCGCAGGTGGGAGCTCAAGCTGCTTTAATTGGGTGGATATCCTACAGCGCCTTACCCGCCAGGAATGAACCGTTGGCGCAAAGACCTCACGTCAGCTGTGAGTCTACAAGCACTATCGGATAAGAATATTAAAGAAAACTATCTGTGAAGTTCAAGTTGCATACAAGTCTCCATAAAGCTCTCTTTAATGACTGAAAGTGTTTGTATAATTATATCCCATTATACTAAATATTCTAGTAAAGTCCTAGAACTATGCATTTTACGTCTATTGTTTTATTTTTACCAAAAGGTCACCTAGCGTACTCCGTAGGTGAGCCATCAATCAAGGGTTCACACTTTCCCCTCACCGCCCAGGCACAGTCGCTGTCTTGCTTTGTTAAGTTTGCACGTGACTTCGTGTCAGATCTCTCCCCTGCCATTTGCAACGCGAAGCACCTGTCGCGTCTCACCCTTGAACGACAGGCACAATTTCTTGAGACCCGGACTGAGCAGTGCGCTGCTCGTCATCGCCAGTTACCGTCTTTTCCCTCATCTCCCAGAAACCCACGCCCTGTGCGCTTTCACTGTCGCTTCATTCGTGGTGACGACATGAGCGACGCCGACTCTGCTAACCCCCAGTTGCTGGCGTGGGTAAAAGAGTGGCTCGACCAGGCTCGCGAACGCAATTCTAAAGGCGTTACTACTTACAGGCAAGCATATAACTCGCTGAAGGCATGTCCAATTACGTTTGAGCACCCTGCACAGTTGCAGCAGCTCAAAGGTTTTGGTCCCAAACTCTGCGAACGCCTCGAACAACAGTTAAAAAAACACTGCGAGCAAAATGGACTACCTATGCCTCCACACCCTAGGTCCCGTAAGGCGGCACCAGCCGTTGGAGACGATAACGGTGAGGGCTCTTCGAAGCCCGCAAAGAAGGCACGTAAATCAAAAGCCTATGTCCCTGCTCTTCGGTCTGGAGCCTTCGCCTTAGTAATCGGCCTTGCGACCCAGGATGAAGCCTCTTCTGTTGGAATGACAAAGGCGGAACTCGTTGAAGTTGCGCAACCACATTGCGACGCATCCTTCTCAGCACCTAGCGACCCTACCAAATTTTACACTGCCTGGAACTCGATGAAAACCCTATTGCAGAAGGAACTGGTGTACGAAAGGGGCCGCCCGTTACGGAGATATGCTTTAACTGACGAAGGGTGGGAAGTTGTAAAGCGCATAAAAGAAACGGACCATTGGCAAGCCGAAATTGGCAGGGTTAAGGATCCAGTCTCAGCGCAAACCGTTGTTCCAAACTTCCAGCCTACTGCCGCTCCGAGGGCAAGGTCGCCTTCTATCGAAATATCTGAACCTGCGAAAGCTCCGTCAGAATATCAAAATATCGTATCCGATGGCCCAACATTATTAGACGACGCATCTTTGCCAAACTTTACACCAATAAAGCTACCGCCTGGATCATTTACTGTTCACCTTGTCCTGGATGTCCGCGAAGTCAGAGCCAAGACTGACCGGGACTATATGCAAGAGGAGCTGGCAAAGCAAGGTGCAAAGCCCATCATGCGTAGTATGGAACTTGGCGACGCCCAATGGATCGCAAAATGCCACGATCCAAATCTCCTCGCGGCACAAGGTGCTGAGGGCGACGAGGTTGTATTGGACTGGATTGTTGAAAGAAAACGCCTAGATGACTTGATTGGGAGCATCAAGGATGGCAGATTTCACGAGCAAAAGTTTCGCTTGCAACGATCGGGTGTAAAGAAAGTGATCTACATCATCGAGGACATTGCAATGGATCCAGAGGTCATATCGAGATACAGCGAAGCTGTCCGATCGGCCATCGCCTCGACACAAGTAGTCAATGGCTACTTTGTCAAGAGAACGGCCAAAATGGACGACACGATCAGATATCTTGCTCGGATGACAACTATGCTGAAGCGGACGTACGAGAGTAAGCCTTTAAATGTCATTCCAACCAAGGTCCTTACGTCTCAGAACTACCTCCCTCTGCTGAAACACCTCAGGGTGTCCGTATCACCAGCATGGTACATTACCTACCCTGCTTTTTCGTCACTTGCATCCAAGTCAGAGTCGATAACTCTGCGCGACGTTTTCTTGAAAATGCTCATGACCATCAAGGGCGTGACAGGAGAGAAAGCGCTTGAGATACAGAAGCGCTGGAAGACTCCATATGATTTCGTCAAGGCCTTTGAGGCTTGTGGGACTGGTGAGCAGGGCTTGAAGCGCAAACGGGACCTGGTCCTAAGTCAGACAAGCCACCTTGTCGGACGAAAGAAGTTTACTAGGCCGCTGAGTACCAAGATCGCCGAAGTCTGGGGTGACGCATGAGGGTTTTGTATGGGTATTAGAGAGAAGACGACTGTATGATAATTGGATTTGAGTTGGAATGCGTAAGGGAACATTCCGAACGTATTGGTATACATGAGGAGTCGGTACAGAAAAGTTCTTGGTTATAGGTATTTGTGTTTAGGTGTTTATGGTGTTGAGTAGGGGTTGCATTATGAGAGCATGGAGGTATCCAGGATGGTAATGATACCCAAATTTTAACGATTAAATCTATCGAATTATTGCTTGTTGTTGAGCTTTTGTGCCACAATCTTCTCGACAATCTTCTCAATAAAGGGGAACGAGGCCACAGCCCCGGGCTCTGAGCCAACGATACCACCGAGAGACTTTTCAGCATACTTGGCCATCATGTCAACCTCAACATTGACAGTGTCACCCTTCTTCTTCTGAGCCACAACAACCCTCTCCTGGGTGTAGGCGATAAGCATGACCTCCCAGTAAGCCTCCTCGTCGTTAACCTTGGTGACAGTCAAGCTGGTACCGTCTAGAGCGACGTAGCCCTTGTACACAATGTACCGCATCATGTCGCGGCGAGTAGGCTGGAAGCGGAACGTCAAGGCATTGCCATCCTGCGTGACAGAGAGGATCTCAGCCGTGGTGTCAACGTGGCCCTGGACAAAGTGGCCACCCATGCGGGTATCAGCACGAACAGCACGCTCAAGGTTGACATTGCTGTTCTCCTTGAGGGAACCGAGGTTGGTGATGCGTAGAGTCTCGGGGGCCACGCCGATGGTGAAAGACTCGGGGGTGAAAGATGTGACGGTGAGGCAGACGCCGTTCACAGAGATGGAGTCACCGTCGTGGCAGTCAGCCAGGAGCTTTGAGCCAGAAGAGATAGAGATGGTCAGAGACGTGCCACCTGTTGAGTCATTGGTGTCGAGGTTGGAGACCACTGTAAGCATGTGAGTAAGTGCGTTTAAGACGTGTATTGCATAGAAGACTGACCGCCCACTTCTTCTACGATTCCGGTGAACATGATGATGTAAGTGCTTTGCTATAGGAGTATACGATGGGTGATATTAGGATTTATATCGAGCACTTTAGTATTCGTAGATATGGGAAGTCTAAAGTCTACGGCGCGATGACAAATGCTTAATGAGGTTGACTAGGTGCTGAATGTTCCATAGTGCCCCACGGATGCCCCGCATGGGGGTGAAAGAAATATTCAGACATAGAAGCGTGCTTGGTTTAGCAGTTTAGTACCAAGACGAAGGGCATATCTACTTTTTAGGGAGTATATAATGAATATTAGGATCTGATGCTTTGCTATGTGAGATGAATGGTATTTTTGTTAAGCTTATTTGACATCTTGTAGATCGTGAACTCATGGATTCACTTGGGAGTAATTTGACTTGTTCTCTCATTGTTGGAATACTTAATATTTACACAGAGCCTTAAAGCCTTAGTTATTATGCTCAAGATTTGCATTGAGGAGAATGGAGTTCGAACGAGAATCCTTCACATGCTTTGGCAAGTTCTGGTATGTCTTTGTAGATATAGAAGGCATATGAATATAGTGACCAGTTACGAGTGTATTTTGTCCACCTCTACCCCTCGGTCTTGACGTGTCCGGGGTTTGGATTGGAGAAAAAGAACAGAGAGAAAGAAGATGCATCTCTTTGAGGATATATAGGATCGACGGCAATAATGATTCGTCTGGCTTGGCGCTTACATCAATTCCCCATTAATCCCATTTTTAATTCTCTTCCATTTACTTACCTACCAAGTTTATACTAGGAGAAACAAGAACAAGACTCGACGACTACCTTCGAATGGGCCGTTATCGATAAGCCCCACCTAAATTTTTCAGTTTCCCACTCAACACCAAGGCACAAGCGTCTGACAGAACAAAGATTGTTCATTAAACAATATCTCAGCCTATTTTCAACTGCCTTTTTCATCGGAAGATCTCACAATAGGCTTCGCACGACATTTGTAAACTTGAATCAGAGCCGCAGTCTGACCAAAAGATCAGCACTACTATCTCTCATCCACCAAACTCTCACATCATAGCATCATGGCGCCCTCAAGGCCTGACACCAAAAAGACAAATCCCGACATTGCGAAACTCCTTGTCGATGCGCAAACTCAGCTCGAGGTCGGAAAACTAGAAGAGGCTGCTACACTTGCCCAGCAAGCCCTTGATGCCACTGGCCAGGGCGGTGACTTTGAGCTCAGTGCTGCCAACCTTCTTGGCACCATTTTCATCGAGTCTGGTGACATTGACGAGGCGCGGGCAGCTTTTGAGCGCGCAGTCTTCCTTGATGAAGATGGTACCATAGATGAGAAAATCGGTGGCGGTCCTGAGAAGTTCCTCCTTCTTGCACAGCTCAGCGAGGAGGGTGGTCTTGACAGTGTACAATGGTATGAGCGTGGTGCGACTGCGCTCCGAAAACAGATTGCCGTGCTGAGTGAGATCCGATCACCAGCCCCTGAGCAAAAGGCCACACTCCAGGAGAAGCAACACAAGCTTGCCGGAGTTCTCTGCGCCGTTGCTGAGGTGTACATGACTGATCTGTCATGGGAACCTGATGCCGAGTCGCGATGTGAAACTCTCATTACCGAGGCTATGCTCCTCGCTCCTGCGGCCCCAGAGACTTGGCAAACAGTTGCAAATGTTCGAATTTCACAGAACCGCGCCAACGAGGCCCAGACAGCTCTGCGCAGGAGTCTCGAGTTATGGCAGAAGCTACCCCCTCAGCATCCTGACGTTCCCGAGTTCCCTACCAGAATTGCTCTGGCTCGCTTGTTGATGGAGACTGAGCTGGAGGAAGAGGCCTTGAGTGTACTGGAACGCCTTGTTACGGAGGATGACTCAAGTGTTGAGGCCTGGTACCTCGGTGGCTGGTGCCTTTACATTTCCGGCGAGAAGCTTAAGACAACTGCATCCAAGCCATGGAATGATGAAGTTAAGGTCAGCGAGGAATGGAAGGGTTTGTGGAAATCATCACGACAGTGGCTTATGCAATGCATGAAGCTGTTCGGGCAGCAGGATTACGAGGATGAGCGACTGGGCGAGCATGCTAAGGAACTCCTCTCAAATATCAACGGTGAGCTGGGCGAGCCGGCCGAGGGCGAAGCCGACGATTGGGAGGATGGCAGCGAGGACGAGGAGGATGCTGAAATGCAGGGTTGATAATTTTATAGGAGGGCAAAGACGGATTGATTAAGAGGGCATTGGAATGGCGTTTGGAAAGAAAAATGGGCATGTCTAGAAAAAGTCTTGTTGTCGCTGGTATATTGTTAAACCGGATGGGTTAACCCCTGAGTCTATACCAGAACCTATGATCCTTAACCCACGACAGCACCCGGCTACTCAAAGCCAATATATGCTGCCTTTCCGTATGTGATATCATCCCTCATGTCATCTCATAGTAGGCTACTTGCCTTTTCGTTGTTATTGTACCCAAGCCCAAACTCCAAGTAATGCACCTTTCATATATACCTTCCTAAGCAGCCTCGACCTTGAGCTTCTCGATACCTTCCACGAGCATATCGTCATCCTCCTCCTCAACCTTGCCAACAAGACCCTTCTCCCAAAGCTGTCTACCCGACATACGAGCAGGCTCCTTGACTTTTGCCTTTTTCAACTCAGCAAGACGATCGTCCTCCTCCTGCTGCCTCTTCTCCTCCATCTCCTTCAGGAAACCCTCGCGCCACTTGATAAACGACTCAGGAGTGACAGCTGTGCCGTGGAACTTTTTGTTCTCTTCCGCCTCAGCGGCACGGGCGACCTCCTCTTGGGCCCTTGTGATAACGTCCTTGCGGTCCTGGACAAGTTGCTCGGCATTGTCCTTCAGCGTAGAGACTATCGCAAAAACCATTGCCATACCGAGGTTTTCTTGGATGGTCTCGTCAAGACTGGCGAGCAGCTGGTCGCGATCGTCGGCGACATTGAAGTGGTCGTGAGGTGCGGCATTGGGAGGAGCGAGAATGTCTAGATGGGGCGGCTTTTCGGGGTAATCTTCTGGATATCTCACTTGGAGAAGCATGGTTGGAGGTTCCTCTTCTTCTTCGCCGGGGATGTCTAGCGCGACTGATACTCTAAACTCTGTATCAGAGATATCTACAAGAAACTGGTAAGACATGAAGCAAGACCCGACTTTCAAGGTGGAGATTTATACCTGTAATCTCATCTGGGAAGATGGACTCGAGCACTTCGCGCTCTTCAACCTGATCTTCTCGTCCCATTTTGACAATTTCTCACGAGGAGCTTTTAAACTGTAAAATGTTGCTTTTTTGATAGAGTCTCTAAATAACGGGAGTGCTCATGAGAATGGGGAGGTATCGAGGCAGCGGGGTGGGTGACTGAATAGGACTAGTCCTGCACTGACCGCCCGGCAGTTTGACGCTGAATTGAAGGCTTACTTACAAGTTCCAGCCTGGAACTTCCAGGGTTGGTTACAGCTCAGTGGCGGCTGTAAAAAATGAACGTCTTCAAGACTGTTAACTTCATTACATGAATAGAACGCAGCATGGATACAAATTTCATTTCTGATATACCCTAGATAACGGTATAAGTTTTCATAACAAATCTAAGAATAAATAGAAATAGACCACATAATCCAATTATTCAAAAACCTACTGGTATGGTTCTAAGATGCGGTCGTTTGGTTCATGTCTCTGAGCCGGTTCATTACTGAGCATTGAGGTATCCTTGCATTTAAAACAGCAAAAGATTTTGATTCCACAAGTCAGCACGTAAGATTTATGAAGCTATTCAATCCGAAATGTTTTAATTAAATGATAAAAACTACTTTTGATCATACCAAACTGTCTTTCGTAATGAAATGACAGAAGATTGCACGTGACGCCCTCGTCCCTGGATTAGAATAGCGGGTCTTCTCTTATCAGTTAGCCAAGCGGCCGAAGTTAGCTTATCGTCAGAAAAAAAAGTTGCGAACTGAACTGCGACTCTGCATCCACCCATTTATCGACCAGATTCCCAAACAATGGCTTCCAAATCCGTAGCTGTTGGCAACAAGCGAAAGTCCGCCCCCGGCGGCAAAGTCAAGACTGATTCCAAGTTCAAGAAGGCTCGACTTGACGAGACCAAGGTTCGAAAACAGCCTGTCAAGAAGCCTCAAGAGGATTCGGAGGACGTTTCAGACGAGGAAGATGGCGGTGCCGATTTGAGCGAGGATGCTCCCCAGAAGTCCTCGAATGGCGCTTCAAATGCAAACTTCGAGCGAGGAGGTATGCTGTCTCTCTATACCACCTGCGCACCCAACCAATGCTAACCGTCTCCCAGGTCAAACTTCGCGCGAATCCCATGCCAAGCAGAAGCAGCTCGCCCAAGAGCGCAAGGCCGCAAAGCCTCTTGCTGACGAACTCCAACGCACAAAGAAGCTGTGGGAGCGACTTCGACGAAAGTCCCACGTTCCCAAGGAGGAGCGACAAACATTGATCGATGAGCTGTTCGCCATCATCACCGGTCGCATCAAGGATTTCGTCCTCAAGCACGATGCCGTGCGAGCTGTTCAAACCGCCATCAAGTACGCTACACCCGAACAGAGGAAGCAGATTGCACGCGAACTGAAGGGCACCTATGCCCAACTTGCCGAGAGTCGATACGCCAAGTTCCTGATTGGAAAGCTTCTGGTCCAGAACGACGAAGAGATCCGAGATATTATCATTCCCGAGTTCTACGGCCGTGTCCGAAAGATGATCAACCACCCTGAGGCTTCATGGATTCTTGACGATGTCTACCGAGGTGTTGCGACAAAGGAACAGAAGGCTAGACTTCTCCGCGAGTGGTACGGTCCTGAGTTTTCTCTCCTGGAACTCACTAAGGATTCGGAGCCCACCGCTGACCTCAAAGTCATCCTTGAGGCTGAGCCCAACAAGCGAACCCACATTATGAGGAGTCTGGTTGATATGATCGGCTCTCTTGTCAATAAGAAAATGACCGGTTTCACCATGCTCCACGACGCCATGTTCCAGTACTTCTCCAGCACCCAGCCCGGCACAGAAGAATTCACCGAGTTCTTTGAGATGGTTAAGGAAGACGAGAGTGGCGATTTGCTCAAGAACATGGCTTTCACTCGCAACGGTGCCAAGCTCAGCTGCTTGCTCCTCGCCCATGGTTCCTCAAAGGACCGAAAGCAGATCCTCAAGACTTACAAGGACACCTTCCTTCTTATGTCCGGCGACGTCTGGGCCCATCTAATCATCCTTACTGCCTACGATGTCATCGATGACACCAAGCTCACTGCAAAGACCATCTTCCCTGAACTTCTCGGCGAGGGTGATAACATTGCTCAGAACGTTGTCGCTACAGCCAACAACCCTTTCGGCAGAACAACAATTCTTTACCTCTTCGAGGGTTTGGCCAAGTCTCTCTTCCCCCCTAGCCAGTCATTCGACGTCGAACTTCTTACCCAGGTCCACGAGATCCGCAAGGAGACAAGTAAGAAGGATGAGGATATTCGACGCAACGAACTTATCACTGCTGTTTCGCCCCAGCTCATCTCCGCCATCGCAGAGGTGGCTTCTCAGCTTACTGCTACCGCCTTCGGCTGCCAGTTTGTCACAGATGTCCTTCTCTCCGGCCTCGGTGACAAGCAGCAGGCTCTGGAGGCCATTGCCCAATCAGCCGGTGGTGACCCTAACCAAGAGCCCGCGGAGGATGACCTCCAGCCTCAAGTTCACATCTCACGGACACCCCACGGTGGTCGTATGCTCAAGTCGCTGATCCAAGGCGGCAAGTACGACAAGGCAACTGGCAAGATCATTCCTGTCGACCCTCCCCTCGAGTTCTCCAACATTCTCTACCCCGTTATCAAGGACTACGTAGTGGACTGGGCCACCAGCCCTAGCTCATTCGTCGTCGTTGGTCTTCTCGAGGCCGGTGATTTCGGTGAGGTGGATGCGCTCAAGAAGGTTCTTAAGAAGAACAAGAAGACCCTGGAGAAGGCTGCGACAGAGGAGACAGCCGAGCAGAAGGCGGCACGTGAGGCCCACGAGGCTGCGCCCAAGGGTGGCAAGAAGGGCAAGAAGAAGGGCGACAAGCCCATTGGTAATGCTGGTAGCAAGCTTCTGTTGGAGAAGTTGTAAGGCGATAGTGGTGAAAGAGATGGGTGTTTTATTTATCATATATCAGGCGTATAAAACTAGGGTGTTTTTGACAATGATATCACGGACTATGATATTACTCCTTGCTTGTCTACCTTGAATACTTTCTTTAGAGTACTGCAATGTCATTCCTGTCATCAATTTCGCAATGCCCGCATCGAAAGTATGGAGAGAGATACTAAAGTGCTGTCTCTGGCATGTAAGGTCAACTGTTCATGTCTAGTAATGGGCCTCGGCTGTAATGGTTTGTGTGACCGTAAGGGGTAACAGAGCCGCGTCTTGAGAGTTACACATAGCTGTAAATTGTTTGTCTGTGTCTGTATATGTACACCGTCAAAGCTCTAGAAATCCGTCTTCTTAGCCGAAGAGACTGTAAGTGCTGCGATGTAGTGGTTGAGTTGTATAATGAGATGCAGCAATATTACATGCTAGGGCCAAGATGCAAATTAGATCTTCTGTATTGACAAACTAGGCTGTCCAGGAGGCTTATGTACTATCTTACCCTGTTTGTTTCATACTGTCTGTTTTGTCTTAGGGGCACAGGAGGGAGCACAGTAGACGTTGAAGTGTACATAGTGGCGTCTTGAGGGGACTGTGTGTGACTATGTCTTGCCGTGGCAGTTAAATGTGCTACTCGATCAGACGTTTCATGTTACCGTTTATGTCAGGGGGGATCTCATGTTCGCTATTAGTCACTTTCTCGAGTTTAAGGGGGATGAGAGCAATAGGTGCTGAAGGTTGTGAACGAAGTTGTTGCGCATATGGTATAGAAGAGTCAGATCCTACCACTAAAGCTTTCAATGCATATTATCATGTTGTCTATCTACCTAGGTAGTTGTGCTAGTATCAGTTACGCGCTGCTTGTTCTGCCTTCTCCTCATGTTCTGCCCGTGATTAAGTGTATTTCGAACCTGTCACACGAGATGCTCTTTTTCAGCAGAACAATAACAACTCGCCAACCCTCAGCATTTACGCTTCAGAGCGATATAGTGCTGTAGTGCTCTGTATTTAAAGCTGGCAGGTAATGAATTTGGTCCTTACTTGAGGCGGCTGTGACAAGGCAAGGAAGGGCATATTTGGCCTGACAGCTGTGGGCAACTGGCAGCTGGCAACTGACAAACTTCCCTCTCTTCCTTCTTCTGGCGTCACCTGCACCAACGCACGTAACGTAACAAACTCCGTTGCTTCATCTACCATCCTTCGTTTTCTATTTCTCTTTCTGTTCTCTCTTCTTTCGTTTGTATCGCCTCACTCTGAAAGACGGCAGCAATATCGTCCGCCTCGACAACTAACAGAACAGCAGATCCTCGCCAGCTCGAGACCTTTTCCTCGGATTCACAGCAGCTGCGAACTATATCAAACAGCTTTCTCGAGGTGGTTGCAAACGCTTTCCTTCTCCAACAAGCAAACCAAACCGTTCAGCAACAAAAGACAAACAACTATATATCTTCTCCTCTTTGACTGGCCGTTTGTGTCCCCCATTTCCTACTATACTCTGCTGTTTGCCAACATGACCAAAATCAAACTGGTTCGATCGGGCAGAGAGTGTGACGCTGACGAGCAATACTACAAATGTAGTTACTTCGACTTCGAATTCCGCGGCTGCTGCTCTCACGATCCATGCATCAAGCCTCGTGGCTGCCGGGACCACGATTCTGTCTTCGTAGACACTAGCCTGTTGGCGTCGTTTTCAACCATCGACATGTCTGATACCGAGACTGCTACATCCGATGCCATTACTACTGAAAGCACTGCTACCGAATCTGCTACCGAGAGCACCACTGCAGACAGGTTTGGCCGCGAAACTACTTTCCTGACTCGAACAAGGCCCAAGGCTATCACCACCATGGACGAGGATAATGAAGAAACATCTTCGACTCTGAAGCGTACAGCGCACTCCAAGACCATGACCGACTCGGGAACTACCCGCACGATTCCCAACTCAAGCCGGGTTACGGTCACTCACATCACGATGGTCCCAACCAGCAAGTTGCCTACAACTTCGAGGGAGGCGCCCCTTACTTTTGTTACCTCGTCTGCCACGGATGAGTTGCTGTACCCAACTGCCTCTTTTGAGAGCACACCTACCGGAATTCCTACCCATACGAGCACCGCGGGCCCTTCCCTCAATGACGACAGCTCTGGTACGCCTCCAATCGGGATCATTGTTGGGGGAGTGGTTGGCGGTGTTGTAGTCCTGGCTCTTGTGATTCTCGCTGTCTTCATGGTCCGCCGTCGAAGACACAACAGGGAACTATGGGTGAACGGCGCAGGGGAATATACCTTTGATGAAAAGGAAGAGAAGAGCTATCTCAGGAGGATGCTGTCCCGAAATACCACTCAGAGAAGCCAAGATCCCTTTGCACCATTTGGAGGTATGTTACCGGGTACACTATCGGACTCATCATCGGACGTTGTCGAATCCTTTCCGAAACGAATGCTAAAGCGCTACAGGGCGTATCGACAGAATAGACGACCCCCTCCGGCCACCCAGTGGTACTTTTGAGATGGATGGCACCAGCACTGTTCCAGTTGAGCTTCCTGCAGTTACTTTCAGCGACGCCAAAGCAAAGGAGTCTCAGCCAGTTGGTCATACGAACGCCACGTCGACAGGGTACTCTACAGTAGCTGGATATGTTGCGCCAACACAATATCCCACAGCGACTGGGAACTCTGTAGACCCCCGTGCCAACCTGAACGCTTCTTTGGAAGATCGTCAACAAAAGCAGTTTGTCAATCACTGGAACCAATATCGAACCCTCGGAGAAAACGTGCGTCAAGGTTAAAAGATTTCAATGAAAGTTTGGAGTGAGGGTTCATGTGCTGTTAGCGCGGGCAATGATAATATCAGAAGCATTTGCTGGCGTTGTGCGGAGAATGGTTTCGCTTTTCTCCCTTTCCTTTTGTACCTGAAATATGATTCGCTAATTGGAGCTCAAATACTACTACGTAGGGTTGAAACATTCCGAAGTGGTGTGCAGATCAAACCCTGAAAAGCCTCCCTATCATCGTGAGTGACATGACAATGATATATAAACCCTCTTCTATTAGGTCAATAATTGCACACATTCGGCAGTTCATACTTCCCGCCTGCGGCCCGCTCCTCGAGGGCTGAATCGGGTGAGATTCCGTTTCTGTTGTATTACACGATGACTTACTTATTGCTTATGGTGGAGAGCTGAAAGTCTTACATCCTTTCTAGGTTACCAGACCATTCGATTCGAGCTTACTATATGCCGAGGGTTCTGTACTTGGTAGTTCGCACCGCCGATACCTTGCAACATGCGCGAATTGGCCAATCTGAGCTGACATTGAACAAGTTGCGCAACGCTCGAGGGCCGTTATCGAGTTTCACCACAACTGCCTCGTCCTCGACATGGACCTATCACGACTGTTGAGTATAGCACAGTGCTCCGCCAAGATGAGGGGTGATGGTTTGTTGAGCCTATCTGGAAGTGCCGACCAAGACACAACAGCATTGTGGCTTCAATTCAGTCTCAGCTGCTGCAGACGCACAGGGAGGAGAATCTGACAGATAACAGGAATTGTCCCGAGTTACCAATATGCAATATGAATATAAAAGCCGTGGGGGTTATGCCATCTTCGCCGCAGTCTTGAACTCTCATTACCAAGTTATCACTCTTCATTTTGCTTGAACTTTTTACCAATATGCCTTCTGAATCCCAGTCATCTCAATGTTTCCTACCTCTAGAGGATGGATCTCACCATGAGGCAAAAGCTGATCCCTCTGCTGCCCCAAAACGTATCATCATCTGCTCTGACGGCACCTGGCAGTCCTCAGTTTCTGGATTGAAGAACATCCCATCCAACGTGACAAGACTCGCCCGCTCCATCGCCCGCAGCAGCAAGGACAAGGACGGAAAGGTCTGGCAGCAGGTAGTATACTACGATGCTGGTATTGGCACTGGAGATCTGGGGCAGGCAGAGGCAAATCGTCAGGGAGGTACAGGCATTGGTTTTGTGGGCAATGTCATCGAAGCATACAACTTCATCGTCCTCAACTACAATCTCGGCGATGAGATCTTTTGCTTTGGCTTCTCGCGTGGAGCTTATACAGCTCGTGCGGTGGCAGGTCTCGTCACCGACATTGGCATCGTCTGCCCCAGCGACCTGCAAGATTTCCCAGATCTTTATGCCCTGTACCAGAAGAACCCAGATGGTTTGAAATTTCGCAAGTCGCAGGCTTATATGGAATGGGTCAACGGCGTGCCATCCAAGAAGCAAGCCAACGGAGGATCCCAGATTCAGTCCCAGTGGGATAGCCCTCCCCACCACGATGCCCCTGAGGAATCGAGAATCATAAAGGTTGTTGGTGTATTTGATACAGTTGGTAGTCTGGGTATCCCCGATTTGCCGTGGACACGCTTCAATCTCAAGTTTCTCGAAAAGGCCGTTGGGATTAGTGAGCCTGGCTTTCACAACATCCATCTCAGCCCTTGTAAGTTGTCAAAATAAAAGCAAATACATACAAAGCTAACATCCCTCAGATATTCAACATGCTTATCATGCATTGGCTCTTGACGAGCACAGAGGGCCCTTCTCGCCCAGTCTTTGGCATCTCCCAGACAACAACAAAGACCAACGCTCCTCAACCCCTGACAAGGACTGCAAACAGCTTTGGTCTGACTGGGAGAAAGTTCGCAAGGATTCCAATGCTAGCAAAAATGACATACAAGAGGCTTGGGGTGCTGTGGTAGATGGCGAGATGCATCAACATCTTCGTGATAGCAGATCAGAGTTGCTGCAGGTGTGGTTCCCAGGTGTGCATATCAATATTGGAGGAGGGAATGATGACCTACTCACCGAGAAGAAGAGCGACTTTGAGCGTAAGTCCACAGTTGTACTGATAAATCGAGTGTGTACTAACAAAGGTAGAAATTGCACTCATCTCATTCGCCTGGATGTGCGAGCAAGTCGCCCCCTATCTTCAACTTATCAAAGACGGCAACTTGGGTGATCTAGGCAAATCAGCAGTCCAAGACCGCCTCAATCTTCTCAAACCCCTCTTGACCAACATCCAAAGCGGAAGCGAGAAGGATTTTGGCCCTGGCATACTCACCAGCCGCATCGCAGCCTCCCTAGACCGCACAGGCATAAGGAAAGCAGACGTAAGAAAGGTTCCCGAGGAGACGATCAGCGGCTGGGCCACAGGTCCCATCGTCGACAGCTTCACCGGTGCAATGATAGCCAGCGGCTCTGTCGACAGGTTGCCCGGTAACTACAGCAAGGACGACAAAGGCAAGGAGCTGGGTAGTACGTACGAGATGATCCATCCGTGTGTCAAATACCGCATAGACAAGATCTCGAGTTACAAGCCCAAGGCTCTGCGAGGATTCGAGAGAACTGCCAAGAGCGGCCAGGGGTATGTGTGGAAGAAGGGCAGTGTTGAGATTCCTGAGTTTGTGATCAAAGCTGGAGATGCCTTCTCGAGACATGTTGCGGAGCAGGATCGCAGTGCTGGTGGTAATGCGGTGGACTTTCTCAAGTCGATTGACAAAGTTTTGGGTTGAGCTTTGCAGTGTTGGTTGGTTTTTGTAACGATGATATGCTTGCTGTTCGAGTGTTAAAGGAGTGATCAGTAGAAGCTGCCAGTTGCAACAGTCCGCTCACTTTTGTGCATGTACTCAGCTAGAGACTGAACGATGAACGAAGCTTACAGTGTAGCTCTAAATCAGAGCTCGTATGCTGCATATATGCTCTCGGCGAAGCAAAATACATCCATTAATATCGAAAACTCCTTGATCCACGAGCGAATATCAGCCATTACTCACAATACAAAGCTCTCCCCACCAAGTCTTGAAGCAAATCGGTTTATTAGTCTTTGTCATAAACATAAATAATACAAGAAAAATCGATTGCCCTCAAAATTGCCTGGCATTGAATGAACCATGCGAGGCCATCCCTGCTGGATATTTGCGGTAACAATCGGTATATGATTCTCTTATACAATATGCGGTGTCCCCTTTTTCCCGCTATGCGCCTCAAATGCAAAAGTCGTCATCCTTAGGAGTCACGTCTCCAATTCCCAAGTTTTCTGTTTATCTTCGAAATGAATATTTGTGTCAACCACCCGCAAAACAAGCCAATCTGTAAAGCTACGCCATTTGTTTGAAAGAAAAGCCATGTCGAATCTCGATATTGAATAACTGCTTCACCTGTTCTGAAGCTTGGAGATCTCGTCAAGGAGATCCTGGAGGTCCTGATCCGAGATCTTGTCGGCTAGTGAAGGAATGAGAGTCTTGGCCTCGTCCGATCCTTCGCAGCACAGGGAACCTAGAGGTTGTAGTTTAGTACTTTGATACACCAGCAGATTAAGTGTCTTTAGGGAACCCCCGTACCTAGCTGTGCGCGCTCAAACTTGGCAAGATTCTTGTGCGCACTGAGAAGGCGCTCGACAGCTTCTACGTTCTCCTTTTGTGTGAATCGCGCAAAGTTGTCGAGGTATGTAAGGGTTGAGTTCAACATTCTGTAGACAGTCAGCCTCTCCGCGCGCGATCTGGGGGTACGTGGTGGTTATTTACTCGGTGTTGTTGACATTTCTACGATCGTTCTTTCGCTTGGCGTGCAGGGCGTTTAGAACCAAAGCAGCCTCAGAGAGCGTCAAGGTGTCGACGTCCTGGAACTCGCCGAGGTTGAGAGTCGCGGTGGCCTCTTCGTTGCCAGCAGCTGGGGGCTTGGGGCGCGAGGTTCGAGGGTGGGTGACCTTCTTGGCCTGGGGAACCACTGTAACTGGTTGATCCTCCATCGCAACGAAAGATGTTTGTAGTGCTGAGGTTGAAAGCTTGGGTATGGTCGCGTGAAGCTCGTGTATTCGTACTCGATGCGCGGGTTGTGGGAGGAAAGAGTCGGTGTGCGAGAAGGTTCGTTGTTTAAATAAAGTAGATGGATATTGAGAGTTGAAAGACGAGCATGGAAGAGTCCAGAGATCGGAGACTGGAGAACAAAGAAATGTACGTACCCCAGCTTAAATTTAGTGGGGCTGTACTGTCCCTAACTCCCTGAACCTTAGGTAGAGAGGGTGTTGCTTGCTTTCGGCGATAGAGTCGCGTGGCGGTCCCCACTGAGCGCAGCTTGTCAATCTGTCAACCCTCGACAAACAAAGAACGAAATTAGAGGCACTCAACAAGCTCCGATAATTGAAAACACTCCCAAGAATTATCGCTTGGCCCAGTAAGTATCATTGAAGGCATTTGTAGTGCATGCTAACTCTGATATTCGTACTCATCTCACCTTCATCTCTCTCACCCTTGTTCATGGTCTCTCCTCTGATATAAATGGACTGGTGAGCCTCAGGGGCATATAGATTTCAACACCAGAATACCCATGATACATAACACAAACAAGACATCATGTAAGATCATTCTCCAACGAGTTGATAGGATTATCACTAACATGAAGCCAGGACCATCTTTGCTCTCATCGTTATCAACAAGGCTGGTGGTTTAGTTTACAACAAGAACTTCCACGAGGGCCTCCAACAAATCACCACAAATGAGTATCTAGTTCTCGCCGGAACATTTCATGGGTAAGCGATCTCTCATAATCACCCACCCTGACCCTTTACCCGTCGAAGCACACAGAACTAACACCACCAGTGTCCATGCCATCACCTCCCGTCTCAACCCAGTCAAGAACCTACCAGGCGCGACACCTCCAGGGAGCAGACCTGAACCCTCGTCAGGCTTAGAGGTTCTCGAGACAGAAAACTTCCGCATGCAGTGCTTCACCACCATGACAGGGACAAAGTTCCTCCTCTTCACCGACACCACACAGGCAAATGTGGATGTCACCATCCGTAAGATTTACGACCTCTACGCGGACTACGTCATGAAGAACCCTTTTTATTCTCTAGAGATGCCCATCAGGTGCGACATCTTTGACCGGAAACTGCTTTCATACATCAGGGAGATCAACAATCGATAGACGGATATTGTATAGATTCACGGAGTAATTGGTGGACAAATGCATGTATCGTAATGGCTTTGCTTTGATCTTCTTATCGTCTAAAACCCCCCTTAGCCTGTGTCTATTGTACAGTTACTGCAATCTTGACAAAGCTGGACCAAATTCTACTATGAAGTGTCCATCTTGTCTCCGTCGCCTTTCTTACCGCCCTTATCTTGGTCTTTGCTGCTTGATCCCTTGCTCTCATCTTCCTCCTTGACGTCACCGAGGGACGCCTTCTTAGCAGCTTCCTCTTCCTCGCGAGCAGCCTTCTCCTGCCGGGCCTTTTCTTCTTCCATACTCATGCGCAGAGCGAGTGCGAGCTCGGGCTCCATCGCAGGATCGAATCCAAACTCGAATTCCTCGTTGCTGCCGCCTGTGCCTCCGGCTCCGCCAGATCCGCCAGCATTCTCGCCGAGAAGAATGGGAGTCGAAATGAGTTGGTCGCTAAGAAGCTTGCTGCTGGGGGGGATGACCACCAAGTGGCAGCCTTCGCTGGTCTTGACGGTGTCGATAAAGAGTTGCAGCTTGTTCTTGGTGCTGTCGTCGTCGAGATCGCCGAACAAAACAAAGTCGACCGAGATGTTGGCCTTCTTCATCTTCTTGGCGAGTGTGGTGAGCTCCTTCTCTGATTCCTCGACGGGGGAGCAGATAAAGACTATTATTCGTTGACGCTGGGATCGGTTTTGGCGATGCTTCAAGGCGAGCTAGGTAAGAGTTAGTATATATCTCAGTACGACGTTCATCACTGTTGACAACTTACTGTGGCAACTTGAATTCCTGTCTTCAAGTGGGAGGAACCTCCAATCTTCTTCTTCGTCCTGTGCAGGCCCTCGAGGATCTTACCCTGCTCAGTGGTGAGAGTTACCAGCACCTCGGGTCCTTTGCCACCCATGCTCATCAATCCGACAGAGGACTCAGGGTTTCCTTGTGTGATGGTCTGGAAGGTGATATTAACAGCATCCACTTGCGAATCGAATCGGGTTGGTTGGTAGTCGCCATTTCTGCTGCTCTCGCTGTTGTCGACGACAACCATTACCGCCTCGAGAACCATATTGGGTGGTGTTTTATTGCTGCAGGGAGAGTAGATATCGTGTACAGCTGTGGTGTAGTAAGAGCTCGGTGCGTGCGTGGGGAATGTGTAGATGTTGGTGTTGAGCTTTGGTTGGAGGTGAGAAGGCTAGAAGCAAGTGAAGCTCCCAGTGTCGTAAGGCAGTTCAGCCTGGCGGAGTACAGCTCTCCAATGCGCAAGTAGAGCTACTTGGTTGCTGCGGGGATCAGTAAGCACGGCTTAGTACCTCTACCTTCTGTGCGACCGCTGCCAAATGCTTGCGTCAGGGAAGCTAAATCGGCTTACCTAATGCTGTAGACCCACCCACTTTGTTTACTTCCCGACAAGCTCCACCCTAAGCAACGCGCCTGGGGTAGACAATTCAATTGCAACTTCAAACATTCAGCACTTCATTCTCACTATCGTCGATAACAAACAACCATATCGCAACTTCACAGCACATAACGTAATGTCTCCAGTGAGATCGAGAAAAATAAACTCGGACGACCGTCCTTCGTCCCCTACCAAGACCACCATGGCGGAACGAGTCCCTACACAAACTGGAAGCCCTTCAGCGCAACCGCGAAGTCCCATCAGGAAGCGATCACCTGGTGCGATCACGATGCAACAAAAGCAAGCAATGATTGACAACATGCAACTTGAGAGTATGAATACTTTAGCCTGCAACAATACACGCGACTGACCATAGTTAAGTTACCGAACGCGCCCGACGATTAAGGGCTCAGTACAACTACATGGCGACAACTGTTCGCTCCCGTATTGAGATGCGGCTCAACAGAGTTCCCATGTCAATGAGAAATGTCAAGATGGGCGATTTGCTGCAGAAATGTATAGACCAAGAGCAACAACGAGCGGCGAGATCAACTGCTCTCATGAAGCCACCAACAATCAGACGGGGAACAAGCCCAACTAAACAGACTCGACCTGCTGCGCTTGGCTTGAAGCCTCCTCCACAACCGCAGAAGCGCATGAGGTACGTACCAAAACTATGTCATCAAGAATAGGAAGCTAACAAGGCCTCAGCGATGCCATATCAGGGGACAAGGAAAACGACTTGGAGCACACCCAGAATGCCCAGAAGAGGGTTCGGGCAAACACAGACGCGACTCACGTTCGACCAGGGCAAATTTTGTCACCAACTTCATCCAACTCACGTATGGCAAACCAATCACGACCAGCATCACCTACGAAATCCAGTATTGCACGACCAGCTTCGCCGTTGAAGAACTCTACGTCTTCGCGCACAACGACAGCTTCAAATATGCTCTCAAGCATGGTAGACAAGGCCAAGGCCTCCCGAGCTGGGGCTTCACGGAAGTTAACTGCTACCTCAACCACAAGCTCGAGTACTGCTGGCAGCACAGCTGCGACAAGAAACAAACAAGCACCCGGCAACACAGCTTCGCGGGGCCCCGCTTCACGGCCAGCTACACGAACAGGACGTAGATCTATTGCCAACAGCGAGTCCAGCGAGGCAAGCTCTGGGACTGTGATAAGGAAGGGGGCTACATCAAGAAATGGCACAGCTAAGAAGGGAACTACTGGCTCAACGCGCAAGGGTGCCACAACAGGGGCAGTTCGAAAAACAACGACAAAGACTTCAACCGCATCCACAGGTACGGGTACGGGTACGGGGCGAGTATTGCGGAAACGAGCATAAATGAACCTGATGAAAACAATTAAGAAGTGGTTGGTTGGTTGGGTGGTTGGTGTATTGTTCATCTTGGCACACAAGTACTGGCGTTTGGGAACGAAGCGAATCGCGATACACAGGAAAGGGTCTAGGTTACTTGTTAATATTGTTTTGAAGCTGTATATGCCCCATGAGAAGCAAGAGCGCTAGTGTTTATACAGATTACTCTGGGCTTTTCAATCACAAAAGCTGTTTTCGTTTTCGGTATCTAACCCCTAACCTAAGGAGGTGCGGTGGCTCCCTTCTTCTTCTTCTTGTCCTCGACAAGTTCAATGTGATCCTCCGGTATCTGCTTGTACTTCTCAAGCAGGAACTCCTGCAGCTCAATGCTCACATCACCCTGCACAACAATTTCTTCTCCACCGCTAGGAAGCTTCGTGACTGAAGAGCCGGTAGCAAACTTTTTACCAAGATCCTTCGAAACCTGTGACGGTGTTGAGTACACGAATTTTCCATCGAGCAGCTTGGTAAACTCACCTTCTTCAGCTCCAGGTCGAACAACTCGAGTCCTATCACGGCCGTGACGTACTTCTTCTTGTTTCGCTCGATGCGCTTGATCGTGATGACACTCTTGGCTAGCATATCGGCATGCTTGGCCTCGGCGGCCTCGGCCTTTGCGGTCTTCTTCTGGGCGTCCTTCGCCGCTCGTTTCTGAGCTTCCACCGATAGTGATGCGGTAGCAGCTTCAAGGGCCTCTGGAGAAAATCAAATGTTATCGCGAGTCCGCATTAGAAGAATTTGATGATTCGTACCTGGTGACCAGATGCGGCCGTACAGTTCTGGCTCGTTCTTCTCTAGCCATTCTCGACACTTCTTGGCGGTTCCGCCGTACTCGCAATACTACTTGGGCGATTACTCAGTTGGAAGGGTTCTCTCGAGGGGTAATAGGTTGACTCGTAAAGGGGATCGTTACCTCCGGAGGCAGAGTGCAGACTGCATATTAAAGGTACGGTTAGACATATTTGTTCCAATTTTTTGCATCATCGCAAGGGGACGAGTAGGAAGAACTTACCACCACAGTAGGTGACATTGCGGCTCTGAAGCTCGCCCTCGGGCTGTTCTACATCAGCCATGGGATATTTTGAAGCCGTTGATAATGAGGTATGTTATATGTTGGGTCCCCAAGAAAGAGTTTGAAGTAATAACAAAAAATGGTATAGTTGTATGGCGACGCGTTGCTCGGTAAGGGTATGCTCGTGCTAGAATGACCTTCAGCCTATGGCGGGGTAAATTTCATGGAGGGGCACTTGGAGCCTTGTCCTGAGGACTGAAGGTAAAAGATAAAGTTCGGATAAGACAAGGGCTGTGGGGCCGTGCGGATGCCCGAGCCTGAGCAGCAACACCAACAATTTGACATTATCCTCCATCTTAACTTTTATATAGATCTGTCTGACTGAGATGTCAAATATCATCCAACTATTGTTTGTTCCTGTAGAGGAGCGCAATAGGGATGATCATTCCAAGTTCAGATAGATAACATCAACCTAGAATGGAAGAGTCTGCATCAATATCCTATGTATGCGTGCTACCCTATATACGTCAAGGGTAGATGAAGAAAATATAATCTTATATCCCATATTCTTATAAATTCATTAGTTTATGGGAACGACTATATGTGTCGTATACGTGTTTAATTGGTTAAAGTTTAGTCATTGTGTGCGACTTCTATTGTCCTGATTATGTTGAATTTTGTCTGACCTTGCAAGACGTTATTTTCATTGTTGACAATCAAAAGATTTAGAGCACCTAGGGTTGATAATGTGTGTGCTGGAAGTATTTGCAAAGTATGGATTCGTTAGGCATTTGGTAGGAAATTAAACTTCAAGACGATATTTGCCTAGAACCTGCCAGCAGTAGAGGTATGCTTTGTAAATCGAGTAACTTAGTGGGAATATCCTGGTGTGGTTTTCAACTACCAGACCTCTGCAGGTCAACAACTTTGCTTGTAACCCACGATATAGAAGAATGCTTCTGAGGCCAATCATTCGTTTCGACTCTTGCTAAGTATATGATGGACTACGTAACACTTATCATCTTCCAGTTTCAATGGAAAATCGAGTCGCCTTTCGGCGGTTCCCTCATCGCTCAACGTTTGATCCATCAAATGATGGCCTCTAAAAGTGGCCGTCATCATTTCACCATGAACGATGGAAAACCAGTGATCTACCAACACGAGGCTGCGCTAAACCAAGCGACATCCGAGGTGTATGTGGAAACAGCCCGTTTGGGCCGGCTCTGTTGCATGACTTGTATCAATCGGGCGACCTTATGGCCTCTCTTGTTCATGCGAGCAGGCAATGCTATCACAACAGGTTGTTCCGTTGGAGAAGGTTGGGATTTGGTAAAAAACGAAAGACGCAGGCCAAGAGGCAGTTTAGCCGCCGACGAAACAACTAGATTTTGTTTATTGGCCCTGTAGTTATGGCGGTGGACCAATCGTCTTGCACGCCTGTCACCGTTATCACAGCGTTTCGCGCGCGCAACAAGTTTAGCCCCTGTCAATCACTGTCAACCAAAAATAGAAACCCACGATCTTATCTATGATTGGCCAGATTCGCTTATTAGCTGTTCGATAGCGGGGATCAACCGACGTAGCGACCGGGAGCGATGCTACCTCGATGCAACCTCTTCCCGTCTCGTCTACCGCCAACACCAGCTTCACCAGCTTCACATTTGCTCTCGTAGCATTATGCGCCAGTCAGCTTCTTCAACAGCAGCATTGGCGCTCTAAGGGCCCCCGCCTCCGCCACGCTTTTACAGCGGCACACTTACCGTACCATGTCTGACGATGCATCGACCCACATGCAGCTGGGCGTGCTACTGCAAGTGCGTGCCGCCCAACTCACACTCACACCTCATAGTTAGCCGCTCCAGCAGAATATATCCGTGGTTCTCGACCAGTCCTGCGCTTTAAGACTATGATGATCCCCCGGCCAGAAGCCTGGCCTCCTTCTTCCGCATTCTCTTCTTTCCGTCTTCAGCCTTCCGTGCTGTGTCACTTCGCCGATCCGTATTAGAAAGCTTCGTTGACCGAGGCATCCTGTCGTTTTTACGCTACTTAATACTGGCGCAGGCCGTCAATCGACATCTACACTATAACGACTAATACACATAGCTTTGTTGCTGCGTTTAGCCCTCGGGCCAGATCAGATATCGGGTATAACTGACCAAGATACGCAACATGGCTGATACACAAAACCGATACTACCCCCTGGACTCTTCGCTGGCTCGGAAGCACAGGGGGAGACTTAATCCCATAATTGAGGAGGATAGCGATGATGGTATGGCACAGAATGGAGGCCGCAGACGAGGACGTGCCGGCAATGCCCAACTCAAGATCGAGGCCTGGTTAACTCCGATGAGCGATCACTTCCCAACACCAAGAGGAATGCACTACCTCTCAGCTCCAGTTCTCCCATCATCACCTTCAACCGACTCGGCTGCCGATACTTCACCAACCACATCCAGCAACCCCTGGAACCGCCATAGTGTTGGCACCGAGGCTACCGAGTTCGAGGATCTCTACGACGTGACGGATGATGAGAACGAGATGCTCAGGCGGAAGGCGTCTGCTAAGTCGAGGCAGGCCCCGACAAAGCAGCCCACTCCGCTTGTCATCCCAGTGACACGCGATAACTCTGTCGAGACGTGGTCTGCTGTGGATAATATGAAGAAATCAATCACTTCTCCAGTACCTCTGACTCCTTCAGTCAAACTCACCATGTCACCTGCTCAGATGGAATTCATGCACGAGCAACATGCTGCACAAACACCAACCATGTCAGCTCCCCCGTCTTTGGATGGTAGCTTGACCTCTGAGCAGCTTGCAGCCATGAGCGCCCCGCCTACACCCATCATTGGTAATGATGAATCACTTACTGACGATGCTTGGGCTGGTGTTCAACTACAGCCTGGTGCTCTAGCTACGCTCCACGCCCTTGCAAGTGGCGAGGAGAACCTCCACGAGCAGCCATCTCAGGTTCTTGAGATGCCTGAGCAACAGGCTATCCAGCCAACCATGGAGATGCGACAACAGCCACTGCGACTAGTCACCAGCTTTCAGTCGCAGCCCGCCATCGCCATGGCTTTCTCCCCCAACAAGAACCGTCAGTCTCTTGCCGACCTGACCAAGCTTGACATCCCATCTCCCGGTGGTTTCTTCTCCGGCCTGTCTCCCCGAACTCGGAACACATGGCACATGCCCTCCAAGTCCCCCGAGGACATGCCACCACCCACCTCTACCACAGCCGAACAATTCTACCGATGCCCCTGGAACACCGGTGCTTCGGCTCCTCCCGTTCCCAAGCGCAAGGATATTGTCGAGGACTTCTACCGCAACGTTAGATTCACGCCCGCTCCCACTGAGCCCATCGTTGAACAGGTAGTCGAACTCAAGGAGGAGGATGACTTCTCAGATGACATGCCCACTGCTCGACCCGTGTTTGAGCACAAGACTGCTCCTTCCACTGTTGAGTCCGCCGATGCTCCGGCTTCTCCCCAGGCCGAGGTCGTCCCAACTGAGATTGTCGTCGATTATGATCCCGACTATGCTCGCAAGCAACAGAAGGAGGCTCTTTCACACTTTGACCGCACTGAGCTCTGGCTCAATGCTCAGCGATCTTATCTTCGCGGTGTCCAGGACGATTCACCTGAGGATGATGGCGCCCTCAACACCATCACTGAGGAGGCCGAGGAGGAGTTTGATCCCTCCAAGATTCAAACCGAGCTCCCCCCTCTCAAGGTCCAACCTGAACTGTCTCTTGTTCCTGTCAAGAAGAGTGTCCGCTTCTCCAACCTTGTTTCCACTTCTGATCACCCTAAGCGTCTGCCTTCCATGCTCATCCGACGAGAGTCCGCCTACTACCGAGCTTTCCAAGACTATATCATCCGCACCCAACGCCAGGATGTGTTTGTTCACCAGCTTGCTCGCTTTGAGGCTATTCAGGCCCAGCGTGTTTCACTCAAAGAATCTCACCGCAACCAGCTTCTGGGCAAGTACCAGCTCAGTGTCGTTCCTCAGTCCGCCAAGAAGCGACTCAGCGCCAATGTTGCTCGTGGTGATGACACCATCATCGACGACCCTGAGAAGCTGCGTCATGAGAAGGAAGTTGAGGCCATGAACCAAATGACCGTGGCTGCCTGGTACGTTGCTGCCATGAAGATGCTCAGCGGTGGCCGTCTGATGTCTGCTCCCGTGACCAAGCGACTTGCTCGTCTTTCTCGTGCGGCTCCCGGCAAGGGTGGCGCTACTCGTGAGCGCGCCAGGGTCCTTGATCTTGGTGGACAGACTACTTGCGACTGGGCGTGGCACTGCGCGCTCCAGTTCCCAAACACCAAGGTTTACACCGTCACCACCAAGTCCATGCGTCAGCTTTCCAACTGCAACGTCCGTGGCCCCCCCAACCACCGCCAAGTTGCTGTTGAGAAGTTCTCCCACCTCCCCTTCGCTGACAACCAGTTTGATCTCATTTCTGCCCGAGAGCTTCCCAGCATCCTCAAGCTCTTTGGTGAGAATGGCGAAGATGAGTGGGACACCTGTCTCAAGGAGTGCATGCGTGTGCTCAAGCCTGGTGGTTACCTCGACTTCTCGCTCCTCGACTCGGACATCATCAACGCTGGTCCAATCGGACTGGCCAAGAGCGTTGAGTTTGGCTTTGCCCTCAAGACTCTGGGCTACGACCCCAACCCCACAAAGCTCTGGCTCAGCCGTCTGGCCCGCGCCGGCTTTCAAGATACCCGCCGCATCTGGATGTGTCTGCCAATGGGTGCTAGACGAAGCATGTACAAGCCTCCCACACCTCCCATGAGGGAGAGCACCAACGGCCAGGACGTAAAGACCTGCCAAATGGACGCCATGGTGATGGGAAGCAGCGACGATATCGCCAGTGCTTGCAGCATTGCTGGTGGCTGGAACTGGGAGCGATGGCTCCTCCGCTGTGAGATGGAGAAGGTTGCTGGAGAGTTGCGACTCGCTGACACTACCACTAACGGAACTGCCATGGAAGAGGCTGGCAAGTGTCTGGATGGCGTCGCCGCCGTGTTCGAGGAAGGCCGAAACTGCAAGGCCGGCTTCCGAATGCTTAACGGCTACGCCCAGAAGCCCAAGGCTGGCACCGAGACCATTAAGATTGCTCTCTGCGAGTAAATCTGTGGCATGTGAAAGATTTCCTTTGTCAATATGCGCTCACTCCATATATGGATTGAATTTTGCTTTTGGGGACTTGGAGATATGAAGGAAGGGGATATAACAAACTAAGTATGAGAGATGATGAGATGCGTGAATGTCCACTTTCACGCGTAATGGGAGGTAGTCAGGTTGCATATGTTTGGCGAACGGGGTTTGGATATGTCCATGTTGAATGTGTATGTATATACATACAGATACCATTGTAAATAGTGCAGAACATGGTGTTCTGATCCTACTTGACGGAATAAAGGCTTTCTTTTGTATGATACAGATATTCTCTCAATAAATATGTGTGATTAATAGCTACAATTAGTCATAACTAGTCAATATCTTACTTATTCTGCTGCCGAATAATTCCAGTCTTTATGCCTTACTAATTGGAAGTCTATAGGCTTATATGTTAGGTATACTTCTATGGTGTTGCTGACATCTCATGCAAGCAGTCATTGGATAAATGGTTCGTCTCAAAAAGGAAAGGTCGGGCGGGCAAAAAACGGGGACCCACATAGCCGACAGCTTCAATCGACCAGCTCCATGACCCATCAATATCATCCATCATTGACGACTACACGGACGCCTGAAAAAACATCACCACCAAACGTCGACATCCCACATCGGTTCGATTCGCCCACGACTCGCTCCGAAAGAAAAAGATTAAACATGTCGAACAATAACTGGCAAGAGGAGGCCATGCGCCGTCTCAGACAGATGCAGCAGGCCCGTGGTGGTGCTGGAGGCGGCCCCAAGATGCCCATGCCCCGAGCAGCCGGTGGCGCTCTCTTTGCTGGTCTTCTTGTCGCTGGCGGTACTCTTGTCCTGTCAAACTCCCTCTTCAACGTCGATGGTGGTCACCGAGCCATCAAGTACCAGAGGTTAACTGGTGTGAGCAAGGAGATCTACAACGAAGGTATGAGAACATGGGACTTCGGAGTATTCGGCTAAGAGGCTAACGTGGGGGAAATAGGAACACATATCAACATTCCTTGGTTCGAGACTCCGATTGTGTACGATGTCCGAGCGAAGCCGCGCAACGTTGCGTCCTTGACCGGCACCAAGGATCTGCAGATGGTCAACATTACCTGCCGTGTGCTTTCCAGGCCGCAGATTGATGCTCTGCCCCAGATCTACCGAACACTAGGCACTGACTACGATGAGCGCGTACTGCCTTCTATCGTCAACGAGGTTCTCAAGAGCGTTGTTGCTCAGTTCAATGCCAGTCAGCTCATCACACAGCGAGAGAACGTCGCCAGACTGGTACGAGAGAACCTTGCTCGACGAGCTGCTCGATTCAACATTCTCCTCGACGATGTCTCCCTAACTGTAAGCGCCAACAACCGTATGTTCCATGAGTAATGTGTAGCTAACGCACAACAGCACCTCGCCTTCTCTCCCGAATTCACAGCCGCCGTTGAGGCCAAGCAGGTTGCCCAGCAAGAGGCCCAGCGAGCCGCCTTCATTGTCGACAAGGCACGCCAAGAGAAGCAGGCCATGGTTGTCAAGGCACAGGGTGAGGCCCGCTCTGCTGAGCTGATTGGAGAGGCCATCAAGAAGAACAAGGCCTACGTAGAGCTCAAGAAGATCGAGAACGCTCGATTGATTGCTGCTCAGCTCCAGGAGTCTGGCTCTAAGAACAGACTTATGCTTGACTCCGAGGGTCTCGGTCTCAATGTTTTCGACGGTAGTGACAAGAACTAAGCGAATGATCTGGGCGGGTGAACCGCGTGAACAAGGGAAGGAGGAAGGTGTTTTAGGGTTAATGTAACTCTCCACTGTATGTCTACCGAAAGGGTTGTATTATTAGGAATAATGAGGCGGTAAAAGCAAACTGCCTATTCTGCTCTGCTTCAAATGATATTGCCATGAACATTGAGGTATATGATATGTATCTGATAAACAACAAGTACCAGCTGTACATATGCCATTACATATAAACAGCATCAATCATCGTAATAATCAGAATCTAGTTTTCGCTGCAATGCAAAATACAATAATCAATGCCAACTCCTCCTGCTGTTTATCGTGTTGAAGCCTTGAACCGCTAGCAACAGGTAGAGCACTAACTAATAGGCAGATCGAACGAGTAGGCAACCGCCCTATTCATTACCAGGGTAGGTAGCCCCTCCCCCTCCGCAAGTGTTAGCCTGCAACCCCACCATCACCCAAGCTCAGTCAGCCCAGCGGCCAGTACTTACCTTGACTCTTCCATCAGCCTCGCATACTTTCACACCTACACGAAACCTCGTCTTTCTTCTCTTCTTCGAATTTCCCATACAAGCTTTTTAAAGCACACGAAACCCAATCCTTTCAACACAAGCTCGCCAAGATGTTGATCAAGTGCGTCACGGCCCGAAACCCCGACGTCATGGCGGTAAACTCGAGAGCGAGCTAACTTTTGCGACTGAACAGGGTCCGTACATTGACCGGCAAGGAGATCGAGCTGGATATCGAGTCAGACTACAAGGTAATTTTCCTTAGGGGATGGACGCTTCGTGCCGGAGGTGGAGCATAGGGTTGGGCTTTTGACTGACTCATTGTAGGTCTCACAGATTAAGGAAAAGGTCGAGGAGAAGGAGGGCATCCCGCCTGTTCAGCAGCGACTCATTCATGGCGGCAAGCAAATGTACGTTGTTCCTTATGCGCCAGCTAGACCCTAGTAACCCTCGTACAACCGCATGATATGCCAGTTTGCTAATACACATCTCATTTAGGACCGACGACAAGACCGCCGCCGAATACAACCTCACTGCCGGAGACACTCTGCATCTCGTCCTCGCCCTTAGAGGTGGACGATGGCTGGCGTAAATAGTATCGAACTACCATTTGAACTACCAGGGTGGACTCCACCCCGAGTCTGAACAACTCGTTTTACAGTTGAGGATGGCGTGGTGCATTTATACTGAAAGATCTGGACATGCGCAAGGTACAACAGCCGTTGAAACCAAAGGCATGATGTTGTTGAGTCAGCCAAGGGGCAATCGTGCGCAAAGTCCTGTTGCAAAAATTGAGCGCTTTACTTAGAACACGCGGGATGATAATACCATAAGAAACGACGAAGTCGTTGTCATTCAAGTGTTTAGCTTCTATCAAATCCGACCGCGCCTAAGTGCTTTGCTGCGAACATGCACGTCACCTATTGATACAGAGGGTCCTTTTTGACCTTTCCATTCTAATCCCAGTCTGATTTGCATGCCTAGACTCCTGGCTATAATCCTGCTATAGTGTGGTGCCAAATCGATTATATCCGTTTTGCTTCCTTTGATTTGAGACCGCCCGTTGATGCGACGAGGATAGTGATTCCCCGCTTAACAATGATGCTTCTGATTTGCGACCCTGAAATAACGATAAAAAAACAATGAACCCTCCTCTTCCAACTTTACGCCCTTCGCTTGGGCTTCATGAAAATGCCTGCGGCCTTGCGCTTGCGTGGCCCGACACCTCCCAGAGGAGGCCGTGCACCTGAAGCTGGTGGCGGAGAAGGGGATAGGCCAACCTCTTCAGCTTCGGGTGAAGACGATAGCACAGTTCGCTCAGGGACAGGAGATGGCTTCCTCTTTTCGACTGGCCGGGAAGGTCTTGGCTGTGATGACGCTGTTGTAGCTTGAGATTTGGGACCTTTGTAGCTGTTTGAAAGAAGACCAGAGCGTTTGGCCTTGCCTGGAGCTGCAGAGACAGGCCTCCTGATGGTGGATGCAGCCGGCCGGGAATTCATCTTTCGAGGGGGTGAGGGCTCTTCGTCGTCGAATAGATCACCACCGTCGTCGTCGTCTGATTCAGAGTCTGTGATGTACTGCGCTCGCTCCTCGTGAGCTAGCACCGCGGCAGAAGGTGCTGATTTTGGTTGAGGAGGTATGAGTGATGGCCGAGAGGCTCTTTGGTAGTCATCCACCATAGCTGCAGGTGCCTTGCGAAGTTTCGTAAGAGAGTTGGTGGCCTGTGATGGCCTCGATAATGACCCATGGATGCTCGCAATCTCCTTCGTCTCTCGTCGTACCTTGCGCATGACGCTCGCGCCATTGTGAGTCTTGGTACGACTTCCCTTGGTGAAAGCGAGTGTGCTACCATTGGGGTCTCGCGAGCCACCACCCATACTCCAGTGTTTCTTTGGCCCAACCCTCCCTCCACGCGGGAGCAACCTCCTGTCATCGATGATCTTGCTGGTATTCTTCTCCCTATCCTCTTTGAGCCCCATCATGGCATTCATGAGCTGAGCCTCACTCTCCAGGAGGGCTTTTTGATGGTCCGACTTGTATTTCTCATAGACGCGATACCATTTTGTTGGGTTTGGGGGCTTGTATGCCTTTTGCTTCAATTCCATAGGGAATTCGTGCTTGATGAGCTTGAGCCAGACCTCGCCCGTCTCACCCTGGATCTGTGGGGAGTTCTGCTCGATCAGGCGTAGCTGTCTGGCGCTGTCGACCTTGAGAAGGAGAATGCGAACAGCTTTATAGGGGAGATAGTCGCCGACGCTTTCGAGTTCGCGGATATTCTTTATGCACGCCGCGGTGGCGAGCTCCAAGAGAGACTTGACCGGCATCTTGACGTTTGATTCGAGGATGGGGACACTAGGATTCGACTGGATAGGCAATAAAGTTATGCGATCACGGGAAAGTATGTATCGTGGGATCGGAGGTTTATAGTGAGAATTGAAGCGACGTCAGAGTAGTTGGAGCTGGATGGGTATAATAGTAGAGTAAGAAGGTATGATGGAAGAAAGGAGAGTGATTATGTGTAAAGCCTCGTGCTCTGGCTTTCAAGCATCGTTATATCGAGTTCCACGACATGTTGAGTTTGTGATAGTGTAAGAACTTTAGATGATGAAGGATTGAGATTGAGATTGAGGATTGTTGGAAAGTAAAGGGAAGGAAACCTGAGCCACGATGTAGGTGCTATGCTGTTAGTGGTTATTAGCCGTCAGGGATGTGATAGGTGAGGCATGTTTTGGCTTTGAGGAGGTGCAGCTGGGGAACCATGCGCTTTGCCTTATTGGATTAGCGCAGAGATCACAACAAAGAAAACATGGCTGATCTCTAAGACGTTGACATGAAGAGTATGAAACACTGTTCGAGTAGTTTATAGTGGTATTTATTTTAAGGTCGTTATGTACAGAAATAATTTGGGATAATAGGCAAACTGGAAGAATTCTGCATGGATATGTTCAAAGTCTGTAAAAGTCTTTGTCTAGGCAGCTAGTGGAGGATCTGATTAAGGCGTTTGAGTTCTGTGTAACTCGGGCTGTATAGAAAGCTTACTTCTTATGGGATACAGCGATGTATCGAAGTGTACCATGCTTGGATTAAGGAGAGAACGAGATGCAACTGTCTACTGGTATGAGATCAATTTAAATAAAAAAAATGTTTATTTTTGTATCGAACTTGCAGTTGGCCAAAGAGACGCAGGGTAGACTAACTTACAGTTCCAGTGTGTTGGTCTTTGATCTTTTTGTCATGGCCCCCGGCCCCCGCCCCCCTTGCGCGCCTGCTAGGCCCCGGGCGTCCAAGACCCATTTCGTCACTGGGAGCCTCAAGATTAGGTACTTCGGACTTACCTTTGTCTGCTACATTATCTTTTCTCCAACGCCTTTTCTCTCAACTCCCTATATTCGCATCCTTTCGAAACCGACACTCCTCGCCCTCCGTCTTTCTCGGTGTCCTAAATTTCTGACCATCTCCTTTGCATCTCTCTTGAATTCCTGCTAGCTTCTGTACGCGCCCGTCGCTCGCTACAACCCCAACCGACACCATGGCCGAACCCTATATCAAGCAGGACCCCTACATCAAGCCCGATCCCGAGGCGTCTAACTCTCCCGCTCCGGCGGATGAAGAAGATCTGTATGAGGATGCAGGCGACCTCGAGTTCTACAGCAAAGACACTGGCGCTTTTGAGACGCTCTACCTCGCGCGCGTTCCTCGATACATGTGGGAAGCTTGGTACAAGCTTACCGAGCGACTGGGTGACGATGATGAGATCCAAATTGGCACTCTGCGAACATGGAACGAGCAAAAGCCAGATGGTAGCGCAAACGTATGTGCCCCAGCCAGGTCATGATAGCATCATACTGATACAGCGATAGACCAAACTTCGCATGCTTCTCTCTCCCAACTGCCCTGAGCACCAGGTCCTGCCTCGCGAATACGACCTCGAGGTCCTCGAACCCAATGTCAGCAATCACTTCATTTTCAGCGAGGAAGATTTGCCCGGTTTCAAGGCACGGAGCAAGGCGCGACAGGAAGCTGCCAATGCTGGTATCCCTGCCTCGTTGTTAAGGCAGAAACAACAAGCCAACAACAATGGAGAGCGACCGAGTTATGACCGCAGGAGCCGATACCAGCCGTACTATCGAAAGGCTGTCCCGAGTAAGTTTTGGTCATGCTTCTTATGCGAGGATCAAGTGCTAATGCAGTCCCACAGAGAAGACAAAAGTCTTTGGCAAGATTCACTATGATGTGCGCGTTGAGCCTCGTGACATTAGGGAGGAAGAGCGCCTGCTTCAGCAGAAGATGATAGATGCAGAGGCAAACAAGTCCAAGCTCCGAATCATCAGCCGAAACGCAGCTTCAACGATTGTCAACCCTGGAACTGCAGGTGCAGTCAACTGGGGAGGCAACTTTATCGTAAGTTTTGGTTTGCTCTCGCTTACGCTTTCGGCAACGCTAACAATATGACAGAAAAACTCTGCTGCCACAGCCAAGCCAAAGAAGGGCGAGGTCTTCAAGGCTGCCCGTATCCCAGAGAACCAGCTCTTGGATCTTATTTTCGAGTGTTTCCGCCAGTATCAGTATTGGTCTATGAAAGCTTTGCGACAAAAGCTTCAACAGCCCGACCAGTACCTCAGACAAGTGCTCGAGAAGATTGCGGTTCTTAACAAGAGTGGTCGGTTTGCCAACCACTACTGTTTGAGCGATGCCTACCGTGATAAGGGTGGCGCGGAGGCCCAGGAGGCCGCTGCCGAACCCATGGACGACGACGATGAAGACGAGGAGATGGAGGACGTGTTGCCCATGTCTTAGTATCGCGGCCGACTCACGACTGATTGCAGAGAAGATGGAAACAATGGCATGGTTGCATTTGCCGGAAGTCAGGCGGAGAATATCGTTTAATGCGGGTTGGAAGGATTAATTGTCAGGGTTTTTAGAGCGTGATACCCTTTTAGTTTTATAGATTACCCAGATGTAATCAATGAACCATTCAGCGAATTGCTTTGAGAGTCGTGATTCGCTCGTCAACTTGGTTGCTCTTGTCTAACTTCTGGTTCGGCTTTAGTTATGCACTCTATTAGAGTCTGTAAGTGTAATCCTGGCTGAGCTACCCTTTCCTTGGCCATCATGATCCACTCACTCACTCTCTAAGCTCAACTACGTAATGACTTTCCCCGCAATAAGTAATAGACTCTAAGGCCAGAAGTAGAAGGGTTTCTTTCATAAACGCCATACGAACGGTTGATCAGCTGCTGTTTGGGTGTGAGAGTTGCTTTATTACCCGAAGCTTGGCTCAGATGCTTACAATCATAACATACCTTGTCCTCCAGCTGTTGGTCATCCCGGTAACTCCGCTTACAACCACTTCAACTCAAGACTACATTTACCATTCTTCCTGCTCCAAGATGCATCTTGTATTCGACTTTGACGGCACAATCACCCAGCAAGACTCAATTGGAGAGCTTGCCCGCTCAGCCATTGAGATACAGCGCAACAGACATGGCCATGAGCTACAAGCGACATGGGAACAGGTAGTCCAGTCCTACATTGCCGATTATAGACACTACAAGGACAACCATCCATCACCAGAAGATACGCGGACTTGCGTAGACCACGAGATTGACTTCTTATCGGGCATGAAGGATGTGGAGGAGACGTCTCTACAGCGAATCGCCGAGTCACGTATCTTCACCGGTCTAGATGCCGAGACCTTGTCGCAAGCTGGCACCGATGCTGTAAAAGCAGGGAGAATCAAGATCAGAGATGGATTCACGGATGTTATGGATCTCGTAACAGAGAGGGGATGGAGTGTGAGCGTAATATCCGTGAACTGGTCCCGCGCTTTTCTACGAGGAGCTCTTTCACCCCATAAGCTCGATGTCATCGCCAATGAGCCAGCCCTGGACGGAAGCATTACCGGCCCGGAGTTTTTCAAAGGAAGAATGACGAACGCGCGTGAAAAGAAGCAGGCATTGAAGCACATCATCAAGGAGAAGGATGGGAAGGTTATTTACTTTGGGGATTCGACGACGGATATGGAGTGTTTGCTCGCAGGGGGAGTCGTCATAGCTGATAACGAGGATTCCACTTTGTTAAAGACGTTGAGTAGGATAGGAGTCGATGTTCCGCATGTTGGGGAGAAGAGAGACTCTAAGGTGTCTTGGGCGAGGGACTTTCGGGAGGTGCTTGATAGTGGATTGTTAGATAGGTAGATTTGAGGGCGTAACAGTGAGACTGGGGCCATGAAAGCGGTATGGAATAGTTGTTGTAATGGAACTTAAACTCTTTGTTCATTTGCAGCATCGAACAAAGGCGCGTGTATGTGTGGACGCCGGATAATAGAGTTATCTCCAAGTTGATAACTGGTAACTGAGTTTGTCCATGTAGTCCAATAAGAATGTTATTCGTGTAATATGAGTTTGGTCAAGATCAAATAAAGTTGTATATACCCGAGAGAGGTATCATATTAGAAATCTATAAATGCAGATATTCTGTCGACACTCGAGCAGTAGCTCTGGGACAACTGTTTGTTCATCAACCACTTAGCACAAAGCCTCATGAACAAAGTCTTCAAGAACGCAAGAGCCTTATTCACTGTTCAAAGACTGGTATAAGAGGGTCAAAATTCTCGACTCTTAACCAGCAAAGAAATCTTAAACTTCTTATCTACTCCTACCACCAGACTTGCTACCATCATCAACATGTGCACCCACGGCCGCGTCGTCTTCAGCTGCGCCCACGAGCGTTGGGGTCTCTGCGTCAAGCAATGTCAAATTGCACAAGACTTCTGCGAGAGAAAAGAGGAGTTCGACTGCATGTACAAAAGACCTCACGTACCTACGTCGCGAAGATTGGAGAGGAAGTGCAACGAGTGTATCGTGATGGATGATAAACTTGCCAGGGCGAAGAAGCTTGTTGGACGCATTAGGTGGATCTTGGAGATAACCGAGGAGGAGAAGATTGTTGATGGAGAAGAGAATGGATTTGCAAAAGAAAACGTGGTGGAGAGTGAAGAGGAGAGTTTGGTTTCCAAGCCTGAGACAGATATTATCAGTGAGGAGACTGGAGAATCTGAGGAGGGAGATGGACTGAAGTAAGCAGTTCGCAGTCTTCTTTAGATGTAGAAGATGAATATCCATATAGAGCCAAAAGAGCAAAATTGTAGTATTGTTTATGACAATCTGTAAATGAGTGTGGAATGCTTAAAATAACATGGCTGTTTCTTCCAACTGTATAACCATTAATGTGTCGTGATGCAACATTTGCCAAATACTCGACAAACAACACCAGATACATACATCCCCTCTAAGCCCCTAAACTACTACATTGGCCCCCCTCCGAAGACTCCATTGCCTCGTCTCCAGAATCTGCCTCTGCCTCATGCTCATCCCCCGACTCAACCCCCCATTGAAGTCCTCCTTCATCCCTGAGTCAACAGTCTCCAGCTCAGCCAACTCCTCAACAACCCGCCGTGGCTTCTCATCGCGCCTCGCAGAGAGATAGAAGAAGTCCCAGACGAACCCGCGCTCCAGCTGCCGCGGCTTCCCATCAGCAGTCCAGTACCGCTCCTCGCTGAGCTCCTGCGAGAGATGGCGTCGGAAATAGCGGTCCTGCGTAACCCACCAGGCCCGCCAGGCGAACAGGATCAGGAGCGTCAGCGGGATGGCTGTGGCCCAGTAGTACCAGAAGTTCTCGCCGAAGCGGTTCACCTTGACCGTTTCGTCCATGGGGCCTGTCTTGTCGTCGCTGTCTTCCTCATCTGGGCCCAGCCAGTCGAACATGGACATGCCAAAGAGCGTGCCGATGAATTCGCCGGGGAGGAAGATGGCGGTGATGACGGCTAGGGCTTTCATGGAGGAGCTGTCGCGGGAAGAGGCTACGGCCATTCGAGCGTTGAGTATGTTGTCCTCTTGGGCCATCTTACTGTAGATCTGCAACACGTAAGTAAGTGTTCTATTATTTAAAAGTTGTTCAATACTTACCATGTCGACTTGGGCACGGCATCTAGCCTCCGACATGCGTCTATCTGTTTCGAGACCCATACAGAGACGCAATAATCCGTCAAGATACTGCCTTATTTCATGCCAATGAGGCCCCAGAGAATCGCCATCCGTCACTTCATCAGGGAGTTGAAGCTTGGGTAGTTCTCTAGGCGGCAGAACCGGACTCACTGGGGGAGGTCCTCCTGAGGGGTCTATACCGATGGGACTCAACATACTGAGATCCTGACCAAAGTGGGAGTAGTTACCCACTCGCTCATTGAGCTCATCGCCAGCCAGGATCAAGACTTTAATAGCACGCTCCATCCAGCGGATGGTATCAAGGAGTTTGATGGTATCTTTGAGCACCTCATGCGCCCTCTTCATGAGCTTGGTCATGGTCATAGGCCCCCAAGCAATCCTCTCACCGTCCTTGCCATTGCTGAAAGTCCGACTGAGCCGCCTCCCCGTATCTGACGCATCGAAACCGGCAATGTTGCTGACATCGTATTCCAGATGAGCCACATTTGAGTTGTTCTCGATAACCGCTTCCTCGCATCGCATGAACTGTACTTGCAGAAGAACCACAGGCGTGATGAGAGGGTGCGCCCAGTGGGTTCTGCATGACTCCAGACGGTGATCGTATTCGTCAAGGTCGTCGAGATTGTGCCGTCTTGGCTCCCATGACTGTCGAACCAGGATAGTTGCCGAGCGCTCACGGACGTTGTATGTCATGGAGAGAAAGTCGCAGGGCGTCTTTGGCATCTCGGAGAACGCGAGGATGATGCCTGAGTTGTTAAATATATTTCTCCCGAAGCCGAAGGGGTTGAAACGGACTCACTCAACTGCGATCTGTCCTTAGACCAGAATCTAGACTCTGTAGTGGTACGGGTTGAGTACTGCAGTGTAGCAGGATGAAGATTCATGGCAGCGAGGTCATCGACGGTCATCGACGGTCATAGTAAGAATGTCACGACTGCCATCATAAATAGTCTTACGCTTGAAACAGATACTATGCTCTGTTAGAAAGGTCAACCTAGCGTTGGGGATATGAACGAACTTACACTCTGCGAATTCGACCTTCCATGCCAGCAGATGGTGCTTCGCTATCTTCAGGCTTTCGAAAGGTACCCTTTTATAATTAGCTCAATGTTTCCCCTAATCGATAATCATATACTGACTTCACGATCAAGCATATATCCACGACGAAAGGCTAGATCAAACAGAGCTGTCCCGGAAGTATCATCGCGGGTAAAGTGATGTGTGATATGCTCATCATCATCTGTCCAAGGATCGCGCAGAGTCGCAGGCGCAGGCGCAGGCTCATCCGGGCGTTTATAAACGACATACTCGTCATACTCAATGTTGGACGGGGTGTCCTTCGCAGTGATTAGAACTTGGTTGGAGCAGGCCTTCTGATCATAATTGAACAGATCTAGGCCGTGGTGAATCAGGCTCATTAGGGAGGTTGAGCGCCGCCGCCAGAGACCGACAGCGTAGTCTTGCGAGTCTTGAGAAGAACGGCCACCCTCTTGAACGGGGCGGAGAGCTCTGGATTCATGAGATTCTGGTGGTTGGTGTCAAGTTCGAGTTGATACTGGCTCCCCTTGGTATTGGTGGGGGATGGGTTGAAGAGAGATGGATGGTTTTCCTCGCAGAGGTACGCAATGTCACTGAGCGTTCAGCGGCGGGTCAAGCTTGTTTATGAATTGTCCTCAACGCTGACTGCCAAGACACTTCTCATCAGCCCCGAACAAGGGTGCCCGGTTCATTGCGAGCCCAACCGTTAGTTGACGGTGTTGGGCAACGCACGACACCGTCATGGGGCCACTTTGAGGGCCGGGGAAGCATTCCCTCACTTTCTCATTACAACGTCAGTTGGTTCAATTACAACAAGGCCCGTGGTCCGGTTTCGGATCGGCGAATGAGGACGGCCGTAGAAGCCTCCCGGGACGAGACCCACCCGGAACGGGGGGATCGGAGGATATCGGTGGTGGCTTAGATCCGGGGAGAGAGACGCACAGGATTGGTCAATGTTTGTGATTAAATTGGTAGGCAGGGGGCTCACCATAAGCGAGCTGCCATTCTGGGTTTATCTCGGGCGTAAAGATTGAGGCGCAGGTCCTTGCAGAATGACATGTTAACATCACGGGGACTGTTTCTTCGCATTGATAGCCCGTTTGGGGAGAAGAATGATAGAGCCTTGGTGCCCAACCATCCAATGTAATGTTTAATCAAATTTCGAGCGCGAGTGTTTCTTCATAGTGTTGGCAACTTAATAAGAATGGTTGTTACTCCAGGGTAGTCTCTCCCAAAACTGACACTTTGTGTTACTTGAGATAGAATAAGAACATGGTCGCAAATCTGTTACGAGGAGAATACTTTTTTCTTTTTATTGAGAAACAAATCAGTATATCTCAAGGCCATATAATAATGCCTCTGGAAATTGTGTTTGAAAACCGTGTTCAAATTCGTCTCTATTATAACTAACTATAGTACCTTGGTTTTCAAATTTGATTAAGAAAGCTGGTGGTAGTATTGGGCACTGAAAGGGACGATTTTAAAGAAACGTGACTGAAACAAATTATCAATACTACCATAATCCTAAGTTCTCTCCTCCATCCTCACTTTTCTTCAAGTTTCTACAGGACTTACTACGATATGACCACGCAAGGAGCGCCATGTTAATATTTATTATGATTTCGCAGAGAAGCCATGTTACGAGCTACTTGACACTTGCCAAATTAATGAAACAGAAGAAATATTGATACCCATATTAGAATCGAACGAGTAGTATGATTAGGGAAGAATTTCCGAGTTGCATTGGGGAGACTCATAATTCCATCACACCGTCTTTTGAGACTGCCTATGGCTTATCGCATACAATGTTGCAACAATAATATCTATACTATTCTTCGACATACGTAGTAACTAGGCTAAAGGAAATCGTTAGAAGTATCGATGAAGTACTGTCAAAGGTGAAAGCCTAGTGGCAATATCTCGATGTAATTGATATCAAGATAGTGGGAGTATGGCATCATAACTAGGCGTATGTATCTTAACAAATATGCCATTGCGCAAGCTGTCAAGCATTGCCCCCTCATCAGGTGGCAATATAGTTAATGATTTTAGAGCGAAGTCTTTGACCAGCCCTGGGTCTATACTGCCTCTTGATTCCGGAGTATGGTGGTGCTGACTGATGAGAAGCTGGTCAAGGCGACGGACTAACAAGATGCTGGGGATCTTGAGGATATAACCCATGTCCAAGATTGGAGATGACCTGCAGAGTTTTCGATGTAAGTAGGTACATGGGGGTTCATGAATCGCGATTCAGCATAATTGGAATGCAACGTGATAACTGGAACGCCATCCGAGGGCGTCGCGATGACTTGACTAGTTTAGTGCCAGCGTAGTCCATGTCTGTAAGAGTAACTACTACGTAGTATGGCCTCTTCTGCCGTAAGGAGCTTTAATCCGAAATAATTGAAGATGAAAACTGTTTATTTCAAATCATCAACGCTTGGGCAACGCTTGGACGTTGCGCAGCCTCATCCTAAGTCCGCATGTCCAACGGACTTATCCGCTGATAGAGTCCAGACTGAGTCTCTGCGACGCCTTTACCAACGTTGATATTCTAGACCATGATCTAGATTTTTGATAAAGAGGCCGTTTGTTGTTTTGTAATCGTCTTGATGAAAACGATGCCGAATATTGAAGGGAGGCTTCGCGCCCTGAGGGGAGCGGAAGCGCAAGGGGGAAGGATCAAGACAGTCGCGGCAGTGGCGTCTTGCGTGCCCTTTCGTCCTTCCTTGAGTCACATACAGCAATTGCCTGAGAGAAATGCAGGAACCAAGTTAATTGATGTTTCTCCCTTAATTCGACGTAATATATAGACAATAGATGAGCTTGGCGATTGATTATCTTTAACCTTCAATCCCGTTATTGCCTCTTTCCATATTGGCAAGTCATGTAAGCCGGTAGTACCTGCCACCAACCAACGGGATCAGGAACAGAATCAGAAACAGCAGGTACATATCCGTATATAGACTAAGATAAGCGGAAGGGGGCTTGCGTAGGAACGGATGTCATCTTGTCAGGTCCCGACGCCAATCGGTCACTAAACTCCAACCCTCGATCGTCAAGATCAACATCCACTCCAAAACCAACATCATGATCTTCAACCCCCCCCAAACACTACTCAACTCTATTGAGCCGTCTTTACATCAAAGAGAAATCCTATTACGCAGATTGATAGTCACAGCCATGTCTTAAACTCTGATCATGTCGATGTTCTCCCTAGCGCCCTCCTCGTCTGGAACCAGACACTAAGCGCATTCCTCATCGAGGTCCCAAGACATACCAGTCCCACGTTTTAGGGGCTTTTTGGCGCTCAATCAACCCCGAGACCCTGTTCTCCATGTCTCGTCCGCCGTCGGAATAGCTCAAGTCGAGAACGGCATCGCCTAGACTGGCGGCCTGCGTTGCTTTCCGCAGCATGCTTGGAGGCTTCTTTAGACCAACACGCGGCCAAGATACGCTTTCGTCAACATGCTATACTCTTTCAGGATCATAACCAAAGTGGCGCCGCTCGAACATATCCAATGTCATAAATTTGCCTCGACTCCCGTGTCTCAATCACTCGGCTCCTTTTGTTTGTCAGTTGATCTCACCCTTGAGCCATTCCTTTTCATCATTGCCCAACCCACGTCACTCTTTCCCTGAACTCATCTCACTCCTTTGAACATAGTGCTTCTTATTCTCCGGTTCCGTCAACTTGGCCCTTGTCTCACAACCAGCCCGGCTTCAGCATCTTGTCTCAGCCTGACTTACATCAACAAGACTGCTGGACCCCTTGAACCACCCTCTGAACACTATCTCACACGTAGTGAGGTGTCACTCCTTTACACACAGCTCATACTCATTCCGTATAAGAAGCTTTCACAACTACCAACTTTCGACTCGGCTTGCTCTCACTATCCACCCCATCGACTAGACTTTTCAAGTCTTAGGACGTGTACACTTACGGCTTCTTTCACCCCAGATTACTACCTGACCACCAGATATGTTGAAGCAACTCATTCTCATCGCACCTCTTCTGGTGCACGCAGCACTCGCTGTTCCAGCGGTCGAGCCCAGACACCAGCATCTTCATGGCAATATGGATCATACTCATGGTACCAAGACCACGATGACTACGTCCGTTCGACGTGAAGCAGAAGCAACAGTCGAAGCACAGTTTATCCCACCCAAGATGCCTTACGCACTCAAACCTAACACCAAAACCACCAAGCCCACTGCTGCTGCAGAGCCAGATGATCCCGAGGACAGTATCATTCCCGGGTTTATCCCACCCAAGATGCCTTTTGTGCCGAAATCAGGTTACCAACCAAAGTCAGCCAAGGTCCAGTCTACCTCTGAAAAGTCTGTCTCCGTTGCATCTGTCAACAATAAGAAAGCGGTTGCAAAGGTTGAGGATGAGGATGATACCGACACAAAGTCTACCTTCATTCCACCTAGGTCACCCTTTCGAGGAGCTCGTAAGCCTTCCAATGATATCCCTAGAGACACACTTCCGCAGTTCATCCCACCAAGAAACCCTTGGGGGCAGTCCAGGCGTCAGACTCGCTCAGTGGATAATGATGGCCAAGGTGCTTCTGAGGAAACAGCCGTTCCTGATATCAACCAGGGGGCTTCCCAAGACGACGAGAAGGATTCCTCTACACCCGAGCTTCTAAAGCGCGATGGGGAGGACGGAGACAATGAGTTCTTTGAAGAGGAGGATGATGATGAACTCAGCACCTCGGACTTTCCGAACCTTGGAGGTTCCGAAGACGCCGAAGTCAACACCGATTCAAACCCAGAGACTGACAATACTCCCGTTGGTAATGCATCTGAACAGGAGAACCAGGACCAAGAGTACAACGACACTGAGGACGTTGGCAACGCCAATAACTACTTCGGCGGCGACTACAGCGACGAGGATGACGCCAACAATACCCCTACTCGGCTAGAGGCTCGGGGTGTTGCGAAGCGAAACATCCTCTACTTCACAAACTGGTGAGTTATGGTATATCTCTAGGCCACTAATGGGTGCTAATAATGAAGAACCAGGGGTACTTACGGGGCGAACTTTCAGCCCCAAGACCTTCCGGTAAAGGAGATCACACATGTTCTATACTCTTTTGCCAATGTGAATGCCAAGGACGGAAGTGTGTAAGTATACAAGTCGAATGATTAATAAAAAACCTTGATTAACTGTTTCCCAGTGTTTCATCAGACAGTTATGCGGACATCAATAGAGTCTATGCGGGTGATGTTAAGGAGCAAGGAAAGAACGTATATGGGTGTGTTAAGCAGCTGTACCTTCTCAAGAAAAAGAACCGCAATCTAAAGGTGATTTTATTACCAAAGACTCTCAAGACAGCTGTGAAAGTGCTAAGACATATAATAGGTGTTGCTTTCGATTGGAGGTTTCAATGGAAGCCCAGCACTCGCCTCTGGTGTGAGCACACAAGCCGGACGCCAACGATTCGTTGCCACCGCTGTAAAGCTCATCACAGACTGGGGCTTTGACGGAATTGATATTGACTGGGAATATCCCGCCAACGCACAAGAAGCTCGTAACTATGTTTCGATACTTTCAGGTGTCCGAAAAGCCCTTGACAATTATTCTACGACAAACAAGCTTAACTACCATTTCCTTCTCACTGTGGCTACCTCGGCTGGTGCAGGCAATTACAACATCATGAACATGAAAGGAATGGACGCTTGGCTTGATGCCTGGCACCTCATGGCCTATGATTATTCTGGTCCTTGGGATTCGACTACTGGTCATCAAGCTAACGTATTTGCTTCCAAGAACTGGCCCCTAACAACAAAGCTGAGCACTGACAAAGCTTTGAACGACTACATTGCTGCTGGAGTCCCTCCCAAGAAGATCCTTATGGGCATGCCTCTGTACGGTCGTTCGTTTTCAAAAACTGATGGTTTTGGGAAGTCCTACTCAGGTATGGCTGGTAACAGCGAAGGCATTTATCTTCTCAAAGAGTTACCTCGCCCCGGTGCCAAAACTTCTTACAACGCAGATCTCATCGCTAGCTACACATATGATAGCAAGAAGCGGGAACTTGTCACCATGGACGATCTCAAATCAGGCCAAGCTAAGGCCGGCTATATCAACGAGCGAGGTCTCGGTGGCGCCTTTTATTGGGAAGCGAGCGGAGACAGGCTCGGGTCAGCGAGTGTCGTCGCTGGTGTGAAGCGCACTCTGGGCACCCTCGAGAAAGTGAACAATCTTCTCAAATACCCCACGAGCGCATATGACAACATACGAAAGAACATGGCCTAAGTTAGCCAACAGCATTGATTATTTCCCTTTGTAACTAGACTTGTATGAATGCGCGACGGATAGTTGCGAGGCACGCTCGGGTTTCATTTGTCAAATTTACTTCGTTGGATGCAATTGGGAACTTGTTACTGGAGTTTATAGAAAAGCCCTCGTTAGATAATGATACACAATCAAACTTCGTCAAGTACGTGTGATCTTTGTCAAGTTCGTTTCAAGTTACATTGACTGCCCCTTTCACGCCTTTTTTATGTGCTAGGTTGATATAAATTCTGAGAGTAGCAACCGCTAGATTACAAGAGTATGAGCCAAATGCATATCGTGATAATTAACTCAGTTTAGTTTTTCCCATGCTCCTAGTCTACAAGCTATTTCTACACTAGATAGACAGGATAGCTAACATACTACACCCCGCCTCGACGGTAGGAGGGAAGAGACAAAAAACCTCTTTCAAAAAATACAAGTCCAGAAACTACCCTTTGTCAAATGAAGAAAAAGGAAGAAAAAAACTCCCCTGATAGCAAAGACGCGCCGTTATCCCTCCAACGTCTTGAGAATTATTTCCGTCCTTGAGTTGTAATCAATTCCCCCCCTTTTCGTCAGATCGCATCTCTTTCTTGTGAGCTCGCTGACCTAGGCGGTAACATGCTCTACATATCTTGGCCCTGGGGAGTTCCAGAGGTGTCTACACCGTGGAAAGCGTCTCCGAATGCTGAGTCGTCCATGTCCATGCTCAGGTCAAGACCCTCGCCTAGCTCGCCGGCTGAACCGTCCAGCGTGGGGCCGTCGAAGCTGGCGAGGGCGTCGCCGGCTGTGTCGAGGTCGCCGAGGGAGCTGAAATCGTTCTGGTCGAAGGAGACCGAACCACTTGGTGTTCCGGCTGCTGGTGTGGCAGCGGCGGAAGCGGTCTTGGCTACTGATTTGGGGGCATCCATTCCTGAAGCGTTGGGGGTGTTTGCGTTGACAGATACGGCGCCTGAGCCAGGTCCCTGGTTGGCCTGTTCATTTGAAGCGCTGTCTTTGGGCACGACCACCCACTCTCCACTGCCGGTTCCTTGGTCAGGGGCTGTGGCACTGTGGTCCTTGCCTCCCTGAGTTCCGCCCATTGTTACGTCTCCGCTAGGATTAACCGCGGCATTGAGGTTGGAAGGAGTTCCAGCTCCAGACTGAACCGCTGAAAGCCCGGCCTGAGGGGTTCCAAAATTATGCAGGGGTGTAGAGGTGGTGGAAATGCCAGTGTGCATCTCATCAAGCAATCCCGCAACGGTGTCGCCCATATCGATATCAGACTCGCCGATCATGATGCCGCTAGTTTGCGAACCAGCCTGCGAAGGCTGACGAGATAGTTGTGAGGGGCCAGTCTGAATGGGCTCTGGTGCTGGTGGCTGATAACCTCCATCTTGAACACGAGACACCGTGGGTTTGGCCTCGATCTTCTTACCAGTAGCACTCTCAACCTCGGATACTATCTCTTCGACAGTTTTTGTGCTGACGGGCTGGGGGGTGCTGTCCTCATCTTGAGGGTCTACCTTGCCTTCAATTCGCCAAGTCTCGCTACCTGTACCCTCAGTAACATTTCGAAGCTCCTTCTCCTTTATGTTAAGAATGGAGTTTTCCTTGAATTTTGCCAGAGCCTTGGCATGCTCGGCCTGCATCTTCTCGATCTCAGTCTTGGTGGATTCGACGTGGTTCTGAACGCGCTTTCGGAATTCCTCGGCCTTTTCAGGGTCTAGACGGCCGATGTACGGCTTCTCTGGTGGAGATGAGAAGGCCTCAACTCCTTGAGCAGGGAAGATTCCTTCCGTCAAGGATGCCAGCTCGCCCTTGAAACCAAGGTTGAGGTCGGCTGGGGTAATCTGGCTTATCCTGTAGGGAGACGAGAGGATCTCCTCCATCCACTCGTGGTTCTGCTGATAGCGGCTTAAAGAAATTTCTCGTGGGGTAAGATGATCAAACATGTCACCTCGGGAGACATCCTCCTCATCATCAAAAGTGGCATCAATCTGAGGCATTCCTGGAGCTGGAGCCTGCCCACCTTGGCTCGCTGAGTGCCTTGGTCGCTTGCTAGGGGGACCCGGCGTAGCTTGTGTAGGATACGCCATCTGTTGAGGGACGCCTCGAGGGGCCATTTGTGGAGGCACCGGTTGGCGAGTAAGATCTGGCAGAGTCGGCCAGTTGACTCGGTCGGACAACATGAACTCCTTGCGACGGATCTGGCCAGCGCGTTGCAAAAAGTGGCGTTGCTGCATGATGCTGTTGGCTCTCTCGTCGAATGGTATCATGGAAACAGGGACTCTGTCGTTGGGCTCGGCAGGTCCGTAATGCACGACGAACAGACCGATATCTGGTTGAGGAGGGTTGGGGTGGCCAGGGATAGGCACTAATCGGCATCGTCGACGGGCGTGGAGGGCGTATTGCTCGCCAGGGAAGTAACCGGCCTTTTGATAGTAGATCTCGAGCATCTAAGCATTCTCAGCATGTCAATCCTTCATGTCACAATTCCATTCGACCTTACCAGTCCATTACCCAGATCATGCTTGTAGACCTGCTCCGGGGGCGCCCACACGTATCCATCGGTCGCGAAGTTGGTACCCAGGCGCTGAAGAGGCTGCCAGGTCAAGAGTATCGTGCCGTCTGTGGGTTTGTCGAGATATGTCCAGAAGAAAGGCGCCCTGTCTCGCGCGACTTGTGGTGCGCTCATAAGCCATTTGGCAACCTCGTTCAAGTCAAGTCGAGGCATCGCGGGGTATCGAAACGACGAGATAAGATGGACATGGGGCAGCTAAAAGGCAGTTAGAAACTACATCGCGACAGCATTTTCCTTTGAGAAAAACATACAAGGTCCTGAGGGACGCCCTGACTAGGATCCGGTTGAGCCATGGTGGGCGAGCGTCGCGATGGACGATAAAACGGGCGTGTCTGTGTCTCTAATTATACGATTGACTTTCTTTGCAGCTGCGCGTTGCTAAGTATTTAGCATATAGAAGCGGCTATGGGGTGATTGAGCATAGAAGAATTGAAGGAATGGCGCGGCGCAATCAACGATATGACAGGCGATGGAGTTGTTGGAGTAAAGCGATGCCCTTTGCGCGGCTCCCAAACTTCTCGCGACAAGGCTGCGGGTGATCAACTGGCCAATGAGCGTGGTGTTTTTTGAGCAGATAAGAGTGGGCCCCTCAACATCCGTATGTAGAGTCCCTATTAATGGACAAGGTCCTAGGTACCTAGGCAGATATTACACTGAGGCAAGATATATAACAACTAACTGCTATGAATCTCTTGTAATGAAACGACAATTCAGGTAAAATCTGTTGAGTTGTTCTTATGCAACAACTGAAAGTAGCCAGATTCTATCATAGTGGCATTCGCACCTGATATGCCAACTACTATACCTGGCATCATTGTCGACGAAACAACCTCATACACAATTCACTGAGCTTAATGATGACAAAGTATTATTTAACTTATATTTATTTTCATGCTTTATTTAGGCTGGGCTCCAATATGCAAACCCAAAATTCATCACTTGAGCTTTCTAAATCCATACCCGCCCATTCATCATTATCCTTGCAGCGCCAGTTGTTCCTGCGTTCCTAATCACAGATTCTTTTTAGACGCAGCTATCGAGCCTGTACAGCCCAATGGTATTTATTCCTTAACCAATCATAATTCCTTCTCTTTGAACTAGCAAGCTGCTTAAGCCTGGTAGGTAGAGGCGGAGACGTTACCACCACGACCAGTCCAGTTGACGTGAATGTCCTGGCCTTCGGGGTACTTGTCGCTGGCGTGCTCGGGCTTGATGCGGAAGGTGTGGGCACCGAAGTAGTCACGCTGAGCCTGGAGGAGGTTGGCGGGGAGATCCTTGGTGCGGTAACCGTCGAACCAAGACAGAGCGGTGGAGAAGGCGGGAGTAGGGATACCAAGGAGGGCAGCCTTGGAAACGACGTCTCTCCAGCCTGGCTGAGCCTTGTGGATGGCCTTGTTGAAGAAATCGTCGAAGAGAAGGTTCTGTAGCTCAGGCTGCTCACGGTAGGCGTGGGTGATGTCCTTGAGGAAGACGGATCGGATGATGCAGCCACCTCGCCACATGAGGGCGATGGAAGGCTTGTTGAGCTTCCAGTTGAACTCGCGAGCGGCCTCCTGCATGAGCATGAAGCCCTGGGCGTAGGATATGATCTTGGAGGCGTAAAGAGCCTGCTCGAGGTCCTCGAGGAACTGCTCCTTGTCACCCTCGAACTTGGTGGTTCGGCTGACGAACTCAAGCTTGGTAGAGGCGGTGGCACGCTCGTCCTTGATGGCGGACAGGCATCGGGCAAGGACGGCCTCAGCAATGAGGGTTACGGGCTGGCCGAGGTCAAGAGCGTTGACAGCGGTCCACTTTCCGGTACCCTTCTGGCCAGCCTTGTCGAGAATTTTCTCAACGAGGGCAGTGCCATCGTCGTCGTTGAAGTACATGATATCACGGGTGATCTCAATCAGGAAAGAGTCCAGAACGCCCTTGTTCCACTTAGCCAGGACGTCACCGATCTCCTTGCTGGAGAGGCCGAGACCACGCTTCATGATGTCGTAAGCCTGTAGGTCATTGGGTTAGTTTCACATTCTGCGACTGGTTGATTGTTTGTTTGGGAAGATCCTCTTACCTCGCAGATGAGCTGCATGTCACCGTACTCAATACCGTTGTGGACCATCTTGACATAGTGACCAGCACCCTCGTCGCCAACCCACTCACAGCAAGCCTCGCCGTCGCTCTTGGCGGCGATGCTCTGGAAAATGTCCTTGATGTGAGGCCAGGCCTCCTCGTTACCACCAGGCATGAGAGAGGGGCCGTATCGGGCACCCTCCTCACCACCGGAGACACCGGAGCCGACGAAGCGGATGTTCTTGCCAGCAAGATACTTGGTGCGGCGGTTGGAGTCGGGGAAGTGAGAGTTACCACCGTCGATGATGATGTCGCCGGCGTCAAGGAGAGGCAGGATCTTCTCAATCCAGTCGTCGACAGCCTGGCCAGCCTGGACCAGGAGCATGACACGGCGGGGAGACTTGAGCTTGCTGACGAACTCCTCGACGCTGTGGGCGCCGACAACGGACTTGCCCTTGGCCTCGTTCTCGAGGAATCGGTCGACCTTGGAGATGGTTCGGTTGAAAGCGCAAATGGTGAAGCCGTTGTCAGCCATGTTCAGAATAAGGTTCTGTCCCCTGTGAAGCGTATGAGTATGAGCTGGTGCTGGCAGTGCCAGAAAAAGGATTGGGGTTTCTTTTGTTTAACTTACATGACAGCGAGGCCGATGAGGCCCAGATCCGCACTTGCCACATTGTCAGCATTCGTCGCATTTGGAGTCGAAGTAGAATCAGAGGAAGTGTGTTGTTGAGGGGCGCCCAAATTGAGGTGAGCGAGACGAGCTCTACCTCAAGAGCATGAGCGATAGTCACGATAGAAAACTACCCCCGTCGCCGGGTTACATTTGGCGCAAGCTCACCATGACGATTGATTTGTTCCTCACATCCAGCAACCGGAGCGCGCGGAAACGAGGGCAGAAGCAATCACCATGGGGAAATCATGACCATGGCCACGGCGGGGTGGTGGGGTTTGTGAGGTATGAGGCATGAGGTATGCGATGAGGGGAAGTATTGAACTTACACAGGGCCAGACATGATGGGCTATAATATGCGATCGTGGGGTATATGGGTATAAAGTGAGGTTGGTGAGGATGATTGAAGGAGGGAAGGAAAAAAAGAAGAGGAAGAAGGTGGGAGGACTTGCAGAGTTGTAGAGAAATATAAAGGTACTCCGTAGATGGATGGATGTTGTCACACCCGTGCTAAAGTTGGGCAGTTTGGTACCTTGGTCGCTCCCGCTCCCACTCTCGCTCTTCGCTCACTCTCATTCCCTCACCTCCAGTCCAGATTGAGTTGATGCCCACCTTTTTTTCGCTCGCTTTTCTCTTCTATCCCCCTTCTCCTTGAATCGTTTGGCTTGCTCAGCGACGCAATGCTCCAGGCTCCTCAAAAGCGCTCGATTCAAACCAATCCATAACGCCAAGTACAGTGGAGTATCCGCCTTGATTGGTGGGTCCTTTCCCAACTGTGCATCGTCATCATCGCTTGCGGTGCGGCCGAGACTGAACTGAGCATTGAGCATTGAGCAATTGATGTTTTTCCTACATTTGCATATCAGTCTGTCTACTTTCCGCTTTGGTGGATTATGAGTAATTGCGGCATTTAGCTTTGTTCTCGCTCGTCTTAATATTTCATATACCACACACACTGCTTTTACTCATCCACATGCATCCTAACAAGACTTTGCATTGGCCAATACAAAACAAACTTTGCTACAATTCCTCAGCAGCCTTCATCATCATGACTGAGGTGCTTGCAACTGAACTGCTGCCCCTCCAAGCACCCCCCTGTCAAAACAGCCAGACAGCCTGGTCGTGCAGCAGCAGCTAGCCTGCTCCTGGTTGGTCAAAACAGCAATTAGTAGGGGTCCATTAGCCACGGACACCAAGTTCCAGCAGATCCATGGCTGGGATGGGTTTTCCCTCAGGGAGAAAGCGCCTTCTACGGTCGGAGGCTCGCAGCGTTACCCCTCCAGGTGTCCCCTCTAACGCCCCTCAGCTCCAACGTTATGACGATGCTGCGGTGCTGCCGCGGTCTTACCCCCAAGACAAACCCCAAAGGCTTACCAAGATTATGAAACCGTGACACAAGCAATACAAATCTCGTACAAATCTCGCCGCACAACCAGCCTGGTTTCTAGATGCTTTCCGCTGCTTCCGTTTCCGCCTCACTATCATGCATGAAGCAGCCAGGTATCAAACCACTGTTCCCCAAGGCCCAAGGCCCCCCTGTCTGATATCAAACTGCTTCATCTCTCCAAAGCCACGCTTGTTGTTGAGGGATTGGGCTTGGCTTGTCCTCCAGAAGCTCAGCCCAGCCTTTCTTTCTGCCATGTTGTCCGAGTGTTGGGACCCACGTCTTCCGGGCCCCGCGTAATTCACTGCCGTGCCAATTGACATCTGTATCGGAGAGTAACCCGATCCCCAACGCGCCTTAGCCTTCACAAATCCATACCGACCGCTCCGAAGGTACTCCGAAACGGGGCGGATACAGAGAAGCCCAAAGAAAAAAGGCCGCAAAATGCTCACTCTCGTCTCAGTATTGAGCGCAAGGTGTACACTCAACCCACCAGAGGTGCACTCTCAGCCTGGCCTCTGAGCCCAGCCTCCAGCCTCCAGCCTGATTTAAAACCCCCACCGGTCATTAGCCCGGTAACAAATGCCACAGCGCGGTGTAAGCGCCGAATCAACAGACAGATTCCTTCAGCGCAGAGGCCGAAGTCGCTTCCGTATGACGAAACAAAGAGGGTTACAGCTTACGAGACAGCCAAGCCAAATGTGCTATGTGCTTCAATATGCCTTTACTATACGTTGAGCGAGGACGATATCTTCATCCCACGCATGACAATACCGAAACCTAATTGATTCGGCTCATCGATAAACCGATCGGAGATGCATGCAAATGTACGGATGCTTCCAGATGATAATGTCTCATTTCATGCATACACTGCTTCGTTTCACATTAGCCGCCAGATTCTGCCGCTCAAGACGGTTCGAGACCGGATTAATTCACTCGTTTTAACCTCATCCCCATGTCAATGCAGATTGGAGATTAGCAGTCCGGATATTTATCCATCGTCTCAATCACTCAACTGACAGGTGCGCATACAGACTTGGATGTGCCCAGAACAACATCCACCCCCACTCTGGAGAAAGGAGTGGCCATGATGAGTATGCCTGTTTGATCCATTGTTCGCGCTCATAACAACACCCCAAGACTTGATCCTTCTAAAGATTTGTATGATCGATTGCTCACTTCTTCTAAGCTTCAGCACTTTTACCCCCAATGCAGCTATACTTGCTATACACTCATCTCCTACATTGAATGATCCGTATGTTTTCTCCAGCAAAAAGATCTTTTTTGAGTATTTTTGAGATGTAAAACCTCTCTTTTCCATATGCAGGTTTACAACTCATGAACATCCAAATGCCTTACATGCATTCATGAAGATGACATCCAGACAATCGATGGATAAGCAATCTCTCCAATATAAAGTACTTGCGAAGAACATGCACACAAAGTTAAAGACGACAATGGCATCATATTTCAGTATGATATTATCCAACCATCATGTTGGTTTCGCTCACTTCTGATCTTGAAACCCTGGGATCAGAAGATTGATTAGATGCTTTTGATGTGTTCACGTGACCGGCGGATGTCCCACTTAATTCTGGCGTAGCGAGGCTGAGACAAATCGTAGAAGGCTATAGCAAGGTCTATTTTCTTCCAAATACCAACAACCATCATCGCCATCAAAACGCGTCACAGTCGCAACACCGCCAAACCCTTCAATAACAAGCTACAGACACTGGGATTCTTTGAGAGAGGAACTTTGAGCAGATATTGGCTCAAGGTACGTTTCCACGCAAAGCACTACACCGCCTCCTCGTATTCATCATGGCGTACCCTCCCCCTCCAGGCATCAGCAACAGCTCTCTCCCACCGAGACCACCCGCTTCCAAGTCAGGCTTCAAGCCCGCGTTCTCCTCTGCATCTCAGGCTGCTTCGAAGCCAGCGTACTCGAGCGCCCCTCCGACGTACTCCGGCTCTTCGAGTTATCCAGCTGCCAGCGCTCCATCCGCAGCACAATATGGCCCATCATACTCCTCCTACCCGACTACCGCTCCCGGCGCGGTGAGCTCGGGTGCTCCTTACTCGTATGCTCAACAACCACAGAGCTACGGACCTCAAAGTTACGGCGCACAAAGTTATGGGCCTCAGAGCTACGAACCGCAAAGTTATGGCGCTGGTCCACAGATCAGAAACCCCTTCCCCACGCCGGGCACAGCTGCTGCTACTGCACCCGAATACAACCCCGAGATGGCTGCCCAAATAGCTCAATGGCAGAGCGCCTACTCGAGTGCTCCGACAGACGGCAAGGACAAACCGGCAGGCCCTGTCGCACCCCGAACCGATGTCACAACTTCTACGGCTGCTGGGGCCGCCGCTGCGAATGAAGAGCGCAAAAAAACAGTTGTTCGTGAAGGCGGCGGTAAGAAGTGGACAGACGACAGTCTTCTCGAATGGGATCCCTCTCATCTGCGTCTCTTCGTGGGCAATCTTGCGGGCGAAACTACAGACGATGCCCTCCTGAAGGCGTTTTCACGCTGGCAGTCCGTGCAAAAGGCCCGTGTCATCCGCGACAAGCGCACATCCAAATCCAAGGGTTACGGCTTCGTCAGCTTCAGCGACGCCGACGACTTCTTCCAGGCTGCCAAGGAGATGAACGGCAAATACATCCAGAGTCACCCCGTCGTGGTTCGCAAAGCCAATACCGAAATCAAGGTGGCCAACGCCAAGGATAAGGACAGGGGAAGAAAAAACAAGAACAAGAAGGGCGGCCATGGCGGTGGAAATGGAGGAAGTGCTGGATATGAACCCAACCTTGGACCTACGGGCGCAAGTGGTGTGGTAAAGCCAGGACAAAAGACCAAGAACGGTCTCCGTCTGCTTGGTTAATCGTCTGATGTGAATTATCGACGGGGAAAAGGTTTTGCTTGTTGGTGTTTGGTGTTTGCATAAGAAGCATATATAGCCGGCGGCCGTGTATCAGTCCAAGTAGTCGCGCATGCAGGTGGATGATGGTAGAGTTTACATACAATATATCTATTAATTATACCACCATAATGATACCAGTATTTGCTGCTCTCGTTAAGTTTATGTGACATGATTGTTTGACTTGAGCAAGTCAATAATGACCACCGCCTGCATAATCTCGATCCAGACCGAAATGATGTAGTCAGTCGTCTGAAGTTTCTATGATGCAGGCACTCTTGAGGTCAAATATCACTGTTTGACATATTTACTTAGTCTTACAATCCCCTCTAGTCAATGAAACTATCCTGGGGTATATATTCCATTCTCTATGAAAGTCCGTCGTGTACGGCAGCAATCCGCCCATCTACCCCCTGCGCCGCCCATTGTGGGCATTGATATGTTATATAAGACAAAAGATAGGGAGCCATTGTGTTGACTCTCACCCAGTATGACAAAGAAACCAGCCCATAGAGTCGTCATATATAGGCGAAGATACTCAGAAATAAGAAAATTTGACGCTAAAACAAATGTTGACTCCTAGCGGCGCTCGTTGGCTGCCGCAGAAGGTTGATCATCGATATCGAGGCGATCGATGCTGTCGCGCAGCAGACCGGTGTTTTCCGCGTCTGTGTCACCATCGCGATCAAGAATTCCACTGGTCTGGCTTCCATGGGAGTCAGACTCGTCGCCATCGTCACCATGTTGAACGTGAACACTCTCTCGTGCCTCTTGTCGCATCTTTGTGATTTTGATGTAGTTGTAGGCAGCGATAGCGGCCATGGTCGTCAGTAGACCAACGAAGTTGATGGGAGTGAGGCGGTCACCAAATACAAGAGCAGCCGCACTAATAGTGACAACCTCTTTGAAGATGCCGGCAATAGAAAGGGTAACGACAGAGGTACGCTGCAGCAGAGCGAACTCGGAGGCTGTCATGCAAAACGCAATGCAGCCGGGGAAGAGCAGGAAAAGGGGTGCCATGAAATAGCCCCATTCGTTGCCGAGAACTTTGTAGCCCTCGATGAGGTTTCCGATTCCTTCCACGGGCACGGCGAGGCAGATAAGCACGAGGAACATGACAGGAGTAAGGAAGAAAATGCTAGAAAATGGGTTCGAGGTCGCAGGGTTGCGGAGGAGTAGAATCTGAGTGAGTCCCCAACGGAAACCAGAGAAGAAGGCCGCCGAGATAACAAGAGCGAAGCCTCCCGCCTGGAATTCAACTTCGCCAAATACCATAAGCACAACACCCAGTGTCATAGTAGCAATGATGGCGATAAGACGCAATGTTGGGGTCTCGAGACGGAAGACAAAAGCGAACATAAGGACGAAAGCAAGAGAAGATGACTTGCACATGGCTACGGAACGGTTAGCTACACTGACCGGGTAGGCACTCCAAGGGACGTACTGTAGAATGTAAGACTGATAAACTTGAGAGAAGTGTTGCCAAGTCCAATATCAAGACCTGTAGCAGCGCCACATGGTCCAATTCTGGTGAGATAAAACATCTTGGTCATGCCGTAAGACTTGGGCTCATCATCGTGCCTTGATCTCCCCAGATCGGATGTATGAGCTCGGTATCCTGGTCTCAGAGATGGTACGAAGTACAAGACTAGGCCCGAGAGCGTAAACTGTACTACCATATGCATGGAGGTTGTAAACAAAGGAAATGCAAAGTTCAAACGGTCATGATCGAACATCCATTTGTTGTACTGTAATCAAAGTCAGCAATTGGGTTCTGGTAAAGGGGAGTATTGGAGTGATTGCGTACGATCGATATTGATAATGAAAAGAGATACCATAAAAGAATCAGAACTCCGTTAAACACCAGGCTCTTGAAAACGGCTTTGTCTGCCTCTTTGCGCTCTTCTGCTGAAATGTCATTCTTATCCCTGACGATTCGCTGATCTAGTTGAGTGTTTCTGCTGCGCTTCTTCTGCCGCCTCTGCTTGTCTTTACGGGTCAATCCCGTCTCTTCGTCATCTTGTAGGTCTCCGTCGCTAAAACTGTCGTCGCCCGATTCGTCTTTACGGATAGCAAAACCATTTGCGTCTAAATCTTCTTCTGATATTTTGGGTTCGTTTGATGTGGGCGCGGGACCACGGCTTGTACCACGGAGTCGGCTTGGAGATCCGGCTGGCCGGACAGCCATGTTGTGACTGCTTCGCCGTCGGCGATGTCCTGCAATGGGCTCCATCTCTATATCCCAATCGCTTTCGCTATCGTCTCCGCCGTCGAAAGACCTAACAACCGGGTCGCGAGAAGAGCTGGCTATTGTCTGACTCCCTCCACTTGCACCTGGGTTCGCTGTTGAAGCTATCCTTGCTCCGCCTGAGGATGATGCTGCTGCTGTCGTCAAGGGGCCGGAGTCTACTGCTGATAGGTCGTCGATGAGAAGTCGGTCGGGGGATGCGGAAGGATGTGGAGCTGTAACGTGTTGCGAAGACGAAGGGAGTGATGGTGAGGAAGAGGTGGAGGAAGGCGAGGAGATGGGATCAGGTTGTAAAGGAAGAGCGGTCATGATGGAGACAAAAGGAAGGACTGGAACTAGAGCAGGGGATAGAATGGGGCTTTCATAAGTTAGTGATGGCGAAGGATAGGTTGGCTTGTGCTGTCGGTTGGACGATCTCTGGCTGGCTTAGGTGGTCGCAAGGTCTCATTCGTACAGCAGTGCATTAGAGAAGGCGGAGAAGCTAGTCCTCTTGTGGCAGTAGTAAAAAGTCGGGGCCGTCACGGTAGGGGACCGTAGTGCCGTGTCTAGTGCGTTTTAGTTGGGCACAAAAGTCATTTGGCAACATTCGGTCACTGGAACGCCCCGAGAGTGAGACTTCCTGACGTCGATGTTGAATGGAATTTCCCATGTCGAGTTTTGGGATCACGGTTACAGCTTCTCAAGCGCTGATAACATATACAGCAGTGCCTTTTAACAACTGTCTAGGTACTCTGACCCCTTATGCTCTTCCACTTGGTTTCACTAGTTCTCATTCTGTCCTCTTTCTCCTCTGCAACATCTGTTAACCCAGCAGCAAAATACGGAGTGGATCTGAAGGTGTTCGGGTTCTTGGCGCCGACATGGAACCTCGTGGCGCACTGGATTCTGCACGCGACACAGGATCTGGCTTCTCGAAAGGAGTTGTGATTGGTCCGAGCGCATGGAGGTGCCTTAAGGTTGTAAGAGGGTGCAGCACTTGCATATTGCAGTTCGTTACATTTTATGGTGGGTGGATAGGTTAGTAGGTAAAAGGCGGTAGAACAACTGCTTGTCTTTTGGTCTCTCGCAATCTGGGAAATTCTTCAGTAAATCCAAATTAATTATGGCAAACTTACGGAGTAAGTACCAAGATATTCAAGTATGTCCAGTTAAGTCTGAGTTGCACTATCAAGACCAACACAGCCCAGTGTTAAGGATTGCGGCACAGTTCTCTTCTAAGCAGTCACAAATCAACGCACCTGTTGAGAACAATGACTTGGTGGCTTTTGCGGGGGTTACATCAGAGTTATCCCGTACTTCCTCAAACAGATGTGATGAGATGAGAACGGAGCAGGCTCTATCGCTGGCGATCTTCGAGCAAGATGATCCGGCTGCTGATCAGCTCAGCACGTGTGCACTTGTTTTCACTTCCTGACTATTGATCGTCACATGTCATGGCGTTCTAAGCTTGTGCAACGTCTGTGTGCTTGAGTCAAGATGTCTTGTAGTATTCATTTATTTTTACCTCTCCAGAATATTCAATGAATTTATTCATACTTCTCAAATCATGTACGAATATAGATACAGTTCGTATCCGCCGGTAGTCGAAATGCCTGGAAATCTTTGACCCGCCAATTCAGGGGTAACGTGCGGCCTCCATCTCGTATCGACGGGGCTCTGATCTTGCATAAATCCCAGACTAGCCGATCATGAATTATAACAGAGTCCGCTCACCACAGCATACTACTATGTATGTACTTCTACAGATAATTTGTTCTGGAACTGACGAGAAGCTGAGGATTAGACTCTTCTGGTTAGTAGAGGAGGTGTGTAGTTGGGATAAGACAGCTAAGATTCTATCCTTGGGTTGCATAATAAATGTACCTTTAATTATGATCAAGGTACAAATGGATTTGCCATTCATCAGGGTGATAAAACATCCTGATCTCAAGCGACTACCACCAAAAGTCCCCTATATTTCTCACCGTTACCTGCGGCAGACGGCAACTGTTGTCTTGGCGGGAGTGAGCTCCCGGCATTGATCCATATATAAAGCTACCAAATTAAAAATACCAAGAACATACGGATATGTCCTTTTAATTTGCTGGGTCCTGACTCTGAGACAGGGTGGATTAAAATAAATCCCGTATGATATCCAGCCCTAGCAAGCTGAATACATCCAATGCCTACGGACTCACGGAGTACTACTCAAGATAATAGATTTTGGTAAAATCTTTGGCTTTATAATGTGGTGACCGTCTTCAGGAAGATTTTTACAGTACCTACATCTTCATGACCGCCATCAACAGATACTGAGCCTCACCGGTTCTAGTATATTTTATCTGGATTCAATTCTCCCACTTATCCGTAAAGCCGGACCCGAGATCCTGGTCCACCATCGAATGAGACATGGGACGAGATATCTGGGTCGCACGGAGAATCTAGCATGAAGGCTTGTCATGATACTGTGTAATAAAAGTCCGGAGTTCTTTATCAGAAATATCTTTGGCGAATCTTAGAGAAGACCGGTATACTTGAGTGATGTCTAAAGAAATTATAATAAGATAGGTAAGTAGGTGCTGTTAAGAGCTACACATGCTCTCATTTGATCTAACGATAAGTAGGTACGGAGTGGACCGTGATTTCTATTATATGGACATCGTTCGTAACGGAAGGAAGGAACCATCCAGTGATCCCGAGTCACTCTTTTTGACAATGCATTCTCTCCTTCAGCCACGGCGAATCCAACAGTTAATCTCTTCAATTTTTCTCTCTTTACAAACTTTGGAATGCCTATCTTTAATGCATCAGCATCTCAACGCCAAGTCAAGAGGAAGATATGGTTACCGTACCGAATTACATCTTGCAGGATGTGCAGCATCCTCAGAACCAGCGCCCACTTTTCGAACGGTTACCTGTTGAGATCTTTCTACGTATCCTGGAAATGTTAGACAAGTCGTATCATCTCAACAGCAGAGTGGTCAGCAAAACAGCGAATACTATCGCTACAAGAACTGGCCTTCAACAGCATCCTACTTGAACCCTGAGCACTATATCCGCAAAGCTTTGCCAACATTGCAATCAGCCCATATCTCATGAAGTGGGCGCGAGAGATCACTGTTGATAGTTGGCGGGGACACGAATAGAAATTGTCCGATGATCCGTACGATAAATCGAATGCTACGGCAATGTTGGCTGCGCTCCGACATGAATATCATCTTAAGAGCGGTTACTGGGAAGCCGTGGAACGGGGACAAGAAGTATCCTGCCATATGTTGCGATGGTCCTGGTCCTTTAAATATCTCAATCATGACCATTTCCAACCTATCCGACACTATGGACTCAAAGCTGATGGATCTTATCAGCCCATCTGAGTTACTAGATTTAAGGGGCCTTGCCGACTTTAGGTTATCCTTCGCCCGGGATGTTCTTGTTAATGACAGCAATCTGCAATTCTCTGCGGGGAGCTTCTACAGCGCCCTCGAACTCTTGAACAAAGACAACTCATGCATGTTGACCAATCTTTTCAGCAAATGGTTGACGCTTTCCTTAGCCACTCACCTCAACATCCTATCATTGTATACACATGGCTGGAGGGGTTAGCATCCAATGGTAGCTCTTCCAAAGGATGGTGATTTATGCAACGTGACCATTCTCGCCATGGGTGGTTATGTTTTCAGTCATCAAGAGCAAGTTGACTGGGTGGATTTACTTAATCTCCGAAAGCTCTATCTCGATCGATGCCGAGTACTATTCGAAGCCCGATGTGTAACATCATGGGAGGTGCTAACAAAGGGTAATTTATGCTACTTCACCATTGATCATCTAGAGATAGAAAGCACTACTGAGACGAGTGGCTACAACACCTGGAATGGATTGGATGCGTGCAATCTATATGAACCTCAGACGCTGCAGTCCCCCCTTCGATGGCATGATATGCTTAATCACTGGTGGTCTGTATCGCTGAAAAAGCTTACCACATTCGAAATGGGGCTTGGGCGTTGGAACCACAGTGGCCGGGACAGCATCCAGGACCAGAACTCGACGTCAATTGAGGAGAGCGTATACCCGGACGAGCATACCCACGAGCACATGTCATGATACAATGCATGTCGTAACTTTGCAGTTCTTGCTCCAACATCTCTCGACTTCACATCCCCATATACCAATCCAGATAGGCCCAGGATTCGATATGCCCCTGAGTACAAGGAGACAGACATGCGCCGAAGAGTTATGCCACAGTTGGGCTATCTCAAGTTTGATACACACAGTTTCCATGACTAGTCCTGGTTTGACGAGACGGCAACTGGCATAAAACTCAACACCAAGGGGCACGACGCCTTTGCTATCCCCGAGGATCTTTAGAGAAGAGATCAAAGCGCTCTGGCGAATCTACACCAACACGCCGCCACTAATCCAATCGCAACTTCTCGCCATATTCCATAAAAGAAAGATGATGGACAAACAAGGTCAGAAAGAGGTTATGTTTTGTATTGAATTAGATTAGCGAGTGCTGAATGAAAACTAGTATATCATTTGCAATTTCTTTTATGCAATAGGAAGTGAACTACGGCCCATGAACTATTCTATATGTATAGCTTGGAAAACACTCAAGTCTACCGGGTAGCAGGTCTCACTCTCATTACCAGCAAGTAAACTTGTGATGTCCTGAGTCAAGATATGGGTGTCGTTTGATTGCATTGTGTTGGGCCATTGATTTTGCAAGCAATATATGATGTTTTGCTCATGCGCTCGAGGTTGGAGCCCGTTGTCATAGTTAAAACAGTTGAAGACCCGCGTAGTCAAGATCCCAGAAATTATGGCTTGCATACACAAGAGTGACATATTCTCTTATAAATGGGTTAGTCAGGAATTGCAATCGAGATACTACAGGATCATTCCCCATACTTTCTTCAGTATCAGCAGACCTGCTCTCGGCCTATGAGATAGTCTGCTTAGGCTTCACAACTACCCCAATATACAAAACAATTTGGTCAGCCTCAATAATTAAATCAAACTATCTGCCCTCTTTCGGAAAAGGCTGCTCAAGTAATAGAGTAGTCATCCACACCATTCCAGCTTTGGCTGGAAAGTACGTAGTGAAGATCGCGGAAAGCTTATAAGTCACCCCCGCATCTCACTTACCATCTAGTTCACGATGTCTCATAAGATCTAGAAAACACTAAGATCCCCTTTGAATTTTTTGACAGGGTTCTTATCAATATCCTTATGCTTCTCTGGGGAGTCCGCAATAGTACTAACTTATTCGTCTAAACCGCTTAGACACGATCCATTACATCATCTTGGAGCTACCAAGCCGAGGTACCCCAAGCTTTCATACCTCTAGTAGCTAGAGCTTCTTTGATCCTACAGCAACACATTTACAATCGTCTTTGAAATAATGGAGGGAAGACGCTCTTCAACTCTTCCGGGAGGTTCCCGTCGGGGCCAAACAGGAGGTTATCTCCCCATTGAGGACTATGGAATGATTGGCAACATGCACACTTGTGCGCTTGTGGGAATTGATGGGAGTATTGATTACATGTGTTGGTGAGTATGTTCAGCAATGAATTTATACTCGGATCTCTCGGCTGACTTTGGAATATCTATAGGCCCGATTTTGACTCTCCCTCTGTGTTCTGTCGCTTGCTCGACAAGGACAAGGGAGGCCATTTCTTCATCTCTCCCCCGCCTGATGTCAATTGCACTACGAAGCAGCAGTATCTGCCCTCGTCTTGTATTCTACAGACGAGATCCATTCATGAAGATGGCGTTGTTGACGTGGTTGACTTTTTCCCTCGTCCGAAGAGCACCCAAGTCACGACCAGAGGTGTTAAGCTTAATGCCTATCGAGAGGTAACCAAGGTCCAAGACGAGCTCAAGAAGTGGCTGGTTCGTCGAGTGGAATGCATCCGTGGTTCAATGAATCTTGGTAATCTCTCCACTGACAGCATCTACCTTGAAGACAATGAAACTAACATTTCCAGACATCGAACTCTTTCCATCATTCAATTACGGAAGAGATGAGCATGTGACAACCTTGACTCAAGCAACCCACTGTGCAACCGATGCCAAAAGCCTAGCTGCCACTTTCCGCAGTAAAGATACCCAACTGCAGCTTGACGTTGCAATTGAAAAGGGAGAGAACGAGACCAGTTGCCCTCTCATAACCTTCCGGAAAGAAAAACGCCCTGGCGTCAACGGCGAAGGTTTAGTTGCTTCGATTCGCATTGAGGAAGGCCAAACTATATCATTCGTCCTTCGGAACGATATTGAACACCACGTCACAGAGAACATTACAGTTGATGTTCTAGATGCCCAGCAGCATGCTACGCAGAGTTTCTGGTATAACTTTATCGGGCAGTCGAACTACAAGGGCCGATGGAGGGAGGTGGTGTCACGAAGTTTGATGATTCTCAAGATGATGACCTACGGTGAGACCAAGATTGCTTTAGGCTGTATGGGAAACTTTCTAAAAGTTCGCAGAACCTACTGGAGCTATTGTTGCTGCCCCGACCTTTTCTATCCCTGAAGCCATTGGCGGTGCTAGAAACTGGGACTACCGCTATTGCTGGATTCGCGACTCAAGCTTCACCATCTACATCCTGCTACGCCTTGGTTTCAAGGCCGAGGCAGATGCCTATATGGAGTTTATCATGGAGCGATTCGTTCATTCGCGTGGTCCAGACGGAGGACTGCCGATCATGTTTACTATCCGAGGTGAAACTGATATCCCGGAGCTCACGTTAGATCATTTGGAGGGATACAGAGGCAGCAGTCCTGTTCGCATCGGCAATGGCGCAGCGTTTCATCAGCAATTTGATATATACGGTGAGCTCATGGATGCGATCTACTTGTATAACAAGTATGGAAAGCCAGTGCCTTGGGATGTCTGGAAGGCTGTGCGCGAGATCCTTGGTAAGTCCACCAATACCGCCATATGCTGCCTCTACTAACTGTTTTGAAGACTATGTTCTGACTATTCTCGATGGTAAGTAGTACAACATCTGCCACATATCACCGACTAACAATTATAGATCCCGACATGTCCATCTGGGAGGTCCGCAACAATAAGCAGCACTTCACCTATTCCCAGATTATGCTCTGGGTCGCCTTTGACCGCGGGCTTCGTCTCGCAGATAAGAGATGCTTTCCATGTCCCAATCGTAGCAAATGGATGGAAGCAAGAGATAACCTCTATGAGCGCATCATGGAGAAGGGTAACGAGTGCACTATCTAACAATAAATCGACTCTGCTAACTGTCTGCAGGATACAACGAGGATATGAAATGCTTCGTACAGAGTTTTGAGAGCAGGACTATGCTTGACTCTTCTATCCTCATCGCTCCTCTTGTATTCTTCATCTCGCCCTGCGATCCACGCTTCCTCAACACCCTCGATCGTATTCTTCTACCCCCTGAGAAGGGAGGCTTGACAAGCACCGGCTTAGTATACCGCTACGACACCGAAATCTCAGACGATGGTTAGTTTTTTTCCAGCACCCGCATACAAATTTGTAGTCGCTAACGAGCCCAACTCATGCTGTAGGAGTGGGTGGTCAAGAGGGTGCATTCAGCATGTGCACGTTCTGGTTAGTCGAGGCCATGACCCGGGCAGCTGTGTACGAACCAAAGTATCTTGTTCGGGCCGTCAATCTGTTCGAGAATATGCTTGGATTCTCCAACCATCTTTGCATGTTCTCGGAGGAGATCGCAAGGAGTGGCGAACAGCTTGGCAACACACCTCAGGCGTTCAGTCACCTTGCCTTGATCAGTGCTGCGTTTAATCTCGATCGTACTGCGAGGTGAGGTGCATCACTTTAGATTTGCAATGGCTACTAGGTGAAAGAGATTATGATTGCCATATTTTCAAGCTCTGTCATAGTTCCCTAAGAAGTTCATAAGTGTTTCTCATTACTACGTATTGGTAACATTGGATTAAGTTCAAGGAGAAGTAAATGTATCAGCAACTGCAGGTAGTGAATCCCACTCCTATGATTCATACCAAAGTTTTATGTATTTTGTAAATATTTGTCATTTATCGTCAAACTCATCTACCCACGGGCTGTCGCCGTCACAGGATCTCCAACCTTGATAGTAGGATATTGCGACTCTATACTCGCAACATCCTCTTCTATCAAGGGATCATGGCGCATATGAACCCCAAAATAAACCTTGCCATCAAATCGTCTTGTCTTTGCAAGTGTCACGAATGGCTCCTCCTTCTTCTCTCCTGTCTCTTGATCTATACAAACCATCTGACACCTGCGGCAGGCACCCATGAGTTTGAAATTTTGATGGCCAATGTGCATAGAGTCCCAGCTATCCTCGGAAAAGGCTACCTGAGGTTTAGAGCCAGCAGCTTGCTCCATCACAATATTGGCCCGGAACGACTTTTCAACCACTGGTCTGCCACCACGGCTCGAAATCTCTTCATTTAACGCATCGACACTGGAGCTGTGGATCATCAAGATAGGACTCTCGTTTGAAAGCAGAATCTTGGCAGATTTCTGCTGCTCGGAATCCGAATCCGGAGGCGATGGTACGTCTGGGAATGAACCCGGTATCGTATGCACCTTGGTCGGTTGTTGGTATCGCTGGATTTGCGCCTTTGACAGGCGACTTTTCAGTCCTAGGCCACCAGGAGGAAACCTTGCCAAGACACAAGGAACACCAAGTACGGAAGAAAAGAAGGAGTTAATAGTGTCCGACGTATATATCTGTGTGGTCACTTTCTCGCCACATACCCTTGATGCCTGTCTCTCGAGGTCGGAGTCGATGACAGAAGGGTCTGCTGATAATGGTATGGATACCTGGTGTTGTTGACCTTTGTTGAGTTTGCCGTGAAATGTGACAACTAGTTCACCTTTCTCAAAATCCAACACTGGTCGTAGCAGCGCCATCTTGGGGCATCTTTTCTGGCTCAGAGCGTGTCCTGAGCCATGATGAACTAGGCACCATTCACGATCCCAGGCTAGACCTTCTGGTCGAACCTCCCAAGGCACTCCAGTTAGGATAGAAAAGCCAGCACAGCTTTTGACAGGGTAGACGGTGACAGATTTGACCCTTAGAGCTGGTGGTTGGGATTTAACGGTCGGGCTGAGGACTAGATCAGGATAGGCGGTTATTATCTTCCTTTCCTGGTAGAACTCCTTAATAAATGTAACAAACCCGTTAACATCAGCTTCAGTGCTCATCGCAGCCAAACTAGCTCGAATGACTCCAGTTGGTTTCCCGGACATAACATCACTATCCACTCCGCAACGGAACCCTGCGGAGAAGTTCTTCTTCATCTCCCATGGCTGCAAGTCAAGAGCTGAGGCAATGCCCCCTGGGCTGCATAGACCCCCTGTCCGAATGTGAATGTTCTTCAGATTTGCAAGTTTCTCGAACTCGGCTAGACTGATCCAGGCACCTTGGCTGTTCCTTAAGTTGAAAGAGATCACCGGACCGACTCCGAGACAATTCGTCTCGTCGGCCATTGGCGTATAGATAGAGCAAACCGGTGTACCGTTCGCGTGGCGCATATTGCCCAACTGCTCAAGCATTCGTTGGGCGAGGTAAGAAGTGTGCGAGCTGACCTGATCCATCGAACCGAATAGTCGTCGATGTATGTCCATAGCTATATCAAGCGCCACTATGTTGTGAAATGGTAGTGTGCCGTCCTCTAGTCGTTCGTGGAGGAATTGTGATTTCGGTGCATGCCACTTCTCCTTTCCAGAAACAACCATGTCCACAGTACCACCACCAAAATATCTTCGGTTTTCAAATACCCATTCTGAGGCACGCTTCACCAGCAATGCGCCAAGATCTGGAAATCCAAATATCTTGTACAAACTCAGAACAGTGAAATCTGGTGCCACGTTCGGATCGCTAAGATCAAGACGGGATGTGGCAACAAACGAGGACGCATCAAGTAATGTGAGTACTCGGTGCTGAGGACTTTGCGGGACTTTTTGCATATCTCTTGTCCATGTTAAAGGATACCTTCTACCATCCATATGCGACTGGGCAGGATAGGCAAATAGAGTTGCTGACGGTGAGGCCGTAGTTGTGTCCTGAAATGGGCATTGTCCTTCTAACCAAGATTCGACCTCGTCGTCGCCAATGGACGTGCTAGCAACAGATTCCTCACGCACTCCGACCAAGCTAGTATGGCAGGCTTGGTGATATGCAAATAGGAAGCCGTCTGGTTGAGTTCTCATAGCATCAACAACCAATTTGACACCAGCTGTGGCATTGGCAACAAACACCACATCATACTCGGCTGGATCCGCTCCGAAGAAAGTCAATAAGTTCATTCGAGCATCCTCAACACGAGAAGTTGATTGTTGAGAGGAGGAAGACGCAGAATGGGGGTTTCCGTAAAGAACCGTCGTCATCTCGCGGGTAAAAGAGTCCATCAAGGACTTGGAACATAACGTTGAGCCAGCATGATCGAGATATATAGATTCTATGGGAATTCAGTATAGTCACAAAATAATATACGAAGATACTTACCCTTAATCATGGGATATTCAGCTTCTCTAAACTCCTCCACTGCAGCATTGTAGCGGCAGAGGTGCGAGTTGCCACCACGAATAGATGTTGCCATCTAGGGTAGCCTGTATAGGTTCGAAAGTGAACTCCCACGGACAGAGGTTGATCTATTGGTAGGATTCTTAAAATCAAACAATGACAAGCCTATGCAGTAGTACCTAGACGTTGTTATATGTTGCACAGCAGCTTATCAATTTCCGATGAGGAGGTCTAAGCCGCTATCACGAGCAATGTGGGAGTGGGGTTGAGAGTGGAGGAGAGGTTCATTGCTTCGACCCAAGCCGAGGAAGGGAGTTGGATATTAATGCTAAAAACGAGAGATGTTTTAGAGGACCATGAAGTAAACTTAGTGTTATTAGGAAGGTATGACAATATCCTACAGAATAGACACCTTATCTAAGGTCAGCTGCATTGATGTTTGCCGCCTTTTAGCGAGTGAACCACTGAGCATAGCGGGTTATCCCCCAGATTTGCTATTAGTTGCGAGCGGAGATCGCCACTTTCCTGTTTCAAGGTATGGCAGGTGCTCGCTGTTTGCCGACAGATTCTATCTGATTGTTCATTGGCCCATATAAATGCGGAGGCTACAGCAGGTACAGGTACAATACGCAAGGTACAGTACCGTGCAAAAGTTCCGATAATTGGGCAGGACACTTAGCTGTAAGAAGCTATGCATCATCAGAAAAAACCCGATGGAGATTTAAATAAGATCTAACAAGTACATATGTGTCTATTATAGTAGCTTAGAAAAGCACAGAAGAAGTTATCAGAACTGTTATACGGTTACTGTACTTGGTGTGTTTATTCGCACGTTGAAATTGTTAGGATTCGTTTGGTTGCCAATTTGTCTGAGTTTCCCGAAGACTTATGTGAGTTAGATTCTTGAAATAGAAAGTATGAGATCAATTGCATGTAGTCTTTATTCAAACAATCACCAAGTATCTTCTATATATCTCTGCGTGCTTGCTCTGAGCCACCTACTCCGTATATAAAATGCATCATTATCCGCGCTTATCCTAGAGCAGCCGTAGAGAGCCTAGAGAGCTTCCCGGTTGGGGGTCGTTTTAGTAGTGGAGGCCCCTAAGCAGGCACCTACCTCCTCTGCTCCACCAATTCGCGTGCAGGCACCTAGCTGAACTTCCGACTGGCCCCCATCCAACCAACCAACTCAGCCTCTTCAACCTCACTTCACTCCATCACATCACATCGCATTGCATTGACACTGTTGTGAGTTGAAGTGCGCATCTCTCGACTCAAGCGCTGTTGCTACATCGTCTTCTTCTTGAAGATCGCGCTTGTTCAATTAGTTTGTCTCCCTATACTCTTTGATCTCCTGCTCTCTTTTCCCCTTCTCCCTCTTGCAGCTCTTCCAACTCGTCGATCCAGCATTCGCATCCGCAGCCTCGCGTTTTCACACTTCCTCCCTCTTTGACGCGGCATTTCTATCTTGCCAATCTCGATCTCAATATCATTCTTCTGAATTCCCCTTATCTCTTATTCTTCGTTCAGGGCGCGTTGTCCTTGGGTCATCTTCTTCATGGCGCCTCGTTGGCAACCCTCCTCTTTTTCTTATCCCCTACGCCACTATCTGTTCCCATTCTACTCAAGATAACTTGTCTAACGTCGACCATGTTGCCAAACAATAGGTACAAACTTTGCGAAACTTGCCAATTGCTCAATAGCGAGCAGCAGATACCTGCGCAGACAACCCGCTAAGCAGCTCCCTTTCATGCCGCGTCGCGTCGCTTGCAACGACATCAACAATGGACTCCTACACGTCTTTTCGGGATGCCTCGGCTCGCTCACCGGTTGATCGCAACTGGAATCGTGATGAATCGCGCACCCGCGATGCCCGTGATGAACGTCCAGAACGCCCCGAGCGCCCCGATCGCGGCGATTCCTTTTATCGCGGAAGATCCCCAGGTTCGTACATCAAGCTTATGCTTTGAATTTCGCCGTAAAATGGCAATGGGCTCTAGCATCTTGTCGCGAAATGAATGAAGCTCACATATCCCTAGGGCATGAACGTCGCGAACGTCGCCGATCTCGCTCCCCAGCCACCGTTGACCGCTACGAACCCCGTCCACGTCGAGGAGATGACCGGGACCGCGATGACAGACGTCGCATACAGTCGCCACCTGCCAATATCGACCGATACGTGCCCGGACAGGATTCTGGCTCAGGCAACCCGAGCGTCAACCCTCTCGCCGACCCTGTCAAACTTCCTTACCAAGTTGGTTTCTCCTACTTTGGAGAATGGTGGAGAATGAATGAGAAGATCAAAGAAGAAAAGGAACGAGTCCGCACTGGCCGTCGCCGAGAGCCTGAAAGAACCCGTGGCCCAGAAGATCGTGAGAAGGAGAAGGCCAAGATCCAGGCCGCCTATGATTCCTACAAGGAGGAGCTTCAGGCCAAGATGGCACGATCTTTTGTGTCCGAACACAAGAAGGAGCAATGGTTCAAGGAGCGATATGTCCCTGAAATTCGAGATGATTTTAGAGGGAAATTGAACGAATACCGACGTGGTGCCTACAACCAATGGGAACAAGATCTCGAATCTGGTACTTTTGATGACTTTTCTCTCGAAGGTCTCCCTAAGAGTGAGAGCAATGGCAGTGGTGGTGTTGTTGAAAAGGAGGAAGGTGAAGCGACGGCTACGAATGAGATTCTTGGTGTTGGTGATCTTGTCCCAGCGAACGGAGCTGACATTCGTGACGAAAACCAGTTCCAGCCAACACTTTTGATTAAGACCATTGCGCCTCATGTCAGTCGTCAGAATCTCGAGGCCTTTTGTAAGGAGCATCTTGGTGAGGAGGAGGGTGGCTTTAAGTGGCTCTCTTTGTCTGATCCTAACCCCAGTAAGCGGTACCATCGCATCGGATGGGTTATGCTACACCCCTCCTCTGAAACCATACTTCCAGTGGATCGCATTGACCCCAAAGACGAGGACGGTGACGAGGCGATAACATCTCCTCAGCCAGTGTCTACCGCCGACAAAGCCTTGGAAGCCATTAACGGAAAGACCGTTAAGGATGAGGTTCGAGGCGACTTTGTCTGTCACGTTGGAGTTCACAGCCCGCCTGTCCATCCCCGAAAGAAAGCTCTTTGGGACCTCTTCTCTGCTCCTGAGCGCATCGACAAGGATCTTCTGCTTGTTCAGCGAATTGTTAACAAGTTTGAGGAGGAGTTTGGTTCCGACTTCCAGGCTACGTTGAAGATTGAAGAGAAGGTTGAAGATTTAAGAACTGCCGGCCAAATCCAGCCTGCTGTGATTCCAGCACCCGCCAAGAAGGTCAAGAAGACCCGAGAGGTGGGAATGGACGAGGCCATGGATGAGGAGGAAGACGGTGTCATTGAAATTGAAGAAGAGGAAGAGGAGGAGGAGGGTGCCATTGAAGATGAAGAGGTTGATGACGAAGACCTCCTAGTCAAGAAGAAGCAGCTTGATCTTCTGATCGAGTACTTGCGTCGGGTGTTCAACTTCTGCTTCTTCTGTGTTTTCGAAAGTGATTCGACTCACGAGCTTACGCGAAAATGCCCTGGTGGACATTTGCGCCGCCCCCGAAGCACTCTCTCATCTTCGGCAAAAGCCGTCGCGCGAGCCAGCGCCAACGGAGACCCGTTCCCTGGCAAGAAGCGAAGTGAAGGTGCAGATGAAGCTGAAGGCGAGCTCACTGAGGGAGAAAAGAAGTTCCGAAACGCTTCAAACAAGACGGAACAGCAGCTCCTTCGGGCGTTCAACTGGGTCAAGACATTTGAGGACAAGCTTCTCCAGATTCTAGAACCCCATTCCGTCGACATTCGAAAGCTTGGTGGCCGGCCTGCGGATGAGGCTGTTGAAGAAGAGCTTCTCAAGCATGTGAAGCAAGAGGATGAGCACAAGTGGCGATGCAAGGCCCCCGAGTGCTCCAAGCTGTTCAAGGAGGAGCACTTCTGGCGCAAGCACGTCGAGAAGCGCCATGGCGATTGGGTTGAGAGCTTGAAACAAGAGGTGTGTTGTGTCTTACTTGTATTATGCGTCATTTGACTAACTCGGGATGTTTAGTTCGAACTGATTAACGCCTACGTGATGGATCCTTCACACATTGCACCATCCAGAACTGATGCCAACTCGAATGGCCATTTCCCCCCATCCAATGGTCAGTCCAGTAACGGAACACCACGTGGTTTCAACCTCCAGAACTTTGGCATGAACAATGTGATGGGCATGCCTGGCTTCCCCATGGCTCCTGGTAACTTCCCACCTATGTTTGCAAACATGCAATCTGGAGGGTGGAACCCCATGGGTGATGACCGCTCTGGTGGAGGACCTGTCCGACGAGGAGGTATGGGTGGTGGCCGTGGCCAGTTCCGCTCCGGGCCTTATGATCGCCGAGGCGGAGGCAACAGATACGACGCCGGTCGCAACCGAAATGGCGGATCGCGATGGGGTGACGGTGCTGGAGGCGCTGCGGGCGGACCTCGTGAGGCCGTCCAGGGCCGAAGCCTCAAGAGTTATGAGGACCTTGACCAGGTCTCAGGTGGTGGCAGTGGTGAGCTCAATTATTAAACCGCCAACACACCTACTGGTTTGAAGCACGGTAACTCGGATACTTTGGAGTTTATTGCTTTTCTTTAATATGAATATCTGGATTTTGGGAGGAAGATGGTATCTAGATGATGTACTATAGGCCCGCACTTATTCGCTATTTGTGCAAAAAATAGCAGTTTATTAAGAATGTTTTATAACTAATAAATTCCTTCCTCTAAGACTGTCATGATACGCCCCTGAACTGCCTTTAGAGAATGCCTCTTGAGTGACTTTATGCTAAACTTGTCAAAACCTTGTCCAATATTTGTGCTCATCATGATACCAACTTCTTGATCCTCAGGGTCCTAGACTATTCGACCTTCGGTGAGCCTCGGTGAAGATAAGACATTGTGGAGTGGGCAAGTCCACACCGCAGCCAATGATAAACAGCGATAAGACTTTTTCGCGACCACATCCCCACCGCCCACCTTTTTTTTCTATAGGCTCGTGCAACTTTCCTCTAGATCCAATCCTCGACGGCCGTTGTCTTTCAAGCGTTCAAAGTCGCAAAGATGGGACTCCTCGCAGAGAACAAGATGTAAGGGACAACCCTTCTCATGTATTGTTTGCAATAGCACAGAGGGCAATGCGCTAACTCATGGCAGCCGATCAAAGATCAACAAGGACCCCAACAATACGAAATGGACTAAAGATACGAATACCTTCGGACAGAAGATCCTTCGCGCACAGGGTTGGCAACCGGGCCAGTTCCTCGGAGCTCAAGATGCGCCTCACTCCGAACTACACACGGCCGCCAACGCTTCCTACATTCGCGTGGTGCTCAAAGATGACATGAAGGGATTGGGTTTCAAGAAGAACAAGGAGGACGAAATTACTGGTCTCGATGTTTTCCAAGATCTGCTTAGTCGACTCAACGGAAAGACGGAAGATGCTATCGAAGAGGATCAACAGGTGCGACTCGCCGTCAAGGCGCACCACTTTGTCGAGAACCGATATGGAGCCATGAATTTCGTATACGGTGGTCTACTCGTGGGCGATGAGATGAAGGGGGTGGAAGAGAAGAAGGATGAGGAGCAAAAAGAGACAACCTCCGACGAGGACGTGGCTATGGAAAACGCCCCGACACCAAAGGAATCCAAGAAGGAGAAGAAGTCCAAGAAGAGAAAAGCAAACGACGACGACGAGGAAGAGTCTTCCAGCCGAGAAACCGATTCGAAGAGCAAGAAGAGACGCAAGGAGGAGCGTAAGCTAAAGGAGAGCGACTCCGACGACGCTAAGGCCAAGAGAAAGAAGGAAAAGAAGGAGAAAAAGGAGAAGTCCCGCAGCAAGAAGCCCACAGACGAGGGTTCAGACAACGAAGATGGCACGTCCGAAGAGCGCTCCAAGAAGCGAAAGTCCAAATCCAAGTCCAAGAGCAGGTCTTCTGATGACTCGGATGAGGACAAGGTGAAGGACAAGAAGTCCAAAAAGGAGAAGAAGGACAAGAAGAAGCGTAAGAAGGAGGAGGCCGCCTCGGGATCTACCAGCACCCAAATCTCGACGCCCGCGGCATCGGCACCAGGAACAGGGGTCACAACGCCATCTGGCACCTCAACACCCCGAGGTAGCAGAAACTTTGTGCGGTCACGATTCATTGCGCAGAAGAGACAAGCTGTGATGGATGTTAAGGCACTGAACCAGGTTTGTATTCTCCCGTGTCTAACTTTTGGGAGACTTTTGCTAACAATATTTAGATTTTCATGGTCAAGGCTTAGATTACGAGTATTGAACGGTTGATTGGGATAAAATACAGAGCGCCTAGATGGGTGAAGATGTATAGACCGTGGTTTGTCAGATATACGGATGTATACGGCATTGTTGTAAAAGGCGTCGGTTTAATGTTAGAAGAATATCACATTTTGAAGTAAGAAGTATTAGTGCCAGTGATTGATGAGAGATGATTCCGAAATTGTAATGGATGAGACGCCAATGATTCCCAGTTAATGTCTCAACTTTGTTAACAATGCAACATTAAACATAATTAATTGCATACCTCACGAACTGGAGGTTTATAGTCATATCGTGTCCGCATCTACGAAATATCAAGTACGTCACTTATATGTTGCAAGCAATGATGAGTAAGTTAGATCATATGATTGATTCTGATGTTACTCCAACACCTGAAGCTCGCTTCAGCGTAAACTCCGCGGCCAAAAAGCCATTGTAACGTAAAGTCATAATACTAAAAAGGGCCTCAATACCCTGGATTCCGCCGTCATGCTGATAATAATACATAAGATAATGCCTTCAATTGATCATGATTCATTTCGATTACTTGTTGGCATTCTTGCCAAAGTTGCTAATACCATTGTTAGTATAAAATGTGAGAATGCAGCAATTGTGACGTACTTGTGGAAGAACTGGCTGAACATGCCGCCCTTTGCCTGCTGGTCTGTCATACTCGCACGGCGGGCGGCGCTAGCATCAGAGCCTCGCTTCTGTTCGTGGAGTCCGGCGAAGGCTGGCATGAAGCCTGAGCTCTGCGAGTGTGTTAGTGGGAGGGTGATGATAGGGAGAAGTTGAAGAGGAACGTACTCGGCGACGGCCGCTGGTGTTGCCAGTAGGAGTAACTTGGGGAGCACCGGAGTCCATGATGATTGTTGTTAAGGTGAAGGGTGAAGAGGTGTAGTGAGGTGGTGTATTTGTTGGTGGTAGAATGAGGTTTGTGTGTAGTCGTGAAAGTGATAGTGTGGGATTGAATGCTGTAGTATGAAGATGAGAAGACAAAAAGCCAAGAGGAGGGGAACAGCTGAGTTTATATCTTGAACGAGCAACCAGAGATCAGACCAGCTGCCGTCGATCTTTGGACCTACCTACGGCTCTTGCAGCAGAAGTGGCCAGAGCGAGTGCAACTCTACAAGATAGGGATGGATACCTGCGACCTACGCCTACGTAGGTGCAGCTGCAGCACGAGCTAGACATGTCGACCCAAGCCCCCAGGGCTTTGATCTCGCGTGCCACGGGAGAGGAAGTCAATCAACCATCATCGCTACAGGAACTGACCAATAACCAGCCCAATCCGTAAGCCTTTGGCACCGGACATGGTGCATCCAAAGCGTGCTGGCTAGGCTGGCCATTCTTTTTCGAGCGTTAGTCAATCAGGCCAATGACAAAGGTGGCGTGCCCCCGTCAAAAACAGTTCAACAGTCATCCCTTTAAGCTCTGCGCGACACTTCCCCAGGGAGGTATCGTTGGCCAACCAGGACGTTTCGATCGCCAGACACTGGGACAGCTTCCCTACGAATCTCACAGATAGATGGATAGACAGACAGATAGATAGCAATGCGGGAACCGAGAGGAGACATCTCGCTTGTGAATACTTAGCATCATGACTCAAATCCCCCAAGACGCTGATCTCTAATCCACCAGATCCAAACGCGGAGAAGGCACCTTATCGATGGCCTCGAAGCAGAGCTGATACTAGGTAAGTACCTTAGGTAGATACTTAGGTAGGAAGGTCACACCACCCTACCACTTGGCAGGGGGATTGGTGACAAGCACCAGTAACTTTACGCGGGGAAGTGTCTGTAATTGACTGATTGCTTAACATGCATATGCCAATGCTTACAGCGTTGCACTGTACATTGTACAATGTCTGAGAGTCAATTGCACTGTTTTCTGCTGCTCATACAATACCTACAGTGAGATTGAGACTGTGATGCCCCATTGGAAAAACGGTGCATCAAAAAGGTACATGGCATGTAGTTACGATACTCATGATGAATAGAGACGTCAAAGTCTGTCCTGAGATCGCAATGACGAGGTCTGAAGTGGATGCACCCGATTGTCATTGCACGATTGCAGCTGGGGAAGGGGCGGGGCTTCAGGGACGTGGGGCCGATCGAGTCGGTTATGTGGGGCTAAGGCAAGAGCAACAGGAAGCTGCCGAAAGCGGGGGGGATCAATTGTAAGTGAATTAGTATGAAGTGACATTTCATATTCATGTCTATTCATATTCGTATCAATCACATGAACAAAAAAGAAACGAGAATGATAACCGTCTACCATCACTAAATCTTCCCCCAGAAGCATAACTCAACTGCCGAAAAGAAAAAAAAAACGTCAAGGATTCAGGGTCCAATTATCGTGTGCGTAATCAACGTCAACGATCATGAACGGCTTCGCTTCTTGTGGGGCACACGCGCTTTGAAACAGAAACATCTATCATCACTGACGACACGACTCTCGATTCCCGTCTCTAGTCAGGGTCCCTCCCCATCACTCACCATCTCGTCCCAGGGGGACCCCTATTCAACAGATCTAGACTCTAGACCCCAGATACTGGATCGGGCTGACCTTGGGCGTGTACTGACTGACTTGACTGTACTGTGCGTTGCTGTACTATCCGATTTTTATTTTTATTCTTATTTCGTCTAGTCATGATACTACATGCTGCACCCCCAGGACCTCTAGATGCCGTTCCTCTAAACACTCAACACCCAACACGCGTCATACGTATCTCGGCTGTTTTCTCTCTCTTTTTTTGTTCCAATTCCACCATGATAAGAAAAAGTTATTTACTCCTTCTCTAATCTCACCGCAGGGTTTCTCTCGATAAAGTTGAGATCAACCTTGTGGCCCAGCAGCTCTCGGATGTTGGAGATCTTGTACTTGATCATGGTCGGTCGCTCAAGTGACAGACCCCAACCAAACACCCGCATGTCCTTGGGCAGACCCATGGGCTCCAGCATCTCAGGTCGGAACATGCCACTGTTTCCAATCTCCACCAGCTTGCCCAGACCCTCGTGGTAGCTGAAGATCTCCATGCTGGGCTCTGTGTACGGGTTGTAGGCCGGCTTGAACTTGAGGTTGGTGATGCCCATCTTGGCAAAGAAAACCTCCATGAACTCCATCAATCCACCCAGTGTAAGTCCGTAGTCAGCGATAACACCCTCGACCTGGTGGAACTCAGCCAGGTGGGTTGCGTCCACTGTCTCGTTGCGGAAGACGCGATCAATGGAGAAGTATCGTGCAGGTGGTGGGCGGCCGTCAGGTCCCTTCTGCGCCGCTAGCTTGTACAGCATGGCTGTTGAAATAGCAGTAGTGTGGGTTCGCAGCACCAATCGCTTGGTCTCCTCGGCTGACCAGGGATATCTGTAACCAATCGATCCAAACTTGCCGTTTTGATGCACCTGCTTGATACTCTCCCAGTATTCCTCCGTGTTCTGTCCCTCCTCTGACCGCGGCGCATCGCCAACCTTGGGGTCAGAAATGTAGAAAGTGTCCTGAAGATCACGGGCAGGGTGCTGCTGGGGCACGAACAAGGCGTCAAAGTTCCAGAATCCAGTCTCGACGAACTTGTTGGTCGGCATCTCCTCGAAACCCATCTCGAAGAAGATTTGTCGGAACTCGTGTCGCACCTTGTTGAGCGGGTGCAGAGCGCCGGCGTTCTGGTCCGCACCGAGGGCCTTGAAGTTGTAGGGCTTGAAGTTGGCTGTCTTCCACGCTCCGGACGCAATCATGTCGGCCGTCAGATCTGTCTCCTCCTTCTGAATCTCCAGGGCAAACTTGGTGCCCTTCTCGATCTTGAAGCTGATGACCTTTTGCATCTTGATCAGTTTTCGCTTTCGCAGGTCGGTCAAGACCTTGGGCTCGTGGGTTCGGGTCTCCTTGATCTTTTGAAGCTGCGCTCTGGTGACATCCTCGATCGACTCGGCCTATTATGTGAGGTTAGTCAACAATTAGACTTGAAAAAATGAAATAGCACATAAGCCCTGGATTCTACGTACGGTAGCAACCAGTTTGCCATCGTCGCTCTTCTTGATCCACTTCTCCTTGAAGGCCTTGCCCTGTCCGACCTTGGTCACTGTCTTATCACCAATGGCCTTCTCCAGGTCCTGGATCGACAACCCCTCCACAGCATTTCGCAGCGCCTCAAAGACACGCGCCTCGTGACTACCATGCTCAGCAATCTGCTCTGCCTCGGGCTCGAGCATAGCCTCTTCTCGGTCAATTGTCTCATATGTGATCATAGATCGTGAAGCCAGACGATCGAGGGCAGCCTTGATGTCCTGGAAGGCGATGGCGGGGAAGGCCTCAGAGGAGAGCAGGGGGCTCTTTTCCGACAGGGCCTGAAGGATCTGGGAGGTGAGATCCCCCGAGGGGGCAGAGCTTGAGGTCGTCATGATGTCGGACTTGTCGAGTTGTGAGGAGCCAAGACCAAGTCGTGGGTTTCGCTCTTTGGTTGTCGTTGTTCGTCTGAGTCACGGCGGGCAGAAATTATTTGGGCCTCTGTAGTGCTCTGTCGCTTCACCCACCACAGCCCACGTCCGATGGCGGGGTACTTGAGATACTTGCGCTGAGGTACCTAGGTATCCCGCCATTAACGGACCTTCCTTTATCCGGACACAGCTTGCCCTGTCAAGGCTGTCACGCCTAATCCCTGCAATCTAATCATGGCGGCTCAAGTCGCCTCATGCTCTAACAAGTTACCACCATCCATACGAAACTGTATTAATCGATTTCTTGAATTCACATAGCCCCAATCAAAATCATTTTGCTGTATAAACATTAACCCTTTTTGTCGAACCTCTGCTGCAATCATACACCGTCTGCGAAATCTCCATGGTCCACACGTGCCTCTCCTGAGCTATCGACCTGCTCATGCAGAACTAGCTTCCCTACAGATGCAGATGCAGATGACGATACCCGAGAATGAGCGATGATGCCTCGCCGAGCTCTACGGCGCCGAACGATGTCTCTCCCGCTGAGCCCGCCAATGCTTCTTCCACAAACCGCGTCACATGGAACCTGTCCCGGTCGCGCGCCCAGTCACAATCTCAGCGTCGTAAGAAGAAGAAGAGCAGCAGGAAGAAGCGCAACCCAGGCTTAACGAGGCAGTTGGAATTTGTCACACATTTGCTTAAGAGTCTTGATACCCTGGTTTTCGCGGAGTTAAGTGCGCTTTATTATATGGAGTATGTGATTGTCGTCTTCGTACCCTTCTTGAGTTGTGCTTACCAATGATGCCTGTCTAGATGCTCGATGTTTCGGTTCATCCTGAGGTCTGTTGGCCAGTATTTGTATCTCACACCAAAGGACGAATCCTTCCCTTTTGTAATGCCCGCGGGTCCCATTCATGCCTGTCTGGTTATCATTCCCAATATCATCTGCATACTCCTCCACGTCTTTGTCTCTTTGCCCGTGGGCCCAGACTTCCATCGAGGATATAATCACGGCGGTGTGATTATCGACTTTATAGGTCAAAAACCGCCCACTTCTCGCCTCTACTATGTATTAGCAGATGTCATGATACTTGTCGTCCAATGCCTAATGTTGACGGTGCATACCGAACGAGAGAGGCTTCGTGTGACTCTCAAGACCTTCCGACCTATGGTACCGGATGTGGCCCAAGATACGGGGCCAACTATAGAAGATTTGGATGCAGAAGAGCGTGGTGTTTCTAGGGATATGCCTGGCCCATTACCAACTGATGAAGAGGAAGGTATCGAGCTGCAGCCTTTAAGACCTGCCAGTACACCTGAAGAAGCCGACTCAACACAAGTAGAGCCAGAGCCGCCCTCTAGGGATCCGCTTGATGAACCGACAAGATCGCACCTGTCTGACTGGTTGAGCTCTGGGAACGGAATCATTGGCGAGTTTCATGTTACTCATTCACTCCGTAATGCGGCCATGAATGTTGAGAGAACGACCGCATATTCCCTTCGTACAATTGGCTACGGAGCAACTATGGCTACTATTGAAGCCCGGAGGCGAAGCCTCAATGTACCAGTACCAGCGGTTCAAACCGATAGAAGATAGCCAATACCATTTTAGCGATTCAAAATTGATTCTCAGTTTGCAAAGTTTTGACTGGAAATGTATTACTGCTTGCCTTTACGCCATCTTTCTTCCAACATTGCCAACACCGGTACCCTTAACAGAAACAATGATATCATTCGTATCGTCCCCAACGTCTCTCAAACCCCAGCTGCTTGCGCCAAATGTCCTCAGGTCTCGGGCGAGGACGACCATCTCTTCGTTCGCAAGTACTTCTCGACCGATCCTGAGTCTACCAACATCCTCAGATCCCATAGCCATAAGGATAAGCATTGACCTGGCCGAGACTTGTGTCGCGCAGCCGCCCTGTGAGATGTTCTCAAGAAGTTGGTAGGCGCATTGCTTGCCAATATCCTCGGGAACAACACCGCCCGAAGACGGGACAACTACATCGGCCGAGTAAAGAATGCCGACAGCACTCGACTCGGCGACCAAGCTCAGACCAAATCCAATTCCCAGCCGCCTCTTGCTTCCTGCTTTGTCACCTGTGGGCACGAGTGGTGCCTGGTCATACTGTGCAGCAATATGAATGTCGGATACCAGAGGGTTTAGGATCTCACGCGCTGAGTGGATCATGCGGGCGTTATTGGAGGCTGATACTCCAGTACAGTATGCGACACCTCGGATGCGTTTTATGCGACCAGGGCTTCGGTTGAGATGCAGGGTTTTTGGTAGTCGTACTTGGCTTGCGAATCGCAACTCGACGCAGCCACCGCCGCCTTTCCCACCAGGTCCAGCGCAAGATCGTTGAAGCACTCTCAACTCTATGCGTGCGGGGGGGATGCCAAAGAGGCTAAAGAGAGGGAGAATGGCTGTTCGGAAGGAATCGACTGAGATATCGCCTGTCTCGGTGGATGATGTGATGACTCCAGGGCCTGTGAATCGGACGTTCATGTGCGCTTTGGAGAAAGGCGCTAGCAGACACAGAGGCATAAGGAAGTAAGAGACGCCGCGGGTGTTGTTGACGGCGATGTTGTGCTCAATGACATCGCCATCAGAGGCGCCAAATCCAGCAATGGTTCCGGTGATCAGACCAGGGTGGTATGTGATGGTCGTACCCGTGTAGGAAATCTGCATGGAGCTGCCATTGGTGACAGCCTCAAGAAGGCGCAAGAAGGAAATCTCATGGGGAGCTAGACCGGGGTTCGTAGGCGATGAGCTTCGGATCTTGGAGATGTGGATAGGTCGACCGGTCAGCGTCGACAGGATCAGTCGCTGCGTAAAGGACCGGTGTCCTGTGAATCGGAGGAATTCTGGCGTAGAATTCGGCATTTTGCTGCTGTTTTGGGGGGTATCTTTGGAGTCGCAATATTTCTAGCCCGTCGCCAAAGTACAGACAAAAATTAATTTTCTGCCGCTGGAAAAGTTATCCTCGTAGCTTAGAGTGGAAGGCGGTGAGGTTGGCTTCTCCAAGTCCTCTTGTAAGTGGCAGTTTTATAAGTAGGGCCTTATCGATAACCTCTGAAAAAGGTTCAGCGTAATTCAATATTCCCAAAGCTTCAACTTCACATTTGGTGTCTATGTATTGAGAATGGCGGGCCGACCGCTACTTCGCAAGCTGAGATCCCACAACGAGACGATATGTCGAACATGTCGATTGGCGATTCGACAGCGACCGACACAACAACGAATAGTGGCAGCATATAGCACCAAAACCACTTCGAAGTTACCGGTCGATGATGCAATTACACGAAAACCCAGCAGATTCGAGCTGAAGCAATACCTGGAGCGCATAAAATCTCTTCAAAATCCAAGCAAGGATGGAAACGAATCTTTCAGTGTGCGGTTCTTCGAACAAGACGACAAGAAGAGGACTGAGCTTCCTGGAGAAGATGCTTGGGGCGCATCATTTAACGAAGTGGATACGTCTGGTCTGAAGGATGCTCTTTTAGAAATCAAGGACGATATCGGTGGCAAGGATGAGAAAGACGCTTTCCAAAATGTTGTCGACCAGCTGGGAACCGACTGGCACAAGATGAAGACCGCAGACGACCTCGAGCGAATCATTGCCAAATTGGACGCCTATACTGCAGCGGTTGACAAGGAGATCGACAAGACTGGTGCAGACCTGCCTAAGGAGTTGTTAGAAAAATTGGATTCGGAACTCCCAGGGTTGCCAGGAATGGGATCACTCGGCTCACGAATAACGCTGCCACAAATTCCGGAGAAGCCATGGACGATCAATCAACGCAAGAAGGTTGCTCGTCTCAATACCGTACTGTCCAAGACTGCCAGGGATTACCGCCGTGGTGTAAAGCTCACAACGAAGACGGTACAAGGGGTATTCAAGGCTTACCACTCGGCAAGACTATCTCTTGCGCACGGCTGGAGTCATGTTCCTCTCGAAGTCTGGGATTTGCTGTGGAAGGTATTCTCGGTTGACGAGTCTGTCAACATGCATCGCTTATCACACATTGCACTTCTCGCCCGGGACATGAGCGAGGCCAAGGTCACATTGAACCCTGCCCAGCAGCTCTTGACGATTGAGGCTGTTTTTGTAGACGGATGGGAGTCCAAGGCGATTGAGAACTGGAAGCGGTGCATAAGCACGTTGGGTGATGAGAACGCTGTGACCTTTCAAGAATTCTGGGAGCTCGGTGTGCGTATGTACTGTCGCACAGGAGACTTGGAACAGGCTCAGCGAGCCATCAACAAGCTCATCCAGAACCAATCAGATCCTCGCATTCTGATGCCTTTTATTCGGACGTGGTCTGAACTAGGCACACAGGAGGGCCAGGAGAAGGCTTGGGATGCATACCGTCGACTGCGTGAGCTTCTTGGGGAGGACATGAAGCTTACCGACTATGACCAAGTTATATCCTATTTCCTTACAACAAACCAGACGGAGAACGCTCTATATGCTTTCGTCGACATGATGAGCGATGGCAAAATCGACCTGAAGAAGCAAAAATACCTGCCATCTGTTGTAGCTAACAAATTTTTCTTCGGAAAGTGGTTAAAGAGACTGATCGGCGCGGGCGACTTGCACGGTGCTCATAGCGTCGTGGCGTTTATGGGAGAGAAGGGTATCGATCCCTCTCCTATACAACTTAACGGTCTCATCGCAGCCTGGCAACGAGCGGGTGGTACTGAGGATCTTGAGAAGGCCGATGAGATGGCCTGGGGCATGATTGACACTCGCATCGAGTTTGTGAAGGCCCGAGGAAACGATGCGGCCTTACAAGATATACCATCAATTAATAGTGGCGCGATACCTCTTCCGCGAGCCACTTTGGAGACCTTCTCACTGCTAGCTGAGAACTATCGTCTACGAGATTTACACGACCGTATCCTAATGCTCTGGGAGGCTTTCCGCGAAGCCGAGATGAAGGCCGACTCATTTGTCATCAACCAACTTCTTGAATCCTACATCCAGGCAGGACAATCAAAAGAAGCACTGGAGTTGTACCACACACTGGTACGAGAGAAGGGCGTCGAACCTGACCCCTATACCTTCAGCGCACTATGGAAGACTCTCGCTGTCAACCGCCTTCACGTCTCAGCTGGCCATGTCCCAGCTCAGATCGAGCCCACTCGTGCCATGTTTGCCGAGACAGTCAAGTTCCAACACGTCTTCCAACCCGATGGCATGGATGGACAGCTCGCTCGCAAGATTTTACACACCTTCCGACGTATCAAGGATTACACGGGCTTTGTCGTCGCATTGACAGCCCTCCGCGACGGATTCGGCTTCTTGCCTCCTGAGACACTCGTTCTCGAGATGGTCCTGCAGACGACAAAGCTATCGTGGGACTCACCGGCGCATCGGCGCCGTCTAATGAATACCAAGCGGGATCTCGATCGAGACCTAGCCGCCTCAGTTGACGGCGATCTCTCTCGTCTGGAAGATAGTCGTCGCGGCGAGGCTCTCTTCGAATACCTGCAGAAGCAGTTTTGGCCAAGTGAGGGTGACAATGATTTCAAGAGGAAGATGTTCAAAGAGGCAGCAGAGCAGATGGGAGTGTACGATATGATGAGAAGAGAAGTAAAGCAGTAAAAAGGGGGCGTTAATGACTGGTGTAGGGAATCATGATCTATCTCCGCATCTGTTCATTATGTACAATAGCATAGAAGGGCTTAGCTACGTCCAAAATTATGTATATCTGTATACTAGACACGCTCAAAAGAAGCGTTCATCCAAATTCATGATACAAGCTATGACCAAGAGTTCACTATTACTCCATGTGCTGGATTGCATCTCATCGTGAATGACCAAAGTATTTATTCCCGAATGCACCTGAAAGTGCTCAGAATACGTCTGTCTACACGACGTTGAATCGATAAATCAACCCAGGGAAGTAAAGGCCTCTTCAAGCTCGAACAAGCCTTGCAGGGCCAAGAGATTGCTTTTGTTTCCCTTTCTTTTTGAATTGCCCTTCCCTGTAGAACTCCGTCGCTATGTAAATTAAACCAAACCCAATCACTTCCATCACTAAAGCCATCATGCTTCCACGGTTCGCCTCTTTTGCTCGTCCCATGGGCGGACGGACAGCCCCTATGACAAGTCCATCGTATCCTCAAGATCTAGGCGATCGCCTACGGAGCTCAGTCCCGACTCGTCGTCACTAGCATGGCCGTTTTGCTGAGGTGCTTGTTGTTGGGGGACCTGCTCTCTGTCCGGCTGCTGATCTTCGTCACCGGGTGTTGGGCTGCTTTGGGGTGAGGCGCGGTTGGAAATCCATTCTGTGATGGTTGTCTCTGGACCGCCCTCAACTTGAATCTCGCCAGTGTCGTGGCCTCGTCCGAGTATCGTCCCGTTGTACTTTGCGTCTTCGCCGGTTTTGCTGTGTTTCTTTTTCAAAGCTGCAGAACATCATTGTCAGCCATGTCGTCCATAGATGTATTCGTAGAAACTTACCATTGAGATAATCCGTCGCATCTGTCTCTCCATCTCCGCTCCCAACCTCCATCATCTCCTTCATGCGCTGTCCCGCAAACCAGGTGATAAACTCCTCCACTCCGCGCAGGTCCTCTTCGCCGCGCCATGTTTCCTCCGCAGGGACACGCTCCGGCATCAACGCACCTGCATCCTGGAGCGCCATGCGTATGTCCGCTATGGTGAAGTCCGCGCTGTCGCCCTGGTTGTGCGCGGCATGCTCGGCGGTGCCTTGGCACAGAAGCGACAAGTATCGAGCTGCGAGGTCGGTCAGGGAGTCGAGTACGGCCGGTCGCGTCGAATGGTAGCCTGTAGAGCGAAGTATCTGGAGCATAGATGGGCGGAGGAGCGCGTGGAATAGAGAGGGTGGCGTCGTCATGTTTGTGTAGATGTTGATGTTTTTGGGTGCATTTAGGCGCTCAGCTTGCGCTTGCGGTTGCGAGGTTGAAGTTGGCGCAGGTGCTGATCAGAGCAGAGCTTCAGTCGAGACGAGAGCCTGACAGTAAAAAGGAGTGGGGCATGCAAACAGCTGCAATAGGTAGTGCTAGGAACTTATACCACTTGCATCAAGTAGTAGCAACATAAATTTAAATTAAGGACAATAAAGCTTAATGACAAGGAAAGGGCCTTATTTACTTGGATTTCCGAAACTTGATTCTTGCATACCCAAACTGTGCACTGGGAGTCAAGTGCCTTCAGTGTCTTACAAGTCACCCAGTTATCATGGTCTACAGTGGACATTTCAAAGTTCTAACAATTTCCTGTCTCTTATTTAATAGAATAAATACCTTTATTACTATATATGTCCCTACCTAAGTTAGCTCGTCGTTGGAGGTTTTGCGCGGAACTGTACTTGTAAACTTGTCATAATGTCAATCCGATACATGTAAGTGAGGTTCGCTCTTATGATCGTCTTAGCTGTTATCTGGGGCAAATAAATACATGAAATTTATATATTCCAATTAGGCATGCGTTGTTTGTATTCATCCAGAAGTAGTTCAACAGATGTCCTTATTCATACATTATATCTCCATCACACCCAATACATCTCCCTCCTGACGCAGATATACATACGGCCATATCCCCAGTCTACTTTTCCTGCTCTGCATCGTCCGCGATCCCGCTATATTTATTAATCCAACCCAGAACCTCTCGGTGCCACACAAGTGAATTCTCAGGCTTCAGCACCCACTACATACAAAATTAGTAAGTGGTTCAGTCAGTCTTGCAGATCGGCAAACTTACATGGTTCTCGTCGGGGAACATGACAAGCTTGCTGGGCACTTCACGAGCCTGCAGCACGTTGAACATGGCCAATCCTTCCGAGATGGGTAGACGGTAGTCGAGTTCGTTATGAATGACCTAAACGGTGTAAGCATATCATTATGTTGCCGCGCATTCGCTTCACTTACCAGCTGCGGTGTGGCCCAGTTGCCAGTATGCAGCGATGGATCCCACTTCTGGTATCCAGCACGGTTGTCCCAAAGAGTTCCGCCAAAGTCATGCTCGGGGAAGAAGAGCTCCTCTGTTGCCCACTGGTTCTGTGTTGAGAAGACACCGTCGTGACATACCAAGGCCTTGAACTTGCGTCCAAGATCATGCCCCTGAATCCAGTCTATCGTCACGTCAGCATGTATTTAATGGCCACTCCCACCACCATAACTCACTAATCATGTATCCACCGTATGAAGCTCCCAAGGCAACGGCTCGGTCAGTGTCCACATAGTCGACATGCTTCTCGAGGTACTCGAAACACTTCACCAAGTCATCGTACGGAGCGCCTCCCCAGTGATTGGCAATCGCATCGATGTGAGCTTGACCATATCCAGTGCTGCCGGTTGGGTTGGGGCACACTGCGATATATCCCTGCTCAGCGAAGATGGCCGGGTTCCAGCGAGTGCTCCAATCATCCGTCCATGCAGATTGAGGTCCACCGTGGATCAGGAAAGCCAAAGGATATTTCTTAGACTTGTCGAAGTTCGAGGGCAGCATGACCAAGGCATGGTTGTCGTAATCAGCTGATCCAGGATACCAGATATCGGTGGCCTGGGATTGGGAAAGACCAAATGTCTTTCCATTCTTTGAACTGGTAGAAATTACCTTGAAAGATTTCTTCTCCGGATCCAAAATTCCATAGCTCGAGCTCTCCACGCGGGATCTGGATGTAACGAAAAGAGAGTCACTGCCTCCCAAGATGTGTGCCTCCACGGCGGAGGCTTCCTCGTAAATGGGCTCAGGAAGGTCAACAGCTTTAAGAGTATCAGATGGTAGCTTCCAAAGCACTGATCTTCCATGCTTCTCAGCTGCAACATACAACTCCTTGTCGTCTTTCCGCCAAACCACCCAGTCAGGTCTCAGATCCCAGCCACCTTCGTCGTCATCTGTCTGATAGAACTCTTGTACGTTGCTCAAGTCGGTAATGTCAGGAATCATCAACAGCCGTGTTTTGTCAGATTCGTACTGCTGGTGCTTCATTCTCGCAAAAGCCAGCTTCTTGCCGTCATTGGAGAATGTTGGCGCACTGCTGTATCCTCGCAGTCTTCCCGTCTTGACAATTTGGGGCGCAGCAGGTTTGTCTGTCCAGGACTTGATGGGCACGTAGTAGAGGTCGGTCTTGGTGTTCCTTGCGGGGTTCAGTTCTGGATCCTTCGCAACAAAGGCAATGCCATCCTTGGAGATATCGAAGTCTCCAGCGCCTCCAAAAGGAGGAACAGGCGAGCTTAGCTGAGTGCCTGCTAGAAGGTTGTTTAGGCCAGACTTTTCAAGTGCCCATTTGTCGCCCTTCTTGGTGAGCACACCGTACCAGAGCGAGTTTTGGTTTTCGGTGTTCCATGCATCCCAATGGCGAACAAATAGGCCAGTATAGATCTTGGCTGATGTATAAGTCTTAGACTCGGCTGCGGGCCAATACATGTCGCCTTTGGGGGTGGTTAGGGCGGAGCAGACAAAGGCGACTTTATCATCAGAAAGGACTTTTGCCTTTGGGTTGGAAATACTTCCAGCAAAGCAGTTTACCATGTGTGGTCTTGGTTACAATGTTAGCTGTTGCATAGGTAGTTATTTTCTGTTCTGGGGAGTGATTACTCGGACTTGTCTAGGACGTGCTGAACGTATAGCGATGAGGATCCTTTATCGCTATTCTTGATGAAGGCAATCTCTTTCTCGCCGATCCAGATAGGATCGCTGGCATGCAAATCCTCAGAGATGAGATGAGAGGTGTCATCCTTGATGTTAAGGACACGGATTTGAGATGACTTGGAGTGTTTGTCAAATGAGTAAGACGAGATCTAGATGTGTGAGTATTCTGTTTACATGACCGATTGAAGCTGACTGACGGTATAGAGAACGAGCTCGCCGGTGGAGTTTGGGACGCCGGTGGAACGGCGCGGGGCCGAAATCAACACCTCGGGGGTAAACCGGGTGGCCTGTCTCGTCATCATGGAGACTGTGGGAGTGAGGGAAGAATATAGTGGCCGTAGACGACGAGGCAGCGGTAAAGTGAATATAGTTGCAAGTATTGAAAGGAAGAAGAACGAGAACCTCTGTGTCCTTTCGAGACATTCCTCATACAAAAGGTCGAGACAGGTACGGGGCCCCTCTCGTCTCCTCACCAGCCGCCCGCTCGGCCCCTCTCTTCCGGGGAACCCACTGCTCGTGCTACCTTCCTTTACCATTAATGCTCGCTAACCTGGTTACAGACAGCTTCAAAGGTCAATAATAACAAAAGGTCTTCTCAGTAGAAAGTGATAGTGTGTTATGCTAAGCATATTCCTACCTATGCTCATTATTCTCATTCCTCTCTAGACATTCACCCAGTAACACCCAATCTCACCACCACCACTACAGTCGTTAATCTTCGTATACACACACAGACGCTAGACCCCGCATCAAGTCATCCATGTTGACTTAGAACAAGAAGCGTCAGCTCACACATGAACGACATGTTTATCCAGGCTAAACACGAGCTAGCAGACATTGGTTGGCTAGGTTGTAACAATGTGTGAAATATGTTACCAATTGTATAAATTAGTCATAAGGAAAACTATAGGTTAGGTTTTCTTTGCATAATAGTCTCAAAGACATATGGCAAATAGCCAACTTCCTCTCCTCGTTCATTCCATCCATTAGAATCAACGAGCACGCCATGCTAATATTTTATATCTGATAATCAAAGTTCAATCCCTAACAGACACCGACCCATCTTGTCTGAGTAAAATCCCCACTGACCAGTCTGTATGGACAATATCATTCTACATATTCCAGTTCATCACCCCAACGCCATCTTAAACATGCATTTAATTCCATCGCTATATCAAACGCCACAACCCATCCACATGTGTAATGTACAGCCGCACTACTTGCGCTGCGCTCCAAAATTCGTTCGCTTCTTGCTCGTCGATGTATCGTTTTCGCTATCCTCAGGCTCGGTCGTCTTCTTCTTTGACTTGCTCGCGTTCTTGATCGCAGTCGTAGATGTCGGCGTCGGGAGATTCGATGGCCCCTCTCGGAACGCCGCAGATGATGGAGTCGCGCCAGCTGGCGTTGAGCCCCCTGATCCGGGAGTTATACCCTCCTGTAAGCCCGTGGTTAGCATTTCCTTCCACAGCGCTTTGCCAGCATCGCCTGTGCGCCTTACAAGATTGTTAGGTCGGTATGAGATTGACGATCGCGAAAAGACTCTGTTTTGCTCCACTGGTCCGACCTTTCGTCGCTGTGCGGCCGCGCCGCTCATGCCTTTCATATAGTTGTCAAAGCCCGTGATGATGTTCCCGTTCGGTGTGCTGTCGAGGTAGGCCGTTTCCTTCTGCGCGATTCCGTCTTCAACTTGCGTCTATTGAAACATCAGCCGCGATTCATAGCAATACAAAACCGCATGGGGAAGCTCACCAGGCGTCTTTCCAGCATCCTGCGCTTTTCAACCAGGTCCCTGACACGGGCTTGCGCCTTCTTGTACTCGGACATCGTCACTTGCCCAGTCGCACCCCCAGCGCTATTGGGCTGTTTTCTTTCAGCCATGCAGTTTGTTCCGCGATTATTGTCGGTATTCCAAAGAGCGAGAGTCGTTAATGTGAAATGGGTTGTAATTCAAGGTTACGTTCAATCAACAAGAATCCGAGTTAGGCCACACTCAGTCAATAAGTGGGGCGCGTCAAAGAAGCGCGGCTAGCCGCCCTACGCGCTAGTGGACAACCACATGCCATCAACCAAAGTTCGCGAATAGAAATAGTTCGTCAAAGTCAACAATAACGATTATTCTGCGTATCGCAAATGGGTAGAATTCACCCACCGGGGATTAAACCCGGCTTTCAAGCGTGATAAGCTTGCCTACTGGCTACCATACTGTGGATGATGGCCTCTGGAACACGAGGAGTTTGCGTCACAGTCGTAACAGCTCCATCTCAATGGAAGTTGCTCCCGTTCGGAGGAGAGCTGGGTATGTCAAGATGTCTGCGGATCTGGATATAGTATGTATGCAAAAGCTCTGATAATCCCATTGCTTGTATATTTTATATGAAATATCTTAACTATGATAAACTTATCTTATTTTATGTGGTCTTACATAGTTTTATTTAATCTTGTCCTTCAATTAGACTAGAGATCTTCTAATTACTATAAGTTTATATCATTTTATATGTCTCTCGGTGGGTTATTATAGGAACTTCCACACGGAACTTTATCGTCTTTCCGTCTATAGAGTTGTGGTGGCTGATATGGTTGGGTAACCTTATTGGATTTGAGCTATTGTTGACACTTCTGTGAGTCTTAGGGATAGCTGGATCTCTTTTTCAAGGTTGATACCAGACTCAGTCTTAATTTTCTTTTGTTCTCTTCTACCACTTCGGTGTCCGCTCCCTGAGGTTACCTCCCGATACTCTAGTTTCAGGTCTAGCCAGCGACCAGTTCTTCTTCAAACCAAAGCTCTTCCCCCAGCGAACCTAAAATCCTCAGCGATCCGACCCAACATGCTTGTAAGTGTTATCTTGCTGCATTTACCCTCCAGTAGCTAACTCCTTGGCAGAGTAACATCCCTTGGTACCAGCGTCCTCTCGTGCCCGAGGCCGTCTTCCTCACCTACTACTCTTTGATACTCTGGTGGAGGGTCTTCCCTCATGGCCCCGGTGTTGCTTACCGGTTTGTGACCGCGCAAACCCTCCGCCAATGGATGTGGAGGGGAATCTTGATCCTCAACAGTGTGCGTCCGGATCTCGAGCCTGAAGAAGAGTGAGCGCACAGCTGGCACGGATGCCAGCGAGACACCTCGACAAGCCCATGCACCCCTTTTGCCGTACTAGCTGCGGTCCTACAGGCCTACCAATATGTTGCTACCCGACTTTCCGGTTCGATTCCGATGGTTTCTTCCCATTCATATTCAACCTGGCCTACACTTATTATGGAATCGGGAAATGGGGAAGATAAAAAGGGCACTCCCTTGGCACAGTTTTGGCAGGAAAGCCCCCAAAGAAAGCTCCAAGGCATACGCTCTCATGTAGGTAGGTATGTAGATTACTTCATGTATTGGCTACACCTTGAGAATACTCGCCAGCTCATGTCAATCTACTCGTTTTGACCCCAGTCAGGTATTTCTAGCTTGCTTCACTCGCGACCCCTATGAACAGAACTCCCTCCCTCTCTCTCTCTCTCTTTCCAGATAGGAGGTTCGCACAAGATCACTAATGAGCAGGTATGGAGTCTATACTATCAGAGGATTCAAAATTATACAGTATCGCCTAACGTGTTATAGTATAGTCCCATGTAAAAGTTCTAGAAGTTATTAGAACTTTTGTTTATCTATAATAGATAGTAAAACCCCCATATTATTATATGGGCTAAATTGGGGCCGAGAGGATATGCGAATCGTGAGACGAGTGCAGTTCTTGGGTCCCAATCCGGTGTTATATCTAGGCACAAACTATGACAAGACAAGCGCGGGACTTGATACGATCTTCCATATAATGCTCCTATAAGTTTCAAGGCTTAAATTCATCCAGCATTTAGGAAAAAAGCCTCGGTTTCTCCTCTATTTTCATCCTGTTTCCCTCCGTGTCCAATCTCCTCCTTCACAACAGCAGTGTTGCTCAAACATGTCGAAGCCCTATGACCAGAGCTATCTTCCTCCCGTTTGGAAGAGACTCTTCCTTCAAATCGTCTGCCATCTACTTACTTCTCAGGACCACCATTGGAGCCTGTATGTAATTGTTTGTAGCCGGGTGTTGCGGCTGACAACTTCGCTTCAAACCTTGACTCAATCGTGGGCATTTCTTGCTATCATGATTCATTCCGCACTTTTCTTCCTTCGTCCACCACGAGCATGTCAAGCTGTTAACAAGCCACTGGCCAGATACGAGGCTGGGAGGATAAGTGGCAGGTGTTCCCACCAGACGAAGCCACGAAGCACCCCTAGGCCCAGCTTCTGCTCCCTCAACATCCACTTTAACTCTCCAATACCAAGGATGAATCTCAGTACGATGCCCAGGAACTGGTTGACACATTGTCTGTGCGATAAGTAATACCAGACACTGGTTGCATACCCAAAGTGCTCAGGGGCAGGAGGTATTCGCACGTATTCAAATCCCCCCCAAAACCTTACAGGTCCTTCGAGAAAGACTCTGGTGCAGGTAAGGCCAATCATGGTAACGCGAAATACACCCATGGCTTAAACCAGGTGGTGTTGCTTTGATGATGTTTCTTTGGTGGTGGTGGTGGTGGTTGTAACGTAATGTCTCTTGCGTGGGTGTTTATTCCCTGGCTCTGTATAAGGGTGAAGTAATGAAGGGCACGGAAGAGCTAAATGAATAGTGGATAGTGTATATTGTAGATTGTTGAGTACAGGTTTGTATCGGCTTCTGTAGTTTGAGGTTGAGAAGACAGAGGTTTTGGTCTTCTGCTTCAAAAATGAAGGATCAGGGCCATGAAGTTTTTATTAATACTTCGACAAATTAGGTTGGTCTTCGGTCGGATTATCATGTAGGTTTATTTCACCGAAAATAAAAGAGTTGATTGGAAAGACATTGTGCATAATGCCAAAATTGTAAACAACTTAGAGTTTAAACGTGTCACCTTGATCGATCTTATCAAGATCAGACGAGGAAGATGCGGTGATGGAACACTTGCCTTTTGACACAATAAGACGATGCAATTTCTCGGACTCTAAGTCTCACCCTGTGCTCTTTAATTAGAGAAGCCTAGAGTGTGAGAAAATGTAAGCATTAGGTTTACATGCCTTCTTATAGGTAACGTCATATGAACAACAAGGAACCTTGTTCTTCAGATTCAATATATATCTAGATGTCTGCCGCCTCATGAAAGAGGTCACAGAAGAGCTGAATCCCAGACAATAAAGGTACCTACCTGCCGTCTAAGTCACAGTGGCGTATCACAACTTAAGGTTATAGAAACCCGATTTCTGAAGACATGATCATGTCAAATTAACGAACATGTCACTCATTCATATAGAAATGGGATTGAGCTTCCCGCTATGGAAAATGCTGAAGCTGATGTTGTCCAAGAATACATTCAGCAAATCAGCTGTCGAGACCATCCCTTCTAATTCAGCTAAGTACACCACCACCACTGTTCAAAGCCCTCGAAAGACTTGGGTCCTGGACCAAGATCAAGAGCGTGAAGACTACTGAGACGACTGTTGTCACTGAGTATCCTCCTGAAGTTACCAACACTATTTTCTCCACTACTTCTCCTGTGGTGACCAAGTGGAATAACCATACCGCAGTTAGTACTCTGACACCATCTACATCCCACACTTTTTTCGCACTCGGAGCCATGCAGAATCCCTATGAAAGCTGCGTGGCATGCCAAGTGCTTCTGCAGTATCTTCCCAATTGACAAGCCCAGTGATTGCTATAACCTTGTTTCTACCAATTCTGAGAATGTTTGCCCTAACAGCTAGATGAACTGAGCTCGGTATGTCACCGCTTCCTATAACCGGGTTGCGGGAACCTAGAGTAATGACCCTTATGTGTGATGTCCAATGGCGGCGATTCATAGTTATAAAATCTTCTTGGCTATGGTAGATCAGGTTCAATTTATATACTATAAACTCTTGCTTTCTTCCCTTGGTCCGAGATCTATAATGCTAGAAAGCTTATAAAGTTTTATGTATAATATCATCCTGAGGACCTGACAAGTACTCCGTATTGGCCAAGTCATTATAAGTTTTTATATATGACTTGTATGAACCTGTGGAAAGATGACGATTGTGAGTAGGCACTGTAGCGAGCCCGATACCATGCGAACCATTCTTGCAGAACATCAGAGCCAATACTGTCGAGAAGGGGATGAACTGTCGCCACAATCAATATGTTGTTTGGTGGCCTCACGAGAAACCTTCTCAGGATATATCTCTCTTTATTACAGTAACTTATACCTACAAAACTTTTATGCAATCTCCAAGTTCCCAACGCTACAAAAAACCAAAGTATGCGATTATAATATAGTCGTGATAGTGACACCAGAAAGGACTTTGAGATATTGTTAGCTTCGGTTTCCCAAGAGCAAAATGATCGACATCATTCTCATCCTTCGTCTTTATCGTACAAGCGCCGCAAGAAGCAAGCTTTGGCTCTTCCTTCACAAAATCGCGTCAGTGCCTATGCTTTCTCAGCGCACTCATATCAAACTAACCTCGGATACTTCATTCCCCGGCCACCTCTGCCTCGGGCTTGGTCGGTGGGGCACGAGATTCATCTTCAGAAACATCAGCTGACTTTTCCCGAATTCTTGAGCGCGAAGAAGCTGAAGAACTGTTTCGTCGCCGGCCGGCCGGCGATTCTTTCCTCTTTGGAGACCGCTGACTACCTCGTCGAGGACTTGACCGCCTCTTGGTCCTGCGGTCCGGCGATGCACTGGCAGAGCGACTACGACTGCGGCTACGGCTGTAACTTCGGCTTCGACTGCGGCTGCGGGAATTTGCAGTTCTTCCAGATCGTGATGATGAGATACTTCTTGTGGATCGTCTGCGGCGGGAGACCGAGCGACTCCTTGATGAAGAGTAGCGTCTACGCTTCGCCGCTGGAGATTTCCGATCGGAAGATGCGGAACGGGATGGGCGAGTCGGGCGGTCTCGTTCACCACGTCTGTTTGCGCGGCCTCGATATGAGTCCCCTCGAGGTGAGCGCGCCCTCTTCCGTCCATCTCCTTGTGCTCCTGGAGATGCAGCTCGTCGTCGCCGGTTCGCCTGATCGCTGCCGCGTGATCCGCTACGGCTGCGCGAGCTCGATCGAAATGAAGCCGATCCTGAACGTGACCGGGCAGGCGACTTTCGTCGAGCATGATCAGCGCGACCTCCTCCACGTCTGCCTCGAGGGACGTAACTGTCACGCCCAAATGAGTCCCTGGAGTGGCGGGTGCGAGGGCCTGGCGATCGTGATCTACGACCTCCTCTTCTGAAACCCCCTCTTCCTCGGCTGTCGAAATCGCGGTCGCCGCGGCGTCCTTGCCAAGTATCTCCACGAGTAGCTCCTCGGTCTCGGCGGTCGCGGTCCTTCATATCGGCGACTTCGCGGTCGCGGCGATCCCAGTCGCCTCGTCTCTGTTTCGCATTCTCTGCAGCACGATCGGCTTCAATCTGGGGGGAATAATGTTAACATATGAAGCGCAAGGGAATAGTGGGATGGCGTACCTTCTCTTGTATGAGCTCTAATTTCTTAGCCTCAAGTAGCTCCTTGGGAACCCCCTGAGGGCTGCTTTGTGCACTCAGCAATAGCTTCCATAGGTCTTTGCAGAATTTGGCCGTGTCCTTATCGAGAAAACCGGTGAGTTGGATCTGAAGCGACTTGATATCCGGCTATCATGGGTAGATTAGTAAACTGTAGACTGAATGCGAGAGTGTGGACGTACGTATCGCGGTCCCTCGATCAGATTGAATACGAGCTCAATCACGACATCGTCCTCGTTACCAAGAATATCAGAGATCTTGCTTGCGATCCATCTGAAAGGTGATATCAGCGCATAGCTTCATGGGTTTCGGGTTTGGGAAACTCACTTCTTCATGACCTGCAAATTCACCTTTTGCATGTCAACCTTTTGACTAAACTCAGGAGGGAACTTGGTCGACTTCAAGAGTCGCGCATCTACTCCGGTAGCCATGGTGGTAGGTTCGCAATGGCGATTTGGTATCGTGGATTTGGGAGACGCGTTGTTGAGAAAAAGTTGCTAAGGAAGAAAAGTGACGTCGCCAGCACAAGCTGTTTGAGCCCCATGTAAAGTGCCAGATAGTGATCGTGCACGGACCATATTCTACTTCCAGGCCTGTCTCACTGTCACACGCCATCAAACTCCCCGGATCATCTCTCGCTTTAGGGGGTGTTTGCGCTGAAAAGTTCTAATTAAAAGGCCTTCTCCAAACAGCGGGTTCTAAGGCACGTCAGCCATCGCAGCCTGGGACAAACATAACATCTTCTCATTGATATTGGGACTTTACTCCTGTTTTGCAGAACAAGGCCACTGTCATTAACAATCACCACTTTCAGAAATGGAGAATTTACACGCACCGACTGTACCCTCTGGGGAGACCACTGCGTCTATCACCAATGGCGATGCGGGGCATCTAAGCTTCGCGGAGTTACAGCGAAAGAAGGACGATGTTGAAGCCGAACTCAAGGCCCTGGGAGGCGTACTTGACTCAGTATTTAAGCACTTCGGAGGAACGAAACGTACATTGTACTGATGTTACTACAGCATGGAGTTGACATGAATACATCCCTCCTGACGAGCGATGGTTTCCCTCGTGCGGATATCGATGTTGCCCAAAGTACAATATTTTGATGCTCAGGTTGAAGGTCCATCGACTAACATGACAACAGTCCGAACCACAAGAGCGCGCATCGTTCGATTACGAAATGATTACTCTGCTCTCATGACACGTATTGAGAAGTTTCTTCATGAACATTTCGCCAGTCTTGACGAAGATGATGCTGCACCAATTGCAACTGCAAACGGCTCGCAGCCCGTCTTACCAGACTCCCTCACTACGCCCTTGGACCCTCCATTCGCCAAGGTCAACACTGTAGCCGCAGGAAGTCCAGCAGAAACGGCTGGCCTCAAAGCCGGAGATGAGATTCGAAACTTTGGCTATGTCAATCGAGCCAATCATGACAACCTCAGGAAGGTAGCTGAGTGCGTCCAGGGTAACGAGGGTGTAAGTTGTTCAAGTATCGTCCACGAAAGCATGCCAGCTAACAAGTGTCAAGAATAATGTTTTCATTAAAGTATCACGGCCAGATGGCGTGGCTGAACGGCAAGAGTTGCGGTTAACTCTTACCCCGAGCAAGGACTGGGGTGGTCGAGGATTGTTGGGTTGCCACATTTTGCCTCTTTAAGGCTGAGAAGCAATTCGGAGGGTTGAGGCAGCAATACCTAATCAAGATATTATTAGAATGATATGTCTTTGATGGATGGGCAACGGGTACCCTAAGATTTCGAATGAAATCATTATCTCCCTGCAGACTATAAATTGTATGGCAAGCTACAATGGGAGTAGCATAATACAGCATGTGTGCATCGTACTAAAGCTTCTAATCAGGTATACAAGCAGACCCGAATGATGGAAGTTTCAAGACAGATTATTCGTCCAGCACAAACCACTTGGCCGGGAGAATTACCTAGCTTCAGATGAAAGAGAAATTGAGCATGCGTACTTTCATCAATGATACTAAGTAACAGTCCGAATGGGAGCCAACTAAAGAATATAGGACGTATGCCTCTGATTCACCGTGTTGTCAAGGCCTCCCCCAATTACTGCCATCTCATTTAGAGCTACCCAATGGTTCGACTAACAGCTGTTGCGTTGGTATGCAGCATCGATTGGTTTCAAGTCGAATTGGGCGATGACAAAGCACTTGGTTGTTTGCCTGGACAATTGAGTGAGACATATGCACGATCTTGGGCATCATGGCCATGTAAAGCAACTATGACTTGCCTACGGAGTATCTACGCAGGTATGTGGCTGTAATAGAGTGATGACTAAAGAAAGATCAGATAACCTTACTAATAACCAAAATGTGAAAGCTTTATTAGGTGAATTATCCAATGAGAATTGTTGTTTTATTGCAGGACAGTCGCTACCTAAAGATACCTAGATTTTACCCTGGGCGTGCTGACTAAATCCATCTCGATGCATACAAGAGGCAGCTCAGCCGATGCACCATATCGGGTGCCAACATCACCTCACAAAGAAAAAATGACGAACCAAGCAAGGCAGAAGGAAGCAGGCAGGCAGCCCAGCGCACAAGCCAACGGAGTAGGACCAGCGAACAGGAAGACGCAGACACCCAAATCAACTTTAGCGGTGCCCAATGACAAGAGCGGAATCTTCCAAAGCGGTGACGGCAATGGCAGGCCACCCTTGTGGATCACTGGTAGCTAGCTGGAGGCACTGAATGGCGGGTATCACGTGCAGCCTACCCACTTCGACGTAGGTAGGGGCGACTGAATTTTTCGCTTGAGGTCCTTCCCTGCCCAAAGTCCCCCGCTGCCTTCAAAACATCAGGTCGACCTCTCGAAAGTTTGTCTGTCAATCAATCTTGGGTATACCCACATCTCAGCAACGGTTTTTTTCAGGTATATAGGATCCCTTCCCTCGCCAACTCTTAACTTCGACGTCCATCCCACTCTATACCCCGTTCGATCGAGTCACTTGCGCCGTTGCCGACCGCTCAACAAAAGCTAACTCACGCCTCTCAGCACCCCGCTTGTTTACATCCCATCCTCTGTACCTGTCGCTACAACACCACAGTCACAACCATCAATATGGCTGAGCAGCAGACCCCTACCTTCAAGCTTGTGCTTGTCGGTGACGGTGGTACCGGAAAGGTGTGTAGGATTCCATGACGCAATATTCTCTTTCGCGAATTTTTATCGACGACCGCCGAGCTCTTCTCCGCCGAGTCGAATGTCGAGAGATATGGAGCGATTCCCATCAAAACGTCAGCACCGACTAACAATTTTGCCTCGCGATAGACCACCTTCGTCAAGCGTCATTTGACCGGAGAGTTCGAGAAGAAGTACATGGCCACCCTCGGTGTCGAGGTTCACCCTCTTGGCTTCACCACCGTAAGTATCGCGACCCCACGTTGACTATGCGGGGTACTAATCCATCACAGAACTTCGGTCAGATTCAGTTCGATGTCTGGGATACCGCCGGTCAGGAGAAGTTCGGTGGTCTCCGTGACGGTTACTACATCAACGGCCAGTGCGGTATCATCATGTTCGATGTTACCTCCCGCATTACCTACAAGAACGTCCCCAACTGGCACCGTGAGTCCAATCCCTGCCTATGATATCACCACAAACACATGGTTAACGAGTTTCATAGGTGATCTCGTCCGAGTTTGCGAGAACATCCCCATTGTTCTCTGCGGTAACAAGGTCGATGTTAAGGAGCGCAAGGTCAAGGCCAAGACCATCACTTTCCACCGAAAGAAGAACCTCCAGTACTACGACATCTCCGCCAAGTCCAACTACAACTTCGAGAAGCCTTTCCTCTGGCTCGCCCGCAAGCTTGTCGGCAACCCTCAGCTTGTAAGATGATCCCCTTTCAGTTCATTAAACTTCAAATGCTAATCAATCCCGATAGGAGTTCGTTGCTGCTCCCGCTCTGGCTCCCCCCACTGCCCAGGTCGACGAGAAGCTCCTGGAAGAGTACCGCAAGGAGATGGACGAGGCCGCCGCCATGCCTCTGCCCGGTGAGCTTTCCGACGACGATCTGTAAATGACTCGTGCGGTCACGGAATACTTTTGTTGAGGAGGATGCTGCCAAGTGTCCAAGGAACGGTGCATGGGCAGTGTTTGAGGATGGCACATAGGCAGCCGGAACGACCATTTATGAGATACAGGACGAAAGTCCTGGAGTTTACAGTAGCGTGATTATGGGGCGGCACAAAAGACTGGCCGTCATGCCTCTTTTGGGGGCACATGGGACGGTGCCACTGCAGAGAGCAGTGTCTTATTTAGTTTAGCTAAACTTCCTCCACCAAAACAACGAACAGGGCCAAGTTTGCGTGGCTTGGCTAAGACAAAGAACTTTTACACTTTGATGGAAGCTATGGTTTTATGCATGAAGTGATGTGAGTAGATGCAAGACAGGTTCGGTATGGAGTAACAGCTCCGAAAGATTTGGAACTTAAGGGAGGTTAAAGAAGTGGCATAGGTCGGCAGCTTGATGAGCCTATCATGACAATACCGTTTAATGAGAGTGCGAATGTAACTGTGTGTACGGAGTAGCTGCAGTCTTGATTTTCGGAATGGTCATGTTGCAGCCACTGCATTTCTCAGCCGTTGTGTCACTCCAGCCTTCTTGGGTACATCGATGTGGTACATCAAGGTGACACGACTTGACAGAATATTCGATTATGAATTTTGATTTGACAATGGCTATTTTTCTTTTATGCGGAGGCCGGCCTCTCCGCGGAGTCCAAAGGGGAGTTGACAGCTCACCTGGCTGAAAAGAGAGAATGACTAGTGATAGAGGCATGGGGGTTCATTTAGATACGTGGCTTTCAATGGAAGTTATTTTTAACACATGTTATGTATGTGGTCTTGACTTCAAAGTTTGGGCTTGTACAAGACTGAGTTTTCATGATAGTAAATATGAGCATCCGGTCCTTATATGTGCGGGATGTGTGAACATCGTCTGTATGGGAGGTAATGCTGAGTTAACAACGACGTAGAGTGACACATGTAAGTGGCATTAGTCCACGGCCATGCATCTCAGCTCATACCCTGGGCAGATCAGGTTATATGAATACCGTATACAACCCCTAATCCCTACCATATGTGCGGAATATCCCCTGCACAACAAACTGGCGCGGAGGAATGGTTTGCTAACAGCGTTAAACTCAAAAGAAAGATAATGCAGGTTCACCGTTAGTAGTAAAAACTACGTGAGAAATATAATATCACCCAACAGAGCGTGGAGTTGGAGTTGACAGCGGTTACCTACCTGTAGGTTTAGAGGCCATTTGAACAAGCAGTAAGGATTATTGCACTGCCAGAGTGATACTGACACCATATACTCCGGAGCAGTATTTTCTTTGCATTTCTATAGAGCGTGTTGTTATCGAGGATCTTCCAAGACACGCCCGGCTGTTGTGTTTCTTGTTGATGCAGCAGTCCAGATGTGAGACGCGTTTTGAGGACCCATCAAAACAACACATCTAAATAAAGATGGATCCATAACATTTACGTGCAGACGAATAGCGCGTTATTTGATTGTTGTCAAGAAATAGTGTCTTTGAAGAAATGATTCATCGCTGCAGACGATGGAACACTATCTATGAAGATGGGCGATATATCAAAACCTGCGATGATGAGAATTCCTTGCTACTGAGAATGAACCAAGATTAGGCTTGGCGGTGTATTTATTTACCTAGGAAAGTACCTATTTAAATAGGATGTGGATGGATGGCGGGCATGACACCCCTGCGTGCTGGCGCATGCAGCCACTTAATGAAACAGGGGTGTCAATTGACCACAGGATGGTCCCCAGGATCGCCAATACCGTTGGTTAATTGACTTGACTAAAGTTACGTGGGGCAAGGCGCTGGTAATTGGGAAACAAGGGAATGGGGAATGGAGCAAGATTGAACTGCCTACGGATATGCGGTGTTTGTTCTGAAATGCTGACTAGACTATGTTGAATGACACAATAATGGAAAGATAGCTCAAAGTTAGTATGGACGTGTCGAAAGCATCCGCATGCACATAGGCTTATGCAATTGTATGACTAGTCTCATGTAGATTAGGGGAGTAAGAGCAGGAGCAGGAAACAAAACTGGGCTTGACTGGATAAAACACTCAAACCTTTCCCCTGTGACGGCATGTGCTAAGTGCTTTTTCAACGGATAAAAATAAAGTTATGTCTAGCTTTTTACGCGTTGTGATTGTCCTATAGCGTGTCGTTTTATGCCGTTGCGGGGTGATACATAGAAAGGTAAAGAAGAGGAAAAAAAAACCACTACCATCCAATTCATATACGTAACGGGATAGGCCAGCTTTCTTGTATGGTCGATAAGGTTGAGGTAGGAGTAGGTATCTTGAACAAGACATTTTTATATGAAAGCTTAAAATGAACAAGTCACGGTGAGACACGCGCTGAGCTATACCGCGTTTTTAGAGTACATGGACGAAAAATAAAATCCGGGCTACGGTGTACGGACGTAGTAATCTAGAATAAAAAAAGACAAGGCAGGAAAGCTAATCTCCAAAGGACGTAATACCAGATCTGAAAGTGTCGGTAGGGGAGGTTGGTATTTTGTTATTCCATGTAAAGTGCCCTGCGCGCCGCCAGTGCTAGCAAAGTGCTAGCAAAGTGCCACACGAACTGGATGGATACGTAAATACAAAATTGACAGGGGGGCGCGTTTACAAGGTTTACGCGGAGGTGCAAGCGCCTAAGCCCAAAGACAAATGGGGGACCCAGGAGGGGAAGTGCTGCGCAAGGGCCTTGGAAGGGAACTGGACTTAACTTTAGTGAAGGGACGATAGGCCTGGTCGCCTCGTTTTAGAAGCACGCCCGCCCTAACTAGTAACTACACGTCGGTCGCTCCTCTACGACCCTCCATCCCAACTACGAGAACCTCGTTTTTTCCTCTTTCTTATTCAACCTTCTCCATCTTCTTCTTATCTCGGAAACCACTGAAACCATCCAACTCGCCTCATCTTTATTGTGTATGCACTCTCTCCCGGCTGACAATATCGTACCTCTTCTTTCCGCGACTCGCCAACCGCCACACAGATCGCCTCCTCTTTGGTTCTTCGTACAGTGATGCGTCTGCACCCTCAATAAGGCCACCTCCACCATCATCCTCCTCCCTCCCGCAATCATGGCCGCTCCCACGAACTTTTCCTTCGAAGCCGCTACTCCCGACAAACACGCTACCTCGGCGCCCAGTCACCATGACCTCGCCGTCACGCCCCAGAGCCTCCCTCCTCTGGCCGATATGGATGCCCATGGCAATGCATCCATGTCTGCACCCGATTCAGAGAAGCATCCCAAGGGGAAGAGAAAGCGCACTGCGTATGTTGGAATCTGCAGAATGCCTGATCAGGCTGCACCAAAACTGTAGGGGACTGAGCTAATTTTGCATCAATTGCGTCGTGCAGTGCCAAAGACAAGATGGTTCTCGAAGAGGCTTACAGCAGCAACCCAAAGCCCGATAAGCAGGCGCGCCTGGATATTGTCCAGCGCGTGTCTTTGAATGAGAAAGAAGTTCAGGTATGGATAAACGTTGTGTTTCTGGTTGGATTATCGATTTCAATGCACTCGATCCGCTACGCGTTTCCCAACGGGCTTGGGAACATCAAATTGACATCATCTCTTATCAGATCTGGTTTCAGAACCGAAGGCAAAATGATCGAAGAAAATCACGTCCTCTATCACAACAAGAATATGCTGCCCTTCAATTTGGAAACATGCACGTTATTACTTCCGACCCCATCGCCAACACCACCACGCCTAGCAAGCCTGAAAAGGCATTTCCAGTAACCTATCCTAACGTATCTCGCTTTGCGGACCATATCTCTGCGCCTTCTCGACGTTTCGATCAGACTCCCTCCATGCCACGCTCCCACTCGGACCATGTGAACAGCACTCCAGTTTCCATGAACCATGACCGCAGTTATCGCTTCTATCCCGATGTCACTCCTAACCGCATCGATCCTTCTCTCTCGCATGAAGCTCATGGTCATTCCCACTCCCACTCATTGTCAGGCTCTATGTCAAGTAATGTAGGCTATCTGGCCAACCGTTGGAACCCTGGTGCCGGGTCCTTTTCCACGCCTCCCGCTATGTCTCGTAGCGGTGACGATTCTTTCCGGTATGATAATTGCCCAACTATTCTATGATCATGACTGACCAAAGCAGATATGACCATTTCCCTCCATCCTCGTGCACCTCTGAACGTTCCTCTTTCACCCACAGCCAGTCCAAGGTCCGCCTATCGATGTCCTTGGATGGCAAGGCAGAGCTAGTTTCCAACCAAGGCTCTCCTTCACGAGAGATGCCTCCTCGGCCATCTTCCACAACGCCAAGCTTGCCCCAGGTGCGGCAGCGTAACCTACAGCGTAGCCAGAGTACTATTCCTGCGGTCACTCTCCCGCCTATCACGGCACTTACCAACACCTTGCCTCCTAGGCTCATGCGAGGTCGGTCTCGCGACGTGCATGCCTGGGAATCCTGTGCGGACGCTGAGAATCGTGATGAGCTGACAGCGCAGGCCGAGAACGAGTCGAACGGATCGGCGATTGCAGCTATCAGCCTTCTCCGATCTTCGAGTGGGGTTCAACCACCAAGCACTGCCAAGCGAAATGCCTCCATGATGAAGCCTCAACGCCCTCAACAGGCCAAGAAGGCCAGGATAGATCCTAGTGGGTCAAGTATCTCGCGGCTGGAGACGGAGCTGGACGAAACCGAAAAGGCTGACAGGGAGTATGGTAAGGTTAAGGTTTCGATGTTGGTATCCCCAACAGGCGGTGATTCGGATAAGGAGAATCTCACCCCGGACGAGGATGCTAGTTCACCAGATCCTTATCACCGTCGACCTCTGCCGCCTCCCTCGAAGCCCATTTCCGAGAACCCCCGTCGTGTCGGTCGAGTTCTGCAAGAGCAGAAAAGTCCAAATTTATTCGCAAACCGCGCAAACACAGCACCTTCGCGACCCCGCTCCATCATTAAGGAAGGATTGGAGATTTTTGAGGACAGAATGAAATCAGCTATGCCCTCGCGAGAGAATGAGGTCGAGAAGTTTATGCGAGGCTCGGTTAGTCCCAGCAAAAAGCCCGATATGGATTGCGTTGCAGGCCTTCTTTCTCTTAGCCAGGGAGCTTGGAGGTAACACGAAGAGGAGAAAAAGCAAGCGGCAATTACAATTATTGGGATATAATAAAGGGGAGATGTCAGGATGGCATTCATTCGGTTTGCAAAGCTTGTTTTGTTTTCTCTCCAGAAACGGACCAGAGAGACAGGTACATATATTGCGTGACTAGCTTTGAGTCTGGTTCCCAATGTATACCGGTGTAGGATGTTTGTGGTTCAACTGCGTTGGGTTTGGCTTTGGGTTAGGGCGCCTGGGAACTGGTGCTTGTGAATATCTTTACATTCAACCGAACCGATATTGCTTAGCTCAATCAGTGAAGCTAGTAACTTGGCTTCTTGAATGAATACAAAACAGACGATAAGAAATTGTCTCGCAGACAGACATCAGTAAAGACTTAGTTCATTAAGGCAATAAGAATGTACAGGAATGGTCCCCAATACTACTGGCCTATGTCTCTATATGAACCGTCAACATGAGACCCTAGGATATCATGGTTGGTATTGAAATTACACTCTGATATTTTTTTTCTTTTTAAAAAGAGACATAAAACTGTATATCTTTATGTAAGATTACCTAAGTTTCCTTATATAAAACTTCTCCCCCTTACACAATATTATATAAAATCATATAAAATCACATGTTGTGTGAAATTATATCTTATATAAAATTATAATAATTTCAATAGCAGACTAGTGGTATTGCCATTTCTTGTATCTTATATCCCCTACTAACCATATAATCACGCGCTGTGGGTATTGATTATATCGAGAGACCATTATATTGCTCTACATCTAGATGTCTAAGTAGCTGTTGCCATTGCTTATTGAACCACCTCTTGACAGATCTTCGTTGAGATCTTTGAATCTATCCCACTTGTTGCCCGGCTTAACAAAAAGACAGACGAATAACATAATCAAGCGCCGCCAACACCTTGCCTAAATCCAATTCTTTTTTTCTTCTTAATATAGATCGAATGTCATTCCTCCTCACATTCCAAGGAGACTCATTTGCCGACGAATGGGACTTGCGCTCACGCTACCCTCTTCACTCGCGTAGCATGCACTGTCGGTGTCGATATCCCAACCGATGTCGTCGTCCTCGCCATTCTCTCCAGCCTCGGCGTCAAAGGGCTTCTGTGCTGATGCGCGCACGTTCCAGCGGAGAGTGCGGCTGACGCTGTCGAACCACTCTGTGTCGGTGCGTGTCACAGTAGGGAAGGGGTACTGAGAGGCTGTGATGGTAACGTGGTCGCCCTGTCGGAGCTCGAGGCGGCCCTTGCCGTCGAATGCGCAGTAGGCGGTGGCTCGTGAGTTGCGGGGGACGACAACTCGGAGGGCCATAGTGTCAGAGAGAACCATGGGGCGGAATGAGAGAGTGTGGGGGCAGATGGGAGTGAGAAGGATGGCGGGGATGTCAGGGTGGACGAGAGCACCGCCGGCTGATAGTGAGTATGCTGTAGAGCCTGTTGGGGTGGAGAAAATGCATCCGTCGGCTTGGACAACAGTGAGCAGCTCATCGTCGCCATAGAGCTCAAGGTTGGAAACATAAGGTGACGGGCCGCGATCGATGACGAGCTCATTGAGAACCTCGAATTGCTCAGGCTCTTCGAGCTTGAGTGCGTCAACAGCGGCGAGGCCACGGTTGGCACGATGGACGGTGCATGTGAAGCGCATGCGAAGGTTGATCTTCATGCCGTCATCGCCCATGATCCTGTTGAGGTGCTCCTTGTACTTCTCAAATTCAAAGGTGGTCATGAAGCCGAGGCTGCCGAGACTGAATGAGAGCACAGGAGGCACGATGCGCTGAAAGAGCCACGAGGTGAACAGGACGGTGCCGTCGCCGCCGAGGGTCAAGACGAGATCGAACTTCTCGGGTTGGCTCCAGCACAGATCGGGGGTCCAGTACTTGAGCATGTGTTGGTAACGAGGGTTCTCGGCGAGCAGGCCAGAGGCATCGAAGCGTCGCGAACCTCGTAGCTTAGCATCGACATAGACGTTGACGCCAAGGTCGGAGCCATAGCGTGGGGTGCGCAACAGCCAGCCGGCAAGTTCACGGGTGAGGTAGACAAGCTGGTTATCGCGGGCCTTTGTGACAATCATGATGTTGCGAACAGCACGCTTGATGGGGCGGCGCTGGAGCTGCTTGGAGACCTCTCGAACACCAGTTGCGGTCGCAACGAGGCGCGAGTGCGACATGGAGACATCGTTCTTGATCTCCTCCAGGACTTTGCCAATGTCGACGGCATCGGCAAATCGTTGATGGTAGAAACACGGTGACTGGAGAGTTGAGGCGAGGACGGTGGCTGCGGCATCAGAGGCAGCTGTATCATGACTGTCGGTGGAAGTGTAAGTGCGGGCAGTTGTGGGCGTCTTGACAGCGGCTGTTGGGGGTAAACGGGACAAGGCGAGGTCATTGAGGGCATCGGTCAAGCTTTGCGATGGAGCAGAGCTCTTGGATACTGATACACTTGAGGCCGATGGCAAGTTAGACTCTTTGGCCTCCGCCTCGCGAACCGAAGGCATGTTGAGGGCAGATGCAAGTGAAAGCGAGAGAGCGTCGGGTTTGTTGTGTCGGATGACCGAAGCCAAAGCCCTCGGGCCAGAATTAGACCGAAGAGGAGAAGACTCTGAGTAGGATTGTCCGGGGATTGATAAGGGCAATAGTGAAGAAGGAGAAGAAGAGGTGGAGGAAGCAGTTGTATCTAGTGAGGCAGATGACAAAGTCAAGGGTCCACAGTCGCCCTGGAGAGATTGAGGGTTTAAAGTGTCTTGGAGGTCGTCGAGTTGCGACAGACGACGATCAGTCAGGGACAAAGGAGAGGGAGATTGCACTTGGAAGGGACTCTGTTGCTGGACTTGAAGATGAGTAGTGCGAAGAGAGTCCGAATCGGAGGCCGAGTTCCTCTTATTTGTAAAGGATTGGGACTGAGACTGGGGAGACAAGCAATAGCCGTTGTCTCGCTCTCGGGGGCTGCCAAGACTTGGGTGGAGAGTCGTGGGAGACACGGCGCAAAGCATGCCTGTCATATTTTCCGAAGGTTAAAGGATTCTTTTGGTTTTGGTGGAGGCTCCTCTAATGGATGGAGCGGACTTAGTGAACCTGTGACCTGTAGCTTCAGCCTTCAGAGGGGGGGGATGTGCCTAAAAGGTGGATTGGTCGCCCCTAAAAGGATAAAATCCGCTGCTTTCAATGCAACGAGCACGCGATATCTCTCGTTGTCCTGACTGCAAATCGTGTGCTTTTTTGAATCTTGGACTTGGAATTCACACGACTTTTATGTCACTGGTGATAGTGAACAACAAAAATCCTTTGATAGGGAATTAGTTGGTGGATGAATCCGCGGAGACAAGCGGAGAAACAGCCTCGGAGTTGAAGATCAAAAGCCGTGTCTTGTATCCGGTATCAGAAGATGTATCAGGTACCGCCTTTTAGATCGATGCAACTCAAGAATCCAGAACCCTCCAGGGGCTTGTGTCTTACAAGCAAAAAAAGAGACACAGATGACGTCGCAGTGCGAGCTTTGGTTGTTACCTCGCTTCCCTGTGATAAGGTTACAAGGGTTTTCTCCTTTTTAATATCCAGTGATATTAATAGGACCAATTGCTCCCCAATAACTCTCTTTTCTCGGCGCAATGCAGCTGGTACCCAATTAGGTACTAAACGATACCACCACCTGAAAAGGTCGATATATCGAAATTCGAGAAGGAAAAGTGACGAGTGACAGGTTTAGTCTATTTGCGGGGGGGAATGGCCACTCAGGGAGATGTGACCAGGGATTGTCGATGGCTTCTAAGACGCAAGAGCCGAGCCGAGCGGGAGGGACACGCCGCGATTGGTGGGTTGGGCTGTGATAAGACGAGTCTAGTCGCAGATGCACAAGATGAAGATGCACGTGGATCAAGGGATCACGACTTATAAACCAAGAGGCTGGCTTAGAACAAGATCGTGAGTGTGAGGGTGAGGGTGAGGGTCTTGTTGGGTCGTGTAGGTTGAGGTTGAGGTTGAGGTTGAGGTCTAGGCGGTAATCGAAATCCGATTGAATAATTCACCGTTGAAATAACAGTAAATCCACTATAATAATAGCAACTCGGAGTTTCGGGCAGAAGATCCAAGAAGGTCAAAATAGGAAGCAATCGAAGAACAAGGATCTCTCTCTCTCTTTCTTTTGGGGCTGCAGATTGTAACACCACGCGGACCAGCAAGTAATGCAAGCCACAAAAGATGTGATGCAAGATGTTTCCAACGACCAGCGATTGAAAAAAAGAGATAGACGCAACCAAGAGATTATTGCTTGAAGGAGCGCGCTAATCCAAGATTCTCAGCAACCAACAACTTCTTCTGTTTTTTTCGTATTGAGCGAAGGAGATGATAAACGAAGCCGTAAGCGAGGGGCAACAACAACAAAAAAGAGGTGATAGAAGAAATAAAGTGGGCGATATTCTTTTGGCGACGACGAGACTCACAGAGTCTTTTGGAGCGAAAATATATACGCGTGATTACAATCAATGTAAAATAACAGCAATAATAAAAAGAGAACCTCAAAGTGCTTAGGCTGGAAAGAGAGTATTGAGACCGGCTACCGAAAACCAAACTTTTCTTTGCTGGGCGAGCTGCAGGTGGCTTTTAATACTCTCTGGGCGTTTCCCTTTTTTTGCCATCTTCCTCTCCCTCTGCCTCTCTCCCTCTCCATTTTCATCTCTAGTCTCCAGTATCTCGAGTTACAGGATACCCGCCTCCCGTAACGTTTTAGTTCCAGGGTCCTCAAGTTTTGGGAACAAGGTCTCCCGCCCCTTGCTCGTAAATACAAACGAAGGCCCCCCTGGTCCCCCCTTTGTCAGCCTGGATGGGCTATGGATACTCTTCTCCCTTGTGAAATTCTTTCTTTTGCCTTCGTTTATGGAGTAGCAGCGGTTAAGACGGTGATTAGAAACGGTTGCTCCAGTTTGTATACCGGGGACCTAGCTTTGTGGTTATTAACGATGGCTACTATACTCCGTATATACTGTATAATACTAGGCTAGCAGGCCAGCAGGCTAGGAGGTTTGTTCGTGATGTGCTAGTGTGGACTTGGCAGGAGAGTAGTTTAGTATCATATGTGGTATATGTTATAGGATATCAGAGGATCCTCTTCTATATGATAAACTGCAACTGATATTCCATGGATCTTCAGATGATCACTTGTTTGCCTCGAGGTTCCATCATATCATCCAAACATACGGATACATAGCTAAACTTGAGCAAATTTCCGTACTCACATCATATCATTCTCTCCCGTCAATAAGGATCCGTGCTCTGCTAGCAAGTGGATCTGACAGTTGTCAAGTGGATATTTGGTTTTTCAACGGTTCAGGATCGTTGCAGATTTCCCCAGTTTGTTAATCAATTCCCATCGACTCTTCCGTATCCGTACTGCCCAGTGCCTTCCTGTGGCTGCAGTGGCTTAATACTCCCTGGTTCGAGCACTACCTCTAGGCAAGTAGTTTATTGGAATTATAGAAAGCGATTCACGGTTAGGACCTTCATCCATTCTTTTCATGTATCACGTATTTTCATCCCGAACAAAGCAAATCCTCGTAGATCTTGGACTCTGGGCTTCCACGGTTGTAACCTCAACTGTGATAAAACTTTTAGCGACTGTCACACCGAGTATCAGCTATCCAGGCGCCAAGCACTATAGCAGGCCATTTGCTAAGTATCAATCAACTTAACAGAGCGAATCTGACCAATGTGGCACTGGTATTGAGGGCGTGGCAATTCGTCTCAGGAACGCTTCTCCAAAACTTGAGTTGCCTCCCGCTTGGAAACTGAAAGTCTAGACCGGAACGATTTACGTGAATAGCAAGGTACTTGCTGACAGGTGTTGTATTGGATGGGTGGATTGGTACCTCAATGCAAACCCCATTGTTTACTTTACCCCTGTTGGAAAACATGGGAAAGGCAACGAGCCAACCAACCAGCCACTCCTGATGCAATCGAGAAGTTATGCGATCTCAAAAATTCGTTGTAAATTTTAATGGTATCTAAAATCCTTCGCAAACCCAGCCTAGCCTCCAAAAACCGGCCTGAGACCGCCAGTACAGGTTCTGATGCCGTGGTGAAACACCACAAACCAGGACCTCGTCCACTGAGGAGCTGGTGTTTCGAGACCCTTATCCGATAGCAGACCGGATCAGAAACCTCCCGAGGCTGTGCCCAGCTTTGCGCTTGGCAGTTTGAATGCTAGAACAAGAAACACTTTTTTGTTCGTCAAAGGGAGGAGGGTTTGGGTTTGACCCTCTTTCTCAGGAATTTCGAGGGCTAGCTAGCTAGGTCTCGTAATTTGGTGACACCTTCGACTCCACGGACTGACGCTGAGTTTGGTCAGTTTGGTAAGTCTCCCCCGTAGCTGGGCGCGTAGGCGAGGATTCTTTGTGATGCTCAATCCTGGCAGGTTGATACATGTCGGAGATAACGAGCGGGTTATCATGCACTTGGCGTTGGTGTATCATTTCCAGTACAGGTCTTCCGCCACTTTGGTTTCCATGGCTGAGCGGATGAACTGTCGCATGCTCTTGGACTCAATATCGTCACCGGACATTGCTGTGTCGAAGCCGGGCTGCTGGTGCTCACAGCATATACGCTGTCCAACCTCGAGAACCTTGGCCCATTCACCGGGAGAGAAAGCTCCCTCACTCTCTGACAGGAGCAGATTGTCGGGAGAGGTGAAGGCAAGAACGTGGACAGACTTGGCATGGTCAATGTCTACGGCGGTTGGATCGACGATGATGTCTTTGCCCTCCTCTTCGGGAATGGCAAGGAGAGTCGCAGCGCCAATTGTCTTGAGAGGAATGGCGGCGGTGAGGAGTCCTAGGATGGCTGTGTGAAGAAGCGCGGGAATGATAGGGAGGTTCTGTGGCCAAACGTCAGTTCAACCATGATACATACCGTCAGCTCGGACACGAAAACCTACCAATTGCGCTTGAACTAGCTTTGCATTGACATAGGCGTTCTCAGGTGTCTCGGCAACCTGAAGAGTGATCTGGATCACACACCGAGGATAATCTCTCACAGGGATGAGTTGTCTAAGCGCCGCCTGCATGATGGACTCGAGCTGCCTCTCACGGGTTCCTGTTGCAGCATGTATGAGAAGCTGATGTCTTGCGACAGAGCATGTCGGGGGGTCTCACCTCCTACGCCAGCGGCAGGACGAACAATGACGTCCACCAGAGCCTCAAAAGCGTTCTCATCTCGCCGTTGGGCCTCGACGGGGCCGTTCACTGCGGCTATCACGGCATATCCACCGTATGAGAATGTGGCAGAGCCGTCGGCCTTGGCGAGGTGCGATAGCTCTGCTGTAGGTTCAGCGGAGGGAGCCATTGTTGTTGGTGTTGATGTTGATGTCTAAAGCTGGGAAATTTTCTGTGTCGTTTGACTTGACACTTTAGCCCCACGGTGTGTAAAGCGGTAGGCCAAGGTAATAGATGAGTGAGATGATAGTGGATAAGGCACCAGACACCAGTATATTCTCAGACTTTGAATAGAATAAAGACGTTATTAAAGACATTGATCAACCAAGAGAAAAGTTACACTCACCAAGTTCGTTTACTGAAGGTTGCTTGTGGATTTCTAGATAGTGGGGCCAGTCTAGAATCTACCCGCAGAGGTACTGCCAATCATAGATCCATAACTGATGACATGCAGCCTCTCTCGATAGCTACAGTTGACTTTCCTCCTATCACAAACCACTAACACAATATAACAACTGGTACATAAAATGGCTTCGCAAACATCCACTCAGCCCGATCCATCACAAGGTGCAGCACCATCTATACCAAGCCTCAAAGGCCAACTTCCCAAGCTCGAACCTCGAAAGCGACGCTCAGGTCCCTCCAATCCGACTCCCATTCCCGAGACGCCCGCCTTGCCCACGCCACCCGATACTGCCGACTGGACTTTCAAGACGCCGTCGCGGAGAATCTTGTCAAAGAAGGACCACGATATATTCCTATCCTCTACGACATGTCAACTCATCACAGCATGGGTCTTTGGACTGGCAGAGTCTGTGGTTGACACTCCCAACTCTGCAGTCCGAGACGCCGACTTGAGTGGTCCCATTAAGGCCATCCTACATATCCTCGACGAGACGGAACAGCTGGTGACCAAGTCTCCTCCAAATGAACAGGGTGGTTCACGGTTCGGAAATAAAGCCTTCCGAGGTCTTCTTGAGCTGGCACAAAATAACAGCGTCGCATGGCATCGGGAGATCGGCGTGCAAAACGACGATGCCATCGCCGAGCTTTCTACATACTTTTGCCAATCTTTTGGTAACGGGAGCAGAATCGATTACGGTTCTGGACACGAGCTGAACTTTATGATTTGGCTCCTCTGTCTCTACCAACTGGGCCTGCTGAAACAATCCGACTTCAAGCCCCTCATCCTCCGCGTGTTCGTGCGCTACCTCGAGGTGATGCGTGTTATCCAAATGACATATTATCTCGAGCCTGCAGGATCTCATGGTGTCTGGGGACTTGACGACTACCAATTCCTGCCTTTCCTTTTCGGCGCCGCACAGCTTTTGCATCACCCATATATCACCCCGCGGGCTATCCACCAGGACCTGACTCTGGAGGAGTTCGGCCACGACTACATGTACCTTGGTCAAGTCAGCTTCGTCAACAGCACAAAAACCGTCAAGGGTCTAAGATGGCACAGTCCGATGCTCGACGATATCTCGTCAGCAAGGTCCTGGACAAAGATCGACGGGGGCATGCGCCGCATGTTCGTCGCTGAAGTCCTGGGCAAGCTCCCTGTCATGCAGCACTTCCTGTTCGGGTCTTTAGTGTCAGCAGCTGATGGGATGAGCGAGGACACAGGTGCTGGGGATGTTGAAGATGCCGAGCACGATCCGCACGAGGGCCATGACCATACCGGTAAGGCTCACGACGGTACTGGTTGGGGAGACTGCTGCGGTATCAAGGTTCCTAGCAGCATTGCTGCTGCTCAGGAGATGAAGAAGAGAGGCATGAGCCAAGGTCTGCGAAGAATCCCATTCGACTAATGTTCTTTGGGTCAATCAAAGCATAACACGGGCTGTTTGTGATGGCCCTTGATGACTACGACTTGTCAACTAAGTAGTCTGTACTACTTATGTTCGTAATGAATGATGATCAATATGTTCCCATCATCCTTGGCATGATAGCTAGTGAATAAAGTATATCATAAGGATAGTAGAGTAATGCTTGGATCTGCTTGAGAGACCTGTCCTGGTACATGTTCATGTGAAGATAGAGCCGCCATGCTTACCTTCTTTGGAACCTTCACTCAACCGTTGCACTATGAGTTTTGTATTTCTATCGATGACGAGGGCTCAAGCTCTGGTCTCATCCTCTTAATAGTCATCCTCCGGTTGGCGGACTCGGTGACTTCCTATTAACACATTGCTTCGCAGGATGTTGATTGTTTTGTCGAGAGGGGATAGTGACAAAAAGCTGATTCTCTGGACAAGCCAGTTAACTACAAGAGAACCGAACCTCTAGCAGTTACAATCGTGAACTTGATGGATTTGAATCATGGCAGTAGCTTGAAAAGTGTATAATGGGTCGGAATGACCTCAAGTACAATCACGAGGACAGAGTTTTGTCCATGTCCTTTTCCGTCCTTCCTCGATATTACCAATCGAGAGTAGTGCCTCAATTCCAGCCGAAACTCATCCAACTCAAGCACTTCAGAAGAATCAATGCCCTCCTAGAGTCATCTCTCTGCCAGCTTAGCTCTATCCCCGCACGTGAGTGGCATGTATGTCAGTATAGCTAGTTTGTTACAGAAAGAAGATCATCCAAATTATGTTATTGGTATCGTAACTATTCCAGAGCGGTCTTGGAAGGGACTAGAATTGGTCTGGAAGCCTAGACATCCATGCTAAAGAGAGGGCGATGCATAGAAGATGCTATAGTTGGGCTGGTGGTAAATGAGGACTTACGAAGCATATGAGCTGCTTATCAACTACCGTACAACATCAGAACCAGACGTACTCTGCAATTCTTTGCCTGAGACTCTCTTCTCCTTCAGCTCGAATAATTATCTCTGCCTTCATAGTTTGACTTGCTTCATCTTGGTTGTAGTGTAGCTACCGCCGTCAACACATTCGGGTAAACTGCCGACATTTGTACGACTTCTTTCCCATTGTCTATCGTCAGTAGGACGGTGAAATCATCAGAACTGCTCTCAAAGTTTACCATCAGACTTACAGTTTAGGACAATTCGACTATCATGTATAAGAATGCGGATGAAAATTACTATAAATCCCAAGCAGTGCTTTCGTTCTCAGTCTTTGGCTTCACTTGCCTTCTAGTAGTCTCATTCTTATGTTGTCTAACGAGCCAACAAGAGACGGTTAGATTAGAATAGATTATATTAAATTTAGAAAACTCTATATATAATCTTAGAACTATATTATATAGAATTACATAAATTAAACAGAGCTTTTAACAATTTATTTATCTTTCTAAAGTGTAGAATAGAGGAAATTGTCGGAACTTTTGCACGCCTACTGTACATCACGGGATGTGCGTGCGTTAATGATCTTGTATGAGGAAGAAGATGTGATGGTGCAGGTGAAAAACAAAAGAACAGGGAAGAAGAAGAAACCAGAGAGTCTTAAGTAAAAGACTCAATAAAAATCTTCTAGCTCTGCTCAAAACTTTCTACAGATTGATCACACTTTTTGCGTTTCCACCCAAAATTGCCTTGTCACACAAGTATCTACAAACCGATATTCAGAAATTCATTCCAAAACACCGTATCATAACAAACTTTACCCTCTCACAGGAGTTGTATGATACCCTTCCTCCTAATATATGTGCACTATAAATCATTGACTTGAAGATGAGTTAAATCTTGACAAGTCGTCAGAACTTCATATCGGCTTACACGCGGAGATGGCCTACCCTAGACAGATACCCAGAATAAACCAGCACATGTTGAACAACAACCAAGAGCATAATCAAACTCTCCAGGTCCCGGTAATTCTTCCTTGCCTCGCAGATTGCAGTACGTACGTATCTATCAATGTGGAGTACTACAAACCACGCGCATCCATGTTCATCTTTCGTCCCATCCTCTCATCCCGTCTAATGGCGGTCTGCCGTCGAAACGAATGGGGAAAACTCGATCTGCCCGATTCTACGCAGGAGACCCATAAGATTCCCAATGTGAACAACGAGACCGAATTAGTCTAGGGCAGGGCAAGTAAGGAAGACCAAGGCAAAAAGAGAGGAAAAAGAAATCAAGAAAAAATTTCGATTCTTGCAGGAACTTCAAGGCCTGTAAAGTGGCGCCTCGGGTTCCTGCGGCAGCGAGGATGCTGCAGCATTAGAGTGTCTTTGACAATCTGTCATTAAATCATGCTGCGACAACAACAGAGACAGATCAAGGATATACCATGTATGCGCATGCAAGGCATTGCACACAATCAGAGACTGTTGGAGGAGGCTCTTACAGTAGCGCTATGTATATGCATTCTGTGCTTTTGTCAGGTTTCTCTCTCTCTCTTTCGCCCGCTGCCGTTCCGTTTCCGTTTCCGCTGCCTTTCCCTTCCGTTCCCGCCTCGCGTGGCCCCCGGCCGGACCAGATCTGCGTGGTTAACGGCCAAATGGATTGGCGCGTGGCGTGTAACAGGGGGTTATGTGGTGGAGATTGCTGGGGGTTCATGCGAGGGAGGAAAGAAAATGGATAATATGGGAGGCGTCTGTTTCCTCTCTCTCTTTTTTCTTCTTTCTTTCGTGTGGGCTATAAGTCGGCCATTCTGAAAAAAACTGCATGAGGCAAGGGAGCAAGATGAAGGATTTTTCTTTCTGTGTTCTGAAAGGCGAGACCGACAGAGATTTGTTGAGATTTCCGAAGCCGCGTATACGCATGTGAGATTAGCAAAACATTGAAGTTTGGCTTGCTCAATTGAGGCAGTGTCGTGTAAGTTGTTGTTAAATCGATTTTCCGTCCTTCGCAATCCCATTTTTTATTCCATAGCCTACCGAAGGCGAACTGCAAAATCTCTGGTCTGATGTATCTCTGCATTGTCACATATGTATGCGCATGCAGCTGCCGGCACAGGGATCGATTTGCAATGTTGGCCAGATCTTGGGCTCCATCAATCTTACATTTCCTTTCTGTCGGGATTGATGATGCTACGCTGGGATAAGCATTCCCAAGATCCAGCACATTGCTCTGCTTTGGTCGCAGCCTCTCCGTGACCAGTCAACCACAAAGCCACCGCCAATCAAAGGCAACGATGTGAAGTAAAATGACACACGTGTAACACGAATATGGGTTCGCAGTGTCAGTGGTGTCACTTCTGCAGGTCGCCGTTGCCAGTAAAGTACTGTAGTTCTTGGCGAACTACAGAACTGATTACAGCGCAACGTCAGGTGAGATATCCAATCAAATTATGTTTCACGCGTGTAAGAGGAGTTCACCTGTGCTAGACACTCCGTGGAATGTCTCGCCATGAATCATCAGATTGCTTGCCTTCGGAATTCTTCGTGATAGGTTGAACAAGGCAATCCCGAAGCTATGAACTCTCGATTCATACGCTTTGTGCATGGATAACTGATCGATCATCTCCAGTCTAGACAACTGCACAAAGGCCTGCAGGCAGCTGCAATTTGCTTATGCCTCAGCTTTCTGTCATTATTGAGACGGTTCCAAGCAAGACATGAAGGGCAGTGTTGCCCAGGTGTCATGAATGCTTTGTTCCCGAGTCTCACAACGTGTAAGCAATGAGCCTCCAAGAGGTTTGACGATTAATCAGTGACCCACCGAATAACTCGGCGGGTATGGTAGAGAACCAGCTTAGCAGACACATCAATCGTGTAAGCTCATGGCCAAGCTCAATATTTAGGGACGCTATACAATATCAAAGGCAAGGGTTGGCATAAGGGATTATGAAGGGCACTGGGATAACAAGATATGCTTAATGATGAATGGTGTGCACAAAATACTCCCTTTTGCCACTCCTAATTAGCCAGCCACTCTGCAGCAGGTCGTGAAACTCTTGAGTTGAAATGAGACATTCCGCAGCTTTTTCTCAAGAAATTGGTCTGCAACTTGTCTTTGCCATTGACTCAGGCTCGTATGACATGGGAAAAAAGCAAGGGGGATATCTTATCAGTAAGGCTGGATGTCATGAGCGGGGTAGACACAATTTTGAACCTGGTGGATGGGGTTTCTCAGTGACGGGGATTAATCCTGAAAAAGCCTAGCAAAGGCATTGACCAAGGCAGTGTTGTACTGAACATATGTGAGATCTGATGTGAGATCTATCATAACTGCCGGCAGTAGATACGAGTCCTTGGCACGAAAAAGGTCAGGTAGCATGCCTCCGTGCAATTGCAACTCCCGTAGCTAGAACTCCGGAGTTATTAGTCTCCGGCGTCTCTTATGTTCTTCGTCATTGCGGATAAATAGCTCCCAACTTAGCAAAACCCCATGCAATTTATGATAGAGCCGGAACACGGCAAATCGCACCGACCTGGGGTAACCCTGATGACAGTTGTATCATGTGATTCCCGCTCTCAAGTGGAAACGTTCGTTGCAGTTCATTACGTCGGCAGCTGCAAACCTTGGCCTGTGCGACTATAACAAGGATGCAGTTTTCTCATCCACCCAGACCTATGAGCCTCGAGGGTAAGATGATTTTGACCCTGGTGAGCACGGCCATGAAGCAGGGAGCCTCTATGTCGCCCGCCGCTATATGCGACCAATGAGGAAGGATATGGGAGACAAAAGAAGCAATTTGATACCCACCTCCCAGGGGTCCGCTGTACGGTGCAACAACAAGGCTCGCTGGTAGGGAGGGTTCACATCACAAGCTTCAGTCCAACTCGAGGGAATAAGTACTTGAGAATAGATGAATCTTTATGAATGGGAAAGAAACGTTATTTCGTACTTGTAACTGCCTCGCTCCTGTCAATTCAGGGTGGACTTTTGTGTCAGACCAACTCTGTATTGAATTGCGGTAGTGCACTCTGAAAAGCAAATGACAACCGAATGATTTGTTGGCTCCTTGTGGCTCAATGCTCACCATTTTACCATTAAATAAAGTTCTGGAGGATCACCGAGGCTTTCCTCCTTCTTTATTAAGGAAGATGCTGTTTTGATAAGTTCGGATGTGGGTGAATGCGGAGTTGGTGATGGTCCGGTGTCGCCCCCCGGCTCGCTAAGAGGTAGCCAGTCTCGCCTGAGACACGGACCGAATATGACATGTTCATAGTGAGGAATCCGCAGTACAACAGTAGACGGCCATCTGTCTGAGTGGTTGGAGTATGGCAGTTCGGATGAACATACAACCAAAGTTAATACAAACCATGTTTGAGTTGATGGGTAACGAATTTGTTTGTAATAATAATGTCTTTCCAATGACCAGTCATATGCGCTGTGCACATGCTGGCTGGCTCTGTAAAGTCTTTCTCAGAGTAGTAATTATATTGACAATTTTTTTTCTTTTTCGACGACTGACAATGGCCAGTCCATACTTAAACTCGTCATGCAAAACCTTCTGAGCTCTTCGGCCATCCACACACGCCACGGCACCTGCTATGTCACTTCCAGAGTCTCAAGCCAAGGACCATCAGGACACGCCGTCATTGGCAGAAAGTGTCTCACTATCGGCAACACTCATTCAAGAAAGTACTGCTTCGTAAAAGAAACGTAGTTGTCCGGGTTAGAGAGAGGTCTCGGGGTGGCACGCGGTGCCTTGGCTAGTAACTTGGACAACGAGTTCGGCGACATGTACAAACAGGTAGAGGGAAATGCTCATCCAGGATAGTATTGCCAAATCTAGTCAAAGAATTAGCGGAGTCTGTTAGGTGGGATTCTCTCCATCTAGAAAAATTGGTTAGTAGTCCAGGGTAGTAGGGATGAAATACAGGAGCAAGAGGAGCTCGTCGTCATCCCTTGCTCCACGCGGTATCTTTAATAGCCTCCAATTGAATCGGGTTGATCGGCCTGAGAATCCACCAGTATCCAAGGTTGCCGTGATGTAACTCCGTAATTCATCGCAGCACGTGTTGAGTTTAAAGCTTCCCTCGATAGGATTGAGTTGCCCTACAGATGACCCTGTCAGTTTGAGGCAATTGCAAACTTACATAGATTCAGCTCAACAGGCGACCTGTATCTTTCGACTACTCCGGTGTCAAGGACGAGAAGCAGAAAATTTGTAAATAATTCCATTTGAAAACATATGAGAACCTGCGGAAGTTTGTTCACAACTGAAGAAGGCAGATGTGTTGCTCGGAATGCTGTGCATATTGCTTGACTGGCCATAGAGTTGTAACAAGAGCTTGAAATGTACTTAGGTTGCGAGTAGGGGTCACTACGCTAGTACGAGTATGGCTCGCTGCACTGTAACGGGAAGAAAATGGCGAGCTTGGTCCAGGATGTGGTAGGTGTCCGAACCTAAAGGATAGTTATCGTGGGGAGAAAACAAGCCACAGGGTGGTCCTCCCGGGAGGGATCAAGGAACTCCCTGCAGTCGCTAACGTGGTAAGTCGGTGTTAGTCTGTGCTAGTGTTAGTATCGGCAACGTTGTTACTGTTCCGCTGCCCGCCTTGACATCAGGGTAGCCCCCTTCCAGAGAGGATGATCTGAAATGGTATCAGCATCGGAGGAAATGCAAATGATTCGCTGCGTGGGTAAAGCGAGTGAGGTAACTGGCGTATCAAGTCGATTCGAGTCGCCAAGCCACAGGGATGAGGACAGCCTCGAGTCAATTAGGAGGTAGGGGAAGAAAACCCTTTGTTACTACAGTATTGTTAGATCTTTGTATCAATGAACTTGATCTCCTTCTCCTGCTTTAGTCTGCACCTACGTAGCAATGAGCTGCAAGATGTAACACGAACATCCGGGGGATCTGAAGCTGGACGGAGTGTGGCTATCATCTTTGGAACGAAGCTTGTCTCTGACAAATGTCTCTGCTGTATCCATCTCTCTTCATTAGAAAAAGCAACAAAGGCTGACTCAATGGATCATGGATGCATCCAGACGTGATATATCACCAAGTTCCAGTGGGCTAGGCTCGCAAGGGTCCTGTGTGCGAGCGCGAGGTCCATGCTAATGGTGAAGGGAGTTCGTGGTGCTAGGGAGGCTTGGAGGGAGTGAAATGGAGTCTGCGGGGCGCTAGCTATGGGTGTGTCAACCGAGTCAAGCGGGGCATGCAGGCATGCTAGGGCGTTATCCCTGCTCCCGCAGGAGCCACAGACGTTGTTTTCCAACGTCCTACCGCTGGAGATGGACTTGCTTATTCTCGCTGAGAGCAACGTTTAAAGTCTCCCTCGCGCCCAGGGTGTTTTAGTTGATGGGGTTTGAAAAAAAGAATGATTATTATAATCGCTTATAATTATTTTAAATTATTGCATACCTTTCTCTGTTTGTTCACCCTGAACCACCAATTATTTACATCGCATTCTGCAGCAGCAACAGGCAAGTAACTGGAACCGTTTGTGTGCAGTCGTTCTTGCCTCGTGCAACACAAACACCACACGCAGGTCCCCCCTCTCAATACTCGCTCCGTTGCACCTGCCGTGTAACCTTTCTCGCTTCCTACCGAGCCATATCTTCACCACTCACACCTCACAAAAACATTACCAAACTCCCTTTTTAATATTTGCAGCTTGCGATATCGACATTGATATCGCTTGTTACAAACCGAAGCACAGCTTCACTGCTGTGAAGGCGACGGGACTTGGCGACACACGACAGTACACGGAGCAAAAGAGGCAAGCGCAGGAGATCGCAACACCAGCCTCGAGAGTTCCTAACACCTGGTACATTCAAACCGCACCCAACTCGACTTCGATTCTCTTTCGAGTAACAAATCACCCGACGCCATCTTATTGATCTGTTTGAGAATCTAAGTGATTGCATTTGTCTTTGTGGTCATGAACCAATCTGCTTCTTATCCTGCTTCCTTTGTTACTGTTTGATACAGTCACACCCGAACAACCATCAAAATATCTCGTGCCATTCAGCTCCAATTCCAGTGTGGTCTGTTTTGCCTCGATTTCACAAAACACCAAATTTCCACCACGAGTCGCTCTGATTCACCTCAGCGTCACCCGGGCTTACACTTTCCCTTCTCCTTTCCTCCATTGATAGGTCTCGCCCACATCCGATCCGGTATGTTGCAAACCAATTCTTCTCTCTCGTGCACCTCCAAGCACGCGGAAGGCCTGAGTTTCTCCCTCACTCGCTAACATCTCTTGGCTCAGGTATCCTGCGCAACGTCGACTTCGTTCTTTCATTGACCAAGGTTCAATATGGCCAATGGTTTTGGAAGAGTCGAGCGCTTCTTCGCCAAGAAGAAGACGCCAGCTGCCTCCATTGATCCTGTTGATCAAGCTTCTATCCCTTCCAAGATACCTCAGTTTCCTTCACCTTCATTCATTCGCCCCAAAGCTAGCCGCATGGCTGCGCGAGAAGAAGGCGGGAAGCAACCCCGGAGTCGAGGTCCTTCTTTCCCAACTCCCCTCTCTCCTCATCGAGTTGACTTGAACAGCACTCAAAGTCCCATTCGCTCACCAAACTCCTATCAATTGGAGTACTGCCCCCTCCAGAACTCTTTCATGTCCCCACGAGAAGAATCGTTTACTGGCGAATTCGATGGCTACCACTTCCCTCGACCTCCGACCCGTAATGGAGATACTTCTGCCTCGTCTTCTACTCGCGATCCGAAATCATCCATGGAGGCCCCTAGTGAGCGCAGCCTTCCAATGCGATCCCCAAGAAAGCCCGTTCCCAAGGCTTTGCGACTTGATACTCCTCCTTGCTCGGATTTGGAAGACGAAGATACTCGTCGACCTACTTACTTCCGTGATAAGAAACTTCCGGCACTGCCTCAAACGAAACCCCCAACCCCGGAGTCATCCCCCGAACTTCGCCCAGTGCATATTGCACAGTTGAAAGCATCAAAATCAATCGACTTTCTCAACAAGTCTGTATACAGTGACATCCGTCGCCAGCTTGCCAGAACAGTCGGCGAACAGCGATTACGAAGAACTTCAAGTCAAATCAGTTTGGACTTTGCAACAAACAGACTATCTGTTACTAGCTCCACCCTTCGAGAGCCCGACTTTAATGAGTTTTTCAACCTGAGCGACGACGATATTGCCGAGTCGGCCCCAGAAGATACTGTGGATGTGGTTGCACCCTCACATCCCTCCACAGCCCCTTCCACACCCGTTTCTACTCGCTCTTCTCTCTTAACGCTCACCCCTCCTTATGGTAGCAAAGCTGCCACTGCTGCTGCTTTCGAAGCAGCTAGAATCGCCATCCGCTACAACTTTGACTTCGTCTATGTGGTAAACCTATGGACCGATGACACTCAACCCCACTCCAGCAGCTCTACCACCAGCAAAAAAGTTGCACCGTTATCTGGACGGCTGCTCGCTGCTTATGGACTGGAAAACGTCAACCTTCCATTTCAAATCTCAACAACAGCCCATAACAAGATACTTAGCACACCAGGATGGATAGAGTATCGAGCAAAACAAGTCCAGGGTGACGAGTTTGCTCGGGGTTATGCTCACGCTTTCTACACCGACGAGTGTTCGCAAGAGGGACCAATCATCTCGAGAAACTCAGCATCATCAACACAGTCCATGAGCACCGAACGTGGAATCATCTTCGCTGCGTATCGAAAGCCCCGAGCTGATGGAAGTCTGGTTGGAGTTTCCTCTGGTCCAGCCGAGCTTGTCAATGTCCACAAGGATGCAGAGGCGCTTGTGGAAATGCTTGTTGATATCCATGTAGCAAACCAGCTGCGCGAGCCTCAATCATGTTTCCACCAAGCTGAGGAGACTGGCCCAATGCCAACACAAAGAATTGGGCGTCTGTAATGCCCAGAACAGATAACATCCTTCCAAGCCTTGAGACAACACGCCAAGTCTATACGACATTGTTTTCTTCCTTCCTTTCTTTCTTTATGTGAACAGGTTGGCTTCACAATGACACGATCACGGAAATTTCCTTATTTGTTCTACTCAAGATACCTCAGTGGGCGGTTAGCCATCAGTTTTCACTTTGCGTTACGGTCATAAAAGGGCGCCACGGTTGCTTTGCAGGTCATGCATGTACGTCGATCCAAGCTTGAGGAACATGATAACGGATCTCAACGATGGACTATCATGCACGTATCGGATGGGGATCAGCGATATTTTGTCGTTTAAAAGCCACGGTGGGCAATGTGTGGATGAAGTATGAGAGATGCTTGATGCATCATAGTTAGGGAACTTTTAATGAGTCTATGTTAATTCAATCACGTCCTGCTATGATAAAACAAAGGACCGAATCTTCTTTATCCTTGTTGCCTCCTGTGATCATGATATCTTCTATGAGGGCACAAGGATGGCGGGTTTGTCATTCAAATCGTTTGCGACTTTCCGTGACTGTTGCCTTTCGCAACATCTTTTGCGTAGAGAAACTACCTACCTACTTGACAATCACTCCCACAGATTACAATGAGGGCATCTGCAGCAAGATGCGGCATCAACATACGCATTGGTATTGGGAATTCTTATTTATATGAGATAGATATATAATCAGGACCGTCGGAACGCCCTTTGGCTAATTGTAATAAGTTTATATAAGTTTTGACCAAATCTATTTGAATTAGTCTAGACTTCAGGACGAAGAAATTAGGTAAACTAAGGGAAAGATTTATAGATTTCTGACAATTGAGACTAAGATGAGGCTACAGTGAGAGCATTCCCTGGGGTAAGCGCTGCATGACCATCATAAAGTATGGGGACAAAGGATCAAGAAACAAACAGATTGCCTATGGAATATTTGCGGGTAACATATAAAAAATTACTGCAAGGAATACAGAAGGCAAATACGTGAAGATTCCAGACTTTCCTATAAATAGAGGGCCGTCTCCTTCACAAAGATTCCACCTATCAAGCTTCATCACATCACTCCCACCATATATATACAACTTCTTCCCCAATGCTCAGGATGATATATGATATACCTTGCCTCGAGTGCACATATCTAATCGAGAGAACAAAAGCGCCATTGGGTGGGAGTGGTTTGTTGGGACATGATCTATTACTCACCAGGAAAGCCGTCTACCTTTTGTCTTTGTCTTTCGTCTTCCTCCTAGTTCTCTGTGCTTCTACGGGTCACAAAATTTCTCCCAAGCAGCATTCGAAGCAAGCTCACACAGCTACCTCAGTTCCCTGGCAAGCCCTTCCTCACATCTTGCAGAGATTATATACGCCTTTGTTCTATATATATCGTGAGTTCTGATTTACTATCTCTCCTTATCGAGTATTCTAACGCAAATGTGAAAGAAGAGCTATGACCATCGTGAGAACGGGTTTCACTTGCGCATTCAACGGCGGCCTTGGGCCGAAATAGCCTCCATGTTCAAGGCTATGGGGCGCAGGTAGTTTATGTCCTTGCTTTGGGCAAGAAGTTGCATCAAACATACCAGAAGAGAATACAAGTTGTCGCTGCGTATGTGCGCGCTGAAAAGTACGACGAGCTTGTTCCACCCACTGCCGAATCCCGATCCCCAGATCTGTACTGCCGCCGCTATGTCGTCCGTATTTCGCAGCTCGGAGTCTTGTTTTGAGGCTCTTGATTTAGCTAACACCCGTGATAGTACAGTGGGTGGGCAAAAGTGCCGATATAATCCTATCCTAAGATTATTTATAAAATACTCTAATTATTCTACATCTTATATATCTTTATAATTATACTGTAAGTCTTATTTGTCCCCCGCCTAAGCTTCAAGTCAACTGAACGCAGTGCTAATCAAAGTGTAGCGAGGACGAGGCAATGACAGATCGCCTTCCAACCATCGCCGTCGTGCTGCTCGGCCGTAGTAAAGCCATTCAAGGCCATATAAATATGACCCCGGCTCCCATTCCTCATCCATCCCATTTTCTCCTCTTCATACCACAACACGATCGAGCTTCTCTCACTCAATATACTGCTTCTGCTTTTTATTTCGCACTGCACGGGGAGATACCCAAGAGCGTCATACAAAGCAGAACAAGTCGATACAGCAGTGCAACCGACAGACACTGCAACTATGAGTGATGGAAACGATTTTAGGTCCCACGGCGCCAAGATCACATATCTCAATGAAGATCATACCGAGTCTGACAAAATAGAGCACACAGAAAGATGCGAACAGGACATGAAAATTTCTTGAAAGAAATCGAACGCTGGATACGAGGAAGCTCGAAGACGCTAGGAGATCATCTGCCACCCATATACAAACATGAAAGTTCCACTGGTCTGGCACATCAAAGATCCAGAGATAGACAATGTCATGGCGTATATCTGATCTAGAAATCATCGCAACATATAGGATCGACTTGTATAGTAAAGGTGTGGAAAAAGAAGCAAACAGCTTTGACTGGGATCACGACTTTTATGATATTGATCGCGACGAGAAAATCATTTGGTCAGATGCCAATTCCACCAAAACAGCGGCAGACAACCTCCAGACCAAGTTCGGCGATGGAAAAGACGGACTGATTCCTGCCGACAACCGCGAGTCAATCAGGCACCTCGTATACCAACACAAGCAACATGGATGCGATCTAATGGCGCGTATGCCAGATTGAGAGCTGAATGGCGACCAGCTTATGATCTCGTTGGAAGGATACTCCGAATTAGTGGCACGTGAGAGGTTGGCCAACAGTCCTCGAGTGACCTTTTTACTCTGATTTCTCTCCAACCGGGAGGTCAACGTTTGCCTAGATGCCAAGAGAAAAAGGATTAGCTATGCTATCAAGATTCCGACAGACGGCGAGATTGGTACAAGCAAGTGAAGCGTTCCAGTCGACTTACTCATTTGGATCAAGAGACCTTCGAATAGCGTGTACGATACAGGGACACGATATCGCCTTACAAAGATATTTGAACACTCCTCTGCTCGGGTTATTTAAGCACATACTTACTTCCAAAAGAAGATATAGACCTTTTATACTCGTCTCTCGTTGTCATCTGATGATGGACACATAGTGTTCCGGCCACCTTCCAGCCTGGGCTTCTCATCATCCACACTGTTACGTGACGAAAGGTTGTCACGTTGAACATTCCTTTAAAAAGAAGCTGGGGTCGCTTGATCGAGACAACGAGGGACTCACCCAGGAGTGCTACGGCTTAAGCAAAGAATTCAACAACTTCACTATACCCAACAGACTATCAATTCATGCCATGGATCTTATACGAGGGGATTAATTAAGAAGTTCCAAGCTATTACTGTCTTATCCGATGATCTGAGCAAGAAGGACTTTATCAGCAGTACACACAAGGCTCTTGTGATTATTAGTGCAACACTATGGTCTCAAGTCTAAATTGGTCCTAAGTTCTGATATCCTCATATAAGTAAATAGCTACCCTAAGATTATTAAAGATTATCTGGGATTATCAAAATTAGATAATAATAAGATGAAATTTAAAAAGACTTGAACTAAATTCTAGGAATTTATATACTTCAGAATAAACTTATCGTAATTAAAATAATATATTACTAAACTCTTATTGAATTTCGGAAACATTACGTCGCTAATAGAGACTGAGCAAGGTGTGGTTCATTAGATGGTCATATAGGTGAATTCTAATGTCACAAGAGGATATCTGGAATCGGAATCCAACATAGTAGAGCGGTATGTGTGAGACTGAATCCAGCGCGATGTGCACGGCTAATTCGTGAAGGATTATCAAGTCCGGAAAGACCTTCGTAATTTCGTAGTCTGGGTCTAAAACCGTTAGAAGGGTTTGTGCCAGATCCGATATAGAGGCAGGGTAGGTTGTCATCTTTCTTAAGCCGTGAGAATAAATTCCCTATTGCCTAAGGGATGTTGTCTTTAAGATTGCAAGAGGCAGTGACTTGAAAAAGTCAATGGTTGGTGGCTTAGGTGAGGATAAGGATTTGATGGCTGTGTACTCTGAGATAAGCCAGTTTCGTATTCTGTAGGCTGGTCTGCTTTTGTGCATCGGCAAGCTGCTCCTGCGTTTCTAGATCTCACATTATGTCCATCTGGGGGGGGGGGGGGGGGGGACTCCTGAACTCCTAGCGTTGAAACTCCTCCAGCAATGGTACAATCCCATGTTCCACATGCATCACAAACCGATTGGCTATCATGATAAGACACTCAGGTAGTTGCAATGCCCATGTATTTGGAGCAATGTGACTATCAAAGAGTGTGAACATAGCTCCATGAAGTTTAACCCGAGTTCCTCGTGGTGTTTCGCAAAGGGACGTCGACTGCCGCCTACTAGAGCGGAAGTGGTTGTAGATCTCGTCGCGTATCCTTTGATACAAGTCGAATTGGGAATGCTCGCGTGTAACAGGACAGTTGCCATAGTCGAACTCGCTCAGTCTGTGTATATTTGCGGGGTCTCAGCCAGAATTCTGCTCTCGAACAGCGGATAGTATCTTTGCACTTCCATCGCTCGGTGTCTGTTTGAATCTGATAGTAACGTGGTTGGTACAATTTGTGCTCAGTGCGGGTTTGGCGGTAGGTAGAGCATCTTCGCTCTCGTTGTCACTGCCTTCGTCATTGCCGTCGTCGTCGTTGTCATCCCGATGTTCGATCTGCCGTGACCCCATTGCGGATTGATTCGCTTCTATTCGTACCAGAACCTGCGTCTCTTCCAGTTCATATTCAACTTGTAATTGTTGTCTCTCTTCCATTTCCATTTCGACCCAATCCTCAGAGCTAAGAGTACTGATATCGTACTTGCTTCCTCGCGGCTTGTGTGCTAGTGTATCAACGACCAGAGAAGCTCCAGCAGTCAACCTCGTCGGTGCAATTTCCCCTGCCATCTGCAATGGTCGAGCGTGGGTGAAATGTGCGGGAACTTTGTTGCTGATAGTTGCGGGAAAACAGAATGGGCACTGGGAGACGCGAGAAACCCACTGTGAGAGTTAGTTAGTAAGGTGGTAAAATAAATACGTGGGATGAACTTATATATACCTGTAAAGATGGCACCCGCATAATGTTGATAAACGAGAAGAGTGTCGGAGGGTTTTTGAGGTTAGCTGGCACCGATACGATTTAGTGTTCCTTGGTTCCATTTGGACGGGATCCACGATATGGCGAAAGACTGTCCTTACACTCATACGTTTGCGAAGGCCGGTTGGCCATTATGTATGTGTTGTGCTGAGTGTTGACATGAGCCCTGTTCCTTGTCGACCCTGCGTTTCAGCTGAGTCGCTTCTGGTTCCGTTTGAAGAATAACCCTTCGAAGAATAACCGTTCATCAGCTACAATTTGGAGCCTTTCTTGGTTAAGGTCGTGATCGTCACTCCCCCATTCGTTCCACGATGTGTGCCCACAAAGAGGCTTCCATTGAATTTGGTTTCAAGACCAAGTAAGTACTTGTGTTGTTTGGGATAAGAGGTGGAGTTGTAGAAGAAAGTTTGATAATGAAAGAAAGATCAGAGAGAGAGAGAAGATATTCAGTACTGCTTAGGCCTAAATTCAAATGACTAATACCTCTTCAGCGTGCTCTATAAATATCACCCCTTTCTGATCTCTTCCCCCTCTTTCATCTTCCTCCTTCATCATCACTCCTTATTTCGTTGTTGATCAAGGTGACTTCAGCTCTTGATCCAGACACATAGCTCGGAGCAAATATTTACCGATCTGGGTCACCCACCACCGACATGTCTGGGCCAGTGCCAAAAGAAGACCTGGCCTTCACAACATCAGGAATCGCCTACAAGACAGGGAAACAATGGAGAAAGGAATTTCAAGTGATACGAGTCAAGGATTCGCAATCGATGAGTTCCAAGTTAGCGCAACAAACCTTGGACCACCTTGATCTATCAATATCAAAACTCGGACTGAGCAACGAGGAGCTCAATTACGACAAAACACAGCCCAACCTAATGTATGGTAAACCCACTGACACCTGATTTTTACTTGCTGATTTATTTAACTTAGTAACAATCTCGTCCTCATTGTCAGCGAATGCTTCAAAGACACAGCAGAAGACCTCTTGGGCGATTCGCCCAAGCAGCGAGTTACGGAGTATGAAAACTTTGACATCAAAGTACACGCGTGCATTGAAACAAGAGACACTGCGGTCGTGGTTCAGAGACTGCAAGACAAGAATGCTCACTTCTACGTTCTGCAGAACAAGCAAGATGGTCTTTGTGAGTTGCGTAAATTGCCACAGACGAAAGTTTCACATAAACACATTGTGTTTTACAGTGAGTTCGTCGATGGCAGCAGAATTCCAGGCAAAGCAAAGGAGCAAATCAAGATTAAGCACTCAATATTGACTGCAAGGTCTGAGTTCGTCGAAACACTACCTAAGGAAGCAAAGGAACTTTCGCAGCCAGACGAGGAGATTCTGCCTCCTGCAACACTCACAGCAACAGCACTCGGATCAGGGGTTATGGAGGTGTCCGCTTCGTGCAATGACACTGGATCAGGGGAAACTCTAGATCGTGTATCGGAAGTCCAGCAAAAGACCATTCATGGCTCGGTGAGTATGAGTGGCGATCTTGACGATACAGCAGAGGACCAGTTGCAACACATTCGACGACTTGGAGAAGGAGACATGACACTAGCTGATGCGCAGAGATTCATTGCCGCATACAAGGTAAGCAGTTCTCCATGTCGGTACGATCCCTCCCACTGACTGAAGGAAGAAATTGTGGTCACGTACCGCATCATCCATGGTTGACATCGTACCCGAAGCGATCATTGAGCTTGATGCTGGTTTTCATGAGGGGTCACTATCCTCCGCACCTACTATCCCAGATGGTCTCTACCGGAACTTTGTTTCCATCTTCTGCGGGCTCTTGTCATGGTCGAAGGCACTAGGTACCCCAGCGCCACGGGAGAAGGCCGTTGCCCACGCTTATCAGATGGCTATCAGAGGCACCGGTGACCCTCTCTCACAGTTCTCGACAGCTGCCCCTATCGAGTCTGAGTCAACTAGAGGTTTTATTGAGAGCATGGAGGCATTGACTCTCTGTCTAGCGCGTACTGGTGATGCAGCTGTACGAGCAACTGCTACACATGCAGCAAATCCTGGCCATAGTGTGTCGCCGATGATGAGTGGCTCTTCAATAAGAGCTGCTACAGCTCAAGAAGTCGACCTTGACAGAACAAACGCGATACTGAACAGCATAACGCAACGCGAGTCTGTCGAGAACAGCAATGCCATGCAGTTAATGAGCAATATGCTATGGGCAACTCACGACTTACACCTTCGAGCAAAGAGGGCCCATGAGGAGGCACATGGGAAGGCAGCATCCAATCCTACACAGCAGGTCTCTGATGATGTAGAAATGGAAGACGCCGGCGGAGGGGTCTGATGAAGCCATTATTATTTTTTCGATTAGGAGATGACATTGAAGGCGGGCATCAAAACAAAGGTATTGCTTATGGCGTTTTATGGTATACTAGGGAATATGGTAGGATTGTATTGGGATTGCTTCTTCTTTAGGTCTGGGTTATTTGGGAGATTTGGCTACAAGTGACATGGATGTCGCAATGGAGGAGGTTCTATATGGGACCTAGTTAGACAATTGCTTATCCGAACTTTACTTTTCAAATGAAACAATCACTGCGTAAATCTTAAGTCGTAAGTGAGAAAAACAGTCATTTGATTATAAGAAGCCGACCATCATTACGAGAAAATAGCAGTATAGTGTGGTTCACACGGCTCCATTAGGTTTCACCTATATGCGTCCGTGGGTGACCGAGGCCCATACGCCAAACTGATCCCTTTTCCCCAGAACCTCTCATTCTTTCGCAAATCTCTCTGGTTCCGCAAACATATCTGGTCTTGTGGCTAGCCTGTAGCCCCCCCACCTCAATACATGTGTTGTTTTGACCACCTTGGTCTTTGTCGCGGGCTTGTTCTGAGTCTTCCGCACCTTAATCGTTGAGGGTCTTGGGGTTCGGGTGGCCGATGCCCCTGATGCTACAAGGTGTGTATCATTTTCTTTGTCAACCATGCCGGCGACATCCACGTCGAATGCCATGAGTCTGTATTCAGCCCACTTCGTCTCCTCCTCAACAAGGGCAGCCCAACCAACAAGTGGTTCATAGCGAGTGCTATCAGCAGGAACGGACCAGAGAATGTTGAAGAGCTTCTCAACGCGTTGTCTGTAGACCAGCTTCAAAGCCATTACCTGGCATACTTTGATATCCATGATTCCCTTCCATTCTTCAAAGCGCTCTTCGATGAGGTCGTAATCAGGATGCTGGGATACCCATCCTTGAAGGATTTCGAGAGTTTCGTGCTTGGGATGATCCCACTTTTCGTGGGAGTTGTACATTTTGGAAGCAACACTATGAACTGGTGTTTGAAATGAATGTTCTTTTTCGATGTAAGTATTAGATACATTGCAATATGATAAGTGACTGTTACGTACCTGTTCAGACGAAGGACTTTGTTGTTCTTGTGATTAGGCCAGCACTGCGGCGAGTTGTTGGCCAAGATTGTGCAGATGGAAGTATGAGATTGGAGGGATGAGGTTAGAAGAAGAAGATTTATTTTAAAAGGAAGATTTATGAATAAACAATTACCTCCAGTCTTGTCACGTGCTGCCAGTGAATGATGGCTTTGTTTTGATATGCACAAGACTCGAAGAGTTATGACCAATCTGGCCTATGGCACTGGCAATCACTGTGCATCCTGTATTTCTCCTGTTTGCCTACCGATGTAGAGATGATGGAAATAATCCATGTGAGTATACCTTTTGGGGTACAATATGAAGGCTCTGTGCCAATATTCTAACAAGCAGAATAACATAAGAAAGGGGGACATGCTCCAAATAGTTCCAAGGTTGCATTCCGTAATATCTATAAAAAAGCTTCTTTAAACTGCAAACAGTATTTCTCCCAGTTTCAAATAAAGTGCGAAATAACTTATTAATAACAATGGAACCTTCATATTGGCATCAAAGCAATTTTCCCGCAATACAAGACAGCTCATACTCCATGGGGTACCCACGTAGAACCCACGGATTTTACACCAGAAATCACTTCCCCCAAGTTGGGACATGTCGTAGTTAGTGGCTCATTTCCTTGAAGTTTCATGCTAAAGCTCCATTACTAGTAATAATTTGAATAGTGGCTAATCCTCATGGAAACCTCCTTCAGTCCTGAGGTCTATCCGCTAACTACTATTCTCCCGAGAATCTTTTCGTTCGATGCCCAAATCTGTGTTTGGGCGTGCCAGGAAACAGACTTTGGATAGCTGACCTCTTCGTCCCAGTAGTAGACTGGCCTTTGCTAGCTTCATTGCCAGACGGAGTGCTGGCGCAATATGGTGCTTGGCCGGCCGTGCCACCAAGCTCGTTTTGGAGGCTGGACACACTCTCTGTAAGTCTGGTGGTTTGTTGAGAAGGCAGAAAGGGGACGTCTTGTCCAGCAGAAACTCCTCCCCCATTCGAGGCAACAGGCTCTTGCTTGACCTGGGCAGAATCAATTTCGGACGTGTCAGTAGCAGGCTCCGAGATATGTTCCATGTGCGTAAACGAGTGGTCCAGGGGGGCCAGTAGAGTCTTCACTTTGTCTGTAGCCTTGCGTATCCTTTCAGCGATCTGACTGTCGAAATCAAGGAGCTTTGATTCCAGTTCCTTTTTGACTTTGTCGCCTATGCAACGGATGATCACGCCTTCAATGTCAGATATGCAAGAACTCATCTTGGAATCGATGGCGGCTTGGACCAGTTCTGCGACCATCTTCTCGATTTCAGGTTTCTGAGAATCCAACTCAGATGCGACGCTGGCTTTCGTCGTTTCGGATATCATAACCTTGAGCTCCTTCGTCGTAGAGGTAATCATTGGTTTGATTTTGTTTGACAGATCGTGGGTAACCGAGCTCTGGAGCCGAGATCGCTGAGATTCCATCTCGGTTTGGGCCGTTTGATGAACATTTTGTTCGAATATGATATGTTGGTGGGCAGTCTGAGTTTCAACTGCGGCTTGCACCCTGGCTGCAATCTCACTGTTCACCTGAGCCGATCTCACCTCAATTCTAGCATCAACAGCCTCGGAGATCTTCTGGAGAATAGTAGGGTTAAGGCTACTGATACTAGCACCATAAGCAGACCTTTCACTGGTATTGTGACTGTCGAGCTGCCGGATCCCAAGCGTTTTGTTGAAACGCATGCTCTCGATATCGTCACATATATGTATATGTTTGATCTTCAAGGGGTTCACTTGATTCATCATCAGCCCCATAGCCAGGCGAGGGGGAGCTTCGATTCTCAGTGAGTGAAGTTCGGGCCAAAGACGATGCCGGTGGGCCAACTCGCCCACAAAGTTACAGACCTGCTCGTTGGTGAAGTGTTTGAGAGTAATGCACAGTCCATAGAGACCAGTCAGCTGCTGAAGAGCTATTGCCAAGTGTTCTGGAAGAGCAGGACAGATGCTATCCCGTAGAGAAGGGGGGTCGAATCCGATGGCATGCGAGCCGTCTTGCTGGACAGGAGCCTCGACAATGAGGGTAGCCCACCTGGTAACACTTTGTTAGCTGTGGTGATGATCATAGGGAATGAAGCTTACTTTATGGCCTTCTTAGCGGCTACCATCTCATCACTGAGTTGAAAAGCCCCGAGTGCCTGGATGGGTACGACAATGTTCTTCTGCGTGTCCTGCAGGCGGATTTCGTCGAATTGTGCAGTAGAAAAGAACTTCTTCCAATCTTGCGATGCCTTACTTGACAAATCCATAATACCTGGATTGCCACATTGAGCCTTGAGAGCATTGTACAGATCGGTTGGGATGTGCAAGACTTTGTTGTCTTGCGTGGGATATGCCATCCTGGGTACCCCAGATCAATTTTCGGTGGGGATGTTTCCAGGACTTGGAGCAAAGGGCTGATGATGATGATGATGAAAAGGGGAAAGAAAATAAAAGAGGATGAAATGCTTGAGTCGGGTTTAAATAGTCGGAAAATCGAAGCTATCTCTTGACAGTGAATCACGAACGACTTTGCCTCGGCTGTAAACAAGGTCTTTAGAAGCCTTCCCCTCCTTATCTTTTATCTATTTATTCTTCTTACTCTCTTATCATTCTTTGCTGGACATGTCTGGATACAGAACACGCAGATACAGAACAAGCAGTTCCCCTGACCCTTCTGATATTGTTTCTTCTCCTTCTCCCTCTCCCATCTTTTACCTTTCTCTACTGGCATTCTTTACTTGCGGAACAATTATACCTTTATAAAGAAATCAACCTCCTCTTTCTTGTTCTCCCTCTCTCGCAACTTCATCTCTCCGTCGACCACTTCTACCCACGGAACGGGCAACTGCCCCCTAGTCCTTCTTTTCTTGACTCCTCTTATCGTCTTCCTTTCTCTTCACTCTAGTTTACTTGTAAAAGAAACAGCCCATATTCGAGATGTCTACCGAGGGCAGGTCTGTCGACGAAATTGTGAAGAAGATGTATGATGGGGCTCTTGAATCAGTTTCACAGCTTGAGCACCGGATGGAAACCATCGCAGAAAGACCGCCACTTGCTATCCGGCCTGGAGTTTTCCTGCATAATATGGACGCTAAGAACGCGATAGAAACTACTTTAGATTCAGTGCAAGCCAAGAAGGCTCGTTGCCAGAAGTTCCTATGGAGGAAAAAGAAGAAGGAGGAAAAGGAGAAGCCTCCAAGTGTAAAAGACTTTCTGCGGGTCAATCTTGTTGACCCTGATGACCCTGACAATCCTGACGGCTCATCTCTTCATATTCTCGACTACCTTGCAAAATATGAATGGATCCAGCAAAATGTCAGTGGTTTGGTATCTTAGCGAACCTTTCTTAGGATACACTAGAATATTGCTAACGTCTCGCAGTACTGGGCCACACGAAACGACATGTCCCCAGATGAAATCCCAGATTTCTCTAAGTTGGGGTTGAAACAAGGTCTTTTGCGTCCATGGCAGAAGACTGGTGTAATCAAGCTACTCAAATCATGCGAGTCTCCCCTTGGTGACATGATTTTGGCCGATGCAACTGGCCTCAGGAAGTCCTTGACCGCACTCGTGGCAGCTCTCGAAAAGCGCAAGCAGGTGCTTCCTTACTGCGGACCTGTCCTCGTGGCAACCCGCCCAAGTTGCGCCCATCAATGGTTTGACGAGATAGAGACCCATTTCAGTGAGGTAAGTGCTTCTCCAACTGTGCATGGCACCGAGTTTTCACTGACCGCAACCAGGAGAGCCAACCTAAAGCAACGATCGTTGATAGGCATGATGTAGATATCGACGTCCTGTTGGAACACGATGTTCTTATCTGCACTAGCAGCTTCCTCAAGGCTCGATACCTTGACAGAATCAAATGAGAGGGTTTCCTCGCGGTTGCTTCTGCCTATGGAATTCGTGTTGCGAACACGATGTTTCCGAACCAAAGCTACCAACGCATTCACCTGCCTTTATATTCTGAAATCTCCCAGGACAAAGAAAAAATGTTTCCAGTGATCATTATTGACGAAGCTCACGATGCCAAGAACGCCGACTTGCTGCTATCTCAGGCAATCCGAAACCTGCCATATCACCACGCGTTCCTTTTGACAGCAACACCGGTATACAACTCCTGGAATGACCTCGGTGGAATTCTCTTGCTTTTACCTTGGAGTCCATTCAAGTCTTTCGAACATTTCCGACGTGTCTTTCCTGTGCCACCACCCGCCCCGAACGAAGTTGGTCGTAAGGGGCCACAGGAACCATTCTTCACGGTGTTGATCGGACTCCTCAGCGGCGTGGTTTTAGCACGCGCAGAATCAGTGTTGGATTTTTTGGAGTGGGAGTAGCATGGCTGAATAGTCCAAGAACGTCTCCCGAGACTAGATGATCTGGTTGTCAAAACTTAGATCTTCTACTATATAAATTCATAAGAGACAGTAAGAAGTTATTATAATTTACATAAACTAAATAAACCTAAACTAAGCTTTAGTGCTTTGTATTAAAGCTTTATCTAGTTTAGATAAAATTAAAAATCTTAGGATAAGATTATTAATAGACTTACATAAAATAATAGAACTTAGGATATTTTATTAATTCTTGGACCATAGTGGAGCATCATGAATCACAAGTGCTTTACATATCTACCACTGATAAACTCTTCCTTACTCAGATCATATATAGTAGCCCTCTTGAATCTGGACGCAGACATGGGGCTACCTCGTGGGTACTTCCTCTCGAGACCCCAAATGATCTCTCGTCCCTCCCAGGGCCAGGCTTTCGGACCGACTTAGGCCTTGCCACGATGATCCCTCGAAGGAACTCAATCATCATGTTGTAGAAGGGGCCCTCTGGTCCTTTCCGGGCCACGGAGTTGATGTCTGGAGGCATGGCAGCAAATGTCCTCTTGTAATGGTCGAGGTCGAGGAATGGGGAGCCTGGAAGTAGTGATACAATGCCTCCAACATCCGTCCATGAATTATACATGGGTGTCGCCGTTAGCAGAAACGCGTGGTGATAATCGAGAGACAACGCCGCCTTTTGGGCTAGCGTCTCCTCGTTCTTGTAATCGTGGGCCTCGTCGAAGATTATAACAGGTATACGTCTGTTCCATTCTTGATAGAGCTCCGAATGGAGTGGTACCTTGATTCGTCTTTCAAGTATGCCAGGACACATCTCCCTGGCCAATGCAATATCGTAGGTATTGGCAATGAGGCTGAAGAGTTCCATTCTCATGCCTTCGGCGTACCTTGTTTTGAGGAAGTTTGAGCTGCAGATGATAACGTCGAACTGGAGCAGTTCCCAGACTGACGTCGTGTTGCTGTTGAGGACCGCGGCTTTGGTCTATAAGCATGTTAGATATGCAAACTATTCAATAAGATAATACATACGTTGCGTAGATGAGTCCGGACTTCACGTTCCCACTGAAACACACAGTCAGGGCGACATACGACTAGAATGAAACCACAGTTAGGCTTCATCTATAACTGCTTCACTCTGGCTACAACCAAAGCTTCCAGTGTCTTCCCGAGGCCGGTTTCATCGCCAAGAATGAGCCCTTTGAATGGCCCGTCACAAGCTTTCAAGAGCTTGGCGACCCCGACCTTCTGCCATGGTTTCAAGGTTGTGTTGTCGTTGAGGAAGTCAACTCTGATCTCCTGTAGGAAGGTCGTGGTCATCACATCCTGGACAAAGTTTATATATATGCCAACGGCCACTTTAGACCAGGAGTGCTTACAATGTGTGCTCGCCAAGCTCGAGAGTCGAGGTGTTCCAGAATGTGGAACCATTTCTCGTCCTGGTTGTCGAATGATTTGACAAACATAGATTCTGGCTCCATCGGTCGGCAGTCCTCTTCGTAGCCGTCGTCGTCTCTGTCGTTATCGGTGCCGACTTGTTTGGGCTTTCGCTTGTTTGGGTTCTTCATTCTCTCAGCCTTCGAGATCTTGGCCTTCTCTTGTTCTTCGAGAATCATGAAGTTGAAGTTCTCTGGCCCGAAGGCTCTCTTGATGGTGCGAATTTGTTCGCGAAGCGCTTCACCCTCCTTCGCACTTTGGCTCTTCAACAGGGCCACTTCTTTGCTCAAAGGCGAAGGCATTTCTCGAAGGACGTCCTGAACTTGCGCGAGGGATAGCTCATTGCCATACTGAGCGCCATGTTGGTCATGGTGTCGGATACTATTATATCCACAAAATTAGTCAGTGAATCATAAACCCAGGTTTCAAATGAATCACAGTGAAAGACTTACCGCTGCCGTAGGCGTCGCGTAGTAGCTCAGGTCTGGTAAGGGAATGAAGCTCTAGTGAGAGGGAAGAAACGCAGTGTGAATATGCTCAGGTCTGGTGAGGGAATGAGGCTTTAGCGAGAGGGAAGTGGTGAAGTTTGAAGGTGAAAGGTTGAACAAAAGAGAGAGTGGAAGAGAAGAGAGGCCAAATATATGAGAGAGGGGGAGGGGAGAGAGGAGCCTAGAATTTCATCTCAACTTCGAGACCGTGATTCACTAGGTAGGTACCCAAGGGGGTATGCATATCCCCATATGCATTGCATTAAGTGCATAATACCTCGCAGAGTAAGTCCAGGTACAAATATTACAGCTCGTGCAACTCCAGCCTAACTCCTTTTACACCTCCAAACACTATCCCGAAACTCCTATGGAGAATTCTCTTTTTCTTGACTTCCTACCGGCAACCCTCCAGACTTATTCTGCCTCTGCCTGCCTCTGCTTCTGTTTCTTCTTCTTTGGATCCTCAGAGTCGTCTGCCCGAAGCCTCGTCTTCTCATCGTGGTACACTTCCCATTCAGTAGTGACCTTGGCCAGCGCCGCTCCAACCTGTTCCTTGGTTGGTAGTGCTGCCGCTGGACGGCCGTCCTGATCATGTCTCTGGTACCATCTTGCCATTGGTTCCGAGGCGCTAGACTTTGATGAAAGGATTTCGTGCTTGAGATCGTCAATCTGAGTTTGTATCTTAGCATCGTAGACATACACCTGCTTCGCTTGGGCATCCGGTGTGCTCTGCCAATCAGCTAGGTTCAAGGCCTGGTTGCCAGAAAGACTCAGCAATGATAAGATGCAACCCTCCATGGAGATTGAGGCCGACACCTCCACAGGCTGCGCTCAGGAAGAGGACGGTTGGTCCACCTTCATTAACTGGGAGGTTGAAAGAATCGGCAATGTTGGTCCTGTCCTCAACTGATATGATAGAGCCATTGAACTCGTAAATGATAAGGTCGGGATACCCCAATTTTGCCTTTCTGGTGAGAACTTCGTTGATGATATTGAGAAACTTCACTTAAGCAGATCCCACAATGATCTTCTCAGTGGGAGCACTCCTGTGGATGACTAGCACCTTCTCAACGATGGCATTAACTCTAGGGGACTCGAATTCTTCGTCTGTCATACTCTTTAGGGTTTGTTTCCACCGAATGACAGACCCATCGGGTGTCGGATATATAGGTTCTCGAGTTGAGTTGAGGGATCTCTATCTGGCTTTATATAAGGGCGTGAGCGACGGTCGCGACGCTGGCGAGAGAGAGAGAGAGAGAGAGAGAGAGGGGAGTGCGAACGGTCATTCCGAGGACGGCGGGTCTGCGCAATAAGAGCGGTGATCTGAGCCAGAGCAGGGCAATGGGGCTGTTCGGAATATACCGACTTCACCTGGCAAGATAGTGGCATAAGGCCTAGGGAAGTCAGGAGACTTATGGTAAGATTATATAAAGGTATATAAAACCAGTAGAGTCTATTAAAGTTGGACAAAGTTCAGAACAGAGGAGGTTATGGGAATGTAGGTCCGCTATATATATTAGAAGCTGGGAAAGACAGACAGTAGAGACACTTCAAGGCAAAGCCTTACTTACTGTGTTCCATTGTATCAAGCCTGAAAAAGATCGCTTGCTGTCGCTTGCTCATGGTATTGCGCCGGTTTGTAGTGGATACGGATACTTGCTGTTCAAGATGTTTTTATGACAACGTCATTCCCTTGTTTGACAATCAGAACAAATAAGACATAAATACCCCTATTAAACAAAACGGTTGTCTCTTTCAAGCTTGCATTAACCTTACAAAACAAAAAGAGACGCTGGAAATCATTTCTGGACAGTATCTCGATGAAATCGGTGTGTCTGATGGACGTGCACAATATCATGAGTAGTAACAACTGCTGGGCATCATTTGCGATCAAAGAAACATAATCCAAACGATAAGTCGTTTCGAGGCTTTTATCTATGCTATTCAAATGCTGCCATGCACGTATTATTTCAAACATTTGGCAAAGTCCCATATGTGCTTTTACTGCATTGGGCTGCTTCCTCACTTTGCTGTATATCTGCAGAGTACCCGCCAAACAAGAAGTTTAAACCACAAGGATCTATAGAAGCAAGATACGTGATTGCTCACTTGGACATGGCAAAGGAAGTATTTCACCTGTAACTCAATATGGAGCTCTATTCATTGTTGTCGTCATTGATCATGCAATCTTATTCCTCACGCTCATCGCCGTTGTGGGGCATACCAGACAAAATACTCATATTTCATCATAAGTTTATATAAAACTACATAGATTAGTCTCATCTCTACTCATAATAGTATAAGAATATTAGAAAACCATTAAAACTTTCCTAAATTTAGGTCTTAGTTCTTCTGTACGTGGAGTTGAGACTCTCATAAAAGTGACATCATAAGCTGTAACATCGAGCTGGCAATACCTCATCGATTTGCTCGATTGGAATCCATTTTTAACGAGTTAAAAGCATCCGATTCCTTTGCAATCACTTCTTCTCACTCATCATTTTATAGATCGTTGTTCCTCGTAAATCGCTCTTATTCGGTTAAATTTGATCTGATCTGATAACCACCAACCACTTACGAAACCGCTTCTCGCTCCCCCTGCAACGTCACAGCTTCACCACCTCTCTCTATCTTGCGATGTCGGCTCAGGATTCCGGTCCCAAAATGTCTTCCGCTACCAAAGATGTCCTAGCTAAGGTGCAGCGCATGATTCCTCCCATGCTGGAAAAGTTTCACAAGGGTTTGTTGCTGTAGCCATTGATCGCAAATGAGTAACAAGACTGACGCGAAAACAGGCCAGTTGGGTAGAGTGGCCGTCATCGGTGGCAGTGAGAATTACACAGGCGCACCCTACTTTTCGGCCATGGCGAGCGCAAGACTAGGCTCTGATCTGGTATGATACTCCCTGAATATGAAATTCTTTAACCTGTCGCTAACTTGGGACTTTACTTGCAGTCTCATGTCATTTGCACCCCCGCCGCTGCGACTGTCATCAAATCATACTCACCAAACCTCATGGTTCACCCGCTGATGCGCCAGAGCCAAAATGCAAAGAAGGAGCATGAGCCCGCGGCTTGGGATGCGTCCAAGGACCCCGAGTCCAATGCTGAACATATCGCCTCTCAGATCAAGGATTTGCTGCCTCGCCTCCACGTTCTTGTGATTGGACCTGGTCTAGGCCGCGATCCGTTGATGCATGCCACTGTCGCCCATGTTATCCGAGCCGCCCGTGAGCAGGAGCTGCCAGTTGTTTTGGACGCCGATGCCCTAGCTATCATTCACACACAGCCGGAGCTGGTGAGCGGATACACTGGTGCTGTGCTCACACCTAACGTCGTCGAGTTTGGAAAGCTGTGTGATGCCCTGAAAGTCAAGGTTGATGATGATGCCCCGGAGACAGCACGTGTCGAGGCTCTGGCCAAGGCTCTCAAGGGTGTGACGGTTGTTCAGAAGGGTGCAAAGGACTACATCTCCAACGGTGAGACGACATTGACAGTTGATCTCGAGGGTGGTAAGAAGAGGAGCGGCGGACAGGGAGACACCTTGACTGGTTCTATTGCCACTTTCTTGGGCTGGAGAAGAGCCTACCTTGACGGTCTCTGGGACGTAGGCAAGAACCCCATTGATGAGCATGAGTTGGTCGGACTAGCAGCTTTCGGTGGCTCTGCTATCACAAGAGTAAGTTCCTATCCCATGATCTTCCAAAACTGCATGGCTATGGCTGCGACTACTGTCACGCAGCACTTGGCACTTGTCAGATACATGAGCGGTGATGCTAACAATCTCTCGTAGGAGTGCTCTCGCTTGGCCTTCTCCAAGAAGGGACGCAGTCTGCAGGCAAGCGACCTGACTGACGAAGTGCACATCTCGTTCCTCAACATATTTGGTGAGGATGAGGCGGTGAAAGAGTCCAGGTTGTAATGATCACCAGAACCCCTTTTAGCTAGATTTTTACGGTACGAGTATACGACAAAAGATAATAAAGTATTGCATAACGTTCAGAGAGAGGTCTTCGTGCATCTTAAGACTGTCTGTTATATGTTACAAGAACATAGGAGTTACTCCTTGTTGCTTGATGTGTGCTCGTGCTAAGCCCAAGAAGCTAGCTGTCTGTTCATAGGCATCAGTTCGTCATAAACGACTATCGTTACTAGATTAAAATGCAATCATATACATATACTGACCACTCAGCTCTGGGTCCGTTATTACTAAGTTTGTAGTGGAATTGAAGTATGGTGTTCATCGTATGGGTGTATGCTTCTTACTGCCATCAGTCAGTCTGTACCTGCCCTGACACTGTCACTAGCCGCCCAAGGTAGTTCCTTCCACTACAGTCTTGAATTTGAGTTGGAATATACCTCTAGTAGGTATTCTCCACCTTCCCTTGGTGTTCGCGCCTTCCTTATGCTTCTTCAGCCCTTCTTTGTCCCCCACCTTCCTTCACCCTCAACATCACCTCGTCAACTCGCGGCCTGCAAACCACGTCGCATGACGCCTGCGTCTCAGCTTGTTACTTGACTGAAACTCGTTCATCTTTCCAGCATTCGTGGTCTTAGAAAGGACTACCAGAATATCCGCACTTCGACAATAAATTATGTGCTCCTGCCATGATGGCGCCTCCTGAGATGTCGGTTTCACTGCATCTGAAGCACCTGCCTATAGGCAGCTACGAAGTCACAGTAACAGGCTCCAATGGTTGGTTCCATCTTTCTCCCCCCCGTTATCTTTGACATCTTTAACAGTCAGGCACAGGTACGCAAGTTTTTCATGAGAAGATCGAAATTCCATCTCAAGTCACCCTAAAGAAAGGGAGCCCCTCGTCGAAAGTCGTCACAAGAACACCAACAACTTTCCCGAAATTCAAAGAGTTGCCAGGAGAAATTCGATCCCAAATATGGGTGCATGCTATACAGAACGACTCGCGAATCTTCTGCCCAACACATGAGGACTGTCATGACGAGTTACTGTACGTCACTTTTGCTCACAAACCACCTCAAATTCGCCAAGTATGCCGCGAGTCACGCCAGATATCCGAAAAGCGTGGCATGTTCGTGTTCGGCGTAAACAAAACAATCAGAAAAGCGCTTTGGTTTGACAAATTCAACGATATCATGTACGACTTCGACCCTTACAATTGCCAGCTTGATTGTTTGGCAGCAGATTCCGATTATAATCGAGTTTTGAATTCTGCTCGAAACGTGGCAGTGGACTGGGAATACCGTTGTGATTCGAAAGACTTGTTTAAATCGGTAGTGAACAGATTCAAAGCTTGCCAGACACTTTACTTGGTTCATGGGAATGTAGAGATACCTGAAGGCGATATTGCTTTCTACGCCGTCCCAGATGAGGAGCTTGTTGAGGCTGTGAAAGGAGAGCTAAAACCGTCGGGTCAGGTGAAGGATGAAATCCGCAAATTCTGGCACAACCAGAAAGTCTCCCAAGGCTCCACCATCACGAAGGAACAGTTCCCGAGCATTGTGGCAGTCGAGGCTATGCCTGTGCGGGTTAATAATAAACGCAGACCGAGAAGAACCTAGGGGTTCAGCAACACATCAACGACCTAGCTAGATGTGGGAAATTACAGTTCTTCCCCGAATCATTGTTCTCATGTCTAGTTTAACTGTTTGTACGTTGAGTTGTCGTTAACTTGTCCTGGGGGCCGAAGTCTGACATGGAGAGTTGTCTTTCTAGCTCAAAGGTCAATTACACAAGTTAATTATAAACTCACAAAATATAAGCCTACACATGCCCTGATGTCAATTCTTCTCTCTCGTGTGTTCCTACAAAGAAACTATAAAAGTATTAGTCCAAGCTTAGGTGGTGTTTGCTGCGTCCTCTTCGATATCTGATGTCTGCCATCGAGCTTGCCATTGGCCAGATGACGCCAACCCCGGTATAGCAATGACCCCTCCAAATGGCTTTCTATTGGAGGGGCTCAACATTTGGGTTCCTGGTTGACTGTATCTGCCACACCGTCATAACCTATCAAACTCAACCGTCGCAAAGCTTCCCATCATGTCGCAAAAGTTGGTCGTGATAACCTCAAAGGGCCAGTTCGACTCGCTCCTCAAATCGTCGCGCATCGTCGTCGCTGACTGTGAGTCTCCTTCATCATGATTACCACCCCCGATGGCGGCCTCCGGTGATACCCCGCCAACCCGTCCAACTTGTCCTACGATGCGACCTACCTTTACCTTTCCGGATGAGGATGGAAAGCTAATGCGTATCTTTCTCTAGTCTATGCCGACTGGTGCGGTCCCTGCAAGCAGATCGCCCCTATCTACGAGGGCCTCGCCGAAGCGCTGTCCCGCGAAAACCTCGTCACATTTGTCAAGGTCAACAGCGACAACCAAACCGAGCTCTCCCAGGAATACAGCGTCTCAGCCCTGCCCACCTTTCTCGTCTTCCGAGATGGAAACGTGATCGACAAAGTCCAGGGTGCCGACCCTACTAAGCTCAAGGCTGTCGTCCAGAAGCTCGCATCCGAGGTTGACTCTCTTGGCGAGAGCAGCGGCTCCAACAATGGCAACTGGAAGGGTGCCGAAATCCCACGAGGCTACAGCGACATTACCGACCAAATAGAACTTAGAGATCTCGAGGTCCTCAACGCAGATGAGGAGGCTGGTACTGTACGAATCCTCTTCGACGGCGCCAAGCCAAGTGGTCTTGGTAATGGCAAGGGAACATCCAAGGACTATGTACAGAGTGGTGCTGATGACCAGCTGCTGCTGTACATTCCCTTCCAGTCCATTGTCAAGCTTCACACTCTTCAGGCAAGTTCGACGATTCTGTGTCATACTCGCTTTTACTAACTGTCCTTGTAACAGCTGACTTCCCTCCCTCCCAAGGACGACGAGGACGTGATGAGACCCGGCAACGTTCATCTATACATCAACCGCACCCACAACCTCGATTTTAGCGAAGCCGATGACACCGAGCCTACACAAGCCATCGAGATCTCCGAGGAGGACTGGAACGACGAGGGAACAGTGACTTTGAACCTCCGATATGTCAAGTTCCAAAAGACGTCGAGTCTTGTCATCTACATTCAGCAGGGTGAGGGTGATGGAGAGACTGTTCGTCTTGACAGAGTGAGACTCATTGGCGAGGCTGGAGCCAAGCGCGATATGGGTAAGCTCCAGAAGGTCGGAGAGGACGAGTAAACACGTCTCAGCAATTGAAATGGAATTTGTTTTATAGCGAGATCAACCTGGCCATGCGCAAATCAAACGTGCTTTACGCATCCAACAGGTCCTCAGCACGAAAACGGATGATAGGAGTTAAGGAGCAAAAGACGAGCCAATGGTATCGTCCAAACTCAGTTAGAGAATAGACAATGGCCAATGACAACCACAATCACTACACTTTTTCTCATCATACGCCTGTCATGCTTTAAACGTCGAGGATCGACACGTGTGTTGAGCCTCATCTCATGTACATCACGGGGCAAAAAGTTTGGTATGTCCTGCCTCCCAACCACGACTTTGGTGTGTGAAAAACACCAAAACCAACGATGGTAGGGCGGGCCTGCAATTTTGATTCATCTGGGGCATAACTGACGCTGCGATGTGATCCACTGATAAAGGATTCGAGCAACACGGAGAAAAATTTCAGGTTATGCCAGCCGCACGAAGAAGAAAAGAGAAGAGGAAAAGCGAAGCTTGAACAGCGCGTTCGAGATTTTATGCCTCCTGCTGCCGCGCCTGGTCTGTGCGCAGGGTCCATCCGGCGCTTGAACGTATATCCGGGCTCCGGGTTTGTAATAGCTGTGGGTCATTTTAGACGCGCCGAGGTTGGGCCTATTCTGCCGTAGATATCTAGGGTAAGTGAAATTGATGTTTCTTTGACGAGTGAGTGGTATTCTATTGCCTAACCACTCATGATCAGATATCATATTTTCAGGAATGTATAATTCTCTGTTCTGTGTTAATTCTCTACTAAATTCTCGAACTAACTTGCATAAGTAGTGGTGCGATCAAGGATCGAGCCGAGAAGCCACCGTCTCTAATCTCGCACAATGCACCTCTCAGCGGCGAAAACCACAAAAATTACCATGGAGACCGGATGATGGGCCGTCACTAACTTAGGAATAGCTTGCGAGATGCTAAGATCCACGAAAGCAATGGCGTGTATATACCAGACAAATATGACCACATGCACTGAACTGAAAGATACACTCTGCATTGAATAGGGGGTTTATTCACAAACAGTGTACGCAGCTTGACCTAACCAAGTGTCGCAAGATAGGAGGATATTTCGTCTAAAAACGACTAAAGAGATTTATTGAAGAGCTCTTGCGGTGTATAGTTTACTTAGGGTGATGCTCAATAGCTTGGTCTTGTGGGAGAGTTGTTGGTGAGCTCTGCAGTTGGCCCCTGTCTTAAGGAAAAAGGAAGTGATCAATCGCATCACCAGTTCTACACCCCATAAGCCAGTTGCTGGAATTGATGCAAAGCCAGAGAATGAAGCCAGACATGACATTTGATCTAGGATATTCTCATCACTGTGAGTATCTTCAATACGCCAAGGTTCATCTAAGCTCATCCATGACTGTCAATGCATGACACACTAACGTAATACCGAACTACGGCTGCAAAAAGCTCCCTTCTTCAACTCAATCTGATAAGAAACATCATCTAGAATCACAAGCATACTATAGCCTCGGTATAAGTCATCACCGTTAAAACGAACCGTCAAGACATCCACAATCAACGAGGGGTAACTACCGGCTTGCCTGGATAGCACATCCTTACATGGAATGAACAGGGCGAAGCTTGATCCATACTTCAAGGTTTAGGGAAGAAAGTTCGACCTATCCACTTGACTGGGTTCTCTTATGTTCCATGGCCAGGAAGTCGACGCAGAATTCACGATACCTTCTGTTGATCCCCAACCCCTGACTGACACGGAGCGGCAGATGCGAGCCCTTCACTTTATCCTCACGATCTTGCACTAACGTAGCGTTGCAAATCATCTTGCATCGGGTCCGGTCGGGTGACCCAACCTGCGGGAAACTGCTCTTAGCCCATCCGGCCGAATGACGGTAGTGATCAATATGCAGACTCGCCAAGACGGGAATGCCAACTCACCTTTCTCGCGTATACCAGCGACTCACGAGACAGCCTTCTACTCGAAGACTTGAAGCCCCCACGAATTCAGGTGAGGGAACTACCGTCTAGACCCATCGTGAAGAAGAGACGGGACTACATGTCGTGTTGTGCTTATCTGCCGGCCGCGGTACAGTATACCATGCGTCCACGGAGCGTCGAGCATGAGATCCTTGACGCATCAAGCTCGAGGAGTCGAGGAGTCAAGACAACACCCCCGCTTACGGATGGAACGCTTCCAACAGGTCACAAGATGGGCCGTCTTTCGAACTGGCAGCTCCAAGGAATTGTAACCCGGGATTCTCTCCGTAACCGTTGACTCCCCTCGGGGTGAAATAAAACATCTGACATGGGACGGAAATTAAGATAACTTTATACTATAAGAAGAATATTAAAATAAAATAATTTTACTTTTATATAAATATTAAAATAATCCCTAAGTCTTAGTAATCTTTATCTAGTTTTAATAACTTAAATTTTTTTTCTCAAAGCTAATTATAGTAATTATGGCATATAATAATCTACATCTAACGTCTGAAGTCTTATTTCACCCCCTAGACTCCTTCGAACACATCGAGCCAATCTGCCGTTTGTTCCGAGCCCTGCGGCTTTGCGGGAAGGATTCTGAAGATCTAACACTCCTGTAATATGGCAAATGTCCTGTGGAAACAAATGCCCAAGACGTCTCACGGCTTTGGGCAAGGAGTGTTTGACCCCTGATCCTCAGGGGTGGGTTACAAGAAAGCAGTACCAAGACACTCATGGAGAAATTTTAGGAAGTCCAGAACCAGGGAGATTTCTGTTCATGGCTTACAAGGAATTTTCACAACAACATTTCAAAGTTCCGAAGATGCAAGTGGCGATGCCGCCGGTAACCCCAGCTAAGATGACTTCTCGATGCTTGGCGATGGTGCTAACTCCCACATTACGAAGCACCACCGCAGGCATAGGATCCAGTATTGCACTCCACAGAATAGACACACGATTAGTACCGGTAGTTCTGTGTTAGTTTATGAAAGCGAATGATGGCGGCGGTCTAAGCAATGCCTGCTGGAAGCTCTCCGGGGGCTGTGGTAGAATCTGCACAACAGTGATCCGTAGATAGAGTCATGATCCAAAGCATCGAACTTGCACTAGAAAGAGGGAATTATAAAATAGTCTCTCATGATGAGAGACCGTATTATGCCGAACGATGCCGGGTGATTCCAGTTGATAGCTAATTCCTTATACGATCCCTTGAACTTCCCATTACACCTTAGGCAGTGCATCGACGCTATTGTAGTCCTAGCTAGCCGTTAATTGATGTTTATCAGTGGAAATTTATAAAGAAGATTACGAAAAGACATAATTTCTCTGATATACGAGTCTCTCATAGCGGTTGAGATATCAGTCTAACCATCATGGCGGAACTATCCAGCGCCCCAAGGCCAGTGAGGCATGGCACGACTCAAGACGCCAAATACGCTCCCGTTAGCTCTGCAGCACATGTCGATCAGAAGCAAGGCATTATGATTCTAGACTCCAAGGATCAGCCATCGCGGCAACGCCATCTTGGATCACTACGTTCCCTGTCGTTGGTGCGGAACAAGACGAAGCGAGGACGGCCAATATCCGCACTGACGAACCTCCAAAGCTAATGTAGTAATTAGCCGCTTCAGTAGGAACAGTTGGTTTAGCCTGTTTTGCAGAAAATACACGCAATGGCGTCAAGCCCGCCCTGAATCGCCGAGTGAGGGAGGGTATTAAGCATTTGCTAGGCGCTGGCAGGTTCCGGGAGGGAGGAAAGCTTCCATGGCATTGGTATCTCGGTAGTGGTTGGTGGGTGGCGCCCGGCAGCAAGAGACTCATGTTAGTGGCTGAACAAAGGGGACCAAATGGCGGCTTCGAGAAGTAGTGTAATTAACTGGGTCTATTCTGGAAGTTTCAAGAGCGAATATATGAGTTTGTGTGTTGATTACATATTTGTTTGTGGTGGTTTGAAACAAAATCCACAAACCACATTACAGAGTCATCCCCACTAACCACGGGGGAACGTTTTGGTGAAATACGGTATGTATGTCTCTTCAAAAGCAAAACACTAAACGTTACCCCACGCATGCCACGATGTTGAACAACATGCATCTATGTTGTATGGATATTTACCTGTTATCATTTCGCAGCAAGGCAGATCACTGAGTTGAATATGCATCCTATATCCTACCGACTATATAGTTCCCCCGGCAGATGCTGGTGCCATCGGTACCATGAGCCGACGCTGTAGACTCCCCTGTAGGATAGAAGCTACCCTGATTGGGAGAAGTGAACAACTGCAATTGGAGGGGCTACGAGTACGCTAATTTCTTCCAGGGATTGATGGTTGAATTACCACTAGAAGTTAAGACTTGGCGTAGACGTTGTTCCGTGCAGGGAGACTACAGTTTAAAAGAAAGTATGCCGTGTCTTTTTTTACATTAATAATAGTTATTACACATTGCAGCAGTTTTGATATTGCAAGAGATGTTTCCAGACAGAACAACCTAATTGACAATGGAACGTTGGTCATGTCCTGTTCGGATAACGTCGCTGTATGGAGTAGCAGGGGCCATCCTGGTGATCTCTGTGAAGGGGTGAACCGACTATTGGATACCTTATACGCTGCCACCATCAAATTTTGAGACCATATGCACGTCCATGGGAACACAAATCTAGATGCATGCTCGGGAAGTGGATTTAAGCTCATCTAATCATGCAGTAGTGGCGGCCAATTGACCACTGATATACTGTAGTGACTCCTCTCACTAAGATAAAGATGCAGGTTTCTTCTATCGACGTACTCGGTACATGTATAAAATAACTGTCACAAGTGTCAACCAGTACCGACGAACTTCGCCTAATAGACGAAGAAAAAAAGCCACCTTTGAGCGGTTACGGATCTGTTTCTAATTTTTAGACTTGATGTCATAAGTCGGTGGCTTAGGGCACGGTCATCAATTGGAAAGAAAAATACCTGCGCAGTCCGACGAGGTTCGGGGCGTTGTACTAGTGAGGTCATCACGAGCCTTGTTAGCCATCAGCCATCTTCACAACTAACCAGCATGCATCTGCAAACACTTTCCATGCGATATTTGCAAAAGCCTGGACCGAATCTGTGGAGCTGCAAGCGTTGAAACATCTGCAATGCCCTGTATTCTCCTGAAGTGGAAAAAGGCAAGTATTTTGGCCGATCTTATCGTTGGCCTGGGGTGGCTGTCAACTTTTTGAGTTTTGACACCCAAGAAAGCTTCTTCCGCTGCAAAAGGGAGCCACCAGGAACAAAAGCAAAAGAAATCGGCTCGACTCCGAGGCCTACAGGCCACACTACTACGTAGTACGTACGTACCGAGTATAATGTAGCAAAACACGCACATAGCACAATAGGCTTCCGACCATACCCGCAAAAAGGTTAGAGGATGCCCAGCATGCAGGGAACTATATCATCCAATCAGACGAAGCCGGCCCCGAAACCCTTTTCCATAACGGCTTCTATCTCCCGGGGCCCATGAAGACTAAAGAAGACGGAGATGGCGCCCTTTGACAAGTTAAGTTCAAGTTCCCGCTCGCCATGCACAGCCAACGGTTGGGCATGCCAATGCCGATACAAGCACTACCACTACGGAGTACCACTGTCACTGTCACTGAGGTTGTCACTGAAGCTGTCACTGAACCTAACCTAACCTACCACTGTCACTACCGCTACCAAACTTGATCTGAGCTTTTGAGGCTCTTTAGCGGAGGTTATTACCATCACCACCACTCACCACTGCCGGTGCCAAGCTCACCAAGCACTCACTACTCGCGTTCCTTGACCTGCCGAACTACCCCCCCTGGTTCTCTTCTTTCTATCCTATCCTATCCTATCCTATTGACCTATTCTATCTCGTCTTATTCCACTTCATGATCCTCCATCATGTCGTCCATCCTGCCAGTCCTGGCCCCCCGGCTCCCAGGCTGTCCGCCAGTGGTGGATGACAGGACTTACACCAAGGAGCACTCCGAGGATGAGTGGGAGTCCATGCGCGACGTCATCAGAAAGCTATATATCAAGGATAACAGAAAACTGAACGAGACCATGGCAATTCTTCAAGCAAGATATGGGTTTGCAGCAACGTGAGTGGGCGATATAATATACGCCCGTCACCTCTAGCAAAGCATTGAGAGCTAATCCGTGCCTCAAAGAGAGCAGATGTTCAAGAAGCGTTTAAAGAAGTGGAATTTGAGGAAGCGAACATATCGAAAGGGCCTGTCCAATTCTGCAGATTCCACCCCTATCAATGTTACTGAAGGATCTGGCGCTAGCACCCTTGACGATCAAGGTTCATCGTCGTCTTCAGCCTCCCCAGAAGAACACCAGGATGATCCAAACACCGCAGTGGCTCTTGTCCGCCCATCAAATACTGGCCCCTACTCTAACCTTGAGCAAGTCCTTGGCAGCGTTTTCAACTGGAGCCAAGCCAAACTGGAATTCCTTCCTGCCATTTCAGATCCCATGTCCAAGTACCTAGCAAATCCAAATTCGCCCCCTATCCAGGACAGCCGCACCATGTATCGCATCTTCGAGCTCGTGTTCGACCTTTGGTATCACGGCAAGGGGGATCTTGCGGGAATGGCTGCGCGAAGGGGGTTTTACGTTCTGGAATTCGTGCTGAGCGAAGATCACCCCGACCTGATCTGGCATGTGCTGGATACGATTTTCGACATGGTAGACCGAGGCCACCTCCAGCTTTTGAGCCTGTTCTTGGATCACGCTACAGTCCTCGCAAAACGACAGCTTCCGGCCCAACATCCGCTCCTCCTTATACTTCAACAATTACGGAATTGCGATTATCATTCGGATGAGGGGAGGAGTTACTTGTGCCACCTACTGCGCCAAGCCTGGCTACGGAATGTCGATCTCCTTGGTCAACATATCGAATCATCAGATGCCCACCGGCTTTGGCTTTACGAGCAATTGATATGGGACGGAAGGACACGACTGCGCAAGGGAAGCGAATTGAGCAAGCGACAAGATGCCATGTACCAAGCATTGGAGAGAATGTCCGAAGCGCACAACACGACACCCGCGGTGGTCGATGCTGATCAATTACGAGTCGAAGCGTTGCGACTTGAGTTTACGCAGATGGACGTTGGGGACAAGAAGAAAGCCGAAGAGCTGGCCGTCAATCTACTCGATCTCACCAGAACCGATTCAGGACCAAGATCCAACGACCGATTTCACGCATACGCCCTCAAGATGCTGGCGCGAGTGCAGGAGGAGAAGCAAGACTGGGCCACAGCCGAACAGAACCTACAACATGCCATCTCTAAGAGAGAGGTAGCGCATGGCGCAAACAACAACTTGCGCGTGATCCGCGACATGTGGGTTTTGGCGGCACATTACCAGAAAGCTGGACGACAAGCAGATGCCAATAACATCACGGCCGATGCATTATCGCGAGCCCAGAATTATCTGGAACAAGGAATGGAATAAGAACATATAATTCTCATACGGTGCCATTGCGGAGTTCAATTGTACAGGCATCAAAAGGGTGGTTTGGGGTAAACTATTAGGTTTTCTATTTGGCGTCATGGCAATACAGGGGGCGTTCAGGATATGCATGGCGATTTCAGTATTGGGTGCATCCCACGATAACCACTCAATGAGAGATTTAGCTTTGGTTTTGGTATGGAAGGGGAAATTCATAGCGATGTTGGTGCATATCTGATATCTTCCTTTGAGGAGATATTGGTTGGAGTTCTAGTTTGAGATACCCAACGTTTTATACACGAATTGAAGTTCTGCTATGGATGCTCTGCTCTGCTCTGCTTGATTGGTTCGCCACACGCACCGCCACAATGACGTTGACACTTCCGCCCTGGGACGGCCGAGGACCTTGGTTAAACAACTACCTTCAGACACTACATACAAACGTACCTACCACCTACAACTTGGCATCTCCATCCTATACGAAAATTATATAGCTTTCTTTCGCTACAAGCACCTCTGAATTTCTTGTCTTTGTGACCTATTTCACATCATACAGAGCCATCATGGCTCCTGGAGCTCCCCCAAACTATTGTAAGCTCATCATGACCCCACTACATGTGAATGCGCCAGATATTAACAAGAGCTTTACGCAGATGCTATTCTCGAGATCTCTGATAAGGCGACCACTCAGCAGATTCGAGATGCTTACAAACGGTATGTTATTACCTATTTTGTGACTTGACTTGTAACACCACTAACACCCTTCTCCAGCGCCGCACTAAAGACGCACCCTGATCGCGTCGCCAGTGACGCCCCAGAACGAGCCGAGCGAACTCGCAAGTTCCAGCTCGTCAACGACGCATACTACGCTCTATCTGATCCCGTGCGCCGTCGCGAGTACGATGCCCAGCGCAACATATTCAACACCGCCACCCCTTCAGACCCCTTCGAGGACATCCCCGAGACTGAGACGGAGGGTGGCGCTGGGCCGCGACAGAGCCCTTACTCATGGGCATGGAACTTCTTCACCAATCAAGCAACAGGTGGTCAGGCGCCACCTGGAGACCGCGAGCAGACTGAGAATGCGCAGTTCAGCGATGTATTCGAGGAGATGATGCGCGAAGAGGGCATGGCTGAGGGTAGCGATAACCACCCTACCAGCAAGTTCTGGAGCATGCTAGGCGGAGTTAGCGGCGGTGCCCTCGGATTCATCGTCGCCAACGTCCCCGGTCTCGTAGCCGGCGCCGTGGCAGGAAACAGACTGGGAGCTGTCCGGGATGCCAAGGGGAAGAGCGTGTACTCTGTGTTCCAGGAACTTCCCCAGGGCGACAAGTCACGGCTTCTCAGCCAGCTAGCGGCCAAGGTGTTCAGCCACGCTGTTGGTGTTTAAGTGAAGAGAGTTGTGTGTGTGACGATAGAAAGCTGGGTTTCTTATCAGGCGCTTGGGAGTTGGGTCAGACTCTGGCTAAGGGATGGATCTGAATGGACTGGTTACAATTAATACCTAGGTAGTGTCTCGTAAATGCACTTAAAGTAGTCAATAAACTAGACTCAGTGTGCGCTCCATGTTCATTGGGTTGAAAGGTTTTAGTATCGTGCACATCTCTGGACTGTTGGAATGTTGATTGTGTAGGGTAGACAATATTCGAGACGTAAGTCAACGCAGAATATTGTAACACCCAGAGTGAGCTGAAGATGAGACCTTCTTATATAAATGGTTTGAATAAGTTATGGCAGCATGAAATAGTTAGTATTAAATTAAGATGACCTCAAAATGGTGCGATATCTGAGACGTATTTGAGAGTTTCTCGTCTATTGCTTAGACCAAGTACCAGTGTTGTACGAACAGCTTCGCACATAACATCTGACTATAACAAGTATAACTCAAGAGATATAGCAGGAGGGTAAAAGTTCTTATAACCTCCTCTCTTCTATGTCTTATCTAAGATAGTATAAACTACTACAAACTTTCTTATATTATATTTTTTTTTATATACCCTTTCTTTAAGATTATTTATAAAATACTAATTATTTTATATTTCATATATCTTTATAAATATATAGATTATTCCTGATTAGGTTATGGGTATTTAAACACGAGACTGTAGACATTCGAATCATAAGTTAAAGCGACGACGATACTGCTTCGTGTCAGAGAATCTTTTGATTACCTAGGTACTCAGAAGTAGTTCACATGTGACCATACTGTGCTTCATATGTAGCAAATGTACACGTTCTAGACATAAACCATCACAGGCAATTGGCTTTCTGGCAAGTTGTTTATTCGTCTCACTTACATGTCATACTGCACTGATACGTGTATCAAACTCGCTGGCTTTGAAACATCGAGTTCGTGAATGCCAGAGAATCGCGTCAAAGTGTCATAAAACCAATTGGGATGTCGCCATACTTTTGCGACTCAAAATGTAGTGATATTTCCACAACATCAATTCATAGCCCTGTAAAGGCTCATTACCCTAAAAACGTAAACCACTTCTAGTTCAATGCTCCATCATGCGCCTCAAGTGCTCCGTAAAAAAGGTCTTGGCAAGCTTGTTAACATTGATGGAGGACGGTGGAGCACCATGAAGAAATTCACATACATTTTGTATGACCCAAACTCATCATCTCGACATTGCTTCCAGCATCCAGTCCCTTGGTTCGACGGTCAGGTAGGATATTCGGTCTTAGTAATGATATCGTATCCTTCTTTTGAACCATCCGGATGACCCTACTTATCCAGTGTCTACATAACCTATCTTCGAGGAGGAGGCTGGAATCCAGGGGGTGGAGGACCACCGGGGTTGAAGCCGGGTGGAGGGAACTGGGCGCCTCCGGGGAAGCCAGCTGGGGGAGGGAAGCCGCCGGGGAAACCAGGAGGAGGGGCTTGGAAATGGTTAGAAAGCTTTCGAGCGTGTCTGAATCTGGTGAACTTACCACCACGACCTGGGAAGCCAGGAGCACCACCAGGGAAACCGGGGAAGCCAGGAGGGGGAGCACCACCAACACCAGCAGCAGGGCCCTGATAATTTTTAGCAATCTGTGACATATCAAAGGGGATAGGAGCACATACAGCCAGAGAAGGAGGGGCAGCTCCTCGTCCAGCAGGGCGAGCAACACCAGGGCCAGCGGCCAGGGCAGAAGGGATTCCACCAGGCGCACTCTTTCCTAGACGAGCGCTGGGGTCGGCGGGAGGAGGCGACTCGACGGAGAGGGAGATGATGTGAGCGCCTCGGACAATTGTGAGTCCAAGAGTTCGCTTCTCCTCAGATTCGACGGTCTGGGTAGCTGAACCGCTTGCGCCAGGGGCAGCGGGCTTGTTCTGCTTGCGCTTGACGCGTCGGAACTCTTCGGTATCGGCGAGAACGAGGTTCATGTGCTGGAGTCAAGTCAGCTTCGGTCCGGGTAATGATAATATAGTGATATGTCGTACCTTGTCGAAAGCAAGCATCTGACCGGTCATTGACCTTCCATCGTTGAGGGTCACTCGCATCCGCCAGTTGATCTGTTCCAGTCGAGTCAGCTTGATTGCACTTGTCATAAAGCCAGGATATCGAGCTCGTGCGCGCGTTGGGGAATACGTACGTAACCGGCCTATGAAGAAGAACGAATTAGCAGCGGAACAAGCTATTTGAGACGCGTGAGAATAGGGAGGTGAGCATAGCATACCATCTTTCCTTGTTTGTTCGACATATTGGCGGTGATTTTGAGGTCTTGCTAGTGCAGTTCCTCTGTGGTACAAAAATTGATGTTAGACCGCGGTGAGTTTGCGCGCGATCGTAACAACCTTCAATGCCTGGAGCTCTGAAGGTGAGTTATGATGTCCAAAATTTGCGGAGCCTGATGCGGAAGGCTGAAAGGTACACCGACAATGTACCGGTTCGGCGCTAGATCCTATTTGGAGTAGCACGCCCCACTTGGCGCACAACTCGCTTAAGGGCAGAGAAACCCTCAAATAACTGCAACTCACAAAATCTCAAAAATTGCTCTTTCAACCTTTGAGATCTCCGACAACCCATCCCACAAGGTCGACTAATAACAGCAGCCATGGCTACCGAGAAGGCAAACAACCCCATGCGGGAGCTGAAGATTCAGAAGCTCGTTCTGAACATCTCCGTCGGAGAGTCTGGTGACAGACTTACCCGTGCCGCCAAGGTGCTGGAGCAGCTTTCTGGTCAGACCCCCGTCTACAGTAAGTTTTGACCGATTTTCGAACATTGCGATGCAATTTCATCTAACTGAATCCCTCAAGGCAAGGCCCGTTACACCGTCCGAACCTTCGGTATCCGACGTAACGAAAAGATCTCCGTCCACGTCACTGTCCGTGGCCCCAAGGTAAATACGCACAACAAATCTCGAATCGTCGAAAATTGCAGCAAGGCTAACATTCGCAAAAGGCTGAGGAGATTCTCGAGCGTGGTCTCAAGGTCAAGGAGTACGAGCTCCGCAAGCGCAACTTCTCCGAGACCGGCAACTTCGGCTTCGGTATCAGCGAGCACATCGATCTCGGTATCAAGTACGACCCCTCTATCGGTATCTACGGCATGGACTTCTACTGCTGCATGACCCGACCTGGTGAGCGCGTCACCCGCCGCCGCCGAACAAAGAGCCGCATCGGTGCCAGCCACCGCATCAAGCGCGACGAGACCGTCAAGTGGTTCAAGTCTCGCTTCGACGGCATTGTCCGATAAACGGTTGAAAAAACGGTTGTTTGAAATTACGGATGGTCACGGCGAACATTAGGGGGAAAACTCACATGGGGCATGTATTTTCTGTTGCTTTGCTGCATCAGCTCGATCTGAAATTTTCAGTCGAGCCACGGCCTGAGAGACCGACCGGCACTCTGCCGGCTTTCCGATACTCACTCTGAATGTGACATACGCCATCAATCGTCAGATCATTGGTACTTTGTCTACTTGGCCTCTCGTCTGTTTACGTCTACGTGAGACGTTATAAACATGTCCTCACGGACTTTGATGCATCAATCTCTGCATGTCTGTTGCTCTATAAGGGCAACAGTATCACTCCCTTTCTCTGTGAACTATGTGAATGCTGTAGATGTCTCGCACCTGTTTCATAACTGTTATCAAAGCCATGGCAAGTGCATCAAGTTTCCAATGTCCCTTCCTTGCGGAATTTGATGAGTTCTGGCTGTTCATGGTATCCATGGTTGTACGGTTACGTCGATAGGACCTGGGTTGTCAGATCACTCTCACTTGTCGCTGTGCCATCTCAACACAGCGGCACAAACTGAACATAACAACCTGTGGTTATAAGCGACTGCTTTTTGTAGTTGTCGAATATCTACTCGAATAAGTTGTTCAATTCAGCGGCAATTGCGCAAATTGAGATCAAAACTCAAGACGCCCGAACAAGACAATATTTGACCTTATTGTCAAACAAGGAGGCATTCTGAATGCAACGTTCTGATATACCTCATACAAGCAGACAATTATCCATCAGTTTGTGTGCGTATCCCAGAATCATGAAATATGACATTTGTGGAATTATGTTGTCAAAACTCCCAACATCAATAGAGTTATTTGATTCATGAACCAATTGCACTGCACCAGTGTGGATGCACCCCAGATTAACGGCATCTGATATCTCGGGGGATACGGGACGTCCTTTGCCGGAGAGGAATTAAAGATGAGAAAACCACACAAATTCAAGGCTTCAATGACACATTGAGGCAAGAGTTGAGTCGGTAAATCCACGGAGCAAGGCTATGGCAGAAGTGCTCCCGATTCACAGCCACCGAAGCTCTTTATTGATCAATTGATGGGCAAAATCTTGTCCTTAGCCTTGCAGATTTCCCTTTGTCTCCAAATTCTAACACTGCTGAGCTGTTCTATTTGCTCCGTAGCCGGTCACCATGCCAGCATAAGGCTCCACCACGAAAACGAGTGCTCGTTGGATCGAAGCTCTCCGAGCATGCCCATGTCTTGGCCCGCAACCTCATCGCTATGTGCAGCCGCATTTCTCAGGCATTAACGTTGGCATGTACCCGGGTAATACCGATCGTTTCGGCGGTACGGGAGTTGGCTGACAGGCTACAGGCCAGAAGTCGGCTAGCGACCACGAAGCAGGTTACTGGGGGATAGAGGGATCTAAGATCGGATCAATTGATACACACAAATGATGTATAGCTCTTCAATCATTACGCTTCAACCTCCCCAAAGCACGCTTCGATTTGGCAAGACATTGTCGGACGTCAGCTCGGTGGGCGAAATGAAGCTCCGAAATTCAGGCGGGTAGCCCAATGGAACCACTGGAACAGGCTAGGAAATTGTTAAGGCTGCTTCGGAATATCCAGGCAAAAACGCGCAGTGGCGGCTGATTGGGTGGTCGGAGCAGGTCTGCCCCACTTCATCCCTCAGACAGACTCTGCTCTCCATCACCGTCCTCCTCAAAAAACTCCATTTGCTCTTGTAAAGGCAGCACCGCACTCCCCAATCTCCCCTCCTCCCAATTGCACCCGGCTGCAATTGCTCTCCTTTCATCTCCAAAACCTCCCGTATACCTCTAATATGTTCCGGAACGCCCTTCGACAGTCGACGCGCGCCGTCGGCGCTGTCTCTGCTGCTGGCAGGGTCGCCGCGGTAAGTCAAAACGTGCTCCCCCGAGCCCCCGAATCGACAATGCCATCGACCGGCGCCCCAAAACATCGTGCATCCATCGGCAACCCATCGCAGGAGCTCAATTGAGGAGTTGGATTAGACTTTCCAGTCTCGCATGAGCTTTTTTGAGCTATTTGGGGCCGCTGTCGCTGTTGACCTGTCGAGGACTTTTCGGCCTTCGGCTAACTTGTTTTTCACCACATCAGATCCGAAATGCCGCACCCGCTTCCATCAACGCCGCTCGATTCTACGCCTCCGACGCAAAGGCCACTCCCACTGAGGTCTCTTCCATCCTCGAGCAGCGAATTCGTGGTGTCCAGGAGGAGTCCGGTCTCGCTGAGACTGGTCGTGTCCTCTCCGTCGGGTATGTGGATCTTTACTGGGAGCAACTGGGGCAAGGCGAAGCTGGTGCATGATGACTTCAAACAACACCGCCCCGCTCAGCTGCCCGGATGCCCAGGAACAAATCAATTGAGACTAAACCAATGCTGACTCTAACTTTCCAGTGATGGTATCGCCCGTGTTCACGGTATGGCCAACGTCCAGGCTGAGGAGCTTGTTGAGTACGTACTGAGCAAAATAATGACCACCCGCGCATGCGTCAGATAATTAACAATCCACAGGTTCGCCTCCGGTGTCAAGGGAATGTGCATGAACCTCGAGGCCGGCCAGGTCGGTGTTGTGCTGTTCGGTTCCGATCGTCTCGTCAAGGAGGGTGAGACCGTCAAGCGTACCGGTGAGATTGTAAGTCAATGGAACATCCTCAACAAGCCGATACAAAGTTAACACATTCCCAAGGTCGATGTTCCTGTCGGCCCTGAAATGCTCGGCCGTGTCGTCGACGCTCTTGGTAACCCCATCGACGGCAAGGGTCCCATCAAGACCACCGAGAAGCGCCGTGCTCAGCTCAAGGCTCCCGGTATTCTGCCCCGAAAGTCCGTCAACGAGCCCGTCCAGACTGGTCTCAAGTCCATCGACGCCATGGTTCCCATCGGCCGAGGACAGCGTGAGTTGATCATTGGTGATCGTCAGACCGGTAAGACTGCCGTTGGTCTCGACACCATCCTTAACCAGAAGCGATGGAACGACGGCAACGACGAGAAGAAGAAGCTTTACTGTGTCTACGTCGCCGTTGGCCAGAAGCGATCTACCGTCGCCCAGCTCGTCAAGACCCTCGAGGAGAACGACGCCATGAAGTACTCCATCGTCGTCGCTGCCACTGCCTCCGAGGCCGCTCCTCTCCAGTACCTTGCTCCTTTCACCGGTGCCTCCATCGGTAAGTTTCTGCCTCCGTCTTTTGCACCATTATCGTCTGTCCCGGACGTTTGACGAAGTGGTGTAACGCTTTATGATACACTTATGATGCACTTATGATGTCCTTATGAGAAACCTTTATGAGAAATTTATTAACTTTATTCTAGGTGAGTGGTTCCGTGATAACGGCAAGCACTCTCTTGTCATCTTCGACGATCTTTCCAAGCAGGCCGTCGCTTACCGACAAATGTCTCTGCTCCTCCGTCGTCCCCCTGGACGTGAGGCTTACCCCGGTGACGTTTTCTACCTCCACTCTCGTCTGCTCGAGCGTGCCGCCAAGATGAACGACAAGCTCGGTGGAGGTTCCATGACTGCCCTTCCCATCATTGAGACCCAGGGTGGTGATGTCTCTGCCTACATTCCTACCAACGTCATTTCCATCACTGATGGTCAGATCTTCTTGGAGGCTGAGCTGTTCTACAAGGGTATCCGACCTGCCATCAACGTCGGTCTCTCCGTCTCTCGTGTCGGTTCCGCTGCCCAGCTTAAGGCCATGAAGCAGGTCGCTGGTTCCCTGAAGCTTTTCTTGGCCCAGTACCGTGAGGTCGCCGCTTTCGCCCAGTTCGGTTCCGATTTGGATGCCGCCACCAAGCAGACCCTCAGCCGTGGTGAGCGTGTAAGTTCAATACCCTCTACCAACCATTGTATGTCATGATACTAATCATTTAATAGCTTACTGAGCTCCTTAAGCAAAAGCAATACTCCCCCATGTCTGTTAACGAGATGGTTCCTCTTATCTTCGCCGGTGTCAACGGTCTCCTCGACCCTGTCCCCGTTAACAAGATTCTCCAGTGGGAGGCTGACTTCCTTTCTCACCTCAAGACCAACGAGTCTGAGCTCCTTGCCACCATTGACAAGGAGGGTGCTATCTCCAAGGAGACCGATGCCAAGCTCCGCGACGTTATCCAGTCCTTCGTCAAGAGCTTCCTCGGTTAAATATAATCAAAAGCAACTTGCGCGGAGAATGATGGGGGCCTTTGGGGATGTCGCTGTCTATACCGAATATCTGTTGTCGTTTTTCTCTCTTGAGGCGGAGGGAACATGTCGAGGGGTCGCGCCTGAATGGAGCGACGGGAATGAGTTGAGGGAGATTCGCCCCGTCGTATTGCCACTTGTAAAATAGAGCACAAAACTCAATGAATGCCCTCGATTCCTTTTGTTCTTGGATTTCCGAAATTAATACCGCCGTCTCGGTTCATGTCTTTGTACTTGTGATGCTGAGTTTGCCAGTTTTTGCCTTCAGGTGTGACAATCTCACCCGTCATGGGTGACCTATAGCACCTGTACGTCTTTGTGATTAATATCTTTATTTGACGCTTGTATGTGTATGTTAAGTCTTCTATACTTGGTCAAGAATAATGAGTTAGATTTTGGTAAGATGAAGGATGATTTTGTATATGGCATCCTAAGGCATGTTGGCGGACTTGGAAAAACAGTCAATCTATGAACTCATGGAATATCAGCATAAGATTTATAAAATTGACGAATATTATTTATCCTAAACTACGAACTGTCTTAGCTCTTTTTATCTCCTCACCTGGTATTCCGAGTTCCTTCTGGTAACTATCTCAGGGGGGTATCATGGATTTCTTATGCCCTACCCTTGATAGGTTAGCGTTACTGACCAGTTCACATTCATTGAGAATGCAGAAAGACTGTGCTGTACGCATGTTTGTGCTCATGCATTGGCTAGCAGAGTGTGAGAAACTTGAGAGTTCACCAGGCTTTGTTCAGTAGCAACAGTTGTGCAATCGTGACCTCTGGGTCCTCGACTCAACAAATGATATACATAGAACGATATATCGAAAGGCCCCAGATCCTCATCAAAATTATACATAAACTACACAGTAACTTAGAGCATAGATGGATAAATTGTCCTAAGCTTAGTACTAAACTCTTTATAATATGAGGATAACTTTAGACAGTCGTGCTCCAAAACTACCCTGGCAGAGGATATGATCGCTACATACGAAATCTGTCTGATGAGTATTCGAAGTTCCACTATACTCGCTGCTTCCAGTTCAGTGTTCTCTGGTGGTATATATCTTGTGGCATCTTAGACTGTGAGCGTCTAACGGGACTCTGCTGATGGGACTGATTCAAAGTACCAGAGTTGAGTTGATAAAATTGATTGCCAGTAGGAGGTTGAACGATTTGTTGCTCTGGGTCATTTCGGTGCAGCTGGCCACGAGCTTGTTGTTGGACTCGAGTGCAGTATCGTATAACTAATTGGCCTCCTGGTTGGATGACTGAAGGCCCGCAGAAGTCTTATCTATTACCTTATAGCGATTGGGTATCACAAGCGATATGACCTCGTTGATGGAAAGGCACGACCCAAGCCTAGGTAGACTGAAGTTCCGCAATCCCAGTGGCAACGATCTTGCGAAGAATCATAAAGCCGAACTATAAGGTCGAGCTCTGGGCACGAGCAGCGAGTAGTAGGACTGTGAAAGTTGGGTTCCTTCTAGTCAACACAAACTTTCTAGCTTTTGATGTAGACACATGTTGCTCTTATCTTGTTTTCGCCCAGGTCTATGTTTAATCACGGGTATCAAGCTGGAGTTGACGAATCTGATCGACCGTCGAAGACGATGACTATGATTAAACTTCAGACCAAGCCACCATCATCAGCAAACTTTCACATATCCAAATACAACGGTGGAGCTACTATGCAAAGAAGATACTATCTCTGCATATAGCTTGCGTAGACTAAGATTTTGTGGTGGTGTTAATACCCCTGAACGAGTCATCAAGATATGTTATAGCAAACTTGTCATCTGATTTCCTTGGCATTCCTTTGATATGTACAAGCTGGTAGCAAACCTCACGTTCTTTGACTATATGTCTCAATGATTGAACCTTTTCGTGGTCAGAGATCTGCGTTACCACTGATGATCTCATCCAAGTATTCCCCGCCTGAGCTCCGGACGCCGAATCTCGTAGGTCACCCTTTCAGTAAACGAAATTCATTCCATCACTCCCTGTAGCGGCTCCAGGGAATGACTGGGTCTTCGGGGTCCATATTTATGATGCGTTCGATGGAGGAAACAACTTCTCCATCGGGGCCAGAGTAAGCTTTACGGACAAAGCAACATGAAACGATCCAAAATTCTTTCAGGTTCGTGACATTCCTGACGAACTCCATGCTAAGAGACCCGGTTATGTCTGGATTTCCCGAATGGCAGACGGCCGACTCCAAACGGCATGGTGTTTGGAATATGATGACAAGGCGTTCAAGGTGTGGAAGGGCCTGCGCAACTGTCTTAACGTCTCTCATTATTTGAGTCTAATTTACACCAAGTCAGCTTAAGTGTCGAATTTGATTATACGCACTGCTCTTACCTTGCTGGCGAGGAGTGCAGAAAGATCAGATGTGGTCTCGTAACGTTGCTTCCAGTGCACGGTCAACCATTTCAAACCAGAGAATTGAGGCTCACGCAAGGTCTTCAAGAGTGGTGTTCTGCGACAAGCCCAAGCCCAAGTACTGCTCCTGTACTTTGGTTTCAAGAAAGTCAAATGAAGTCGATCTAGATTCTTGATATTCTTCGCTTCCTCAAAATCGGCAGATCGAAGACATCCCTTGAGGTCCAGGGTCTTGAGCACTTCATTATCGCAATGCTTCAGAATATCTCCCAAAATAGAAGGTGGGGAGACTATCAATGAGCGAAGATTGGGCAACCAAAAATATCTGGAAGACAGTTGTTCACTGAAATTTTGCGTTTGGCTTTCCATGAACCAGCCAAGTTCAAGCCTCAGACTTCGAAGATTGGTCATGAAGGAGAATGACTCAGCCATACAATGTCCAAGGGAGTCCGCGAGATCATGGGGTTCGAGAGCCTTGATATCTGAAGGTAGGGTGCGTGTGATGATGGTCATTTGCCTGAAGAGGATACGTCAACAACAGTATGGAAGAGGAACTGTACGACTTACCTCACACCACTACGCGCGGAACTCATCCAGCCAGTCTGGTTGAAACTTCTCAAGCAAAGGGCGACTTGTATCTGTGTCTCGTGTTCGAATCGAACTTTTCGAAATCTTTCACGGACGAAGTGTGCTCTCTAAGCTTTGGACACTTTCGTCAGAGAATCGAGACTGATGTTGTCGCACCATTGAGTGAGAAGGTCTGGTGGGATCGCCAGGATTGGATGGTACTGTAACTCTGCCATCGTCCTCTGTGGGTGATGTAAGTCGAATTCTGGGTTGGCTTTGGCGGTATCAAGGAGGCTAGAAGGGCTTGGGGGCGCGAAGACGAATTTTGAGTCCACAACGCAGCTCATAAAGCGAGTGATTTAGAAAGAAGAAAGAAGAGAGGGAGGAAAGATGATAAGAAGAGATATTTATAACGCTCAAGGAGCTGCCTGGGCCACGTGGCTTTCTCTTATGAACTCCTTTAGCATTCACTCCTTTAGCATTCACTCCTTTAGCATTCACTCCTTTAGCATTCACTCCTCCAGGCAGATAACTGCTCTAGCATAAATTAGCCGACAGAGTTTAACATATAGTTTAAGAATGGAACCACATGAGATTGTGCAAGACTTAAGAGTCTCCAATATGCTTGTCAAAACTCAAGGGCTATCTGCTATGTAAGAAAATATCAAATTAGTAGAACCTTAAACACCTACTATGGACCCAAGCCTCTGATATAAACGTCCCATGCTCAAGTAGTAACGTCAGACCCTATATTTAACCATAAGTATTGCCCCGTCGATGCTGAGGCTACAATATTCTCACCAACGGTCCAGTACCTTTTACGATTCGAGCCCCTGAAGGCTGCGGCCTTGGCACTCAGCATAATCACACATCAAGCAACAGAAATATGTTTTAAAGAATTCGATTACAGGAGAGATAGGAACTTGTAAACAAGAACTTGGTTATATATCCTAGAACACCCAATGCTTATCGCCCCAAGATGCCTTCATGTACCATGTGCCTTCTCTCTCCTCTGATAATTCAGGCCACTCCTCATCCTCGCCATAGATGGACTCAAACTCCATCGCCTCGATCTTTAGGAGCTATTTTTCGTTGACTCCAAGATATCGACGAGCGCTCTCCTCGCGCCAGAATCTTTCCGATGCATATTTGAGAGATGCCCAGTCTTCCGGTGCGTAATCGATGTAGTCCCCTTCCTCAAGGGGATAAAACTCCATGTCAGACCATTCGTCCATGTGGCCGGCAGTTGATATGAGTATGATTCTGCGGCATTTTGGGTACTCCCTGATAAACTCCTTCATTCGTGGTAGGTTCCTGAGCACCCGGACATCGGGCCAGACCAGTGCCACGTTTCGGGTATTGTGAATAGCAACAGTATAGTCCCGGCCGATGTTGCTAAACATGTAGAGAATGTCACTGAAAAAGTCGAACCATAGCCCTCCCATGATGGAATCACCCTCTCGAAATGAAAACCCCCCACGAGCTTGGGACACCTGGCGAGACTCCCGGCACACCTGACGCACAGCAGGCGGCTTATGGGCAAAGTTTACACCTGTGTAATACTTGCCGGCACGTGCATCATTTGGCCAGAAGACTCTGGGGTCGTTAAGAGAGAGTTCCCATATTTCCTTGCGTATCTCTGCAGGAAGTTCTTTAAATCGTGTGAAGGCAGTGGCGGCCACGGGGATGTTTGACAGTCGGGAGTTTACGATTTGGAAGACTCCTGATTGAGGAGGGATAATCTCATCTTGAGACACAGTACTGCCTGTAGCTTGGAGTCAGTGAAAGAACAAAGATTAGAAAATGGATACGGGACATACCAGGTGAGCTAATTGCGGTGGTTTGGTAGCTACCTGCAGAAACATCCGCAAGTTGCAGCGACATCGATGGATTAGGTGTCATAGCGACGAAGCTGCTTGTTGCTGGAGGGAAACCTTGAAATGATGTATTTCGTCGATGGTGTCTTTGAGCAGATAAAAAGATCAAGCTCAAGGGATGTTTGTTTTGTGATGAAGGAGTGTGCGAGCCGTGGAGCTGTTTATTTAACAAGAGAATCCGGTGTGTGAATATGAGGCACTTGGTTGCCTACCCCTTGTCAGCTGCACGCAACTGCATGCAACTGAGCAAAATAAATACTCTTTTACTACCCACTTATCAGTATCTACATAGGGCTCCTTTGTGGTCTATTGTTAGGTTTTTCAGGCAGAAGTAAAGTATCTTTGTGTACGAGACAAAGGGTTGCTATTATTCATCCCATGTTCTTCTCCTTTGTATCAATGGGTCTATTGTATTCTTAGATTTCTCTCACCAATTGCCTAAGTAGCTAACTACAAAATCCTCCAAGGTATCCTGTAAGATCATGTCTCGAGTATCAACATTCAATCCAGCACAACCATATCAGAAACTATTCAACGATGATTGATGCAATTCGCTCTTGCTTGCCAGGATTCCATCTTAGCCTAGACTTCACTCTGAAGTTCTCTGGTGGTAAGTAATCGAGCTCTGACTTGCATCATGTACTAACAGAAGACAAGGCCCTCAATTGCTACATTTCCGAGCTGAAGTTGGACCACCCACTGCCCAAACCCAAGCCATTCTTGAACCAAGTTCACCCACTTTCCCTCAATTCATGAAACTCCCTCCAGAGATCAGAATTATGATCTGGAAGCTTTCTTTTGGGCCTGGTCGAATCTTCCGAACAAAAGCTACGTCAGATGTACCTGGTGTAATCCCCATGGCGGTAAACCATAAACCACCAGCCGCCACACAAGCTTGTAAAGAAGCACGATTGCTATCTCTACGGGTTGGGAAGTTCTTGTTTGGATCATATGGAAGCAAGATCAAGAGCCTCTGGTTCAATCCTTCACGCGACCTTCTCTACTGGAACGACAGAAGTTTCCCTTCGTGGCAGTTCGAATATGACGATCACGATATGAGCTGCATCGAAGTCGTGGCAATAGACCAAGACCAGACCTACAGTAGCCTCGAAACCGCCCGGGATATCTCGACTATATTTCCGAGTTGCCGCGTCCTACAAATCGTTCTTCCGCACAAGGCATTGGCAGATGGCGATGATGTTGGTTTCTCTGCCGTCAATGAAGATGCTGATGACCTCTCGCTTCAGGTGACCTATAAAGACAAGCTGTGCCGCATGAGCTGGAAGAGTCTTGAGAACACGTTTTATATTGCATATGAGAATCTGCTGGAGGAGAAGGCGAATGAAAATGAAGAAGATGAAGCATTCAGGTTTACAGAAGAGCCTGAGATTCCTTCTTTCTACCCTGTCGAGGTCACTCCGGGTAATCGTCTGTGAACTCAAGAACACGACATATATCCATTAGCTTCAATATATCTTAATTACAGTAATATCACAAACTATTCGGTTTTATTCTACAAGTCAACTCAACTATCATGATACTACGCAAGATATGTACTTTACCAAGAAACGTCCGGCGGCAGAGGATAAGCAATATGTAATCCATCGAACTAAGGTTACCGTCTCACTAGGCTTGAATGAAACATGGAGTCCTAAGCATTGAGGTTGTATGAACAGTATGGGAGGTAAAAGTGACTTTACAGGATAGCTAGGGATATAGACAAAATCAGCTAGGTTATAGAATTATTCGTACTGAGATTGTCTGGGTATCCTTATCTGTAAATTCAAAGCTGCCATACATACTGATCCCCTGAACTAAAAAGATCATTTATTTCGACCTTTCCCTACCTTGGGCGTGACCACACGTTCCTACTTCAGGCAGGACGAAGGTCTTTACTGGAATACATGCTGCACTGTCAAGTATCACAGGAGGAAAAGAAGTTTCACGAAATACCACTCTTGAGTTAAACAGTCAGCTTTCAAATATATTTCTTAGACTATATAGGTCCTGCTTGGTCTGTTCATTTGCACCGAATTCTTAAACAAGATGGCGATCGTCTTGTAGTTCCCAGTGTTTAATATATTGTGGATCTTCGTTTGCGAACAGCAGTAACCTCCACACCCTCGATGCTTGGTTTTTCTTTCTTATAGTTTAGTGGAAATAGTTCAGATATTTCTCGTCGTATTTCGCCCCATTGACACCAGTCTCCTGAGAAGGGGATGTTCATCTCATCATCATCTTTTATCTTGGTAAAGCTAACATCACGGGTTGAAAGAGGCTGGTGTACCATAACCACGATGAGTCTCTTACAATCAGGAAACATACTGGATACATCTCGCAAGAGAATTTCCAACTCTAAATCGTCATCGCCGGGACAGTCCACCGCTAGATTCCGGATATCTGGGAAATCAGAACCGAAATTCCCCAGGCGGAAGGCAGAAACGATCTCCCTGTCCCAGTAGACGATGTCCGTTGAAGGCGAAAACCAAAGGCTCTTATAAATACCGTCGTTGAGTCCAAAAAGCTGTTTTGCTTCCGTTTTGAATACGGCGCGAGGCTCTCGACAAGCCTGAGCGCAAGCTGGAGGCTTGTGAGGGTTGAGAATTGGTACCCATCGCCTTTGAAAGTCGATTGCAAAGTCATCTGAGGCGGGTCCTAATCGAAAAATTCTTGGAGTTTGGAGGGCTATCTTCCATATCATCACTCGTATCTCGGCGGGGAGCTCTCTAAACCTGTGGAATGTGGTAGCGGGAGAGCGTGCTGCATCGTCTTGGGCTTTTGGTCCCCCAACTTCAGCTTTGAGGCTTAGTATGTTGCGGCCTGTTTGGGTGATTAGTAGATAGCCTCTGGATATCAACGTGTCAAGCTTACCGTCTTGCGTTGTCAAGTTGACATCCAGTGTTCCAGACACTCTCGGGGCAAGTGATTGAAGTTTTTGTAGGAGGAACGTGACGGCGTTGTAAACCTCAGATACCTCGGATACCTGCGACGAGGTTGGTGCTGGATGATCCATGTCAATTCATTCGAGATGAGATGTCGAAGTCCGCTGAATATCACGATGTAGGGAGGGTAGGAGGTAGGCACCAACGTGATGTTAAGATTACACGGACGCTCAAATGTGGAAGGAGCAAAGGCTTGTGTGGGAATAAGACATTAGCAGGAAGACTCCTGAGTAATTCATCGAGTGCAAGTCGGGGAAAGAGCTAGGTGAAGTTCACGAGCAGCTGCTGCCAGCTGCCAACTGTTACTCACAAGCACACAACACAATGCACAGCTTCAAAACAAACGTATAAACTGTTTGTGACGTTATACGCAAATTTAACCAAGGGGATAATCTCTGAGCACGACAAAATGGGTATCCTTTCTTGAAGATTCTAGTATTTTATTTGTTTTATTTTGATACTTGTCACATCCATTTATCTTGAACAACAGCAAACCACACCCAGCAAAAGAAAACGTCAACGAAGCAAGCCTTTTTCGATTTCTTAACACAAAATATTGGACGTGTATTCGTTTCTACAAACATTGCGCCTGTGCATGTATCCGTTCAGGGGCGAATCACAAAGGACGGGTGCTTGAATCGACCAGACGGCTGGCAGCTGTTGGCAGTCTTCACACTCAAGAAAGAAAATAGCCATCTCTCTTGTGGTTCATCGTTCCGCACTCTTCTTGGACCGAGCTACAAAATTCCGTGCAACGCAGACCTCACACAAAAAGTGCTATTGTGCAGCCTTGGAGTGTCGTCTTTGCGCGGTTGGTGCGCCCTTTGCATACGCTCAGCTCACTTGCTGTCGGCCACGAAGCTCTCAACTCGCTCAAAACTATACATACGTCCGCATTCAATACGCTTTTCATTCTCATTTTCCTTTTGCTACGAGCTCATCTGCCATGGAGCATGTCTCCATTGATGGAAGACGCAGGAACAAATATCAAACAGCCGCAGCCGCGCGCAAGCCAGAGCCAGAGTCATCGCCCAACCTTCGACCTGCCTCGCCTCCAAGGCTTAATCCATGGGCATCAGCCAAAAAGCCTGCAGCTATTCCTATATCTGATATATTTCCTCCTCTGCCTAAACCTCATGGCCTTCGGTCACCGGCCACGACACCCACGAGCGGAGTATCTAGAACATCCTCACGTCCACCGAACACATCGCGATCAGAAGATGATACAGAACCTGCAACGACTACTCTTGGATCAGCTTCGCCGTCCTCGAATGCGTCATCCTCATCTCGTCGTATCTTTGAGGCTGCGGCGCCACGAGCGGTTGAGAAGTTCGTCGAAATCACACCTTACTTTCTGAAAGCAACAGCTGACCGCCGGCAGGCTTTGGAGATACCCGTTCGGTGCCGATTTGGTGATACTATCAGGGGACACGGTATTTCGAGTCCATCGTAACCTTGTGATACCTCAGTCGGGATGGTTCCGCGATAATCTGCCACCGCCAAACTTGGTCAGTATCATCTCCGCTGTTCTTCCATAATTAACTGAACTAACAGATATGCGCAGGATGGAACACCAGTTGAAGTACGTGTTGGTCTCGATTACCAATCTTTAGGCCACTGCTTGCGCTATATCTACCTGGGTAGTATGTTATGACCTCTGCCCATCTTTTAGGTGGTAGATGACGACTGACACGGGGACAGGAATTGAATTATGCGAGTATGACCCCAAAAGAGCCTGGAAATCCCAGCAGATTCCATGTTGTGTTCTGGCATACAACGCTGCCGTGTTTCTGCGAATGGCCAGATTGGCGAGCTACATCATTCGCAACGTGGAGAATGCCTCAGTCGAACTGGGGAACCTGATACAAGGAGAATACCTCCATCGAAGTTTAGACTGCTCCCAGTGGGTCCAGTTCTCCTGGCATTACCAGAGGGCTTTAGATATCGTCTTGCGGCAGCAGCCTCGAAAACTGATGATGCCCATGCGACTGGCCATGGCCAGCATCCTGGATGCTGTAATCTTCTGGGTGGTGCGGCAGTCACTTTATACCACTGAGCTGGGATCATCATGGCACGGAATCATACAAAGCAGTATGAGAGATATTGCCGAGTACAAGCAGCTCCAAAGAAGCGCCCAACGTAACAGTGTTCTCCCAAGCGAGGCAGTCTTGAGGGGGCTGTTCGAAGAAACGGAGCCAATGGATGAAAAAGAAGCCAAAATGTCGGCCAGCGTGCAATTTAAGGGGGCATCAGCTGTTACAGAAACAAATAATGGCCGTAGTTGCGGCTTACACACTATTCGTCGCAAGAGACGTTGTTCGCTATAGCTCCCGTCCTCTTGCTTATAGGGATTGCGATAGCTGACTGTCCAACGAGATGAGGAGACAAGGGGTTGGCATATGTTTGCTGGAGTTCTGGCTATCTTTTGTGTAAGCGAAGAACCATAGAACCATTCAATTGGGGATGGATATTTAGCTCTTTGTATGAAAAGCGTCGATAACAGTTCCATGTAATAATTGGGAGGGATAAGATGGTTTTTAGATCGTAGCGGGCTGTTCCGGCGATGATAAGCGCTAAGCGATGCCCCTGGCCAGAACTAACACCCAATCGTAGTGGTACAAGCTGCGGCTGATGGCGATCTATTATTTACGGTCTGCAGTTGACTATACGACTTTTCTCTCTCATAATGAGCATTGACGCCACGGATCTTAGACACAGTCTGGTAATCTGTCATAGTTCAGCATGCCTGAGCTGTCACCTCCAGGTCGTGGTCGTGTGCGTTGGGGACCTGTAGAAGAGTATTACCCGGTTTGTTTACCTTAGACACCTCTTCGCGACCCTCAAGCTCATCACCACTAGGCTCAACCACAAGCTTTTCGATATGAGGCCAGGCATCCGTCAAGGCGCAGCACAATTGAGAGAGTTGAATTACCGACTGAGAGACATCGTATCCGGAACGAAGTAACTGGACCATATCCTCGGGGGTCCAGGGATGATGCGCCAATTCAGATGAGAACTCAGAGACTTCAACGTCGGTCTAGGGATGAGGTTCCTGTGCAAACATACACCGAATGGGATATTCCTGCTGGGCTTCCAGAAAAGGCTCCAGGTGGTCCTGATAGACAGTATACCGAATCTCCGCGTCCAATTGAGAATGAAGATGCCGATGATGAGGATGAGGGTGAGGGGCCAAGACAGAAACGTTCCTCATACGACAAGAGCGAATATAGCCGGCGATTTAGGAGTCGATCAAGATCCCCAGGATACTCCCGTTATGAAAGTCCGAGATATGAAAGATTTAGATCTCGTGAGACTACCCCACATACTGCTGCCGACAGTGAGTGGTACTCAAGACACAGAGAATGGAGCTTCTCAAGCAACGAGTACGATCCCTACGACAAGTTCGACTTCTCTTCCCAAGGCCAGTCTATCACCGAGTCGTCAATGGCGGGCGATTCTGATGCTGAATCACCCGAATCTGAAGAGCGGACTATTCTTTCCAAGGTTGAGAAAGCTGCCCACACGCGATCTCAGCTAACACTGGTTCAATCTTCGATTTATACAGGGAATGCTGAGATGGGCGGGTCGCATACAGCAACTCTTAATGTGGTTCATGATCCTAAAGGGCAAAAGAATCCACTTTTTAGATGGCTGTAAGATGACCTTGTCTTTCACCGAATGACTGTACTAACTCTGAACAGTCACGTTCCCCAGGATGTTATGAACTTTGAAGATCTCTGGGTAAGATTGCTATCCCTAGAACTAGAAGCTGACCACTGACTGGCCTCTCCAGATCGAAATAAGCCGTATCTCGGACCTAACAGAACTAGAAAAGAAGGCAATTGCAAGACTACGTGGCGATGTCAAGAAGAACTGCGTTAAATCAAGAACCAACCCCAAAGGTGCAAAGGTCGGGTACTTGGACCCCAGATGCATCGAGGTGCCCTTGAAATCGCTCAAACAAGAAACAACAACCGCCGATACCACGACCGGATCGGCGAGATGGATATGCATACCTTATTTCTCACTCGAGCAGTACTCTGGCTTGCTCGCAGCTACAAGCATGTCTCTCTTCCCTGCTCAGACTCTCCTACAAGTCCAATACTCCCGGAACACCGCGGCAAGAGACATGGAGCAGGCAGTTGTCCAGTTAGGTAATGCAGATCGAGGGGAGTGCTTCCATATATCCCAGCTCTGGTGCCTGGTCATCGATGATAGTAGGTCTCATTGATCGATGCATAGCTCACTCACTGACGACTTCTGGATAGGTTTGATAGTAACGTGCGGAACAATGACGAGAGATGATCTCGTCGGTCAAGCACTTGAGATCAAGGAGCATCCATCTCGTGTTCTAGCAACTGAACGAAAGGGGAGTATTCTGGTTGCTTATGGCGATTCAGTCGTGTGGTCGCTCGCGACAGAGGAGTGCCGGACGTGGTTTGTAAGTCAACCGAAGACATGTTTTACGCATGGTTACTGCTCTCATAACCTTTGTAAATCTTTACAAATCTCAACCTTTACTAAACTTCTCCTAAACTTCACACGGCTAACACTAACTTTAGGCCTTTTTGTCCAAATTCCAAGCATTCTGGCCTAGGATCGTAGAGTTTTGGCACAAAGACCAAGCTGTAACAGCTGATACATGGCCCAAGATTCTTAAATTGGCCTCGAACATCCGATCAGGGTCGCTCAAACTAACCATGAAGCTGGGTTTTCTGCCCGATCCCCCAGCACGGGCTGTTCTTCGTTCGGAACCACAAATCCTGCCAAGTACGCATGGCGGAAAAGGCAAATCCAAGGGACACGAATTTGCCCACGTATTAGCGGCGGCGACAGAAGGTCTCGGGGGGTTCCATACCCAGGAGGCTGGTCTTAAAGCTCTTGAGGTCCAGCTTGATGCAGCTGAGAGGTTTCTGACATGCGAGACAACCTACTCAGATCGTAAGGCTTACAAGAGCTGCGAGACTGCGACAAGAAGTGAATGTTATGACTATTTGGCAGGGTTAGCAAGTCGAGTTGAGGACGATGGGAGCGACATTGTGCGACGTACATACGAAGAAAGAGTGGACATATTCAACGCTGTCGATATTGTCTATACCTTCTTCCTGCCTCTGAACTTCAATGGGTCAATGGTCGGTAAGTTCTGGGGCGCTGTCAGAACATTGATTGAGGTAAGCCAAAAGAATAAGGTACAAATTACGAGCGAGTTTATACTGACACGGGAAGTTGTCCATATTGGATGACCCTGTTCTTCGACCTTCGTACGACAACACCGCCAGCAATATTCGAACGTTTACCAGAGACTTGACCAGAAACATCATGGCTTTTCAGAACATTGTCACCCATTCTTCCAAAGAAGAGCGTGCTGAAGTTGAGCTGCCGTCTGAGTTCTCAAAGGCATGGCTTTACCTTACCATGGCCATAATTTACAGCGCCAAGGATGATCCAAAGTGGAACAGCCGAATGAAAAGAGCAGAAGACCTTATCGAAAAGGGGTCCAAGAAGTTTCTCCAAGGACTCTCTGAGAAAAGTCTTCTTGAAAAGGCTGCCGTGCTGCCCCTAGAGGTACTTTCACTTGTTACTATGGGCTTGCTGCAGGATCAGGTTGGCAAGTCTGACGATATCTGCGATACTTACTCACAATATCTCAACTCCCTGGTAAGTTGTGTATGTTTCACTGTTCGTTGACCATTGGTTAATAAGTTTAGGATAATGCTATCACATCAAAACCCTCAGACAGGTCGTTCCAACATCAGCTCGATCTGGTCCAGCAAGAGTTGGTAGCTGTTAAGCGAACGCTCTGGAAACAAAAGTCACTTATCACTCGACTGCGAAACACTCTGACTGCCATCGATACACAAGACATTGTCGTGAGTCAATTCGAACATGAAATGGTGATAAAAGATGCAGAGAAGCAATATAGCACCAAACAGTATTACGCAGAAGCCTTGCCACCACCTCCTCATTCGCATCGGCCAGACGAGGACTACACGCGGATTGCCCCTCCTACTTACGTCCAGGAGGTTCAGCCCGCCAATGACTATATGGGCCTCGACGATGAATTCTTGTTTGACATGGCAACGTCTTCGAAGCTTTCCCCTACTGATGCGGGTGGTCTGCGCGGTCTCTTCTTTCTCGAGTGCTCGCGCCTCATCGAGCAGCGGGAGTTTGAGTTTCGACGCTTCACTGAATTCTCAAAAGATCTAGAGCGTGCCATTGCTTATAAAATGGACTTCACGCGAGACAGGCAAGAGCGCGCCATCTACGCATTCACCCTTGTTACTATTGTCTTCCTGCCCATCAGCACGGTGTCGAGTATCTTTGGCATGAACACGACCGACGTGCGAGATATGAACTACTCACAGTGGCTGTACTGGGTGGTTGCCATACCACTGACCATTGTCGTTATTCTTGTCGGATTATGGTTCATGGGAGAGCTGGGGAATTTGACTCAGTGGCTGCTTGGACGATCTGCAAAGGGGGCGTCGGGATATGGCGGGCCAACAATCGTTCCTCAAACACTTGAAGCATCCTACTGGGCCCCTTCTCCGATTGCGCAGACTACCCAAGTGGCAGAGTATTCGTCGCCGTATGAGCCGGAGCATAGTATGCGTAGGAGGATTCAGGCGCAAGCCTATCATCCTGCTCAAGGGCGAGTATATCGATCACGGACTATGGATGCTGGGAACTATCGGTAGCGACCTAGTGTTTAAAAGGCTTCGATCTTTGTTCAGGAAGATATGGTCTTAAATATATTCAATTTGCCTTAACTCCTCACAGAATACTCCTCATACCCTAGATCCGTCAAGAAATTAAGTCATCAATCGTGATACAATGTCATCAAAACAATAATCCCCTCAAGTCATCACAGCAACCCGTATCATCTGTAGTACTCTCGCTCTCGATCCGTGATACGAAGTCGCACACGTTCATCCTCAATTGCGCGTCTTGGTGGTGACGGAGGCGAATATTGCTGGCGCCGAGTTCCCTCGACATAGCGGAATGTTTCGTAGCGAGGCTCGACCTGAACCGGGACAGGAACAGGAATGAACCTCTCGCGCTCAATCACACGCTCGTGGTCATGATCGTACGATGAGTGGTGGCTATGCCTGCTTCGAGATCGAGACTTGGGCTTCTTCTTCTCCTTCTTCTTGTGTGGCTCAACATCTACCGCGATGACCTCGATGGGATCATCCGGCGGTGGAGGTGGGGGCCTGGGCTTCTCCACTGGGGGAGGAGGAGGCGGCTTGGGCTTTTGAACGGGAGGCGGCGGCGGAGGAGGAGGCGAAGGCACCTCGACTGGCGGAGGTGGTGGTGGAGGAGGACATGGTATGTACTGCGGTGGTGGAGGTGGTGGAAGCGGCGGTCTCACGATAACAGGCGGCGGCCGAGGAGGTGAAGGCTCACGAGGAGGAGGAGGGATGATGCGCGTTACGCGACGGCTGACGATGCCATAATCCTCCTCCGGGTGCTGGAGATAGAGGCGCTTCTTCTCGTAGGATTTGGTGACTGTAGCCATGACGTCAGTGACGGTTGGGTATGCGACGCAGGGCACACAGCAGCATGCAGCGCAGAAGAGGAGACATACCCATTTTGTCGGTAGAAAAGCGACAGCGACAGCGATAATAAAGATGCAATTACCCGCGACGCGATATAAACAAAAAATGAGGCCAAACAGCGATTGACAGGGACAACCCGAGGATGATCAAGTGGGGTTGTTTGGGTCACGATGGGTTGAAGTGGGAGACAGCTTAACTGTGGCAACGTGGGCAGGTGTGGATGGGAATGGCGATCTTTTATGTGTGTTCAGCGCAAGATATGTGATTTAAAGAATGGGGGGGATGATCAGGCTGCAAGAAAATGGAAAATGGAAAATGGTATGGCATGTGAGTACAGTTACGAGATATTAAGCTTCCATGATTTATTCCAACCTAACCCAAAGTTACGTTACCCAACCAATACCCAAGTCCTACGAGTCTAAGCCATGTCAGTTTTGATGGGGTGGGACATTACCTACCAGTCTACCAGTCTACCAGTCTACCAAGCCCAGCTAACAATTATTAACAGTCTACGACTGGGAAACGAAAGAAAGCACCAACAAAGTTGTTGGTAAAAGGTCAGAAACGAGGTCACCAGATCATGACGTCGCACATGCGCATGCACGTCAGCCCCCTCCCCGCCTTGAACGCTTCAACCCACAAGAAACCAGATTTTGGTGCTAAAGCGCAGGGGCTGGAAAGATACACTTTCTAGGAACTTTCTAGGAACCCAATGCTCACTGCTCAGCCAGTCAAGTCATAATTATATGGGGTCCTCCCCGCCGACACAGCCTGTTTGTTCAGGACCCCTGGACCCTGGGAGGGAAAAGAAGAAAAAGAAGCAGAAGCAGAGAAACACACTTGGTGCCAGATGTGGCAGGGCTGAGCTGGTCTCGTTGGGTTCGGCTTGTGGAATAAGCCATAGGACCTTGGTCGAGGCCTTGTGATGGGGACGCCAGTCATGTTGTGACTTGTCTCAGTGGACAAAGAGTTTTTTCATTCATGGCGTGTTTGAGGACAAAGCCGAGAGAGAGAGTTTGGAGTCTGGACAGGACTGTTATTCGCCAATGACGCAGCCTACCTAGTAGCACAACGCTTTGCAACGTCTAAACAAGACGTTTCAACCGCCAAGTCTCAATCAAACCCAAATATAGAACCCGGAGCCACCGTGCCAGGTCCGGTTATGTCGGCGCCGTAAGAGTCGGAGCTGTGGGTCCGTTGCCGACTTACGGGCGCTCCTTATCCGACAATCCGGCATATTTCCGGCAACATTAGACCGTGTGTCTCGAACATCTCTTTTTCAAATCCCAATCTTTTGCCCTGCACGTCTTGGGATGTTCACCCTGTCGATCACCACTTCCACCGCCCTCCTGAAACCAGAAACCCCCCTGAACTTCGGTTAGTTTTCAGGGGTCCTCACACCCTGGAGAGCCCTTCTGACAGGAATCGATAGACTCGGATAAGTTGGTGATCATTGGCTTCATTCCTTCAGGAACAGCAAGAAGAGAACCAAGCGTGGCGAAGTACATGTCAAGATGACTAGATAAATCCTCCACGAAACTAGTGTATCGCACTTCTTACATTTACATGGAATATGATTGAGCAGGTGATATATCATCAGGAACACAGATTCTATTGTTCCCGTCTAGGCAGTAAATACCTCGGAGGATCCTAAACCGCAACTAGCAAAATCGAACCATTAAGCATAAAAGTGAGTATAATTATATGTATAATGCACGTTTGAATGATGATCCTGTTCCGATTAGGCTGTTCTACATGTTTCAAAGACGGACTTCAAACAGAACCGTTCGGAAGACCACAACACGAAAATAGGGTCGCAGTTTAAAGCTTCATGTCTCTAAGCGAGCCAACAATACAGCTTGAAGTAACGGACCTGTTTATGCCGTCCTGAGTTAAGGGTCTATTAGTTACTAAGGGTTCGGAGTTTAATGCATACGAGAGACGTCCCTTGCTTACCCTACAATGCGGGAATGTGCAGTAATACTTCGCGGGGAATGAGCCAGGCCTCCATATCTCATATCCTGATCAATGAATGGCCTCTATAGACTTTGGTACTGTCTGCCTATAGCTGATGGAACACATCCTTGTGGTAGAGTTTATGCTCCCCATAGATATCTGAAACGCGTCGAAGTCTGATACTTGAAACCTCCACAGACTTGCATACCGTTGGTGGAAACATGTCTAGCATGCTTTGAAGAAAGTTGAGTAGTATCATTATGTTTCTCTCCGCATATATGACTATATTCGGGTTTGTTTATTATGGCACCTAGTTTCAAAGACAGTCACCCAATAGTTGACTATGTAAAACACATAGGTCACACCTGATGCAATGCTTCAATATGTCACTCCTGACATGGCACAACGGGCTCAATCTCTCCCGGACGATAAATCCGTATTATATCTAATCCCATGTCAGAAATCAGTGTACGCGGGTTCGCATCGACCCGCAAACGGAGTTGAGGTCGCGATTTGGTTAACCTGTTCGCTTCCTTACCCTGTAACGGATGGGCCTGCGAGAAAATAAGGGTTTGGATCAACTGAGCTCAGACCTCCAGGGACCAGAGAGGGTTCAATCGATCAACCAGGATTTAACTACTGAACAGATAGTAGCTGCACGCTAGAGAGCAACGTGGGGAGTATTGCGTGCATTGCGGGCGGATTCGTGATGATCGAAATCAACAAGTCTTACAAGGGGTATCAGTGGTGGGCAATCTCTGTCGAAACATATTGGATATCGTCGTTCTTGCGATAGGAACTTGGTTAGATGTATCCATATCTGCAAAATTACAGGATTTTAGCACTGGTGTCGTGGTATTTACATCCATGGGCCACATGGAAGACGTGGTTCGTTGGGCGAGAAATGAGGCGCTCTTCTCATCTAATCCTCATCACATCTTCCGTCACACCGCTTTTGTAGTCTCCAGACGGACTGAGACGATGGGCAGGTCAGCCAAAGATATGCTCAGCATCGTTTCTGCTAATTTGGGGAAATGGTTGTTTCTGATGGTTATCCATCAACATCACCTCCACGTGGGTCTCAAAGCGCCAGGCAGATAGTGACAAGCTGAAGGACCCATTATCGTGTCCGGTTCGTGAAAGTCAGCCATTCTTCGGGATATATGGTGCCTTAAAAGCCATCCTTACGAGATGTATCACACAGGTACCAATTACACGACCCAGGAACACGGATGAGATCCCAAGCCTCATTTGGGTGTCTTATCGTGCAGCCAATAGCCCGGTAATCCAACCACCCGGGGGAACTATGCGGGTTTGTACTCTTTGTCCCCCCAAGACATTTATCGTGGCGGGCGCGCTGACGAAGCTGTCTCAGGGTCAGCTGTAAGGATGGTTTATCTGGCATGCGTTGAAGATGGCTTATCCCCCCTATTTTGCGGTTCTTGAATTAGGCTGAGTTGGAAGAAGCAATACCAAACAGTGAGTTCGTGAGTATGAGGTATCTTTTCGTTTTCTCATATGCAGTTTGGGACACTCTATTTGCCCCGGATGTGATGGTTTCGGTGGCTTGCAGTTCATCTATCAAATGGCTGTTGTGGTTGTGTCTTGAATAAGCGCCGAGGTGTGCATTGTGATACATAGACTAGCACTTGACAGACGCTTAAGCCTTAAGCATATGGATACATGGCTTTTGCTAAGAATAATCTTGGAGAAATGCGGATATTGTTACAAACTATCTCAGTCCGAAGCGCCTTGTGTTTCTTGTCATTGAGATCCCAGACAAAGCCGAAGTGATTCACTTTCCTTGGATCAAGACTCTGGGTCAATGCTTTCCCTTGCTGTTTGTGTGTGGGCGGTTAATAAAGCTATGGGCGCTGACAAGGAGCTAGGGTTCGGTGCAACGGGTGAGTGATGGATGCCCGTGGATGGATCTTCGGAGTCCGGGCCACTTGAGATGGCCAGATTGTACCTGCATGAAGCAGATACATACAAAGAATGGATATCGACTGAGGGTAGTATCAGGACACGGGCATATTTGAGCATTTATCGACCTTTGCTATATGCCTACCTTCTACTTTTGGATGTATAAAAGTGTAAGCGAGATGCGTGGTGATTGAATGAGGTATGTTGTGAAACGTGGAGGACTGTGACTTGTAACGAAAGTTGACAGTAATCAACACAATAAGTCAAATATTTGTTGATATTCGGAGTGTTGGCTGAATGTTCATCCTCAACCTCAAGTGGGCCTTGTTGCTCTTGATTCTTTTGCATCCAGAACAACATCTCCATAATTTCTTCTTCTTCTTTTTCTAGCCCATCTCACAGGCCCTGGCTCTCATCTCTGCCGACAAACCCCCAACGCAGGTCAGAAATCTTCCGGCTGCCCTTTGTAACCTCACGAGAAAGGTTAGTGTCGTCCAACCCTTGTTCGGCAAACCTGGAAGTGGTTTGTTTGACCGTGCTGGATCTGGCAAAGTGCTGGGAATCACTGGGAGCTAGGGGCCAGCGTGACAACAGCATTTGCGGCTCTGATTGGGAGACTTGTCATGGAGGCTTTCCAGGGGTCCCTGCCCTTGTGATGTCTTTTGAAGGGAGCCCACTTAAACAAAGGCCACTCGTAGACTGACAATGGCCTTTTTCGAGGAAGAGCTTTGTGGTGATGAGAGCAAAGGACGTCAGCAGAGGGTAATAATGGTCATTGAGAAGCAGAGAGGATGCTCTGCAGTGGCAACGCTAAGACGATCATCAAAATTTCTTTATGTTGAATTAATTAAAAAAGAAACCTAAAAGTGACCTTATAGGTCTAAGAGTTGATAAATCCCACCTAGAAGCCTACCACAGGTATCCATACAGTTGCAACATCAGAGATAATCCTCCAACGCAATCCCTTGCATGTACTACTACGGATACACAACACACAGCGTTAGCTCAGCATCTGAGTCCCTTGAGGCGTGAGGCTGGAGGCTTGAGGCTTGACTTGAGCAAAGATCAATACTAAACCCCTGACTAAATCGCCGCGCGTGAACCCAAGCTTCAGCACTAAAATCGCACGAAACGTTATTGCCCACGGGACGGGAGAGTAAACTCTCGCCAACGTCCCGCCGGCCGTGTCAGTTTGCGTTCCAGCTGTGTTGCAGCCTCTGAGGCGACTATTTTGGCGCCTTTGGTATGTGGGATGCGCTTGATAGAATTCTAGACTCCCAAGCCTGTTTCTGTTTGAAACGACATATAAACCTTTAACCGGATAGACGCTTCGTTGTGTGTGTTTGTTTTAATTTTGGAACGGGTTAGGTTTTTCTTCAATATCCACCAGCAACAGAACATGACGATCATGACGATGCAAATCGATATCAAAATTTATTCCCCACAGCAGCCGCCCGCCCTGCATCGACGGTCCCTCGAGTCAGCGAATGTGCAGACATAATTTACTGAACTGCCATTATCCACTGTTTGTAAAGTGGACGCTTGAGTGGCGTCTTCTAGTGAAGTGCGATTGACGACTTCCAGTGGACAGGGCGGAATCCTCGCGTGTGCCTTGATGCTTGATGGGTTGCTAGTGGCCTTTGTTAGCGGGAGAACTGACCACGGCGATGGGATACAGACACAGACGACGACCCTAGAAGAATTTATCATGACAACTACCCCTTATTCTTGCTGTGAATGCGCTTTATCCGGACTGCATCTCAGCATGAAGAGGTGAGTATACTCCCCGCTTACTGCTGCTATACCTGTATGGAGTATGGTCACGCAGTCTAGACGCCTTACACTCTGCTGTGTAATCTGTGTGCAAGGGCATCTGCTGTGTTAAGGTAAAGGGGTCCCTTGTATCCTTGTAGGTGCTTCCTAGGGTTGGCGTACGGTACCTCTTCGCTATGTCGCCATCTTCAGCACTGGACGAACGACTCCATCATTCTCAGTCTCAATGGCGCCGAATTAACGACTGCTCTGACTCAACCTCTTCTACGGATTTCGTAACGGCGTAAACATAATTATCTCATTCTACAAAGTTAGGACACGCTCCATAGATTAGTAGACGGCAAGCGTGAACATGCAGGTACTGGTCAAGGTTGACTGATTCAAGCAAACCGATAGTAGCGACCGTTTTTCCCGCCCCCTTTCCGTATTGGGCTTTCACGAGGGGCGCATCTTTCTGGTTGATAAACCGCCAATTTAGCAAATCTCCCCCTCAAAATCCATCTCTTGACACTCCTTACCTTTTTCTCCTTTCCCTCCGACATCCCTCTGTCTCCTTGCCTTTCCTATCGTCGCATTAATTACTGACACGCGCATCTCCAGTACCTGCTGCCGAGGTACCTATCGCGCCGGCGCATATGCAGTACGTACTATAGGTACCTGTACCTTTACCGTACCGTTACGCTTTCGCTTGTCAAAATATTTGCTTGACCGGGCAGGCTCCTCCGCAAACGACGTTCCCTGTCCACTGCTTCTCTTGTCTTGCCTGTAGTCCAGGGCAGCCCTGGCTCTGTTTTGCGACTTTGCGACAGTTGTTTTTTCAGGCCCTCCCAGTCGCTCGCTTCAACGCTTCTCCCACATCTCCCACGTCAAACGGTCGCTCAAGGCACTCCACACCCTGCCGAAAGACCCCAATACTATCAGCTGTATTATACCCGTATCCATACTTTTTTTTGCTGGCCGTTTTCGAGTTCCTTGTTCTGCATTGCTCGACGCTACGCTACTGTACTGTACCGTCCCACGCTGGCTTGTGCTCCATTGTAACGCGGTTACAGCTGCATGTACATGTAACGTTGGGGCTCGGACTATTCCCACCGCAGCAACCGGCATCTCGAAACGCCTCACCTCACCTGGCTCACCTCACATCAGCGTTCCGCGCCTTGCACTGCACAGTACGCTGTGGTATCTGCGACTTATTGGCTGATGCCTCCCGGTGCATGACACCACAAGGTAGCCCAGCGCACCATGCCACAGCTTGTGCTCCAGAGCGCAGAGCGCTCTGCTGCTTCCATGACACCCAGGACGAACTCCATCACGACCCCCGTGGAAGCTACTTCATCCTCCAACCTCGACCTCCTCGACCGAGCTCGATCTCCAACTGAAGTCCCTGTAGGCGATAGTCCAACCGTTGGTCGCATCATTCGTTCTAGCCCGACTTCTCCATTCCCTGGCACACTGTCATTCTCGGGTCCCAGGTAAGCATTCCCATGTCTTCACCAATATCCATCCCAACTCGAAGCCTCTTGTTACTTGTTCTTGTCGGGTCATCTCCACACACCCCCCGGCCGCTACCCCCAGGCCTCTTCCTTGCCCCTTCACTGCTGTCTCTCACAATCTCTCCCCTCCACCACACATATTTGCTCCTTGGCCCTTCTTGACCAGCAATTATCTTTCCTCCTTGCCCCAGGTTAATCGCTGTGCGAGGTCGCCATTGTACTTCGTACCCTCACCATACCTTTCACCAACCAGTCTGGGATCATCTTGCGTTCTGTTGTGCAACCTCTCGCAGCGCCTCTAACACATTACGGCCTCTAGATCTCCGCGACCAGCTATTTCGAGTCCACTCACGGCCGCCGTCAACTTTCCTAACGGACAGGCAACACCCAGTCCCAGGACAGTCGTGTTTCCGACCCGATCAACTCCGACGCCAACATATCGAGTCAACCAGGAGTCCGAGAATAAATCGAGCCTTGTTAAGCAGACCTCGTTCTACAGCGACTCTTCTGACGAAGGATCACCGGAACCTCATAGTCCTAGGTTCGTTCTATAGAAGTGGTCTTTGGGCGCATATGCCACCACGACCCTGACTCCACAGTCTGTAAGCTAACGATAGGATCAGACAGGGCTACCAAGGCAGCTCGAATGTGTTGCGAACCGTCTCCGAACCCATAACTTCGAAGCCTGTTCCAGGCTCAGATCCAACAATCCGGTCACCGATGGCTGGCCCGGTAGCTGCGGCTCAGGCCGAGTCCTTCAAAGGGGTTGCTCGAAATTCCTCTATCGACTCTGCGATCTCAGCCATTTCAACCAAGTCCGGCACAGGTGGCAACCAAGATGGTCAGCATGGGCCCTCAGAGATCAGTCATCTTATCAAGACAGCAGGCAGCCCTGAATCTCTCATCCAGTACTTACTAAAAGAGAAGCATTCTCAATCACAACAAAACAGCCAGCTATGGCGTCTCGTGGACAAACAACGGGCCATGATTCTCGGACTCAACAAGGACCTGGAAAGAGCCCTGAAAGATAAGGAAAAGTACAGGAGGAAGTTGAAAGAAGTTATTTCGCTCCCGTCTGTCTCAGTACCTTCACAAGATGACGGCAAAGACCTTGTTCAAGCACCTATACCAGCGCTTCCTCGGGTTGATATAGAACGAAACAAGGAACAAAGAATAACCCCAGAATCCCCGATTCTCGAAGCCGACAGCCCTAGAAATTCGCCGATCGATATCACCATGGCGCCTTACCCCATCACTCCTCCAGCAGACCAGCTTAGCGCTCCACATTCGGCTGTGGGCGAGTTGTTGAATCCTGCGCATGCCATGCCCAAGCCGCAAGATCATGCCTTAGACAAGTACGACCATGAGGCAGACGAGCGGGCAGCTGAGGAGGCACGGAAGGAGGGGCTGGAGAAGCTGGAGGAACCCCTCAAGGAAATTCCGTACAATGTGGCTATTCCTCCTTCGCGTAGCATTCCTAGCGAACCACCTAAGATGCCACCACCTAAACCACCAGTGTCGCATCTTCCTACTTTTGCGGTTCTCGAGGCTACCCCGCAGCCTGATGAAGGACTTTCGAAGTTCCCTGTGCCACCACCGAGAAAACCACCTCCTGCGCCTCTTAAATTGCACCAGGAAATGAGAACGCAGCTCAGCCCGTCGCCCGAAGACGGAGAGACCGAATCTGATTATGACGACATCTTGGAAGTTGATGAGATTGTTAACGATCGACGTGGTCGCCGAAGAACGCGCGAAGAGGATGATCGAGATCGTGAGATCATAGCGTTCAAAGAGGCTGCCGCGCGCAGTGCGTCCAAGAAGAGCAAGTCTAGCCAACCTGGATCTCCCAGAGAAACGGTGCCTGGGGTCCATGCGCAGGAGCTCGCGACAGCCTCACTTGGAGAAATGCTCAGCGCAACGGTCACAAGGGAAATCCCTGCGCCTTTGTTGAGCCCGGGTCTACCCGCAAGCCCTCGACCTTCTAATATCGGTTCGCCGCCTATGTCCCCAAGATCAATAGCCTTTCAAGCTGCGCCTCTATCTCCAAGACCACCTCGTCAACCTATCCCACTTCCACCAAATACTCCTCTAGTAACTCCTGCCGTGAATTCAGCAAGAGCCTCCGGAACTAGCACCGTCTCTGAGGACTCCTCATCGTCACAAAAGCAAAGCGTTCCTGGCCATTTGGATAACCTTCAGGCCAGAATGTCAAGTCCAAACAGCGACCGCACTGAGATTTACAAAGGTCTAGTGACGGAGGAGTACCCCGATCTTCTACTTCCGCCAAACGCCTTGCCCTCGATCAAAATTGTGGTTGCATCGTCACGCATGAAACCGTCACGAGCGAGCATGATGTCACTTACACAGCTCGAGGAAGACCCTGTTTTTACACTCGCCATTATCTCGCGATCCGACAACGGCGAGCTCTGGCGAGTTGAGAAGGACCTGGCTTCACTTACACGACTTGATCAGAAGCTGAAGCAGTGTACTTCGTATACGGTCAGAGCCCCTGATCGTTCCCTTTTCAGCGGGCATGCGCCGGCAAAGCTCGATGCTCGTAGGACGATCCTGGAGCAATTTATGGACGACATCCTTGAAATACCCTTCGACTCAAAAACTGCTGTCGAGCTTTGCAAATATCTGTCAACTCAAGTTCTCCCACCTAATCTGGATGATGCGGCGTCTTTGGGTGACTCCATTACTGAGGCCACAGGGAACAAGATAGGACCTGATGGGCGGCCTCGTCGCAGCGGTTATTTGACCAAGAAGGGCAAGAATTTCGGTGGCTGGAAAGCCCGATATTTCGTTCTCAATGGACCACTCTTGAAGTATTATGAAGTGCCAGGAGGTGCGCATTTGGGAACTATCAAGCTTCAGGGCGCTCAGATCGGCAAGCAAAACCAGAATGCCGAAACCCAGTCACCAGCACACCCTACTAACGGAGACGAGCTGGACAACCAATTTCGCCATGCATTCCTTATTCTGGAACCCAAGAAGAAGGATACGAGCAGTCACTTCAGACATGTTCTTTGTGCCGAGAGTGATAGAGAGCGGGATCTTTGGGTAGATGCCCTTCTGCAATGGGTTGATTACCGTGATCCAGATGCTCCTGAACCAACGCCTTCAAGGACTGGGCCAGTCCAGGACCACCGTCACGCACAGCCTGTCGAACGACCCGCCCCAGGCAAAGTTCGAAAGACACCTGGAAAGTCACTCCACCACCCGTCAGACTCGGATACGTTGGTTGGTGTTCGATATGATACTACCCAACCAGGAGATGCTCCTCAGGTTACTGGCCCTGCTCGACCAAAGACCTCGGGCGGCTTACCTGATAACCACCACCACCACAATGCATTCGAAAGCTTTTCATCATCCCAAAGCAAGATCATTTCGGGCCCCAGAGACCCGCAGCCCATATCCGACCTAGGCGCTTGGGGACACAAACCAAACCTGGGCCCGACAGCTGACGAGAAAAAACAAAGAAAGCGAAGTTTCTTCGGCTTTGGGCCAAAGGCTCGCTCGTCATCCGAGGGTCAAGATTCTTTGTTTGGTGGCAGTGAGGGTGGTGCAAACGCGACGCCGCCGCAAAACTCTTACCAAGGCCCTGTACGACAAGCCTTTGGTGCGCCCTTGGCAGAGGCTGTTCGATTCTGCTCCCCTACTGACGTAAATGTACCTCTTCCTGCTGTTGTGTTCAGATGTATCCAATACCTGGATTCTAAGAATGCCATTCTTGAAGAGGGAATCTTCCGTCTGAGTGGATCGAACATTGTCATCAAGCAGCTTCGAGAGCGGTTCAATGTCGAGGGTGATATCAACCTGGTAACAGATCGCCAGTACTATGACATCCATGCTGTGGCTTCGTTACTCAAGCTGTACCTGCGAGAGCTCCCGACAACGATACTGACTAGAGATCTACATAATGAGTTTTTGACAACAATGGAGATCACGGACCACGCAGAGAAGATGGTGGCATTAGGGGAGCTAGTCCATCGACTCCCTCAAGCCAACGCCACGCTGCTCAAATATTTGATTGGATTCCTCATCAAAATCATCAACAATGCGGACATAAATAAGATGACTGTCCGTAACGTTGGCATTGTCTTCTCACCAACCCTCAACATCCCGGCACCCGTTTTTGCCATGTTCCTACAAAACTACGAGGGCATTTTCGGCATCGATCCTGAGGTTTACGAGCTTCCTTCTCCCGTCTCCGAGCCTGAATTGCAGCGTTTTGAGGCGCCGCCGCGATTTGACCTTCCTGCTCGCCCCTCTACATCCGGAAGCTCGTCTCCCCATGGTAGTCAGATGCGGAAAGACAATGTCCGGGAATTGCAGCGAACCACTCCTACCCCTCCCCTTCTAGTCAACAATGCTCCAATGCGAGCTTCACCTACAAGTGCGTCCAGGCCTGGTTATGACCCTCCAGCTGGACCCTATGATGGCGGATACCGGCCACCTTCAGCCACCGATCGACGATTCTTGCAAGCTTCACACGAGGATCTCGGCAGTGCTTCAGCAGCATATGACCAGAGCTACGTTCCGAACAGACGTCGTGAGAGCGCCATTTTCATGGGTGGAATGATGGGTCCTCACCACCAGGGATCTAAGAGCCGTTTGCGAGAGGAAACACGGTTCTAAACTGTACATGTGATTGGTCTTCTATGTGTTTTGTTATTTCCACATACCCACTCGTTTCGACATGCGATGATACCATACATACCATACTATACTTTTTTATGATGATTTATACTATTAATATCTTACATTTCGGAGTTCGAATAAATGGTGCTTTGAGGAGGATTTAATCTTATCTTGGGTTACTTTGCATATGCGGAAACGCAGGCTTTTATCATGAATGGCTCGGAAAGAAGTGCAAGACACAGAGCTAAGAGCAAATGTACTTCATGTGAGGGTTGGACTGCGAAAGAAGTTCAATGTTTGTAAGCGGAACGACGTCGATTTGATCTGATCTGATCTTGAGCATGTATCCCTTTCTACTTAGCATGGCGTTTGGACGGGTTTCGAGCTGAGATGGTCTTGACATGTCAGGTCCTAAATCTCGATCTTTTGTTTACTTACTCAGGTGTTATGAGAATATTTCAATCTGTTTTATACTTGATTATCCGATTGATGCATTAATTGATGTCTTTCTTAGTCCACATCGGTAGCTATTTCGGCTAGGTGCCGAATTCCGACTGAGATTCTCAAATATTGCTCGGTTGCGGGGTTGGTGAGTTGCTTGGTTGATCATCTACTACCACGGAATCCATCTTGCCGACTTGTGGAATTCAATCCCGCTCTATGGATACTTCGGATTGCATTTTCGTATATATGATTGGCATAGATACTCGAAGGATCGACGACTAGTTGAGCTCAACAATTGGGATCCACTGGACGTTTCCAATCTAGGAAACGAGGTGTTTTCGTTCTGGTAGGGCTGTCTTCTATATATATCTCTATGTTGTTTCGATTCACTCACCAGTATCTCATCACCCTCATTCACAACTTCTTCTCAATCCCACCAGCCTCCTCTTTTATCATTTTAACATGGCATTTACACTATACGACGCAACAATTGTCGAGGCCAAGCTGGCCCTGGCATCACTGGACAATATCCTCAAAGAGGCAGAGAAGCACGAAAATGCAGCCAGTTTCCCTGAGGCGCGGCTTTACGAAGACATGAACCCCCTGAGCTTCCAGGTCCACGCCGCCACTCGATTCGCCGAGAAGATCGTCGCCAGACTCTCTGGACGGGAGTCTGTCGAGTTCGAAGACAAGATCGTCACCTTTGAGGACATGCACGCGCGCATTACCAAGGCTCAGGAGTTGTTAGCAAAGGCTGATAAGGATATCGTGAACAAGCAGGGAGAGGAGGTTGCGCCGACAGCGTTGCCCTCTGCTGGAACGATGGATCTAACTGGAAAGGCGTTTGCCATGGGTGCGGCTATTCCTAACCTCAACTTTCATCTATCAATGGCTTATGCAATTCTGAGAAAGGAGGGTGTGCCTCTGGGAAAGAAGGACTATATCACGCCTTTTGTTGGCGAGTACATTCTCAAGATGTAATAGGAGAGAATGTGCGACGTAAGAGTAGTATGAATGTATTTATTATGGAAATCTATATATAATTCCTTTACATATTTTTGCGATGTAACGTTCTGATGTTGTCATATGTGCACCGTAATAGGCGGGATATGTCGAGTACGGAGATCCGTGTGATATGCGCCGACTATTGCTGACTCACCCCCCCCTTCAAACTCGGAAGTGTCGGAGTCGGCGACAAACATCGCCGTCCTCCACCATCACATCGTCAAAAAAACGGCAAACTAAAGCAACAAACTCCGATGGAGCTCGACCCTCGCCTTGGCGCAACTGGCGATAGAGCCTCTTCACTAACCAATTTTGGCCCAGACGGAACCTCACGACCGTCGCCAATCCATCATGCTCCTCCCGGCAGCAGCGCCTCGCTGATGCCGCTCTCTGCTGCGACACACGACGCGCACGATGATCATAACGACGCTGATGATACGCCCGGCGCATCGACGGAGAATAGAGACACGCCGCAGTATCAGAACCAGCAGCTGCAGGACGCCGACCACGATGGAGATGGCACAGATCCCAGACGTCCGAGAGCTTGTGAGGCTTGTCGTGGACTGAAGGTGCGCTGTGAACCGGACCCTAGCGACGAGGGACCGTGTAAGAGGTGTCGGAAGGCTGGCAGGAATTGCGTCGTGACGATGCCCACGCGCAAGCGACAAAAGAAGACGGATAGTAGAGTCGCGGAGTTGGAGAAGAAGATTGATGCCTTGACAGCGAGCCTGCAAGCCAGAGGAGCGCCCGCCGGTGGTCAGGCGCATGCGCAAGGCCAGGCGCATGGCGTTGGCGACTCTCCTGGGCCCGTTGCGCCAAAACCGCTCAGCGAGGCCAACGCTCCCGCATCTTCTTATAACAGCAGTATCAAATGGAGCAAAACTGCGCAGCCCCCAACATGGGGTTCGTTTTCGTCGACACATTCCCCCATGCCGCCGATGCTTGCGGCTGAACACAATGCTGAACGCGCATCCCCAGCTGTGTCCACGGCGACAATGACTCCGGCAACTGTCACTGGGCAGAAGAGGAAATTCTCTGAAGGTCGCGAAGGCTCGATTGAGCAGCGCAATGCTGAGGAGACGCCGGCTGAGGCTCTGGCAGCGTATCTGACAAGGGCGAAGGGTGGTGATATCGTCGACCGCGGGATCATTACTATGGAGAAGGCTACGGAGCTGTTTGCTCGCTACAACGACCATATGATCTCGCATCTCCCAGCGATAATTTTTCAGCCTGGTTTCACAGCATCTGAGCTCCGCAAGACAAAACCGATATTGTTCCTGGCCATCATGGCGGTTGCGTCGGCGGAGTCGCCTATTCTTCAAAAGGTTCTTCAGAAAGAAATGAAGCTCACATTTGCTGAGAAAGTTATGCTCTCGGGCGACAAGAGTCTAGAACTGGTGCAAGCGCTCAACGTCGCCGTGATCTGGTACTGGCCACCAGAGCACTTCGAGGAACTCAAGTTCTACCAGCTGGTCCACACGTCAGCTGTCATGGCCATCGACATTGGTCTTGGCCAAAAGTTCAAGCAGCGCCGCGGAATAGTCATGCCTGAAGCTTGGCGACCTGGACTACCCCCTTCAGCCATTGGACCGGTAGGCCAGAACCGTCGATGGGCACCTCCTGATTCTACAAGCATTGAGAGTCGCCGGACGTGGCTGACGTGCTACTTCCTGGCAGCTAATACTTCCATGGCACTGCATCGACCTAATCTCATCCGCTGGACCTCTTTTATGGATGAGAGTCTACATATGCTGCGATCATCACCAGACGCTGCGCCCTCTGATGCTTATTTCTGCCATCTCGTCTGGACTCATCACTTGTCCGAAGAAGTAGGCGTGCAGTTTGCGCTCGACGACCCAACTGCAGAGATCAGCATGTCCGATCCGAGAACACGACATATTCTTAAAGGTCTCGAGCGAGACTTGAGACAATACAGAGAGAAAATCCCTCCGGACTTATTACAACGTACGTCTATAAAAATGGCCCGAGTAGTCCGATATGCTTACTGACACATGTTAGCAACCCTTTTAATAAGTTTCGGCGTGCTCAATCTGTATATGCACGAAGTAGCACTGCAATCCCGTACCACGGAAACCCTCCGGCCGCAATTCTCAACCGCTGCTCTCCAAGAAGGCCTCGTTGGTGGGGACAAACTGTCTCCTGCACATATCAGTGCAGTGTCTACATGCCTGACTTCCATCAAAGACTCGCTCAACACATTTCTGGCAATGGACGTCTTCAGCGTGCGGTGTCTGCCAGTGTTTAACTTTGTCCGGGTTGCCTATACCGTCGTCATGCTCATCAAGCTCTACTTCTCTGCAGCAAGCTCAGAACTTGGTCAGGTCGTGGACAAGGAGGAGATGGAGGTCGGCAAGTATCTCGACGGCCTGCTGGATAAGTTTCGCGCAACCGCAGCGGACGACCGTTGTCGCCCAGCAGCTAAATTCCTTGTGGTGCTCGTCATGCTTCGTAGCTGGTTCTACAGACAAGCCGACTCGGAGTCCAAGGAGACAAAGTCGGTGCCCCAATCGTCATCGATCAACCAATCCCCCTCGCAACAGCAGCAGCAGCCGCCAAAACCAGTCAACAACTCGTCGTCACAACCCTCTGATCACACGTCGACGGCCAACACCCCACTCCAGCTGCTCTCCGAAGTTGCTACCGGCGCCGGCTCCCGAAACCGCGAGTCGTCGGCCAGCCGGCCGCCGATGGTAAGCTGGGGCGCCAATATGCCGCACCCGCAGCCCTTCTTCCAAGACACGCCCGACAACCCCTCCAGCACCGCGAGCTCCATGCCCTACCATAACGAACCATTCTCAGCAGATCTGGCCGCTGCAATGGCGCCCGTGATGCCAACACTGCCCCCCGCCACAGATGGCATGGGAGGCTACAACCCTGGGGACGTCCATGACTTCGTCAACCTCATTCCGGGCTGGGACCTGGAAGGTTTGGGGATGGGTATGGGCTCGCAGGGTATGTGGGAAGACGGGATGCGCATCTTCCTTGAAGAGCCATGGTTCAACACCATGTTCCAGGGCAACCCAGCAGGAGGCAACAGCACCATGAACTTTCAATAATCTGCCAACAATACCATGGTGTCAGGAGACATTAACGTGAACTAATACTGTCTTTACTTGAGGTGCCTCCCAAAGACAATTCAGAACATATTTCTTTCTGCATTCTAGTTCCACGCCTATTGTCTTGGCACCTGCATCTCAACGGGCGTCTCGCGGAACCCAGCGCTTGATATGCAGGTGATCTGCAGCCGTAACTACATGGGTTATTAAAGTATCGAACCATCACATCGGCAGGTTTGCAGCAACTGGACTTAGAACAGAAAAGAAGGCTTGATAGTATTAAGTCTAGCCTAGAAGGAAGAGAGCTATTTATAATAGGTCTCAGAGATGGTTACCTTGATAGGCACCATCGGCTTGTCCTTGCTGCCTAGATAGGCTCTATACATATCAGGTAGCAAGGCAAGCAACAAATAACTACAAACATAGGTATAGGGAAGCCTAGCCAACAGCTGGGCGGTGTAGGTGTTGCTTGTGGAATTGTATAGGAGGACAACTGGAATCTAACTTCACATGTTTTCTTAGCGTACGGAGTTTAGGCATGAGTTGAATACAGGTTGATTAGAATAGAACTTGCACATTGGGCATACTGAGGAGGAGTTCAAGATATTGAAGGTCAAGGAATATAATACTTCAGAATGGCTAGGCTGCCTTTGTTTAATTTATTCATAGCTTTTATATGGGTATAACCGTTTGATCTCGAGCATATCCTAGTCAAGTTTAACCGTGTCTGCGGTGCCAAAAAGAAACGTTCTGACAACACCAAAAGACCAGTTCCCATTCATTCTAGTTATGGTCTACTTCATCATCGGCACTGAACATCCCAACCACCATTCCCGCTTCAAAGTGCATAACCTTATGCTTGGGGGTTCTTATTCGAGGACCGTTCCCTGATCTCCCAAGTTTCTGAAGCAATGATGGCCTGTTCGCCTGTATATCGTCCCACCCGTTTGCCATTTACATGAATGTGGCAATTTTGCTGTGGTACAAGAACCATAACGCCAGCAACTCGATCAAGTCCAAAACTGCCATGCTCGCTATTGTCGTGATTTATCTGAATTTCAGGTTTTTCAACATCGACATTCCCAGTCGATGTCAAGCCAAACGATAACCACTCCCTGTGCGTCCCTATAAATTTGATACAGCCTGCGTGTTGTGGTTCAATTTCATAACTGCCAGTAAAGATCCTGCTCAAAAAAGACATACTTGCAAAACACATAAAAAGCGTAAACTCCAGCAGCCATGTGTTTAGCGAGAGATCTCCTTGGAGGGAAATTGGCTGAAAATGGTAAACCATATCAGGGAAAACATTGCAAAGTGCATCCGACGTGTGCAAGGGATCAGACGATTATTAGGAGCGTCGGACAGTGGTGGCAAGGTGGGCGGGTCGTTATTGTTGGTGTCATCATGGTCGTTATCATAGTTGAGTGAGTATGTACTGAGGCATTGCTATGCTCAGTCCATATAAAAGTCACCCTTCAGAATTCTCTCCTGAAATGCGTCAGGCTTAGGGCGCTCTGGCTGCCTGGGTTGCTGCTTGACGGAAGAAGCTTGAACCGGAGGCTGAGGCATCTCGGAAACGGACTTTGCCCGATCGTGGATAGAGCCTCGGGGCGGAGAGGATGAGGCGAGCGAGAAGGAAGCGCGAGGAGCACCGATGACGGAACTCTCGGCACGAGACCTAAGCTGCTCGGACCAGTTGAAACCTTGCTGGTCTGGGCGCGAATTATAATTGTCAGATGTGGCTCTTGGATGTTTGGTGTTGCTTGCCTGTGAAACAGAAGAAGCGAGGCTGGGACGACGTCCAGCGGACAAAACAGCCGCGAGGCTCGACCCTTGAACTGGGGAGCCTACCAGCGACGCCTTCCGACCATGTGTGACAGGTCGCCCATTTTGAGAGGTGGGAGGAGAGGATGGGTTATTACCATTTCCAGGACTGCCGCTAGGGCGAATGTTGCGCATGTTGGAAGTGCCGAAGCTCATTCGCCGAACAAAAGGCGTGTTGGGTACAGTCTTGGAGTACATGTCGTCATCTTCAATAGCGCTCTCGTCAATAGAGTCGGAATTGTTGGAGTTGGTGGACATGCTGCCTCGGCGAATGAAAGATGTGTTTGTAGGCGAAGTGCCCGAAAGGCCAAGAGTGGTAACAGATAGGCGTCTACGGCCACTGTCTACTGAGCCTGATTGAACTGGAAAGCCATTGCCGTTGGGAATAGAGTTCCCTCTCTGGAAAAGATTGGTCAGAGCAGCTTGGGTAATAGAACCTCGTCTGTTGCGTGTGTACATTTCGGCGTTGTTGTTATTGTTTGGGGGAGCTGTGTCTGCAGACATGATGGGCGACTATTGAACTACCTTGGGTAGACAGTTATAGTTGCGAATACGGTGTGAGATGAGGAGATTTGCGAAGTAGTGGCGCCAGAGTGGTTCGAGAATGGTAGAAACAGCGTTGCACGTGAAACTGGGGTGGGATGGTGTTTAGAGAACTGTGGGCTGTTGAGACTGAGAGTAGTTGTGAAAATGATAACAAAGAAGAGTCGAGAGAGTGAGTAAAGGAGGAAGAAAGGAAAGAAGAAAGAGATTAGAGAAACGAGATGGAATGGGGGGGACCGAGGGGTTGATAAAGACGAACAGTGATGGATGGTGGATGGGCGAAGCACACGAAATGGGGGTCAATCAACTCTAAAACAGGGGAGCAGAGACAGGTCGGTCAGTGATGAGAGATCGTCGTTGCCGGTTTAGGTCAAAGGCAACCTCTAGCCTCCCGGTCAACGTTGGAGGGGAAATTGGCAGTGAGCGGCAACTCAAGAATAGAGCGAGACCGGCGGAATACAAAGCCAGAGTAAGAGCCAGAATGAGCTTAGACCACCAGAACCAGCGTCAGTATCGTGGGGTCGTGAATAGCGTCGAGCGATCAAGCAAAGTGGACAGTAAGCATTCAAGAATTGACCAGGGTCGTATTCTGAGTCTGAGCGCGCTGGGGCCTTGGGTTCGTTGGGTTGGTCACCTTTTGGTAGGTAGGCGACTGTCGAACTTTGGGCTGGAGGTTGGAGGCTGGAGCTGACGCCGGTACATGCAAGCGCGGCTAGCTTCTCAGATTGTGATGGGGCTTTTGAGACTTTGAGGTGACGGATGAGACCTTTTGCCTTTGCGAGGGACTGAACAAGGTGAAAAGATGGGGCAAAGATGGAGGGGAAGATGGGAAATGGTTGCAGGCTGTCGATTTGAGTCCGGGGGTCGGGGGCCGGGGGGTGACGTAGCAGCTACCAAGTGGGACCTCCCGCCGGAATCGGGATCAGGGTTGGTCAGAGCGTTCAAGGGTGCCTGCGGGCGAATCTGCGCTGTAATGGTTTAGAGGGTTCACTGTGTGTGGAGGGTGAATCCCTCCCGAGAGATGCAGAGATGGAGAATGCCCTAGGGGCATGAAACCCTTGTGTTTCTCCTTCTTGGCTAATAGCTGTGTCTTGGCTTGCCTGCCTGTGTTGTTGATGTTGATATTGGTGTTGAGGTTGTTGTCGTAGTCTGTCAATCCGACTCGAGCCCGTGACTCGAATGCCTTGGTTGTGCAATAGTCAACTGCAAACCGGCAACTTTTCTTCTTCCGTCTATCGTGATGTTGTAAGCTCCGAGACTCCGATCGAGGTTGTCGAATCTGACGTGGACAAGCAGATCAATACCGGTCGCAATTTGTAACGGTTGAATATCAACAAATCACTGGTCCTATAGGCCACGCATGCAGAAGCGATGATGTATTGTCCTTTGATGTTTCGTTGAGGGAGTGCAAATGTGTTGAGTGGGCAGTGGCCCTGATGCAGAGGAAGAGGAAATACCTAGTCGATGGAGGGAGGACATAAGACATTCAAGGAAGGTACCTCCTATGCACTCACTTGCACAACCGTTACTGTCTCATTTTCCTCGAACCATGCCTTCCACATCAAACCACATTGCTATGCTGGAAAGTGCCTTCCATGTCCAAGGGGCCAGAGCGACCTAGCGTCTTTGGCAAGTGGTGCACTAATGAGGTAACGAAGAGGAAATGGAAGGCATATCAAGACGATAAGCACGCGACTGGCAGGTGAGAACGGCATCTACCCGTTGCACGTAACCTCTTTGTTCCTGTCTGTGGTTGACGGGCGGGTGTGGAGGTTAATGATTGATTAGGTAACCATCTTTCACCTTAGCCCAAAAAGTAACTTGGAAGTTGAAACTTTGGGTTTATCCTCGAGTAGAAACGAACGTCAACCAGGACGTTGTACTACAGTATGACTAGACCCCCTGCTGGTGCTACCTTTTATGTTGCAATTCATCTGCAACATTTCTCCTTCTTGTTTGTTTGTGTTTCTGTTTAATTCGAACCGGGCGATTAAGACGTCAGCTCCAGCAAAACATCTCCCAACCTCTGTTTTACCTCGTACTAAACGGTAAGACAAATTAGAGGAGATGGACAGTGGGGCTGCGACCTAGCAACGAGACCAAATCTGCTCCGTCTGAATTGGACTGCGAAGTGAATGAATGAATCGCCATCTTAACTGAAGCTAAAAGCCATCCATAACTTAAGTCCCAGCTCTTACGGCGGCTCTCAGGGCTTTCCCCAGTGGAACCCCCCGCGGCCCCCCTGTTTTCCCCTCCGGCATCTGCGGCCTTCGTTAGCGTCGACTGCGGAGAAAACGGGGGTGTAAAGGGACCGGCCCCGAGATGCCCAATCTCAGAAGGGAAAAGGGCGCCTTGCAGCGTCTCAATCGACGTCACCCCCCCTGGCCATGACGGTTTGCTCTTCTTTTGCGGGGTAGTTGATAGAAAGCAACCAACGCTGGGAAAACCAAAACGCAAACATGTCGCCACAGGGGCTAGTTGATCACTGTCGATAGGATATTCGAGATGTGTTGGAATGAGAAAGAGAAACAATTGCCGACTTTGTTGATCTACGACCTGTTGGGCTGATATTGGCAAGGAGAAGGCAGCTGGTTGGTCACCACCGGCCTTATGCTGTCCACGACAAATGGAGGATAAGGTATAGAGAAACAAATGACGAACGATAGCAATGCCTCCTCAAGTTCAGGTCAGCTCTCAAATGATGGTGCCTTTGTTATCAGACGAGCTAATAGTCTGATACGCAAGCAGCCCTCACAACGACAATGGAGGTATGATGAAATAATGATATTCGACGTAGCACAAACACGCAGTCCATACATCTCACTACGTATTTGTCCTTATCAGAACAATTGCACTATTGTAGTGTTGTTTGACATCCACATCTCAACTCCTGGATCTCACATGGTCACATCCAGTTCCCTTTACGAGCTACCACCTCCTCTAACATGACTCTCGTCACAAAACTTTGTCTCCCATACGCGCCTGGCCCTATCTTTTTTAGCGCCCAACAGCTCCAGATCAAGTGATGCTACACACTAATGCCATGATGGCATGCAAAACCTTCAACACCGAAAGTGATCAGCATCACTTGGGGGAGATTAGACACGATGGCACGGTGCGAGGCAGAGTCGTCATCACCATGCCATGCCATCGGCAGTCGTTGGCAATGCTTGTGGCAACCTTTTCATTTCGTTTGGCTTTTGGGCTAAATGTGACAGTAGCTGTTGAATCTGCACTGCTGAACAACCCTTTCGTACTTGTTGGTGGCAGTGGATTCCAACTGTACGTAACAATCAATACTGCTGAGTCCTCTTTGATATCCCTTTCCCTTGTGCTTATGCTGGCTGGTTATGGTCGGTCACATCCAGAGCAACGACGATGCCATGCTGAATTATCAACCCCATCTGAGTTCCCACAAATGCCACGTTCTCAAACAAGTCCATACTTAGACCACGCACGGTTAAGCTCCCTGCGTGTAACTGGAGCCCAACCAACCCTGGCAATAAATCCTGTTCATCATCCCTAAAACCGTCTCTCGACGAACCAATCACGAGCTTGGGCTGTTACCCCGCGTCCGGCCACATGCTCCCGAGACCGGCCTGCGGCATTCTCGGCCGCTGAGATGCTTTTGATGTTTCTTGGCTTGGACCTTGGGGGCTTGGCTTTGGTCTTGGGCAGGATTCCTCGACACCCTCTTTTGTGGTTTGATGTGTTTTGGACTGTTGGTGTTACTCGCTTAGGATTTAGATCAACAGCAAGTACGGTGGTTGTGTCTTATCAATTGCGTTGGACTCTGATGCTCCCTCTCGTGATGCTGATCAAACCCTGTGTCTATATCCCTTCGTGTCTGGTCCGTGTGAAAGTATATTCATATCAATCTGCTCAGGACTTATCTTTACCCAATAACATCCGCATACTCTAAAATTCACAGTCAAAACTCCAAAGTGAATGGCTTACCATCAAGGCTCAATGCTTGGTCAACCACACCCCCAAGAGCTTCACAACCCTCGTGCCGCCTATCATCTCTGACGGCAGACAATGGATGGCAGCTTGCAGCCTGTAGCCGAGCATTTGAGTTTGATGCACTCTTCTGCACCACAGCACCGTATAATAATACTAACACACACACCATCTCGATGGCATGCTCCCTTGTCTTTGGTGGGTGGGGGAAACAGCATCGTCAACACCAAGCCCCATCCCATGTTCTGGACGGTCTAGACCTCGGTGAGCATGTCGATCTGATTTCGAGCCTATCCAATAGACTTGGTTACAAGGAAACACTACATATTAAGTAATATATGGCTATGTGTGGTGTGTAGCTTCTTGGTTGGAATCTGCTGCTCCTTCGCCCATTTCATCTCTCCCCCTCGTCCACCTTTTCTCTTCTCTTCTTTTCTCTTCTTATTTTGTTTCGTCCTCAGCTCTTTTCTCTTTTCCTACGGCGCAGTTCAACTGTCTTTATCGGATTTGTTTTACTCTATCGGCGTTTCTCTTGATATCTGCTTATCTCTGCTACTTTGCTTCGATACTCACCGCTCCTATTGTCCCAAGTTCATATGTCTTTTTCCTCCCCCACGCACGCTCGGCTCTCCATCTTCTGCTCACCTTCGCTCGCCTCCAACCTGCATGAATTATGACCTGAAGTCTCCTGCCGGCCATTCGGCCCGTTCTTCCAGCACAATGCATCTGCAACTCTCGTCCTTGACAACATTCTTGATACTCGCCTTAACCGCCAGTCGCTCGTAAACTCAGCACCGCTCAACTCAGCTCAGCCCCGTACACTTACTCAGCGTCGTAATCACCCACCCACATAACAACATACAACATACAGCAAATCGACAGATCGCCAAAGCATATCATGTAAGTGGCTGTTGCTGCTAATGCACACAGGTTGTCTTGCTCCATTCGCATATGAATTAGCCCTTGATCATCCCATGATCGGGCATCAAGACCGTATCGCACGCGTAGGACCTCCTCACATTTGGCTGCACTGAGAATCCCATCATCATATAAACATCAACGCCAATCGGTATGACTTTTGAAAGCTGTTACAGTGGCAGCACTCACAGTTCGTAGGTCCGCTCCGAACAAGCATGGCATGGTATCATGGTCAATATGTGGGCTGAGAGGACGGAGGAAGTACAATTAAGGGGATCTGAGTTGGACACGGGGTCAACTTTTGTACATAAAAGCCCTCTTGATCGCTCGTCAAAGCGAATCCTGTGTAGTCATCAAGACTCCGGGATGAGCAATGAGAAGATCTTTCCAAGCAAGTCATCCATAATAGTGATTACAATGAAGTCACTGTTCACACTCAGAAGCACTTTCATATTAAGCAAAAGGTTTTCCATTTCCCTCCCAAGCAGGTCTAATAATATTTGAGTCATGGTCCCGTTGTTAAATGTATGATCTATGCCAGCTCTCACAATTGATGTATAACTATGTCAATAATCAGTACCCTCATCGAAAGCTTCTTCAGTCCAATTCCTTGCAATAGAAACGCCATAATACTCCCATCAATGAATAAACCCCTTTCCCTTTGACAAGTATAGCTCTCTTCACTGTCACTCTACACAGCCTCGGGTCGTCTTTTCCCACACAGCCCACACACTCCGCAATCCCCAGCGTTACAATATTGCGTGGCCTGGCAGGCATCACTCGAGCATCGCCACAAGCCCGGTATCGAAGAGTCCAGCACATTGGCGCACATCGCGCATGTGACTGCTAAATCGTGATTGACGTATGAACACATTGAGCATGTTCCAACATATGCTTTTTGGTTATTTTCCGGTGTTGCTGCTTTTGCTTGTGCTGTTGGTTGTGTTATTGCCGTGGAAGTCGAGACTTTCTTTGGTGTCTTTGTACCATACTCCGTCTTAACAAAAGACTGTGCTGGTGGAATCTCAACTTCTTCATCATCCAGTGGCTCCTCCTTAATGAACGGTACCGATGACGTCCGCGGTCGATTGATTGGAGCTTTAGGTTCAGGCTCTTTGGGTGTCTCGAAGACTGATGGTTCTGGCGACTCCCTCTTGATACCCCTGATCATATCTAGAAGTTCCTGACTCTCATCCTTCGCTCCCGGATCATCAGCATCCTCATCTTCGCAAACTTTGACCATCCCCCGTCCTTGTCCATCAACTAATTTCGTTCCATTAACGTCGATTGCGTCCTTCGAATCCTGTCCAGGTTCGTCGTCGAATTCGCTATCACTGCAAGATTCTGTCTCGTCCTCGTCCTTGATAGGATCCGGCTCAACCTTTTGCTTGTCAAAGCGTGCGAGTGCTGCCGCCGCTCTGAGCTCACGTCCCCTCATGCTCCCGGCCACGCGAGGCTTGGCCTGGATCTTCTTGCCGCTCTCCAACTTAATCTTTTCCTCTTCGTCTGCACCAAGAGAAACCCCGTTTTTGCCAAACTTTTTCAAGATCCTCCTTTCTTTTCTTTCCTGGTAAGAGATTTGTGGTTTTACTTTTCTCTTGCGCCGTGATCTGTATGTGCCTCCACAAAGATGTTCCGGAAGGATCTCATCAGCAAGGACGGTGTTCTTCTCCCACTCGCCTGTGGCCAGCTTGGCGCCCCTTCCCCATAGACCATCTCCGGTATAGCGTTTAGACCAGAGCTCATGCATCTCAGAAGCATAAGAGTTTCGCACAGCCCAGAATGCCCGTGAATGGTTCATCTGTTTGCAGTGTGCTAGCTCGTGCATCATGACCATCTGAACATAGTTGAATGGCAACCAGCGACCAGTGCTGGGTGACTTTAGTACGAGTTGGACTACTTCTCCTGCGTTGAAGTTTCGCCCGACAAATTCACGGTTTGGTTCATATTCTTCCAGGGAAGTAACATAGAGGTGGTGCTCCCTCATGATAGGACCTGATTCGCCAAGGCTTAGTGATAAATCAAGTCCCGATGAGTAAAACAAACTTACGACATTGTGCAGCTATCCTTTCAAGAAAGTCCTGAGCAATCTTTTTATCCGGACCTTCTAAAGGTTTAATAAAGACGATGTTGGGATTTGGCTGCGATTTCTTCTCGTTCAGCCGTTGGTATCCAGCAACCATTTTGCCTTAAAGTTGCGGGCAAGAAAGCGGGCGACTGTTGCTGGATATGCTCAAACTTCTTCAGGCCTTTATCGGTGTGATATCTTGACGATTGTCATGTATGAGACCGATGAGTGAATGACGCAGTTACAAGGATACACGGTTGAAAGACGCGTAAAGGGGGAAAATTGATGCGCGAAGTCATGTGACCGGCTTTTAAGTCCATCGGCTTCGACATGTCTTGAAAGATCCATATCTAGCAAACGTATTGCATAACATGAGGCATTTCTCATTCTCCTATTTTCATCGACAAGATAGGTGCATGTTAGTTTTCTATTTGCAGTGACAATCAATATAGACATCATTTCCTCGGCCCTCTACCACATACGACCAAAGCTCGTAGAGAACACGGGGTCCCGTCCGCTCCCCCATCGTTAAGCTGCGAAGCGCTGGATTAGTAGTTGGGTCGGTGACGACCAGCGAATCCCCGGTGTTGTATGTTTTTGAATTTTTGGTGTTGTTGTTTTTCGTTATGTTTGCAAGTCTATTCGTCTTGCGTGGCTTGTGGGTGGAACTGTGCTGCAACATCACCTACAAAGCATATCTCCGATGGTCATATCAGCCTTGTTATACAGTCTGAAGAACTCAAGGGAGTCTGAAATGTTTTTGTATGTAATATATAAAATCTAACGTTGGTCATGAATGGTCAAAATGCTCGCCCGCTAAATGCTGCCCCTTCTCTAATGAAAGCAATGATACCAAAACGCCGGTCATGATGCGATATAAAATTCCAAATAGCCCCTTAGTCGTGATTCGTAATCCCAGAGCCAGGTCTCTCTTCCACATTGGCGATTGCGCTCTGCAATGCACTCGTTAGATCTACATGGAATAGCGGCTTGTCTAAACCGTGAACCACAGCTCCTCGCCGCCTTTGCTTCTCCAACTCTCCGTATGAGATGGAACCATAAGATTGCACATAATTCAGTCCTCCAATCAAAGGCTCTTCGTCTGTAATGTTGCTGTGATCTGGTGCTAGACCGTGGAAGCCTGTTTCTTGAGCCAGAGCAGCAGCGGAGTCCCTGCCTCCAATTTCTGCTACGCTGAATATCGATTTCCAACGCCGTGGTGATCCATCCTCGTCCGGCATGTACGGGGCTCCAAATCCTGCTGCTACAAGAGCTCTCTTGGTCCATCGGTTGCTGATGCAGGCAAAGTGCCAATCCACTCCATTGGGGGACGCGTATGAGTCCAGCTGGTTGCGTACATCGATCAGCCGCTGCATCGATGTTATGTCAACATTGTTGACAGAGCTAAAGTCCATGATGACTGCTTTTAATGTCGGAAGTCCAGAATCCGAGTCCACATGAACAGGTCGTTTTGCAGATTTCCTTGGTCCAGGGTTGTTCCACGGTCTGTCTCCTGGCTGTTCGAATGCTTCAGGACTGCTGCGTCGAGTATTGGATTGGACGAAGTTGGTGAGATAGTCCAGTGTAGAGTTGGCGTTCGGATAATTAAAGCCCTCGGAGAAGCGGTAGATGAAGATTCCAGGATATGGATGGTCGACTTCAACTTCAGGATTGGAGCCATCGCCATGGCCAAGGGGTAAAAACACATTCCTCGCCGAGGTTTCTGGATTCTCGAATGTTCCATATTCACCGACGACTTTGCGGTGGTCATCAGCGATAACATGGTCGCCAATGACTGAATGGACCTTGACCTTGCCCATAAATCGGCCCTTAGTTTTGAGGATTCGGTAGACAAGCACAGCACCTGAAAGAAGGACAGTAGCATATAGCCCGTTTTCGATCTGTGAAAAGATACTGACGGCCACACCAGTAAAGAAGATAAAAACTTCAACAGGAGAAACTCTCCAGAACTGGTAGATGGTGTTTGGGGGAGTGACGAGGTCTCCAACTGCATGGATGATGACAGCCGCTAGTGCAGCACTTGGGATGTAGAAGAAAACAGCAGTCAGTAGGTATGTCGCAATTAGAACCACCATTCCAGTAATAATTCCCGCAGCAGGCGTTCGTACGCCAGCCTTCGACTGAATGGCAGTTCGGCTGAAGGAGCCTGTCGAAGGGAATGCTCCAAAGAACGGTCCAACAAGGTTGGCCATTCCAATTGCAACCATCTCCTGAGAGGGGTCGATGGTGTAGTTGTTAACACGCCCAAACGACTTGGAGATGGCGATGTGCTCGACGAGCAAAACTATGACGGTGGCAGGGAGATATGGACCAAAGCCTGATATGAGTTCTGGCGTTATCGTGGGTACGCCAATGTTCTGAAATCCTATGACCCTGTTAGCTCGCCAGCCCTATTAGATATGGAGTATTGGGGCATACCTTTCGGAATTACTCCCAGGACCTTGAATAGGGGGTCTTCTCGCCTATGCATGTTGAGGATCCAGCTGATCATCGTGTAGACCAAGATGACAAAGACTGTCCGCATTGTGTTGATGAAGAATAATAGTCTCTTGTGTTTCGGGTAGCGTTCTGCCGCAGCCGCGAAGCTCTGACGAACAAGGTACAAAATTGACAGAGCAGATAATCCGACGATGGCATCATAGCTTGCATCCCCTAGATTCTTGATCGTATTTACAAGAACCTCATATGGCGAATCTCGGTTCGAGAATCCTGACAGACCGAGGAGCGCTGGCAGTTGGCCCACGCAGATAGTAATAGCAGAACCTGTCATGAAAGCTGATAGTGAAGTAATCGAGATGAGGTCGACTATCCACCCGCATCTGAGTAATCCGATAAGAAGAACAATGCATCCTGTCGTAATTGATAAGGCCGATGCAATGACATGAGCAGGTATGTCCCAACCAGAGGCTTGAATGTCGTGAACAACATTACCAACAACGGTAGAAAGTACGGCGACTGGACCTATTGAGATATCCTTGGATGTCCCAAATATCCAATAGATTAAGGCTCCTATAAAAGACGAATAAAGACCAAACTGGGGCTCTAGCTTGGCGAGTATGGCATAAGCCATTCCTTGTGGAACAACAACAGCGCCTATTGTGATACCGGCAACTAAGTCACCTGCAAGCCACTGCAGGTTATAGTGGCTAATCCATGTAGAGAATGGGAATAGTGAAGCTCCGTAGGCGCCAAGTTCTTTCTTGGAAGGGATCTGTTCCTTTAGCCATTCTGTTGATGTGGGTTCGGTCTCGTAGAAAGAGCCACTGCTTTGTATCGAAGTGATAGAGGCGGCGCTTGTTGTGTCACTCTGTAGTCCTTTCTTTTGCTCATCGAGTTTGATGCCCAGGATATTGGCCAGGCCATGGCCTAAGGTGGTTGTTTGGCCCAGCATTATATATGCAGGTTCGTCGATTCTGAACCACTTGCTCCTAGTAGGTGTGTAGGTTGTGGAGCATAAAGATGGTGTAGCTTTCAAGATATATTAGACGGTCCTGGGCTTCGGAACATCGCTCATATATAACGGCCAGTTCTTTTTCTTACTGGCAGGTAGGGTTCCTTGAAGTAACTCGATCACCAGGCCAGATTCAACTAGCTGGATTGGTTTAGGAGCGTGGGTGTATTGGTTGCTAAGTGAGAGAAGCTGGGGTAAAGGGTGGTGTAGAGCTGTTTGTTGGCGTATAGTGAACCAGTAAAGCTGCACTTCCTCGTTGCTGGTTTGCTGTATCAGGTCAGGGCGATGACGAATATCCTGTAGTTAAGACGACATTACACCCGGATTAGTATGTAGTTATATGTGGGATTTAATGAAAAAGAAGAAAGGTAAGATGATATTTTAACAATGCGTTTCAAAGGAGGCTAATAAGAGATATAAGTTCCTGATATGGTAATCCACACAAGAGAAGCAGCAAAGGCACGTTCTGGAAGTGACACGGACTAGACTTGTTATTTGATGATGGAAAATATCAAATAATCTGGAAATCAAGTTTGGCAATCGGTAATCGGCATCAACAAAGCACAGTGTGGAGGGTCAAGCAGGGCTCTCATAGCCTCTGCTAGGAAATATTCCCCATCTTTTTCCTGCTCAAATGACAAAGCCATGCGACGCCTGATCCTGATCAGCTTGCGAATGCTTAGAATGATATAAGAAAATGAGTGGTTTTGGGCCTGGCATGACCGATGTCGCAATCGCCACTTTACCATTCGTGGTAGTAGCGCGAGAGCAGAGCATCAGAGAGGGACGATTAACGAGTGTCTAAGTGTGCCTGTAGACCCCACATGTTGAGTCGGGGTTAAGAATAGAAAGAGGCGAGTCGTAGAATCATTAACTATTATACCTCCTAAGTAAACAAGACCTGACTCTCATGTAGTTTGTGCTATGGGTGTGAGTGTGAATGTGAGTGTGTATCGAATAGCCAGACGAATATGTTCCATTTATCTTGTCTCAGTACTGTTTACCTACTTCGTACGGAGTACTCCTCTGCAGATAGAATATACCTACTTTCCTAACTTCTACATGTCACTTTGCTTGGAACAAATACACCCAATTATCATTCCACCAAGAACAGTATCCGCAGATCTATCCGTAACTACTAAGCTAGATTAACCGACCGTTGTAACGCTTGACGTTGACGTTGGAGTTTCAAAAGTCGGCGGATCGGTCCCAGCCTTCCCCGATCTCAAAATAGCACGCTACCAGGTATATCCGTACCTACATTAACGAAAGCCAACCTCTCAAATTACGTGCATACCATGCCTCACAATTATAAGGAAAGAAAAAACAAGCAAGACATTCGAAGCAAGGGACCAAACACAAAATGGGAGAAATTAAAGATTTAGATTTATAAAAACAAACTTTCTACATATGGCAGAACCTTGCTATACCATCAATCAACAAACATCATTGGGCAATTAAAAAAATCTATCAAATGTTTAATTGATAAACGCGAAACAAACACGATTTCTCTTCATTCTTCATTGTCCCGCCATCCACTTCACGTCCCCCTCCAACTCTTCGATTCAGCCTCTAACCTCCAGCCTCCCACGCTAAACAGGTCAAACATCTTGGCTGCATCACTATCATATGCCAACGGTGTCCCTTTCTTTTTTGTTCATTTTTTGACATTCAATTTTGCTATACAACGTCCATGCCTCCTCTCGTTCCTCAACTTCGATAAACACTCTCTCTAAATCACCAACAAACAATGGAGTCATCGCCCTCCAACTCCAACTCTCCCTTCAAAGCGGCGATCCCCTCGCTCCCCGCCCCTGTTAACACTCAACTCCAAGCCCCGCCATCACCACGCACCCATCGCGCCCTTCGCCGTCTTCAGTCCGCACACACTCTCGGAGCCCGCGCTCGTGAACAAGCCGCCACTCCCTCGCTCATCTCCCAGCAGCGCCAGCGCGACACCCAGCGCAATGCCTCACCTACGAGATCGTCGCCCGTACCCGTACCCGCACCCGTACCTGCACCCGTTGCTTCGAGCTCGACTGTCTCCTCCCAGAGGATCAATCGCTCGCCTCAGCGCGAGCGCGCGCGCGGTCGTGCTAATAGCGATGCTACCCCGCCCCTCGTCCACCAGATGAACGTCGTCACGGCCAGCAAGCGTGCCGGGAGTAAGAAGCCCGTCTTCTCGCATGGCCATCTTCCTCTTCACCAGATTATACGCGAGGGTCCGACCGATGGGGATTTCTTGGGTGCTTTGGAGAGCGCGCGGTGGAAAGTTATCGATGAGGGAGTCAAGAGCGCTGAAGACGGCATGGTAAGACTCAGCAAGACAATCCCTACTCTACTCCCAGCCATACTAATAATAATCCTACACAGTCAACATTGAGAATATACGTCTGGCTTGTCCTCCTTGACGCCCCCATCTTGTCCACCGACGACTACCTCGCCCTCATCCACCGAGGAGCATCCCCCGCCTACTCCAAGATCCGCAACGACACTTTCCGCACCCTAACAACCGACCCCCTCTTCCGTCGACGTGTCAGCGAAGCCAGTCTAATACGGCTACTCAACGCCATTGCATGGAAGCTCCATGACTCCCGCGAGGAACAGCGTCAAAGCCGTCCCACCAGCAGCCGAGCTTCCCTCCCAGGCGACGGTAGCATCTCCGGCCGTTCTCACTCAAACACAAGCATGTCGTCTCCTAATGCTCGCAATCGCGCGCGGGCCTTGACACTCACGACCGAGGGCTCTGAATCAGGCGCGGGCGCCACGACTCTAGAGCCTGGCACGTACGTCCAAGGCATGAATGTTTTGGCCGCGCCGTTTCTCTATGCAGCACGCAGCGAGGCAGAAGCTTTTGTTGCTTTCTTTTCACTATTGACTCGCGAATGTCCGGGATATATCCGCGGTGCTATGGACGGTGTTCACCGAGGTCTCGCCCTGGTGGATAAAGTGCTTGCCATTGTAGATCCTAAGCTGAGCATGTATTTGACTGCCAAGGGACTCTCGGCCGAAATATATGCCTTCCCTTCTGTTTTGACGCTATGCGCCTGTACACCACCTCTTCCCGAGGTTCTACGTTTGTGGGATTTCTTGTTTGCGTATGGACCACATCTGAATATTGTGTGCATTGTCGCCCAACTCACAATCATGCGATCCCAAATTTTGCAGTCGCCCAGGTAAGAATTATCTGAGATTGAAATAGAACTTCAACGATCGCTAACACAAAACCAGCCCCAACAAGGTCTTGAGATCTTTCCCCCAGCTCAATGCCGACCTCGTCAAAACCGTCACCATTGGCATTATCAAGAAAATTCCAGATGATGTTTATGCCGAGATTGTGTCCCACGCTCTCTAGTTGGGATTTGACTCTGTCATCCTTCCATACTTGCTGTGTAACACGAGACGACACAAGGCACAGTATGACTGAGCAGGGGTCTTGGTCGCGGCCTCGACTGACGTGCATACCACCGCGCGAATCGGAACTTTATCTTGAGCCATGTATGTATGCCCTTGCATGCAATGAATGGCTCATGAATTGGAGGGTCACAGCAGAACCCTGATCGCGCCGATTAACATGCGACTCTCGAGCGCGTTACGACTCTTAGAAAAGTTCTTTTGTTTTATGGTTTATGATAATTGATGCGTAATGATTGAAGGAATGCGGTTTTATGTTGACTGATTAATAACGGTTTCAGAGAGCTTGATGGGTTCGGGGTGTTACACTCATGGATGCCCAAGGATGAATGAATGAATATGAGTATACGACTGAGTAATCTATTATCTATTTACATCGAATTTTTAATAATGTTCCAAATTTACTGCTTACTGAATGCATTGCATGTCATGTGTCATGTTTCAACACTTCATCAATCAAACTCAACGCCGGCTTCTATGCATTGCTTTCATCATACGACACGAAGCTTTCAACTTCTGCTGAAAAAGAAGTCGGACGTACAGCTCCTGCCCACTACCATTCACGTCGTCATCATTATCGTGAAAAGACTTCGTCAACGTGAATGCACAACTCAACAGGGCAGCAGTAGACTTATTGCGTTTATCTCCCCTTGTTGCAATCACTTTCGGAAAAGAACGTGAGGGTTGCTGTTGCACCGAGGCACACCAGGTGCTCGGTTAGATAGTGCCGCGTAGGCGGCGCTGCGATCAGCTCTCGCAAAGTAATCATCAGCTCCATACCCGTAGTAACTTATACCAAAAGTAAAGCTCCATCTCAGTCCGCTGTAGGAACGTTGGAGTACGCTGATGAGGTTTAGTTCAAGAACCATAATGTGCGGTTATCCAACTTGTGATATTTCCAAACTCTTAATACGAAGGGCAGCCAGCTTCTGCTCGGTGGAAGGCGTTGGCAAAGAAGGTCTGCATGGCTGAGTAGTGAAACAGAATGCCTCCAAGGACGGCAGCATGCCAGAGGTTGTGGCTTCCACCTACATAGTCAAAGCAGCCAGGGTACCATCTCTCAGGAATCTTGCTGGCGTAGACAACAGCCCCGGTGAGGTAGACAAGCATCGACTTTGAGATCGGTGAGTAGAAATCGTACACGAAGTAAAGTCCGTGTGTAAAGCCAAGCTGAACCATGGGCATGAATCCAGTCAAAGCAAGCCCAACGAAGAAGGCGACACGAGCCCATGCCATATCAGCACCATTAAAGCGAGGATGCCAGGGCAGAATGACGCCCCCGATACCGAGAAAAGCCGTCAGGCCCATATACAGGTATCGACTAATTGGATCGCAGTAAAAGGCGGTATACTCGGTCGTCATGATCGAGGCTGCGATTAGAAGAGAGATGCCGGTATAATCCACACAAGCGAAGATGGAAATAGCATCGACGTCGGCAACAGCGTTCATAGTATGCCAGATTGTTGAGCAAACCAGGGTTAAGCAAGCCATAACGAAGAAGACGCCCGCAACAAATACATCAGTTTTGGTGCTAAGGCTGAAGTTGGCAGTATTTGGATAGAAGTAGAGCGCAATTGCAAGGACCAGGACAAGGCCAAGAGCATGGGACCAAATATTGACCGTCTCATTTGAGACATTGAAGGCCGAGAGTACACACTCCAGTTTGGATTCGGTGAAGCGATAACCCTTATGGATGTGCGGATTGTTGCGCCAGGGGGAAGGTAGGTCGTCATATGAAAGGAGGCGTCCTTCTTTAGCCAGGACGATGGCTTGCTGAATATGTTCCTCCATGGAGAGCGCAGCTTGAATGGCTCGTTCAAAACCCTCGTTTGCGACTCGTCGTCCCTCGTCCATGAATGCCTCAGCAGCGTTCGCAGCATTAGCGAAACCCTGCTCGCGCAACTTGTATGCGCGAGCCTCAAAATCGGAGAGCATGTTCTCAAGGAGATCAACGCCGACATGCGCCTTTTCGTTCAGCGACTCAGCAGCTTCTAGAGTCTCTTTATATCTCGTCTCCAACGTTTCGACCATGATATGTAGACGACGTCGTCCAACACCAAGGACTTCCTCGGAAGCGTGGGAACATCTTGAACGGACGGCTTGGAGAGTAGAAAAGGTGCGAGAAATGCTCGAGTCCTTGCTCAGGTCGACATAATTCTCAATAAAGTCGAGACGGCGCTCGAGTTCTGAGAGGAACAAGTCGACCTTGAGAAGGAGGCCCTCCTCGCCGTCCATGATGTGTCCAACAAGAGATCGTCTCCTGGGGAGGAAGAACGAGTGTCGTCGTCTCCGGGTTTCGGCGCCGGGTCGGAGGTCGGATCCTGAGGTGCTTGCTATGGTGTCGCTGTCCTTGGCCTTGTAGGTACAGGCAGTCGTGATTGCGGTGGTAACGTCTGACATGGTGACGGTTGGTAACTTGAACGGGATCTTGTGTTGTTTAAGTTGTAACTGCGAGGTTGAGCTGGCAAGCGTTGTAACGCTGCAACTATGTGGCGAAGGGTCTAACTCTCTGCATCCGGTGATGCTAACAATCGGTGGGTGTATTGTAAGGCTGTTTCAACTGTGTATACGCAGTGTAACTGAGGTGAGTTTGAAGGGTTTATAGAGACCACGAGCGATGAATGAGGAGAACAATTGGTTATTATTGATCGGTAAGAGAGTCGGGACAAGGTGGGTGTAGCGATGGGTGGGAAACACCCTTGCGGACCGGGCGGGTACAGTAATTGGACGCGGGGAGGACGATTGCCGAGTGTGGTTGGCGGAAATACCTAGTCCTATGCTCGTTTTTATTCTCAGTAGGATAAGGATCTGCGAATAAGCCGGAAGCCAAGGGCTTGGGAATGGAGAAATGATATGATGTTGGGGGAGACTAAAAGATTTTTAATAAGAATAAAAAAGGAGAGCGGGCCTCTCGTGAAGGATTACGGAGTAGAAGAGTAGAAGTTTTTAAGAAAGGATAGACTAGACGATTCAGAAAAGGAAGGAGTGGACAAAGCGAGGGCGCATGATGGTTGAGAGGTTGAGAAATTGGGCCGTCAATTCATAGAAAAAGGGAAGGAACTGGATTGATCCCAGTAGCTGAAATGACGGTACGGGGCCGGTCTTGGCGTTCCTTGTTGGGATAATTAGCGAGCGCCACTGTAAACGACTGCATCCTTTATTGGGCAGCATCATTACAGGGCAAAGAACATGATGAATAACTATGGCAGATGAATATCCATTCCTTTTCATGCCCAAGCCTCCGTAAAGACAGCATTCGTGGCGTTTCAGAGAGGGCTGGAATTCCTCTTCGATAACGGATGACCTCCCATTGCAGACATTTAGCTTCTTGGCGAGACTTTGTATCAACTGATGCTGTTTCGTGACTTGCGCGAAGTAGCTCGGCATCAGCCATCGCCACGGCCCGCTTATGTCGACCTCGACCACGGAATATGCATCCAAAAGGGTGCTTACTCAAGCCAATGGGATACCAAGCTTGGAAATGCCGCCGATGCACGCAGGGCCACTTGCAGTTGGGGGAGATGCGGAGATCCACGTGCGGTTGGTTGGTCATGGTTCCTGGGCTAGCTGCTACAATTATTGAGAAATCATTTGAAGAGTAACAAAGACTATAGGGATCGGATCCTAGACAAGCAACCATAGGCAATTTGCCAGTCATCTTAGAGCTGCGCAAGTAACATGTCCTCGGGCACCTACACTTTCCGTCTGCAATGTCTATCCGATGTTCCCGGGGCCGCAAAGGGGTCGGAGCGGCCTCCTACGTTCTGACATTCATTCAAGATGACCTAGTGGTTGTATCTGACGTCCCAAATATCATCGCTTACACGGTGCGTATCATGTAGTAATTCTCCAGACTCACCGCGTATAAATGTTAGAAAACATAAGTAAGTTTCTTTCATACAAATGCCTTAGTCACAAGAGGATTCGTTACAGGTAACACATTGACAGAAAGATATCCCGTTTCCCATAACCGGGTGACCATTGCGCTTTGTTGTTCAGAGCCCAAACGATGATACGCTTAATTTCCGTATGCTTGAACTAAATACTCGGCATCTGCATTGAGCGACTACGTCACCGACAAAGCGTCATCTATTGCCGGAAGCCAGTGCACCTTGTGACTAGGAAATGCGGGATTGAGTTCACTCTAGCTCAATGCCAGTGTTGCTTTACATGGAGTGTATCGGGCTAGAGTTATAAATCTGGAGAAAGAAACAGTTTAACATAATATGTGAGTGCTTGGGATTCTGTCCAACTATCTGACCAACTCTATTGCGATTATCACTGGATATAGTGCTTGTCATACCCCCTAAATTCCGCAAGAGTTGGAGAATTCTTCACTTCTCTAAGTAATTTCCCGCACCAGTTGAGACATCTGAGAGGATCTTTATACTAAGCCATGAGCAATAAGTGGTAGAGTTCTTATAGCAATTGTGGGATGAGACTATCATACCTACCTACCTAGTCATCAAGTGCTAGTGCTTCAATTAGCTTGTGGGGATGAATGGATATAAACTGCAATCTATCCCTTGGTAGACTCGGGTGCCCAATATAATATCTAGTTACGTTAAAATAAGCATAAGAATAAACCATCCGAGACTAGAAAATTGTATAACAGAAAGAAGAATAGAATAATAAATACAAAACACGTTTACTTATATCTGGTATGCAGTAACTAAGGTTTTTGACCACCAGCCTTGCCAGCTCTCAGCTTTCAGCTACCTACCTAATGACCTGCCCCACCTTCAAATAAATCCCCTTCTGCAGGAACCAACAACCATATTCTGGGATAGAACTCTCAACTCTTCGTCATCATCCTCTCCCACGCATTGAAGCTACAACAACATACACTTCACCATATCGATTATCGCAATCTACAGTTCACACATACAAAAGATGGCGATCGATAAACTCGTCACGGATTCAAGGCTATGCGCTGTCCTGCAGATTTCCGATCAGGCACGCGATCAAGCAAGCGCCCTACTCAACCTCGGCGAGCAATCATACAGCGGAGGTCCTGCGTCGCCCGAGGCGCAAGCTGAAATCGCCAAGCAGCAAAAACTGCTCTTCACCACCGCGGCTCATCTGAAGGGCTTGCACCGCAATGTCTGTTTCTCCGCGCGCGAGACCAAGGCCGAGACTGCCGAGTCGCGTCAAGAAGTCGACCGTCTGCACCTTCAGCTTCAGAACCTATACTACGAGCAACGACATCTTCAAGGGGAGATCACTGCATGTGAATCCTACGAGTAAGCCTTGATACAGTGGCTCTTGCTACTCCCAGATCAACATCGGCAGTCAACTAACACATTGTAGCCACAAGTATCAACAACTACCTCTCATCCCAGTGGAGGAGTTCCTCGCACAACACCCCGAACACCAGGATGACGACGAGAATACCTTGATGGTGGCGCGCATCGATCACGAGCGAGCTGAGCGTGAAGCTCTTGAGCAACAGAGGCAGGAGCTACTTAAGAGAAAACAAAAGCTTATCGCGGATAACAAAAGGCGGAAAGATGATCTGGCCAGTTTGGATAACGATCTCGAGAAGTTTATTGATGTCAGTTTTCCCCGCCTCCAAAGCCCATCAGTCTCGCGTTTTTTGTTTCTTTGTTCTAACCTTCCTCCAGGCTGCCAAACCAATCCAGAAGCTGTTCGAAAAGGCACCTTGATTACCGTATTCAGATTGAAACCACGATCATACGAACCATCGGATCGAAAATTCAGAGTTCGCCAATAGCTTGACTATACGGCGATACTGGATGGGGTGCAACATTGGATATTGGAACTTCAATGCCAACAAATTGACATGATAGCTGAATGATTTATAGCTGGAGTAAGGCGTTTAGGAAGATGGGAAGACTCACAAGGAGGATGCCGTCACACGGAGAGAATGCTGGGAGACTCTCAGAACTTAAGATCCCCCTGAAAAGAGAAACTGGCGAGCGTTTACATGACTTAGGCAGACCTTCACCTACCAGGGACCAGGGTACCTCGAATACTAAATATCCAACGACTCGCACGCCCCGTTTTTAACAAGAAGAATAGAGCCATAAGGTTCGCCGTCAAATTTACAGCGCTCGAAGTTCTTTACGTATCTTCGTCCCGGTTGAGCGCATCCAGGATTCAGTGACAAACACCAACCGATATCCCCATAATTTTAGCTGATGAAGGGCCAGCCTGGAAGCGATACTTGTGCGTAAATCAACAAACACATGTCTTGGGCATCTATTAACCCGATATGCGCCTTAGAACTCATGATCATTTCCACATTACGCTACGGACGAGTTTACAGCTATCCTCGCTACCTCAGCAATGGCGCCCCATGATTGTCGTATTAGAGCGAAAACTCGCAGGGGCGGGTCTCCGAAAATACAAGGGGATCCAATCACTTGCCCCCGTGGGCCAATGATAGCCGTGCAATACCACCAAGCCCACGCCATATGCCGACTAACAAGTTCGTCGGTTGCCAGATGATAACCATGAAATGAACCTCTAGGCTCTGGACTGGACCTCTAGAGCAGACTCGCAAGCTATCCCGAGCCTCTCACCCGTGACAATAATTGACCCATACCGTGGAGGGATCCCCAACCAGTGGTGGCAACGCGTGCTATCATCGATGCTTGCGATTGACGAGAAGTGGCCCAGCTATCATATAAACACCAGGAAAGTGTTGTCACGGACTCACCAGCACTATGGAGTTGATCACAGCCGCATGGACATGGCCTCGAGCCAGTCAGAGTTAGCCGCCCGTCAACGTTGTCAAACAAAGGTCAAAGCTACTGTCTCAGTTTCATTGAGATGGCGAGTATTGCAACAATACCCAGGCTGGTCGCTATCACAGGACGCTTGGGGCCTCGCATCAGTACCACTGGGACTTTCTTCCAGGAGGCATTGTTTCTACATCTTACCAATCATGACTTGTGTGGGCCAGCATCGAAGAAACAAGCACAACATGGACTGAGACAGACCGAAAGAGAATAGGCACATATTACGATCATCAACAGCAGCGTCACATACAGCTATCTTGAACTTCACTACAAGGCCTCAGGTTCTTTTGCTACCAGATGGAAATCCTGGCTCCTTTACGAGTCAAGTGTGTTTTCGGTTATCAAGAGGGACTGCGTATTTTAGTCCCAAGCATTGCAACGTACCATGGCCGACCAGCGGGTGGTAACCATGGAGTCTAAACTTGAGGATTCTACCTAAAAACGAGACTTGTTCTTGCGAAGAGTTGTTATCTTGCCTCGATGTTATGATGCAGTCGAGTTGCACTTCAGATGGTTGAAAAAAGAAACTCCTGTTGGTAAGATCCAAAAAACCTCCCAAAGGATTTGGAACACGTCACAGCTTGCCCTTACTCCATCATGAACTACAAAAGGCTTTGCAAACCATCAAATATAAACAGGGATTCGCTCTAGTAAAATGTCACAAGATGTCGAGGTGCCAGCCTGTACGGGCTTCGTCAAATCATGGGCATTTCCTCGCATGTGAGTGGCCAGAGCTCAACGAGACCAGCTTTGATAAAAATCCAACGTCAAACTCAAGGGTCCATCCGCCATACTTCATCAGTGTAGCAGAAACGGCCCTTGGGAATAATACTACAACTTGTTGAGTTTATTTATTTTCATTGCCTTTTGTTAAATTATGTCGTTCTATGGCAAGATGCTCGATTAGTATGTGGGTGTCTTGATGATATTGTGTTGACAAGCAGGATGGTGGTCGACCAAATATGATCCATCTGCCTTCGCCTTCTAACCCGCCATAGCTATCTTTCAGCAGATGGGGTGTAGATCTTCCATAGCTCGTTATCTCGTTGCCATGGCCGAATCAAATGGGTTATACCATGGTGCGTGCTGTCCGGGTTGGTGACCATACCTTGGGAGTTAAGTGCCATCTACATCGTGTACTTGGCGTGGCCATCTTTTCCATTCCCCACGCCTCTCTCTTCTTTAATCTCCCGAAACTAGCTACTTTTAGTTTACTATGCTTCTTAAACACCTCGTGAGCTTGGATTGAGGGTGGCTGCGTGGTATGGCTTTGCCAATTTGGGTGTCCTTCTTTGATCTTGCACTTACACATGCAACCGCACGTCATCCCGACTTTTATGCCCCTGCTCACATATACTCTTCATCTAATTCACTTTTTTCTTCTCCTGTTCTATCTTTTTGCCTTGCCTTTTGTCTTCTCATCCCTTTTGAGTCAACAACGCCTGGGCTGCTGAAGCTCTCCAGCAGCCTTGTCTCTTCTTCTCATCCACATTTCTAGTTCTAGCTCTCCGAACGACCTTACTTGCGGGTTTCGAGCGTCATGGCCATATTTACCTGGTTTGCGCAACGCGCGGGAGGCTTGAGTTCACTCGCGCTCTTCGCTCTTTGTTACTGGGTCATCTCTCGCGACTCGTCCCCTGAGCAGAATCGATACTCACAAGAACAACCTGGTGACCAAACCTCGTATCATTCTTCTGTGTCAAGTAATGGTGCAGGTTCTTGGACTTACCTCTTCGCCTATTACTGCCTTCTTGTTCATGTCCTGGTCTGCCTCTTTCCGCTCCGAGCATGCTGGACTGTCTGGACTCTCACACAATCGATGAAACGAGCGGCCCAGAGCGATTCGTTGCTTGATCTGAAGAAACTTGCTTCGCGACGTGACTCTTACGCTTCGGCGTCAAGCTCAGACACCCTTATTTCAAGTCAAAACGATACTACTTCATCTACTACCAGTGAAGCTGGCGATTGCGATCCGGACTTCTTCACAGATGGTATACCAGCAGCTTGCGATAATGTAGTCCATGCCATTGTTATTCCCAACTACAAAGAAGAGTCTGATACCCTTCGGGAAACGCTCGATGTGTTGGCATCCCACCCTCAAGCTCATTATTCGTATGATGTAAGTCTCTTGGCTGTCAAAAGCGCATCTTTGATCTCAACTTCAAGGTTGGACTTGCTCATATATATGTTTACTGATATCGTTTGCTAGGTGTATCTGGGAATGGAACAGCGCGAGAGCAACGCCGACACAAAAGCTCTTGGTCTAATGCAAGAATTTGCCAAGAAATTCCGGTCTCTTGATTTCACCCTTCACCCCTCAGATATTCCTAGAGAGTCCGCCGGGAAGGGTAGTAATATCGGATGGGCTGCCCGCAAACTGAGCGAGCAGTATTCAGCAACAGTGAGAAAAAACGTCATAATTACTGGTATTGATGGTATGAATATTCAACAGTTTCAGATATCTTCTCGGTGCTAATCTTTGTTACTCAGCCGATAGCCATCTCTCTTCAAACTACTTTACACTCCTCACGAACATGCATTTGTCCTATTCTGAGACCGCATTGACAACGATTTACTCGGCACCTATAATTTTTGATCGAAACGCACATTCGGTTCCAGCTGTTGTTCGTGTTGCTGACATATTATGGGGTGCTGCTGGCATGTCTGGTCTATATCCCAAATCTTCTATTTCTCCGCCAACTTCTGTCTATTCTCTTCCGCTGGATCTTGTCGATCGAGTTGGTGGCTGGGACTGTGGCAGTGAGGCTATTGGTGAAGATCTTCACATGTACATCAAATGCTTCTTCGCCCTTAATGGTAATTTGACGAGCCGCGTTATCTATAGCCCAGTCAGCCAGAGCAATGTCACGGGTGGTGGTGGTCTCTGGAAGGACGCCCGCGCCCGATACAAGCAGGCTCTTCGTCACATGTGGGGGGCTCTCGACACAGGTTTTGCGCTTCGGAAGCTTGTTCAACTATGGCAGGATCGAAAACAGACTTGTCGATCATATCAGCCTCTCCATTACACCGTCTCAGATGCCAACGATCTCAGCATTCCCGAGGGCTACTCAAGTGACGAGCACAGTGGCCAATCGTACGACAATGGCATCTTTTCAAGCATCCAGCAAGAGAATATCAAGCAACCACACTGGGAGCACATCTTCTACATGATGCATCGCCTTTTTGAAGCCCATTTTCTTCCGGTTCACATGGCTATATTGGTCATCTCATCTGCATTATACGTCAAACTTACAGAAAATAACGAGGACCCACGAGACCTCGGCTGGGTATTCAGCTGGTGTAATTTCCTCCGCATCTACGGTTTCTTTCAGATCGGAGTCTACATGGCTCTCTACGAGGGCTTCCACCAAGCAGGTGTTGCCAGCCGTGAGAGGGAGATGACCAAGGCGGGGCTGGCGGATGGCATGGACTTTTCCAGGCGATCCCTCAAGAACAACTGGCATGACTATCTGGTGATTCCCGTCGTTGCTCCCTTGTACGGTACGATACCCAGCGCTCAGGCTTTGATCAGTCAGCTATGGGGCCAAGATTTGGTTTATACTGTGAGCAAGAAGGCGACGAGGCGACAGATACCGATTGTGAAGGTGGACGATATGGCCTGAGGCTTTACACTACATTATTCATGTCTAAGTTGGAGGAGTATAGGAAGAACCTATTATGACGAGATGGTAATCAGGGATAATTTTATGATAGAGATCTAGGAGAGGTCTAATAATGTTTTGGCTGTCATAAGAGAACAAGACGCATACATGAAATGCGGAGCTGTGTGTCACGGAAGGCAATTGAGCTTTTATCAAATTAATCATGAAGCGTCAAGATATTTAATATACATAATATGGATCAGTCAAAAGTGTGACATAAAGAGACCTGATACTACCTACCTCAGGTTACAGTCGAGATTGAACACTCACAAAGACTTAAAATAGCACTTGTAATAAGACCATTGTGCACTAGTGATCAAGGATATTGATACCATTCTTCTTTCTCTTCGGTGAATTTCGACGAATAACAAGAACGCTGCAGCATTTATTCTAATATCAATGTGTTTTCACTGGTTTCCACAAGGCTCGATGCCGAGCGCTTTGAACAATCGGACAAGGTGGGGTCTTCCGGCGCCGAAGCGCTTCGGATGTTAAAGTCGGACGAACCAATAAGAGGATGGTAAAGCGACGGATTCAGCATTTCAAGATAATATGTTCAACCGCGGAGACTTATCATCTGGCCTTTAATTCCTGGCCCCGGCGGACCTCGTGTCGGGGAGTTCGGAGATGTACATGTATTGTAGTATTTAAGATAGTGTCCTGCAATCAAGAACGTATGGTTTGTTATTCAGGTCGTTCGTTCTTTTTCTCTTTCAGTTACATTTATAGTTACAGTTACAATTATGGCTAAGCAACTACGTGTTGGGGTTTTCATGCCCTCGAGCGTACAACTTCTAGATCTCGCAACCGTCGATGTTCTCGCCTCCATGTCCAAGGAATACCTTGGTCTCCTCCCTCTCCCTGCACACATAAGTCAGATGGCACCCAGCACAAAGATAACCTACATCACATCGCCAAAGCTCTTCCCACACGTTGACTTGACAGCCGATCTCTCTGTTCGCGCAACTCACACTTATGAAGATGACGATGTTGCGCCAGGAAAGCTGAACATCGTCGTTGTGCCTGGTACAGAGCCATCGGAAACCTTTGAAGAGGCTGAGCTGGAATGGCTCAAGGGCCATTTCAATACTAAAGGCGTCGATGTGCTGTGTGTTTGTACGGGGGTTTATCTATGTGGTGAAGCAGGCATTCTCAACGGGAGAAGTGTAAGTGGACCTAGAGGACTACAAGATGATCTGGTCAAGAAGTATCCAGACGTCAAGTTCGTAGGCGAAGAATACCGGTGGGTTCAAGACGGTAATCTCTGGTCAAGCGGTATGTATCTCTTTACTAGGTTGTGTTTATTATTGTCACTAACAAGATAATTAGGTGGAATAACCAATGGGAATGATCTCATGGTTGCATATGCCCACGCCAACTCCCAGTATTGGCCTAAACCAGTTGCTAAGATGGGCGCAATGCTGGTGGACGTAGGCGATCGACCCCAAATTTATGGGCAGGGCCAGCGCAAATTCTTCTTGACAATGGCCTGGCAGATTATTCAAGCTTGGTTCTTAAGTTTGGTGTCTCGGTCGAAGAAGGACTAAGTTTAGTAGTTGGGAGGCAAAGTGAAAGCAGCTACCCTGTGGTCGCCCATAATTATTCAGCTTTATGTCGTCATATCCTCAACAGATTTTATATGTGGTTCTCATAACATGGGATTATCAAGAAATTTCAGTCATACTGGCCATTGGATCATATGCTTTTGATACTGGAGGGTTATATGACTATCTGTGTGAGGAGCCACGTTGCGTCTGCTGTTTTTGTAATCAGGTGAAAGGTCACTTTATCTTCATCCAGACTCAATCATGTGACAAGATGAACAGAAACAAACAACTCGTGATTGGATATGCGCTGCTTGAAACAGAGAATTAAAGAAAAGAGAGGAATCATACAACCGAGCGCCAACGAGCTTATACAGTCCCAATCATTATTATCTGCTCGTCTGTTACTCCAACCCTCGGTTCAACTTGTCAAACTCGGCCTGTGCTTGACTCGTTGTACAAAAAAGTTTACCGTCTCTTTCTAGGCGGCTCTGTTCACTTTGACAGTGGAGTAGCAACTGGAGTTTATGGCGGGAAAATCTGCACCAAAGCGGAGAACCTTTTCTGTTGCTGCGACAGCGACCGCCCCGTTCAGATAACGTTTCTTATCGCCGTCTCTCATTGGTGGCGCTCTTGCTAAGCGGTGGGGACGTCTGTCGAGCCCCGAAAAAAATTTCGAAGCTCTGGAGGATGCTTCTTGGTTCTTAGTTTTCTTCTTCGCAGTCAACGAGAGTCTGATCAAAACCTCACTCCAACACCATTTCTACACCTCTCTCACATCTCTCTGCTTCTCTCGTCTCCCACCTTTATTCTATCTAAATACCCTTTTCTTTTCAACGTAAACGCAATCACAAATCCATCACAATGTCTGCTGTTCCTGGTCCCGTTTACGGCCTCGAGGTCCCTCCTGGAGAGATCTTGATTCCTGCCGCCATGGAGTTCCCTGCTTCTGTAAGTTCATCCCTCGTGCCTCAAAAGCACTGCAAATGCGATGCGATGCATTGCATTGTACCAACTCGCTTGTCGCCGTCAGCGCATCAATTGCGACCGTGCTGTCCAAACTTGAGTACAAAGTTCTAACCGTGAACTCAAACAGTTCCGCATCACCATGGCTGCCGTGGACCCTACAGAAGAGGCTGAGGCCGATGACGAGGGTAACGTGCCTGCTGTCGCTCGATCCACCCTTCGCCTTGTCAAGCGTGCCTTCCCCGGCCTCGAGGAGGACGACGAGGAGGATGAGATCGACGAGGAGTACATGAAGGCTCTGCTTGCTGGTTCTGATGACGAGGAGGACTCCGATGAGGAGGCCAACGGTGGCCCTAGTGACCCTGTTAAGGCCAAGAAGCAAAGACAGGCTGCTGCTATCAAGAAGCTCCTCGAGTCCGCTGCCCAGGAGGAGTCCGACGAGGAGATGGAGGACGCTAAGCCCAATGGCAAGGCCAAGGCCAAGGGTAAGGCCAAGGCTACCCAGGACGATGATGATGAGGAAGATGACGAGGAGGACTCTGATGATGACAGCGAGGAGGGCGGTGATCTCGAGAACTTTGTCATCTGCACTCTTGACACTGAGAAGGTAAGTTATGGTGTCGTTTGCTTCCAGTACAGCTAGCTAACTTTGATTCAAGAACTACCAGCAGCCTCTCGACATCACTGTCAACCATGGCGAGCAGGTCTTCTTCGTTGTTACCGGTACTCACACCATCTACCTCACCGGAAACTACATCATGGACGATGATGAGGATGACGAGGACGACGAGGATGATGACGAATACGATCTCTCCCCCGATGAGCTTGAGTACGCCCTCGAGGGCGAGGACAGCGACGCCAGCGACGAACTCGATGGTGTCTCAGACCCCCGCATTGAGGAGCTCGAGGACGACGAGGAAGAGGCCCCCAAGCTTGTTGCCGCCTCCAAGGGCAAGAACAAGCGCGCCGCTGATGAGGCCACCGAGGGTCTTGACGAGCTCATCTCCAAGGATGATGCTAAGCTGTCCAAGAAGCAGCAGAAGAAGCTCAAGAACAACAAGGGCGAGGCTGTTGCCGCTGAGGAGAAGAAGGACGCTAAGAAGGTTCAGTTCGCCAAGAACCTTGAGCAGGGCCCTACCGGATCTACCACCGAAAAGGCTAAGCAGCCCAAGGCTGCCACTGGTGTCAAGGTCGTTCAGGGTGTCACCATTGACGACCGAACTGTCGGTAACGGCCGCACTGTCAAGAACGGCGACACTGTCGGTGTCCGATACATTGGCAAGCTCCAGAACGGAAAGCAGTTCGATGGTTAGTGACTTGCTGTTTCTTCTTGCCTTGAAATTTACTGACATAATCACAGCCAACAAGAAGGGTAAGCCTTTCTCCTTCAAGGCCGGTAAGGGACAAGTCATCAAGGGCTGGGACATCGGTGTCGTTGGCATGGCCATCGGTGGCGAGCGTCGCCTCACCATCCCCGCCAGCCTTGCCTACGGCTCCCGTGGCCTCCCTGGCATCCCCGCCAACAGCACATTGATCTTCGATGTCAAGCTCCTTGAGATCAAGTGAGCGTAGCACCTGCTTTCATTCACTCGAACCCGACTCGACTCGCCACCAGCCTCTTGTAATAATACCCCCTAAGGAGCGGTGGCAGAGTTTGGCGGCAAATTGATGACGTGAAGACGCCTTACCTTTCCAGGCCTCTATATATATATCGTCTGCTGCTTGGTTGGTGTTGGTGTTGTGCTGCATGCAAGGATTAGGAGCCTCAGACCTGTGCCTCCTGCTAAGAGCCGATGATGTATAGAACAGAACAGACATGAGGAGAGCAGTTTGAACGGGAACTAGGGATGATGGGGCGAAGACCGTCCCTCGTTGCATGGACATGAAATTGGCGTACGATAAAAAGGGTTATGGTTTTGTTTTGCTATTGACTGCGGGATATTTCTCCCTGCACTTGAAAGGATATTGTAAAGTTGAGCAGATAAAATACTATCACTTTCCTCTTTTAACTCACCTGGACTCTGCCTCGATCCTTCTTTAGTGAAAGTGTCAGTCCCCCACTGTCCCCCCTTGGTTTGAAGTTGAGGAAGGAACTCGCAATAACGTTCGCGTAAGCCTCTTGTAGATTTGATCAACCATTTCTCTTCCTATTATCCTTCTAATTCAACTTCGGTAATGACAAACCGTTGTGAAAACACGGCTCAAGTGTCGCTCTCTTCACATTACGGCCGTTGCATCATTCTATTACTTAACTACTATTTGCTTTTATGGAATATCGATGCAGCAATAACTCCTCTTTTATCACTTACCTCTCAGCATCATGGCACCGGCCCTTCTGAAGAAGGCCAGCCAGCACTTCATTCGCCTTTCATCATGCGACTCAAAGAACGCATTTATAACGCCTGATGGACCCGAAGGAGTTGGTGCAGATAGCTTGGACGAACAACATGCGCGGAAGACTGGTAACGGTAGTTCCAAGAAATGGAAACCTTTCCGCGCTGCCTTCAACAGAGGGAAGAATACACGCAGTGGTGAGTACTACTAATCAATGGGTTCCGTGGCCACCAGGCTTACTTCTAGTAGGCGCTGAGTCGGGTAAAGATACGAACACACTTCCTGAAGAGCGAGTCAAGACTCGTTTACTGAACAGATATGGACCACGGCGTGAAGGTGTAACAAGAAGTGCACATACCAAAGACTTCATTGGAAAGCTTCGGCTCAACCCCATAGCTATGTCATCCAATTCGACACTGCTAATTCGAACTTCTCCAAGGAGGTTAAGCAGCTCACTGCAGCTGCTGAAACATCCTCAGCTGAACGAATCGGACACTCCACCTTCTTCCGAAGTAACTGGTTCGCCTTCGCAGACTGGGGAAGAGTCGACAGAGAAGACATCGCTCGAATCATCGCCTTCACAGAAAAACACGGAAGCGGCGGAGAGACGATATAATAGGCGAAACCCATGGACACGCTCAAGTCCCGAAGGTCGCGCACTCAGCACTATCCCCGAAGCCGGTGTGATTCAAGCTCGACCAACTGTTGCAACTGTAGAGAGGGCCGCTGCTGCCAAAATCTTCCTCGAGACTTACTTCAACGAGCTGCTCTACAAACCTGATGCGCGAACCTTGCGAAGCCAATGTCTCGAAGCTCAGTTGTGCAACTGCTTGCTGATATCATCAGATGAGAAGGAGAGAATCCGAATACAGTACAGAAGTCAGGAAACGTGTCACTTAAGAGAGTTACGAGCAATGAAAGCCAACTCTCTGTATCGGCAAGGAAGGAAGGAATCTAGCATGTCGGTCAACAATTACGAGCCGCTGCAAATCCTTGGCAAAGGGAGTTTTGGAGTGGTCAGACTGGTGCGCGAAAAACCTGCTCAAGGACATGCTTTCCCAAGGCAAGTCTATGCCATGAAGGTCATTCGAAAGTCAGAAATGATTCGAAACAGTCAAGAGGGCCACCTGCGGGCTGAAAGAGACTTTCTCGTCGCTTCTGAAGGGTCACAATGGTTCGTACAATGCAAGCTTGGACTACAAGATGGCCAACTAACTCATCTTTACAGGGCCGTTCCCTTGATCGCGAGCTTCCAAGATCCAGCAAATCTTTATCTGGTAATAGAGTATATGCCAGGTGGCGATTTTCTTGGGTTGCTGATTCGACAAAATATCCTACAAGAGCCTATTGCGCAGTTCTATATTGCGGAGATGATACTTGCTGTGGAAGAGGCCCATCGCCTGAACTTCATTCACCGCGACATCAAGCCAGACAACTTTCTCATATCTGGGACGGGGCATCTAAAGATCTCTGACTTTGGACTAGCATTCGATGATCACTGGTCTCACGATGCAGCTTATTACAACACTCACCGATATTCCTTGGTTCACAGGCTAGGCATCAGCATCACCGGTGATGAGGCGGATCAAAAAAGCAGTAAAAATATCTTGAAGCAACTTGAGTTGTACCGAAGCCTTGTTTCTGGGCTTGATAGACACGGAAAGTATCCGTTGGAAAGAAATGAGGATTTACGAAACCTAATCGGATGGAGGAACCAACACGGGGCTCGCACTGCTGCCAGATCTATGGTTGGAACCAGCCAGTACATGGCCCCAGAAGTCGTCCAGGGCCATGATTATGATGGAAGATGTGACTAGTAGAGCATTGGCATCATTCTGTACGAGTGTCTTTATGGGCAGACCCCTTTTCTGTCCGAAGACGGACGGAAGCAGACAAAACAAAATATCCTCGTAAGTACACTCCACTCTGTTGTTTACAGTCAAAACTGACGAGCATTACAGAAATTCAAGAGCAACTTTGCATTCCCACTCAGACCTTATGTCAGCGACAAGTGTAAAGACCTCATCTGCCGCTTGATCCAGGATAAAGACATTCGGCTGTGTTCAAGAAAGTACCAGATGAAGTACCGTGGCCCGTTTGATGGTCCACGAACGACATACTACTCCGGTCGATATGTCTTTCCCGATGATGCGGAGGATATTAAAGCACATAGATGGTTCAAGAACACGCCCTGGGATCGCTTGCAGTCTATGCCGCCACCGTTTACTCCGAATTTGAAGAGCGATGACGATGCACACTACTTTGACGAGTCCGAACCTTTGGAGGAATGGTCAGAGTCAATTCCTTCAAATGTGTTCCTCAATTCGGAGGACGTGGGAGAGTTGCTTTTTGGGTTTGACGCCCACGTGCAACAGAAGGCCATGGAACTCATCAAGACCCCGTTCGATGCGGCCAAACTCCGAAGTATCGACCGCGATCTTGATGCATCAAAAGAGTTTCAGCCCACTGAAAAGGCGACGTTGAAGCAATTTGTCAGATTCTACGGACACAAGGAGCGTAAACGGCCACGAGACATGCTGCTTCGGGATAGGAATACGAAGAAGACTTCGTTGAGAATACGAAAAGAGACTGCTTTCATGGGATATACATGGCGTCGAATGAGGCCGGGTGGCTATGTCGAACAGAGAACACAAGGAATGCCCGTGGTGGGTGAAGGCCAAGATTTGGCATAACCTGTTTTGAAGGTTAATAGAGAGGGTGATAGAAGGAGTCGGGAGCGGAAGGTATCATGAACCCTCCAAAATTGTTAAAAGTATTATTATGAATAGACATTAAGCATTAGGCCCTATTGTTGGCAGTTGTACGTTTATCCTGAATCCTCGTTTCGTCATTCTAGCCTTATACAGAAACGTCAAGTCATGAACATAATCTTTGGTGTGTATTCCCTTCATGTAGATTTTGATCGTTGTCCAGAACTCTCATATGTCTCGGACGCTGTCAACGCCATCCGGTCACCAGATGCCACAGCCTTGGCATTTCGGATTTCCCATTCGAACTCTTTGAGGCCCTTTATCTCCCATGAAAAGAAGAGCAGAGAGAGGAGGCCGTCGATAACACCGGCAACTAAGCTCAAACTGCTGACCAGCATGAGAATAAATGCGACGTAGTTTTCAGGACTGAACCATACAGCCACTAGACAGGCGAGCCAGACGAACAGCGCGAGAAAGAAATGCACACCACGCCAATGGCGTTGACGCACTTCACGTGCATGATACTTTTGAATCATGCCAATGATCTCATCGTAGGTGGATGGAGCGAAATCGTTACTGCGAGAACGGCCGCGCTTGAGCTGAGTATCCGGGTTGGCTGTTTGAGCTACATCACCTGAATGGATGCTGCTAGCTGGGCTGCTGGCGGCCAAGTATGCGCCGGTCTGAAGGGCAGCAGAAGGGGTCTCGGATCGCGGGTCAGGAGGATTGACCGCTGGAGAAGGAGTGTGTCGAGTAAGTGTAGCCTGGACAGCGAAATGATCCGAGAGCGAACAAAGGAGGTCCGGATGGCGCTCAGTCATGGCGACATGGGCAGACTTAACAACCCAACCAGGGGTTGTGGCCGGAGCATCAGGGTCTACACCTGTCGAGGTAAAGATGTAATCAAGGCGTTGGCCACGGGAATCTATGGTATCGGGTGGAACTTCACAAACATCACCCCCCTTGAGGCGGTTCTTCTGGTTCTTGTTCCAGCGCCAGGTGTTGTAGACAGAATTACTGGTTGCACCGTTCTCGAGAAGATTGAAGTCGGCGGTGGGTAACGGACGGTGTCGTTCCTCTTCAGATGGATGGTAGGCAGGTCCAAGAGAGCTATCAGGATGCAGTATGCGCCAGACGTCACGAACTGGCGCGTGTGCTGTGATGACACGGTGAAACAAGGATAACGGGAGCATATTGAAATCGCCCATACCGACCACAAGATGTCCACGTTCGGCGGCGCCGCGCAGAAGTTTCGACATTTCCCATGATTGCGCAACTCGATGGCAGTCATAAGTACTCACAGGGTCAGGCTCATAGGGCGAATGAGTCTGGGATGGGAGTTAGTTATGGACCTAGGGAAGTTTTTGCAAGGGGTGGACTTACATGAGTATTGAAAACCTCAACAATATCCTTTCTCCTTGGTCCAAAACGAATCTTTGCACATGCAACACCCTTGCCCACATACCAGTCTCCTCTCCAAAAGGCGGTGGGTCGTCCATTAAGAGGATACTTGAACATGGTACTCTCCTCAATGGGCCAGCAACTCAAGATAGCCAGGCCACCACCGAAAGCGCCACTGTAGTAGAACTTGCCATAGGGAAGAATCTGACGGGTATGGTGACGAATGGCTTCGTAGTCCTCCTGAGTGAAACATTCCTGTAGTGAGACGATATGCGGTGTAGGAACAGCGTGTGCGATTCTATGACCGATCTCGTCGAGTCGCGCAACCCGTTGAGTAGAGATGTAGCGGAGTCCCCAGCAGTTGAGCGTCAGGAGGTTGATCTCAGAAGGCAATCTTTGAGGCTCATGGCGATGGTTGACGACAATGGTCGTGGGCTTCGTGACATGCTCGGGGTCGTCACTGGCCATGACCATGGCGCCTGTGGAGTATGCGGAGGTAATGGTGAAAGACGTGTGGTTCGCGTATGTTATAAACAGTAAGGATAAGGATGAGGCCGAGAGAAGAGAGACCAGGCTATGTAGCAGTTTCGATTCGATGTAACAACAGAACTCTTTTTTTTGAAATTTACGGAGAGCGGGAAGATTGGGAACGTGTGGCGCGACGCCTCGGCTGATGATATTAGTTAATTACGATGATAGCACTGGCCAGGTGTTCCCGTCATTAGTGGTGAAAGCTAGTAGGCGTCACAAAAGATTAGTGCCTGTCCTAGCCACGACAGACAATTATTTACAATTCAGATTCAAAAGAGTGAACAAGATGTGTAAAAAGGAAGATAAGAGTGATGGAAAACACGCGACGCGCGGGGAGTTAATCTGGTAAATTACAGCAAAAAAAGAAGGTACAATTCAACCAATGCCATGTCAGCTTACCTCCTTCTCTTTTGGGGTGAGGTCGGTCGGTAGTTGTGGTGGACACCGGACCTTCCGTTCCATAATTGACCTGAAAATGGTCCGGTAGCGGTGGGGCTGATTACTGAAAGTGCCGGCCTTGATCGTAGGCCATTTCAAGGCTGTCGACTTGATACCTACTCTATTATATGATGATGGATATCCATTGAACCTATGTACAGAGTATAGATTGGTATACATACCATGTCATCCGGTCCTTGATACCAGAACCCTGCAGCTTCATTCAAGCTCCATTTCATAAAACCAGATAAATATCACTAACTAATTGAAGCAATGCCTAAGTACCTACTCCTTAGCTATCTGTAGATTAACCCAAAACCCAATTTACAGCAATACATTGATAGACCCTAACATAGAAGCTTCCAGGAGCTCTCTCAATGGCACCTTCAGGCCATATAAGTCGCCGCCACATTTGGAGCATCATAATTGGCAGATCCAACGATACTTACCCCTCATCGGATACCGAAACACATCGTCATTCTTTGGTATCTTGTAGAAACATCTCGTAAAGTTTGGCCACGTGAAGAAACACTCCATCATTTCGTAATCATCAAGATATATGTCGCTTCTCCAATGCTCATATCATCCTCATGACTCGCTACAACTCACAAATAAAATACGTGCATATTCATATTCATATTCATATACATATACATCATGTCGGTAGTTTTTGAATCACTTCTCATCAAGTTCAAACCCATCCTTGTTGAACACCCCGAATCCCCGCCGGCCTCATTCTCATCAGTGACCAATCACCTCAAGTCGATTCCCGGCGTCGAGTCTGTCTATCTCGGCCGCCCTCTTGAGAAGCCCGACTACTGGGTCTTGGGCATCCGCTGGAATTCGCGCCCTGCATATGACACCTTCGTCTCCGGCGATGCAGCTACTGAATGGAACGCCTCCTTGCGTGCGCTCTTGACTGAGCATCCCATCACCAGTCCGACTGCAGAGTACACGGGCCGGGCCGAGCTCGCCCTGCATGCCCCCGTGACAGAGTTCTGTACCTGCTGGGGCGCTGATGATACTTTCACCGAGGATAACATGAAGCCATTCGCTGTAGCCTGCGAGGAAGGCGGGCTGGCTGGGTTCCACGGATTGGCTTATGGAGAGTTTGTTCAAGGAGAGCATCAAGACCCTTCAGTCATCCCAGGTCGTGCATCAAGGCTGTTGCTAGGCTGGGATAGCAAAGACGCTCATATGCAGCACAAGGACAGTGGAAGTGGTAAGTACTGGGCTCAGGTTCAGAAGCCGAACACATTCAGTTGCTAATATTGCAGTAATCGATGATAACGTGAACTACCTCCTTGCTCGGAACAAGGGTCTAGAGATAGTAAGAGACCTTGCTTGACATTCCTTGGCAGATTCGATAACTAACACTGTGTTTAGTACCATGTTCCTCTCACAAAGCTCTAGTTAGAAGTACTTCAATCTACCAATTAACAAAGCTCTAGTTAGAAGTACTTCAATCACCAAGTTATACCTTCATTTCGGATACATACTAGAATCTCCTTTGAATTAAGTGAACAACAAAATAATACTGAGTCAATGCGCCGTTGAAAATCAAGTACCTCGGGGAGCCGCCACTTGCCAAGAACAGCGAAGCTCTCACTCCCTACCAAACAGCCTGTCTTGTTTCCCTGTTCATCCCGATGAAATGCGAACCCATCCTTTGACACCATTTCTATGCCTTTCAATCATTCGGCGACTTGTCTCACCCTAACTTTGAAACTATGACCCGAGCAGGGGACAGAATCACCATTTGATCGTGGCCAAGTTCCTCAAATTCATCGTTGTAATAGGTTGGCTCTTCTAGATCACCCTCCCCTGCCAAGTCCAAACAGATTGCATCCCTCCTTTTAGCTTCTTAATAACCTTGTCAACAACACCGTGTTGGTTGTAATCCGTAACTCGCTCGAAGATTGTCGCATTCATATCGAAAGGTTAAACACGGTGCTTTTCGGACTCTGTTTGAAATTGCCATGGTTAGAAATTTAGTTGCTGACGGATTTGTTTTGGACCTCACCAAGTCGAGAGTAGAGCATGTATAGTGCCATGCGATTGCACTCCTCCGTTCCTGTGATTGTCACTAGGCGCTCATTGCTGTTGTCCTGAGGCTCGTTAATTTTAATCACGCTGTTGCTCATTTGCCGTATCTCGTTGATCTTCTGTCCACCCTTGCCGATGATGGCGCCGACCATATCGTTGGGGATGTAAATCTGCTGTGTGATTGGTCCACCAGGGATTGCGCCGCCCATAGGCTGAGCCTGGGGAGCACCGCCATGCTGTGGAGGACCGGCGTGAGGCGCCATGTGCGGCTGGGCGTGAGGAGCCGCCCCGTAAGCACCTCCTCCTTGCGCACCACCATAGTGCATAGGCATGGCAGGGTTAGCCTGAGCAGCAGCATGAGGAGGGTATTGCTGAGGGTAGGGCGCGGGTGGCATGTGGTGAGATCGACGATCGTTGTGACGGCCATAGTTCTCGCTTCGCCCGTAGTGACCTGAGGCAGGCTGGGGTGAGTATGGGACAACTTGCATGCCTCCCGGGATCGATCCAGCAGGCGCGCCACTTCGGGTGGCATAGGCGGACGCAGCAGGACCTCCGAATCTATCGTTTAGCTGCTCAAGGAGGGTGCTACCAACATAGTATGTCGCAATGTGGACAGCATCGGCGACACCCATTACGACGAGCGATCGCTCGCCGGACATGGGCAAGCAAGAATCAGATGCGTTCAGTCGGGCGCCAGATGCTTCCTGAATCTCACGAATACGAGCACCACCCTTACCAATGATGGAACCAATCAGGACATGGGGAATCAGCAGTCGTAAAGGGTATGTCTTTGAAGAAGCTGTTGAAGGCTCATTAAGGGGTTCGTTGTTCAATGTACGGATGATCAAACCAAAAGCCTGCTCCACGTTAACTCGGGGATCATTAGATCTGGGGAGGGCCACTGTACCTTAGCCACAGCGTCTACTATCCCGCTGACAGTAAGGATGCGCTCGACGGCTCCTTTTTGATAGTCGCTGACAGTGCACTTGGCATTGGAAAGCTTCCGGATGTTTGATACGTTCTCGCCTCCCTTTCCGATGACTGTAGCTGCCTCAGGACTAGAAATGACAGCACGAATATGGATCCAGGACGTCTCGTCATGGGCGGCCGCCGAAGTCACAGCGTTGGAAGAAGAGGCAGCGACCGTGGCAGCAGCCGCAGCCTTAATGTCGGATACTTGATCCGTTGTGGTGTCTTCACCATCCTCGGATTTAGCGGCGCCGTTGACCTTGTCGTCGGTATCGTCTGCAGGAACCTCGACGGGGGCTTCAGGGACTTCGATATCGACATCGTCGTCGTGCTTGATCTTGTCGAGAGCGGGTCGCTTTGCGTCAGGCTGATCACCTGCGCGCGAGGGCGACGAGGCTTCTTCCAAAGGGCGCTTGGCCGATTGGGTTGGCTGGGTTGGAGAGGCAGACATGTTTGTTGATAGTAATTGGTATGTTCACGCGAATTTTAACAGTCGACAATTTGAAACGTCTCGTTCTTTTTATTGTTCGTCTTATATACACTCAGGGGTTTTCGAAGGAAAACGTGCTGGTGTAGTGACTTTCGCTGGATGCGCGCTTCGGTGAAATATTCGTGAAGTGACTGGTGTCGCGCAAGGACGGTGCGTGTTGCGGGCTGGGTGGAAGGACAAGGAATTCGAGTCTCGGGCTCAAGGGCGAATTCCAGAACTCTTTCAGCGGGCTTCGGATAGGTGCCTAGAAGATCTCCTAGGTTCTGGGCTGGATAGAGGAAGGGCGGAGATGAAGATGTTGAATGGTTGTGAGGAGAGGTGAAGCGATCGATACTGGGACGGACGTCTTAAAAAGCAAAAAGAGGCAGTGCTCAGCTCAAACCTTCTGACCGTGGACTCGAGGTTTATCGATCGCAGTATTTCCGTAATCCCAACAACGAGTGCGGAACCCTGTCGCGAAGCGTCGAAGGATGAGAAGTAAGTACTTTCGATGAATCGGCGCGCGGTATTTTAGAACGTTCGCTGTCGCAATGGATCTAGGCGGCAATACCAATCCAAGGTGGTGAGGAATCAAAGGAAGAAAGAAAAGTCTCACTCTAAAAAAACGACTACGAGTAATCGCTGAGAATAGAGGAGATGAGAAATCTCAGAAGAACAATGAGGTAAAAGGGGAGGGAGAGAATATGACACGACAAAAGGTCGATCTTTGGGGTGAGGAGATTGGGAGAAAGCGGGAGAAGCAGCCCTGCGAGGATCCAGATGGAGAAAGCTGAGCAAGGTCACGTGCAACGTCCGATTGCGTGAAGCTTGGGCCCTCGGGGAGCTTGGGAAGGCGCACTCCACCACACCAGGGGGAGCTCCAGGCTGCTGAAAAGGGCAGTCGCGACGGGGTACAAGTGAAGAGAGTTTCTGAGAAAACCAACCGCATTAGATGAAGGCCTTAAAATTTACCTGTCCGACTCATAAGCATTGACTTGATAAAACTGCCTACTATGTAACTCTATGTCAAAATCTTGAGTAAAATCTGCCTTTATGAGCTATTGATGGATGTCGAGGTGCCCCTCCGGGGGACATAAGAAATGACGGTTTGAGGGCTTTTCTTCCTATCTAAAAGATAACTATAATTAATTAAATGAAATCTATAATAAGTAGTATTAAATAGAGCTTTCTTTCTAGTTTATAATAATATATATTATATAGTTTTTATTACATTTTTATAGAGAAAACTATACTTAAAACTCAAGTATATAAAATAAAAACTGAAAACTTAAAAATAAAAAGTTTAAACATTAAAAAATTTAACAAACTTTATTTAACTTGTCGATTATATACTCTCTCTATTAAATAATATTACAAAATTTAGCTAAACTTAATAGCTATTTTATTTATTTTATAATAAATTTCTTAAATAGTAGCGATTTTAGTAAGAAACCGGGGGTACCGTCATTTCTTTGTCCCCCACTAGGTGCCAACAATAAGTGGGAACTCTAACTCGCATCGCTTGTACCGAAGATTTGAAACGCGCTGACAGTAGCTCGACTCTTTTCTCATTGGTTCAACTTACATGCGTATGGTTTCCATCCAAACACGCCAACTTGGACGAGCAAACTGACTACCTTTCACGACTTATTTACTGGTAATTCTCAACAGTGTCGAGTTTTATCGCCATGGAGGATAGCTCACAACGTATGGAGGCACAGGCATACACAGCCGGCCTCGATCAAACGTTGCAGGAACTTCAACAGAAAGTCCGCCAACATGAAGCCGAACTGGAAAAGGTATACAGTACTCCAAATCCAAATACTGGTGCCATAATAACTGGAAACAGCTTCGTTCAGAACAAGATCAGGCCCAGCTTCCAGAGTCAGTAGCGGGGAGAGCGCGAGTCATCGAAGCAGCCCTCAAAGAGGTGACAGAGTCAGATCCTTTTCTACCAAACCCTGGATCTCTTCTACCAGCGTTGCTAGCTCTGCGCAAGACTCATCAAATAATCCAAGAGTCCAATACTTACCTTACTTCTCAACGTGAGAGCCATGATAAGCTGTCGCGTCGGCTTGAAGCGGATGAAGCAGACCTCAAAGACCAGAATCTCCTTGGCGATGCTCTCGCCGCGCGCATACAGTCACTACGCGATGAAGTAGACGCGAGCACTCACGTCACACCAGAGGAAGGTGCAAAGGAACGATTGCAAGAGCTCAGGGCTAAGAAGACTGGCTACGACAAAGAGACTTCCAAGCTCATGAAGGTCCTCCTTCGGTTTATTGACAACCACTTAGCGCCAATGCTTGCGGCAGAGGAACTAGGCGGGCCAGTCGTTGGCGACCTCATAGATGTCGACGGTGAGGATCTGGCTGCTGGTTTCAATGCTCAAGGAAAGCTGAAGAAACCAAAGGACACTGCTGATAAGGACGACAAACGGCAGCGCAGGATTGATGAAATTTGGGGGCAGGCCGCTGACGAGGGTTCTGGGCGCCAAAACGAGGTTACTGCTGCAGCGGCGGAAATGAAAGAACTCACAGAAGAGCTTCTCAACACGCTCGTCGAAGCTCATGGCGACAACTCGGCGTCCTACGTGCAATTGCCGCGCGAATCTGCAGCTGCGCGGTTCTTGGTGAGATCCAAGGTAGCACAGTTCCACCCCCGAGATGCGACGAGACTCAGATTGATCGATTTTGGTCGAGACTTGGATTCTTGAAGATTCATGCCGCTGTTATATGATACTCTAAATGACCAACAACATAATCATTTCTATTTTCCCGAGCTTACTACAGTAGCAACAATTTTCAACCATGATATCTGTTGTAGATGCTGTGTCTTTACTACCTAGGTAGCAAAAGCAAACCACTTAAACATAGCTTTCTCTTATTGGCCAATTCATCCAAGCAGCCAAAGCGCGTTACCCATCCAACCGCGTCACGTCTCCAGCTGTTAAGGTGATCTTTCTGCTCCAGTGTCAAGAGCTATCTCCACGTCACCTAACTACTCCATTCTTCTGCAATTTTTCTCTCCCTCTCCTCAATTTTCAAAATGACCTCTGAGACTCTCGTCCCCGATAACTCCGCCATCTCATCCCCTCCCGCCAAACGTGCCAAGACCGCTGCTACAATGGAAGCTCCCCCGCCCCTGCAGATCAAGAAGCTCTCTGAGAAGGGTCGCCTGCCCACTCGCGGCAGTGATTTTGCCGCTGGCTATGATATCTACGCTGCGCGCGACACGACGATTCCTGCTCGCGGCAAGGCTCTAGTCGATACCGATATTAGCATGGCTGTGCCCGCTGGAACCTGTAAGTAATTGAGACCAGCTTGAAAAAAGGCGGTCAAAAGTCACTTTTCTGACAATGGTGAACTGCAGATGGCCGAATTGCTCCTCGATCAGGCCTCGCTTCCAAGCACTTTATCGATACTGGTGCAGGTGTCATTGACGCCGATTACCGCGGTCAGGTCAAGGTCCTGCTTTTCAACCACAACGAGTCCGACTTCGAGGTCAAGGAGGGCGACCGCATCGCTCAGCTAGTCTTGGAGCGTATCTACACCCCTGAAGTGGTCGAGGTTCAAGAACTCGAGGAGAGTGTGCGTGGTGCCGGTGGCTTCGGCAGCACTGGTTAGAGGGAGAAAGAAACAATAATATCAGTTTCTACCCTCAAGTCCCATGAATTAATGACTTGAGTTTTTGGCCAATGGCATCATATATATCAACTATTAGAGATCAAAGGGCGGATGCAAATGGGAATACCAGTTCGACTTTTCACTTGGTCTACAAAGAATAACAGGCAAATCTTAAGAAATAAACCATGAATAAGCGCCATCTTCTCTCTCCTGTACCCAATTCTATTTCTTTGCAAATCTCTACTAAATTATCCCGGCCATGAACACAACCCCCCCTGAAAGACTTCATGTGGCTTTTGCATGAAACTGTTTTGCTGGCGAGCGTAAGCAGTCCAGATTCCTCACCAGCTGTAGCTCAGCAGCCTTGCTCTTGACGAGATGGACCTTTGTCTCGTTAGTTCTGTCTTCAACCTTCATGTCATCTGTTGTGCGTTCAACAACCCTCTTCATGCCCTCGCATGTTTTGGAGAGAACTTCGTGCATGCTGCCTAGAACCTTCTCTGCGGCGCGGGCAAGAGGTAGCTCGGTGGCGGATACAGCATCATCGCTAAGCCAACTGGCCGTGTGTCGTAGACGCTCGTCAGCGTTGAAGACAGCCTCGCGCATTCGGATCACCATGAGAGCACCGAACATGTCGCCAGTGCCACTGAAGTAGCGATCGATCGAGGGGAAGACGATCTTGAAGAAGCGAGCTTGGCCGGCGGATGTCATGGTAGAGCCAACGACGGCAAGATGTGAAGGGGGGTGATCTGGTGCCTCGAGGCTGACCGAGGTGATGACAACGTGAGGAACCTTGTACTTGTCGTGAAGAACCTGGATAGCCTTGCGCAGACTGTCCATATCGTGGATCTTGACCTCTGAGAGCAGTCTTTTGTGATAAAACTTGGGTTAGCCAATGGTTCTGAAAAAACAAAAGGCAATCATCCTCAAACGTACTCGGCCTCGAACTGGTTGGGAAGGATAAGGTCTGCATCGTTGATGAGTCTCTTGTAAGCTGGCACGACATCTTCAGATACGTAAATCCTCCCGTTATCTCCCATGACAGGATCAAGCGCCCAGAAAAACTTGCCAGGTGTTTCCCTCGACTTTTCCTTGAGCTCTCGACCTATCTTACCAACCGCATCGACGGCCTCAGCGCCTGGGATATACCCAGAAAGCATAACGTCGAAGTCGTCAAGGTATGACTGCTTGAGTCCATCCCATAGATCCGTGATCTCTTGTGCCGAGACTCTGGTGCCCTTCCATTGCTTATAGCCAGTATGATTGCCTTTGCGTGTTAGCAAGATCAACTTATTGTCCTTAAAGATTGGACGAGAACTTACTGAACTGGACAGTGTTGAGGGCTGCGACATCGCATCCTAACGATTGCAGCACGAAGACGGCAATCTTGTTACCGACGTAACTAAAACGTGTCAGTGTCATTACAACCCCAAGCAGAAAGAGCTAGTTACCCAGAGACAACCTAGAAAAATTAGTTTATTGGAACCAGCTGAATATGTGACAAATGATTGAAGGTGTCGGGGTTGTACATGTACCTACATGGCTTGCCACGGCGAGGACCCGAGTGTCCGGTACTGCATGAGCGATAGACATGGCGATAAGGCAGCAGAAGATATGATATCCCAAGCACTTCCCAGATAAACCAAGTTATGCGGTAAAGCTCACTCAAACGCAACCAACGGTATCGACTGTTTAGGTAGTTGTCCAGGAATGTTAGAAACGTCAGAGATCGCAGAGACGTCACTGGTCAGTTTCTCTCAGAAGATAAAGAAAGGTTCTTGGTAGATTCTCAAAAGAGCGGATTGAGGATGATGTTTTCTCAGCCCTTTTGACCCGATAAAGACAAGAAACGTTAGAAAAGAAGAGAAAGAGGATAAGTATTGTCAATGGGGAAGAATGTTTGTAGAAACCGGCTGCGGCGTCTTCCAGACTGTAGTTATGCACCTTGATATTAGTCACGAGCCAACTCTAAAGAAACTTGACTCAGTTGGAGGGAAATAAGCCGGACCGGATCTAAAATTATAGAGACCAGGCCCCCTAATACTTACCAGATGATTGGAGAACGAGACAGAGAGTTTGCTGCTGGAACTGACTGAGTGTACTGTTGATAGCTCTTACTTTTCGTCTTTGAGTTAATAACCAAAGGTTACCAGCGACTTCCGGTTGACCTTCCGTGTGCCCCACTATCCTCCAGTCACAATGCCCCGCACTAATAAGACATCATCACCAAATGTTTTTAATCCTGCTAATGACCTTATTAATCGAGCCTTATTGACCCAAGCTAATAATACAGATTGTATCTTGTATACGGACGAGAATTATACACGTACATTGGGACATCACATTGCTGGAACTATGAGGAGAAGACCAATAGACTTCATAACAGACACCAAGTGCACTGATAGGATTGCAGCTTCAAAACTCATGACGAATAGTCTTATAGTATCATTATTGTCAAAACTGGTCGGCTGGCAAGGGTGAAAAGTATGTTACTTGACACTCCTTGTTCACCTTCCCTTTCTCTCCGACCTATCCATTTCCATTCCATTTTCATTCGCGCATGCTTGTTATACCCGTAACAGGCTTTTTGATAAGCAGGCAAAATTCTTGGTATCCCTATTTCTTACACATCCCCATTTCGCATATACTCCGTCAGAACCGCTTGATCGTGTCCGTGTCCTTGTAACCACAAACGCCGTGCTCACAGTCATGTAACAGGATGGTGTCGCATTATAGTGTGGCAACCGTCTATTCCTCGTCACCAATCTTGGGAGCAAGGTAGAATCGGAGATGACTTTGGCCTCCGATGTTGTACTCGACCAAGAGCGGCACTTCGTTAGAAAGGCAAATCTTGACCGTCTCCGACAGACCGGCAGCCTTGCAGAAGTTGACAAGGTACTTGAGAGAGAAGGTGAGAGCGACAGGCTCGGACAACTCAATCTCGATATTTTCTTTGGGCTTCTCGACATTGGTGTGGCTTCGGAGAGTCACCGAGCCGTTACCGATATCGCCATTGCATGCGAACTTGACACCGTCCTTGGTGGCCTCAATCATAACTGTTAAAGCGACTGTTAGACAATGGACAATGGACAATGGTTGTGATAGGGTATGTAAAAACTAACCTGATTCTGACATGGCCATCAGATCTGTGCAGATACGGCGGAACTCCTGGGAGGGCATGCTAATAGTGGCAGCATACTCGGTATCGGGGATACCGAGATGCTCCTGGTCGATGTCCATAAGCTTGAGGTCGTACTCGCTGATACGGTCATTATCGGGACTCTCAAACTGTAGGTTAAGGACATCGGGACCATCCTCAGCCTTGAGTGTGAGAACGTCGTCGTTCTGGGCAGCACGTAGGACCTTGGTAAGAGATGTAAGGTTGACTCCCAGCGAGATGTTACGGTCGCATCGGAAGGGAGAGAAAGACTCGGTGTTCAACATCATAGAGACTAGGGCAACGTGCGAGTTGTCCATAGCCTGCAGCTGAATGCCGGTATCATTGCAGTCGAAGTTGCAGTCCTGCACCAAGTCCTTGATCGCGTCGACAACCTTCTTCAGAAGACTAGCCTGGTCGAGTCGTGCCTCCAACATCTCTGTTCTGCGTGTTAGCCTTCTGTTGATGCATCCTTCTTTTTTTCTTCCAGTGCTGCGTGAAGCTGCCACGCAAAGACGAAAGGGCGGGGTGACCGTTGCTAGGGGGTGACTTACTGTAGAGAAGAGCTGAGCTGATGGAAGAGAATAAGAGGAAGGGATATAGAGAAATTAGATAAAGATCTGATGAATAGAGAGTGGATGAAGTAAATCGGAAGGCGTGGTCTGGTTATGGGAGAGATTATGAGTTGTCTGGTGAATGGAGAAAGAAGATGCAGATGCTAGTCTAATGGCTGGTGGGCTTTGGTCGCGAAATTGCTAGGCAGCTTTACCTATCCGTACCTACCTACACTAGCAAGTGGGTAGCCACTTAACGCGCGACCACGTCTTTCAAGTACGCGACGCGTTTTGGACTACGGAGTGCCTATAATGAAAACCCCACTCCTCCAAGCTCCCCTGGAGATGTACCAGGTGTGAATGGTACAAGTATCTTTGTACAGTATGCGTACCTTGTTAGGTTTTTTGCATCCTGCATCTTGCCAAAGCCATATATACTGACGGATATAGCTAAAGGCGGTATAAGAGGCATGCTCATGACTTTGTATTGGCTTTTTACAAAAGATTACTGATACCTGTCTATCATACATGGGCAAAAACCCAGCCCCTTTTCATTACTGCCAGACAAAACGAACAATTATAACACGAAATGAAATAGTCCCCAACGAGTGCAATCTGTTCGCACATTTTATTCTTGTCCCAATGATGTGATGCATAAAAATATGACGCTGGAGACCTGACTGCTTGAAAAGATATATAACGGGAAATTAGTCCAAAACAGACCCCGTCAACCCTGATCCTGAAACTCCCCTGCCTTCCGTGGCATGTCTATAATAAAAGTACCGTGTATAGGAAATTTTGCGTGTAGTCGTGACGCTGATTGATACTTGACGGATTAATCTGTCTGTATAGCTCCAGTGCGATTCGTCGTTAGTTGATAGCGAGTGAAGAACGTAATCCAACGTGGTTTTTGTTGTCGGTGTATAGGTTGATGTTCGTATTGGGTGCGGAGAACTAGGCGAGTTAGAAAGATAATGATAATGATCGTGGTTTTTGTCGCTGGCATTCATAAAATCGGGATGCCCTTACATGGACACGATTCGTCCAGCAGGTGCGCTTGCACGAGTTCGAGGTCGCAGGTTGATAACAGTCTCTAGTTCCCGAAGCATGCCCTTGGTTGCATCGACATGTTGCCGGGCTAGAGCCTTCTGTTCTCGGTCTTCCCGGACCTTGATTATTCGTTCTTCCCGTGTGAGCATGCTTCTTGGCCTCGGTAGAGCGACGGCCTCGAATACTTCAGGCGAGTCATGTTCCGCGGAATAAGCATAGTCAGAGCTTGGCGGTGACTCGCCTGTCAAAGCCTTGAGTGCAGCAGCAGTTCCGCCATTCTCATCAACAGTAGTAAGACCACTAAGTGAGCTCACTGGCGACAACAAGGTGCTCATGGACGAGAGCCTCTTCTCGTTCCTATCGATACCGAGTGCCAAAGCTGCTCTGCCCTCTTCCCATGCGCCCATCAAGTCCTTTAGATCCATGCCAATGGACTCGTATTGCGCCATAAGATTTGGGCCAAGTTCCGAAATGTCGTTCGAGTCATTCAAAGTCCTATCTGACTCTTCGCGAAGTAACTGTAGCTTCGCTTGGAGCCCTCTGATTCCACTCGAAAGTGAATTCAATTTTCGGAGTTGAGCTCGCCAGCGTTCGCGTCCAGGTGTTAGGACATTGCTTGGCGTCGGAGGAGCTGGAAACGCTAAGGAGAGATATAAGTCAACTGGGTGTTAGAGGGGTTCATTTAGCACTTACTCTCTTCCTCACTCAATATACTGTGTAATCTAGCTTGTGCAGCTTGAGTCGAGCGATTCAAGGTCAAGAGGGACTCTACAGCTGTTGTCCAACGAAGCAGCTCATTGGCATCGCTATTGGCATCTAGAGCGAGAAGAGCGCAAAGGAACAACTTGCGAATTGTGAAGAAACGAGCGCCGAGAATCTTCAGGGTTCGTAATGATTCAGGGTCTTCCAAGTCTTCTTCGGTAAGTCCTCGGCGGGCGTCTGACATGTCGAAATCGGTGATATCGTATATATCATAGTATTGTTCCAGGTCTGTTTGTTCCGCAAATCCGCTAACAATCGTGCAAACTTGGTTGTAGGACTCTAGAACTTCAGCAAAAGAATGCCTCAGTGCTTTACGGAGTCTGACACATCTTCGAGTCTGTGTACGATCTTCCATGCGGCTAATTGGTGGGAGAGGAGCGCTGCTAGATATTGGTTAGTAAGTACAGTGATAAGCGGGTTTCGGAAACGAACAGTCGGTAGCCACGTGAAACCAGCTCTACCTCTTGTATAAGAGACAGGGCAGCTCCTGACACGCTATCAAAATTGTGTGAATGTTCGATGAAAGAGGTAATTTCGGAAAGCGATTGCGATCTTCGATAACGCAACCATTGACGCTTCATATAAACCTGGCCTAGCAGGACTGCCGCTGCGCATAATAGGACGAGAAATACAAGCCTCTTCTTGGTCACTCCGCTTCCGAGAACCCAGCTCAGAATTACCGCAACGGCAAGGGCGGCAAGAATCGACGCGACGAAGCCTTCTGTAGATAGGAGTGATCCGTCCTCTGCTGTGAGTGAAATTGGCGCATTGTTGCCGAGATGCGATTGTCCTAGCCCCGAGTGGCCGCTGAGGAGCTGGGACGCAATAATCGTGTATCGGAATTGTTCGAGGAACTTGGCATTATCGGCTCGGTCGATACTCGCTGCTACCACGGCCTTTGGAGATGTTATTTAGTAAGGATTGGTGATCAGAACAGGCTGGTTTGACATACTGAATATGTCCCACTGGCAGATCGCAAGGAAGCTTGCTCGGGAACTTGAAGTTGAAGCGCATTTGGAGCTTTGTTCCGGAATCTCGGTTTGACTAAAGGTCGACCAGTAGGTGCGAACGGAGACGGACTGGATGGTGGTGACGGGCTGGATCGACCAGCGGATGATGTATGTTCGGGTGTTATGACACCTGGCGCCCAGTCGGCCTGGGGCTCATCTCCCTCATCTTGATATGTTAGTTCCCGCAAAAGAAACGACGAGTATGGCACAGTAAAGAGAGCTCACTCACCTCTGAGGTAGTCGGCGAACGGGGTCTCCTCATATACCACGGGCTCCATCTAACTTCTTTGTGACGTAGTCGGGGTCGATAAGGGGTCACACACAGCCATCGAGCAGTAACGGTTTATAGAGAGTACAAGTATCGTATCCGTGGTGTTGTTGTTGTTATAGTGTTTATCAGATTAGGAAGGCCGTCTTCAGGAGAGGGCGACAACAAAGTAGTAGACGAAGGTGACCAGGGACAGGCTGGTTCGTCGATGTTCCCAATTAGGGAAGCTCCACGCTCACCGTACGGTCCGTCCACGCGCTTCAGTGGACAGCCCGGGCCCGAGTGAGACGACAGGGATCTCGTAGCTATTGGAGCCTGTCTGCCTGTCAAAATAAAGTGATGCGCCGCTACGTTAATTGAAGGTGTCGGAACCCCGGGACCGTTGACTTCGACCTTGTCAAGTGTAATTTCGAGCCGTATTGATACTATTTATGCAGCTCAAGGGACGACGTAATAAGATGCAGGGACAACTATAGAGCACGACGTATCAGCGTGCAGTAAAAGGGGTTCAAGGGGTTCTGGGGCCTCTGGGGCTTCTGGACACCTGGACTTCGGCTGGAGCGACTGCTCGAGGCGGAGCCAAGACAGTGGATATACCAACATGGGACCTGCCACTCGGCCAATATAATTCTCATGCCTGAGGCAGCTCACCTTGCGGCCAATAGATGCCTGACGCCAAAACCTGGGGTAACATCTCTCTTCTGGTTGGTCACTACTACAAACTCGAACTAAAAATGTCGAAACTCGAAGCTCCAATTCTGCCAATCCCACTTGGCATTCACGACGTCAACCCCGACTCGGCTCTCATGGGACTTGCGCAAAGCTTGATCTCAAGATGATAGCATGAAGGCGGATGCCAACATCACTACAATTTGCTCGAGCTTACCCAATGCCTCGAAGATGCGCTGTCTTGCCTTGTCGCTCGGGTGTGCGCCCTGTCTTGAGCTCATCAGAAGGCATTTGGGTCACAAATGCTATGCTAGCACGAGCTATTGACCGATTCCACCATGTTTATTCAGTTCCCCGCCGAAGCTTGAGTGGTTGCCCAGGTCCGCTTGAAAGTCGACGTCGTATGGGCAAGCGGCACATGACCGCGGTTTTCCCTGACTCTCATGCGTCACCTCTTCCATGGACATTTCCTTGGACAATCGAGTTGCCCAATAGCCTTGGAAACTGGAGCTGGGAGGCTCCCGTTCCGCGAGAAAGTCGCCATAAGAAGACAATTGGTTTGGTTGAACGCTTTCTCAGAAACCTCGAAGGCATACAAAGCGAAGACGATGCCACGCTATTACAACAGACGGCAGCCGTTACTCCCGTGGGACAAGCGCTTCTGAAGCTCAACAAACACCTCGCATTGTTGCCCGAACTCGATGACGCAACAGTAGTTTTCAAAGCATGCGAATCCTATGTTCTCGACATTTTGGCCATGATCGCCGAAAAATCGGTTTCCTCTGACGATCTTCTCCTAACTCTCGACCCGTTCGACGACAACATCAGGCGACGAGCATCGGCCGAAGTTCTTGACAACGTTCTTTCGAGACAATGGATCTACATCATCCATTGCATTTACGACACCCGGGATAGTGGAGCGCGGGACATTTACGGCGGAGAGGTATGGCATCAGTGCTTTAAAGCAGTGTTTCGAATGACTCCCCAACCATTGGTGTTCGATTTCATGGACGAACTATTACGACTCACACGACTATATCCGAAGATAACCTTGGAGTTCAACGACTACTATGATTTGATGCGAAGCCACCTTCTATTGGAAGCGTCCCAGAGCAAGCAGCACCCGGTTTCGCAGCCTATATCAACACATCTTTTGCGCAGGAACATTTATCTCTCTCGGATGTTTGTCTTGGAGAATCCGACGCCCATCATCACATACCAGCAAGCTTGCCAAGCTTGGATAGAGACGGGCAAAGACGACATCGAGCGGCGCACAATTACTTTTCACATGTTGCTGAAACTGGCGAGTACTCCCGGTCTTGACTCAAAGCATTTCACCATATTAGTCAATGATCTTGGCGCTACGCAAGGTTGGACAGAAACAGAAGTGTGGCAATTCTTAGCACTCCACCTTATGAGAGCAAGTCGATGGAAGCTACCCCCAGAGTATTTGATGCGATGGTTGGAAATGCCCACAATTCTGCACTCTTGGGCTGCCTTGATCACGTCTGCTTTCCATCGCCAGACTCGGAAACGCAAAGTCAACTTCAGCACATTGCTATCCGCCAGCGATGTCTTTGGTCACCTTGACACATTAATGAAGGCAGTTCGACTAATGAACGATCACAAAATGACTGTGACGCAAATGATTGGGCGGGAGCGAAACCCTGCTTTTGCTCTTACCATCTGGGAAGCTTATAATGAAGGTATGGAAACGCCGGATAAGTTGCCTTGGTATGTGTGGGTGCGACATGCCGAATTCCTCATAACAGATCCCGCTATACCGGTCGCCGTCATTTGGAGGATCGCCGAATTCGACCCCAGCAAGGTCGCCATCAAGTTGAAGCGCGCTAAGAAATGGGACATCGTATATTCGATGGACTTTCTGGCTGTGATAGGACGACTGTACTTGAAGAAGCCCGACCTGACAACACGAACGCGCCTAAGATATATCGAGCAGGCTATCAATTTAGGTAAAGCTTCCCGGCAACCTATGTCGCAATCTTTGATACGACTGTATTCCGAGCTTCAACTTAAGGATCTTGAAATGGGCAACTTGGGCCGCAGAGCGCGCCTTCGATACCTAGTCAGCAAGATCGAGGAGTTCTACGGAAAGGATCAGGCGAAGCAAGTTGCAATCTCACTCGAAGGGTGGACTCATTCCAACAAAACCCGAGGAACACTGCGGGTGCCAATCAAAGCTCAGATTGTCGAAGCTCAAAGTGTGGAAGCTCAGAGTGTGGGAACACAAGAGGTGGAGGACGAGAAGGAGGGTGAGAGCTTGGAGATGGAAATGAAAGCTCAACGTCGGGAAGCAAAAGTATCCACCACAGGGAACACAACATTTTAGAAACTTCATTGCAAGGTGTTCAAGGCATATAGATATTCCATTGGGATGAGGGGGTTATACTTGATGATGGGATTGAAGGCAAGGGATATTATATGTTGGGTGATTAGATACCAGTATATCCTCGACCTACGCGGGTGGGGCTCGAAAGAACAACTGTATGACCATTTAGAGTTAAAAAAGATAGACCAAGTCAAGAAACGTTTAATGAACAGTTGATTACCCAAGTTTGGTTTGTTGTTATAGACTCGAGGCTGTGTCTTAAATCTCAATATCACAGCACCACTCACGTAATCAAGTGAAGCTTCACCCACAAGAGACCCTTTCTAGTAGAGCACAAGGTTTATACAACACGTCAAGAATAAGTCAATGTTTGAAAGCATGATATGAAAATGTCATTACAACGGATCTAAGTTACAGTAGAGCCATATAGGTACAGCATGTTTCCCATCGTTGCGACATCATGTCATTATGAAGGAAGAAACTGAAGATAAACAAAAAAGTAAATCAAAGGATCGCAGAGGAGTAGAAAATAACCACAATCCGGCCGTCAAGTAGATAGAAAACGTGGGGTAAAGAGCATAAAGACAAAAAAAAAGCAGTGACATAGAACTGAGATCATAAGACCATTTCCCTTCGGCCCATAAACCGTGAGACAACCAACCAGAACAGACAAAAGAAATCCTCGCTACAAGTTCGTCCGTAAGATTAGCAAATTCCCAAAACGCAAAAACACCAGCCTATATCCTTTTTCCCATGGTATCTTCTCATAACCTATGATCCCCCATCTAAATAATCTACCTCGGTTTGGCCCAATGTTTCGGTCACGACACTGATGTGACTGCGGGCACCGATAGAAGTGCCTCCTCCATCACTTGCACCACCGAAGAGGTGCTTGGAACGAGGAACGAGAACCTGAGCAGGGCATACCACGATTTCCTCATCGCCCTTGCCATTGTCATCTCCCTTCTTCACGACGAGTGGGAAGAGAACGATTCTGACGATGGCACCTTGAGCCTCTAGGTCTTCGTTCGACGTGGTGATGCTGCCACTTCGCTCGTTCATCATCGAAGCGTTGAACTGGACTGTGGCGGTAAGCTCACCGTCTGCGTCGTACTCGGGTCGCAGAGGTGGCAGCATCATGTATTCAGCTTTTTGCGTACGCATCTCAATCGAGAGACCAACGGCCTCTCTCATGACGCGTCGTAGCTGAGATTGAATCTGATCCTCCAGATTTGACGGCGGGGGAAGGATCTTGCATAGCGTCTGGAAGATGGCCTGTACAACAGCCTCTGTATCCAGATCGCGCTGGCGTTTAAAGCTATCTCGCTTCGCCAGCAGGGTTAAAGTGACTGCGCGCCATTGGCGCACAGCCTCGGGAGGGCCGACCTCGGTCAGCAATTTTTCTAGCGACTTGAGCTTCTGTCTCTGCTCTCTATCCATGCCAAATAGATAGCGGGTAAAGACAAATTCCCAGACCATGTTCATGGTCATTGACATGAAGATGTCTCGTCGCTTTACGCGGTCCCGAAGGTAAACGTCGACATCGGAGCCATCGAGGACGGCATTGTCGAGTCGGTCAATTGTTTTCTCATCATTAATCTCGCTTGTTAGTCTGCAAGCGCGCATATCCGAGAACTTGGAGAACCTAAGCACCCATTGCTGAACATGGGAGCATAGTTGTTGGCAACGATGATCAAAGTGGTCCTCATCGCGAATGTTGAGGAAATGGTCGTCGTTGGCCTTGGACTCGAGAATCTGGCGTTGTAAATCGCGAATCGTTTCTTTGGCGGAGTCGAGTTCGGCGCGAAGTTCGGCAATCTCTGCATCTTTTGCTTCTAGGGTTTGTTCCGAGCTACCCTTGGCGCGTCGAGTCTCCTCAAGCTCACGCGCAACTTCCGCGTGGCGGCTCTCGAGATCGGCTACGCGGCCGCTATCCTTGTTGGCGAGCTCGGCATTGGCGCTTGTGAGGCCGTCGTTAACTTCGGTAAGCCGCGAAACCTCATGCTGGAGAAACTGCAAGGATTGTCTAAGTTTGTCGATCTCGGAATCGCGTTCGGACAGGCTGTTGGCGGCACGTTGACTTAGGTTTGACTCTGTCATAGCGCGAGCCTCTGCAAGCATGCGATTCTCGGCCATCAACAACTCAACCCTGTTCTCGAGTTCAAGGACCTGCATGCTCTGCCGGCGACGCATGCTGTGCGGCCGGGTGGGTGATCGGGGTGAGCCGATGCGACCTTCGCCGAAGCCATCCTGCGAAAGGGTCAGCATTTGATTGAAATAAAATAAAATAAATAGAGGGTCAGGAACATATTTAACTTACGTAGACGTCGGCCATATCCTTGGCACGGGCACGACCCTCATTTGCAACGGGCGTGGAGTTTGCGGGTGCAGCGGTGGTGTTTTGTTGACGTATTGCCCGCAAATCGCTACTCATTCGCCTGTCAACACGGCGAAGCGGCGGTGTGGGGGTGCCTGACGCTCGGTTGATGCCTGGACTTTCAGGCCTGAAGTTTAGCGGCTCTGGGGTCCTACGGCGGGAAAGACTGGTGTTGGAGACGGTTCGACGCCCTGCAGCGTCGAGACGTGGAGTTGGTCGGCGAGTAGGACTTGCATTGTCGGATGCGCTTCTTCGACCAGAAATTGAAGTTGAAGCTGGATTGGAGTTTGGGTTTGAGCGTGGGCGTGGAGTTGGCGTTATTGGTGTCGGTGAAGTTAGAGGCGAAGGAAAAGGTTCAGGTCCAGGTCCCCCGGCTCGTAGCGCAGCCGCTAAACCCGCACCCGCACCCACTGTAACGGCGGTAGCTGCCGCTCCGGCTGGAGTAAGGGCTCCATATTGTTTCTTTTTTTCCGGCTCCGGCGCCGTTTCTGGAGCTGTCGGCTCTCGCAGAACTGGCGTACCTCGAGGAGATCGGCGGAGTTTTCTCTCGCTTGGTGGCTCAGGGCTATACAATGCTGAGCGGTCAATGGCCGATTGAGGGCGACGTTCTGGCTCGACCCAGTCATCAGTGTGCACTCCACTATCGCGAGATCTTTCCGGACTGGAGCGCTTGCTTCGTCTCGACGTAGGTGTCTCTCTTCCAAGCCCGCTATCACGCTTCGCCTCTTCACTCATACGCCTGCTTCGTCTCTGAAAGCTTGATGCGTCACCAACAGGGTCACTGTCGCGTGTGCGCTTCGGTGCTGAGGTTGCAGCTCTGGTCGGCTCAGCTTCCGCCTCAGGAACCTCGGGGACTGGCTCTAGAAGTCTGCTTGGAGATCTTCGTAGGTCGCTGATGTCGGATTCAGTCCCCATCAGTGGTGTAAATGTCTTGCTGTCCTCTCGTAGAAGGCCACCCCTGGGCTCCTCGACGGCAGAGTCACGGCGTAGTAGAGGCCTAGGAGATCCTCGTGATAGCTCTAGATCTAGATCTCCGCGACCGAGGATAGGACTCTCTACTTCGTCTAATGTCTCCTGCTGTGGCACTCGTGACATTTCCTTGCGCACTCTGTCAACCTTGACTGGAGTTTCTCTGACCGCAGTAGCTGCTTCGGGTTTCTTGTCTTTTTTTTCAACATCCTTGCTCTTTTGTGGTACGTCGAAGATAGTGTCATCTGCCAGCGGTGCGACAGCTTTCTCTTTCTTTGACGTTTTTTTCTTCTCCGTCATCTTTGCCTCCTCTTTTAAATCGCTAGCAACGCCTTTTCCTTTGTCCTTGTGATCATTGCTGTCCGTCGGAAGATCATCGTTCAGACCTTTGGGTTTGACCTCCTTAGTTTCTCGGGGTGTCGAACTTTCTTTGGGGCTGTCTTTACCAGTATCCTTAACTGTTGGTTTGATGCCATGCGAGCTTATCGTGGTTGCATTTTGCTCACCGGTTTGAGTTTTCCCATCATGTCCTCCACGTCCTTCACGAAGATGACCTTTTCCTTCCGGTTTCTTTCCTTCATCTTGCTTCTTGTCGTCGGTTTCTGGCACATCCTTCTTGTCGCCGAAAAGCGCGCTGCCCCAAGCGGCAGTAGCAGCAGTAAGTCCAGCAAAGATCGATTTGCTGGGTTTACTCGAAGCTGGTGCAGCTTTTGTCTCTTCCTTGCTACTCGGGGAATTGATCACACCTTCTGGAAGTCGTCGTTCCTTTCCTTCTCGCGCAGGGGGGGCAGGTCTCGCTTTGGGTACAGATGTGTCATCAGAGAGTTTGTCAGTAGCTGTAGCGTCAGGTTCGGTTCCGGTGTAGTTTTGTCCTTCAGACTTGATGGGTGTCTCCATTGGCACAGGTGTTGGTTGTGATCGACTGAGATCAGGATCTGTGCTCTTAGAGGAAGTTGGTTCTGACTGCCTGGACTTTACCGCAGGCTGGACATCAGGTTCGTTGGCAGGCTCAGGGATGGATGTTTCGGACTTCCGTTTGGATTTCTTGCTCTTTTTTGGTTCTGTGGTAGCAAGTTCTCGGGCATGGTCATCTTTTGTGGCCTCCGTAGGCGCTTCTGTGACAGCTGTTGTCGGTGCTATCTGAACAGCAACTTGTATTTGCGAGACTGGTTTGTCCGGCTCTGCAGACTGTGCCGATTTATTGTCTGGCGGGAGCACAGGCTCTTGTCCACCGGACACCGTGTACTTCTCTTGGGCTTCTTTTTCTGCGGCGGCTCTCTCCTTCGCTAGCTTTCGTGCCAACTTCCTTTCTCTCTTTGCGATCTTGGCAGCTAATATGTCATCAGCAGGCGTTGTTGTTTGTCCGGTAGATGGTTGAGAGCCAGGTGTAGGAGTTTCTTGGGACGTCGTCTTCGGGCCGGCGGTATGTTGACCTGTAACGCTATCGAGGACCCCAACCGCTGGGAAGGCAGCTTGCGAAGGCGTTGGCACCTCGGTGGCGTGGTCGTCGGCAGAAGCAGGATGTCTAGGTGCGTTTGTAGTGGTAGGTTCCCCAATACTAGCCTTTCTAGGGACTTCGGTCACCGGAGAGACGTCCTTGTAGGAAGTTGGGACGTCGGTGTCCATTGTAGCGCTGCTGTCAGCTGGAGGCGCAAAATCTCGTACGGTCCTTGTCGAGGGTTCAGGCTGGTCATTCTTGCTAATGACTTCTTGGGTACCGCCGAATTGGTGATCTTCCTTATCAGCCAGTGGCACAGGCGATACCGTGTCTGCCATGTCACTAATCTCCCTTTCTTTCGCAGACTGTGGTTCGGGAGTCAGGATGTCTGGTTGTCGGATTTCAAAGCCACTGTCCACCTGTTCGGGAGGGCCTTGACCTGCTTGAGTTTCTTGCACGAGCTCTCTAGTTTGGTCGGCGGCAAGCGGCTCGCCAAGTGTTTCAGATTCCGACAGCAGAGTGTCCTTGGTTTGATCCAAAGCCTCTCTATCGATTACATCCGGCTCCTTTCCAAGTGGCTTAGGCTCCTCGGCGAGAACTGGAGGATTGGCCTCTTCAATGGGCTCGAACACGGCATGCACCGAAGTTCCGGCTTCTCCTACCGTAGGGGCAGACTTATCCGGTTCTGAAGTCTCAGGGACTGGTTCCGTCAGCTGGATGGGCTGTTTGACGGGAGAGTCACCCTTAACAGGCTGGTTAACTTGAGGTAGGACAGAAAATGCACCATCTTGTGAATCTCTTGATGCATCGGCGTCATCATCTACATGCTTCTGCTTCTTCTTTTTGTTTTTCTTGTCCTTCTTGGAAGATTTCACAGGGGCAGGAGAGGCTTCCTCAATTTGAAGTGAAGGCTCAGACGACTGAGGTGGTGATGGATTATCGGTCGTTTTCACTTCTGCCTTCACCACTGATGGAGACTCGTTTCTCACACTAGGGAAAGTTTCAGAGGCGGCAAGGGGATCACTTGGTGGCATATCGGTGGTGGCCCCTTCGGCGAGGGTTACATCACGGGATAGAGGAATCTCCTCTATGGTGTTGTCTTCCCTGTCGGCCACTGAGTTGTCCAAAAAAGGGCCCTTGTTGTCTTGAACATCCTCCTGCTTTACTTCTGGAACTGAGTTTCGTGTTTGGCCGATTTCTATTGAAGGTTCAGGCGCATCAGCAATGCTTGGCGCGGCCAACTGAGTTGAGTTCTCAGCCGTTGCAGCATCTGGACTTATAGTCACTTTGTCGTCGTGGGTTCGAGACGGCTCGGGGTAAGGTTGGCTGGTTAGCTCAGCAGGTTCCGTGGGTTCGGCTGGTAGAGAATCAGCGGCTTTGCTTTTCCTCTTCTTCTTTTTCTTGTCTTTCGTGGAGAGGGGCAGGCTAGCCGTGTCCTTCACTTGAGCTGCTGTATCTGGTTGGCTTGGTTCGGCGGGGACTCCGATAACATCGATAGACTTGACGGGGTCCTCCTGTTTTTCAGGTTCCTGCCTAGCTGGTTCCTGTATATCATCCTCGTGCGATATAGGAGTCGGCAGAAGATCCGCGGGCTGGCGTTCCGGCGAGAAGCTTGCATTAACGCCAGGTTGATCAGTTGCCGCTGGTTCCGCTACTGTTTGCTGATCAATAGCCTCAACCACTGTGTTGGCACGAGATCTTTGCTCTTCTGGGAGCTCTGCAGGTACTGGGACAGATTCCGACTCTGCATGCTCCTTGCTGTTGTCGTTAAGCTCGACCTTCTCTTCCTTTTCATTCTCTATAACAGCCTTGGTGTCCTTGGAGTTTGGCTCGACGTCGATAGATATTTCTTTGTCTGCTTCAGCTTGTCCGGCAAGAATAGATTCATCATTTGTCTGCCAGGCTGCATCAGCCATGCCTGGTGATGGTCCTTCGGCTTCAGCTATCAGTTCCTGTTGAGGTTGTGCTGGTTCAGCTGACTCTACGTCCTCCAAAGTTGGCGGCATTTCGACAAGCGTAACATCTCTGGCTTCTTCCACCACAGGGGCAGATTCTTGCTCGACCTTTGCTTCGTTGTTTGAGGCAGCAGTTCTAGCTGAGCTGTTTGTGTTTTCCATTCCAGTCAAATCAACGTCCGCCCCTTGTTGCAGGGACTCCTGGAGTGGGGTGCTAGGAGCCGGCTGTTCAGCCGTATCGGTTGAGAGAGGTTCTGTTGATGGCTGCAACTCAGCCGTCGGTGCAGGGGGCATTACTATATCATCTTTGTCCTCAGATTCATTCTTCATTCTATGTTCTGGTGCGTGCTCCATAGAAGGCATTTGAGTTTCTTGTTTGACAGAGCCAGTAGGCTCACCAATGAGCTCGGGATCCTCTGTCACCACGAGGCTAGACTTTCGGGATTTCTTTTTCTTTTTACTCTTTTTCGGCGAAGCCTCGACTGGTGGTTCCAAAGTCCTTTCAGTTGGAGGTTCAACCTCTTCTGAAGTTCGGACGGGGGTTGCATCAATAGCAGAACCATCCGTCACTGGTACATAGCTGGTTTCTGGGACTGGCTCGAGAAACAGATGCTTTGATTCCTTGGCCGGCGATGATTCGTCTGTTAGCTGCTGGCTTGTTGTTTCTGGAACCGGGCTGTGTTCAGGTAAGGGTTCAGCGTTCGACTCTGCAATCAGCTCAGTAGCCACAGTATCAACGTCCGGCTCTGGAGGGGCGCCTTCATTCGCTGGCGGTGAGATGTTGACTTCATTCTGTGACTGGGATGTTGGTTGATCGTCTTCAGAAGCTAGGTGAGCGTCGGTCGTGGTTGGAACATCAGCTGGAGTGCTTGATCCCCCCTCTGCATCCTCACTGGATTTCTGCCCTCTCTTCGTCTCGTCGTAGGCGGGGAGATCAGCATTGTTATGTGGTGTCTCTTGTCTCTCTGATTCACGTCCAATGTTTGAGAGGGACTCAGGCACAAGTGGTGAGTCGTTGGGGTCGCGTTCCTGGTAATCCGCAACGCTTGTTGATTGGTCAGCTGTCACCTCTGGCTCATCGTGAGACTCGAGACCCTTTTTCTCCTCCGTAATCAAGCCGTCGTTTTCGGGGGTCTCCTGGATCACTGTGGGCTTGGTTTGCGGTGTGGCAGAAACTAGTTCAGGAGCGATTTGAGGCAAGTCATCCTTAGCAGAAGCCGTTGGCTCAAACGAGTCTTTGATGATTAAGTCGAGATCCTTCTTTTTCAACTTCTTTTTGATGTTTTTCCTGTCCTTAGCGGAAAGGTCCTGCCATTCCTCGGTCGTGAACTCATTTTCGGCGCGTTCATGAGCGGGCGTTGTAGACACTTTCGTTTCGGCAGTATCAGTCACGGTGGGGGGTGGAACAGGCTGGACCGGCGAAGAAGGCTGGACTGATGAAGCAGAATCTCGAACATGACTCAGTTCACTATCATCAAGTCGAGGAAGAGCAGAGTCATTGGTCGACTTTGATGTATCCGGGACTTCCACCTCCGTTGCTGTAGGGTCTTCGACGCTCTTCTTTTCATCGACCTGATCGAGTGACTCAGTAACTTGGCCATCGCTATCCCTTGTCGCGTGGACATCGATATCAGGCATAGCCACAAAATGAGCAGATTCAGACAAGGGCTCTTCTTGCAATATTTCAGAAACGGGTTCGTTTGTCTTGTCCTTGAACGACTGTGCCATCTCATCCTTTCTTGTGCCATCGATCACTTCAGGTGCACTGCCTTGGTCGGTATCCGTGACGATTGGGGTAGAAGGAGAAGCTTCCTGGGCTGCTTCTTGTTTATACTCAGGCATAGACCGGTCAGCTGGAGCCATTGCATCGTCCATAATTGTAGTATCCAAGGAAGTTTCACCACCAACAGGCTGGGTTGACTCCTCAGGCTGCTCGACATTTTCGCTTGGTTCTTTCTTCTGGTCCTCGTGAAGTTTGTTCTGCTCCACATCTGATAAACCTGCAATCGCTTCATCGACGTTCGTAGCAGATGGTGTTAAGGCCTCAACTGTCTCGGAAGGGACAGTAACCTCGGGCTCGGGAATGGGTGACACTTCGCTCGCACTGGGTGGTTGAAGCACAGGATGTGCCTCAGCCTGTTGCTGAGGCTCTACGATCTCTGTTGGGTCGGCAGAGTCATCATTTGATTCCAGGGGCTTAGTGGGTTGTTCTATAGTGGCCGATGAAGAACGGTGAGGACTTCCAGAAGACTCAGCATCTTGAGGCTTTCTCTCAATGATATCTGCAGAGTCAGGTAGAGAAATAGGAGTCTCATGTACATGAGAATCAGAAACCGGTTGAAGAGAATGGTCAGGTTCAAACTCAGTTTTAGGCTGTGCAGTGAGTTTCGGAAGCTGTGCCAAAGACTCGTCAGGACCGTCTGCGGTCTCCAGAGAAATGCCGTTATCCGGAGTCTCGACGGGAACATCGGCCGGTACCTCAAGTGGACTAACAGGAGCAATGGGGTTTAAGATTGTGTCTTGCTCCAGAGCTTCCCTGTCTTCACTGGGTTTTGCGATCTTCTCCTTCTCTTCTAAAGGATGGGGCGAAGGGTCCTCCACGACTGGTTCTGTGACGTTTGTGTTGTCTGTAACGCTATGCTCTGAATCTGCTTCCGGGGCCACGACTGGAGTTTGGATGACTTCGAGGACATCCTGAGGTGGCTGACTTGGCAGATCGGCACGGTCTTCCTCCACAATTTCCTGGTCGGCTGCTATGTTAGTAATCGAGTCCTCGTAAGGGGCATGCGTCTCGTCTCCAGACTTGACCTCCGGCGCAGGAACGATAATATCCTGGTCGGGGGTCATCTGTTGTTGAGATTCAGGTTGTGATGGTGGAACATCGGCATCAGCTTCAGGCTCAGCAGCAGCTGGCTCAGTTGCAGGTTGAGTATCGGGGCCGCCCAGAGATTGTGTCTCAGTCTTGGACTTGGATTCAGCTTCAAAGTTAGGTTCATCTATAGGTACAGTCTCTTTGATCCCTGATGGTGCTTCATTCTCAACCTCGGGGCCAAGCTCTTCGACTGCCTTGTCGGGGCTTTCAGTCCCAGCAGATTCGGACTGAGTCTGAAGTTTCGACCCAGCTTCTGATCCAGCTTCATCCGTAGGTTCCAGCGTTTCCTCGTTTGAGGGTTCGGGTTCCTTAGGCGGGCTTGGCTCGAGTGGGGATTCCAAGGCAGCTAGAGCTTTGGCTTTCTTCAACTTTTTGATCTGTTTCTTCGACAGCCCAGCAAACTCCTCATTGTTTTCCAGTTTCTCCTCTCCCAGCTCCGATCCCGGCTCCAGCTTTGCCTCGGGTTTGACAGGGACTTCAAGACCACCAGTGATGGTCTTGTCCTCCTCCAGTTCATTACCCTCGGAAGGTCCTTGGCTCTTAGCCTCATCCACGGCGGGGACGTCGGCGTCCTCCTTTTCCGGTTCCGGATTCGGCTCCGTTGGATGTTTGGTCTCGGGGTCCTGCAGGATTTCAAAATCGTTGTCTTTAGCCTTGTTCTTTTGGTCCGTCTGGGATTGACTGAGGCTAAACCCACCCCGCTCGTCTTCAGGACCAGCTGGTTCTTCGCTTGGAAGTTTTCCGGAATCACCGGTGTCTGGTGCCTTGGCATCGTCTGCTGGAGTAGCAAGTTTGCCCTCCAGGTTGGAATCTTTGTCAGGAGTCTCGTTTGTATCGGTCTGCTTAGGAGTTTCATCGCGCGTATCTTTGGAAGTTTCGGTTGGTAAATCGGCAGCTTCATCCTTGGGTAGAGCTTCAGCGTTCTGGGAAGGGGTTGCAAGGTCGGACTCGGGATCCGGGGTACCTTCAATGGCGGCCTTTTTCTTTTCTGCCTTCTTCTTCTTCTTCTTGTCTTTCTTGGACAACTTCGCAGGGGAGTCGGGGTCCTCGATATTCAGAGAGTCTTCGGCAGGGGGTTGATCAGGAGCTGTGCTACTGGCCTTGTCGCCCTCAACAGTTGGTGCTGATTCCTGTGTAGGTGGTGTTTCTACGGGGATGTTGACATCAGCTGGCTGTGTCTGTTCTTCATCTGCCAGGACAGGCTCATGGGAAGTATTTGTCTCCGGTTGAAGAGGGAGTGCCGTTTCATCCTTGGAGAGCGGTACCTCTGTGGACTCAACACCTCCCAAATCAACCGCGTTTGAAGCGTTAGGATATGTGTCTTGTGGAGTAGCGTCCTTAACATCTTCGGGGGCATCCTTCTTGAGCGCAGACTCGGGGGTTTCTTGAGGTTGAGAGTCGGCTTCCGGTTGCGTTTCTGGCTCATCTAAAGGAGAGGCGTTCTTCTTCTTTTTCTTCTTTTTCTTGCTCTTCTTCTCGGACGGTTCTTCAGATGGTGCTTCCGATGGTGCTTCCGATGCAGCGTCGTTCAGGACAAGGTCCGCAGTTTCTTCCGGCTGAGATTCAGCAGGGGTGCTCTCGGCTACAGGCTCATCAGGCATATCTAAAGGGTGTCCCTCGGTCTGCTTGGCATCCGTGGGGGGTACATCCTTCGCAGTGTGATCATCGGTTGGAACATTGGAAGCTTCTTCGGTAACTGGTGCTTCGATGCTGGCAGTAGATTGGTCAGGAAGCTGGGGCTCGGGCGCCAGAACAGATGGCTCGACACTGTCCGTCGCGGTGTCTTGCGCTTCTCCATTCTCAACGAAAGAAACTGATTTTCTCTTCTTCTTTTTCTTGGACTTCTTGCTGCTAGCGGGCTCTACACCTTCATCCGCAACTGCTGCATCTTGCTGTTCTATAGGCTGAGCTGTGTCGACAGTGTTGTGGCTTTCCTGAGTTTCTTCTGCTATTGGCAATGGTGTCGAGTTTACAGGATCTTCGGTCGATTGACCAACATCCTGCGTTTCACGTTCATTGGAGAGCAAGGGGATTGCACTTGTATCAGACGTTCTCTCGGCAGTAGTCTCTTCGCTGGCTTGAGGAACATCTTTGTCCTGAGCTTCCTCGGGCTTCTCTGATGCGTTGTCTGTTTCAGAGGAGCCTGGAATAGGGGCTTCGGCGGTGGTTGCTTTCGCCACTTGCTCAGCAATCTGCTTCTCAGCTTCACGGGTGGCTCTCTCTTCTGCTCTTCTTGTGGCGTTCTCCTCAAGAGCTGTGAGACGTGCTAGGTCCTTCTTGAGGAGACGACCCTTCCTTTTCGATTTCTTTTCAAGGATGGACTCCATTTCGGCGGTCTCACTCGCTGCCTCGACTTCTTCTGCTTCACGAGCAGCCTTTTCTTCAGCCTCACGAGCCTCCTCGGCAATTCGCTCAGCATCCAAAACTTCTACAGGAACAGCATCATTTGCGGGGGACTTGGCGGTGAGACCATCAGAGACTTGGGCTGATCCTTCAGACGTGGATTCCTTCACTGGCTCATTATCGGTCTGAGACTGTTCCTTGGCCTCGGGTTCAAGCATTGACTTGTCATCAAGCTTGGATTGGTCTGGAGTCGGGTCGACCTGCGGCTGTTCTTCATTTTGAGGTTCAGCTAGCTTCTCATCATTTCGTGACTGATCCATAGTCTCAGTTTCACGTGGCTTGTCGTCGGTTGTTAGCTGTTCCTTGAGCTCAGGCCCATTTGCCGGCATGTCATCAGTCTCCGCTTTCTCTGTTGTCTCGCTGGCCAGTGTCTGATCCTTGATCTCGGTCCCAGCTGGTTTGTCATCAAGCTGGGGCTGATCCTTGGTCTCAAGTTCAGCAGGCTCATCGTCGGGCTTCGATTGATCCTCAAGCACAGATTCATTTACTGGCTTGTCCATAACCTTAGGCTGGTCATTGACCTCGTCGGTCTGTGGCTGTTCCTTCAGATCAAGCTCATCTACTGGCTTGTCATCGGTTTGCAGGTGTTCCTTGGGCTCAGGTTCATCCACCGGCTTTTCATCAGTCTTGGGTTGATTTTTGGTCTCGTCGGTCTGTGGCTGATGCTTGATTTCGAGTTCAGTGGGCTTGTCGTCGATTTGTGGTAGTTCCTTAGTTGCATCGCTCTTTGGCTGGTCACGGATCACGGATTCGTCTACTGGTTTATCATCGATGGCAGGTGGCTCTTTGGCCTCGGTCTCAACAATGCTGCTGTCGGTCTGCAGCTTATCTTCAGGCTTGAACTCCTTTGCATGATCAGGCGAAGCTTGCTCCTCGGGACTTGGAACAGATGCCTCGGCGGTTGGTTTGTCGGACATTAATTCCGCTTCGTCGGCCTGTGGTTGCTGAGGAATATCATCTTGCTTGGTCACGTCCCTCGGCTGGTCTTCAGTGGACTCGGCCTGACTCGCTTGACTCTTCTTCTTCTTCTTCTTGTTTTTCTTGGCCTTCTTCTTGGAACCGGCTTCATCGATCTCCACGTTTTCAGACGGAGCTCCTTCAGTAGGGTTTACCACATCGTCCTTGGTGATTGTGCCGGGTTCTTCTCGGACAGTCTGAACAGGTTCGACTTCGTGCGGTTTGGCCACGTCCTCTATTTTTGGCTCAGCAGGTGTTGATTCAAGGTCTACTGCTGCCACAACCAGGTTTTCTTGGGTATCCTGAACAGGCTTTAGGTCGATGGGCTTTTCTATTTCTTCAGAAGCAGGCTGGAAATCCTGTGACTCAGCAGACTTCGAGGAATCGTCCTCGGTTATCTTGAGTGGGCTCTCTTCGACGGCTTGTTCCACCACGGGTTCAAGGGCTTTTGTGGCATGATCCTGATTTGTCTCGCCAGACTGTCCTTCCGTGACGATTTGATCCTCAGCAATATCACGGCTGAGCTTGTCGGAGTTATTCTGTGGCTCGTCAATTTGAGAAGCTTCCGGTTGAGACTCCTCTAGAGGAGCACTATCTTGAGAAAACAGTGGCTCAGAGACAAAGGAATCGAATTTAGGTCGAGTTACATCGTCGACAGCTATCTCTCGGCTCAGGTCCGCAGCGGGTGTGTCAGGCTTGACATCGGCAGTCTCTGGCTTCTCGGCGCTTTCGGCATCCAGCTTGTCGTTAGCCACTAGATCACGACTCAGGCTCGTGTCAGGAGCATCAGACTTGACATCAGACTTGACATCAGTCACACCCGGCTTCTCAGCGGTTACAGGATCAGCCTGGGTTGGAGTATCGGGCAGTGTGGTATCAGATTTAGCTTGTTGGGGTTTGTTCTCTGCCTTGGACTGATCCTGAAATCCCCACATCCTCTTGAAAGCGGAAATTCCAGCCGTAGAGGGAAGAGCACGTAGGGCTGATGGAAAGTATCTCTGGCTAGGGCTACCATTTCGTCCTTCATTAGAAGAAGATGGTCGAGGGCTGCTGGGAGGTGAATCATCAATCCCTCCATCGTCAGGCTCAGGTGCCACAACGGGGGGCAGTGATTTTCCACGACCAAACCGCCAAGTGCTTGCATTCATTGGTGGCATAATTGGTGGGGGTGTTTGAGTCTTGTTGAGTTGAACGGTCTTGGCAGACTCAGTCTTGGTTTCCGGCGCCGTAGAAGGTCGTTCTTCCACTAGGCCTCGAGTCAAATCTGGAGATATTTCATTGGCTTGTGTCTTTTCGACAGGAGCAGATTCCTCAGGGCGGGAAATTTCTGTGTTGTCGATGGCTGGTTCGTCATCGGCCCTGTTGCTCTTCTTCTTCTTTTTCTTCTTCTTTGACTTTGAAGGAGAGGTAACGTCGTCCTGTGTTGGCTCGACAGGCACCTCAGGAGCCGGCTCAGGAGCAGCAGTCGGCTTGTCTTGCATTTCCTCAGGGACATCAACGGCCTCAACAATGGCATCAGGCTCTGCCCAGGCATCGAAAGCATCTGCATCGACAACGGGCTCGGCTATGGCATCTGGTAGCGATTTTGTAGCAGAATCTAAGCCACTTTCAGCAATGGGTTCAACGGGTTCAACAGGAGTCTCGGCTGGGGTCTCGACGATAACATCTGGCTCTGTCCAAGCAGCAAAGGCATCTTTGTCGGCTTCAGGGGTCGGGGCTGGAGCTGGGTCTTCAGTTTCAGTCACTGTAGGTCCAGCCTTGGCTGCTTCCTCATCGGCTTGCTGCTGAGCTTTACTCTTTTTCTTCTTCTTCTTGCTCTTGGACGGAGACTCCTTGGGGTCTTCAGCGATTTCCTCAGCCATGGTCAAAGGAGTTGTAGAGGTGTTTTCTGTGTCGGGTTGAGGTTCAGCAGAAGAGGGAAGTGTACGATCAAGCTCAGGCTCAGCAATCACAGGTGTGTTCGTGATTTCTGGATCTTTTTGCACACCTTCTGCATCTTGTCGGGTGGATGGTCCTTGATGAGCTGGCAAAATCTCGTCTACAAGCTCAGAAGGCTCTTTAGGCTCCATGGTTGCGGGTTGCTGCTCTTGAGAAACCACAGGTTCTTGGGCATCGATGGTTTTGGGAACATAAGAGTCCTCGATAAGTGATTCAGGAGCATGGTCTGGTACTGGTTCAACAAGGGACTCGGTTCCAGTGGCTACCGTCGTCGTTTCAGGGGGTTGATGCTTTGCGGAAATGTCTTCGTCGTCTTCGTTTTGTGCAGTTTCGATGGCCTTGCTGGATTCCTGTGGAAGGACTGCGGCATCAAATGAATCTTTGATGATGGGTTCCAGGCCCTTCTTCTTGAGCTTCTTCTTCATGTTCTTTCTGTCCTTGGCGGTCATGCTTTCCCACTCTTCTGTGGTAATTTCATGTTCCTCACGTTGGCTAACAGGGCCTTCTGGCTTCGCTTCAGCTGCTTCGATGACTTCAGAAGTGGGCTCAGGAGCAGCTTCAGTAACAGATGCCAGTAGAGGCTCGACGATAGTTTCAGGAGCAGGCGTAATCAGGGTGATGTCAGCCTGTCGAGCATCGTCTCTGGTGTTCTCTGTCGCAGATTTGGGCAGGGTCTCAACAGCAGGCTCCATTGCTGGGACATCTTCAACCATGGGTTCAGAAACAGGTGCACTGTTCAGCTCCCGGTTGGTCTCACGAAGGCCGCTAGCAGGCTCTCTGGAAGCTCCATTTTCCAGCTCACCAACGGGCTCGACTATCTCAGGGGTGGCATTTGTAATGGATTCGGTAAGTGACTCTTGTGTTGGGTGGAAACCAGAGTCAATAGCCGGCATTGCCACATCCCCGGTAGTCGATCCTCCTGTGAGGTCTCTAGAAGATTCCTCGGCAGGCTGCTCGAAAGAATCAATTCCAGGGGCGTGGTAGACAGGGTACGTATCCTCAACCTTATTATCCACGACAGACTCATTGAAAGGCTGGGGGCCATATTGAACAGTGGGTTCCAATGCATCAATGCGTTGTTCAACAGTGGGTCCCTCAGTAGTAGGCTCCTCAACCTCAGGATTTTCAATCGCGGGCTCCTGAGCGAGGATACCGAGAAGTTCAGTCACAGATCTAGCGGAAGGCTCTTCGTGTGTAGATTCCTCGACGGTAGGTTCCTCGACAACAGGCTCCTTGACAGTGGGCGACTCGATTGGAAGACCAAGAAGTTCAGTCACCGATTCAACAGAAGGCTCTTCGACAGGAGATTCCTTAGTAGTAGGCTCATCAACCATAGGCTCCTCTATGGTGAGCTGCTCGATGGCAGGTTCCTGAATAGTAGGCTCATCGGTGGGAAGACCAAGCAGCTCAGTTACGGAGTCAACCGGCGACTCCTCAGCGAGAGACTTCGCGGCAGCACGTTTCTCGATAGCAGGCTCCTCAGCAGGTGTGGCAATGGACTCGGTGGCAATGGACTCGGTGGCAATGGACTCGGTGACAGGCTCAGCGACAGGCTCAGCGACAGGCTCAGCAACAGGCTCAGCAACAGGTTCAGTAGCTGGGTAATATGTAGGTTCCTGCACGATGGGCTCCTCAGTTTTAACCGTTGAGGTAGGAAGACCAAGAAGCTCAGTTACCGAGTCAATTGGAGGCTCCCCGACAAAGGACCTCTCAACAGCAGGCTCCTCGACAAGGGGCTCCTCGACAAGGGGCTCTTTGGCAATAGCCTCCTTGGCAGGATGGTCAACGGGCTCACTGACAGGCTCGGTAGCCGGGTAGTATGTAGGCTCCTGTACGATAGGTTCCTCATTTGTGGCCTTTGAGGTAGGAAGGCCAAGGAGCTCGGTTACTGAGTCAATTGGGGTCTCCTCGGCGAAAGACCTCTCAGCAGCAGGCTCCTCGACAACAGGCTCCTCAGCAGGAGTAACAATAGGCTCAGTAGCAAGCTCAGTAGCAAGCTCAGTAGCAAGCTCAGTAGCCGGGTAGTAAGTAGGCTCCTGTACGATAGGTTCCTCAGTTGTGGCCTTTGAGGTAGGAAGACCAAGAAGCTCGGTTACGGAGTCAATCGGTTGCTCTTCAACAAGAGCCCTTTCAGTAACAGGGTCGTTTGTGAACTCCTTCGCAATAGCCTGCTCAGCAATAGGCTCCTCGATGATGGGCCCATTAACAGCAGGCTCCTTGGCGGGGAGACCAAGCAGCTCGGTTACAGAGTTAATCGGGGGTTCTTGAACAAAAGACCTCTCAGCAATAGGCTCTTCAGCAACAAGTCCTTTGGCGGCGGGCTCTCGGGCGACGGCTTCTTCAACGACAGGCTCCTGAACGGGAATGGCCACAGGATAGGTTATAGGCTCGTAACCATACTGAACTCGTGGGGAAGGTCTGTCATCAAAGCTAGACGCAAGGGCCCGGAAGACATATGCGCCAGGTGAGCTCGGCTCCGAGTGGCCCTCGAAAGCGTCGGAGAAATGCTCATCAGCGGACTCGAGGTCGTCTGCTCTCTCTGTGGGGGAATCGGCACGTTCCTTGCCTCGGATAACAGCGGCGGCAGCCAGAGCAGCGGGAATAGCCATGGCAGCAACGTCAACCGGTGAGGGAGTAGGAGAATACAAATCACGGTCCATAACTTTGCTGGTAGACTCGACAGGCAGAGGGAGAGAAGTGTCAAGCTCCTCCGTGATCTCATCGGCAGCTTGAGAATGTTCTGGGACTGGAAGTACAGGCATGAACTCTGCACGAGGGGTGGTCTCCTCGGATCCAGCGTCAGAGTCCTTTTCATGTTGTTGAGAGAGCTGAGTATCAACACGAAGATCAGGTCCGATGAAGTTAAGTTCATCGCCGAAATAATCGTCGTTATGTTTGAGGAACTCCGACTCTGGTGAGTTCTTCGCAGAGGTCTCACTGGGTTCACTGGGTGGAAGAGCAGGAAGTACTGATCCAGTCGTGGGTTGATGTCTGGAGTGCTCAAGAAGATACAAAGGCATGATCTCACGGGTGCTGTCCCACGAGGTTGGGCGAGCAGCTCGTCTTGACATGACTACGGCATCTGAGTGAGAAGCGATAGGGGAGCCACCTGGAGAGACCTTGAAGCTCACAGGAGAGCCAGGGTTTGACCTATTGCCCAGACGAAGCGCGATAGGAACAGCAGTTCGGCTGGGTGACTTGATTGGTGTATCGAAAGCACTGCGACGACGCTGGTGAGACCACATATCCCTTCGCATGGTGCGCTCTTGAGGAGGGGTATCAGGTCGACTGTCTGGGAGGGGAGGCAAGTCCTCGGGATCAGAAATAGGGCTGGAAGGTTCGCTAGGAGGTAGGGGAAGAAGGTCGCCGTATTGAGGGTCAATGGCTGGTTTGATGACACGGGACACAACCTCAGGGTCAACCAGTTCGTAGCTTCGCGCTCGGCGGTGCCCATCACGAGAAACAGAATGGTACTGGTTCGAAGAGGCATCGGCGGCGTTGGAGCGAGTAGCATCGGACGCAATGATGGTCGCTGCACTCGCTAAGCCGACACCCGCGCCAAGGGTGTCGGCATTACCTAAAAAAGAATCCTTTTTGTCTTTGCGTGTTTTGAAAAGACTGGAAAGAACGCTGTTGCTTGCTCGCTTCTCTGGCGTTCTACGTTCTTTGTGCTCCTTGTCCCGACGGGATGAGCCAGGACTAGAGGCGACTGACTTTGCATCGTCGTCATCGTACCGAGAAGACTTTCTTCGGTGTCCACGCGATTCAGAAACGACAGAACTGACGTCTCTGTCGTCGAAGAGGTCACGCTTGCGGTCTGATGGACTGTCTTTGCTATCATCGAAGTCGTCCTCGTTTCCAGTTCTGCGTTTAGACTTCTTGCTTCTCCTGCTGCTGGTGCTACCAAGGGAGATTTCAGAAGCCGCGAGTGAGCGACTCGGCGAGTCATATCCATAAGGATGGCGCTTGGAACTCTTGGGTCTCTCCTCCTCGTCATCAGATCTTCTGTGACGAGAACGATCTCTTGACTTGTCCCTTGTTCTGTCCCTCGATCTATGGTCTCTTGATCGGTGATCTCTTGATCGGTCTCTAGAGCGATGCCTTGAGCGTTCTCGCGAGTGGTGTCTTGAACGATCTCTTGAACGGTCTCTCGATCCGTCTCTTCTTGATGACCGTCGATCGACAGGGTCCAAGTTCGCATAGTCCCGGTACTTGTCGTCACGAGACTCGCGGTCCTTCTTGTGCTTTCTTGAGTGCTTGGATTCGTCAAACTCATCATCTGGCTGAACATCCCGAGATGAATGCCCATGGTGGGAAGGCTTCGCAGATGAAGAAATGCGAGATCGATCGTCGTCATAGTAGTCATCCTCATTCAGCTGCTTGCGAGACTTCTTGGGAGTATCCCGCTCGTCATCAGAATGGACATCCCGGGATGGTGTGTCCCTGGAACTCGAAGAAGCAAGGGCGCCAAGGGCGAGAGCGGGCACAGCTACCTTCGCAATATCAGCTGCACTGAAATCACGACTGCGGTCTTCGTCGCGTGGAGCACTCCAATCACTGTAAGATCTTGAGTCTCTGGCTGGCAGGTCTCTAGAAGGGTTTGTGCTGTAGTCAAAGGGAGCAGGAGCCCTTGAGCTAGAGTCGTCTTCTAGGTCGCGGCTCTTACGGTCCTTCTTCTTGCTCTTCTTGCGAGTGGTATCTTCCCAAACCTCCTCGACTGCCTCTCGTGCTGGCGAAGGCTCAGCTCTTACGTTCTCGATCTTTCCGTCATCCTGAACAACAACGACATCGGACTTGTCTCGCTTGCGCTGTTCTCGCTTGCTCAACTTTGTGTTGTCCGGGCCGTTGTCAGGTAGTGGCACATCTTCAGGCTTTGGCAGTCCTGACTTGATGTCACGTTCGCTGCGGTAGGGCGTGAAGGTCTTTTCCTGGGGGGTCTCAACCTCTCCAAGAACGAAACCCTGCTCAGGTAGGAGCTTCGGAACGTTGGGATCGTTCATCTCAGGGACAGGGTCGACATAGGGACGTTTGTACCAGGAATTGCCGTTTGCACTGCCGTGAGAGTCGCCATTCGCCTCTTGGACACCTGGGGGAGAGTCGCGTCGACTGTAGGAGGGGTCCTCGATAACGATGTCAGGGTTGAAGCCAGTGTCCTTCAGGCCAGCGGCAAGCGTAGCGGCAAACTCCAAGTCGTCTGCATAGCCACCGGGCATTTGGCCGCGGTGTGGGCTTGCAGGTTTAGGCCCAGGAACAGGGGGCTCTCGGCTTGCGTCGTCCTCAAAAGCTTCAGCTCTTTGAACAACGACATCTCGGCTAGTGTCGTCTGGGAAGTTCCTGGGGATGTCTGACTGCTTGGATGGCACTTCAACATCAGGTTCATTATGCGGCTCGGCGCTGCTACCTGCAAGTGCGGCGGCGAGAATACCCCAGCGGCTCGCCTTGTTCAACTTAGGCCTGGGCTTGTCGGGAGACTTATCCTTAGGGAAATAGTTCTCAGTTTCACTTCGAGCTTCTGGTGTGTGAGCATCGAATCTCTTGGTCTCGTTCTCGCCCCAGCTGACAGACTTGGCAACCGAGACTGGTTCACTAGCGGGAAGGATCTCTCCTTTGGGTCCGATGATAACATCTTCAGCGTCGAAGCTCTCCTCCTTCTCCTGCTTTCTCGCCGGCGGAGCTGGTGTAGGCTGGCGGCTCGCGGCAGGAGTAGGATAGATCAGGTTCAAGACAGGGCGCTCTCGTGAGATATCTCTTTGCCTCAGAACCAGAGCTGAAGAATTGTCACCAAGATTTCGGAAACGGCGTTCCTCTTGAGGGTAAATCTTGTTGTCAATCTTCACATCTGCATCAGGTCCCTCATAGATGCTCTTCTCGGCGTGCTTGTCCTCCATGGCAGGTGGTGTAACAATAGTGAATGATTCATTCTTGTCATCTTGCCACTTATCAACCACAGATGGCTCGGGAGAAGCACTGCGCGATCGCATCTCGTCAGAAGCAATCTTTCGAGCGATGCAGGACTCGCGGTAATAACGGTCTGCTTCCTCCTGCACTGCATCCTTGCGGCCTCTTGATTTTTTCTGTGACTTGCCCTTAGAAGATTTGCTCTTTCGCTGTTCTTTCGAGCGCTCGTGTTCAACTGCGACTGCAGATGCGACTGCGACGGCTGCGACAGGAATGGTAGCCTTCTTAGCCTCATCTAGAATAGATTTGGCTTCGCGCTCCTCCTGCTCGTACTCACGACCAGTTTGAGGCTTACGTTGCTGGGGCACATCCTGAGAGTCCCGGTGGTAATCCTCGACCATGCGCTCAATCTCGAATGAGTCGCGTCGACTCAACCTAGCGTCAGCTGCTGAAGTCCTTGGCGGAGAATCGTCAAAGTTGGGCTCGCGGTCAACAGTGACAACATTAGGTGTAAGGGGGCGTCTGGGGGTAGTTCTTTGAGACAATGTGAAGGCATCGTCTGCAACTTGGTACTGGAAAGGATCAACAAAATCGGGATCAGATTCAGTCGGCTTCGTAATGGCCTGGTGGCCTGCACCAGTGGGAAGAGGAAGGTCGCGACCATCTCCGGTATCATTACGCTGGCTGCTCTCGGCTTGAACGACAGGCTCGTTCATTACCTTGAACTCTTGTCCATGCTCAATGCGAAATGGTCCGCCTTTGCCTTGATCCCGCTGAGGCTCAACCACAATGTCGTACTTTTGCTTCTCCTTCTTCTCCTTTCTCTCCGTAGGGGTATCGTCATGATCATTATGTCGTGAAGACTTTCGGTCATTATTATAATTTGGGATAACTGCTGCAGGTTCCGTTTCGCGGTAATCACGTTCCCATTTCGCGTTTCGCTCACGTTCATGCTCAAGGGATTTATGCCATTGTTCCCAGTCGTCGTATTGCCGTCCAGGATTTTGGTTCTTGTATCTTTCAAGTTCTCGAGCTTTTTGGCGCTCAAGCTCATTGAGTTTTTGTTGCTCCACTTCTAGGGCTTTCTGGCGCTCCATATCGATCCGCTCTTGTTCTCGGCGGTCTCGGCTGTCGCGGTCAAACTTCTTCTCGTCATGGTGCTCACGGCTGTCCTTTCGCGATGAAGATGCCAGAGCCGCGCTAGCTGCTGCAGCTGCAAGACCAGCAGCAGCAACTCCACTCCAACTCTTTCCATTAGACTGTTCCTGTCTACGCTGGCGAGAGTCCTTGCCATTTACATCCTCATACTTCTCAGTCTCATAGACTTTTGAAGACACAGGGAGCTTGGGGACGGGCTGTTGCAGAGGGACTGCGGCAGGTCGGGATGAGGAATCTTGATGGGGGCCGGAAGCTGAGAATTGTGCTGAGCCAAACCGATTGTGACCGGGAGCAGGTCCAAAAACAGGTCCAGGAGCAGGTCCATAAGCAGGTCGGGGCAAAGAATCTTGCTGTGGACCGGAAGCTGAGAACTGTGCTGAACCAAATCGGTTATGGCCAGGAGCAGGTCGAGGTGTGGATTCTTTAGATTCTTGCTGTGGGCCAGAAGCTGAGAATTGTGCTGAACCAAATCGATTATGACCGGGAGCAGGTCCAGGAGGTCCAGGATACGAATCACGCATTTGAATTGGGGAGCCGAACACGAAATTACCAGAATCGCGACGGTATGCCTCGGCCTGTCCTTCGTCTCGGAAACCACATGGGGTGTTGATTGAGCCTCTCAGAGAGTTGTAAGGGCCAAAGAGGCGGGGGTCGACAATAGAGCCTCTGTCTTCGAATCGACGATACTCTGAAGATTGGCTGTAACCCGAGTGTCTTCGGGAATCCGCCATGGCGGCTGCGGCGGCGGCACCTCCGGCTGCGGCTGCAACGCCAACGGCGGGCTTGATAGACTCTCCAACGGTCCCGTATGCAAGCTCTGAGTCGCCAGCTGAGGCTGCGTCATCGCTGCTAGACGTGCCTTCGTCGTCAGAGGCATCTTCCCATTCTGACCCGTCATCGGAAGTGTCGACGCGGTGCTTGGATTTACCCTTGCCCTTGGGGCTTTGCTTCTGTTTGCCAAAGCGGGAGCCCATGGCGACGCCAGCTGCACCAGCTGCGAGCCCTAGGGCAGCCGCTTTGCCCTTACCTGATCCTCGGCTGGAAATGCGCTGCTCGTCTTCCTTGGACCGCCGGGCTAGGTCAGAGAGCTGCTGGCCAAGAGCCATAATCTCCTCGTCGGCAGTCTTCTTTCGGGGAACCGGTCGCGATGCGCGATCGGAACCACCAGAGCTACGTCGCCGATGTCCATTGCTGGGACCTTGGCCTGAAACAGATCCATGGGTTTGGCCAGAGGCACGGCTTTGACTGCGAGGGCTTAGAGTACGGCTCTTTGGCTGCTTGACATATCCGTAGCCGTAGGCCAAGTCAGAGTTTACGGATGAGGAAGAAGAGTTTCCAAAGTAGAGAACGCGGCGCTTCTTCTGTTTCTTCCTGTGAAGGCGCTGTTTCACACGGTCCGAGGGCGCCTTGAAAAAAGTACCAAAGACACCACCAAACTGCTTGGTGTCCTTGAATCGCGAAATGTCCAACAAGGATGTTGAGGTGTCGCTTGAAGAAGAGAATACACTTGAGGGCGTCTGCGGTCGTTGCGGGGTTTGTTGCGATTGTCGAGGGTCATTATACGCCGGCATTGACTGAGGTGGCGCGTTGGGGTAGGGATGTGGTTGTTGTTGATGATACTGCTGAGGCGGCGCTGGAAAACGTGGATATTGCGGCGACTGTTGGTACATTGGAGATTGGTCATAACGTGGGTCATACTGTCGTGGCGGAGGGGTTTGTTGATACATTGGCGAGAATGGCTGTTGCGGGTATTGCGGTTGTGGTGGTGGTTGATGTGGTGGAAGCGCCCGTGGTGTTTGCTGACGCGAGTCTCCCTGATCCTGATCTCTTGGGTCGCGATCGCGAGACTCGTACCAGCGGCGGCGAGAGCCCTCGGGGTCCCGAGAGCGATTATCTCGCTGCATTGCGCCGGGTTTTACGGGTCTACCGACGTTGCGATTAATTATTCAGGGCTGGTTTTTGGAGGTATTCTTATGTTTTGATGGTGTTTTGTTTTCGGGAGCTCTTGGCCCAGCCTTCATGGGGGGCCCCGTTCGTCGCGGGCCCGCTAAACAGGCGGTGGCTGGGGTCGCACGTCGTTGGTCGAGCTCAGTGGAGATTTAATAGGTAGGTGGGGATCGATCTAACTTGACCTTGGCTTTTTGGGATACGAGAGATAGAGAGGCCTGGGCGCTAAATAGCTTTGTCTGTGTAGGTTAGATGGACATGACGATCCTCAGAGCTCCGTAGTTAGTTGTAAGAGACAAGCTCCAGGCGCGCCAAGAGTGGCCTGACGTTGAGGGCGTCGACTTTAATTAAACTCCATCAACAGCTCTTGGATGCCTCATTGCTCATTCAGCTCGCCACACATTGGCTAGCGTCGCCCGATATATCCACCCGAAGATCAATTGCCAGCTGGCAAGTTATCTGCAGACTGCAGTCACACGTGCAGCGTCCGATGTTAAAGGCCCGCCAGGTCTACCCTGTACAGTCAAAAATCGATGATACTCTTATCTACAACCGTGATCGCACGCAGTATTTAGCTCAGTTGAGTTGTGTAAACTCATATCGTTTCTGTTGCAAATCACTGATTTAATACTCCGTATATTACATTTGTGTGCATTTACTCAAGAAGGCGTTCCATTGTTATCCGTCGTTAACTAACACGAGCCTCAAGCTAGTATGGTGGTCTAAGGTATGAATGCATATCCACCTCCCCAACATCTCGCGAATCTCCCAAGCATACACACAAATCCACCCTCTTTCTCCCCGAATGACGCCAACGTAGCATGATCGCCTATGAATAAAACCAGCCAATACCTTGTATTTTACACCCAATTTATCGACCCATAATATGTAATAAATCAAACCAAACCCGTTCGTTCATTCGTATCAGTGGCCGCTCACGACCTTCACCTTGACGTGCATCCCCTTAGCGGGCCGGGCCGTTATACCGCCCCGAATTTCCACATTCTTCTCGTCCATCTCCTCCGGGTTCGCCAGCGTGAACTCGAACCGCCCAATCCACGCCGCTAGCAGACATGCGAACTCTGCCTTTGCGAAGCTCGATCCAATGCACGATCGTGGGCCATGCAAGAACGTGAGGAACGCATAGTTGCTGTTCGCTCCCCCACTCGCCGCCTTGCGATCGGCCGTGCCGCTCTCTCCACCAGAGGGGAGCCACCGCTCTGGGTTGAACTGGCCTGCGTCGGGGCCCCAGAGAGTTTCGTCGAAATGCGTGGCCCATGGTACAATGACGATGCGTGTGCCGCGGGGGATTGGCTGGCCGAGAATGGTAGTGTCGTAGGCGGCATCGCGCATGGTCAACGGTACGGGAGCGTAATAACGTAGGACCTCGCTGCACACGGCGTTGAGGTAAGGCATGCGGTCTATGTCGAGACTGGTGATATCGACATCTGAGTCCACGGATGGCAAACGCTCGCGCACCTCTTCTCGAAGTCTGCTTTGCATATCGGGGTAGCGTGAGAGCATGTAGATGGCCCAAGTCATAGCCGACGCCGTCGTCTCGTGTCCAGCAGCGAGGAACGTCATAAGCTGGTCAACTAGATTCTCATCGGTGAAGCCACCGCTCTCAAGAGCCACAGACAGGATGTCAACGTCGGCTTGCTCCTTGTTAGCAATCTTTGCCTTCTTCTCCTGAATAAGGTCATTGCAGACTGCTCGAATTTCGCTGGCTGCCTTGGCAATGTCCTCGTTTCGACGGAACGGTAGCTTGGTAATGAACTGCATCGGGATAATCATGCCAACAAAAGCCAGGAACTGAGCTTGGCGAGACGGTTTAAAGATCTGCTTGTACGTCTGAGCGAGCTTGTTGTCCGGGTTCTGGACAGCGCCAAAGTCTCTTCCCATACCAGCAAGGCCAATGATATCAAGCGTAGCTCGTGATGCCCAACTAGATATCTCCACCTTGGCCTGGTCGTCTTGCCCAAGCTCTGCCATCATCTTCTGTGTCACCTCTCTAGACTTGCGCCAAAAGACTGGATACAGATTCTTGATGTGGCGAAAAGCAAACGCAGGTGTTAAACTACGACGCTGCATCTTGTGCTCATCGCCTTCAGCAAGCAAAACGCCAACTCCAAGGATGCGACCGATAGACCAGCGAAAGTGGCTGGGCTTTGGGAAAGCGTAGCTGTTGGTGACAAGTACCTCAGCTAATGCCTTGGGCGAGCACACCATGACTCTCTCTTGATTAAAGAAACCTCGGTAGCAAAGGAGGCCATCATGAGGAATCTCAGCGGCCCTAGATATGGTTTGTTTGTTAGCAGCTAACCCACTAGGCTGGGATATAATGTAGACACATGTTCACATACCATTCTCGCATTGGTACACCTGAAGGCTCGGCCATAATCTTCTTAGACTGTCCCATCAACCAATGATTGCCTGAAGGTCCAGGAAGATGTCGCAGCGGCGACACAAGTAACGGGTAAATCCATCCTGCCCAAACGCCCCAAATCGAGAGACTCGCAAACCAAAGCAGCGAAAAGTGTCCCAAGACTTGGCCTCTGGACCAACTGTCCTGAGCCCAGGCGATTGACAGAGTACTTATAGCAGCAGTGGCCGTGATGGTTTCCCAAGGCAGGCCCATGATGGCCCGACGTAGATAGATATATTTATGCGCAGGTAAGGGGGGATGAATTTGTTAATTGATGGTTGATGGAAGCTGCGTGTATCACGCAATATTCAAACACGCTACGAGAAACCACCTGCGATGAGTGTGTGTTGCAAGTCTCAAAAGGGTACGAATACAGCGACAGGGAATGGTCTTATAAGCGATTCGTCTATCTCGAACACGGTGGAGATGCTCAGATGTCCAGTTTCATCCAAGAACCCAATACTCGAGCCGTCAGAGATATGAATGGTTACCTCGGACTTTGCGTAAACTAAATGGACCGAGTCGGTCTCTGATATGCGCCGTTCCAACGGACATCATAGACTAGACACAACTCCAACTCCAACTCCGACCGACCGACTCTTAGCTGGATGCGGAGATCGTCGTTTTCACGCTAGTTCTATTCCAGTATTGGTTGCGGATATTGTTTGGCTCAGCGTTTATGGGCTTAGATCTGTGTACATACATACAATCAACTTCTTTTTGTTCCGTTGGGTCAAGGATAAACCGAAACAGGCTTCGGGGAGTAGGTACTACACATACAGCACAGTTGTGCGTTATGCGCGCTGACTGAAATGTGTCTTTCATTCGATATTATCGCTAATTGCGCTACGTTAATAGGTCAAATCGCCCATCAATGGTTAAAGTGAACCCCAGTCCTGCGCCCCGTAAATACAGTTTCAGTCCCAGCCCAGGCAAAATCAACCAGAAACACCCCTATAAAAAAAAAACAGAATAACGACGAAAAATTGGTCGGGTGTACTTTCAACCATAGCTTTCCACCAATCTCAATGTCAAACCGTACCAGATGCGGCCTTGGGTGGCCTCGTGTGTTTGTGCTCCGCAAGCTGACCTGCCGCTTCCGCCTTTCTTCTGACAACTGAAGTTATGACGCCAATCGCCTCTGTACCCCATCCTCGTTGATACTGTAGCCATGCGCTTGCGCTGTTTACCAACTTGATCGATTGCGTCTTCGAGTGTAACGGGTGTCTTGCCCATCTGGCGGAAAATACTCCTAATGCCGGTTTTCGCGGTAGGTGAGATCTGGTGAAGTATCGGGACTCTCCATGCTCTCCTCAAAGGATGCACTTGTTTGTGCTGGTAATGAACTTCGAAGACTTCTAACCCTAGGATGCTGACCTTCAACGGCCTCTACTGGGTATGTAGGCAGCACTGGTGACCTGAGGGCCGCTGCTCCAGGCCGAAATTGCGTTTCCGTGCTGTGGTCTTGTACGATCGTCGATGGCTCGTTAGCAGCCTGGGCATTGTCCCCCATCCACTCTTGAACATGTCTTCCCGTAGATAATTGTGCAGGTTGCTCTTGCATAGATGGTAGTCCGGATCCAGTGACGGCAGTTTGTGAGGCCGTTTCGAAAGACACTGATCGATTCCGGGTTTCCGATTGTCTTGCAGCATCCACTGCAGTTATTCTATGTCGCGCTCGGATTCGACGGTGCTGGTGTTCATTTCCTTCTCCTGGCGGTGATCTTCTTCCTGTTGACCCCGAGTGTCGAGTTGGGGAGATATTTTGTCGCTCTGTGGTTAGGTAACTATCGAGAACTGCCCGATTTAGAGCTTCATCTGCCGCAATGGCGGACGACGTGCTGTTGATTACATCAATTGATTAGTCCAGTACATGAACTACAGCTTGAGTTCTTTACTTACCCAGGGGGAATATGTATGCCTCGCAATCTCATCAAATCCATATATGCTCTAGCAGAGCTACCACTTTGTGTTTTGGGGACCGCGTGGAGTTTGTCCCTGCAATACGGACAGCTATCCGAATCTTCAAACCACTTCTTGATACAATGATCACCGAAAATGTGACCGCATTTTGGCAATCGGAGAGGGACCTCCTTGATCCCTTCTGGAGCTTCGATGCCATACTCGTTGTAGCAAATGACACAACCTGGGGATATTAGCTTCAGTTCTATCCCACGGATCAACAAAATTCTCACATCGGTCTGCATCGGACAATTCTTCCAGTTTGACGGTTTGGAGCGACCTAACTGTTAGCTTGGATGCCACCATCTTGGTCGACACAGAGCCTCTGACAAGCTGCATTTGTCGAACGAAAGTATCTTCCATCTCGGGAGGTGATTCAGAGCTGCCTGTACTATTAAGGGCATGCTCAGAAGAGCCCTGGTAGCCTTCATCCTCGTCGTCTTCACGTCCAATTTCTGTTGCCATCATGCGAGATGCCGACCTGCGTTGTCGAGGATAAGATCGACGAAATCCAGATGATGGAGGGGAAGGTCCTAAGGAGGGGAAATATAAGTAATTGGCAAGCCATGCAGTCAACAGACGTCCACGAATCAAACAAGGTTACACAAACCCGCGGCCATGTATTACAAAAGTAGAGGTCAACGTGTTAGAAGGTACTTACTGGTTGGTGATGGTATGTTACCGAAAGGCCTGGGCGTTATAGAGGCTGCCAACATGTGGCCTCTTCTTGACGATGTCGGGTTATATGGTTGAGGGGGCAGCGGAGCTTGTGCAAAATGTGAAAAGTAATTGTTGTTGTTACTATGGCTCATACTATTTGCTCCAGAATCATGCGAATATGCAGAACGGTGCAGTGAATTGACTTCCTGGGACGGCCCGAGGGGCGGCATACCAAGATTGAACATAGGCGCCTGAAAATCAGACCTATTGGCAGGAATCTGATTTGCGAAAGCTGTATCATGGTGACTGTGATTGCCAGTACCGGATGTTATTGGCGAGGCGGGGACTGGCATACCGTTGCGATACGGTTGATTGCGGCCATTTGGTCGTGGTGGCATCGGGCCAGGCATGCCACCTGAGAAGGCACTCGAAGATGACAGGCCTAACATAGGTGGTAACATAGATGCATGGTGGCTGTACGAATCTGGAATGGAGTTGGCTCCGGGTGGTAGGCCATAATGATGCGAGTAGAGCTGAGGCAGGCTCGGGTTTTGTGTTGGCCATGGGTACGGAGGGTTATTTTGTGATTGAGGGTGAGATGACCAGTGATTCGAGGAAGAATGCACAGGATCGTATTGACCGGAGGGCCTGTTGTGGTTGTTTGGTAACATATAATCCATGGGATCCATAATGGGTGAGCCGCTTTGGTGTGATACCGGCCAAACTTGGCTTACTGGGACAACGGAGCTGCGCAGAACTCCAGTCCAGCTGCAGCTCAGTGAATGTCGACAGAGGCGAACGCAACCGTGACGATCAGGTCTGTGGTTGCGAGGTGTCGAATAGCACGAAGTGGGTGACAGCGAAACTGGCGAGAGGAAGTTGATTGCACGAGGGCCCAACCAAGTATGAGCTGGGTATGTGTATTCGTATTATAAGAGTGTTGGACTAGGACTATCGGTGGCACGCTGTAGTCACAAAGCGGTGATCGGGGAACGCAGAGAGGTTGTGGTCATGAGATCAGGCTCCCCGGACGCCGAGGCAGATGGAGTTGGAGTTGGAGAGTAGAGGAGAGAAGAGAGGAGCGGGAGCCAGGAGCGAGGAGAAGCACGCAGGCGACCGTGACCGTAAACGTGACTAGAGAGAAGCGGCTAGGAGTGAATCTGAATGAGTACGATGTGAGGGGCACTCGTTCGTTATCAGGTCAGGTATCTGCGACATACGCCGATGACGACGTAGTTTCAACTCTAGCGGCGGCGTACTGCGAGGGCCATGAGGCGGGGTGAGATCGGGTTGATTCTGCGTCTTCCAGATGATGGACTGGGGGGAGAAGAGAGGGAGAAAGAGAGCGGAAGAGAAGAGAGGAAGTGGGAGAAAAGAGGGAGAATAAATGAATAATGTAGAGATGGATGGGTGTGGGGGACAGAACAAGCGGAGTGAGAGACAAGTGAATGAAAATGCAAGTGAAAATGCAAAGAATAAAACGAATGCCACGTCTTGTACGAATGAGACTAGACAGACAAACAGACTCCCTGCGACTGGGAATGCGACTGCGACTGCGACTAGGTAGACGAGACGGAGTGATGATGCCGTGGGCTGCAGGGACAGGCTGGGGGAGAGAGATGGAGAGAGAGGCACTGTAGCAATAGAGCTAAATAAGGGTAAGCTACCTACTACTAAACTAAGGCGATGTAAGGTGAGGTGAGGTGATGGACGATGAATAATGAGTGATGAAGCGGAAGGTGCATTACGGGTCTTTGTCCACCTCTTGCACTATCAGATGTCTGTCCACGATCAAAGACTGACCGGGTTGGGCTGGGGCCTGTCTAGGACGGGTACCTCATGTAAGATATTATAAGACTTTATGTGTTGGCTTATTCTATTGAAGGGGGGTGTTTTTTGGTCACAAAAACATTCATCACAGACGGGGTGGCAGAGCTGCTGTGGACAGTGCCAACGCAGTGTAGGCATGTGTGTAAGATGGATATTGGAGCCGGAGCCGGAGCTGGAGCTGGATAGTAGATGGATGATGGATGACCAGAGGTTGGGCCAAAGAAAGGGCATCAATGAGAGGGAGAGTGGCCCCAAAGCGTCGGGGTTGCGAACGTACGAGGCGTTTAGGTAGTGTAGCAGAGGATTGAAATGAATAGGTAGCCAATGTCAGATTTCACGTTACGGGGGCATGAAACAGAATGGCGGCCAAGGACATTCACGGTAAGGGGGGAAATGGGAAAAAGAGCTTCTTTGTGTTTTACCCCAGGTGTATTTAGTCTACTGAAAAAGCAGCCCGACGATATCAATGCGTGCTGGTCAAACAAACAGGGAAATGGGAAATGGACCGTATGAACGTGCTACGTTTTCTTCCGAATAAATGCAGGGAAAACCCCCTAAAAGAAACCCCCTGCCAGGCGGGCGGGCTGGCTGGATGGGATGAGATGGTTTACACCAAATGCGACTTTTCGAGTCAGAATCGCTGCCGCTGTCGCTGCCGTGGTCGTAATCGCCAAGGTGCTCACGGAACGGATGTGATAATCAATTGCCGGCCGTGTTTGGTAAGGTAACAAGTGGAGAGAGAGAGCCATCAAAGTATCCATCCGTAAGCTTCCAAGTCAATGCGGGCCTGATGAATAAGTTTGGACGGCGGGATTCTTTCCATGGTTATGTTATGATAAGCGCAATGGGCGAGAATGGATCATGGATCACCGAGGCTATATGGACCTTGATAGTGACAGGCTGATAACAAGACTGAAATTGCCGAGAACCTCTCAGGTGCAGTGCAAGACGAGAACCAACCTCTTTCGACTTGAACAAGCGACGCTTCGCAGTATTGCAGCGTCACAGACCACAAACCGCCCGACCCGACTATTCCGCTATCCTGTTTTCTTACGGATACCTCCACTCCCTATGGCAAAGCAGCGCAGCAAAAACCGAAAAGAGTCATGACCATGGTCATGCGCAGGGAAAGTCTAGCCCGCCAGCTGCACGCACACACGCATGCACAGGGTAAAGGAACGAGAGTGTCAAGCCCAGCAAGCCAGCCAGCCCCAAGCCCAAGCCCAAGCCCAAGTCCAGAGCCGGCTACAACCCCTCCATCCATCATCGATCGAGCATTCTTTTTTGACCAGGGAGCATGAGAAACTCCAAGGCCCCCAAAGGAGGGGAGAGGATCGCTGGTTGCCGGAAATCATTTCCTCCATGAGTGCACATGATGTGAGAGGCAGAAGACATGATAGCAATGGATATCGACGTTAAAAGCCAATTGGGCTGTTCGGGGGTTCAATCCCAGAATGGTGTTAACTTTAGGTACAGTTACTCCACTGTGAACTGTGAGCAACCACTAATTAGTGGAGAACTTAGTCGTGGCCTCTAAGCCAGCAGACAGACATAAGGAACGAAACTCAATCACTTTCAGGGAACTACCATATTCAGCTGATCATGGTTCAGGTATAAGTTCAAGGATGTACAACCTGATTAGAAACAAAAGAAAGCAAAAAGTATCCATGCACCAACAATGCTTCCAACTAAAATTGCCTTGCCGTTCTACAGGGAACCATGCAAGACCTAAGCTCATAACCCCTCCCAAGATGCATCTCAATTCGGGCCCAGTCTATGACTGTGCTGCGAGTGCAAAGTACCAGTCAATGACAAAAACTCCCCTAGGACATTCCTCAGATTCCTCAGACCCCTCAGCAGCAGCAATGCATTCTCACCCACCTCTGGTTGGCGCCATGATGTGCCCAGGCGTAAACATGATCCATCATGTGAGCCTCTCGACTCGTATGTCTTGAGCCACCCATGATTTGCACGCCCAATGTAGGCCCACAAGCACACTGAGACAATAAATAAGTATTCATCATTGATTTAAATGCGCAACCTTGAGATTTCAACGCAAAAAAGAGACGGCGTAAAAAGCCCAACAAACCCCCATCATGGATGAGGGCCCGAAATAGCTTACCCGGCGTCAATATTGCGTTTATCTGACGTTTACTCCGTGCATTCAGAGCAATTCAAGAAACACTACACAAAGCAAAGTCCTACCCGAAACCTGACAAGATAAAAAAAAGAGTCCGGACATGATCATTCGCCACTTGGCTATAGCCGAGAGTAAGGAAAGCTGCATCGATAGTCACGCACAAAACCACCAGTATTATCTTTCACGACATGACCCTGCATCGTTGCGCAAGGGAAATGATATTGCCTCCAACTGGTCGCTCTACAAATAGCTTGGTCCAACTAAACCAACCGCACGTCCTCGTCTCAAGTCACGGTAGCATTGATTCCTTTTACGAACTATCCTGCATCAAACCACAAAACAAATTGCCCCTCCGTCCAGCTGTGGCTGCTTCTCCTCCGTATTGATAAATATGATGTTCTTCCCGACGGCACAGCCGAGCGGATACCCACTGCGAATAGCAAGCAAACATGGAACCATGAGAAGTAGCACCAACTAACGTCGAGGGTAATGAAGTGATTCAGCCCAGCAAACCCTCACGCGGACAACAGTACTGTCTCAAACTACTAACGTTAGACTCAGGCAATTGATCCGTATGAGTATTTCTCTTCCTGGTTACTAGCACGTCCAAGTCAACGCGCAGGAGCTCTACCTGTCGCACATTATTTTGAACACCCCATGCTTCACTTGAGTGTGTGATAAGGTGGCGGTCTATATAACAAACATGGGAACTTTATCTACGAACATCAGACAAAACGGAATACCCCGACTTGTGAAGACAAGGTTCATAGCAAGCCCCGACAATCCAATCACGTATAACTTATTTCAGACCGTCGTAACCCAACTCCCAACTCTCACGTCAACACTCACTCATAGTTCTCATAGCTGTCCATTCACATCGCCAGCAACCAGCAACATTGGATGGTCGCATTCCCAACCACCTAACCAGAAGACTCTCAAGGCCGCCGCGCCCCAGGTGTCTGTCTACCTACTCACCCACCTCCGCAGAATCAACAACAAACTGCAACCACTTTAAACACCCCAATGTAGGGGGACGAGACGAAACGGAAAATCCTCAGCCGGGTACAGAACCCTCAGCGCGTCTACGATCGCCTAACGGTGTCTATAGATCCTGGTTAGTCTCCCGGGAGAGAGAAGCGGCAATCTGGGGATCTGCGACAAAGCAAAAAACCCCAGGTAAAAATCATGAACGAAACTACGATATGACACACTCCATGGGCGTACTCAAGAGACTCAACATCTTATTCGCCGTCTCACCTCTTCAAATCCCGGCTGGCGATCACATACACTCGGAGGATTCGCTTGTTTGGGGGCCGGCATGATTCTTATTTCCTATTTGGGACATTTATACGCTTCGGCTGGAGACAAAGCTTGGGGCAACGCACAGCTGATACATAAATGACCCTCCCTCCCTCCCTCCCTCCCTTCCCCCTGGCCACGACATGTCGGAGCGAGGAGTACCGAGTATACATAAGGACGACTGTTTCTGCGAGTTCCCTGGGTTCCATCTTTCTTCCTGATATATCTCCAAGTAAAAAAAAAAAGGCTATATGTCATAACCCAGAAGGAAATACTAGAGACATACATACGGAGTACTCTTCGACACACGATACACGACACAATGTTACCGATTACGATGCTTTCACCATGACACCCTCGCCTCGGCTCGACGACACATGCTCTGTTTGGTTACGAATGCTTGTACTGCGCTACAAGCGTATGCTGACGGCCTCCACCGCCGTCTCGGATTATTGGGAAAGGGTCACACTGCAGCCAGGACTAAACTTCGTTCCGACACCACGATACAGACTTCGGCCCTTGAACGAATTCGGCCTCAAATGGTGTATTTTATTTCTTGGGCAAACGATACTTGCCGCCGGCTAGCTCCAACTTATTCTCCGCCACCTTTTCCGCCAGAAACTCCTGCAGTTCCTCATTAGTCCACGAGCAGCCATCCGGAATCAGCATCTTCATCATCATCAACATCTGCCCGAGGGGCATAGTCGGCGCCGAGTTCGTCAACATGCCAACGATAAACTGCCAGTATACGGTTCGACGCTCTTGCTCTTTAGGATCGATCTTTGGTTTGCGTGGAGAAGGCCGACCACCGTCATCATCAGGATCCGTATCGTCAGAACCGCCTGTTTCTCCAGCCTCGACCCCCTCGTCTAACCGCTCCAGGACCATGTAGGTTTGGTTACCAACGTCACGAATCACCCGCTTGGACACCCAAAATTTCAACGCGAGCTCGAGGAGGTCCTCATCGATCATAAGTTGTTGCCATATTCCGTTGAAAGTTCTCTGGGTGGGACCGGGTGGACCTTCATTGTTTTCATCCTGGAACGCGTAGATTACCGCAGCTTCGTATGTCTTGCATTCTAACTCAACCGAGCGGTCCTCAAAGTCAAGCTTGACAGTTGCCGAACCAAGTTGATCCAGCCAGGTGAGTTTCCGAGAGGACTTGAGACGTTCGAATCCTTGTTCGTATCTTCCCTGCATTTCCGCAATGGGCGGCGGTACTGTGAATTGTTCTTTTGGCAAACTGGGCCAAAATAGTCGTGAGAGAATCTTAGAGTGATATGCGAGGGCTCCAGAGTTGTTTGAAGCTTGCCGGATGTTCTTGCCCAGAACCGCGTCGACTTTCTTGGAATCTTGGATATCCTTCATCATGACATCGCAATTTTGTAAAGCACTCTCGCCGAAACGCTTCTTGAGAAGGCTCAGCACTTTGACCTCCTGCAAAAAGCTTGTTTGATGAGACAGTAGTCGCTCCGAAATGATGAGCTGGAATTCCTTGATAAATATATCTTGAGACCCAAGCGCGTTGATCAGAGTGCCAATAACATCCTCATTTCTGGGTCTCTTGTAGTTGACACCTGCGTCCACGGGATCAGGAACCCATGTCATATCGTCCCAGTCGAGGTCTTCGTCGTCTACCTGGCGCCGTTGTTGTTGGGAAGCTGAGTTAAGTAATACTGCTAGCTCCGCCAGTTTTGCCTTTCCTTCTTCTGTATCAGCGTCGCTGGGGCTGGATAGTAAACCGGTGACAACAATTCGGATAGCATCGTCTCTTTGGCATAGGTACAACTGTAATGCGTGGACGACCCGATCAAGGAGGACTTTGGAATGATCCAAGGCATGGAATGTCCTGATCATGGAGATATATGTTTGAAGAATGTCTGAAGTGGATCGACCAGGGTGGAGTAGTCGCTTCTGGAGAGCCTTTGAGAACGCATCAGTCAATTGAAGACGACGTTGTGGTGTTGTGACGGCCAGCCGAAGATCCTCAAGACCGCCTTTGCTCTCAGGCCAATTCAATGCAATATCAAATAGCTCTTGTATTCGTAGCGTTGCAAGACGACCTACGGCAATTTCTTTCCAGCACTCGACGTCGTTCCATGCGATATGTGTCTCAAGGCGGCCAAGGACTTCGACAGCAAGGCGGCCATAGCGGTTCTCGATCCAGTCTGAGAGATGGCCAAGACATCCAGGCAATGCATTTGAAGATGGCGTTACTGATGAATCTGGTGCTTTCCAAACTCCTGAATACGATGTCTTGATAAAGTCTTCCATGCTGGCGTCCATGATTTCAGCAAACAGGACTTGGAACTTCTCTCCCACCAAACCGACGGTTTGAAGAGACTCCAACAAGCTCAATAGTTCTTTCCGAGCTACCGAGTCATCGTTGCTCTGTGAATCTGATACCGACACAGTGACATCATGACGCTTCCCTATCCCAAGATTGAGACGGATGAGCCTGCGCAGGACGCTGGTGAGGGCATCTGTCAAGCCTTGGTTGAGGGAGTTGCCGATGATGGCGTGCAAGTCTCGACGGAACTTGAAGTAGGCAGCGTTTGCAGATGTTTCATCTTCGAAGCCTTGCACGATGAGTGTCAAACCCCAGAGATACTGTCTATGAGCTGCCTCAAGAGTTGAGATGCTGGATAGCAAAACCTGGGCCTGGTCACCCTGGCTGGCACACGCAGACAGCAAGGGCATGACATGGTGAATAAAGTGCTGGCGAACCTGATGCGTATGCCAAAGCAGGATATCCTCTGTGTGACTTGCTTGGGGCAAGGAGCGACGAGGGTAGAGAAGCAGGGCCAGGGCATCGCTAACATTGGTGTCGACGTCTTGCGATGCTGGTGGCAATGTACCGAAGGAATCCTCGACGGCGACCGAAGTAGGCAGCTGTATCTTGGAGGTGACAACATGCCAGGCTCGATCCCACTTCACCTGGTCATTGGCATCATGTAGGTTCTGGTGGAAGAGAGGCGGTGGTGGGGGAGCATGCTGAGATGACGCGGAGGGACCTCCAAAAGCCGCGCCCTGCTCCGTAAAGGCGGCGATGGGAGTCGAGCTAGGCGTAGGTGATGAAACGTCAGTCTGGAAGACGGACCGGAAGACCTTGTGCTTGCGAGCCCTGTATCGCGACGATGTCATGGCCATTGTGGCATAGCTGTCCCAAGGTTATCGCTATCGTATTAGTATTAGGAGACAGACGGCTTGGATCGGGGGGTGTGAGAATGTCAACAAAGGAAGAGTTTATGGTGGTTGTTGTTGGTACGTGCGGATATAGGTAGCAACAGAAAAGTGGGCGTCTCACAGGGTGTTTACTCTGTACGTTCTATGTTCTAGTGGAGTACCTACTACAGGACGGCCCGCGCTCCTTCAGCGGCAACGTTTGGATGGACTCCACCTGATGAAGACGAGAACTTTGGAAGGGCGGCCGACCCTCGCTCGCGACAGTGAATCCGTAGTTAGGGGTGCTAGGGGGCGTCTAGGATGTCTAGGGGGTCTAGGCTGGGTTTATTAGTCTCTAATCTCTAAGAGGAGCATTATATCGAGTCTAACGTCAAGTGCTCAGGTACGGAGATACACGCACGGAGATACACGCTGGGATGCGCCTGATAAAGGTAGGTATGAGGTGCTTGCTGTGTTTCGGATAAGGTGTGAGGCTCAGTCGTGAACCATTTCCGAGCCGAGTTTCGCTCAGCTATATCGCTTTGACCATATATAATCTCTGTATAAGTCACAAGCTAAGTGTCTCAAGCCGGCCAGCTAACTACCTAAGCTTACATCTCGTATGGTGAGGCGGACTACGCTAGTCTAACGTTAAATCTTGGTGTCTGGCCCGTGACGATTCCAGAAGTCTTTGTTTTTATCCTTATTTAAAATTGATACCTATGCGTATGGAGTCACGAAGGAAGGGGTTGGGCAGATTGCATGATCTATGTTTGGCTTCATTTACGAGTCATGCAGAAGAGGTTGAACAGCCAGCACAGAGTAATGCAGTACTCGCTTCGCTGGAAGCAAGGGGGGCACGTTGCGAGCAGTAGCAGGAGTAGTCCTGGAGGATTTCGATAAGATTGAATCGTGGCGATGAAGAAAGGGAAGTGGGAAGAAAGCCTTGAGCTAACGGAAGCCCTCAGGGGCATATTTCCCACTGCAACGGATATTATCTCCGACTCGGCCGGTATGCTCCACTTTCCCGGCTCCGGAAGCAAAACCTGTGGATCTTTGATGAGCAGCTCCAGCCGAGACTGACTGAAAGGGAAAGGGAATGCAATTATATCAATTCTGGTACCTGGATAAAACCAAAGTTCTCTGACAGCTCCTTCAACATAGGAGGAAGCAATATTCCCTTGCCGTTCTCTGGCTCTGGTTCGCTGGCTGCAATACTAAAGGGCTTGGTGGTTTTCCTTATTGACTTGGCAACAATGCTTACGCTCTGTCCGGATGTAGAATCTCGCCAAGCGCGGTTCAAATATTCCGGACCAACTAAGGTGATCGCTACTGCTAGGCAGACGGATAAGCAGCCCTGGACCTAGCCTGGTGACACAAGAACACAAGGACACAAGGACACAAGGACACAGGACAAGGACACACAAAGAATGGACGTCCTGGGCTTTAGAACCGGTCCAGGAGCCAGGAAGGGGTATAAAAAAAAAGACTGGTCTGTTCGCTTTCGCCTCGGACTTTCTTCACACTTGGGGGTCTCTTTAGGTTGTATCATACAAGCGTTTGCCGGTAGATCCACCAAAGTTCGCCGAATCACCCTCGAAGCGCGGATACCTAGGCGATGGGACAGGTTGTTGGTTTGGGCAAAACGTCCCGATTGAGCAGGCAACGGGGGGGTAAAAAGGGTCTCACCGTCCAGTCTGTCGGATTGCAAATTCCAAATACTCGGGTAGCCCTTATGCTGGTAGGGAGTAGGGAGTAGGGAGTAGGGACAGCAGTCCGGACTCAAGTCCCGTGTGCGAGCTGCGCAGATAATGTAATGTAATGTACGGATGCTGTACCTGCGTTCGGGTCCTTTCCTTCTTCCTTCAGCTCCATGACAAATACTGCCTGTAGATCAATCTCAATGGATAGGTGCCCGCCTCCACGTTTAAGGAATATCGTGTGTAAGATTGGACTGGATTGGATATATCCGTATCATCCCGCTTTTCCCCAGCCCTACCTACACCCTAGTGGGAGTGGTTTGTTTGGGTTCTGCCTTGCCATCGCATCCTGCAACGGTTACTGTCTGGCCTCAGGATCCTTCGTGGGCCAAAGATCTCCCAGTTGTTTTGCTAATTGATTACTTAATTAATCAATCATTGAGATTCAGCCTAGGAAAACTGGGTTCTTTTCTCAATGACAGCGCCTCCCGCTTTTCAGGGATCTTGTCAAGTAGCTGGGTGTACGTACAGATACTGCACGTACTGCACGAGCTACACGTCTAACCCTCTAGCAAAGCTGAGCTATCCGAATGAGGAAGGAAATATGACATGAGAATCTTTTCCTTTGCTTCGCTTTGCTCTATTTTGCTAATTGTCTTGCAAGGTGACGATCCGATCCCCTCGTAACACATGACAGTCAACCTCGTCGGCTCTCTACCCTCCCTCTAACCAGACTAATTAACCCAGCTAAACGGTCCGGTTACCGTAAAGGTACCAAGGTAATGAATGATCACACTCTATATTGTTATGTTGTAGCTGTACTGGAGAAAAAGTCCCGCTGCTGGGGTCCATGGCGTCATGAACTCGGACCAAGAGATTAAGATTTTCTCCCGGCTTGCCGTTCAATTCAGAATCAGAGCGCTACGGCCGTGCCGCAGCTTCGCATTACTACCTCATCCAGGGCTCCTGGCAACTGTCGATGTAATCTGATTCGTCAAGCTGGGCCAGTACGGTAACAGTAATTAGCTGCGTCGCATAGCGGACAAAAGACAAGAACAACGTTAATACATAAACAAAGACTGATCCGATGGACAGGGACAGGATGAGTACGTAACCCTCACACCTGTTCTGTGATCTCTCACTCGCACTCCAACAAATCCTGGGCTCACATGTGGTATATTCTCCACTGTCCTGAAGAAATCTCCGGAGACATAATAAGCGAGGAACAAGCAAATACGGAGTAAATGTCGCCGACTGGTCGCTACACCGTTGTATTTAGCCCCCATTGTCTCTCTTTTCTTATGTTGAAGTTATCACGGTGCCGCAGACCTCAGCTTCTGCCAAAAAAAAAAAAACAAGAACCCAGAACCCAAACGTGATTGTTCCAGAAACATGTGGCCGCGGCCCCCCGTTTCATCAGAACAAGATCCATGGTCCCCCAATGCAATGCACGTGTATGTACCAGCCGGTGACAGACGGACATACAGAATGCCTGAGGTGTGTCTGCATCCCAGCCAGGCCTGTCTCCAATCCCACGGAAAAGGGAAAAGAACTCTCGCTCTCTCAGGGGGTGAATGCAAGCCCCCCCCCCGCCCGCTTCTTGGGTGGTGCGCCGCCTTACTGGGCGGGCTGGAACCCGGACTGCTGGCCTTAAGCCGGCCAGCCGTTGGAACTTGGGACCGACACGATCCGACTCCGACGGGACTGGACTGGACTGCGTAATCCATTCGCCAACGCCCCGGGGCGCCATCAACAGAACTGAAAATGAACTCAATTGAACTGAACTGTCAATCCGGATAACCTTGTTTTCGGGGCCGAGACGGCTTCGGATGCGAAACACGCTTTTAACAGTATTGCCCATCTTCAAGTTTGGGAAAGTGAATAAATGTTCGAATCTCTGTTTTCGACATGTTCAATTTCTTGCATGGCAGAAATCCATCCATCCATCCATCCATCCATCCACGCTTAAATCTCGGTGTCACTGATTTTTCCTTTTCCTTAACATCATCGTGAACTCCCCTCCCCTTACTAGTCAACATTTGGAGAGATGACACTATATCTTATCGCAAGCTACTTGATGAACCCACCGATATCCGCCACGGGCCCAAGTACTCTTGTTAGCTGCCCTCGTCCCTCCTACCCGTGGCCTAAACCATCATCCATGCCTATTTGCGGCGCGGCTGTGTGCTGCAAACCTGGTCACTTCACCCAAGCTACCAAGCTAGGGCCCAAGGGTGGCCCCTTGAGTGCCGCGACGATCATTTGCTTCCCAGTTCCCACTCGCATATTCTTCCCAGTAGTCTGGGGCATCCCGTCCTCCTTGTGCTGTTGGCTCGTTTCAAGTCCGGCGCCTCGTTCGATTCTTGCATATCTGTTACCCTCAATTTGCTCACTTCCTGATGCTAAGCCTCCATACTGCCAAGCACATGCTTACCTATCAAGCTAGATGCTTTTTGGCAGCTGGCTCTGATTTCGTCTCTTCCTACCAGCCAAGTACCTCAAACACATTGGTGACAACTGGCAGGTCTAGGCTCCAACGTTAGCAAACATTTTGCCATCTTTACAGGTTCAAGACTCATTGCATCTATATCTATCCATATTCGTATTCGACAATGGATCGGTGCTCTAGGCTCCTCCAGTGCTTCTAGTCCAAAAACTATGTACAATATATATAAGAAGAAATAATAATAGCAAAACGCCATACCAACCAGCATCGTGGATGGGGGTATTGGTGAAACAAGAAGCACCAAGATTTGCTCAAAATATACTCCACAACCAATATGCTCCGGAGGCAATCCAATACCTGTATGTGTCCTTGCCTCTGCAGACATCCCAAGATGCTTCATGATGCGTACCCTTCCTGGTCGCATAGCACCTGTAAACGACGCCAGCCATCCCATCTAGATTTGACAACAAATCTAATCGCAAGGCCCGATTCTTTGCCTGCCTTTGCAACAGTCCTATAATAGCCCCCAAAAGTGACGCCGTCCTAGAAAAAAGCCTTGCACCAACAACTGCATTGTCGTCGGTACATATTTCGCACCCAATGCCAAATCCGGCCCAGTTTGAGGCTGAGCTCCCAAATAGTAAAGTAATAATAGCATCAGGCATGCATAATTTCGTTGCTGTTTTTGGACCACCTCAATTTTTTGGGACCTTTGTCTCACGAGTTTCGTCGACCTTTACACTTGTCGTGAAGTAAGTGTCCATTGCGTGCTGTCGTTCTTGTGAATTCCGCACCGCAGTTGGGACATGACGCCTTGGCTGCTTGGCCTGATTTTTCGCGTTGGTGCCGCAGCAAGTTGCTGAAAGTTGAGAACTGTCGTCCATTGCATCCGTGTTCCCAGCATCGTGGTTTTGGTCGACTTTGCACAACACGGACGTGTCCAGCTTCTTGTGCGCTTCCAGGGCCCATGACGTTTGGGACCTGGTACATAAAACCTACATCCTGACCAACAGGTAGAGGCGGTGATCGAGCACTGCAAACCGACAGTCAGTTTTGCTGATGATAATTATGCAAACCGGTAACGTACCTATACTGGTTGGATCCTGCATAAACTGCTGCATAGTTCACAGGCATATTATAGTTGGGTTGTCTAATGATCGCAGATTAGCATGGTCCGGGCGTCGCCCTATCTATGCAGGGGTCTTACAAGCTTTGTGGGTATGTCGGGTAAACAGATGCTGAATGCGGTTGCTGATCCTCGAGGGACGCTGGGCTGTAAGACTGCAGGTATGTTGAACTGCTCATCGTCGTCGGGGTGTCACTCATAAGAGTTACGGGTGCGGGAGCAGTGCTATAAGCTGAAATGTTCATGGCATCCGTCACACTGGGGAGTCCCATCGACGACTGGGATTCGGCGTAAGGGTTGCTGTTGGAGCGGCGCATTCTGTTCACCAGCCTTGAGTCTCGACGAACTCTGTCTGATTGTCGCTTCACTTCTCGCTGGTCTGCCGAAAGAGACAATCTTGGGGGACTCGATGTCACAGATCGTGACTGTGGTGGAGGTGTAAGGCTGTTTCCAGAGGCGTGGCCCATTGAAGAAAGTCCGGGACTGAGCATGCTACTACTGGAGGCACTTGTCTCAAGGGGACCTATATAGAAGAAGAGAATGTCAGTTGGTTGTGTTGATGGAGAAAGGTGAGTGCTGCGTACCAGGCCATGTGAAAGCTGATCTAGGGCCCATGGAAAAGACTGGATCAAACTGAATAGCGACAGTGCTAAAGAAAAGGATTAGTGTTTGCCCAATACTAAAAATGGAAGAGAAGTAGTACCTCATACTGCCTGATCTTCCAGTTTGACGGGAAGTTGAGGTCAATTGTTGGTGGTCTTGCTGTGAATGGAGCGATAATCTAGACCCCTCCTGCGCTTGACCTGGTTGATCCCAAAGTGAGTCGAGGGCTGGCGAGGACAAGCTTGCAAAGCGAGGATAAGACTGAGAAGTAGATGTGGGGAGATAGCAAGAGTCGCTGGTCGGAGTATTCAAGTAGGATGTGGATGAGTAATCCTCTGGCGAAGATACTGGGGGCTGATGAGACAACTCAAGCGTATGAGCATGTGGCGAGGCAGTTATGTTCGAACCAAGTACAAACTCTCCGGTGACAGAGACTTGACTACCAACAGTTGATCTGGTGGGTGGTGAGCTCGGGTTGTTACAGCTTCCATCTGTTGTGGCCGAGTCCATCTTGACTGATGATGGAGGGGACGGGGGAAAGTATAGAAACTCGGGTTGAGACATACGGAAAGATGAAGAGCTATGAAGTCGATGATATAGAGGAGGGGTGATGTTGAAGCGAGGTGCCGATGCGATTAATAAGTGAAGAGCCAGACGAGGGATCGAGGCTTATAATAACAATAATGCCTTGTGAAGTTGATTAGAGATGAAAAGGATTTCGAAGCTTGATTTAGAGCAGTGATCTATCTATGGGACCATCTGAGCCCCAAACATGGCCAGGGACAGGATGCCGACTTATATGAAGAGGGCAGTACACTAACTATCCCGTTGAACGTGCATGACGAAGTGAAGGAACATTGACAAGAAACCTTCCTCGAAGAAGGCTTGAGTGACATGGAACCATGGGTGCAGGGCAGTACATGACAAGGGTCTTTCTGAATTGCAGTGCTATAGAGTGTCCAGTGGAGCGTATGCTGAGCAATGAGATAACCTGCCGGTAGCAGGAGTGGCACCATAAGGATGGGAGACGGGGAAAAGAGCTTGGAGTATGAAAGGACTAGGGGGGTGTATGGTGCATGGCGTATGGTGTATGTTCCAAATGAGATCCGGTAGCTATGGTCCAAGGGACCTGTGGTCACGGCGTTGGTATGTGGCGTAGCGGGGAAAATTGACCAGCACCCCATCGATTTGGAGTTAACCAGCAGTGTGTTTAGGACCCATGCTTTGATTGCTGATTGCCCTACCAGGCCATCGAGGTACCCATGCGACGGCTAGCTGACATGGGGGCGCGAGTGGGAGAGAGTTGCGCGCGCACCCACCCCAGAGGCTCCATTCAACGTGTGGGCTTTTTCCCACCTCCAAGTCAAGCGGGCTGGGCGGGTCCTGGCAGGGCAGGCTCCGTTGCTCTTCTGCCCAAGAGAAGGAACCGGCATCATGAGACGACAGCCGACACGTTCTGAGATTGGGCTGGATAAGGAGCCGCAGCTGGCGGGTATTTTGAAATCCTAGACTACTTCTGTCAAGCGATGAAAAGGGCAGAAGAGAGGCAGGCAGTCGCAACGTGATCCCCACGTCATGACTTGATATGCTTCAGGCCGAGATTCAAGGTGGTGGCTAATGATCGCCTGTACTGTTTATGCGTCTCGTGTTCAAAACACCGAGGCTCTTGTTGAACCAAAATCAACAGTCCGTCTGGCGCTACAGCGTGGAAATCAGATCCCGCGTGTAGTCTTGGTTCGGGTCTTAGATTTGGCACGCGATGAGAATACACGCAAACTAACGCTCGGTGTTAGACTATGCTTTGCAGACGGCAGTTGACAGTTGGCTGACGCCTACGATTTGACCCCTATCGGACGTGTCCTTGGAAGCAAAGCTCAGAGCTGCACGCTGAGAGGCGAAAGAGGCGGGAAGAGTCTAGAGAAAGCCGTGGGATCGGGATCCTTGCGCACTCGCTTCTCTCACATTCCAGGCTCAACAAGTGAGCGGTCGATGTAGACGAGAAGGAGCCGTCTCCTGGCTGTACGGAAACCAGAACTCTACATCCGGACCCTTCTAAGGTCTGGCCCAATGGCACATCTTCCAGGTGCATCGATCCAATAGGACGAATGATAGATGAGGGCGAGTTGTATAACGTGGCTTCGGCATTGCCAAGAGCTTGAGCAGATAGGTCTAGACAAGTTCATTGTGCTGCAGAAAGGCTAGCACTCTGTAGGCCACGCAGTCGGTCAAATCTCAGATCGAACAGTTCCACCATTGGAAATAATTATGTGCGTCACGTCGTTTGTTGGAGCTATGGAAATAGGACGGCCATGGCAAGACGCGACAAAGCTTGAAGTTGGCTGTTACCCAGAAAGGCTCGTCGTGTAAATTCAAGTCTCGGTAAAGCACGCTAGAGCAAGAGTAGGATATGATAGGCGTAGCAGTAATAAACGGCGGGTCGGTAGCAATCGAATCCAGGGCCAAGGTAGCGGGCTCAGTGCGAAAGGGCGGTCCACTGGCGATCCATGGAGTGGGAAATACAAGACGATGGGGAGATATGGATAGGGATAATGGGTAGAGGAGGGGAAGAGATAGAGGGTGTTTGGAGGACGCCTCCCGGTTCAATGTTACTGTGCTGCAGAGTACTCCATACTCCATACGCTGCGTGCTCCATAGTCGTGGTCATGGTCATGGTCATGGTAGTGGTCGTGGTCGTGGTCTGTATCCATCAGCACAGGGTTTGAATGCTTCGCGGCGCCCGCTTGAGATGCCGCTGTACATTGAGTGCCGTGCCGTAGGACAGGTCGGGATAAGTCGAGGAGTGCCGTGGACATGTTGGTTGCATAAGCACAAGCACAAGCATGAGCATGAGTATCTTCAAGTTTGTCGAGTCAAGTCGAGTGTGTGTCTCTGCTTTGACCTAAACGGTAAGAAGCGGGTTGGGTTGTGTGGGAATAGTAGACGCCTTCCGCTTTTGGCGCCTGGGTTGGGTTGGTTTGGAGACAAGCGAAGCGGGAGGAGTTGGGCGTAGGGGTAGGTAGGGTAGGCGCCATTGACAGACGCTCCTGGCTGCGCTAGAAGGATGAATAATGCTTGCAGCCCCTCCACTCCATTCTATTCCCCGCTGCCGCGCAACTTCACTCCCTGGCTGGGGCCCTACGGTCCCTAGACTCCCTACCAACCACAGAACCCGTCTCCTGTATTCCCTGTCAATTTCGTTCGACGGGCGGCCGACTCATCTTGGCCCTTTACTCTGTAGAATTTCAACGTCAACTTGGGATGTATTCGCGAGGAAAATTAATGAATCAGCAAATAAGGGGCCAGCTTCAAGCCCGGCATTTCGCATTTTTCGCACTTTACCGGATTTTATCTATGACCGTTAAGCCCCCTTTCGTACCGTCTTTATCATGATGGGAATTTGGCGTCTTACCCGCTCCTATAGACATGGTACTGTCTATCACTGGGGGAGATGCAACACAACACAACACAGCACAACACAACATCCTGGATCGTCAACGTGGAGGAAGGACTGCTGTTGTCATGCACCGCACAGCCCCATGATCGCTTTCCTATTCTTGCTCATGTTCATGTCTGTTGATGCTCATACTCATGTTCGTTCATGCTTGTGCTTGTGCTTGTGCCTGTGCTTGTGCTCATCCTCAAGGCCCCCCCAGTTCCTTTCCCTTTCTTCTCATTGCTCACTCATCCGCCCCCATTGGCACCTTACCATTCCAGACAGGCAAACAAGTCATTATCATGCACGACAACCACCACCAAACTTCTCATAGGTCGTTAAGCGCGAAATCTGTTGAATCGTTTTCCCTTTTAGGCAATCACCGATATCCTGTATACCCCCCCACCTATCATGAACGCTGCGGTAAGAATAATCGCGCGTCATGATTATTGTGGTCGACAGTCAACCCACGGCCATTGTCCGAATTGGATTATTAACACGCTTTATTAGCCGTCTCAGCCGATATAGATTGATTTTTTTGGTAACCTGGTGGTGCAAACCGCCGCAAAAATGCATTGAACTTGGAGGTGTTTGATGTTTGACGGGCGTGACAGATCCGAAAAGTCGGACTTTGGCCTGCATCGGACCGATGCATCATGACAGCAGACGGCCCTGACTGATTGACTTTAGCCTGCCCGCATGCCTACCTTACCAGGCTTGCCTTGCCTTACCGTGGGATGTGGGAAGTGGCTTGGCCAGCTTGGTCAGGCTTGGCCTGCAGCAGCTCGTAACTAGCGAACAAGATGCTCCAGAACGAAACGGTTGCAGCGCTGACGGCGTTTAATCGAACCAATCGTCACGGCTATGTTATTCCACAGGCGCGCACACAGCCAATACCGAGTGAGGCGGGGATCGTCCAGGCCAAAAAGGCGCAGTGCAACAAAAGGACATTGACGTGGATCAACAGCCTTAGCGTTTGGCCCCCGACTGTGTGGTGAGCCAATCGGAAGAATGGCATCATACACAGCTTAAACCAAAAGGGACAGACACCACATTGTTCCCGAACTTCAAGGTCCATGGGCAAAAGCGTGGCATGCAGACCAGACTTTTGATCAACCATCGAACTTGGGCCCCCAATGAGAGCATCAACAGAGACAAGTCCAGGATAGATATCCAGTGACTCGAACCACAAGGCAAGCCTCCTTACAGGTGGTTCTACTATAAGGCGTAAGCTGTGATTAGTGAGTGATAGCACTTGCAAACAGCCCACCGGCTTATGATGCTCTTCACGTTATCATCATTTGAAACATAACACAGCCTCTTGCTACCACACCCAGTATAAGACGGCTGGAGCTGGAGCAAAAAATAGATATACACAGCTTGATCCTTCAACGGCAACTTCCATATCCATCGACGAGTAAGTCTTAGCTACGCACGTTCTTACTCATTGTCGCTAGCTGCTGTTTGACACGGCACGCTCGCGAGACTCAGGCGGGCGGACCTCTCTGCCAAGAAGATAGAAGATTAGTCGGTGACCGATCCCGAGTTACGGATACACCGGCACTATGATTCACTTCTCTTAACCGTGGATAACTAGTATGAGCGTTGTCCACCTTTGAGTTGGCCGACTTTTTGGGGTTCCAGGGTCATGTCGATCTGTGAGTTTAATCGGGCTAATTATCTTCGATCTAGCAGCTTGCCGTGGTTAGTATCAGATTTATGCCACTTTGATTGACGGTTGAAATGACATTGTGGTCTGTTCAAGGGAGCCTGTGGCCAATATCACAACGAATGTTGTTGACCAGAAGAGTCATAGCCCCAAATCGCTATCATCATTCATTGAGAGCAATACATGCTCACACAGTCTAGGTGATATATCCAAGTTGCTGATTCATGTCAAGACTCTATTTCCGTTTAAAGACAACACTAGCCAATTCAAGACAGCTCAGCCAGTTCTACATGCAGGCGTGAGGCGTCAATTCGAACTCTGCAGTATCCGTACCATAGAATGGACAAGCATACCACGGGCCCATGATGATCCTGATCAAAGATGATTCAGATCCCACAGCTTCAAGCA